GTGAGTACGAGCCACCCGTGTTATCATTACACCATCAAGGCCATCGTGTGTTCTGCGCCACATTCTAACGGCTTCTGATTTTGGACCAATCACGGACTTGAAAGTTTACATCTAAACACCGTAGAAAAGTATTTGTTTGCATCCACTACTTTGGACACTCCGGTCTCTGTGGTCTCGCATACTACTACGCTGGTACGAGGTAGATCATGTTTATCTTCAACTTCAAGGGGCCTAGGGCTATCACAGCTTCTAACCCAGGACCGGGGTTGCAGCGGGTATGTGGGTTGGTCCTGCAGGGCGTGGAATCCTGTCGCGTGGCAGCCAGGGATGCCACGATACAAACCCACCGCGATGGAACCGAAAGGTTGGGGTATGTAGGGGAAAGGGCAAACCTTAGTTTCAGTATGTTTGTATCGGTGGATGGTACCTCGTACAATACCATTATACCACGATAACAAACATACAATAGGACGGCCAATTCTCCAGTGAATCATCCGGTTTCCATGAGGATCACTGGGCCTTAGACTTTGGACGCGCTGCCGTTAAACAGTCTGACCGCAACTTCGGCCCATAGAGAATTCTCCTTGAGCATCCTAGCGGGCCGCCATTTTCGATTGTTCGCCGTCTGGATCGCGATAACAGTTAGCGGGCGGGATGAAGCGACAGGGAAAGTTATTAAACGGGGAATGTGGGTACTGCAGTTTGATTTGATTTTCTTTTCTGCGCCTATCGCTCTTCCTTGTTTCGACCCCCTTTTTTCCCTTTTATTTTTTTCCCCGCTAAAGACATGCGAGGAATTTCTGTAGTGTCTCAGACCCCTCCTTCTCCCTGGTCTGCATGTTGCAGTGGTACGATTTGGCGTTTTGACAGCCCTTGGATCGGGCCTGGTGAGCCTCAGAACTTGGGGTTCGGTCGAAATCCTTCGGGCTTACGGGGGTTTATCGCAGGGCTTAGGCTGAGGCTGTGTCTTCTTTGGCCTGTTGCTGACGCCCCTTATTTCCGTACTCCGTAGGTAGCGGTCAATAACGATTGCCGGGGTAGCCTGCCACATGGACGATGCGACCCCTTTCCACATCTTTCGCTTTGGTTGGTGGATTACTAGACATTGTAGGAGCTGCATGCCACTGTAGCTGGAGATTTTATTCCACGCATTCTTGGAGGCTAGGGATCCAATATGCTGGGAATGGCCTATAGATTTACATACGTACCATATTTACCCCGGTTCACGTGGCATTGTGATACATGGTATCTCCCGCCGCGCAAATCGAGCGATCGAATCAATGGATCGCAGCACCTGTGACGCATCACATTATTCTCCCCGATCTGCATGGAAGCATCCAATTTCTCCGGTCGAAGGGGTCCGATCGACGGCGGTATTCGTACTCCGCTGAGAAATCATGGCTTGTCCTTGCGAAGTGCGATTACTGGCCAATCTACGCTGTGCCGGCTCATGACGGATGGACGAGCACATGAGCTGATTCGCGCGATCGCGCTGCGTTCCCCTCTCCCCGCTTTCGATGGCGTGCCTTACTTGTTCCTTGCTAGATTGGGATGTTGCTTATGAGCTGTTATTCGTGGGCACTACCTCCAAGGAGCCCGACTGACGTGTCTGACAGCGAGGTTCCTCTGTCACTCGGATTTCCTAACATGGAAGTTGTGGGTAGGTTCGTGCCCGTTTCTATTACCCTGTACCAGTTCTTTGGGACAGATTACCCGTGGAAGAGCTGTGGAGCCACCAAAGGGGTGGACGAGAGGCCCTGAAGCCGTGCAACACGCGATATAGAATCGCGCGATGCGGCTCAATCGTTGGGTGAGTATGGATGAAGGAGTGAGGCTTTCTACGACTTACGACAGCCGATACATGTGTATGAGTAGTCCTACAGTACTCCAGGGTATGTATGTATGCCGGTGATCGGCAATCCTCTTACAGGGTGAGTTAGGTCCTCCCCATCCTACCCTCAATTACCTCGTATTCCCTTCTGGGATAGTCTGACTAGGGCCTATCGACTTCACGGCCCTGTTCCTTCGCCTCCGAGTCTGTGCGCCGGCAAACATGGCAGAAAGAGTGAAAGTGCCACGACCCTATTATATCTGACCAGACCGTCTTATGGGCTAGAAGGATCCAAAACATTATGGGCATGAAGCAAGTCGTTAACCAGGCGGCTTTTGAACGGCTTCCTTGTCTCGGACGCGAGAGACGATGCCTGAAGTAGCCACGGCCAGCAAGCGAACAGAGCGGAGCCTAGGTACATCCCAGCCCAGCCAAGCCGGGGCGACTATGGAGGAGCGGGTAGAAAGAAGCGAGCGAGCCAGCTCCAGGTGGACTTTTACAAAATGTTCCGTAACCGGGATCCATACCTTGTACTCCGTACTCCACCGTTATGGCTGCTAGTCCAGCTAGTACTGCAAGTGATAGGCCTGAGGGGCTCAGACGCTGAGGCCGCGTCTCCACGTGTGTCCACGTGGACCACATGGACTCGCGAGAAGGCGCTTGGAAAGGCCATGGAAGAAGTGCGCTCCGCCACGCGGGGCCAAAGCCAAGATTGGGCGGTCTCAGCCTGTTTCGACCCCGAAACACTGGTGAGCCCCCGGGCCACGGCCACCACCACACCGTATCGGAGAAAGTGCGAGGGTTCGGGATGGGTCGGACACGGATCACAGTCAGCTACGGACTAGAGGATCGAACCGAACGTGTGAGGAGACAGAGAAGGAGGCCAGCGTGGCGCTAGCTCAGACTCCACCCTGATCGGACTTTGCTGCCAATGTCCGCCCGCGAAACCATGCCCTTCCTCTTCTGCCACCGGCCCCGAATTGACTTATCGGCATCCACCGAGTGGTCAAGAGCCACCGAGTTCTGAGCCTGGGCAAGGTGCGGAATGGATGAATAAACCCGAAATTAGTTTGAAGACTGAACAAAGGGAAACAAAGAACAAAGGGGATATTGATCGGGATCGAAGGGGAGAACCTTGGGAAATGGGATTTTGCCACGGCCGATAAGGTTCCTGACGGTCAGGAGGATGAATCATCCTCAGAGATGGAGGGGTAAAGAACTTCCCACGTGGGCGCGAGGCTTGTTGGGCGATGGCCAGCATTGCCTGTTCGGTCCAGGGGGCCGAAGTACCAGTATCGGACGGTCGGACGTCGGTATTACCTGGGGCGGTTTCATACCTTCCTCCCACACAATACGCCAGAGTCCTCTCCCAAAGTGGAGGAAGTCCGGAGTAAGTGGGGATTGTGCTACCCTACACCACCAATAATAATCACCACAAGCCTGAAGATTCGGATCACCGGCGACCCCCCGTGCCCACCAGTGAGAGCGGGAGATGAGAGGAGGCGATTGCTACATCAGGCAAGGCTAAACCTAAACCAGTGAGAGTTGCCCCGGTTAGAGTGCAGTTGCGTTGTGCAGAGGGGGGATTTCCGACGGGTAGATTTTTGACCAACAAGACTCGGGCGGTCAGTCAGGGTGATGGTTTGGGGGTATTGGATTATTGCATGCGTACTTTTGGCCTTGTCTACTGTGCAGTAGAAAGAAGTCTTTACGGAATACACCGTACGGAGCATATGCACATGGAACATGCAGTTATGCAGCGTTCTTTCCTTGAGGAATCCTCGGTAATACGTATACCAAAAGATCTTCACGCGGATCTGTTCGGCCTCGCGTGGTTCCTTGGGTCGCCCACCGTTAGAGCTTTGGGTCTGGAGAACCGCAGTGGCCAGATGGTGAAATCATTGACTGATTTTTCCATTTTTTTTATCTGACTGCTTAATGAAAAGATAAGGGGAAATTGATCTCCATCCATGGCTGTGTATTTGGAATTTGTTAGTTGGGGGGAGAGGCTACTGTATTACCTTACGGGGCTATCTATGGACTATGTATTCTCGGCTGGCATGATCGAGGCATGCCAAATGCCGATAGTGGGGTCCACTAGGGATGTAAGAGAGTGAGATTGTTCTGTGATGATCTGCCTTGGTTTAATATGCGGTTGATCATGGAGATCGCTTGAAAAGGACGCTTAAAGCAAGCTCAGAAGCAACAAAGGCGACTAGAGGAGAGAAGGAGGATCGAGCGTGGACCTACTGTACAGTAGGTAACTGAATACTCGTACATGGCGTCCATTGTACAGTACATCGTACTGCCCGTAACGTGGTAATACCAAGACCCCTGCACGAAACAAGGAACCCACCGATCTTCACCATGAGGCAATCCCTTCCCTTGGCCCACGTTGTTTGGATGCAGCACACCAAACTCTTTCCGGCTGGCCTCACGCGTGGTCGGTGGGTCATGGATGACAGGCCGAATGGCTATGATTCTTCACAAGGGGGGTTGCGAGCCCAGCACGATATCACAATAGGCCCTTTTTCTCCTCCCTTTTTTTTCCCTTTTATTTCCCTTTTTTAATTTTTTTTATTTTCCCTTTTCCGCTGTCTTATTCATGCTTGGCCCGCCTCTATTTTCTTCTCTTGTCTACCGTCTTTTTCATTTTTTTTATTTGTATTATCCTTATTTTAGATGATTATTCCTTTCGGAGTGAAAAAGAATAAAAAGGGAAATTTGAAAACTATAGCGTATAATTCCCAATCTCACAATTCCCAACCACCTGCAACTCCCCCCCCCCTTCTTACACCCAAAACACCCCCGGACACCCAAAACTACTACTTTCCCCCCCCTCTTCTTCCCTTCCCCTCCAAACTCCGATTTTCTGCTCCGTCCTTGACTACTCCATCCTTAGTATAGGAGCTAAGAGTTCCACCCGTCCTCTTTTTCTAGCAGTATTTTTTTATATAATTTTTTTTATTTCCCACCTCTCCACCCTACCCGCCATTCCATCATTCCACCATTCCACTATTACAATATTTCCTTAATATTCCCTTCCTCCCCCTTTACGGTGGTAGTGTAAAGATCGTGGGTATCAGGTCTTGCTTGACTTACCCACTTTTCACACTCTTCCCGAAGTCTGGTTCTGCTGGTTCTGGTTCACCCACAGGCTACTCATTCAATGCCAACCCTACCCTCCGTGAACCACTGCCGAGAAGAATCTCTCCCTCTTTCAGTCCCTTCAGTTCCTGCCTCTACTCTACCTCCTGCACGCTCTCGCGCAACTTCCTCCTCCACCACCCATCCCCCTACGACTGATCCGCCCGCCTTGTTCGCTGCTTCCTTCACTGGGTCAGTCGTCGGCTCTATCTCCCGCCGCAACCGTCGCTCTTTTGCTGCCTTGGCCCAAAAAACCTCCAGTGCCCTGGCCAGCTTGTCGACCATCTCGACCGTCTCCCAGACCCCCGCGGGCAACTTATCCACGCTGCACTCCTCGAACTCTTCCGGCAGCCTCTCAAGACTCACCAAATCCAACGTCTCTACCCCCTTGACCCCGCCATTATCCGAGGGAGACACATACGAGCAGTTGCCGGATTTTTCGCGCTCGGTTTCCCCGGAGCCGTCTTTCCACAAACGGCGCCTGACGCTGCAGCGCGTCCCGACACCCCCTCAAGAATCCCGCCCTGCCCATCCGGGCGCTGCGCCAACCGCGCCCAGCAAAATGCACCAGACTTCGTCGAGGCTGTTGCGTATGACCGAAGATGAGCGACCGTTCACCAAGGTAGGTTGGGAAGCCAGAGCCTAGAAAATACCCCGCGCAGACCCGGCCGGAAGGACAGGCACGCAAAGAGGAAAGACAATCGAAGACTGATATCTCGCGAATTTTAGGATTTTATGGACTTGTTCTCCACTTTGATGGTAAGCTTGAAGTTGGACTCCCATCGGGTCCGCTTCACAAGATATGACCACACCTTCACCTCCGAAGAGGCGATCAACAACTTGGGATCCCTCAAATTCTCCCAGTCGAACCGCATGCCAGACCCCAAGGACCCCTCGCGCATCGTGACCACCACCACGACCACCACCTTCTCCATGGCCAAGGAAATGGCGCGCTCAGTCTGCCAGCGCTTTGTGGATGGTCGCTTCATCGAGGCCGTCGATGGCAAGGCCCTGCCAATCTTCCCGCTCAAGGGCGCCCTCTTCCAACTCACCCCCAAGGGCATCAACATCCTGCAGCGCTTCTGCCAGCGAAACGGAATCACTGCCCGTCACGTGATGGATGTTTTGGAGTCTCCGCGCAACACGATGCAATTGGTGAACTTGGAGCGAGACACTGAGACCGATAAGCTGTCGCATGACCGTGCCACCATCGAGGTGATCTTCCGCCGGTTTGCGGGACAGGATGGGCCCAATATCAAAAGCAGCATTTCCACATCAGACTCGGACTCGTTAAGCGACTACTCCAACGGAATTGTCGGTGTGAAGATGGCGCGGGAGCGGAAATTGCAGGACGGCAAGATTTACACCAACACGTTTACTGGGAAGGGTGCGGTGGATTGGTTGATGGACTGCTCGACCACCATTGAGCGCCGGGAGACCTGCCTGATTGCCGAGTTGTTCCTCAAGTATGGCTTGATTACAATGATTCAGGACGACAAGTCCTTTCCAGACTCCAACGCCGTGTTCCAGCTCTCCAAATATGCCATCTACAGCATCACAGAGCGTGGCCAGCGCGTATGTGGCTGGATTGCTCGTGACAAGACCCGTGACAACTCCGGCGCTTATGACAACCGCGGCATGCCCCGCGATTCCAACAACGCTCGACTGACCCACATCCTGCAAGACCCCGCCCTCCGCCTGCTGTTCCGTGAATTCTTGCGCTACTCACTGTGCGAAGAGAACCTGTCCTTCTACCTCGATGTGTCTGAATTTACTGCCAACTACCACAAGGCCGAGAAGACCGGCACGTTCAACAAGGTGGACTCGGTTCGGGAAACCCTGGCTGCTGCCTATGGTAAGTCTCAAAAAAATCAGATTCTTGCGACGTTGGATAGGACTGTATAATCTAACGCGTTTTGCTCTAGGGCTGTACAACGCGTTCTTGGCCCCAGGGTCACCCTGCGAGTTGAACATTGACCACGCCCTCCGCAACAGCCTGGCCAGCCGTATGACCAAGGCTGTTGGCGATGACGAGTCCATGTTCAAGAGCCTTCAGGAGGTGGTGCATCTCTTTGAGCTTGCACAGACTTCCGTCTTCAAGCTGATGTCAAGTGTAAGTTTTGAATCTCAAACTCAATCCCAGTCATACCAAAAAACCAAATTGCATTCCGTACTGACTTTGATTTGCAGGACTCCGTCCCGAAATTCCTTCGCGACCCCAAGTACTCCGTCGTCCTGCAGGAACACGACGTCGACATTTTCGGCGGCTCGCGCTCCTACTCCCCCACCCCGGGTGCCCCAGAACGAACTATGAGCCGGTCTGCTCGCTCATGACAATCACCGCGAGCCAGCGTCGACGTTTCCTGCAGACCAGCAAACACCGGCCGGCCCCATCGTGCTTCGAACGCCGCTCTGCGCTCCACAACCCCCACAACCTCCTCCATCATCCCTTCAGTCTCTGTCATTTTCTAAACCGCCAAGCTTCATCGCCCTTTTTTGCGGGTCTCAGATCAGAGTTTCGCGGATGCGTGTCCGCTCCCGTTCTTTGTGCGACTGCAACGCGGGAATCACACCCGCGCCGGGGGCCTGTTTTTGCGCTCGATGGAATAAGCAGATGAGGAGATCGCATGGCATGGATGTATTGGGTGGCCCAGGCCTCCCCCATGTTTTGGACGTACACGATGTCCACACCAATCTTATCATGATCGCTTCCGACCACGAAAAAAATCCTTCCCTTTCCATGTCTTGCTTCTTCACAAGGCATGCAGCCCGCCGGGCGTCTGCATCTGCGTCTCAACTTGCGCCCCGCTCCATTACCCGAGTGGTCCTGTTCAACCCCCTTGGTTATCTCCTTCAACTTCCCCCCTCGCCACGCACCATTTTTTTAATACTCAGACGAAAGACGTTACGATCGATCGATGCCTCATGTTATAGAGAAGGCCGGAATTTTTTTTATTTTTGGGACTCCTTGTAATATTTGGATGACGTTCTCCTTCACCTCGCTTCTCCTCGCTTTTCACTGCATACATGATATCCCTCTTTCCGGCTTTATCTCCTCTACCTTTGGAGAAGAACCGAAGCCGGAACGAAGAAAAAAAAGAAACACCAAAAAAATCAAGGCCAAATCCAAAAGACCGGTGGTTTGACCCAACTCCTACGCCTTACCTTGCTTTGTGTTGTTTGAGCATCAGAGACGGCGTTTTATCATGCATGCGTGCTTGCTCTGTCTTTTTTTAATGTCATCTCTTCTCCAACCATCGTTCCACATGCATGACTCTTCACTTCATCAAGCATTGATTCTGTTATTCCATTCTATCTTCTCTTTTCTTTGACTTGTCCTTTGTGGTACTGCATTGTCTCCTTTCTGTGGGCACAGCGTGTGAGTTCTGGATTTTTTAACCTTGTCATATTATTCGAACTTCCTCTATGGGAATGGCAATGGACATGACGATACCATTCACACTTTTTTTCTTCTATGATTTCTTAGTTGAATGTAGTTCTTCGAAATACATCTCTAGGTCGTCGATAAAGCTCCCCTTGTCATGGATTTTCTGATCTCATGCTGTTGTACTGAAAGGGGGTTTAACAGCAGCCTCGCTTCAGCCCGCGCAATTCGCGTCCTATGAATAAAACTACCACTAAATGATCATTATGTTTGGCTGACTAGGTGTCACGCTTTCTCCTGAAGTTTTTGACTTCATTTGTACTCTAACTTTGCGATGGCATTGTACACGTAGCCGCCCTTTTCTTGGACAGCAAGAAGGAAGATAGATATAAGGAAACAGGTAGAGTGTATAAAAGTAATGTAGATTTAGACACCTCATATCAACGCCAGAAACCACACACCCTGCTTTCATATGTCATCAAGTCGATTTTCAGGACAAGAAGGAAGAGAAAAAGAAATAGCCGGACGAGAAAGGGAGGCAGGGGAATCAGAACCGGACCAACGTAGTAAAACGAGGAAAAGCATAGCACAAACGGAGGTTTCGCTGGGTGATCAAGGTCTATTATTTCGATCCCCATCCCCGAAGTTTCATGCCCTCCTCGATGGCCGTCCAGATACCCTCAACAACCTCCCGATCCCGCCAGCGTCCACCACCTTGGACTCCGCCCTTCTCATCCCACCGCTCAACAGCGAAGCTGTCCACCCCACGGCCCCAGCCCTTGACCGTGGCTGGAATGTCGTCGCCGCGCCAGCCGACGTAGATACCAGTGGCATGCTTGAACAGCTCCGGCGGCGAGGACCACTTGTACGACTTGAACTGCCAGGTCTGCCCAGTGGTGAAGACAGCCACGAGGCGCGACCAGTACTCCGGTTTGAAGTTGGTCGTGCCATCGACAAGGATGAACTTCGTAGGCTTGGGCCCGCGGCCGCCGGTGGCCGAGCCGATGGCGTTGGCGGAGGGATTGGACGGATCGTTCTTGAGGCGCAGCGGGCGTTTGAGTTCCATGAAGTTGGCCTCGGTGGACATGCTGAGGGTTGGGTGGTCTGGTGGCACGAAGATGCCGTCTTGGAGGAAGGATTTGATGTTCGACATGCGGATGAGGGAGGAGGCGGAGGGAGAGAGGAGAATGATTGGGTCGGGGCGCGAGCTCGACTTGCGAGATGACATGGACAAGCCGGCGGAGGGCGCGGGGACCATTGACGAGGGCTTGGTGCCGGGTTTGGCGCCGGGCTGGCCGGCGCGATCGCGGTTGCGGTCGAAGAAGACAGCGGCGCTTTTCCGGACGTGGGAGAAGTCCTAGAGTACAATGAATGGTTAGTATTTTTCGGCTGGTCGCACACCAGGTCCGCTCCCCCGTTCGACGAGACTTACACCTGGCTTAATTCCCCGAAGTACTGTATTCCGATCCCCCGTCTTGCGCTCTCCATTGTAAATCTCCTGCAGACGAGGGTCAATCTGCTTCTGCGGGCGACCAGCCTGGCCAGGTGCCGCAGCTGCTCCACTGGGCACTGTTGAAATGCCTCCCACAGCACCAGAGGCCACGCCGGCGGCAGCCTCCGCCTGGACCTGACCTGCAGCTGCAGCGGCGGCCTCAGCAGCGGCAACAGCGCCTTCGAGTGGCTTGATGTGCTCACTCTCATCGGAAGCACCTTCCAGCCAGGTGATCAGATCCAGACGTTCCACGAAAACAAGGTTCTGAACGACCTCTTCCTTCCCGCCCTCTTGTGGCTCCTTCTGCTTAAGCGCCTCATTTAGCTCCTGCGCAGAGGCGATGTACTCCGGAATCGCAACATCCTTCTTCTGCCACGCGAAGAAGATACTGCGCAAATCGACGGCGGTTTCAGTCGTGTTGGAGACAAAGCGCGTCGGCTCTGTCAAAGAAAAAGTCTGCGGGAGTGGCTGTGAAAAGTACAGGTGTGTCGCCTCGGCCAGGTTGTCTGTCGCATGCTGGTCTGACAGCTCGGAGGACGTAGTCGGTGTTGGGAGGCTGCCGGCGGCAATGGCGCGCCGGAGTGAGAGTAGAGGGTCTTGAAGGGCTGAATCGGTCGCTGCCATGGTTGTGATAGGGGGTTGCAGCGGCCCAGAGTGAAGCTGCAATGGCGTTGGGTGTGGACCGGAGGTTGCGCCTGGAAAGTGTTTCGGTGGATTGGCTGGGGTTGAAGCTCGATATGCACGTGACCTGGGATATACAGTAGAAGTAATTTTTCTTGCGGTTCGCAACAATATAACGCATTCTCTTTTTAAAAATTTACTTCTGATGTAATGGGGTTAAATTTACGGATAGTATCTACCATTCTTCCACCTCCTTTCCCCGCAAGATGATTTGCACTTATTCCGAAGTCCGGTCTTTGAACCCCAACTTCTCTCAGCCAACTTCTCTCAGCACTTCACACAGCGTACCCCCGAACTGATATATCGCCACATCCAGCTCCATGCCCCAAAAAAGGCCGTGATACCAGTGAACAGAATCAGAGTTCCATATTGAGTACCAAACCCAGTTTCAGCATCATGCCCCCGCGAGCCACTCAACGACCCCTGGTTGATCAACGCCGTGCTAAGCGGGCCACTAATGGCATTGCCAATTCCTCGGCCACCTGCGAGCAGACCAAACACTAGCCCAGTCTCCAGGGACGCAGACGAGTCATGCTTGATCTGCTTGATGACGCCTGACCAGGTGGAGCTAAATCCACCGGCAAAGAAGCCGTAGAAGATCGAGAACAGAGTGAGCAACGCAATGGCTGTCTGAGGTGACTCGGACTCCGGAGGCGACGACATGCCCCATAGAAGGAACACAGATAGTGCCGACCCCACCGATGAGAAAAGCAAGATGTTGGAGACTGCGTAACGATCGCAGAGCATCCCCACGCAGATGCCGCCGGCAACCGAAGTCGCATTGAAGAGCGATACTAGCATTGTGCCCATTGTTTCGGAGAGACCGACTGTTGTAGTCGAATATGATGGCAGATACGTAGATGGCAAGAAATATCCAAAACTTTGAATAATATTACCAGCTTGTAGCATCCAGAAGGTGCCCATTTTAAGGAAGCTGAGGTCGAGACGGCGGGCTGATGCGGAGGGCGAAACTGGGATCCGGGGTTTCATGAATGGCAGGGATAGTAGGGTGGACAACAACTGTATTCGGGGTATTAGTTTTGAAGTTAAGGCCCGCGATTGCAGGATCATGTCGAGGCCATGCCGGTATAGCTTCGCGGATGTATGCGGGAGGTAACAAGAGGACTATCAATAGCCAGGAGATTCGTACCGTAGTGACAGCCCAACACCTTAAAGTTGTACTCGAACCGTACTTGTTCAGACATGCACTCGCTATAAAGGGCAATACCACACCAGTAATGCTCTTTGCAGCCCACATGATTCCGAGGGCAAGGCCCTTCTTCTGTATGAACCATTGGTCCATATACAGAGACGAAGGACTGAACATGAGCCCATTCCCGATAGCACATATGACACCTTGGGTTGCAATAAGATGCCACACTCGCTGTGAGAACGACGATAGTAAAGAACCAACCACGGTAATTACCAAGCCTGTTGGAATGCACCAAGTTTGCAGGCGTGGATACCGCGTCAAGAGGGTGAATGTGACAGGCGATAGGAGGTATAGAAGGCCCTAGCAGCGTTAGATTCAAAAACTTTTGAGAGCATGAACGAAATCTTTTTGCATACAGCTGAGGTAGTTCCCACGGTAGCCAGGTCGCCTTTGTTGCCCTGCAAGACATTATGCGTGCTGTAGTATTGTTGGAAGATACCGAAGACCGTCGAGAATCCTGATTTTCGGAGCGTTAGTGATTATGAGACTCCAGTCATTCGCGCTTAAGACCCACCCCAGACTGGTAGTTGGATGAGACAGCACGACGCAAGCATCAGCCACGCAGCTTTTCCTCCATCTGCCGGGGGCAGCGAGGGCAGCTCGATCTCCGAGGAAGTCGGGTTATCTGTATAGCGCCTGGAAGGTGGCTCGCTCATGATGGGGGTCCTATGGGCGGGAGTACTCATATTTGTTGCATATTCGTCTACCTTGGGAAGACTGTGAAGGAAAATTCTGACGCAGGATGTGAGATCATGTCGTGTGAGCAGTTGCCCCTCTCGGGTTGATCCTTGACTTATCGGAGGCCGTCGGCTCATCACACGTCGGCACAGTCTTTCCCACGGGGAACACGCGCGGTCATTCTCGTAGACCGGTAGTATCTGTTTTTCTACCCCGCAAGCCCGGTGCTTTCAGATGTTTTTTTGTGAGAGAAAAAGATAAGTCTGTTATCGACTTCGATGTCGAAGGGTGTGCGATAAAATAGCGCTCGCGTGAGGCTGGTTTTCATTTTGAGAACTGCGCTCGCTGTGAACTGGTTTAGGTCGACGAGGATTCCCGTTTCACGCCTGATGAAGTCGGCGTTTACACGGCTTTTCTCTAAGATTTTCATGAGTTCGTCGATAATCATGCCGCCACCCCAGGCCGGAAAATGGGTGGTAGCGATATAGCTAGATGTAGCCTGTGGCACTCGCCGGGCGGTGATATTACTGGTGAGGAGATATTGCTCCTTCGGAGAAACAATCGCGATCATGGTTCCATTTTAAGGCATTGCGGTTTAATGGCGATCCTGGACTACCTCGCTGGTGCAGAAGCGATCGAAGATCCCTTCAGGCGTGCTGTGGATGTGGTTCGATATCTCGGGTTGGGCTTCTTCCTCAGTAACGTTACCAGACCATTGCGGGGGCCGTGGAAGATTCAATCTAGCTTGAAACTAATACGAATCCGACGAAGTTTTGATCATGTAAATAGTTGGAGATTCCTGCCTGCGCTATGTGTTCTCTTCATCTAGCGCCCCGTTCTAACACCGTATGTAGTTTGAATAGGTGACACAATGTCATTAACCCACCACGGCCGGCATTCCCGAGCGTAAGGTGAGACCATGTACAACTAATCGGCAGGGTGTCATGCCAATGAAAGACCTCGCGTGCTTCAAGCCCGGTTAAGGTTAGGCTTCCAAGTTGTTGACATCCGTGGACTCCGCAGAGAAAGCTGTGTGCCCCTGCTGGAAGAGTCTCTATCCGAACTAGGCACCGGGAAATATCTACTATGCCGCAGCTGCTTCCAGCAGCTCCCTCTCGCGCTATGTGAAAAGCGATGATAACGTGTACACGGTGTATAGCAAGACAGCGGATGTGTACTACGAGGTTTATGTCAAATCCAATGCCAATCGGCTACGCCTGAGACAGGGCAGACTAAGTGCTTATCATGCATTTCCCACCAATCTACTGCACTACGAGTAAGGAACTCAAATAAGAGTTAAGAGGGTAATGATATTGTTCATACAAGCGATCCAGTCCCATCTCGGGCATCCGATATCGATACTGAATGAGAGAAAAACAAAAGCCCAGTAGATCATTTCACAGATAATGAAACGAAGAGAATTATGTCTCAGCTGGTCAATTCTGCGCTTAGCAGCCAACCAGAGCTAGAGATATTCCTTGGGACGTAAAGAAAAGAAAGAAAAAAAACGCAACTGTCGCAAGACACGAACCCAAACCCAAACCGACCGAACCGAATCCCAGTATTTCCGTAAACCGAACCTGACCTGTTCCTAGTTCTGGTCGCGCCATATACGCCGTTTCGGAAAGAAAAAGAAAGAAGAAAAAAACCGTGACACAAAGCACACGCAGAGCCCGAACCGTATAAACGCCTTTTTAATTCACACCCGCGAAGGACGCAAATCGAGTCACACGAACAGGTATTTTGGTGAAAGTCGTAAGAAACGTTAATCCCTCAGCAGGGAGGCTTCGTCAACCGTCAGCCATGATTCAACCCAAACCACACTATTAATATCACGTAGCAAGAAGGGGGGAGGTATTCAAGAGATATCACGAAGAAACGGAGGGGATGTGTGGCTGGGTTGGTTCTGGCGCGTCTTTCATAGCCACATCAGGGGAGCCCAGAGTCTCTGACGGGCCATCCGGAGATGTCTTGGTGGGAGTCTGGGCTTTATCCACACCGGCTGCCGTAGGGGAGGATGGTGATTTCTGCGCGGCAGGGACAGCGCTGGATTGAGCCTGGGTCTTCTCAGAAGTTGGTGTAGTAGTCAGGGTACCTCGACGAATCAAGTAATCACCAAGACTAAGTTTCTTTTTGGCCGGAGTTGGAGTAGGTACACTGGCGCCAGTATGAGGGACAGTGGTGTGCGGGGATATGTCGTGAGTGATGGGAGAAGCGAGGCTTGCAGTAGACGCAGAAACAGGGCTGACGGCGGAGGAGATGGTAGGAATGCTGGGTGGAGGCATAGATAGGCGGAGGTTGGCACGTTCGGGTGTTCCAGGAAGCCGAATATTGTGCGCAGCTGTAGATGGCCATGGAGGTGGGATCACCGGCTTGCTTATGTCTGTCTGAACAAAGTCAGACGCCGTAGCTCCTACTGTTTCCTGCATCTCCACGTCACCCTGTACAGGTGGCTCGGAAGTGGGCTGCGAAGGATCCGCATCGGACATCAAGACGTCAGCCTTTTCTTGTTTGGCGATTGGAGAGTGGACGAAAGCGGGGGATGAGGACCCAGCAGTCGCCACAGAGTCTGAGCCAGCCGAGGACAGCTGCTGTCGCGCAACTTCCTGAGCCCGAAGACGATCAGCTTTGAACCGCTCCAGAATTCGGACCGTTCTTGGGACGAAATGAGTGCGAGGACGTGGTGAAGCGTTGCGGGCTGCCTCATACTCTACTTCGTCCATATCGCACTGAATGGACACATCGACATATGTGGGACGGGTGAGCGGAGAGCGAGTGAACGGAGTGCTGGAACCAGAGGTCTTGCGAGGTGATCCATGGCGACCGGCAGGAGTAGGTGCAGGCGACATGGTGGTGGGAGAGCGAGAATGGCCGGCGGTATCAAGGTGGAGTGATTTGGTTGAGCCGCGCTGAGCCCCGAAATACCCCGCCTGAGTGGCAGTCGACACAGTCGCAGGCGACTGTGCCAACGGACCACTAACTCGCTTCTTTTTCCGCTGAATCGTTGGCCGGTGATCTTGCTGTTCCAGTTGCTGGAATTGTTTTTCAGCGTCTGCAATTTTGCGCTTTTCGCGGCTGGACAGTTCAGATAGCCCAGTGACGGCAGGGCTGAGATCGCGACTATGAGGCCGACCACGCGCAGAGCCGGAAGTGGAGCGGCTGTCAGCAGCTCCGTCGTCTTCTTCCGGGTGCTTTGTGGTCTCGCTCCCAGCACGGCTGATAGATGCACGGCCCGGATCGAGGGGCGATGCAACTGACTTCGTCTTGACCTTCTTTCGCTTGCCGTTCAGTTGTTTGGAGGACTCGAACAACCTTGAAGTCCGCCGACGGTCTAAGCTGGCCAGCAGACAGTTGGGTAGGTCGCATGCACAACCACCAAAGTTCGCGAGGGTGTTGCTAATACAATTGGCAGCAGCCTCCGTCGCACTATCTTCTTGCTTGACCAAGCCGTTTGACGACTCGAAGAATTGTGAATCCAAATACCACATAATCGTGATTTCGGAGTTAGCGGGAATGTCCTCCTTCGCCACAAAGCAAAAGTGGTACTCCACAGCATTGGTGATGAAGATCTTCATGGTCACGTTGGGACGGCATGACCGACGGGTGTATCGGAGGACATTCCCTTCGTGGCGGCTGTCAATGTAGAGTGGGAGGTGGGAGCTGAAGAAAACGAAGGGTTCGGGGTGTCGCAGTTCGGGCCAGCGATTATTCGGATCCAGACAGTAGTCATCAAAAATGCCTACTTTGCCTGTGATTTCTCCAACGACATGATCTTTTTGCACGGCATCCTGAGTCTTAACAACTTTCCAGGTGGGATGCTTACCACCAATCTCAACACTGGAATCCGTGATGGTCTCGGTGGTCAAAGCGGGCCAGCCAGATTTGTCCAGGGCGGCGTCGGACCAGTTGAAGGTACTCTCAGCCCCGCCGTTAGTGACCCTTGAGAGGGCCTCTGGGTCCTTCACCCAGGACGCGGTATCTCCCACGAGGCTGACATTGACAAACAAATTGCTGTCCATGTCGACTCGTTCATCATCATGGTCATAAAGGTGGAGGAATTCGTTGGAGTAGAGAGGAATGAAAGGAACGGGAGGTTTAGTAGGACTGGGGGCCACGGAGGTAGACGAACGGCGTTTTCGGGTCTCCGCGGGGAGGGCCGGAGTACCCGCAAGGGCACTAATGGATGCAGAAGACCGGTGACTAGTCTTGGTCTTCTTGGTTAGGGGTTGATCGCGCCCCCCCGACTCGCTTCGCTGATGACCAAATCCATTCACATCGCCATCCCGGATCTTCTTCTTCTGGGATTTTCCACTGGATCGCTTCTTCCGGTCACCGTCCTCGCTCTGTTCTCGGATCCGCCGTTGGCGCTGACGCTCAGCAGCGCGCCGGGCATCCAACGGGCGAGGCTCACAGTCGACGCAGTTATGCACATCTGGCACCCGCTTGTCCGGGTAATAGCAGACGATGTGCTGCCACGTCTCACACCCTTCGCAGAAAACCGTGCTGCCATCATCTTCGTTAAACGAGCAGATACATTTGATGGTGTACGGTTCTTCTTCGTCAGGCGCGACCGAGTCAGAAATCGCCCCGTTGGCGATGGGGGATCCCAGAGGAGCAGGAACGGGGACCGGATACGGATCCGTGGTGGCGTGCGTGATGGCGAGGGAGGAGGTATCTGTCATAGTCTGACAGGTTACCCCCTCTCAGCTCACAGCAAAATGAGGTATGGTGTGAAACGATGGCGTGGCCGACCCGTCACTATGCAACGAGCATGTCCACGGTCGCTTTGAGGGGAAGGTGAGTCTCGAGGAGCTCCTCTTTCTCAAGGCGAGACGCGTTATGGACCCTAGAGAGGGGCTGGACGGAATGGGCGGCGTCACCAAGTCTAGGCCCAGTAAACACCACAAAAAAAGCCTGTCACAGCCTAGTGAGTCCGTTCACGGAATATGCGAGACGGTTGTGATGGCGGCAGGATGGTGCACGATGGCTTTTTGAAGGGAGGGAAAACCCTGGCCCAATGCGCCTGTCGGGGTGACGAAGGGTGGGGCGTCGAGGAATGGATAGATCGACGCGAGGACTCTGGCAGCGAGTGGTAGAGTTCGAGGCGATTCGAGATGAGGTAGTTAGTCGGACCCGATTTGCGCTGGAGTAGTGGCGTCGAGTGGTTCGTCTGGGAGTGAAGGTCCGTCGACAGAGCGAAAAGGGAGGGCGACGGGATCGCGTGGAGAAGGAGGAAAGAAGGCGAGAAGACGACACGAGCGGATGGGGAAAAAGAGGAGTCTGGGATAAATGAAATGGGGGGGGAACCTGAGGGGAGAGAAGGACGCGCAGCGAGAAAAGGAGAGGGAAAAGAGGGTGAATCGAGCAATGGTTGAAGGAGAAGGCTACGGCGGGCCTAAGGCAGCGAAGGCCGAGTGCAAGGAGCGAAAGGGGATTAGCGCGGATTGGAGTAGTCCCTCAGCAAAAACGAAGAAAACCGGGCTGCGAAGGAGACAGCGACAGCCGGGGGTTGGTTCGACCCGAAAACGACTAAGCAGGCAAAACCTGGCAGTTACCAGCATTGAGCCCAAGAGGCACTGAGGGGATGGTTAGTCACGTTAGTCAGTGTGTCGCGGTACGGTCATTGCCAGTACCAAGTGGAATCACGCGTAACAAAAAGAGCCCATCAGGAAAGGGCGCAGCAACTGCTGTTCTGGGAAGAAAAGAGAACTAGACCTGTTTTGGTCTAGCGCCGGGAAGACCTAATCCGGTGGGGAGGGCCAGTCACGGGAATGCCAGCGGACAAACATGAAGTGCTGGGGGAAGAGGCTGGGGGAGGTCAGGAGGTTAGCATCTAGAGAATGAGGGTAGTATCGTGTTAGTCAATGCGCCAGAAGAGTAGAGCCATCATAGTAGCTCGATGGGCCTGTCACCCTGACCCGACCAGCAGGTTCAGCCGTAAGCACATCCGGGATGCCATGCAGTCTGGGCGTCAGGGCCAGGGAACACCCATTTGATAAGGCTGCGACCCGATCGAGTGCGGTCATTGAGCATCACGATGGAAATTGTCTCAAAGCCAGTGAGCGATCATTCTGGGTCCTCGAAGAGGGTTAGCTCGTGCAAAGATGAGCATAGAACAATAAAAAAACGATGAGCAGAAGCGTTCCAGGAGGCCAAAATGTGAAAGGATTGGCGGGCTAAGCAAGAGAGAGAGAGAGTGAGAAGGGCAGGGTGAGTTCGCAGTTGTTCGCATGTCCATAGAAGCACATAGCACATAGATGGAGTATACAAATAGAGCGGAACGTGGGTAAATGGGGAGGGAGTTGCGTCCATGGAAGGAGGGAGATCGGCCGGGAGACGGAAGGGTTAGATGGGGTAGGGGAGCGTGGCGCAGAAGTCGGGAGAAGGAGAGGGGGAAAGGGTGAAAGAATAGCGAAGACAGCCAGTAGACATTAGGCAGTATGTCGGTCGGTCATCGGACCCAGAGACCTCGAAAATCTGTGTCTCTGGCCTAGGGAGAGACCAGGAAAAATCAAAAGAGTGTCACGATAACGGCAGGGCACTGGCATGGAGGGAACTCCAAGAAAATAAAAAGCCCTCGATTGGGATGAAGGGGGTACTCTATGAGAAGCGGCCCGAGGTGAAGTGGTAAAGGGTGCCCAAAAGGTGGAAGAGAGACCCTGTGGTAAAAGGGGGCGGCTGCTCAGCAGGCTTCCGATATTATTTTCCAATCCGGTGATTTGGCGGCCCTTTTTTGCCACTATAGAGGGACGGATGTGCGCAACAAGGCGAGCAAATCAAACCGTTGGTCGATCATTAAGGCGAAAACGTATTGAAAACCACCCGTATGGTCCACCCACCGGGGTCCGCCCGGTATATGGGTATATGGGGGTGCACAACCACTGTGCTGGGACGACCTGTTGAAGACGGATCATCACTCCTGAGATGTATGCTTGGGTATGGTGCAATAAAAGGGGGTTAGAAGGTGGGTTTTGGATATCCAGAGTTGCTAGGCCGCTGCATGGGCGCGGGCGTGGCCGTGGGGTCCAGGGCTAGAGCCCCGGCAATACACGTCGCAGCTGCACGAGCCACCAAAACTGTCAAGACACGGTAACTGCCGAAAACCAGGAATTCCACCAGGACGAAAATTGATACATTAATAGGATCATGATGGAAACCATGAGAAGTAAACAAGGGGGAAATGGGGGATGGGGGAATGGATGAGAAGGACGAGAAGAGGAAGGGCTGTTGGATCACGTTGCTAGCTTGCGAGGTTAATGAGCGATGACAAAACAAGGAACTTGCAACAGCACCGACGACTCGTGATATTTTCATAGTGAACAGTATCGATACAACAGACACCCAGCCACTAAAAATAAACCCCTCCAGTGCGATAAGCACACGAATCCAAGACCCCCTAAATATACGTGCTTCGCTCTATACACTCGCCCTAATTTCCTTCATGAAATCGCGACTGCGCATTCATGCCTCCATCGCCATCGACCAGACTTGGTTCATCTCAATAGTCTCGGGTGATACAGGTTGCGCAGAAGGTCGTCCCTGCTGCGGATGGACGACCTCAGCTACACCTTTACCGCACTCTTCTTCCTTGTTGTTATGCCCTTCCTGGGTGTGATGGAACGCTCGATCGGGAATCATCGTCCGGAATCGATGCGCAAAATACAGCAGTGCGAAAATTGGAATACTGATGTAGGCAGCAACAAGTCTTGACGTTCTCGAGCCGGGGAGTGGACCTGGTACTCCTCCAGCCAAACCATTGGACATCAGCAGGATCCCGCTCATCAATGTCCCGATATGGGTCCCGAGCGGCTGGATCGCGAAGCGATAAGAGCGGCTATTATGGCAAAGACGCAGACGCTGGCGGAAGGAGCGAGATATGGCGCACGACACCAGCCAGGAAAGGTACCCGGAGCTATTGACGAAGAGCAGGAAGTAGGTGATCGCGACCGAGCTCGAAATTCGCACGGAAACGAAGGCCAACGGGGTGAATAGAGCTGAAACGCTGACAGCAACATATGGAACACCCCATTGGTTGCGAACTTTGAATACCTGATGGGCATGGCCGAGCTCAGACATTGCGCACAGAGTTCGTGACGCGAGATACAGAAATGACCGAGCCGAGGCAACGGAGGAGAGAAGTATGGCAATGGTTGCAGTGACAGAGACAATGCGGATACGGGCCGTATTCATGCCAATGATGTAGGGTGAAAGACCGGCACCGGCTCCGTTGTTGGTCAGTAGTGGGTCGTCGTACGGAGCCATCACGCCCATGGCCAAGGAGCTCAGGATATACGGCAACGCGGTGGTGGCCGTGTCGATAGCAACTTGCCTGGGGATGCGCGCCTGAATGGCTGGGTCCAACTCTTCGCCAATCTCGGTTTCCCGAGCCGACTCAAGAGTCTCGGCTCGATGTACAATGAGCTCAGGCACGAAGGTGAAAGCGATAGAGCTGTGCAAGACACACTGCAGCAAACCCCAAAACTTCCCCAGAGGACCGTGGGTCAAGTATTCATGCATGGCGCCTGGCTTTCTCCAGTAACAAAACCCCCATTTATCATGTCCTGTCGCTCCACCATAACCAATTGACAGTGACAAAACGAGAAGACTGATCAATGTGCCGATCTTGATTCTGGTGAAAAGCCGCTCAGAGCTCCGAAAGTGTCTCTCGGGAAGGAAGTTGCATGCGACAATGAGGGTCATGAGAATGGACAGTCGGGCAGCAATCGTCGAGCCGGGATTCCACAGACCGAGATTCACCACCGCAGTCGTAATCTCATAGGGGACAAACATCGCTAGCGTATACCAGCGCAGGATTCCAGCCGCGAATCCCATACTGTTCGTCAGATATTGGAAGCCATTCGTGACTAAGGTACCGTGCCGAGCCGGGGCATGAGTGGCGACTTCAGCAACAGTCGTGGCCATGAAGTAGGTCAGGAGCGACAAGAAGACGTAGGCAACGAGCAGTGAAGCTGGGCCCCCGATCGCCAGCGCCTGTCCGGCGCCGATGAACACCCCGGTTCCGAGAGTCGGACCCAATGCCATTGTAGGTTGGTAATGAATAGTGATGGTACGGTCATAAAGAGTGAAGACCGTGAGGTAGGAAAGGACATTCTCGAGTGCGCGGTGTTCCCACTGTCATGAGGGGTCGCACGCGCTAATTGCACCAGGGAGTCGCTCCTGCCTCGCTGCGTGTTATAGCCTTCCCGTCCAATAACTCCAGGATTACCAGGTAAACTGAAGACACAGACTGCAATCAAGACCAAATGGGTTTAGAAATCAAGTATGAGGGTATCATTTGGCTCATATAGAGGCCCAGAGAGATGTAAAATATCAAACCACTACCCGCCGGACGGACACAACCTGAACATCAAAAGCCTGCGCCTCTGCCTGACGCCGACGGAATAATGATAGTACTCCACGGATAGAACTCCAGCATTGAGGGATAAACTTCATCGCGGAGAAAGGTCACTGAGATGCCATGTCGGTTTCCGCGAACTCAAGCCACTCCCCTGATAAAGACTTCTTCCAGAACCGAACTGCGCCATCGTCACCGGAGGAAATCAAAGAATCACCTGGGGCTTTGATTAGAGTTTACGCTGAACATAAACAACACTTTCATCACTCACCGGCAAACGAAAAGTCCACCTGCCACACATCGATGTGCTTGCTGTCAATACAAGCCACTTGCTTAAACGAATGGCGGAACTGAGAATCCCCACTGGACTGGCGGCTGGAGGCTGTAGCGGGCGCACGGTTTGCCAGAGCGGTCCCTATACCCGACTGCGATGTCGCTCGTACAGATGATGACTGCTGTTGGCGCCGTTCAGCCTTCCGAGAACTGGGAGTTTGAGATCCTTGGTTGGCGGCGGTTGTATAAACTTCAAAGATGCGAACAAGTCCATCCTTGCCGCCACTCGCGATGAGATCATAGCCTCGTACAGATCCGTTGGACCAAGAGATGTCCCTGACGAGACCGCCATGTCCGTTCAGTTCGATGGCATGGTAGAAGCGTCGGTTTGCGTCGGTGCGATACACTTTGACTGTGTCCATGGCTGCCACGACAAGCGACAAACTCTTTCGGTCAGAGTCTGGGAGAAGCGTATGTGTGATATCGGTCGGGTCGTGATGGAACTGAACTCTGAAGCTTGTCTCCTCGCCACGTTCAGGAGCTGAGCATACCCGGAACTGGTCGATAGTCTGCCAGTCCGCCAAGCTATCTGGGCTGACAGGCTCCAAGACCATCAGGTAGCCATCTCGGGTGATAACAGCCAGCCACGACTCCAAGTCAATATTGCGGAAGTCCAGTGACACAAATGGGTGTCGCTGAGGTGCTGTCAAGCGAAATATGGATCTGAACCGTCGCCCTGAATTAGGCGGTTGCGTTACATCCTCCTGCCAGATCTTGAGACGCATGTCTTCTCCCACGCTGCCAATATGCTGGCCTGTAAAGGGCCCATTCCATGTTGCCTACAGCCGTACATTAGGACATATTCGGACACGCGACTAAAGGGCGCGTTGGTAGGACCTTACATCGCGAATCTCGGCGTCATGAGCCCGCCAGGTATCCATCAGCTGCCATTGGCCATCCTTGAGGTCCCACACTTTCATGCGATGATCTGACGATGCCGTGACAAGCCGATTTCCGTAAAAGTTGAACTTGGTGACAGCTACCAGATCCCGGTGACCAGCATCGAAGTCGGCAAACCCGCCGGCCATCTCCGGGCGCTCCACTGCCCCCATCGCGACCAGATATTCGAATTGAATAGGAAGGGACAGGAAGATCCAACTATGGGCCAATTATGCGCTTCAGTACCACGCATGCATGCTGTGACATGAAACAGAGGTGTCTCAGCGTCCTGTGCACGGGTTTCCCTTCCTGGCGGCGATCATCACGGGATACCGACTCACCGCCTATAGGCGGTCAGGCATACCCGGCAGTTACGATAAGCTTATCGTGTCATTTCGGGTGAAGCCAGGTTGCGTCAGCTCTTTCTCCATGTGAAAATTGTTCACTTCTTTTCACTCTTTCGGTGGAATTGGATCTCCAGATCCTGGTTCTGGGCCAATTGCTCGCTATGCAAGTTGCAAGCACCCTCTCCCGAGCGGAGACATGGCGTCTGTTGGTCCTCGTGGGGGCCGGTCTCGGCATTCTGGTCAACACGTTCCAGGGCGATGGCGCGCCGCTGATAGCCTCGATTGCTCTATCTGCCATTGCTTTTGCGGTCGCTTTCAGCATGATTCGATGGCTCGGGCCTGTGTTTCTCACGGCAGGTATCAAAGGAAAAGATATGGCTAAACCCAGAAAGCCTGAAATGTAAGTCAACAGACCGATGATGACCTCTGCATGAAATGAAGGCTCAAGTTTGGATTCAGACCGGAAACAATGGGTGCGGTTTGTGCTGTGGTTTATCTACTTTCTCTTATTGTTTTCATTCCCTTTGCCTTTTACAAGGATATTGTCGCGGCAACCTCGGGTGGAGGAAATCGAGACGTTGTTATTGAAGACCAACACATTGAGACCGGGCGCTACCTGCACAGATTTCCTCATGGAAAGGTAAGCCTCGAGTGGAATGTGTGACCCCGTAATTCATAAATTGATCTTTCACATTCCAGCTCGCATCATACCTCTCAGGTCTTCTGTCCTTACAATCCATCATTATTCTTGGGATTGGGGACGACTTGCTTGATATTCGCTGGAGACACAAGGTTCTGATTCCTGCATTTGCAGCTATCCCCATGCTAATTGTTTACTTTGTGGACTTTGGCGTGACACAAGTCGTTGTTCCCGTTCCTTTGCAACGGTACCTTGGTGATTTTATTGACCTCGGATGGCTGTACTACATGTACATGGCAGCCGTGGCAATCTTTTGCCCAAATGCCATCAACATGCTGGCAGGTATCAATGGTATTGAAGTTGCGCAGTCGCTCGTCATTGCGGTCCTACTGCTTTTTAATGATGCCATGTACCTCGCCCCCTTCACGCCATACCCACACCCGGCCACCGATTCCCACCTGTTCTCGATTTACTTCTTGCTGCCATTCATTGGCGTTTCAGCCGCGCTTTTGTGCCACAACTGGTACCCTTCGAAGGTGTTTGTCGGTGATACCTACTGTTACCTTGCAGGCATGGTGTTTGCTGTTGTGGGTATTCTGGGCCATTTCAGCAAGACCTTGTTGCTGCTGTTTGTCCCACAAATCTTCAATTTCCTGTACTCAACGCCTCAACTCTTCCATATAATCCCCTGTCCGCGTCACCGACTCCCCAAGTTCAATGCCTCAACTGGTTTGTTAGATGTTTCCGTTACAGAATGGAGCATCCCCCCTTCCCCGTTGGTTGCTACAGCTCTTGAGCTATTGCACACATTACGACTGGCGCGCGTTTGGAAGAATGAAGCCGGTCAAATTGTGGAATCTACAAACCTGACAATCTTGAACCTTTGGCTTGTGTGGATGGGGCCAATGAGGGAAGATCGACTTGCATGGCACATGGTCTTTGTTCAGACCGCGTGTGGATTTCTAGGTCTTTTCGTTCGACATCGTCTTGCCTTGCTGGTGTTTAACCAGGACAACAGGACATTCGAATCCGTTGCATAGTTCTTCCATCATTTTTGAAATAGTCATAAAACAATGACCTTCTGTTTGAAAATTGCCTTAACTCTAAACATATAAAGAAGAATATAGTTGTTCTCTAGGGATTTCGAGATATATGAGCCTGATGTAATGCATGGATTGCAGGTCGTGAAGCGAAAACGGCCGGGGGCGCCGTTCGAAAGCGCCTCATTCATAACTGCCATTAACTGAAGCTGAGCCTCACATCAACTTTTTACGATAATAATAAACTAATCATCATTGGATGAGTCACGCAATGCTCGTGTCTCTCGTTCCACCTTCTTGTCTCCGAAGAGTCCTATTTGGCTGATGATGAGCCATGCAGAGGGAATGGCAACAGCCCATAGAGCGAAGTTCAGATAGACACTTCCAACTGCTGCCATTACAGATACACTGCTCAGTCCGTACTACAAGGCATAGGTCAGAATTTGACGAGAGATGCAAGGATAAGGTAAAGGGGCCAAAAGGGAGGACATACGCTAACACACTGAGCAGCGGACTCAGTCCCACGCAACAATCCAGCAATTCGAATGACTTCCTCCTGGTCATTAGCCAGGTTTCCGACCACGAAGAATCTGTCCGGATGTTAACATGTTTCTCCGAGGGGCCTGTCGGGAGTTTGATCACTTACAAGAACATATAATTGAGCTGGAACCCAGCAACCCAGAACAGAAAGAGAGCGAAGGCTCTTCCAAAGCCTGGATCGGTCCAGTCATAAACGGGGCTTGACTTATAGAACTCGGTCGTTAACACCGTGGCCCAAATCCAACATAAGCCCTGCCAAGCGACAACAAAGTAGAAGACATATCGGGTTCGTGCCTTCAACGAGATAGACTTGTTGTCGAGGAATGCACCGAGAAGATTGCCGATAATCAATGCAATAATACCAGATAGGAATGAACCAAGGGCTCTTGCGCGCACAGAGAACCAAAGGCCTTCATATGAGAACATCACCGCCTCAGTATAAACAGCTTGGCAGATGAATGGAATAATGCATAAGAACTTCTTGCTAATGAAGAGTTTCGACATTGTCCGAAGCTCGTATCCAATGCTGTTTTTCACCTGAAGCTGAACCGGTATGCCATCTCTTCGTTGTACCTTTGAGGGCTCATTCAGAAGCAGCGCGGCAAACGGACCTAGTGCTTGAAGCACGATGAAGATGAGGTATACCGTGTATGAAACACCACCTTCCGTTGAGAGATGGGCATTGATGCCAAGGCTAATGGCGCCGCCTAGAATCTGCCCTCCGACACGAAAGCTGAGCCAAAGTCCCAGGAAGCGCCCTTGATTGTAGGGCTCAGGATACGCGAGCGCAATCGCTGCCTCGGTCATCCAGAAGATGCCCGCTGAAATACCGCACAGAGCTGCGCCGAGGATCACCAGCCACTCATCTCCAAATCGGTTGTTTGTGTACAGTCCTGCGGCATACGGCGCGTACCCCATTGTTCCCACGATCAATGTCCATTTAATCCCAATAAATCGAACGATCACACTGCTGAGGAAACAGGAGACCACCATAAGGCCAAAGGTCAGAGCATTGGCGGCATTGACGAGATACGGCTTCTCCTCGCCTCCTCCTCCCAGGGAATTCATTGCACCCCAGATGCCTGGGGCGAGAAAAGTGCAAAGTCCAAGGATGAGTGCATTGTAATATGTCGAGCGATACCACTTCACTAAAAGCCATTAGCGCAATCACTCAATCAGCCGCGATTTCTCTTCTTACCTTCATGGAATGATGTAGTCGAAGTGTCACTGTTGAGCTCTTCATCGTTGACCGGAGGACCCTTTTCAAAACTTGCCATCGTCAAGGACAAGCTTCTGCACAGCTAATGAGGGAAATTAAAACAAAGTCACTCCAAAATAAGAGAACGTCGATTGAGTTTTAAGCATCCCGCCCTGATGGCAGACCTACGTTAACTACCGGAGCTTCACTACTGAAACAAGACGAAATGACATTACGTGCTATGGCAACATCGCGCCTTGCCGTTTTTGTCTGTCCTGTAGACTCCTATCGTGGAAAATATACACTCTCAAGCCTGAGCGGATGTTGTCGTTTTTGACCAGAATTACGTGCTCGCACGGAGTACGATAATGCGACACACATTTTGTCGAATAACAGTCGCGAATCTAGCGACTTTCTTCAGTCCTTCTCGGGCGAGAGGTAAGGCCAAGCTCTTGTGCTTCAGCTTCAGTCCAAATCATGGCTGATTAGTAACTTATGTACCACCTCACATAGAATTTCCCACCTAAAGAGGATCTTATTTTGACGCTGATGCTTGTAGTGTTCTAGAACTAGTAGGCGATGGTTGTGGTGTTTCTTTGGAGCCGGAAATGAAGTTCTCGGCGACAAATACATCAGGTATCTGGAGATAGATGGCGTTGAAGGCATCAAAGTGGCAAAGCAACCACGATTTTAATGTGAATGTACGCGATTCAAAGCTCTTGTATCTCCGGGATTTGTGTTGAATCACTGCTCCGAGTGTACGCCTGATTCCTGCGGCATCGGCAGCGTATCCATTTCACTGCCATCCAGACGGCATGGCATGGCTTAGCTGTACACTTCAAAATTATAGAAATAGTATCAACAAATTATATGTGTAGAAAGCACCATTTATTGGACAGTAATGGTTGAGCCATGATTACTTCAACGGTCGCATTCCACGTACGCGACTGGTCTTGGAACTTGCGCCAGACAACCCCCGGGTTTCGTCATCAGAGCGCATTATCACATCAATTTGGGGCAGAAAAACACCTTCACATTTGAACATCGGAACTGCATATGCGCCTCACACCAAGATTATAAATCTGGTTCTAAGAGTAATTAGTTTCTAAGCTTACACCTTCAGTGTGATTTGTCATTTAGGGCACTGGATCTACACTCTTGGATTCTGGTGGATTCTACTAATCTAGGAGAATCTCGGCCCTTATGGAAGTTCGTCTAACTAAATTTAACGGGAGATTCACAGGACAATAAACAATCATGATAATCTTTGATCTACGTTCCCCTCCCCACGCTTGCCAACGAGGGGTCTCCATCACGCCATTTGATCCCCGCCATGAGCAATAAGCATCCTCCCGACCACCTCCATGGGCCACGGGATAGGCTGAATGGCGCAAAATCAAGCCGATATGCTTCCATTTTGTGGCCGCTTTCGAGGCACTCCAGGGCCACGCAAGGCGCCCCGACCCTACGTGCTTTGGGCGACGGCAGATATCAACGTCCCCGCTCCCAAGTATGGTGAGCGTGCGTTACCCTAATTATTTCTCGCCCGAGAAATAATGAACACGGACTGGTACTCCCAAAAAGAATATAGGTAAAGCCCGTTCTGGAATCTTTGCTCTTCAGTGGCGGCTGAATTCTAATATGGCACTCTTAGCTCCAAGCATCATGTCAACCACTACTTGTCTCCAGCTCGACAAGTTGCAGAAGAAAGCAACGAGCTTCCACCGCTACATACTTTCTGGGCCCTCTAGCCCCTCAAATATCATCAAAGAAGAGGAACAGACTCCAGGTACCCAGTCCGTGGAAGCACGACAGAGTGTGCTGCTTCTCAAAGGGGTCCGCGAACAGTACACCCTGGTGAATGACCATGCCATTCCTGCCATTCTGCACCCCGGGGAGATCCTTGTAAAGGTAAGATGAGTCTACAATTCCTTCTGATCTGCATAAAATCTCAATCTTCTCACCACACATGGGCAGGTCCTTGCAATCGGGCTCAACCCGATTGACTGGAAAGCACCGTAGGTTGATCACACTTCTCTCCATTATTATGTGCGTGGGACTAACGCGACTCTGGATAGCGCATTCAACTTCGGCATTCCAAGTTTACCATGGATAAACGGACGTGATCTGGCTGGGCTCGTGTTGCAAGTCCCTAACGCGAACTCACGCGTTCGTGTGGGTGATATTGTTCTGGTTCCCTCAACAGATTATCGAGACATCAGGAAAGCCGCCTTCCAACAGTATGCGATAGCCACAGATTTCAATGCGGCCCGCATTCCATCTTCGACTTCTATATATGCATCTGCTTCTCTTGGAGTAGCATTCGTGGCCTCGGTGTTGGCTCTTGGTGTCTCATTTGGACTAGACTTCTCTCTCCTCTCAAAGTCTCCTGGTCCTAATTTACCTCAAATCATCAGTCACCTCGATAAGCAAGATATTCCGGCCGATATACATGATGAGTGCTTTGCTTCATCCGAGTCAGAAAGTCCACAACGCGGTGACTGGGTTGCAATCTGGGGAGGTAAGACATACACGCAATTTTCCTTGTAAGTGAAGTTCATTGCTGATCGAATTTAAAGCCTCAACGACAACTGGTCTAGTGACTTTACAATTAGCCAAGCTCATGGGACTGCGGGTGATCTGCGTCGCCGATGCCGCGAGACATGGAGCTAAGCTTCTGCAATCTGGCGCAGACCTTCTAGTGGATCGACACGATACAGATCGCGCAGTGGAGATTATCCTTGGAGTGACAGGAGGTAAGCTACGATACGCGATTGATATCGTCGGGAAGGACACGGCGACATTGCTTGAGAAAACCCTCGATCCTTCAGGGCACTCCCATCTGCTAGGACTCACAGGTCTGCCCAAGGCGCGAAACCCAGGGATCCGATACCATACTGTGCCTATTAAGTTGTTCCATACTGCACCAGCAGTAGGGGAGAGCATGGTTAGCTGGTTGGAAGACCTACTCCAGTCGGGTACTCTAACTCTCCCTGAGATTGTTCGCGCTGAGGGAGGATTGGAGGGGATCAATGCGGCATTGGATATTCTACGAAGTGGATCGGTTTCCGGAAAAAGAATTGTGGTTGGGCTTGACTCTGCATGATATGTGCTTCTGGGTTCTGGGGATTTGCCGGATAGTATCAAGAGTCGGATTTTGGTGTTATGGTATGCTTTTAGATCTTAGATTTTTGAGACCTTTGGAGACAATGAATCATGAACTTTGATATTATGGTGAGAGTACATCAGATTCCAGATGAAGCGGGAGATAACTCAGATTGTTGTAGAAACCCCTGTTTTGATGGAGTCTCCCTGACTCCAGGAGGCAATATATATATCGATCTCAACATACTCAGGTAGCGTTCTGATCCCTACCGTATTCGGCAAATCTAAAATCCTACCAAGGTTTCCGGGTATGGTTTTGGAAATACAATGTTAATATCACGTTGGGACACTACCACAGGACGAATGTCGCAAGAGGTATCCAACAGAAGTCAATAATGCGCAGCACTCGGGTTCTCTGTATACGTACGGAGTGCCGTTTTAGTCCAGCGGCGGGCCCCGATCTGACCCCGGCGGCCGCAGCCAATTAGCGCCTGAGTATTACCGTCTCACCCGGAGTCGGTCGGGCTACGTCATGGACACCTATCAGTCGGTGAAACCCCATGCCTCACACGGCTCATATCAAAATTTATACGGGCGTAAACTTCGTTGTTGAGAACCTAACATTGAACATTTCATTTATTTGACAGCCAATTGAGTAATAACCCAGAGGGAAATATATATGGATGAGTCAAATGAGAGGAGACGCGATCAGCCGCCCTCAAGCGCCGCTAGCCGCCGTTGCATTTTTCACGCCGACCGATGTCGGCACCCCTCTTTTTCGCCACTGTAGCCAATGAAAACCCAAACATTGGCCGCTGACCGACCGAAATCGGCGTTGCCCCTCGAGTAGCTTCCCAGCGACATCGCGGGCGCTTTTAAATATAAGTCCAGGCTTCTGCTTTCCCCTTACCTTATCAACAAGATCTTTCCTCATTCCACACAATATGCCTTCTGCAGAGACAAAACCGAGGACCTTATACGACAAGGTCTTCGATGACCACATTGTTAACCAGCAGGACGATGGCACTTGCTTGCTGTATATCGGTATGTCGATCGAGATTCCCACGAATTGACCTTATCCTCTGACTCTGTAACAGATCGGCATCTCGTCCATGAGGTGACCTCGCCCCAGGCTTTTGAAGGTCTGAAGAACGCTGGTCGCAAGGTCCGCCGGCCGGACTGCACTCTGGTGACTGTCGACCACGTAAGTCACAAGTCGCCTTGCTCTGTTGATGATTAGACGAATGTTCGTTAACCCTTCGGTTCTCTCCCACAGAACATTCCCACCAGCTCGCGGAAGAACTTTAAGAATGCCGCGGATTTCATCAAGGAAACCGACTCCCGCCTTCAATGCACAACCCTCGAGGAGAATGTCAAGGACTTCGGTCTCACCTACTTCGGTATGGGCGATAAGCGCCAGGGCATTGTCCACGTTATCGGCCCTGAGCAGGGCTTCACCCTTCCCGGAACGACCGTCGTTTGCGGTGACAGTCACACCTCGACCCACGGTGCCTTCGGTGCCCTGGCTTTCGGTATCGGAACCAGTGAAGTCGAGCACGTCCTCGCGACCCAGACCCTTCTGACCCGCCGAAGCAAGAACATGCGCGTCCAGGTCGACGGCCAGCTTCCCCCTGGTGTGACATCGAAGGACGTTGTTCTCCACATCATTGGTGTTATTGGTACTGCTGGTGGCACTGGTGCTGTCATCGAGTTCTGCGGATCTGTCATTCGCGGTCTTAGTATGGAGGCACGTATGTCAATGTGTAACATGTCTATCGAGGGTGGAGCCCGTGCTGGCATGATTGCACCGGATGAGATCACCTTTGAGTACCTCAAGGGTCGTCCTCTTGCTCCTAAGTACGGCAGCGCCGAGTGGAACAAGGCCGTCAACTACTGGTCCTCCCTAAAGTCGGACGCCGATGCCAAATACGACATTGACCTCTTCCTTGATGGCAGCGACATCATCCCCACCATCTCCTGGGGTACCTCTCCTCAGGATGTCATCCCGATCACTGGTGTTGTCCCCAGCCCAGATGACTTTGATGACGAGAACCGCAAGGCCTCTTGCAAGCGGGCTCTTGAGTACATGGGTCTCACGTCTGGTACCCCTATGAAGGACATTGTCGTGGACAAGGTCTTTATTGGATCTTGCACCAACTCTCGTATTGAGGATTTGCGTGCTGCTGCCAAGGTTGTCAATGGCAAGAAGATCGCCGACAACATCAAGCGCGCCATGATTGTTCCCGGATCGGGCTTGGTTAAGGAACAAGCTGAGGCCGAGGGTCTCGACAAAATCTTTACCGATGCTGGTTTCGAGTGGCGTGAGGCTGGTTGTTCCATGTGCCTCGGCATGAACCCGGACATTCTTTCCCCCAAGGAGCGGTGTGCCAGTACCTCCAACCGTAATTTCGAGGGTCGTCAGGGTGCCCAGGGTCGTACCCACCTGATGTCCCCTGCCATGGCCGCCGCAGCCGCCATCGTTGGCAAGCTCGCTGATATTCGTGAGCATGTGGTTCCCAGCCCTGTTATTGCCAAGGTCCAGCCCCATGTCGACATCCAGCCCGAGGCCGACTCCCCTCAGACTGAAGATGAGCTTGACCGTGTTCTGGACCTTCCCGCCGATGATGAGCCCCATACCAACACTTCTGCTGGCGGTAGCAGTGCTGGCCTTCCTAAGTTCACTATCCTTAAGGGCACTGCCGCTCCTCTGGACCGTGCTAATGTCGACACCGATGCCATTATCCCCAAACAGTTCCTGAAGACCATCAAGCGTACTGGTCTGGGCTCTGCAGCTTTCTATGAACTCCGCTATCACCCTGATGGCCAGGAGAACCCCGACTTTATCCTGAACCAGGGTGTCTACCGGAACTCCAAGATCCTGGTTGTGACAGGTCCCAACTTCGGCTGCGGTAGCTCCCGTGAGCACGCCCCCTGGGCTCTGCTGGACTTCGGCATCAAGTGTATCATCGCTCCTTCCTTCGCCGATATCTTCTTCAACAACACCTTCAAGAACGGCATGCTCCCTGTCGTTGTTTCGGATGAGGTTGCTTTGAAGAAGATTGCCGACGAGGCCCGCGCTGGCCGCGAGGTTGAGGTTGATCTCCCTAACCAGGAGATCAAGGATGCCGAGGGTAACAAGATTGCCGCCTTTGACGTCGATGGCTTCCGCAAGCACTGCCTCACCAATGGCTTGGATGATATTGGCCTCACTCTCCAGGTGGAGTCTAAGATTCGTACCTTCGAGGCTCAGCGCAGCCTCCAGACCCCTTGGTTGGATGGAAGCGCCTACCTTCGCCGTGAAAATCGTGGTGCCACCAAGATTGACGCCGCCCCTGTGCCCAAGACCAACCGGGGTGATGTTAAGGGCGAGCCGCTTGAGTGGTAGAGTTGATTCTGTACTGCCTGGTTCGGCTTTGTGGGTGATTATATTCGGGTACGGTAATGGGTGCTATAGTAGTCCATTTTGATTCTTTTTTTGGTTTCAAAAACAATATCCCCCTATGTTATCTAGCTTGTTGCTCTGCATTTCTCGGGGCTTGGTTATTTTCGGACTTATAGTATATTTCAGTAGTCTACGAAGTTCAATGAGAATGAATTACGAATTATAAAACTTTCCGATTAATGTATTAATTAGTACATGCCTTCGCAGTCTGCGTCAAATTACGCAAATGAAAAACAAGATCATCTCATTAGATACTAGGTTAGTGGAGACCAAAATCACAACCAAAACTGAACATAGAAAAGTGAAAGCGTGAACCATTGAGGATAGAGAATCCTGTTCAATGATAATATGTAGCTTTGTTCAACCCACTTCCCACAAAAGGAAAAAACATTGCAGCTAAGGTTTTGAGAGCTGTTCACGGCGGAAGAAGAGAAGGAACCCGCCACTATTGCTCTAAGTTAGTGACACACAGTCCACGATGCTTCTTTGAGAGAGATGGGCACCCACCAGATCATCAATTGGAAGACTAGCGCAATCCAGAACCACGCATTCCCCAAGGCATCAGCTCCGGCTGTGATATCCGGGGATATGGGTCCTGGACCAATTCTATTCGGCGCAAACGCTCTCGCACATATGGTCGCAATCGAGCCGATGACCTGTGATACAAGTAGTGTGAAACAGATATGCATACGTGTCAGTGTCTGCAAAAGGATCATGCCAAAGCCGAGACCCTGTAAAGCATCCATCACACCAAGCCATAGCCAAAGACTTCGTGACACCAGGGCACCAGACACATAACTACCTGCCCACGGAAGGAAAAGGCCGGACCCTGAAGTTCCCCACCAGATTTGTGCCCATCGGGGAGCTCCAAGGCCACAAGCCACGATAGGCAGAATCCAACTGTGTGATTTGGATACCCAGGCGAGCAGAAATAGGATTGCTATCCAGACAAACCCAAAGAAGACGACACAGAGGCAGAGAATTTGCCATGGCTTGGCGTGCTTGGAGATCCAAAGGACTAGATTAAGCATTAGCATAATGGCTTTGAATCAAGGGTAGACTATTTCTTACAGTTCCAATTGCGACCGTAGGGAGCACTCAAAAAGAAGTTCTGAAGGATGACTACAACCCAATTCCAAAGCACGATTTTGCGTCGGAAGACTGACTTGTAGAATGACGGGACTTTGCCGGGAGTCTGTCGGTAATAGTTTGGCAAGCCGAAGTAGATCAGGCCACCGACTCCCCACAGAAAAGCAGTGATTGGGATACAGACGGTTGTCATCCTCCAGGTGCTTGTGATATTGCCTTGTGCATTTGCAATTCCAGCATTTGAAGCCTTCGTCAACGTGGAACCCCAGTACCAGAGAGCAATGACATAGGCTTGCTGCGTGCCCTGAATCAAGCAAGCACGGAATACCCACTGCTTGACTGGAGCGCCGCTTTCGTCGCCAAAGTTCAGCGCGAAGAAGATCGAGCCGCTTGATGAGGCTGCGGCGTATATACCACTGCCGATGTTCTGAATCCATCCACGGGCAAAGGAGTTCGTCTCGAAGTGAGCAACGCCAATAATCATAAAAGCGGTTCCATACAAGAACCACGGGACAGCCAGGACCAGGGTCGACTTGCAGAATCGGAAGAAGAGCCACCACAGAATAGACGTGACCAGGTACACCGTTGCGATTCCATAGAGTTTCTCCTCGCTCTGGCCAACTTCACCAGTCAGCAAGGTGATCTGATAGGAATTGGCAGCAATTATCTGACCCAGGCCAAGAAATAGGGAGTACACGGGCCAGTCCCCGATGCGCATCTGCATCCATTTCTTGAGACCGGTGGGTGGCACGTAGTCATCACCAAGAAGGAATTCGTCATTTGCTTTCCTCTCTGGCGTGCCGCTCTCATGGGAAATTGTATCGTCATTGGTTATCGAGTCTGGAGGAGAGCGGCTTCCGCTTTTGCCAAACAGCATTGAGGGGGCTGGCGACCGATTGCGTCCGAGACGCGCATCTCGGAATCGATCAAACCACTTCTTCTCGCTCTTTTCGAGATACTGCTCAATGCAAAGCTGAGAATCCGAGTTTGAACCATTGAGATCTTCTAACTTCTTTTCGAATGCCCTGTAGTACTCGCCATTGCTGTCCGTGAAGAAAGGGTCAACCTTCTGCAGCTTATAGTCCTTCTTGTCACCAACGACAGAATCCACGGATAGCACCGATGCACTGCTGAGGCGGTTTCCAGGCTCCGCCCAAGGTCTTGACGGAGGAAGAAGAGTATCTTCTATTCCCACTGTACTGGGTGCGGCTGAGGTTGAAAGGCTCCCGATAGATCGCCCAAGAGGGGAGCCCTGACTTGAATGTCGAGCAGAGAGAGCTTCCTTGGTAAGAACGATCCCAGAAGATGGCGGATTCAGGGAAGAGCCTTCCATTAGGCGTCCTCTCTCAGCCAAACCGGCTGCCATCGGGTATTCCTCGTCACCGTAGCAAGTGGACATCATCTCATCCTCACTCTCATCCTCAGTGTCTGGTGATACCCCATTCTGCGTTTCCCCCACATCTGCCACAGTCCCTTTTCCAAAGTCTCCGCGCCCAAGAGTTTCTAGGGGAGCCGAGACTGGCCGTGGGCCAACACCGACACCAGAAGGAAGGTGTCGACTGAGACCTGACTTGGGCCTACCGTCACTGCCAGGACTAGGATCACGGCTATAGATAATGGAACTTTGCCGCAAGGAGGCCATGGTTCCTGGACGGCTGGCTGATCGCGATGGCGGCGTCAAGGTACCACTGCCACTGGAAGCACCCGACCGGGTCGACGCAGCGGCCTGGGGTGTCATCATTCCATATATAGCGTTGTATCCATAAGGCGCGACATTTGATTGTGCCTGAGCTTTTGCTTGCTCCTTGTTGTGAACCCGAATAGCGGTAGACTGGAGAATTTCCAGATCTTCAATCCACTGGGCGACAGGGAAGCGTTGCTTAGCGGATCTCGCACGCATCATGGCCCTAACTTCATATTTTGAACTCAGAGCACTGTCAATGGCAAGCTTAAACTGCTTGAGAAGGTGCGAAGTTGTTGTCGACTCAACCGTATACCACCATCCGGGCATCTGTCCGAGTCCACCTACTCGAGCGCCAATACCGAGAGCGCCTTTGCGACCGAACTCGACGGCAACCAGACCAAATGGCTCGTCACGAGAAGGAACCAGTGCAAATTCTGCACCAGAAAAGATGAAGTTAGGTAGCACCGTAAAATGTGGCCTTGAGAAAACACGGCCTGGGTAGAGCTTCATCATGCGGTCCAACTTGAGTGCTGCAAACTTGCCGTATAGATCGATGACAGGCCCCACACAAATTAGCTGGACGCTCGATCGAGATTCGAGAACACCAGGCATCACATCCGCAATTAGATCGATTCCCTTTTGCATTGACCATCTGCCAACGAAGACTAGGACATCGGCATCGGGAGTTTGATGGAGACCAGCCCATTCTTGTGCCTGGCGTTTAAGTTCAGCTCGACGCATTTCGTAGTCGTTGTCAACACTGATCTCACTCTCCTTGGGTAACACTTTGCTCCATTCACCGGTGTCTGAAGGGTCGGGATTTGGCAGATTTCCAACTTTCCTTAGGCCCCAGAAGATAGGGTAGCGTGCGTAAGACCGCTTACCATATTTCTTGGATACCCCAACAGCACCAAAGCCCTGCTGGTGAAGGCGCAGGTAACTCGCTCCAGCATGTAATAGATTGAAGATCTCTCCAAACTGGACATAGCGCGTAACAACATCCATATCAAGATTGAAGACAGAGCACACCTCACTCTTTTCCTTTAGTGTGCGCATCGGCCATAAGCCCTGGAATTCTGCGTTGTGAAGCGAAAGACAGATCGGAATAGTCTCAGGTAGCTGATAAAGAGTCGCAATTGCACCATGGTAGTCGTTAATGTGATACAAATCAATAGGAAATCTTTTGAGTGTCTGAGCAATGCATTGGTTCCATGCGGAATAGTATATAGCGCTGTCAAGGTCATCCATTCGCGCTGGATAGGGCTCCTTGGCAGACTGCTGGCGGAAAACCGGCGCATCAAGGAGAACGTAGGTAATGTTCCTAAGAACATGATACTGAATTTTGACTTCGTAAGCGTTTCCAAGGATCATGACAAACATCGATCCTGCGGGTTTGTCCACGGGATATTCGATTCCACCGACGCATGGTATGACCCAGATGAGATCCAAGTGACCAAGTTGCTTGCTCATGAGCTGTGCCATGACGCCTAAACCACCAATTTTGATCCTGATCCCCCAGTCATCAATGTTGTACTCCATGGTCGCGACTAGAACGTTTCGTTTGTGTGATGTGCGGTTGCCAAATGCCGAGGTACTTTGGAGAAACCTCGACTTGTTTGCCAATCGAGCAGTTAGACTTCGTGGCTCTCCACATCTGATATCGTCTGCCTTAAGTCTCTTCAGTATATCCAGGGATATGAGCGTTTTCTTCTCGCTCACGCCGACCTGGTTGAATTTGATTCGGTAGAAAGTCTTTTTGAATATATAGGCGCAAGTTATGGCGGTGATGACAGGGATAATGCATAGCATGAAAAAGAGAGCCATCTGCACGTATTTAGAGCCCGCTGGAACCAACTTGAATCGTAGAGTCGCATCATCAAGATGAATCCTCCAAGCCAAGTGCGGATCAGGTGGATGTTCCGTGATATTGATCGTCGTCGTGCTGAGGGAGGAGGGTGGTAGACGGTCAAGAACCGAGTCTCCATCAGAGTCACCGAAGATATAGCTTTGATCGGGTTGACCGTCGGGATTGATGCCCCAAACATTGAGCTGGCCTTGAGATGGCCACTCAGCCATGAAGCGGAATTTCCATATACCATCGCTATCTTGTTCCACCACATTGGCCAAGCCAGCATCGTAGCCATATTCGTTGAAGGGTCCGTTAAAGAACATATGAGGAAATCGACGAGGCACTGGGGAGTTCCAGTGGGCGCCATCGCCCTCTTGGACATAATCACTGCTTCCTGTCAAGCGGCTCCAGTACTCAACACGAATGTGTTGCCCTTTCCACTTCTGGTTCTTCGTCCCAGTCCAATGCTGTTCTTGAATGGATTGATTTCCTCCAATATACGGAAGCCACCTGGAGAACGTAGTGCCCCAATTCGTCGAGTAGCGATACATGTCCGCCCCAGCTGCATGCTGCTGAACGTAGAGAGTGCCATCTTCCCGCTCGTGGAGAAGGTTGGTGGAGTAATTGGCCGAAGTGAAGATCATAGGGTTGTCATGTTGGCCAATTCGAATCAAAAAGTGGTCGACGGCATCTGTAGCCCTCCCGTCGATGCTCGTTGCGTTGTTGACCGTCAACCGGTGAACGCCATTTTCAACGTCAGTTAAAGTGGCTGTCCAAGCCCATTTGGCTGGAATTTGTCCAGAATAGGACACTTCATCATTCTCGATGATTCCGCAGTTGGCAGAGCCCAGGTCAACAGACGCGATTGCGCCAGTCTCAGTTGATGACTCGAGCGAAATTGATTCAGACACCCGTGTGCAGTCCATCTCTGTAGAGAAATACAACCCGATTTCAAGGGTCTCGCGCTCTCCAGGGGGGCCTTAGAAAGCACCGGTACGTCGTGCCCTGGGGTAAACTTCGTAATCATCGGACGAGGAGGTACAAACTTCTCTATCGGAACGTAGGCCCTGAACTCGTACGGCTGAAGCGTAAGTCTATCGAGACAACCATTAAACTCTTGAGATCCATTCAGATGTAGCTTCGTGGGACCGTCCTTGAGAGTAAGTTCATCATGTGGATAGAACAGGTTCTTCACGGTAATTTTGGTGTCAAACGGAGCGATGAGCGCCAGGTTTCGATCGGAGCAGTCAAAGTCATAAGCCAGAGTTCTGTTGTCATTTTGATAGACAAACCATACCGTCTGGTTCCCGGAGTTACCCAGATCCTGTGCTTGATAGTAAGGGCTTCGTAGCACCGACCACATGCCTGTCTCGGTTGGTATGCCGTTGGAGCCAGGGTACTGGATTTCGTGGGTCTGGTTGGAAAGCAATTGTATCCACCAACCATCGTTGAGCGCAGGAAAATCCTGTCTCATTTGGTACATATGTTTGATGATGTTTCGCATAAAATGAGAAGGATCCCGGTGGTCATATGTGGCAGTCTGATCATGACAACCCAGTCGCCCTGATTTGATTGGCCAGTTGAAGTATTGTTCTGAAATCATCATGAAGCAGCCATGAGTCTTCCACGCTGTTGCAGGGGACATTGATTGACGACCATAAATATAGTTTGAAGCTGTGGCATCAAGGATATAGAATGCCTGCTCTTCACCCCACAGCAGCAAAGGTATTCCGGGCAAGTGAAGCGTTGTGATGAAAAGACCCAAAAGATGCCTCTCAATGCCCATATCGACGGTCGGCCAGCGGAAAACATCTTGGTTTGTCGCACCGTACATATGGCGAGGATCGAATTTCCCCGAATTTGAGTTGATGAGATCATTGGTGAGCACCATCTGGTACCATGCTTCTGTCCAGTTGACTGGAATATCATAGCCAGCTGCGAGGTTTCCATCCATGCCCAAGAATCGAGTGAGGGAGCGATAAACTGAATAATGGAAGGCAGCGCCGTCAATGGCTTGGTGGCTCTCATCCCGAAGGAAGAAGGTTGAGTCGGATGAATTTGTCAACCCAAATGCCTCATCGAGTGTCTGCGGAAGCATATCAGGTTGACGACCACGACCAAGAAAGATAGAGCCTAAGGTGTTTCCGGCTGTAATTTCTCCTGGTAAGAAAAAATTGGTTTTGCCCACACGCCGAGCACAGTCTCTGTAAGCCCCAGAGATGTCACCAAGCGCATCGACGGTGGCCTGTGTCGCTTTGTCATATCGAAACCCGTCAATGTCGAGGGAAGCAATAATCATGCATGAGTGCCTAATGAGACGCTCTCTGACACTAGGTATCCATTCACGAAGACGGTCTTGAACCGAGGCAAACTTTGCCAGTTCCCGCTGCCAGTCAGGATACACGCCGAATGCTTCAATATCACCATATTGATCGAAGTCACTGTCGTAGCATCCCTTTAACTCACCCAGAACATGCTTCTCGACCGGAAGGCCAGTTTCATTCCAAAAACGGGGATAGTGGCAGGTTTGATTGTAGGTGTTGCCAAAATGAAAATCAACGTAGTGGCGGTCAGACTTCCACTGAGCTTTGTGCTCTCTTGGTGAGAATGGCGTGGTCGAGTTGAGGTATCCCTCAAAGCCAATCAAGTCTCCCATCCTATATTACAAGTTTAATTAGGGTATTATTGGGCTACTAGGTCAACTTACGTAGCAATAGTATTGTCGAAAATGACATACATGCCTCGATTGTGGATCTCTGTTATAGCATCTCTCCAGGCTTGGAGTGTGCCGAAGTGCTGATCGAGCAAGGTAGTATCAAGGGCTGAATATCCATCGAAACTCCATGGCTGGTTCATCAACACAGTTCCGGCGAGGTAAATACCCTGAGTCAACGTCATACATCAGTGACATGACCATTATAAAAGTTTGCGCGGTGATGCAGACCTTAATTCCCATTCCTTGCAAATAATCCAAAGTATCCACCAATCCAACCACATCTCCCCCATGACGCATCTGATTGGAGTTCAAGTCATGCTCAAACAGCGTACTATTGATGTTGTCATTTGTTGGATCTCCATTCACGAATCGGTCAAGGAAGAGAGAGTATATCGGAAAGCGCCAGTTATCTGGAGAAGGGAAGTAGGCATGGTTGGGCCATTCTCCCCAGTAATCAGCTGGGTTAGTCGCAGTGTTATTTTCATTGAGGTTGTAGGAAGCAAGAGACCCATCGTAGGGCCAGCATAGTCCTGTCGCTGTAAGATGAACGAACACCACAACTACACACTTCCACTGCATGATCACCTATCGGAAAGACTAGCCACTTGTCAAATCCAAACCGGTATGAACTGTAATGGGATTGATTATGGTAGAGAGGCGAACCAGATAGTTGATATTGAGATCGAGCGGTTCTTGTTGTTTGGTTAGCGTACTGGAGACATTGGAATTCCAAAAGCCTTATTCACCACTGAACGTGTAATAGAAGAAGCAGAATTATCACAGGAGCTCGAAACAAGATCGCATAGCCATTCAAAGAGTTTAAACTTATGTTAATGATGAATCAGGGACTATCAAAACGAAATATGCGTAACTTCCAGAGCGATATGTCGGAAATCCTTCTGATTCAGAGAACCGATCGCGAATATTGGACTTGAATGAGAAAGATGAATGATATATATTTTCAATGGAAAGCGCCCGAAGAAACCCAGCCCACAGAGGCCAATGAAAAAATAATTGGGAAGAAACGAATGTCATGATAGTCTTATAGAAATTGAGAACAAGCTGATCAATCGAAACGAAGCTTCATAGCTTACTTTGCTGAAAGACTTATGTATTAACCTTTCATCGAATATACATTCTCTGCCTGTCTCTCACGCCTTCGAATGTAGAATGTTGGGGCTAGTCGCCTTTAGCATCAAAATAAACGGTGAGTAGCAAAAGAGCTGCTGATACAAGGTATAGAGCTCAGTAAACAGCTGGGATCATATGGTTCTGATTCATATCCAGGTTCGAGTATGCTATTTTGAGTGACCGTGGGCTCAGATAGCAGAGTTGGGTGCTGTTCCACGACGCTCGCGGTACCCTTAGAGAGCTCCAAGCAATATCCATAGATATTTGCAATACCGGCGGCTTGGGTGGAATGAATGTGGCTCGATAATACAGAATGTGTAAAGTATGCAGTGTATGTCTTACAGAGAATTGTGACACTTCGTTATGGGTGGTCGAGAGTTATATGACATGGAAAGGCGGAAATGATGAGCGCCGTACATGCAGAGGAGATCTAGATCGGTCATATTTCAACATTAACTGTCAAGGAACATTTGATAACTTACTTTTTAACAGATGCAAGGGAAAGTAAACCACTGCCAAATCGCAGGTGTTGTAGCTAGAATAGCTATGAGCCGTGCTTCCAAGAACTTTGGGTCATGAACGAGGGGCCAATATTCAGATACGGATTTTTGAAAGAACCGTGTACTTCTTTGCTGTGGTATAATCAGGGGTAGCATATTCTCAGCAAGAATGTAAAATAATGGGGAAGGTTTTGTTTCCTTGCACGCCCACAGAATAAATCGAAATTGCAATTCCAACTGATGTACCATCACCGCCCTAAGAAATACAGAGTGCATTTACCAGGGTCTGTACTTCTCTAAGTTATATGCCTGGTGACTCCTCTCGCATAGCTTAGCTTTCAAGATTCTATACCGGACGATTGAACTTGGTCAAGTTGACCTTCGTCATAAAACCTTGCGCTGGGACATACAAACCCCGTCCACATGCGGAGTTGTTTTGTCGCTTGCGGATCTTGCGAGGAATTCAGACGATAAAGAACCCAACAAAAAAATTTCACCGCTAAGCCTTAGCCTCAATGACACAATCCTGGAAATTCAACTGCAGTGGTGTCTCTATCACGTTGCATCTTGATTTCCCAATCACCGCAAATCTTGATTATCTAGTCTCGTACGATATATGCATTGATTTTAATATTCCATGGCTTGACGTCAATGAATTTCCGAATCCATTTGGTTGACTGCTTGCAAGGCCGAGCTGCATCTCTCTGCTCATACGATGAGGGTCTAAAGGGAGTTGTCTTAACTTGGACATCCCTGCAAGCTTTCAATTCCCCCGCGGGGTGCCGGTATACCCAGCAACATGTCAAAAGCCGCTTGAAAAAGCCGCCAAGAGCTTGGTAGGTGGATTCTGAATGTATTTACTTGTATCCAGCTTTCTTGTATTGTTGCACTTTGTATTACGCGAACCTCCATGGGGCGGCGTACCTTTGACAGAGCCGTTAATGTACTGGTGGACTGGTTCTGCCGTGCTTGTGTACTAGAGGCTAATGTATGCTACTGTTTATATATGGCGCTACATGCGAGAACGGGAGTACTTTCCATCGGATTTGCCTGGTAGACATGTTGGGACACTAACAAGAATTATTCAGTGTCTTTGTCTCACCCAAGCTTTTCCGATCAATGTGCTAAGAACTTCAGCTCAAGTGCACAGATATGCAGAACACTTTTCCTTTCCATGCTCTTATAAGGAACCAGATGGAATTCTGCTCCATTTTTTGAAGCTAATATAGTTACCCTCGATCAGCAGCAAGCTCGCTTTCTTTCCAATTCTTAATATATCTTTTGCCTGATTGATTTTACTCGAGTAGATTTGGGACATGCTAATGACAAGTAATAGTTATAAATAGCGCTTATACCCTCTATCTGTATTCCGATTGAGTATTATATCATTGAGCCCCTAGAAATCAATGAGAGCGTTCATATATCTAGCCATGATGGCTAGTCTGGATTTAAAGCTTGTTCAATACCCGACCCGCTTTGTGATACGCAATCAACTACTGGGAGTTATCCGGAAGTCGCCCAATTTCAGGTTCGTAATTATCCAATAAAACGAGATATTAGAACTGGACTGCCTGATAGACGAGTATCGATTTCTGTCGACCATTTGTTTTCGCTCCATTTGAATTCTTCAAGTCTCATGCTGGGCTTCAATATCCACAAAAGAGGGGATTTTACCCTTTCCTGACAGCTCTACAGGAGACCTCTGATCCGAACATGTCATTTGATCATTATCGTGGAGCGAAGTCATGTTTTTCTCTGTCCAACCAGTTCTCTTGTTTATAGTGTCTTTCTTCTGCCGAAGGGGTCTCCACAAATGGTCTGAGCGCGATCAGATCTTTTTCTATGCAATAGGGATCTCCCAAGCCCCCTTCGTCTCTCCAGAAAATGCATCAAAAGCTTCAGCCTATGGTTCTCAACTGTGTTGTGCGTTGTGTGACCGTGGCTTGCTCATATACCCAGATCGCCTGTGGATTTATCTTACCCAATCCTCCGCCCTCCGGTATACGGTCTCGCAGGGTTTTCTCTTTTCGGTGATCTCGAGTTCATCCAAGACATTGCGGTTGAATTCGGGGACCTAGGCTGCCATGTATGACATAGCTTCTAGGGGTGTGTGAGACCTGGATAGTTATTGGCGGAAGGCTCGTGGTGCGAGAAAGAACGGGTATTGAGATGGCTGTCTCCCAGAAGGCATTCGTCAAGATAGCTAGCATATAATAAAGTTCCAGATTCGCCAATTGGGGCGGCATTTGGTATCCCAAGCAATGGAAATGTTTCCTACTAGTCTGTTGGCTCTTTTGCATGCAATTCATCCATGTCAAGCAGCTAGGTCTAAGACAACTTTTGTCGGAGACAAAAGTAACTTAGATAAGGTAAAAAGGAAGGATAGGTTTGAACTATTGGTCTCCGTGCATATCAATATAGATAGATTGGAGTAACTCCGGGCTATCCTGGTATCATAACTCCTCTTTGTGGTCTCATACATCGTTTCTCATTCCAGACCATTTTTACTCCGCACCATAGCGGGCACGGTAGTCCTTCAGCCGCTGGATCTCGGCGGCTCCAATCTTGTCGCCCAGCTTCTCGATCAAGTCGTGCAGGCCAATGACCGACCGGATGGGGATGTTGCCGCCAAGGTCCCGCTGGGCAACTCCGATAGCGCTCTTAGGCTCGGAGTCGCTGACTCGTTCCTCGCGGTCCAGCAGGACCACGACACCGGCGACAATACCGCCCTCCTTCTCAATGATGCCGACAGCCTCCCGCAGAGCAGTACCAGCAGTGATGACATCGTCAACAATGACAATGCGCTTGCCCTTCAGCGGAGCACCGACAATGTTTCCACCCTCGCCGTGGGCCTTGGCTTCCTTACGGTTGAAGGAGTAGCTCACATTATCCCAAGTACCCTTAGGGGAGCCAGAGAGCGAGTCGCGGACAGCAAGCTCGTTAGTAACCGCCGCACAGATCGGGATTCCCTTATAGGCAGGGCCGAAGATGATATCGAAGTTAGGCTTGGTGGTGCCGTCGGCAGCGGTGGTGACGAAGGGCTCCGCAGAGAGAACGCTGGCGTAAGCGGCAGAAGTGGCGCGTAGGAGGGGCGCAGTGTGCAGGAGTGAGGAGGTGAAGAAGTAGGGAGATTCGCGACCGGACTTCAGGACGTAGGTGCCGAAAGAGAGGACGTTATTCGAGATCAGCAACGGCAGCAGGGTAGACTTGTAGTCCTGGTCGGCGGAAGGAGGAGGGATGCTGGCGGCGGACATTTTGACTTTGTAAATGCTCTGCTGATGCAAAAGAAGAGACGCGGCGTGGGGATTGAGTGGCTCGGCTCGAATGTCGAGGAAGAAGGAAGCAATTGGAGGTCACAATGTGTCGAAATGCAGCGGGCGATAAGCGGCCGCAAAGGGAAAATTTGCCCCGGCACCCTTTTTTTGAAGAGGGGCAGGAGGGGCAGGCCATCACACTTGATCCCATCTTCCCCATTCTTTCCACAGAGTAGTGAAGAAGTAAGAAGGTTGGTAACCTTGCAGAATACCTCAAATTGTAGTTCTATAGATGATATACCTCTTTTGCCGCTCGTCATCGTTTCCTTCCTGAGCAGAACACGTGCCTCCGATCACGGCCTCCCCCGCCAAAACGTCCCAAGCGTTCACATTCCTTTTTCCTCAACTCCCTCCCGGAGCCTCAGCAACCCCCTTTCTTTTCTACAATTCAGCTTTTTGGCTTTTCCAGGTGAGCACCTGCGAGAAACTATCATTTGTGGGTGTTACAGCACACTCTTGGTCCAGAATCCTGGTGATCGGAAGACCCCGCTGCAAAACAGCCCCATATTTGCGCCCCCAGGTGCCGCAGGCCTAGAGCAAATCGTTCGATTGTTTGGGTTTTGGTATGAACTCTGTGCCTTTGAAGAACCTTTACGAGGAAAAGCTTTATCTCCCTCGGCGGGGGGCTATTGGTGAGACGCGAATGCTGACACGTTCCGCGGGGTAGATTGACGCGACACGATGCATATCCGCGAGAAGCTCGCCAACAAGGAGGCGGCGGGGGAGCCGGGAATCTCCTTTGAGTTCTTCCCTCCTAAGACGGCTCAGGGTGTCCAGAATCTCTATGACCGCATGGACCGAATGCACGGGTTAGGCCCCTCATTCATCGATATCACATGGGGTGCGGGCGGTCATTTATCTGACCTAACCTGCGAGATGGTTGGCGTTGCTCAATCGGTCTATGGCCTGGAGACGTGCATGCACTTGACCTGTACTGATATGCCACTGGAAAAGGTTGACCAAGCCCTCCAGGCTGCCTACAAGGCTGGCTGCACCAATATCTTGGCTCTGCGGGGTGACCCGCCTCGAGACAAGGAAACTTGGGAAGCGGCCGAGAATGGGTTCCGATATGCAAAAGATCTGGTCAAGTACATCCGAGAGAAGTACGGCAATCATTTCGACATTGGTGTGGGAGGCTATCCGGAGGGCGCTGATGACAACCCGGATGTGGATCAATTGATTGATCACTTGAAGGAGAAGGTGGATGCGGGCAGTTCTTTCGTGATTACTCAGATGTTCTACGATGTGGAGCAATTTATCGAATGGGTGAAGAAGTGCCGAGCCAAGGGCATCAATGTGCCTATCATTCCCGGCATCATGCCCATTCAGACATACGCTGCTTTCATTCGCCGATCCAACTGGACCAAGACTCGTGTGCCACCAGAGTGGATGGAAGCTTTGGAGCCTGTCAAGAATGATGATGCTGCAGTGAGAGATATTGGCAAGCATTTGATTGCTGACATGTGCCGAAAGCTGATGGCCTCCGGCATTAATCACCTGCACTTGTAAGAGGCCCTCTTTGGTCCGCGTTGTTATCAAAAGATTATGCTGACAATACCGGATTAGCTATACAATGAACTTGGCCCAGGCAACAAAGCTAGTGCTGGAAGAACTGGGTCTGGCCCCATCCGACGACTCTCCTATCCAGAGAGCTCTGCCATGGCGGCCATCCCTTGGACTGGGCCGGAGAACCGAAGATGTGCGTCCAGTGTTCTGGCGCAACCGGAACTCGTCGTATGTTGCTCGCACCCAGACATGGGATGAGTACCCCAACGGTCGCTGGACCGACTCTCGTTCGCCTGCGTTTGGTGAGCTTGATGCATACGGAGTTCGGCTCAAGGGTACCAACGAGCAGAATATCAAGTTGTGGGGCGAGCCCAAGTCCATCAAGGACCTCTCAGAGATTTTCATTCGCTTTTTGGAGGGCAAGTTGGATCGACTTCCCTGGAGTGATAGTCCAATCTCTGCAGAAGCGAATGACATTAAGGATCTCTTGGTCAACCTGAACCAAAGAGGCTTCTTGACTATCAACTCTCAGCCTGCAGTGAACGGCGTCAAGTCTTCTCATCCTATCTACGGATGGGGTCCCAAAAACGGTTTCGTTTACCAGAAAGCTTACTTGGAGCTCTTAGTTCCCGCTTCCCTAATTGATGAACTCGTTTCTCGCATCGAGAAGAACGATGACTTGACATATCACGCCATCCGAAAGAACGGCCAGCTGCGGACCAACACCCGAGATAGTCCGAATGCCTTGACTTGGGGTATCTTCGCTGGACGGGAAATCATCCAGCCAACCATCGTCGAGACAGTCAGTTTCCTAGCCTGGAAGGACGAAGCTTATCGCCTGGGTGAAGACTGGTCAAAGTGCCACGATTCTACCAGCCCAAGTCGGAAACTGATCCAGCAGATCATGGATGACTGGTACCTGGTCAATATTGGTAAGAAGACTTTCTCTAATGTGATTAATAACTTGTCTAATGGGTATTGCTTTAGTCGACAACGACTTCCACAGGACCAACGCTGTCTTCGAGTTGTTCAATGACCTAGAGGTCAAGGATCTCAATGTCGAGCTGCCCGGAAAGCCGGAGACCAAGGTCGCTGCGGAACAAAACGGAGCTGCGACCAAAAAGTAAAAATACACACAACATCCTTCCATTCCTATTCAACCAGACTACTTCGGATCCAACACCGAGTTTGCCTTTTGAATTCCTGTCAACAATACTTACCAACAAACACTACTACCTAATTCAACATCACCTATCTCAACGATACTCAACGATATTAGCCCCGAAACAAATCATCCAACACCAAATCTCGGGCTCCCCTGCAATGTGTCATGGCGTCACGATTGAAGACCTCTCAACGATTTCTTCCTGAGCGTTCACTTTTCTTCCAATTTCAACATCCGACATTCCCTGTTCCGATACCCCGTCTCTTTAACACCGACGTTTCATCGCTCAGAAAACTTCATTTCCCCTCTTCTCGTCCCCTCCACAGGCCCGGTGCCTATGTCCTGGGATCGCCCTGACATATCCCCACGTGAAGAAGGGCAAGGGCAAGAGGAAAGAAGACCTCAAAATTTTCAACATAATGCTCCTCTGTGAGCTCCTTTTTTCACCACTACCTTTTTTCTCCTTCCTGATATAGAGATCGCAGTGAGAATGAGTTGCTATTGTTCTCAGCTACGACAATTTCTTGCCTCATTTAAACAGCGGTGTTTCTCGTTTCCTCCACTTCGTTTTTCACTTTGTCTTCTCTGGTCCCACTTTGTCATCTCCCATTCACATTTTTTGATCTTAGGCCTTTCCAACACCCGGATAGTGGAGGTCCTACTAGATGAAGTTACCACTGTCTTCTAAAAGATTAAATTGATCAAAAACAAGACAATAAAAGCTAGTGTCTCCACCTTTCAACACTGGGAACCTAGGCTGGGAACCTGGGCGGATTTGTGCAATTTTAGACGCCGCCCGTAGACTGTGACAGGTGGCCTCCATCTGGTGAGGATAGAATGGAGGAATAGGTAAATCCCTCTCCGGTATTCTCTCGGGGCAACCAGCAACAAGTCTGCCATCCACGGATACCCTGAAGTTTAGTGATTCACCTCTTATTTGTATCTGCTCAGCTAAGCCCTAAATGTCTTTTAAGACTCCAGAGGAAGTTCTGAACTCGTCGGAGTTTAAGATGTTCTTATTCTCGCATCCAGGCACATAAAATACTAGTCTAGTCTCTGCCAGTTGGCGAATATCCTTGACCTGTCCGGTGACTCAAATCCAGCGACTCCATTTGCTACCACAGGTAGATACAGCGTCATTGGCCCACGCGAGGATTCAAATGGAGAACAGGAAACCACTTGCACATGTATAATAATAGCATATGGATAAAGTAGAAATGATACACGACCAACGAATGAAATGCCCCGTACACGCATTTGAATTCCGATCACCCAACAATCGTCAGATAAATGAGCGCACTAAAGTCGAAAAGAAGAAGCAAAAACGGCCACCAAAGCTCCATTATGAACAATCAACCTCCCACACCACCTTCAACAATCGCAAGAACAGTGAACGATCGAGACAAATTCTCCACCCGAAGGGGTATTAGGGAGCGTAGCACCCTCACACCATGAGAGCACGAGTGGTAAAATTAAAAGCCCAAGCGAATGGTCTCGCAAACCACAATATCCAGCTGCCAACGAGCAAAACGTAGCTGGTTGCCCGGCAGACGACCAGGGTACTGAAGCCGAGGATGATCAGATAGACAACAGCCTGGAGCAGCTCCACCAAGAAGCGGCTGACGGCTTTGTCGTTTTTGGCCTTAGGCCAGGTGCCAGTTGTTTGATACTGCGAAACCGCATGGACGACCTGACTAAAGACGCGATAGCAGTGACGTACCATGCTTAAAACGTTGGTCGCGACGAACTTGGCGTATGGATTGTCCGTCACCTGTAGGGCAAGCTTGTGCATATTCGTAACTGCAACGACGACGATTTCAAAGATCATAGACAAGGCAATGGGATGAACACACTCTTTCACACGCTCGTCTTTTTCTCTTGAATTCAACTCAAGAAGATCCTCGCAAACGTCGGTCACATCGGTGATGTTGGATTGAAGGTAATCCTTGCGGCCAGACACTTGATGACCGTCTAACTCCGCAATGTCCGCAATGTCGACACACTTACCGCTAGTCATCCTGGTAACCCTGCGAGCTCGGGCTTCTTCTTTGAATTTCTCCAGCCGCTCGGCACGCGAAAGTTTTCCATGGGGTGGAGGTGGCGATTTCTCCACTGAAGGCAATTTATCTGTCACTGGGGCCGGTGACGATCTCTCAAACGGAGAGAGTTTTTGAGACGGCGGTCTTTCAACCGAAGACAGTTTTGAAGCCGGGGAATCTTTCTTCGCCGGAGAAGGCCGTGTTGACGGTGGTGGGGTTGCTCTAGGCGACTCTTTCGCCGATTTGAAAGACTTTTCAGAGCGGGATGAGTCGGAATTATCCCGCGATGGAAGGGCAGAGATGGGCGAGCCCTTTCGGCTGTTGCGAAGAGATTCAGCACGGTTGCGCAGAGATTCTGTGCCATTCCGAAGTATAGTTGCTAGGCTATCGGTGGGTGACCTTACGAGTCCGCTCGACCTTGCTAGACCGGAGGTACGGATGAACCCACGGATAGAGCTCGATGCTGTGCTTCGCTCGGGGTCGTTTTTGTCTTTGATGGAGCCCTTTCCGGGAGCTGTGGTCTTCGAACCTTTCGGTTCTTTGATGTCCTTCATATCCTTCGCGTCTTTCGCGGCGGCGGAAGCTTCTTTCGGTGTTGGAATACTGCTGAGCTGTGTTGTTTTCGATGACGCCAGTGATGGCACGGTCGCGCTCGGCCGCGATGCTTCTGCTGCGGGTCGAAGCCCGGAAGGTGTAGAGATGACCTGAGCTTTCGCGCGGACGGCCTTGACTGCCTCTCCTGTGCCTGACTGGCCAGTTCCACCAGGACGTCGCAGTCCGTGCGGCTTTGGAGCAGCTGCCTTTTTCTCGGGCTGCTTTTTCCCGGCCGTGGGAATCAAAGTGCGCGTGATAGTGGGTGTGATAATGAACACATCGTCGTCTCCACGAACGTCTCTGAGCTTCGTTGTCGAGTTGGAGGCGCTCTCTATGGACCGGGAGTTCTCCTTCTCCGAGCCCTGGGAGCCTTTCCTCAGGATGTCCTGTTCTGAGCAATTGTGGTCGTGACACAGCGTCACCGACGACAGCTTCGAGCATTGGGCATGCCTCGAATTCCGAGAAACCTCTGCCCACTCTTCTTGAAGAATGGTCCTGTCTCCCGATCTGGGCGGGGCTGAATATCCGCCGGGGCTCTTCTTCTCCTCCTTCTGCCTTTTTCTCGCGCCGACTGCGAGTGGCCGCGGGTGGAGATTTCTGGAGTCTTCCCCGGATCCGAAAAGGAGAATCTCGTCTGGATTTTTTGTTCCCGGCCCGTTGATCTCCTTGCATCCTAAAAAAGAACCATCCGCATTGTGAGAAGCCCTCTTTTCTCTCGGCTTTGTTGGCGACTCTTCCCAGATTGTGCTGATTCGGTTCTTCCCAATCTCGTCGGGGCTGTAATAACCCTGTTGCCTCTGGGATCGCTGCTGCTGGGATTGCTGGGACTGTTGATTTTGCTGCGATGGAGGTGATTGCTGATCAACTTCTGAGTGAGGTTCTGTCGGGCCACCATCGTAGGCTTTGAAGGAACCTATCGAGTCGTCTCGTTGCGCCAAATGGTGCTGTGCTGATGCAGGCGATCCATGGCGTGGACTAGGCCCTGTATTTGGATCTCCCACACGGCTACGCTCCCGACGTGCCCTCTCAATCGTTTTTTGATATTCAGCTATTTGCTGGGCAGTCATGGTTGGTGGGTTGGGGTCCTTGGCAGTCGGCATATTAACAACGAATCTGTCTTCCCAGTCTGTCATGCTATCTTCAGCAGAGATCGGAGATATCGAGGGATGTGAATGAGGGCTGGACTCGGTAGTTGTGTCTGTCCTGTCCGATCGTTGCGGAGTAGTCTCGTTGAGTTCTAGGCTGACCCATGAATCCCCGTTCTTTCTGTATTTTCTCTGGTTTTCCACAGGATCGCTGGAATCGTTCCGAGAACTTTGAGCCGCAGTCGCAAGTTCGGCACTAGGGCTCGGGATCCCTGATCTGGGGTTGCCTCCGCGGCTAAGGGGTTGATCCTCCCGGGAATATTTGCCCTGCGAGCGAGAACTTCCATAACTCGGAGAACCGTTCTGATCACTCTCTCTTGATCGGACGAAGGAAGCTCGTTGTGATAGCAGAGAATCCTTCTCGAATTTGTCGCGGACCCTTTGCCAATACTGCTCTCGTTCGCCAGACTGGCCACCAGATCCCCCGGAAGAAAAGGCAGTAGGCGATGGCTTGGGTATCCCAGTAGGGCTGGGTGTCTGATTCCGCTGGTCGCGACCTCGATCATTCAAGTTTTTAGGGAGCGGGAGCTTGGTTGCTTTTGTTCTGTGAAACATGTCTTCTGTAGGGCTTTGAGAGTTTACAAGCTCCGAAGCCCTGGGTTGATCTTGATGGACGTTCCTCCAAGGGGGTGTCGAAGACAATTCTGCGAAGGTATAGTTTGCTCGATATGCTTGGTATTGTTGTTGACATTGGCCTGATTCACGCTGGTCCCGAGGGGAGAGATTCACAAGATGTCCATCCGGTAATTCGACGCGGTTTTCGATCTCCATTTTGGCCTGTCAGACGTGCTGATATTTTAGTTCCGACTCTCGAGCCAGAATTGAGCCGTGACTTGGCCCATGCCGTGAAGATACACTGGTCCTTGGCGCGAGTATCGTCGTGTGTGTTGGGGGTCGGGATCTATGTCGGGGGCGAAGATCGGGCGAGGTCGTTGAATTTCATGAGAACAAGACAAATGAAATGACAGATGCAAAGAACTCGCGGGGTTGTCGAACCCAACTCGGAGTTTCAGGTGAGTGCGGGCTCAACGCGTAAGAATACTGCGGCCTCGTTGGCTGGAATGGTATGCGATCCACGACGAAGAATGCTAGCCCCATCCCGGAATGCCGCTGGATCTCACCCGCCGCCATCTGGTATGACAATCCGACCGATCGCCCGGGATCGTTCCTGCCTTTAAAATCGCGTCATTGGGTAACCTTGCGGGGAAAAGTTACAATGCTGTATGCTAGTTGTTGAAAGCGCAGGTGCGATGAAGGTAACCGATACGTCAACTTCTGATCCGGTATCCGCGGACGCCCATTCCTAGTGTGTGCGAGACGAATTGTTGGGGTCTTAAATGGAGGTGTTTTCCCGATCGATAGTATGGAGTACACTGACGGAATCACGCATTCTTAAGCGTGGCAAGCCGAAATAGAAGGACAAAGCGTCGAGGCGCATAGCTGCATCGGGTCTAACGTAAATTAGGGCTAGCTATGTTTAGGCGTATCCAGTTCTGCATCAAGATCGTCTGCATAGACATGCGTGTCAATATCACGCATGTATGCATTAAATGCTGCTGAGATCGACATGATATCATAATAGGAAGAAAGGAAATCGATCATTGATTCGTCTTAGAATCGGCCTGTTTCGCGGCGGCTGGTGGAACTCAAGCTATCTGGTCTATGACCCGGCACTGGACTTCCCATTGGCCCTGCTAAGCTGCTTCGCTTGAGTGGGCTGGATGGCTTTTTCAGAGGGCTGGTGCCTCGTTCTTTGTAAAAGAAATCGCCATTGCTTTGAACGCGACGGTCAAATGCAGTCGATGCTGACTTTCTCAAAGGAGAGTTGGCATGCGAGTAAACCCCAAGGCTACCACCATCGCCGGTGGTTGTTGAAGCTGGTCGGAACTGTGGCTGTCGCATAGTGGAGTGCACGGGTCGAACCATAGGAGATGCATCGCGCGACATTATTGGCGTATGCAAGGATGGCTGAGTTTGAAAGATTGATGTGGAGGTCGTTGTAGAATTCAACGGACGCCGCGGAGAAATTCCCTCAGGATCAACATGGCTGACGTAGTTCGGGTTTGGACTAGTTTTGAATCCGCGATTGATGATAAAGGTGGGTGTATAGGTTTCAACCTTGTTGTGAGCGTCAGACGGTGAGCTGACATTGCTTTCTTCTGAAAACTGAGTTCCCACGTCTCTCATCAGGGGTTGAGTCCGGGGGTGGACGTATTTGGTGTCGTATTCCTTCATCACTTCCTTGTGCACCAGAGTTGAATCCTTCGCTTGTTGCGTGTAGAACGTGGAAATAAAGGACATTTGAATTGACAGAAGGATGGTCAAGAAAACGGTCGTCACGATTGTGACGCTGGGGCGAGGATCGGATAGCTGAGTCGGCAAGAAAAGCATGTATACCAGCACATGACCCGGACTAAACAAGCAGAACAGTCGGACACTGATCGGTAGAGGGTCCCATATCGCCAGCTCCCATACATCGCGTTGGGCATCAGGATGCGCTCTCGACTCCGCAGATTCAGAGGACATGGCGTTGGCCAAATACCGCAGGGGTGAAGCAATCATTGGGCTTGAATCAACTCGTACTCGGTTGGCAGAAGAGGTTGCAGGGGCTCTGTCAATAGGAGCTTCAAACATGCGGTAACGTCGCTTGCGGTGGAAGGTGTAAATCGCATTCAACCCGGAGATCAAGGCCAGAAGGTGGACGACGAACGATGCCTACGATAGGATAGGAGCAAATATTAGCTTGAAATCAAGGCACAAGGATATAGGATGTTGCATAATTTTCCATGATCACGTACAAACCAGCTGAGCCATGGCACACCTTCATCGTCTCCGAACACATCGTCGATAGCTTTGCTCCCACTCGACCGGCCATTCGCACGCGCTACTAGAAATACCAGGTTGATCGCGATACCGATGGGAAGTCCCCAGTCCTTCTCAAGCTGGTCCCAATCATGTCCGTCAATCGATTCGGACACCCAAAGCAGGAAGTCCCACGGGTTCAAGTAGGATTGGATGCGCTCCGCTAGCGGTCGGCGGCGCACGAGACGAGGCATGATGTTGGAGGATCGGTTGGTGATTTGTGGAACGAAAGCTGTTCCTCCGCAGCTTTGCCCTAGTTGAAGAAGTTAAAGGACGACATTCAGTGCGAATGAGGAGCTGTCAAGAAAGAGGTGAGGGACAAGGAACCACATAATGTAAACAAAATTGCATCAGCTTACGTAATGGCCAGCTCTCCGCGATAACTACCTAGCGGCGATCGGTGGACAACTACGCTCTGAGCTTCGACTGACTTGGACAGAGCTTAGCTCCTGTTTCATCGCGGGAGCTTTTTTTCTTGAAGACTTGCAGTCAATTCTTCTCCTGACTCTGTCATCATGGCGTCAGCCACGACTTACAAGGTACTTGATACCCGGTGCACTGAACGACCGACCCCTCCGATAGCAACTCTAACTCCTTTGGCTGCAGGACCGGCAACTTCTTGCTGTTATTGGCGATGAAGAGTGAGTCATTTTTCCTGTTGCTTATCATTGCTTGTCAGACTCATATCCAGCAGCTAACCTTGGACTTGTCTCTAGCTCCGTTACCGGTCTTCTCCTCGCCGGCATTGGCGTACGTACCTGCCGAGAGCCCCGGAATCCATTGCTATCCTATCATCCACACCGAAAGTCATTCTAATACGAGTCATGGCGTCTACAGCATGTTACCGAAGGCGCAGGTGGGCAGCGTAACTTCCTAGTCGTCGATGCCAAGACCGAGACATCGCAGATTGAGCAGGCCTTCCAGAACTTCACGCAGGAACGAAAGGACATCGCTGTTCTCCTGATCAACCAGCACGTACGTCCTGATTCAAGTTGCTCGATGATTTATTTTACGGCCATTAACAGTAACCAATCTCAACAGGTCGCTGAGCGCATCCGCCACAGTCTCGACTCATTCGCCGACCCTTTCCCGGCCGTCCTCGAGATTCCTAGCAAAGACCACCCATATGATCCTGAAAAGGACAGCGTTCTCAAGCGTGTGCGACGACTGTTTGGCGAGTAAGCTAGCAAAGGGTTCATCTTGGTCTTGAGTTAGCTCAAGAGGTGTCTGGCTACATCGTGTTTCCATATCGTTTGTTTCATACTCAATATTCCGGTGATTTCTAATTAGTTTCGGAGTTTGCCAGCCAGCCAGCGACAGGAACTGAACGTGACGAGGGTGATAAGAAGCTTTATAGGGAAGATACCCAATGTCTGAAATATGCATATACATCCTCAATATATCTGGTCTCGAGCTTTGTATAAGAAGTATAGCTTACGTCTCACCTTACGGTTATGTGGTGCTATCTCAGTGAAGTTCGCTATGGTGGTATTGGGAGGACCTCAATTAACAGGATGTATTGCAAGGGTGTTCCATGTATATTAACGACCATGGCAAGGCGGCCAGGCTGGAATCGAATCCGAGATAAACAACCAGGAGGATGCAAGATGAGCAGTAGGAATGACAGAGACAGAGTGATATCTGAACGGACTACGCGGCTTGTGAAAGGCAGAAACATCAAATGAAGGGCAGAAGTAAACATAAACTGGGGTCGTGACGAGACGTAGGCGGAAGCGTTGCCGGCACAGAAAGGTCCAATCGAGCGAAAATCAAAGTAACATCTTAGATGTGTACTGAACAGACGAAGCCCACCGGGAGCGTGGATGAATGCAAGGTGAGAATAGCCACAAACACGAGGAACGATTAGAAGTGGATCTTGAACTCGATGTTGTCGGCCTTCAGGCAAGTGACCTTCCTTGAGTCCTCAGTATAGACATCGGCCAGGACAGAGTATTTGCCCTAAACAAAGTGTCAGAATTATAGGCTTGAATAGCTGGCACTGCCTTGGCAAACGGAGAACTCACCGGGGGGATTTGCTTGGGCAGGTCCACGTTCTTCGTCAAGACCATCTTGCCCTTCTCGAGAGGGCACTTCAAATCGACATTTTCGATCTGCTCACACAAGTCGACGGTTTGCTTCACCAAGGTAATGACGCCCCATTTGACCTCCAGGTTCACGGTAGCACCCTTTGTGATCGTTTCGTGGAAAGTACCCGAGGCCTCAATAGTGAGGGTTTGTCCGCTGTGAAACGAAAAGATTATTAGCAAAACAGTTCCCGGAGAGAATAGGTCTCTAATGTCCAGTTCGACTCACGGCTTAGGAGGGTTGGGAGTCAGGTTGACCGAGTCGATAGTGAGGAGATGAGTCAAGGGATCCTCGCAATACTCCAGCGGATTATCACCCTTGACTGGGAACTTTTCAGCATCCTCGATGCGGATTGTTGCCTGCGAGGGGTCAAAGAGTGCTGGGAAGGACGCCGCTGAAACAAGCGGAGAGGCGAGAAGCAGGGCGGTGGCTGATAAGAGCTTCATAACTGCAAAGGCGGGCGGACTCCTCACAGAGGGGGTGGGGTATATGCAGTTGGTGTGTTCCAACACTCCAAGTGTAAGTGTTTTGGTGTTTTGGGGGCTCTCGAAGGGAGCACGGGCAAGGAGAAGAAAGAAGAGAGCGATTGATCTGGCGGCTGGAGTTGAGGCTTGTCCTGCAAGATGGTGTCACTTGATGACGACGGGGCCACGTGATTGGCTTGGCCGCTTCAGGCTCGGATCGCCCGGTTCCCCTCAGCTGTACCTGCAGCTCTTCCCAGTGCTCGGTGGCGTATTGGAGATAGACAGGTTACACATTAAATTCTATCGAATGGCTCTACTTCATCCAAGGGAGCATAGTGTGAATTTTGACTAGATCTCCCCTCCACCAGTCCCTTATCGCCCCTGATGTCAAGAAGGTTGACCCACCTGCCCCGGCTCTAATCGTTTGACGGTCGGATAGCGGAACCCCGATAATGAGTCAACTCCTATTTGCATCTTATCAGGAACAACTTCCATCAATATTTGGTTGATCTTAGGTTATTTCAAGGAGAGCTCCAAGGCGACAAAGCTGCCTGTCTATGAAACCTGGCTATCCATCTTTGCAGGGATGTGTTGATGTATTCACGATAGAGTTACAAGAGGGCCCACATCTTCGCAAATATGCTGAAAATCAGCAATTATCTTGGATCATTATATTCAGTTGCAATAAGGTACTTTCGCATCAGACTGCTTTGACTGGCTATGCTGGCCCTTGGGAGCCTTGACCTGCCCTACAATGCAAAATCTCACCTGGGAGTGTCCACGTACCTTGTCCAAATGGTCCAATCTAACGATCGAAAGACGACCTGGAACGTTGATGGTTTTTATTTGCTGATAGCCATTTAATCGCTTATTGGTTATCTCTGGTGGCTATCTCCGCAGAAGTCGGAAAGATCCAAGAAGAGAATATGATACAACCAGATCAGCCCTGGTAGCGTATGCTAGCCTGATGAGTGGTAAAGAAGATGATATTGCTATCTTAAGCCAGAAGCTGCTAAACTAAGGGGCTGTCACGGGATGGTGACATAAGCAAGGGAGTGGTAACAAGCCCGGCTAGATCAATTCGAACGGGACCCGACCACTTCCAATTTTTGAACAGCTTGCCCTCAGTAATATATATGAGCCCACCATCTCCCTCTCAGCGTCGGCGAAGCTTTAAGCCAGGGCTCAACTTCATGGTCAACCGCCGAGGGTTGCCTGTCCATGGCTATCAGGTGGGCCCCTAGGTTCTTTGCCCCTTCTTTTGCAAAGTACGCGTCAAAATGCACTTCTTATCACAAGATCAGGTGAGATTGATATCTCATCACAGCTCGTAGCTAGTTGGGGTTTACAGTTTCTAGAACACACTGTGATCACAATTAATTGCCGGTTTAATATCTTTTGAAAATGAGTCTCACGCTCGAGAAACTGGCTTCCTTCATCAGGGAGTACGTCCATTACCTAGTGGTCGACACAGATCACAAGTCTAGATCCATCAACGGGACCTCCCTCTCTTTACTGGATGTACGAGCAGAATCTCGGTTCCCTTTATGGTGTCACTGGAAATTACACGGACATCAACTCGGTCATTGAATCTCTAGCCTCCTCTCTCACGATCAACGCACAATCCTAAGTCCGTGACGCGCCTATCAATGGGACTGCTTGGACCGTCGTCTCGTTCGTCCATGTGAGATGGCCATGGCTTATTCTGCCTGCTGTGCTCGTGGTTCTCAGTGTCATCTTCCTGGCGGTTACTATTTTGCATACGCGCAACCCGTATATCTGGAAGTCGTCTCCTCTTGCGTTACTTTTCTCAGACCTCTCAGTCGACGCGGCTAATCCTCTAAAGCTCGATCCTACCTTGAATAGCATGGAGAATTTTTCGAGGAATATGGAGGTTTGGCTGGAGACATCACATGGTGGTCCAAGCTGAAAGCAATTCCGACCATGTAATTCTAATCCTTATTTTCTGGTCCATTTTCCTTATCATGATATTTGTATATTTTTCTCGCATACCCATAATGAATAATACCAGCTCCTTACCTCTACAGGCTACCAAATGACCTCGGCTAAGTTACCGACATGTAACTATCTCTACCCAGGAGACTTGATCTCTAATATCATCTTACACCAGAAGCTTTCCTTGCCCCTTGTTTCATTCCCATCTGACCAGCAACATGGAATACATGGCCAAAGTTAATCGAGAAACAATGTTCACTGTGAGATATGAGCACTCCTACCCGGCAATTTCAGCACGAGCACGAGTCAAACGGCCCGACCATGCAATCCACTCTTAGCTTCGACTATTTGAGGAGGTCCTCAGATGCCTGTCACACCTCACTCCGCTTGTGGGTTTTGACACCGGTTGCAGACAAATCAACGTGCCGAGCCCGCCGGGGCCATGAGCCGAGGCGGGTCTAAAGAGGGAAAATAGGGGCTTCTCCACCATAAAAAGAAAAGTGTCTCGGACGGACGGTTCCTTGATCCATGTCCTCGCATGGCATGTCTCGCGTGAAGGGATAATCAAGGAAGTCGAGACCGCGGGATCGCGATGGGTCTGACGTCTAGGCTGTGGATCCATGCGGGAGGTAGTGGGTCTAGCCTTGTGTGGTGGTAATTATTGTTATTATTAATATCTTGGATCTTGGTCTGTGCAGGAAAGGGGGTGACAAATATAGATGCGCTGTTTTACTGCAGTCTTGAGGGTCATTGAGATCGATAGGTAATTTGGGATAGGGGGCTCGAAGTAGAACCGGAGATAGCACGCAAAATTTTAGCAATTGCGCATGGGATTACTTCAAGTCAATCAGATAATTAGGTAGGCAAGCAATTAACATTGAAGGAACAGCAGATAAAGCCGGAGACACATGTGTTTCTATAAAATATACATGTAATAAACGAGAGTGAGAAAGAAATATCCACAATAAATAAAACCATGCTCCGGAGCGGGGTTACCCAGATTCGCCTACCCTGTCACGCCTCATACAACCTAAGGGGGAATATGCACTTAAACAGCAATGGCAAGAATCAGGGCAGCGGCCAGAGCACCGAAAGCCGAGCCGGAGGAGCGGGCGGCAGAGTTGGTGCTCAGGACGGAGGAGGAGGCAGCGGCGGCGCTGCCGGAGCTGGAGCTGGAGCCGGAGCCGGAGGAGCCGACGGAGTTGGAGGAAGAAGAGGAGGAGGAGGAGGAGCCCGAGCCAGCAGCTGTGGTGGCAGAGGTCAGGGAGAGTGGAGGCAACGCCGGTGGATGACGGCATGGCAGAAGCGGAGTGGGCGCCCTTCCGACCAACACCGAAGGTGGAGGTAGCGAAACCGGTGACGCAGGAAGAGGACGCAGAGCCAGACTGGGAGCCAGTGCTGCCGGCGCCGGCATTGCTGGTGGACGTGGAGGCGGAAGCCGAGCTGGAGGAGGTAGAGTTGCCGCAGGAGAGGTCGAACAAGGGGTTGGTGCTGGAGGTGCTGCCAGTGACACCAAAGCTGGGGCTGGAGCCAGCATCGGCGAGCATGTACCACCAGGTGTTGGTCTCGCCGAAGAGGGGGCAGCCGACCTGGTCCCAGTACTGCTTGGCGTTGGCGACGGAGGCGACGGCGTCACCCTCGTTAGGGCCGCTGACGGGCCAGCCGGTCTCGGTGATCCAGACCTCCTTGCCGTTGGCAACGGCCTTGGTCTTCGCCACGGCGTCGTCGAACAGGGACTTGCCCTGATCGATGCCGTTGGACATGGTGGTCTGGTAGTAGGGGTAGCCGTCGAAGCCGAGCCAGTCAATCTCGTCGATAACAGCGGAGTTGGTGCTGTTGGTCCAGGCGTCCCAGGTGTCGACGTGACCGATCGAGGCGCCGCTCAGGGTGGTACCAGAGATGGCAGACTTGACCTGCTTGATGTAGGTAACCAGCAGAGAGGGGTCGATACCAACGCCGGCGTCGTTCTTGACACCAGTAACCGAGTTGCGGTAGAGGTCCTCGCTGCCGACGGAGATACCGACAACCAGCTTGGTGAAGGACTCGCCGTAGGTGTCAATGGCAGACTTGAGGGCGGCAATCTCGTTGTCCATGTTGCCGCCAGAGGCCCAGAGACCGAGCAGGAGGGAGGTGTCCTCAGCGACAGCGGCGGGGATGGCCTGAATAGGGTCGCTGGTGGTGCCGCCCTGGATCATAGTGTACAGACGGGCGCTGGTGAAACCGGAGGTGCCGACGAGGTTCTTAGCGGTAGCGAACTGGGTCTTGAAGTCGGCCTCATAGTTGTAGCTGCCATCAGTCTTGGTGGAGCCATAGTTGAAACCCTGCATGGCGGCCTCAGCTGCCACAATGGACAGAGCGAGGGCGAGGACTTGCTTGGAGAACATTTTGAAAGGTCTGTAAAGAGTGTGTCTAGTGTGCGTTATCGAGTCCGTCGATTATCTCGAGGTCAGAAAGGAAAATCAGAGAGTGACGCGAAGGATAGAATGTAGAAAGAAAGAATGAATGTGACAAGAAAACACAAGAAGAATCGTTGAAGGAAGAATCAGGGAGAGAAGAAAGGAGGGAATTGAACATGTACGGAGACTCCAGAAATAAAAGCGAGCCAGGCCCAACGGCCCCGACCTGAGAGGCATCAAGTCTAGACTCCGCCACCGGAGAAACGGAGTGGGCCCATTGTGGAGCGCGACACGTTTGCTTGTTAGCACCACCCACCAGCCGATTGGCCGAGTCCGTTCCAAAAATATTCGGGTATCCAATGACCGTCAAAGTCCACATCGGAAAGGGCTCACTGCCCTGGCAGACCGTGAATGGTGGCTTGCATTGTGGCCGTCGCGATGTCCCCGGATATGACTTTTCGCTGCCGGTTCCATACGTTGGGCGTGGGTTATGATGGGAATAGAGTTTGCACCCGTGGAAACCTGCAGTTCAGAACTCGATGTCCGTTGTGGCGAACTCTGGGTCAACCTTTACAGGCCCTTGCCCTGGACGAACCCTTGGGCGAGGGTGCGTCGATTCAGGTGCAGGCGACCCTCGTTGCTCCGGGCAGCCCGGAACCCCGGCGCAAGGGCCCCGTGCCCTGCAGGGGAAAGAGAAAGAGCAAACCCAATGGACACGTCAAAAGGCGGGCGATCGAATGCCCAACCTTACCATGAGGTCACCATGGACTCGCATTTGTCTCGGTGTGAGGAAGTATCCACTGCGCTGTCGCTAGAAAATCGCGGTTGTAGTGTCGATCCGATGCCACGAATGAATTCGGGCCTTCGGAGCGCTGATCAGGCTAGTCCGCTTTAGGTATGTTCATGCCTGATACCCTAGGCCCGAACAGCGTGGCGAACGCCAGTCTACGGTTCGGCCAGAGCGAAGGATCGATCAATCGTGCAATTCTAGGTCAATCAGATATGCAAGTTTGCGGTGCAGGGTAGCTTGAAAGAATGGCGTGCCCCATTTGGGCATTCTTTCGGGGTTGGGCGGTTGAGGATCTGAATCATAGTGGATGCGATGTACCGAGCCTTCTAGTGGGAGGCGACGTCATTCGAGCTTGCAGCGACCAAGTCCCTGATCTGAGTGTAATAGGTACCTTGACCTTAGGCTTGGACAAAACATGCTTGATATTGAATCTGTAGGCTATATACAATATTACAGCGAAGAATTTTTCGTCGACACAGTCCAAGGCTCTAGTGCTCGGAAACAAACACACCGGCCATACCCATGCCCTATTACAAAAAAGGTCAGCATTACGCTCTCAGTAAGAAGGGAATAAGAATAGTCACGTACGGTTCCCACACACATCGAGGTCACAGCAACGCGCTTGTTCTGGCGCCGCAGCTCGGCCAAGGCAGTGACAACCTGTCGGGCACCGGTAGCACCCAAAGGGTGGCCGAAGGCACTGTTTACAGTCAATAAGAAATGGAACAGCTCGCCAGATATCAAGGAGCACCTACATAGCACCACCACGAGGGTTCACCTTGGCCTCATCCAGGCCCAGCTTGCCCACACAGTAGACGCCCTAGCGGAGAATTGTGGTTAGTTTGGTTGACAAGGACTATTCGGAGCGAGTGTGACATACCATGGAAGCAAAAGCCTCATTTATCTCAAAGACATCGATCTCATCCTTGTTTAAGCCAAGCTTGCCCAGAATCTTAGGGATAGCGATGGATGGGCCAATACCCATGATTCGGGGCTCCAGGCCAGCAACAGTAGCACCGCAGAACTTGCCAACAATGGGCTGGCCCAGCTTCTGGGCCTGCGACCGCTTCATCAGAAGCAGCGCAGCGGCACCGTCCGTAATCTGACTAGCATTGCCACCGGTCGTGGCACTAGGTTGCCACTGCGGGAAAGCAGCGCGGATCTTGCCGAGGGACTCGGGGGTCGTGCCATAGCGGATACCATCATCACGATCCACCACAATATCCTTCACCTCCCCGGTCTTGGGATCCTTGATCTGGGTCTTAATGGGCACGATCTCATCCTCAAACCAACCCGCCTTCTGGGCACGCTCGGCCTTCTGGTAGCTGCCCGCGGCGAACTTATCGTGCTGCTCGCGGGTGATGCCGAACTGCGATGCCACGTTCTCTGAGGTCTGGCCCATGGGCTGGTAGTTCTGCGAGGCGAGCGGATGCGTCTGAATCCGCTCTGCCATCTCCGGGGCGCCGCCGTCGGCGTTGGTGCTCATGCTCTCAGCGCCTACCGCGATACCGACATCGATGGAGCCCGCGATGATCTGGTTCGCGATATTTTGGATCGCGAGCAGACCGGACGAGCAGAAGCGGTTTGAGACGGAGGCGGCGGTGCTCACGGGAAAGCCGGCGGCTAGAACGGCGGAGCGAGCCAAGTAGGCTGAGCCGGCGGCAAGACAGTTACCGACGGAGACATCCTCGACGAGGTTGGGGTCGATCTTAGAGTTTTCCCGGACAGCCTAGCGCGTGATGTGAGATTTGAGGCTTTTCGGGGGGGTAGTCATCGAAATGGATATATAGGGCGACCTACCGTGAGCAGGGAGATTAGGAGGTTGTCGACGGTGGTGTCCTTGAAGCCACCCTTGCGGGCCTTGGTGAGTGGCGTGCGCGCGAGATAGGTGATGACCTGGCGCGAGTGTGATTAATTGGGCGCACAGTTTAGCAGCACCCCGAACAACATACCACATCATCGGGGTTCTTCGCGAGAATCTTGGCCTTGGCAGCCGAAACACCAGCGGGTGATAGCTGGTTTGTGATGGACGATAACCGCTGCTGTGGAGAAGACATAGCTGCTAAGAAGTGATCCAGGTGTGGGAGGAGCCGGGGAGTTTTCAGATGCAACGCGGGGATACAAAATAAAAAAATAAAGCTTGCCTCACGGCCGGAGCTGCACTTAATACTTTCCGGGGTGGAAGAAACGCGGGGGCGAATGAACCGCGGCTTAACTTGTGATGAGCTGTGAAGCAGCAACATCCCCCCCGACAGGCCCACCGAGCAACCGAGCCGGCCTCACACGCCCGACGAGGTGGACCAGCCGAGTGGAAGTGCCGTTGCGTCTCGGCGGGCTGCCGGTACGATACCGTCACATAGAAATCCTCGGCTCGCGCAGCATAGCGCTGATTGGTGGATTGGCCGTACTTTACAGACTCGCGCTCCTTCGATCATGCTAGTCGTACTCGTGCTGATATCAGATATTCAGGAGTCGGGAACAAAGTGGACAGACAGCCAAGAATCACGTTAACAAGAACACCATACCACTACACCAGACTATAGCGATGAAAACACTCGAGCAAGGGGCAACTGCTGCTCCCGCCAAGACCGGGGCAAAAAGGAACGGCTAAGACCGCGGGGAACGAGCGGAAGCAGATCAGCCCGGACAATGGAGAACCCCTTTGATAAGACGGGGGATTTCCGTGTTCCTTCCCCACCTCGGCCTGTGTCGCTGGCCTAGCTGTAATGCTGTAATGCCACGGCTCGTTATGAACGGCAAATCAAGCTCGGCCAGCTTCCGTCTGGAGCTTACCAGCGTGGGGTACCCCTTATAAACACCCAGCCTCGCGATTCTCCATGTGGACAGTTGAGAGATTCGGAGCTGTGATCTGGAGGCGACCATCCAGCTAGACCGCTCGCAATTGAACAGCACCGACAATCCCGCCACAGAGCTGCACACACACAATGGACCTTTTTCCGAGGCCAGTGTGCCCACCGTGGCCATTGCGTCGGCTCTGGCTGCAGGCGCGGGGGCCTATCTAAATGCGAAGCTTTCTCTCTCGACAGATCTGGCAGCCCTTTCCAACGACCGCGCTTTTGGCAAGCGGCTTGCGGCGCGCATTGCCAGCCTGGGCGAGTCCACTACTATCTACAAGCTGCTAGAGCGGGTGGTCGAGGAGGGACATGGTGCGGCGGATGCACTCTGGTTTGAGCAGACAACCTGGTCATACAGCCAAATCAAGGATGGTAGGTAGCCTCTTGTACCTGATCGCAAAGCAATAGGAAATTAACTATACACCTAACCTACAGCGGTTGATCGATTTGCTGCTCTACTCCATACGAGGGATGTCAAGGCGGGTGATTTCGTGGGCGTTTTCACGACCAATTCGCCCGAGATGGTGATCCTCCTCTACGCGCTGTCCAAGCTGGGTGCTGTTGCCGCGATGATCAACACTAATTTGCGGGGTAAGCTTTCCATATGTTCTTTTACAGACAAATTCTGCAATCTCACTGGTACTAATGCGTGTCCAGACGATACGTTCATTCACTGTCTCAACGTCTCGGACTCGACATCGATTATCTCCACCCCCGATATCTCACAATTCGTTTGCGCCGATCTACCACACTTCGCTTTCAATCTGTCGTCCTTCAACGGTGTCTCAACCGGACCCGTCGAGCTGATCACTGCAGCCGATCTGCAACAATACCCCCCATCCGGACTGGACCCTGCTAAGCGCAGCCCTAAAGACCTGGCAGCGCTGATCTACACATCGGGCACGACGGGAAAACCCAAGGCCTGCGCCGTTCGGAACATGTTGGCTATGGTCACCTCCACTCCTCTCAGCATAGACGCTAAGAATCCGTGCAAGTACTACCCTCTGCGCACATATTCACCCCTCCCGCTTTTCCACGGCACAGCCTTCTTTACCGGATTGTGTTACTCGGTGGGTACCGCCGGGACACTTTGCTTGAGACGCAAGTTCTCCGCTTCACAGTTTTGGAAGGACGTACACGATTCCAAAGCCACACGTATTCTATACATCGGTGAGCTGTGCCGGTACCTGCTCTCCAGCCCTCCGACACCCTACGACCGCAATCACAACTGCATTGCAGCGGCAGGCAACGGACTCCGTGGCGAGATCTGGGAGAAGTTCCGTGAGCGGTTCGGTGTGCCTGAGATACGTGAGTTCTACCGCTCCACGGAAGGAATCGCCAGATTCGATAACCACGGGGTTGGCGCATGGGGTGCTGGTAAGGTCGGTTTCTCTGGTCCCATCCGTCGCTTCCTTGAAGATGACACGTTCATCGTCAAATATGATCCGGAGACCGAGATGCCCTTCCGCGATCCTGTTACTGGGTTCTGCGTTCGTGCTCATTTGGGCCAGGAGGGCGAGGCGATTGGTCGTGTGCGCGATCGTGGTCTGTTGATTGAGTATCTGCACAATGATGACGCCACTGAGAGCAAGCTGCTGCGCGATGTCTTCCAGAAGGGAGATCTCTTCCAACGCACGGGTGATCTGGTTGTTCAGGATTACTCGGGCTGGATTAAGTTCCAGGACCGCGTTGGAGATACCTTCCGCTGGAAGGGTGAGAATGTCAGCGCGGGTGAGATCCGTGATCATATCTGCCGCATTGAGGGTATTCATGATGCCGTGGTATATGGCGTCCAGCTCGCCGGGTACGTGCGAAGGTCATTCTGCGAAGACGACGTGCTTTCCTAATACTTGTCTTTAGGTACGACGGCCAAGCCGGTGCCGCTGGAATCACTCTGGAAGAGCACTCCCCGGCCTTTGAGACTGAGTTCATTTCCAACCTATACAAGGAGCTGCAGAAGAGAGGAGTACCCTCTTACGCCTTTCCTCGCCTGGTTAGGATCACCGAGAAGTTTGTTGTCCTCTGATTCTGGTTTTGACACATGATCTTATTAACATTTTGTAGGGTCGCAACGGGAGTTACTTTTAAACAGGCCAAGGGTGACCTAGTCAAGAAGGGATGGGATCCCCGCAAAGACTGGGGTGGGGATTCTTTGTACTGGTTGAACGGCACTAAGTACGAGAAATTGGATGACCAGAGCTGGGCGCTCATCGAGGGTGGCAGGGCCAGGCTATGAGATACGATATCAAGACCACAGTAATAAGGTTTCGCTGTGTATATACATGATTAGATTCTCCGTGTGTATTATACTAGCATGCAAGGTCCATTACGTACCGTTGTTGATGACCTGTTGCGTGTTCAACCTGGAGAAGCCGAGCTGTTGCATTGATCATGTTGTCTCGGTACCTAGGGGAGAATACGGAAATAAATGCAAATCATTGATTGCTCTCGCCAACCTAAAAAAATCAGTCGATTTTTGTTCGCTCGGAAATCCATAGGTCAATCAAAAGCGCGATTTAGCCCCGTAGAATGCATTTGGCGTCGCCCTACTATGCACTGATATTTGACCACCACCGACCTAAAATCGGTAGTCTGCTACCAAATTGAATTATTCTAACCCGACAACCCGGCCTCCCTCAACCGCTACAGGAGATTCAGTGCCTGCTCAATGTCCTCGATAATGTCATTCTGGAATATAGGATTAGTTGCATCCGCTTAGAATATTGCGGTATTCGTAGCTTACCGAATTTTCCAGCCCGACCGACACCCGAAAAAAGGCTTCATCGACCTCTGTAATCCCTGGTCTGGGGGACAAAGCGACATTTGGCAGATAGATGAGTGTCCTGTGCAATTTGTTTAGTCTCGCCTACGGCCACAGGCTTTGATTTCGACTCACTGGGGATTTCCCACGCTGCTCAAACCAGTTAGCCATCGGGACATGGAAGGATAATTCCTTTGACGCAAGAACTCACCCGTCAGATTCCCCGATCATCTTCAAGTTCGCAACCAGCGCCTTAGCTGCTTCCACTCCGCCTCCTACTATCCCGAAATATAAGATCGCCCCATACGCATTCCGTTGTCGAAGATAGGTCTCTGCGCGGTCGACTTTCTGGTGATCAGGCAGACCAGGGAATATCACCCGACTCACTTTTCCGTTTGATGCCAGCCATCTCGCCAATATTAAAGCGTTTTCGTGGTGCCGATCTAGACGAGGAGACAGGCTTGCCAGCCCGGCTAACGCGAAAGTCGCCGCGAATGGGTTCAGAGAGGGTCCGACATCACGCAAAATTGCCATCCGAACGTAAAAGATATAAGCAAGGGCGTCGAACTTTTCGCAAAAATTGAGACCGTGATAGCCAGGGGCCGGAGTCGTAAGGTGCGCAAATCTCTCGGCGTGTTCAGCCCAGTGAAACTTTCCGCTATCGATAATTATCCCGGAGCGAACCGTGCCAGACCCGGTGATCCATTCCGAGGATGCGTGCACGACAATGTCTGCTCCATGATCGATAGGCCGAATGAGGTAGCCTGCAGCCCCGGCCGTATTATCTCTGCAAGCCTGTCAGGACACGATTGTAGTTATAGCTGGTTGAGGGACTGACACTATAAGCGGAATTCCAGCCTCATGAGCTATCGATGCGACCAGCTTGATATCTGCAATGTCCAGACCCACACTGCTTATACTTTCAATATACACCGCGCGCGTCTGGTCGTCGATTGCGTTGCGGATCGCGTCGGCATCATTGGTATCGACAAACTTGACGGAAATGCCACGTGATGGGAAACTGTATTTGAAATGGTTGTATGCGTCTTCTGCTATGGTGGCTGATGATATAATGTTCTCGCCAGCACTGGCTAGACCAAAAATAGCCATCCACCGAGCTGCTTCTCCGGAACTGGTTCTTCGTTAACTCAAGTAGGCATCCGATGGAATGAGTAGGCATATGACTGACGCTGCTGCAAGGCTAGCAGCCCCGCCTTCGAGAGCCGCGATGCGCTGTTCAAGTACACCCAGTGTAGGCTGGGAAGTCATTAGCTCGTTCCCATATCTCACAGCACGTAGATGCGTACATTCCCCAGTCGGCTGTAGGCGTAGTCCTCAGCCCGCCCGGCAAAGATATCGGCGCCATGTTGAGAGTTATTGAAGACGAAAGACTAGATATGGTGATCAGTAATCCAAGGAGCCTCTGCAGGTAGGAACTGATGTTGCTGCTATACCGTAGTTGTATAGATGGGAGTTGTCACAGCTCCTGTTCCTGAGTAAACCCTGTGCACGTCCTTTCTTAGAGGCTGTGTTAGCTCATGAGCCAAAGCTGTGGGGCACAGCAGAGAAAGTACCCAGCATGAATTGACAGGCTCTCATAGCGGAGTTGGTCTTTTTGGTTTGCCATGATGCTATCGAGATTTGTGTGCGATGTGAGTTAGCACGATGGTAAGGTACCATCGGGTCGCCGATTAGAACTACCTCGGTCCTTATCGTGGACGCGGACTACTTAGAAGCCTTACGAATTACCCCGCGATGGGCTGCGGGTGGGGCAACCGAAGTGTTTTGGGTGGCTGGACCGGTTTTCCTTTTCTCTCATCCACACATCGATAAGCGTTCTCCCAGTTCACGAAATAGAGACAAGGATGCAGTAGATTACTGTCGAACATCTTCAGCAAATCTGCGGCTGTGCAACAAAATCTTTGTTGCCCAGGTTATGCTGCCTGGCCATCACGCCATCATTAACTAGTCCGTGCCGGTCTCTTATCTCATCCTTTATGAGAGGCCTCTCGCCATTCTAGGTGTTGGCTTGCTTTTAGTTTCATGTGCTCTATAGCTTACCTCCACGGCTGCGCTTTTGATTGGACAAACAGACTGACTTTAGGATGATTTGGTTATCTAGCGCAAATGGCGTATAGAAGCCGTTTCCTGGTGTAATCCCTTCTTAACTCGGATCAATTTTTCCGGCCGTGACAGGGAGGGGCGTGAAAGTTTTTTCTAAACGACGACAGAGAAGCCTTGTCACCCGAAGGCTCTCATAACTCCCCCTTGCCTCTTAAGAAAAAGAGCGGTTCAAGATGGCCTCGACGCGGAGCAAAGTTGCGATTTGGCTCTGGGGGCCAGACCCCAGAGATCGTGATCTTCTGGCCAAACTCGACGTGACACTGCTTCCCTACTTTTCGTTGATCTGGTTTCTTTTTGGGGTCACTCGAGCCAGTTACTCCTCCGCTTATATTAGCGGAATGAAAGAGGCCCTCAACTTCCAGGGGAAAGAGTACAATTACATGATCACCGCGTATTTGGTTGTTTATGCCGTTTGTCAAATGCCCGGAACCAGTCTTCTGACCATCGTGCGGCCCAAATATGTGTTTGTCGCGGCCAATGTGACCTGGAGTATGTTGACCTTGATCACATACAAGATGACCCATGCGTGGCAGGTTATTCTGTTGAACGCGATTGAAGGAGGGTTCTCGGCCATCGCATAGTAATACCCCCGCTCCTTCACACACGAGGTATCTCCGGAACCAGTTGTCCTGACTTTGAGAACAGCGTCGGGGCCCAATTTATACTCGGCTCCTGGTACAAGAAGTCCGAACTCGGCATACGGGCTGCGGTGTTCTGTGTGTTTGGTCATATAGGGAGCATGGCGGGCGGTTGGATTCAAGCTGGACTGCTGGAGACGCTAGCGGGCAAGGGAGGCCTACCCGCTTGGAAATGGATCTTTATTATCGTCTCCGTGATGACTGTCCCAGTTGCGCTATTCGGTATGTTTGCAGACAACCTACCTACGGGGCTGGACGGATGATCTAATCGCGACGATTCATAGGCTGGGTCTTCATTCCAGACCTCCCGGCACACCGTGCGGCCTGGTATCTCACTGACGAGCAAAAGGAGCACGCCATTACTCGTCTGGGCGTTCCTCGCAAGACGTCCTGGGACGTGACCGTATTCAGGCGTGTTCTGCTGAGCTGGCAATTCTGGCTCTTACCGTTTATTTTCATGCGTATGTCTCCAGGCATTATCTCCGAAGGCCCCCGTCACTAACGGTGGTACAGTGTACTCTCTATCCGTGCAAATGCTACAGAACAACGTCATGGCCTACTGGATGGCTGGACGAGGGTACACAACCGTTCAACAGAACAACTATCCCACCGGAGTGTACGCGACCGCAATTTTTGGCACCGTTCTCTATGCCATCATCTCGGACAAGCTCAAGTCCCGCTGGGAGGTCTCTATCGCCATCGGCCTGACTTTTGTCATTGGCTCAGCCATTCTGGTGTCAAACCCGCCCACGGACGCCGGCTATTTCGTGGCATTCTATCTACTTGGAACCACCTTTGCACCCCAGGCAGTTTGGTACTCCTGGCTGGCCGACGTGACCGGCCACGATTTCCAGCTCCGTGCCATTGCGACCGGATTCATGAACTCGTTCGACTTTGCATTCGTCACCTGGTGGCCGTTGATCTTCTACCCTGCAACCGATGCGCCGGATTTCCACAAAGGATATACTGCGAGTCTAGTGACGGGGGCGCTCACCCTACCTCTCATTGGGGCGATCGCTTACCTGGAGAAGAGGGACACGGCGAGCGGGATCATCGGTACGGTTGCGGTCGAGAACCCCCTCATTGATGATGATGGTTCGCGAGACGGCGAGCCAGGCAAGCCGGCCAATGCGCCGGTCAACGTGCGAGCGACTGAGGTCAGCGTGTAGTCAAGGCAATTGAATCGTAGATGAGATTTGATAGGCATGGAGTATCTTCGAATCTTTGCTTTATAACACCACGAGACTACCTGTTGTTTTTCCACCACCGGTCTTTGCATTTGATGGTATGATAACGCGCGATCCCCCTCGGCCTAGGACGAAGTATAGACTGGAGGAATAGGCGGAATGGAGCGGCCTGTGGAGTGAGTTACTGTCCTCTGCGTTGGTGATCCTATTTCCGCTCTAGCATCTAACCTTCCTCGGGCCGCTCGACATGCGTTGATCAAGTCTGTAGATATGTGACGCTGGACATACACGGGGTCTTGATCAGTACGAACTGCAACGGTCTCGGAAAATTTTCCGAATACAGAGGACCGACTTGCGCTGATCACCACCACTCCTCCCCACTCTTGATCTTGATCACTTGATAGAAGCACATAGAGACGGTTCTAACTTCTCTCCACCTCCCCCACTCTTGACTGCCTGGGTCGAAATTCGTAGTTGCGTAAGTCGACCGGATGTCAGGAGAGCATCCCTAAGTCGTAAGTGTATCCGATCAAGGCCGCCCACTTCCGTGACTGGGATCTACAAATATGGGATCTGCAAAAAGAACCCTGACCAGGGAGCGACCACTTTCTTATAAGGCTACCTTGGTATATAGTATATATAGTACTGGCCTAGGCAGATACTGTCTACGTATTTGACAACACCGTGACTTGACGTGGTGACGACGACAGAGACGAGGGCTCATTTCACTGCAGTTTAGGGAACGGCTCATCGATCTCGTCATGGCCCTCCCGCAAGCCTTCGCTTCTCCAGCCGCCCTGGCGGCGATTTTCATGGCCGGCATTCTCCTCTGCCTGCTGTTGCGAATCGGACGGCGGCCGAAAGGCATGCCGCCAGGTCCTCCAACTATTCCAATCATGGGCAACTTGCACCAGCTGCCCAGGGAGGATGTTCACGTCAAATTCAAAGAGTGGGCGGATCAATATGGGGATATCTACTCAGTCATGCTGGGAAGCCAGCGGATGGTGGTCTTGAACTCGCCCCAGGTGGTCAAGGACCTCATCGACCAGAGGTCAAACAACTACTCCTCTCGGCCTGAGATGTACGTCGGCCAGACCCTCATCTCAGGCGGGTACCGCCTCGTCCTGATGCAGTACGACGAAGGCTGGCGGCTCGCTCGCAAGATGATCCACAACCTCCTCAACATCAAGACTGCCGTCGAGTATATCCCATTCCAGGAGCTCGAGCTCCGGCAGATGCTGGCAGACATGGTCAAGGAGCCCAACGCGTACCATGACCACGTCAGACGCTACAGCACGTCGCTTGTCACCAGCTTCACTTTCGGCTGGCGGAGCCTGGCCTTCCATGACCCCGACGTCAAGGCCATCTACGAAGGCTTTGAGGAGTTTGCCGTGGCCTCCAATGTCTCAGCATCGATGTTGGACTACTTCCCCTTCCTTCGGATCATGCCTGACTGGATGAACCCGAGCAAGAGACGCGGCAAGCAGCTGCACCAGGCCGAACTTGACCTGTACAAGTCCTACATGCTCAAGGTCAAGCAGCGCAGCGAGAAGGGCGTCAGTTCCAAGAACTTTTGCGACACCATGTTCAAGCTGCAGGAGAAGCACGGCTTCAGTGATGATTGGGCATCCTACGTCAGCGGGACACTGCTCGAGGCCGGATCGGACACCACAGCATCCATCTTCCTGTCCTTTGCCGTGGCCATGATCAACTTCCCCGAGGTGCAGAAGAAAGGCAAGTCATAATCTTCCCCTCACTCTATCTATTCCACTCTCGATTCCCTTTTTTAACCTGCCCGCGCCTCTGACTGACCCCTTGACAGCGCAAGAGGAGGTCGACCGCGTTGTCGGACCGAACAGGCTGCCCACCATGGCCGATGAGAAGTCTCTCCAGTATATCCGCGGAGTCGTCAAGGAGTCGCTCCGCTTCTTGCCCTCGTCCATCCTGGGTATTGTGCCCCACGCGAACACCAACGCCGACACGTACCGTGGCTATCACTTCCCTGCTAACACTGGCATGATGATTAACGTGTGGGCCCTGAACAACAACCCCGAGCGATACCCTAACCCGCGCAACTTTGAACCGGATCGATACAAGGACGACTTCCTCCGCGCGCAGGAGAGTGCCACCCTCAACGACGTTAGCAAGCGCGACCATTACACCTTTGGCGCCGGGCGCCGGGTTTGCCCTGGCCTGAACATCGCCGAGCGCAGCCTATTCCTCGGCATCACTTACATGCTGTGGGCCTTTAGTTTCGAGCACGCAACGGACGAGAAGGGCAACAAGATCCCCGTCAGTACGGAGGATGTCACGCAGGGTATCGTGTGCCGGCCGAAGCCATTCCCCTTCAAGCTGCGGCGCAGAGACCCTGGGAGGATAGAGATGATTCTCAAGGCGTGGGACAACGCCAAGGAGCTACTGGCTAGGTATCCGGATGGCATACGGAGCACGCAGTATGTAAACGATTGGAAGGAGTTCACCGCAAACGAAAAGTTTACTTAGCTGGCCGCTGTCGGCGTGGCATATGTATGTCAAGTCATACTGTAATACATACATTTGCTCCTCTTATATCATGCGCAGTGAAATAGACGGGCCAAGGAAGTCCACCAGTCAGGGCTGGATCGATGTATATAGTATAGGGAACTCGAGGTCTTGGGTGTCCTCGGGCAGATAGAGTCAAGACAATGGCGGCGCTCGAGCACTCAACATTACGATCATGGATAATAGATAGATAAGCCATCTGCGGGCTGTGGAGGGCATTCTACTTGCCAAACAGACTGGTTACGCATCCGGCTCTCGTTAGTTATCCGTTTCCATTATCTTACCTAATCCATGCACCACTCCACTAACTACCCAAAAAGTTACCGGCCGATGAACCTCAGCTCCAGCCACCGTAGGGGAGGATACACTATGGCAGCCCACGAGGAGCTGACCGGCAAGCCCAAGTCGATTCCGTCGCCGACCAGCTTGCCGAGAGGGCCGGTGAAGTATGTCTGGTACATACCCAAGGTCGCGCCCAGCCAGCCGACGAGGAAGGCGGCCAGAGCTGCCAGCCCGATGGGTAACCTCTTCCTGTCGTTCCAAGCGGTCCAGTCGTAGCCGCCTGTTTTGCGGCGGAAAAGAAGCTCCTCTTCCAGTGTCATTGTGATCCAGAACGCAGTCCAGTAGCCTATGAGGGCGAGGAAGCTCTCGAAAATCTCGAAGAGCTTGTCCCTGCCGGCACAGGCGCACACGGTGCAGATGACGACGCTAATGATGGCCCAGAATAGGCGCGGCAGCTGGGCAGGCCAGTGCCCGATGAGCTGGAAGGATAGGGCGCTGCTGTAGAGCGAGGGGACGACGTTGGAGATCAAACCCAGGGCGACAATGCACGAACAGACGTGCCCAAAGGTGCCGAGAGGGGCGTACGACTGGTCGAGGAGCGCCCCAACGCTGATTTCGTAAGCCTCGGCCCAGCCTGGCGTGTTTGCAACGCCGGAAGCGATGCCGACGCCGACCATGTAAGTGCAGGCGCAGGAGAGGCCCATCCCGAGCGTGGTGGCCATGAAGACCTTCCAGCGCTTCGCGTCAGGGGGGAAGTAGACGTAGAAGTCGGCAGAGGCAGGGGCCCAGGCCAGGCAGCCCGACATGCAGAGAAAGAAGAAGGACATCCTGTCGGCGGCCTTCACCGCGCTGGTGCCAGTTGACGGCTCGGTGGTATTGAAGTACGGCCCCGCGCAGCCGACGGCGACAAAGAGGACGACTAGCTGCGGAATGCAGGCGTACCGCTCATACACATGGAATACCCGGATGCCAAAGAGCAAGATGGCCAGGGTGATTATGGCCGAGATGACCACACCCACGACGACGCTCATACCATTTCCGTTGATATGGGACATGATCTGACCAGCGATGAGGAGATCAATGAGGCCGTACCCCAGCATGATAACGATGTTGAGCAGCACGCAAAGGCGCGATGGCCACCAGCCCATGGTGTATCGTGCGATGACCTTTCTCCGTCAACCCCACCGCTCCGACACCAGGGGGATTAAGAACTCACCAGGGTACGATTGCCGCTGATGGGGCCGAAAGTCGAGATGTAGGCCGAGCACGCAGCGCCCGCCATAGCGCCGAAAGCCGCGAGGATCAACCCATCGGCTAGGCCCAGGTAGAAGACCAAAGGCCCCAGAAGCCCCAGCATGGTGTTATTCGCGGTGAGATTGGCTGAGAACCAGACCAGACCCATCTGCACGTAGTCGCCAAGGACCGTCTTCCTCGCTCGAACATCCTCGGGGACTCGCTCGATGCCACGGGCCTCCAGGCCGAGCTTCTGCTCCATGCGTAACGACCACCGCTGGAACACATTGTTCAGCGGCAGGACTTCGTCGACGAAGCCTGTCTCCGTGGCCGGGAGGACATGGTCGGACGCCGTGTCCAATGCCTTTTCGGATTTGGATCCATCAGAAGTGTCGGCCATCTTCCTTGATCTTCGGATGGGAGAGACTTGTTTGACTTGATGCTGCTGCTGCTGCCCATCGACTGTGGTGGTCCGAATGTTTTATAGGACAGGCTACTCGGTCAATGGCTTCCTCATCGTGCGCCTCGCCTCCGTGGGAATGTCGGGACACCATAACGATAAGAGACCTCCACCGAGACCACTGAGATGTTCCCCATCCTTGATAGTGTATCGTCCCACTCTCAACGATACCTCGGCTTATCGAAGGTGGGGGGAACGCTTTGGTTGCGCCCTGAGCCCTGCTTGGGATAGGAGCTAATCAAGGTTCCAACCAATTAGCGCCGACAGCATATGGCTACTAGGCAATCGGCAGAGTATGTACTTCGCATCTCGTATCTCACCCCGGCGCCCTTCTTCCCAGATGACCGGCTTGACATGGCTGTTGTATTTCAGAGGAAGGTTTATTGTTCCCACAACAGAGTTGGTTGGTGCTCAGAGAAAGGTTCAGTTCTTGTTATTTCCGAGGAAATATACGAGCCTGTATGTACAACATGGAGTCTAGGTTGATTTCAAGCAATTTTGTTCTCCATATAGATAGTGCAGGAATTATTTCTAATGATTATGAGAGTCTCATGTATACGTAGAGGTAGACAGCGTCTCCTAGATGAGAATTTACTATTAAGAGCAACTCTGGTTAGACATTGACACTCCCATGGGTATTCCCATATGGGTAGGTCCCATTCCGCCTGCGCATGGGTGCCCATCCGTCCCATGGCGTCCCATGATGCAGAATTTATGATAAATGCACTTTTATGTCATACTTTTCGGTATTTAGTCTTAAAGTCAAATCTATTGAAATTGCGATTAAATCAGATAAAACGAACAACATTTCCATAGATCGAGTGAAATATATATATTATAAGCTGGAGGATATATATAGGACTAGAAAAATGAGGTTAATGGTGAGTTTACGAGTGAGTGAAAGTAATTTAATGAAAGTGCTGGTGTGGTCGCCACAATCAATATGTCTTTTGAAGCTCCGACACTGAATCTCTACCACCACTTTTGAATGTCCAACCCAAGTTCGCTTAAAAGCTTAATGGTACCGCTTAATACTATCGTACTATGCCTATAAACAAGCTTGTTACCTCGTAGGGAGGCTAAAAGGTGGTGATATCACATGTTCGGACTAAAAAACATGTAAATAATATACATTAATCAGCACATCAGTATAACTATAACCACTCAGGAGACATTAGGGCTATTTGAACAGTCAGGGCAGTTAGATCAGCCAGAGCGACCAGCTGAGGCTATTCGACTTAGGCAGGTTAACTACCAAAGTAACCAGAGCGAAGGGCTTCAACGAGATATACAAAGTGTTGAAATGTCGGTCATACGCGAAATTTCTGTCCAAATGGCTAGGTTTTTGAATATAATGGCTTTTTGATGGAAATGAGAACATTCTTAGAAATAGTGGGGGCGTAGGTATCCGGGGGTATTACACATCATAGTACGCTAACTAAATATGGGGTTTGGGGGGGGTGAGGGTAGCATTTTCGGGGTGTGTTTTTAGCAATGCCCTCGCATATCCATCCAGACTGAGAAATGCCAATGGCTTGGCTCCTTCAATGTAAAAACGAATACTGAATTGGAGATTCTCGGTGCTAGGACCATTCGGCGCCGATCCACATTTCAAATGGGGCGATCTTGTCCACAGGTCTCGCGATCGGAGCCCGTCGATGGCACCATCAGCTTTGGGCCGCTGGACGACCGGAGCAGGTGGAATACCCCTCTCGTCGGCCTGCAGCCCCCTTCTCTTCGTTGTAACAATCACCTCCAATTTTGCCCATCGCAACCACGCGAAATGGCTAGGGAAAAGATTCTCTTTGAGAAGAACGGGCTCGAGCTCTTCGGCCTTTTCCAGCGGGGTGCACGCGCACAGGCACTGCCACTGATAGTCCTAATTCATGGCGGGGGAGCCACGACGGCGTTCTTCGATAATTCCGTCATTTCGTGAGTTTGCCTCTTCGCATGCTTTTTGGAGTGATTGAATGGGAATCTCATAAGCATATAGAGTGGTCAGCGAGTTCCACAAGCTCGGCCATGACACCCTCAACATCTCCCGCCCTGGCTACGGGGGACGCCCGCGCCGAGCAGCTTAACACCCCTGCGGGACTCGATACCGGTATTTATCGACTTCATCGACCAGGTATACAGTGAGAAAGGGCATGCAGGTTTGATCCTGGTGGGACATTCGATCGGCGGGGCCATCGCCCTGTCTATCGCCCACGAAGCGCAGGGGCGGTTGCCAATTTTCGGCGTCAGTGCCATGGGGTGTTTGCCGACTCTGGCGCCATTGAGGCTGCTTCCCGAGGTCGACCCAGAGCCTGAGAATCCAAGATTCGTTGTCGACAATAACCCGGAGAATGTCAGACGATTCATGGGCAGAACGGAGTGGTTGAACCTCGATGCGCTGTCTGCGGATATTGTGTCCACGGTTTTTGAGCCCGGTATGTCTTGCGAATCTCAAGAAACAGGCATGCATTTGCTGAGTGTAACAGGCATCAAGGCGGAAATCAAGGAGTACCAGACCTCCGATCTGTACGAGTACCTGGTCGCCAGGGTCTTTCCCGGTATCCGGGTGCCGGTCCAGTATTTAGCGGCCGAAGCCGAGGTCCTCTGGGATGACGAAGAACAGGGGAGACCGATATTTGATACTTTGGTATCGCATTTCAAAAATGCCTCCGAGATTGATTCAGCTATCTTGCCACGGGGTGGCCATAACTATGAGTTCTCCAAAAGTGTCGACATACTGTTGGATCGCAGGAATGAGTTCGTCCGGAAACTAGTATGGAATCCAACTGACGGAAGAGAAGCGTATCTTTCACTAAGGTTCTTTTAGTCAACAAGATTTGAACGCACCAACGGCGAAACGACAATCCAAGTACCATTTACCAATGTCCCCATCTTGGATTACGCTCAAACGGCCTCCGCAAGTACGCGAGCGACGTTCCTGACAGCACTAAAAAACGCCATCGTCAATGTCGGCTTCTTCTACCTCAAAAATACCGGTGTTCCAGATGAATTATACCGAGATCTGGCCGAGCAGTCCATTGCCTTATTTAACTTACCATTGGAGAAAAAACTGGAGATTGAAATGGTGAACAGCAAGCATTTCTTGGGTTATGCCCGGCTCGGCCAGGAGGTAACGGCTTTGAGAAGCGACTACCGCGAGCAATTCGACGTAAGTTCTCTTCCTGTGCAACTGTGATTACTTTATACTTACTCACTGGCACAGTTTGCGACTGAGCTGCCTGCCCCTGGCCCCGAGGAACCCTTATATCGCAACATTCGTGGGCCCAACCAAGTTAGCCGTCATCCCCCTCCCTTTCCAGCCTCGAAATAATCTAACCGATCAGTGGCCGGATGCGGAGGTCTTGCCCAGCTTCCGTTCCACGATCGAGCACTATCTAGAATCAATCGAAACGTTATCGAATTCTTTCAAGGCCCTCGTTGCCGAAGCGTTGGAGCTCCCTTCAAACGCATTTGATCAATTTTTCGATTCTCCACAGCAGAATAAGCTCAAGTTGATCAAATACCCGGAGCCCGTGGACGCCCAAACTGACGAGGACACTCAAGGAGTCGGCCCCCACAAGGACTCGTGCTTTCTGACCTTTCTCTTGCAAGGCACTCCGCACACGGGACTAGAAGTGCAAAATAAAGCGGGGACGTGGCTGCCAGTGAAACCCATACCTGGTACACTGGTTATCAACATTGGCCGCGCTCTAGAAGCCATTACAGGCGGCGTGTGTACTGCCACGACGCACCGAGTGAATCTGCGCCGTGAGAACTATCTCGATGCTGACGGCCAGTCGCTGGGCCCACGGTTATCTTTCGCGGTCTTTCAGGGCGTCAGTCTTGATCTGGGTGTTGAGAAAATTCACATCAGGATCCCGCAGCATATCAAAGAACTGGTTCAGGATGAGAAGGTACGATCGGATGCTGAGGCCACGTTTAACGAGATGTTCAATGGAAACATCGGCGAGGGGACGCTGATTGCGCGCATCACGAGCCATCAAGATGTCGCACAGCGATGGTATCCTGATCTCCTCCAGCAGGCCTTGAAGGCCCAAAGCGATAAACACCGATAACTGTTGCTGTTTGCATTAGATAATTCCACCCCCGGGCTACTACAAAAAAATCTGAACAGCGCACGCGCCTTCCTTCCTTGTCGATTAATCAGGGAGCCTCACGTGTCCAGTTCTACCTGTCAACCCTTGGGCAAGGCCCATAAGCGGGCGTAGCCAAGATTAGCCCGCTCCTACCACATGCTTCCCCGGAGAAACTTCAGGGTTGGAGGGATTGACTGCGACGTATGAAGCAAGTCATGAGATAAACCAGGTACACTGAAAATCAAGGAAAAGCCTGCTCTATCAAAAATAGACACAACCCAATGTGGCCTGGCAATCAAATGCCTAATGTAGCAAGTGGGAACACAGTAATGAAGCTTTCCTGTGATATGCACCGTTCGTCCATATGCCGTTCTTCCCCGTCAAAGATATAGAGATTCAATATTGCTCTGATCTTCTAGACAGGCTGCTCATTACACTACCGTACCTTTCGCACTTTTTCTGCTTCCTGTGTACTGGTATCTTTAGATGCTTCCACCTGTCATCATCAAATTAATGAATTACCGTCAGGCAAGCTACTCTACTGAAAAGAAGATCGAATATGTGATTCAATTTGCAGTATCCTGGCAGGTCTAACCTCCCAGAGAGCAATGATGGCGACTTTTTCACAGAACAACCGGCCATTAATCCAGAGCTAAACCAGAAAGGACATTATACTGCAGGAGCAGTACAATTGCAAAGATGGAAATTGAAGAGCATCTTTCATCAGTCGCCAGGAGTCACCGAGAGAAACCAGAAGACGATTTATGGAGGAACAGCCGCAATTTGCGACACCAGGAAGCTGACAACAAAGCTTGAACCAAAGAGGAAAACAGAAATTTCTGAAGGAAGCCAGACAAGTTATGTATTTCTGTTGTGAGTGGTGACAGAAAAGCTCCTCTTCGCAACATATCAGGTCGGGGCACTATCAGCATCTAGGTCCCATTGCTCCCATCCATTCAGCTTACTTTGCTTTCCATGCGAAACCACACCATGGTTTACACATTTGATCGCACATTCGTCCACTGGGGCTTGTGAATTTACTCATAAGGTGCCATGAGGGTGTTTCCGAGCACCATCAAGGAGAAGTCTTTCTCGCCCAGCGTGGACGTGTGCGACCAAGGCTTGAGCTTGTTTTCTTTCTCAATGGTCCTAGCGAAGCAGTTGCTCCACTGCAGACGTGGGAAGTGCTTGGTAACATCTTCTATGGTTGATGGATGAACTATGTCAGAGTATAACCCAGCATTGTCTGGTTCGACGAGTTCATCAGTAAGGTCGATCGTGCATGGTCTGATAATATATCTGCGAGTGCAAACTACAGGGGATCATACCGAAGATCGTTGCCAGCTGCAGTAACTGGCCTACAGCAGTGATCTTTCCCTTCTGGCACAAGTCTTGGTGGCGTATAATCGCTTCCGCTACGCTCTCTGCTTGGTCTTTTGGAGCGGTCGCGTTCTTAGAGTCTCCCTGGTGTTGCAGAACATCAAGAGCCAGGAATCCTCCGTAGAACTCGAAGCTCATTTTGGTTGCATTCAAGTTCTCCTCAGTTGTACCAATGTCGTGGAGCAGACAAGCCAAAAAGTAGGTCTCGTCGGAGAAGGCCCACGTTGGAAACCTATATCGTTTAATAGCAATTCCGTAGTGATAGACTCGGAGAGAATGATTGTAGGTCGGGGTGGGGAGATGAGCTTTGGCGTAGGCATCGATACGTTGGGCGAGAGGCGTAGATGGTATCGGCGTTTGGGCCACTGGAAAAACAACGGGCGCTGCTGATGGAGGATCGGTCTCGAGAAGAGTGGAAGCAGATGACAAAACAGGTGTAAAGCCATAAACCGAGATCCCCGCGGAGGAAGACATGGTCGAATGTGGAGGTAGCAAAGCTCCGTGGCAATTCAATAATCGAGAAAGACCGCCGCTGATAGTAAATCAGGTCATGGCAGCGGAAAAATCATCCTTATATTTATACTATATACTAGACCTTTGTGCCATCATGCTTACAAGAAAATGAATCTAGATCTTTGTCCCGCGAAAGAGGGCGTCATTGGTAAGCATTGACGCCGTTTGTGGACGTTTGTACGCTGGTGCTGACCAACGAAGAGTCACTGCGGAAACTAGCCGGCGCAACGGAAAATGTCTTATGCTCTTTCCAACTCAACAAGACTTCTCTATGAATAAAAGTGGCATCTTGATTTCAATCAGCCACCTTCTCCGCGGAGCTTTATCCACCACAGCCCTTTTCGTCGGTAAAGCGGGATCTGGAACGGTGTTCAACTCCGGCAAGTGGCGGAAAGCTTATACGCTTATATATTGACAGTGACTCTGAGGTGGCCCTAAGAAAAATGACATGCGCTATTTGATGCTTGGCCCACCCCTCACCATTGCTCGGTGAATTAAGAGCGTACTATAGGCGGGGACCGGCCAGTATGCACAATGTTGAGCTAACTAATGCTTCTTCACTAAATTGCTGCTCGAACAATATGTAGCGCAAAGCAAAACATGAGGGTGGCAAATGCAGAGGTAGCAGATGCACATAATCTAATAACACCCCCTATTCCCTGTGGCAGATTCAGGCAACAGGCACGTTCTTCGGCTCTCGCTTCGTGAGACGCAGGCGACGCCTCCACTTCATGCGACTTTTCTTCATTGCCCGCTGGGTTCGCTCCAGGGGATAGTTGACGGGGGATTCTCCGCCAGTAAATATCATGAAATCGTACAAGAAACCTCCCATGAAAGCCCCACTGGTTGCGCCCACCCAGGGTCCGTAGAACCAGTACGGGTTGAGAAACATATCATTGCTGTAACCGAGCGCAAGAAGTGCGAGGCGGGGTCCAAAATCGCGACTGGGGTTAAATGCAGCACCGGTTTGGTAGGCGAAAGTCATCGTCAGACATGTAATGACAAGACCCATGATCAGCGAGCTCATACCAGCGCCAGGCGGAGCATTCTGATCATCACCCAGAGCCAAGATTGTGACGGCGAGGAAGCACGTTCCCAAGAACTCGGTGAAGAAAGCCGTCGCAGGACCTATCCAAGCTTCACGCTGATTAGTGACAAAGCTGTTGATGATCGCGGTGTCCGCGTTCGTGCTGATGTAGTACTCGATCGAGTGATAGTAGAGACCATACGCCGTGAGACCGGCACAAAAGGCGGCAACAAACTGCGCCGCGAAATACTCAGGCATCTTGCTCTTGGGGAAGCCACGGTAGAACCAAAGCATTATAGTGATGGCTGGATTCAGGTGTGCACCGGAAACACCACCGGAAATGTAGATGCCCATCATGGTGGCGAAACCCCAGGCCCACGCGGTGGTGTTTGGGTTGCCTGCATCTGCCACAGTCACGGCCAAGTCCGCACAGAACCCAATTGTTACTGCACATAGGCCGCCAGGGCCTCAGCTAGAGCCTCGCGGTGGTGTGTTCGAATGACCGACCAAGTCGTGTGGTTGTTGTGCACTTCATCCTCAACCAGGTCCTGCACCAAAGGATGCAGGTCTTCCGGGCAAGTTGCATGATCGAGGGCGGGAAATTCAAACCGTCCGCTCGGTTCGCCATCGGAGTGTAGCTCTGGTTCCTCGGGCACCGGGCGTAATGGATCATCGCTCAAGTACTCTGGCTGTCTCGCTGGAGTTTCTTCTGTTGCCTGCGACCCATCTTCATGGAGAGTTGACAGCTGCTCGTCAAACACCGAGGGCCGCCTCAAACGCGTTGAAGAAGTGCGAGACAGGCGTGACCCTTGCTTGCCGAATGTTACGTCGCCACTCAGCACCTTGTTCATGAAGTTGTTTTCACGCTGCAGGCGCGCATCCTCCACCTGCGCCGCCATCTTCCGCGGGTCGGCACTTTTCTCAATTCGGCCCTGTTCAAGATCATTGGGATCGACGTCTAGCCCAAGTCGCTGCGAATTTTCGGCAGGCAGCTGAGCATTGGCGCGATTTTCGAGCAATTCCTCCTTGGTCGGTACCATGCCTGGTCGCACCACACGCGGCAGGGGCTTGGCCAAACTCCAAATGGGCTTCGCATTGTTCGCTTGTTCGTACGACGGGTTGAGATCGGCATATCCAGGCTGCACGAACGGCTCTTGAGAGAGCCGCATCTGCGGAGTCTCATCTGGGCCAGCCAGAGTGAACTTGCCCTGCGTGCGATCCGCGAGGGTAGTTCTAGGGGCCAAGCTGGGCACTCCGCTGCCACTCCGTCGAGCTGCCGAGCTGCGTCTTCGAACGCCAGAGCTGGTCTGCCCTTCTTCAATGGTCGAAAAGCGTCTGGTGGGCGACAGAGCGTCATCTTCCTCGAATCCTCGCGAGGCACTAGTAGGCGAGTTAGGGGCCTCACTTCTAGCTCCCGACTGGACAAGAGACACGCTGATTAGGGGGAAACAGCTCTGGAATTGCGAATGCTGGACTGGCTCACCAATGCTCTCGGCCGTCGTGGATTTCCTTCGTCCATGATTACTATACACCGTGTAGGTCACACCCTTGTCAGGCTACTTCAAGCTCAACGGCTGCCAATAAGTGCCAAGAAGAACAGCCGGGGGGATCTGAGAGGATCAACACGGCCTGGAAAACGGCAGGAACAAAAAAGGAGTGTGGAGATGCAACTCCGACCAGGGAGGAAAAAGGGAAATCGATTGAGCGCAATCGTGGGGGCAGCTCCGAGATATAAAACAGACGATCTCCTCATTCGCTTCCTCTACGGGTCCCTCGCAGACACAGGATGGGTGCTCAACTTACGCAATAGCCATCCGATCTTCACGACAATCCTGCTCGCGTCGCCAAAGCTTCGCCAAGAGAATCAAGATCCACGCAATCATAATTGGCGGCTCACTGGCTAGTTCCTGTCCTGGCCCACCGACTCAACGTGTGCCACTGATTGATGCATGGCACACCCAGCTGGAACCCATGGTGCTTCACCCTAACGAGGCGATCGTGCGGGTTCACCCAACGACTCAACCCAGCCCAGTGGGGCTCATATGGTTGCTGCATATTCGTCTTCCGTCCCATCCGCGGTGATTGATCGTGCAGCAGTTGCCCTGAAGGAAGAAAAGGCCCATGACATCACCCTGCAAGGCTTGCTTCCGGACGGGCGGATTGCTTCTAACCGGACTTATTTTAACAGGACAGCCAACTCCACTTTATCGCCACTGAGCCAAATTGCAGCCCGCTTATCAGACACGATTTCCTCCCAAGCCCCAATTTCATCTTCGAGCTCCCATCTGGCGACTTCACTCGCGTCCGAGTACTCTTCCTTTAGCTCATCATCAATCCCAACCTCCTGAGTCTTTGCTATTCCACTATCCTCTGTTTATGACCTTCTTCACGAAATCGAGAAATCGTCTAAAACCTTGCATCTCAGTTACTTCCATCCGCTTTTCCTTGTTCAAAGACCCGTGAAATCGGGATTAATGTGCTCTCGGATAATAGCAACCTCGTTCCAAACCTGACCATCGAGAAACGATATGTTGTCCGATGGAGGAAAGCGTAGCACTACCGCGGGAGTTTTTTGAACTCCCGGAAGGAGATATTGTAGGTACCCTTGCCAAGAAGGGCTGGTGCAAGTAGAGTTTTGGTGGCTGCACGCCCCTCCGGCTTGAAACTCTAGTACATCCGATTATCTGCGTCTCGCTCCATTCTCACGCGATATTATCGAAAAATCATACGGGGTTGCATGTCGAAATATGTGGCAGACCAGAAGGACTTCACTTTCGATGTGAAAACCATGAGGAATCAAGCCGCTCGTAGACTCGAAGGTGGGAAGAAATAGGGGCAAATGCTTTGAAAACCAGGCCTCAGCGTTGAGAGCTATCACGTGATGGCGATGACTCTGACCAATGGAATCAGGCAGCCAGGCCGTGATCCTCAAATGATAGGCCTCCTCCCCGACTTCGGTTCCAGGAATTATAGTATGGTTTTATTGTTTTAAGTGAATACTTTGGGCTCGCAACTAACACCCTGCAATAGTAGGGTTCGACTTCTCACCATGACAAACCACCACAATCTTCTCCGTGATTCATCGCACTTACAGCGATCCCACCTGACTCGATCTGATCTCGTCAGATATGCCACATATTAACATGGGATCCGGTTTTTGGCCACTTCTCTAGGTCACTGTAGTTTCAACCTCCCTTTGATTTCCACTTCTACCTCCTGTGGCATGTATTGATGGTTCTAGTAGCCGTGGTCCCAAAACAGTTTCTCTGCTCTCGGAAGTCAAAGCTATAAGGGATTTGGTATGAAGACCCCATGATATATGAATGTTCATTGATGTTGCGCACCTGCAACACATAATCGCCTCCTTGTCCAGCCTAACTAACTACAATATCATCAATCCGAAACACGTTTCTATTATACCAAGTAGTGCTGATGCGCCTATGCTAATGACCTCGCTTTTTCGAGGTCGATAGACCTGCATTCTATCTAAGCAGAGACTGATGTGTGGAATTCCATTGCTTTGTCATTCCTGATAAGTTAGTAGCTTGCTTTGTAACCAGTTGGACCAAGCCGATATTCACCGCGAATTCGGTAGTTCTTCGACCACGTCAGCCTCTTGGCGCCCATTTTCCCCAGGCTTAGCACTACCACACAAGAGACCGCCAGATTGGGGGTAAAAGATAGCTTGCAGAAGGAAAAAATTGCTGAAACAGGAACACCAGCGCGATCTTCCCGGGACCCCTGCTGCCCGCTAACGCGCTAAGGACTGTCATTGGGATCTATTCACCACAAACGAAAATCCCGGTCAAACTGTGTCGCGGGTCTTGTCAAAAGATTGCAACGGACCAATGGCCGTCTTCGTGCTGGTCCCGACGCACGTTGCCAACTATCGTGGGCCGTGACTGGTCTTCTGCGGGCGCGCCGAGTCGCTAAGCTCTCACTAGGCCGGTCGCGGTCGTAGCGTGGAGCGGATCCAGACTGTTATCGCAAGATCGGCAGTCTCATTTCAACGCGACTGGCCTTTGCCTCGTTGAGGGTTTAGCACGCGGGGGAAGGCCGGGACGCAATTTAAATGGAAGCGACATTCCTAACTAACGAGGGTGCCCCCCAACTCTCCTTTCGCCAGATTGTCTTTTGCGCGTGTTCATGCGACCGGCAGCGAGAGTCATGGATCATCCCAAGGACACCGCACTCTCCACCGTGGAGGTGGATATAGGTCCACAGGGAGCCGTGCCTCAGGTCGAAAGTTTGGACAAGACCGAGCAGCCTATTGCTCCGGATCAGTTCGATGAAAAGTACCGCACGAGCCGGAATGAGATCTGGGCTTACTATGCGTGCGTGTGATCGTTGAGCGAGATAGGGAGCAAAAGCCACTGAACACAAGGACTATGTAGCTATTACATCGGCAATAACGGGTTGTCACTCTTCAGTGAGTGATTCTTTTTCGCGTTGTCTTGTGTGCATTTTCTATTACGAAAAGAATGACCAGCTCACAAGAATTTATGGATAGACTTCGCGCCCACTGCATTCCAGAATTTGCTTTATCAGGCAGCCCCCTCGGATGGCATCATGGTCTTCGCCGGGCGCCCGCGCTCAATCAACAGTATCGTGCTGCTGTGCAACGGGATATCCTTCGCAATCCAAGTCGTCGTATTTTTGACGATCGGTAGCTTCGCTGATTTCGGTCACTGGAGACCCAACATTCTCATCGCGCTGTCGATCATCGCCTACGCTATTGGCTTTGGCTGGTTGGGAGTACATACTTCCGACAAATGGGAGGTCGGTGTCGGCCTCTATATTGTTGGCCTCATCGCCTACCAAACAACATTGACATTTTGGACGGCTGCCTTCCCAGGCTTGGCACGCAATACCATTGAGATGAAAGAGAAAGCAGACGCCTACGTCGCGGGGAATATCACGCGCGAAGAATACGACTATGCCGATACCATGATGCGAAGCCGTTTGTCTAACGTGTCCTTCTATGTGCAATCAGTGGGCGAGATTTTTGTCTTGGTGATCATCGTTGGAATCATGTTTGGCCTTGATGTGAATGCTAGCGAAGCGAACAACAACTGGGGTCTAAGTGTGTTGATTGCGTTCGCTTCTGGTGTCTGGCTGCTTGTTTCCTTGCCCTGGTTCTTCCTGGAGAAGCGTCGTCCCGGCCAAGACCCTGGAAGACGAGGGATTCTCATTGCGGGTGCATGGCAGCTTTGGCATGCGATGAAACAAATCTGGCAGCTGAAGCAGAGCTTGCTCTATCTCATTGGTAAGATAACCATATCCTCGCTAAAACGGAAAAGAAGAGCCGTGATTGACAGTTTTTTCTTTCCAAAAAAAAATAGGCTATTTCTTGCTTGGAGACTCTTTGAACACTACTGTGACCGTGATTGGAACTCTGCAGAATAGCATTGTTGCCTATAATTCCCTCCAGCTGACGTACCTTCTTATTGTTGGCATCGCGGCGCAGGTGAGTCCCCTTTTAAAGATATAATAGATTGCGCCAATACTTGATGTGAAAACTAATACTATATGAATGCAGGCCGTCGGCATTTACGCATTTTGGTATATTCAGCAGCGCTTCCGCTTGGGAACCAAGACCATGTTCAACACCATTGCAGTTGGTATTATTCTCCTCGATGGCTGGGGCATGATCGGAATCTGGACCGACAAATTCGGCTTTCATAACACGTGGGAAGTCTGGGTTAGTAACATATTCGATGACTCTGCCTCGCAGGCACTGACTCTCTGGTTTGCATAGGTCTACCAAGCATTCTATGGCCTGTTCATCTGCCCCTGGTACAGTTACTCGCAAATCATGATCTCAGAAGTCACACCGCGTGGCCACGAGTTCCTGTTTTTCAGTCTGTTCAGTATCATTGGCAAGACATCATCCTTCATCGGCCCGATTGTCTCGAGCGCTATCATCGATGCCAGCCCGACGGGCAATAATTCGGCTCCCTTCTACTTCCTATTCGCGCTAAGCGTGGTCAGTTTCGGCATCTTGGCGTTTGGAGTTGATCTGAAGAAGAGCCAAGCAGAACAGGAGAGGTTCCTGCAGGATAAACAGCGGCGCCTCAAGGAGAAGATGCCGTCTCCCGCGTAGGGCAGGCCGTCCGCAGTGTGAATATGACATGCATGAGGTTATGATAGTTCGGTGCGGAGATAAGGTGCTCCTGGTATATACCACGCTCCTATATTTCGATCACCTCCATATATAAATTGTATTCAATCTGAACTTGCGCTGCGAATTAATGCTCACTAAGTAAATCGTGCTATTTCAAAAGCCCATGTTGGGAGGCGGACATTCGGCGGTCGCCTCAATTTCTCGGGCCCGAGCGCGTAGTGCTCCTGAGGGTTCGGCGCCGAGACTTACAGACTTCTCGGCGCAAATCAATGAGCCACTCTATATAAATAGACCTTGTCTTGAGACGACTTCTTCATTTCTAATCTCAACCCACTCATTCAAATCATCATCATATCGCAAATAGCTGAGTCTGAGCTTCACTCACCAATATGTCTTTCACCACCAACCAACCAGTCATTGTGGTCGGCGCCAGCCTGGTCGGGCTGTCAGCAGCCCTATGCTTGGCTTCGCACCAGGTTCCAACCATCGTTCTCGAAAAGCACTCAGGCGTATCGAGGCATCCTCGTGCGATTGGCTTTACTTCTCGAACAATGGAAATCTATCGCTCTCTCGGAATCGAAAATAAGGACCCTGCACCTGAAGATTTCGTGCTTGAGCGCGCCCATGTCGAAAGCTTGACAGGACACTGGCACGACAGCTCCTCTTGGTCCGACACGGAGAGGAGACCAAAATCCGAAAAGGCACAAGAGAAATCCGCAAAGGCCCAGGTTCCAAGGAAGGAGTACTCAGTCGAACGTGGGTCAGCTATCCCACAAGATAAATTAGAGCCCATCCTGGAGGCATTCGCACGGGAGCACGGCGCCGACATTCGTCGCCAGCATAAACTTCTGCGCGTTGACCAGGATCAAAGCGGAGTGACCGCAACAGTCACCGATGCCGAAGGTAATGAACACATAATCCAGGGTTCTTACCTCATCGCAGCAGACGGAAATAGGAGCACCGTCCGCGATCTTCTCCAAATCCCCCGAAACGGCCGCGGATACATGCAGACTTTGAGCAGTGTCTTATTTCGTGCCCCTCTAGAACAATGGACTAAGGGTATTGTTCAGTTTGATATCGAACAGCCGGATCTAAAGGCTTTCCTCGCTTCTTACAGCGACGGACGGTGGGCCCTAATGTTCAAAGACGATATCGATCGTGATGAGCCTGCCCTCCGGGCTGCCATTTACCAAGCTGTCGGACAGCCAGACTTTCCTCTCGAGATTATCACGACTGGGCGCTGGGAGCTTACTGCTCTTGTGGCTGATACTTTCCGGTCGGGACGGGTCTTCCTTGCAGGCGACGCTGCTCACACCCTGCCGCCTAACCGCGGGGGGTACGGTGCAAACACCGGTATCCACGATGTGCACAATCTTGCATGGAAGCTAGCGGATGTGCTGTTCGGAAAGTCATCCCCTGATCTGTTAGACACATATGATGCCGAGAGGCGTCCCGTGGCTCTTCTGCGACACGATCAGATATTTGTGCGAGCCGATTACAAGGTGCATCTTGACCTTGCGACTCCGGCCGGACAAAAGATTGACGATGATGCCATGGAGTTTGGCCAAATCTATCTATCCAAGGGCATTATCGGTGCCAATGATGGAATGCCGCGCGCGAAGAAACCTGATGAATGGAGAGGTCAACCCGGAACCCATATGCCCCATTTCTGGGTCCTGAAAAATGGAGAGAGGATTCCTACCCTGGATATCCTTGACCAGAAGTCATGGACTCTGGTTGCAGAGGCAGATGAATGGAGCGATGCTGTGTCATGCGTCCGCGAGAATTCATCTATTTCCCTCCGGTTCGTTCAGTTTGGAAAGAGTGTGCAGCTCATTCAACAAAATGACTTTCAACAATCCTTTGGCGTCTCTCGATACGGAGCTGCTCTTATTCGACCGGATGGCTATGTCGCTTGGAGGATCGCGGAGGCCCCTTTGGATGCAGCTGTGACTCTCAACGAAGTTTTGTCCAGAGTCGCATTTAGGGCTGCCGGCTGTGGAAACTGAGTGAAAGAGCTTGATCTTATTCTCTGGCCGTTTTTTAATGTCTGGTGAGGGTTTCTGGAATATGTATACCATAATATAAACTTTCCGTCCTGAATATATTTTTGCTTCCAATCCGAGTCCTGGTAAATGACCATCAAGCGTGCTTCCCCACCAGTGACTGGATTGTTGGTGCCATAAATTTTATTGGAGTTGAGAAATGCATTTCCGGAGATACAAAATCCGTTCAAGTCCTCATACTAGGGGATATTCAGGGACACTTCCCGCAGCTCTTCTGTCCTCTCCGTTGCAGTCTCAAGCGTGCCTTGCACCACCGTATGCCTGCTAATCAGGTGGCTTGTACAACCGTCTGGCTTCGTCTCGGGTCTAATCTCGTGCGACATGTTTCCTCGACCAGGTGGGATTCCTGCGGTTCACTGTAGTGGTACTTGAAGTGCGCCAAGGACTCCAAATGTCCGTGTAGTAGTAGATATGTGATTTCCACCACGGTTCTGGCGACATTGGGCGTTGAGTTTTCTTATTGGGCGCTGTCCCACTTGCTGGTCCTGTGCTACTGATAACCAATTCTGGAAGTTCTTCGGAATCAAGCTCCCTGTGAGGCATAGAATGTAAAAATAAGCCTGAATCCGAAAACCGCGACCGTATAGGTAATTTGAGGTAGTAACCGCTCTTCCACTCATAAAGACACTGGTTACTCTGTAATCTCAGTCTCTTGACAGTGGTAAAAGTACCTTTACTTCCCACATCCCCGGCACGCGCGCACACACCCAAAAACATGGTTTCAAGGCTCATATCACTTTTTTGAATATCAAGCAGAGTCAACCCTGCCTGTCCCACGTGTGGCAACTCCACTGAGAGACTGCAAGGAAGTGTGCGTGTGTCACCGTTGCCTTCGAGGTGATTCGCATTTACTGCTGACGGCACCTTCCCGTTTGGACCGCTGCAAACAAGCTTCTATTTGACAAATCGCATGTCCTCTCACTTGCTTTCTCTTCACCACCCTCGGGTTCTTCCTCCTTGCCATCTTCTCCCCTCCTCTTCTCCCCTAGTTGAACTGCCTCGAACTTCTGCTCTCTCTATTGATCTTGCTGCTCCCCTTCGCCTTACTGCGTGCACATTCTGTCTCAGCATGGCGAATCCCCAGCATCTCATGGGCACCGCTGACTTGAGCCTCATTGAGGCTCCAGTCACCTGGCGGGCCTACATGATCTGCGGCTTCGCTAGCTTTGGAGGTCTGTTGAATGAAAGTCAGTTGGTACCTACAAGGTGCAATAGCTGACACGAGCATCTCCTTGCAGGCATCCTGTTCGGCTACGACTCCGGATACATCTCTGGGGTTCTTGCCATGGACTACGTCACCGAGCATTTCGGCCATGCTGTTCCCAAGGATGATACGAATCCCAACGGCTTCATCATTCCCAGCTCCCGTAAGTCTCTCATCACCTCGATCCTTTCGGCCGGTACCTTCATTGGCGCCCTGATTGGTGGGGGTATTTCTGAGCGCATTGGTCGCCGCTCTACTATCATGCTCTCTTGCTTGGTCTTCGCCATTGGTGTCGCCGTTCAAATCGCAGCAGTCAACACCGGTGCACTCGTGGCTGGTCGCCTGGTGGCCGGCCTTGGTGTTGGTGGTGTCTCGGCTACCGTTATTCTTTACGTCTCTGAGATTAGTCCTCGCAAAGTGCGTGGCTTGCTGGTGTCCGTTTACCAGTGGGCCATTACAATCGGCTTGCTGGTGTCGTCTGGCGTTGATCAAGGTTGCAAGGATTTGAACTCCCGATCTTCGTATCAAATTCCGATTGGCTTGCAGTTCATTTGGGCGACAATACTTGCGGCAGGTCTTTTCCTGCTCCCAGAGTCGCCTCGCTACTATGTTCGCAGCGGTCGAATGGATGATGCCCTTCGCTCCCTTGAGAGAGTTCGAGGCCAGCCCGGATCCAACCCAGCTATTCAAGCCGAACTCGCTGAAATCAAGGCCAACTTTGAGTACGAGAAGCAAATTGCAAGCACATCCTGGATTGACTGCTTCAAAGGTGGATTGTCCCCTCATGGCAACCTTCGCCGAGTGATTGCCGGGACATGCTTGCAAATGTTCCAGCAGTGGACCGGCATTAACTTTATCTGTAAGTAAAGTATTTAGAAGGGAGTTTCCGAGGCATTTTCTACTTACACACCCAGTCTACTATGGTACTACTTTCTTCAAGTCTGTGGGCCTCAAGAACCCCTTCCTCATTTCGACCATCATGAATATTGTCAACGTGGTAACCACCCCAGCATCTTTCTACATGATTGAGAAGTTTGGTCGTCGCACTTTGCTTATTTGGGGGGCGGTTTCAATGTGTATTTGCGAGTTCATTGTTGCCATTGTCGGTGTCACTAAGACGGGAAGCCAAACCGCGTAAGTGAGCAAAGATGATTGCCACCAAGCAGGCAGCTAATCCTTTGGATTATAGGAGCACTTGTCTCATTGTGTTCACATGTCTCTACATTGCTTCCTTTGCTACCACCTGGGGTCCTGCCGCCTGGGTCGTAATCGGCGAGATCTATCCGCTTCCCATTCGAGCCAAGGGTGTTGCTCTTGCTACTGCCTCGAACTGGCTCTGGAACTGCGTTATCGCCGTCATCACTCCGTACATCGTCGACGACGACAAAGGCAATTTGAAGGTTAAGGTTTTTTTCGTCTGGGGTAGTGCTCTTTTCCTGTGCCTGCTGTTCGCCTACTTTGTCATTCCGGAGACCAAGGGCCTCACTCTGGAACAGGTTGACAAAATGCTTGAGGAGTCGACTCCCACGACCAGTGCTAAATGGAGGCCTCACGACACCTTCGCGCACGAGATGGGCATTATTGAAAAGGATGAGCCTAACGTCAGCATGGAGGAACACCATGGCAAGATGACCGCTGTTACTGAGCCTGTCGGCCCTGTCTGAGGGCGGATACTGTATCTCGTCGCGTAACGATCTCCTAATCGGCGACACCTGTTGGTTTCTGTCCTCGCCCGCACCACACTGCGAGCGGACGAACTTCCACTCATCGTCGTTTTTATTTCCAAAGACCCAAGTCAGAGCTAGTGGAGATGTTCGCGTCTTATCTTGCAGATTTAGCTTCTCCTAACTTTACCCGAGAATTCATGGAAGGACCTTTTATCATCACTATGGCGGCAAAGAAAGTACCTGCTTGGTATTGATCATTTGAAAGTAGTAAACAGGCCATTTGGAAGGCACAAGGGAAGGAAGGAACAAGAAGAATATAGTTAAACGCCAGACCCATGCTCTGCCAGAAGCGCCAAAATCCAAACAACGTAAACGCGGCGAGTGTCTTACTCCGCGTCGGAGGACACCTCCTTGGACTTGCTCTTCTTCTTTTTCTTCTTCTCCTTGCGCTCGGCAGCATCCTCTCCATCGGCCTCGGCCTCGCGCTTGCGCTTGCTCTTCTCCTTCTTCTCTTTCTTCTCCTTCTTTTTCTTCTTCTCGCTGTCGATGTCGGCAGGGGTGTGCTCTTCGGGCGCAATGAAATCCTTCTCCCGTTCGCGCATCTTCTCCTCGCGCTTCACGCGCTGGCGCTCGACCACCTCCTCCTTGTGTGCGCGGTCCTTGGCCTCCTTGGAAAGGAAATACTCGCCGGACTCGATCTGCAAATCGACCTTGCTCTTCTCGGGCGCAGGCGGGAAGGGGGTGTACACCTTCTTCGCCTTGTCGGTGACCTTGAAAGGAACACGGCGCTTGGAAAGCGTGCGCTTCTTGAAGTTCGGCAGGAATCGGTCCCATGACTCGTTGGCAAGCGTGGGATCTTTTGCCAGCTCGCGCTTAATCATCAGTTCCTTGATGTAATAGATCGGGTGGATGTTCGCCATGCAGTCGTCCACGATCCGTCGCACCTCCTTCAGGCCCTTGAAGGGGCCCATGACTGACACCGTGTTTCCCTGCACCAGGATATATGTGCTGGTCAGAAGTTCCAGAGCCTTGAGGGTAGAGCCGTTGGGGCCCAGGATCCTCTGTCGGCGTTTCACGAATCGCTCCTTGCTCCGCACCTGGTTGCGAATCTTGATGATGTCGCAAGCCACTCCATCCTCAAGAATTTTCATGGCTTGAGTAACGGGAACGCTTCGCGCAAGCAGCTTGATCAGATCGCGCGCCTTCAGGATCGCGGCAGGGTCGTAGGTCTTCCGGGTTGTTTTCACCGTCATGCTGCCCTCCACCAAATCGAGTGTGCAGGCAATACCCATTTTTTCCAACGCTCTGGTGACTCCAGGCCACGCTTCCTTCAGGTATTGTTCGCGGTATTTCGGGAAGAGAGTCATGAACGAGGACTCCTCGACGAAGTTTCCGGCGACATTGTCTTCCGGCTTGAATTCGTCGATCTGTTTCACAGACAACAAGTCAGCAAGAAAAGGAAATTTGGAAGGATACATGAGGTCCAGCATACCTTCCATTTGTCGATATCATCCGTATCCCACGGCTTATCCCTCTTGTAGGTCGACGGCATTGTGGCTGGTGTCCGACAAGAATGGTTGGTGATGGTCCGCAGCTCAATGAAAATCCGCGCCAACTTTTTTTCTCCCCGCCCGCCGCCTTTCCTAAACAGGATATCCTTGATGCCTTGTATTTCAGGCGCAATTTTGCGTAACTAACTAGATCGTGGTTGACAGGTTTATTTTATGATAGCAGTGACTGTGACTGATTGCTGATTTCACAAGGCCAACGAAATAAATGTTGGACTATTTGTTTCTATTTTCTGTTACATGCGAGCCTAGCTGACTGGTCTCTTCTACAGAAATTGTTGATGCTTATGTCTCCTATCACGCCTCGCAATTGATCCCTCAGATCATCCAGTAAAAACATGCTCAGCACACCAAAACAAACACAAAAAAAAAACTCAAATATCCATTCCATTGTGTCGATGTCTAGCATTGGCAATTGGGATTGAACGCCTTCCAGCCCTGATTCCTGACCTCCTAACTTGCCATTTCGGAACCCCTGGGCGGGAGACCCGTCACAATCCGGGCCCCAGAGATAGTTTCGGGTAGGCCTGGACCCAGTAAACAGTCGGGAGCCAGGAAGACAGGGCACACCAGGCACACCAGGCACACTGGGAGGCAATCAACCTGACAAGAACGAGCCAGGGTGATGCGCCGTTGAAATGGGTCCATAGTCTTCCGCGCGGATATCAGGGCTACCAGCGCGCATCTCAATCTTCTTGGGTCCAAGTGCATTCCGGCACGAGCTCTAATAGGGCGCTTGATCCCGGGCCTTTGGACCGGGGAAGCCTCTCCTGAGTCCGGGCCTTGGTCGGCCCCAAGCTCGCTTTTCTCTCGGCCCTGGTAGGTCTACTGTCACTCACCAGGCCTGGCTCGCCTCACTCGCCTCACTTCCATCCCGTGTTGGCTCTATAGCTCGTTTACGCAGAGTAATGCTGCGTAATATGGCATCCCCCGGCTCATGGCATCCCTTTCAGGTGGTATTATCTGTAAACAGATTAGTTACATTCCACGAAATGGCCAAGAGTCTGAGCGGGCTTCCCTGTCCGGCAAGGACGCGTGCTTGGGAATGGGAAGTTACAGCGTAGACTCGGTCAGACCAGGTGGTTTGTCTGGCAATGGGCTTACTTCGAGTTCGTCCTTTTGATGCTCCTTGGGCTCCTTGGGTAGCCATCGACAGGGATCCGGGGAGAAATGTTCCCGTGAGAATCATGCCAATGGGTATCTGTATCTGATCTCATATGCAGGCCGGCGCTCAACGGGCGGATCGTGGGTTTAAGGACTTAAGGTTCCCCCGGTGGCCTCGTTCCCGACAGTTTGGGTCTGGAACCCCCTCTTCTCCTCGCTCGCTTAGCCCGCATGGTCTCTCGATCCATTGTCTTCCAAAACCGACTGCATCTCGCTTGATGGTTTTCCTCGAATTCCACGCCGGTTTGCCGAGCCGTGCTCTCGGATCCCATGGAGATATGGTATGGTCGGGTTGAGCTCCCGCGGGAGGCTTAATTCGACGACCGACTTTCCATGAGCTCTAAAGAGACAGCACATTGGACCTCCAAGACGGGTTGATTCAGGCTCTGCCACCCAGCTCACAGGATTGGATTATTGAGGTCGTCATGACGGTGTTAGCGTGGTCCTCAGATCCGATCTGCTTGGTGACCGATCCTCCCGATCCGCTCGGGGCCACCATCCGCTCAATCTAGCGCTTTGGGCATAATTTACTGCCGCAGATTCCAGCAGCACAAATTGCACACCCAGAATAGGCTGCGCATGGTGAGTGAAGTGAACTACAACTGGTCTTGTGTACATCAGCCTGCTTCTTGCGACGCTTCTGTGCGACCCTCACCCCCCATCATCAATCGCTCCGAATGCGTCTTGGGCCTCATCATCAGATGGCAACCAGGCGACCAACATCCCCCTAGAGGAACAAGCCAATACAGGTAGCCCGGTAAGGGATAAATGTGATCAAAGAGAACTTGTTTGACGAGCCGGTTTTGGCTAATTCGATATGTCTATGCGATGAGAAAGCGAAAGACTGCCCTTGTACCCGAGTCAACATGGGTGTGCGGGAGCGAGTGCGAGTGCGACGCTGAGCATTGTCGAAACGGCTCCCTGGGCTTATTATACCGGATTGCACCCGATGAGCCGATGAGGCGTGCGGATCCCTCCGGGGAATACGAGGTGACCAAGCCTGGCTCACTGTCGCTTCCGGCCAATGCAGACGTACCTGTGCCATGTCAGAGCATATCGCGGAAAACCTTGGTGGGAGTACACGTACAGTGGGAAATATGCCTTTAATGAGTGACTCCGAGCCTCCTCCTGGGCCTGCTCCACCAGTCTATCAAAACTCTGTGGGGACATGTGCAACCGGTGGGTGAGAGGGTACAACGCTAGTGATCGAAGGAGTTGCTGGATGTTCTCGCTGTTATAATGGCCGATCTCTCGCATCCTGGGATCTGGACCACTGTCAGTATTGATTTCCCCTGTCTCAAGGGGACGGCAGCGAGAACTGACCACTCGACCATGCCGACAGTGGGAGGGGTATCATCTTTGTGTCAACCTCCACCAACCCCGACTCCGTGAAATAGCTGCGCAGCCTGGATCCAATTCGAAGCTCTTTCCGGTCTTCCAGTGCACGCATGTACTGAGTGCTCCATCTTCGCAAAGCATGTTGATCGGTCAGCGAGCCGTTGTCGGATTGCACGTTGAAATACATTTCGGTCATCTGGACCCATCCTCCCGGCCTCAAAACCCTTGAAGCAGTAGTCAGCCATTGGTACCGGAAGATTTGACTAAGGGGTTATGCGGTCTGGGATGGGTTGGGTGGCGCTCCAGCCGCTTGGGAATGTTCCGCACCTGACGATGTCGCGGATGTAGGATGGCCATCGAGAACGGTGGATACCGGTCGCAAGGAGTCGAGAGTGGACAAGGTCGAAGTGGTTGGGAGGAAAAGTGAATCTTTGGTTCAGGTCGTCGACCTACAGGTTGCCAACTGTTAGCGACCGTCCTCCCAAGACCTCGCGCCCCCAGAATCACACCGGCCACTGTGGTGATGAGCCTTTATGGATCATTACGCTTTCGATGAGACCTGTGACATGAGTCGGGCATTGGTCATTCCCCCAAGCGACATCTCGTTGGAGGGTTCAAGGAGAAAGGAGAAGGTTCACTCGCCTGGAGCCACAAATTGGCAGGCACATCGTCTGGGCTCATGTGCGGGGCAATATCTACGCCAATAACCTTGAGCAACAACTGTCAGGAAAACATCGGACTTGGAACCAGCGGACAGCTCACTTCGCAATTTGGATACTGCTCTGCAACCTCTATTGCCCACGATGCGGCCCCGTGGCCGCAATCCAGTACCCTTCGCAATCGGTGGACGGGTGGAAAGATCAGTCGATCATCGAAAAGCCTCTGGAAAACCCGGTGTTGGTGATCAAGACGCTGCGCTTCCTCCTGCTCTGGTTGTCAGTGACGAATACGATGGAGAACCCGTTCGTTCCCTTTACCTCGTCGACCGGTCCGAAATATATGCGGTTGTCAGTCGAGTATTTCTGGTATTCACGGCCTTGAACGATGACAGTATCAAGGAACTCGCGGCCCAACTCTACCGTTTGTGAATCTGGACTCCTTGAAGATGGAAGAATACCGGATTAGCCTTCGTGTATCTTTGCGGGTTGGACAAGCAATCAGAATGGGCACTCCAGTACGTCATTGTAATTTTTGGTCCCTCGTGTCGAATGTGGACGAAAAGAGCAGTCTCCGCTGGTATATCGAAATGCGTTTGGCCCGTTTGCTGAAGGGCGGGGCGGTATTCTCCGGGTCAAGAGGGCTCGTCAATTTATAGTACCAGAGGGGGAGGAGGAATTCAAGTGGTCCGATTTTTATGGATGCGATCGGGTGCTGTTGGAAGAAAGGAGGAGGATGTCCGGCGGCAACGGCACTCTTCGGACAAGATGGCGGCTCGAGGATCATCCACGCTTCGTGGACGCGCCTGTCAAGAGTTTGTATGAGCGGCCCCAGTCATACCAGGCACGCGCAAAATGGTACGAATTGCACGGCGAGCCTAGTCTGCCCAGGTCAACGAACGAACACTGAGGAACATTGCTTTTTTGAGTGCCAGAAATCTCTCTCGCATGACAGCCCGGGCTTGGGGATTGAACAGCGGAGTTCTTCAGCTCCTAATGGCGCCTGTTGTGAAGCAATGCCCGAAAACGATCAACGCGGCTTTTCTAACCCCCTCCGAAACGCTCCTATGGTTCCTCAGAATCTCTCCGACGGGAGTCTCAGATCATATCCCTGACCGATGTGGACTATTGCTCAATTGGGACATGCGTGAAGGTACTCCTTTTCTCTACCATGAAGGGGGGGTTGTTTGGGAATGTACATCGAGCCAAGGATGCAGCAGGGCAAAATGGGCGGGTCGGTTCAGTAACCGAGGAGTGGTTCACGAACACAACGCTGGCACGCCAGGATACCCAGTATCAGGATAGACTCACTCCCGTTCTGCTGCTTAAGGCCAGGCTAACAAACCTTGAGCCAAGGTGGCAGTGCTGTCAGCGATTGCACAGTTCGCTTTCGCATATGACCACTGACCTACTTATGGCCGCTGGGGTCCAAGAGCGCCCGACAGTGTGGATCGAGCGAAATTCAGGCCTTTTTTTTTACGCCGCTACGCATGTCCCCAGCCCCGTCATACCGCATGTACCTGTGGCTAGGATGGCTGTGGCCCGATGACGTCCAGCGGTTGAGGCGCGACGTTCCGGAAAAACAATTATATTGCTTGCCTTTTCACCTTCGATACGACGTGGATGCGGCATCCCACAGTTATTCACCGTCTCTTCTACCGCGGACGGCCATGATGTAAGAGATTTATCGGCCACGAGTGTGACGGAGACACGCAAAACGAAGCGTGAACCAAATCACGATCTGGAAGTCACTTGGAAATGGAGAAATACTCCTCTTCTGCCTTCTACTATTACTACTATTCGATGGTCCTTGAGTCGGAGCGGCCGCACCAGATTATGCGCAAATAGCGAAACGGAGAAGAGAATGAGGACAGAAAATTACTGGAAGATCAAAGATCATGCAGCCCGACAGTGGGCAACCAACCGACCTGTGCGGCAACGCAGAGCCCGACAGCCCTGCATTGCGGATTCCCAAGGGGCGGGAATGGATCTTCGCCAGCTCCCGCTGTCAGTCAAACCAACAAGCAGCAATTGGACCGGCGACCCGGTGACAGATTTACAACATCGTCACACGCGTCGGGGTGGTCCCGTTCCGCCCGGCGGCCAATGTGCATGCAGTAACACGGTGCCAAGGTGGCTTGTTCAGCTGGGTGCTCGAAGTCTGCTAGGCCACGATGGCCATGATGGCCACGATGTCAGACCCCCTCCCACACGGCGTGGGGTTGGACGGTCCTCAGGCCCAGCCCACGATCAGCACTATCCTCGTTGGGCTCCGTCCCCTCGGGACTCTGCTGGTGGGTTCAGATTTGCCTATTGTTGATCCCGTTTTCCCCTTCCCTCTCTACACCGCTTGTCTTGCTGGGCTCGGGGAGGGGTGGTGCGGGCGATAGGAGGCTGGTGGGCCGGCTCTTGCGGTGCAGATTTGCTACGTGGATGGATACATACCCCAATCCTCCCTCTGGTCTGAATAGTGGCAAAAGTACCAACCAGATGCGAACCATGATCAGCGGACAGGACTCTCTATTCTGCCCAAATGGCACAGCTGAAATCGATGCAGGAAGGAATGGCTGAGTGGATAAAGCCTCCATCCGGAGTCCTCGCGGGCTGTCGTGGAGGTGTGGATTCCCTTTTTCTTCCTTCTGGGGCGGGTGTCCACCTCTTCCCAGTCCCTCGGGTATCCACGAAACTCGTTGAAGTGGGCAACCGAGCTAAGCAGTCTCAACCTCACCCTTCCTGGATTCCGGTTCCGGGCGACCGATGCACAAGGACTACGCTCTGAGTGCGCCGACTGGCAACAGGAAATTTCACCAAACAAAAAGAAAGAAAGATAGAAAGAGAAAAAAAGGGAAAAAACGCGAGTCTAAACCTGAGACGCAGACCACAACTCCAGTTCCACCAGTGTGTCCATGGCCGCCACATGCGCCTCAACGGGACAGTCTATGTCCATCGTGATCAACCTTTACGAGGGGCGACATAATGAATCAGTATTCCAGTACCCGCATTGCCTCCAACAGGGTGGGCGCCGGGATTGTTACCTGTTACCGTGGAAAGTGGAAAGTCTCCGTCCTAACGGAGGCAACGACAGGGTGGCCCTGGCCCTAGTTTTAGGTTCACAAGTGCCCTTTGGCCATATCAGGCAGGGCCCACGCCAACTCTGGGAAATTTCTTCCATGTGGTGTTGGTTCATTCGAGTCATAGCCGGGATGCCTTGCAGCCGTCGCAGGAGGTTCATGCACGGCCCATGGGGCACGAGAGGGACGTTCCCGAAGACCGCGCATCCAGTGTGCCGGGTCTGCGGCGCCCGACAGACGAGGGGGAAAACAGCCTTGAATGTCTAGCATTCGATGGACGGAGTACTAATGCATGTATGCCAATCCAGCTCGGCTGACCTCCATACCCGTCCGGGGGGTTGAGCGGCCGTTGGCGACGGAACCCAGAGCCATGGTTCAACTCTCGGGAAGACAGGCCGTCCCTCATCGGGGACGAGGGGCGGTTAGGCCCGTTGGGTCGACGCACAAGGTTTAGGGGCGGGAGTAGGGAGGGGGGACGGAGGAGCTTCCGGGCGGCTTACTGGTGGGTGTTTGGTTGTCTCCCAAGTTGTGGGACTCGCACTCTACTCTCGGTCAAAGCCCTCGGTTCTACCTCGGCCTGGTGAGATCTGCTCGCGACGGGTTTTCCTGAAATGTGTATAGATCCCACCCTCAACACCACGCCACCGTGATAAGAATAATCAACAATCATCATAACGACCGTAACCCGTAACCCGTAATCTTTAACCTGTAACCAGTAGTGATCGCTAGTGAATAACAAGGAACATAAATTCAATCCGACCGCTAATGATCACAATTAAGGCTAGCCATCCGTGGCAACACACGTCTGTCCCAAAGCCCTGGGGAGAGGACAAGAGATGGGACGAAACGATCGATTTGCGCAACCCCCGCTAGCACGACTACATCGGCTTGGCACTGCAGGCCCGCCAAACCAGCCACCTATTCCTCTTGCAACAGCGGAGTACGGAGTACTTCCTTTGTTTTTTTCCCCTTCTCACGACCCAACTACGGCCTCCAGTCCTAGAAACCTGCTCACCAGTGCCACCGAGGCAGGGCTATTACCAGCAGGAAGGAGAAATGAGAGTTGTAATGTTTAGATTGTAGCTTTTAGAGACTCCGTCCTGAACACTAAAGGGACGAAGAACAAAAGAAAAGGAATAATGAGAAATTCATTTAGCGTACCACTCCGTCGGGTCCCCAGCCCCAGCCCACTTCTCTTCTCCTTCCCCCTCTGGACGGAGGGACGGGGACGCCCCTCATGATGGAATACGGACGGAGAACGGAGTACGCCGTCCTGATTGCCTACCATTGCCTACCATAGCGGGCTCAGTGCCCTTCATATGAAGAAAAAGCTGAGACTGTCGTGGTACTAATGTCACATCGAATGCTCCCGATCTATAAATAACTTTTCCGGGCACTTTCTCCTAGCAGTCCTTCCAGTTTCAAATTATTGCTGTGGATGTATTGCGGTATTCACTTTGGAAACAGTCATTGACCCGGCGGTCTGTGGGAGAATCTGCTTGTGTGATGGAGGATGGGGCTCCAGATTGGAAGTATATGTCACCCGCTCTGTCTAGGCTATGGCAATGTTCCAGGCATGGACTCCATTCTTGACTAACAGAAATCTGCCTTCCGCTTTCCTGCGCCACTGATGGCTGACAATACGATGGCGCAAAATTCTATGGCCAAACCCGAGGATGTGACGTTGATCATAGATCGACAATGGAGCTGAAATGCATGGTCGCCCCGCGGCATGCAGATGGACGATCATATTCATATTACTTCAAGACACGTTCTGCGATAGCGGCTACCTAGGTATATCGCATTCAAGGGCCCTGGTTTGTGGAGAAACAGGTTTGAGCCTTCAGTCAGCAGTCAGCAGTCAGCAGTCAGCCACATCTTCGCCACTGCGTCAACAGACGGCCTTCAATTTCGAGCCGTGCCCCGGCGGGATGGAAATAATGCCCGTGGTGGGTCTACGAGTGCAGTCTCATGTATCCACGTACGGAGTGGCCGAGATTCCCATGATGTTTGTCCCTAAGATTGCCGGTGGGGATGGGAGGTATAGATCCTGGGTGATTTGGTGATGGTGTCCAACGCGAGCGAGCCGGTGGGGCTGATCATAGTGACCTGCGGAATGGAGAAAAGGATGCCATGTGCCATGTAATATGCAGTTCTAGATCAAGACTAGGCATCAGCCGGATACTATATCGCATTTTGCCTCGACGGGAGACGCAGGACAACATCATCTGAGAGGTGAGAACATGGATCAATTGTCTCAATAGAATCCACGGGACCTATGGATAGGAGGTCACGATCGAACTAGTCTACTCCGGACTCAGTTGAGCTTCATTTTACAACTTGGGATTGGGATCTGCAGTGACAAAATCGCAGTTTGTGTCTGATTCATAGTACATGTTGATCGTCTCAAGTCATCGCATTCGTCGAGTGGGGTATAAGTAAACGGAGAAAACGAAGACACCGCCATCTAAAATCAAGCAACACCCGCATCAAATGTATTTTGCAGTGCAGGTCATCGAACATCCTCCCGTCCTGTCATGAACTTGATCGAGGCAGACAGAATCTCCATGACGGTCTCAATCTCCGCATCATTGCGCGGGGCATAGATCAGGATATACTCGGCTGGGAAATCGGGCAGTGTACCGAGGCTGAGGAAGGTCATGGCGGAGGTCCCGGAGAAAGCGTGGCGCTGGCCCCAGCCTGCCTCAATGATTTTCTTGCCTAGATAGGATGAACATCAGATACTATAGAACCCACGTGCTGGGAAATGAAGCACCGCATAGCCATAGAGGGAGGGGGGAAGAGAGAGAGAGGAAACATACAATCCGCCGGTGCCATAACAACATGCGCTGAGTGATCATTGTCGCAGTGGACATGCGCAATCTCGCCCTGCATGGTCGTCGCGAGATCGGTGATGGGGAGGTGGTCGGCCAGAAAGATCGCGTCGGCATATTTTTCGATATTGGATTGCTGGAACTTGACCAGGTGGTAGTTGCGCAAACCGAAGGAGTGGAATCTTGACCGGAATTTCTGCATGGAGCCCCAATTAGCCCATTCCATCTTCCTCTTCACGCGACACACACAACACGGCCCCAACGAACCTCCATAACATCCTCATCGGGGACCTGGGTCAACTGTCGCTGTGGCACAACATGCGGTCCCACCTCGGGCCGGCCGTCTTGCTTCCTCAACTCCAGCTGCGCTGTCGATAGATTCAAGTACCCGTCGTCGCCCCTCCCATGCCCCTCCGCTGCATCGATCCGGCGCACATAGACATCGGTGCTCAGCATCTCGCTCCCAAACGGTTGGAACAGCGCGCGCACCGTCATCCACCCAATCACATTGTCGGGTACCCCGCCAGGGCCATAGCTCTTGAAGGTGCGGTAGTCACGATACGCGGCAGGCAGTAGGAATGTGCTGCCTAGTACGGCGGCGGTGCCGAGGGCGAGGTTGAGCCGGTCCTGCTGGGACTGCGGAAGGCAGATGCGTCGCAGGGCGTTGGTGATAATGTCGAGCGACATTGTCGGAGGGGGAGGGTGCTTGGCTGGGAGGGGTCCAGAGTTCAGGGTCCAGAGAAGGGAAGAAGTAAGAAAGGCGCAGGCGATGGCCCGGGGGGGCGGCTAAGCTAAGCTGCGGCTGGTTCGACGGGTTAAAACACGCGAGGCTCCAGCTGCGCCTCGGCAATGAGCCTCGTATTTACGTTCTACCAGTTGGCACGCGAGCTGGGTTCTTGTGGAAAGACTGGGCCGGGGGCTTCTGGTAGACTATTTAAACTATCTATGCTGCGGACAAGTAATTCGTCAAGAGCTGTCTACCGCTTCTTTTTCCAGCTCAGAGCTCTCTATCTTATCGCCTCGCCTCTTGGCTCCCTTCCGAGATCCACCATTGGCCCCACCGGTGCGAGATGTCGGGATTGTGTCATGCGATGATGTGCTAGGGGCGCACGTTCCTTAGGCATTCGGGCGTTGGAGTCGCGGCAATTGCAATGAGCGTCGAGGCTTCTTTAGCCCCCAGATCAGGCTACTACAGGAGGTGATTCTGCGCGGTGAGCCGGGCTGGTTGGCCCCCTCGGACTTGTGGATCGGTCGCATCTGTATCTCTGACACAGAATGTGCTTGTCGCGCTTCAGTCTTCTTTGCTGATGGAGCTCAGGGAGTGGGCTAGTTTCAACAAGACCACGCTCTCGGTCGCGGCAAAGTAGTTGAGACTAATTCGATGGTTAGAATATGGAAACCCAAGACGATGGAACAGCGACTGACCTGTCCATCAGAATTCGTAAGTGGCGGTTGAAATGATCTTCGTATCGCTTGAGGGTGTCTTCCAGCTTCCCAATGCGAGAGGGATCGTACCCTCGGGCGTCGGCACCGGCAGCTTTGTCTCCAGACAGGTCAGGGTCGGCCGAAGCCAGCGCTCGCGAGAGTGATGCTGCAGTCCACAATGCAAACATGGTACAACAAGTCATGAGCTTGGAATGGATCTATGGGATATAGGGGTTAGGAACTGATCGTCATAGAGAGCTGCGGATCTTCACCTACTTTCAATAACTTGGCCTGGGTGAGCATGCATTCCTTGAGACAAGTATCCAAGAAATCCACGTGGTCCTGCATCAGCTCGTCAACGGTCCGATTGACCTGCTTCGTCCCATTCACGGTCACCTCAGACCCATTCGCATCGGCTCCGTTCACTCGGTCCATCAATCCCACCCAGTTAGGCTCGATCACTTCCGCCGTGCAGAAATACAACAGATGTTGAACAAAGACTAGCATCTTGGCACGCAAGTTCCACGCGCGCCGTTTCCACAACTCCAGCCTTCGATCTGACGGCTTGTGTCGCCAGTTGGCCACCTTGTTTTGGTCGGCCCAGGACGTGACCAGCAGCGTCTCCAGGTGGCGCAGGGATAGCAGGTGGCGGAAAATCAATTGGTACCGCAGCACAGTCTTGCGGCTGATGACAAGGGAAAGTGGGAATGGCACTGAGTAGTCCAGCTCCAGGGCGTCAAACCCGACAATGTCCTTATCATCGTCGGCCGCCTGAGCAGATGACGCTTGCTGCTTTTCAAATGCGGCTTCCGGGTGGTCTTGGTCAATGCCCGAAACACTCACCACCTGCATCAACCACTTCGTGAGGCCAATTTTGTTCATTCGCACCTTAACATCCTCTTTGAACGGATCCTGTGCGGCAATGCTGCCGGGTTGACGAAGCACAAGATCCAGCAGCGACTGGAGCTTGCCCTCATTCACAACCCGTGCCGGCTTGCGCAACTCAGATGCACTGAGCTCAAGGAAATAAGAGAAGAAATCGGATCGGTCGAGGAAGAAGTAATGTTTCAAGGACCGAAATCGTGTCGTGAGGGAGTTTTTCGTTAGGAGGAGGTTCAAAAGGGAGGCATTGGCGTAGGTATAAGCAGCATTGACGTTTTCTAGAAAACGCGGATCGTCGAGGGTCTTTGGGACATCCCTGACAGCTTTGCTAACATCGACACCACCACATTCTCGTACCACATTGAGGTACTTGCCGGCTAGAAGAACCCTGTCCTTGACCCCTTCGAGCTGAGGCGGAATTTCGTCCTCGCGGATCGTATACCGCTTTTCCCAGTATTCATCGGTGTAGTCTTCCTCTAGCTTTTCCCGTTTGATCCATTTTTGTTCTTTCACGAGGAACTCCGCGTGGGGGTCTTTGATGCCACCATGGTGCAGCCACTCGTTCAGCATGTTCATATATGGTCGACTGGCATCGCGCAACAACGTCTGAATGAGGATTTTGGTAGATGGATCGCCCGAGAAGGTAGCAAGGCGCTCCGTCAGTAGCCTCAGGACATTGCCACCTTTGCAAAATTTCTTGCTCGAGCCGGGGACGAGATCCCCACCTTCCTTGAGTTGCTCGAGAATATTATCAACATCGTCGAAATCCTCGATGGTTTCGTCAAGATCTTCTGAATCCAGCAGTCCATTGCGTTTCAGGAGCTCTTGTCCGAGAGAATACAGCTGGGCCAAACATTGGCTAGTGGGCATCGTATGGAGGTGAAGTTGGTGCAGGGTAAAGGTAGGGTTGTTCAGCAGTTGGCCTTCCAGTTGAGCGATCAGAATCAGGTAGTCCTTGAGAAGCTTGCGAATGGATGCGCAGAGTGCGTGGCAAACAGCCCCAAAGTCGGCACGACTCTGAACTTCTACAAATGCCTCCATAGCGCTGTAATGTGTTGCCATCTTGAGCATGGACTGGGTGAGATCGCGCAAGGTTGGATCCAAGCCCGCCGCGATTTGAAAGACTGGGCCAGTTAGGCGGTCTTTCTCGGCGGACGGGTCATGCGAACTGTGATAGTGGATGTACTGGCCCTCGAAGCCCATAAACACGAACAACAGGTCTTCTAGGATCGCGGTCTCCTGGGCGTCAGGCGAAAGGCCTCGCAATGGCCGGGGACAGAGGGACTGCGGAGCCGCTGAAGCCAACGGAGGAACCGATACACGACAAGCGAGGGGAGCAGTTGAATGAGGGATTAGAGATGCGTGAGGATCCCATGGCGCTATAGATGGGAGAAATAAGTCAATACACATCGGCCGGACAGAATGCGACACCGGGGCGCAGCTAGGAGGTGATCACGAACTGTTAGACGCCTCCTGTTCCCTTATTTTCCCAATTGGGCTCGTGCCATCGGCCATACTGGTCTTCTTGGTTCTCGGCTTGTCCCATTCTCCGCGATTGCCAGCACTGGAGGATGCCTTGACGGGGATTCTCCGCACCGCCTTTTCCCTTTCTGTGATCACAGTACGCTCTGTCCGCTTTTCGGTCATGCTCTTCGGCTCTCGGGATGACCTCTGCTTCTGGCTCGACGTGCTCGTACGCGAAGGGTCCATGTTGTCGGGTTGCAGCGGCGAAGCGGCGCCGCGACTGGGCCTGTCCGCATCGACGCGATTAGACACAACGCGGGGTCGCGGAGCGCTCATGTAGCTGGCGCGACGGTCATTGGCGGACATAATCCCTGGAAAGGGCGGGCGATGTCATGTATCCCAAATGGCAGTGTCTGATGCTGAGAAGGCGCGCTTCATAAAAGAATAATACCGAACCAGGTAATTAGAGCGCATCCAAACAAGCCGTGGGTTCAACTCCACCGTGCCTTGGGCAGCGTGGAAGTGGCTGCCTCACCGCCTGAGGCCGCTCGGCCAGGCACTCACGCAACTTGCGTAAGTGAGAGCTTCCCGCCTCGAGAGCTCCCATCCTCCTCCCCCAGTCCTGTCCTGCTCCTCCACCGCATCGCCGCGGCCATATAACTTCTTTCTAGGATCCTTGCCCCAAGTTTCTGATTTTCCGGGTTCTCTTCTTATTTCAGACCGCCCAATATGTTCATTGCACGATCGGAATATGGTAAGCTGCGTCACGTCTCACTACGCTGTGGCATTGCTAACAGCTGCGGCCAGACCGTGGAATCAAGTAGGCATCCTGATCTTGAGGCTCGTCCACCCGCATTTGAGCTCTTTTTCTGACCATGACAACCCGACAGCACCTTCTCTCCGGAAGGTCGTCTGTTCCAGGTCGAATACTCTCTCGAAGCTATCAAGCTAGGTTCCACAGCAATCGGTGTACGTCCTGCTCTACCCACCCTGCCCCCGGTCTACGCCTCGAAATGATTGGAATCGGAATTGTGATCAAAGCCGAGTTACTCATACTCCATCCCGGGCAGACCGACGATGGATTGAAAGGCCATCAGTCTAACATTGGATTGTAGGTTGCAACATCGGAGGGTGTCATCCTCGGTGTCGAGAAGCGCGTCACATCCACACTTCTGGAAGCGTCATCCGTCGAGAAGATTGTTGAGATTGACCAGCACATCGGTTGTGCCATGTCCGGCCTCCAAGCCGATGCCCGCAACCTGGTTGAGCACGCCCGTGTCGAATGCCAGAACCATGCCTTCCACTACGCCGAGCCCCTGCGCGTTGAGAGCACCACACAAGCGATTTGCGATCTGGCTCTCCGTTTCGGAGAGAGCGGTGATGATGAGGAGAGTGTTATGAGCAGACCATTCGGCGTGGCGCTGTTAATTGCCGGCTATGATGAGGATGGCCCCCAGCTGTAAGTGATAGATTCACCAGGAACCGGACCATCGGACGTAGCTAACCTCCATTTCTTCAATACAGATATCACGCCGAGCCCTCAGGTACTTTTTATCGCTATGATGCCAAGGCTATTGGCTCCGGAAGCGAAGGCGCACAGGCCGAGCTGCAGAACGAATATCACCGCTCCTTGACGCTGGCAGAAGCCGAGACGCTGGTTTTGAAGACGCTGAAGCAGGTTATGGAGGAGAAGCTGGATGCAAAGAACGTGCAGCTGGCAAGCGTGACGAAGGAGAAAGGCTTCCGCATCTACGATGACGAGGAGATGGGCCGGGCTGTGGCACAGCTGGGTGGGAATCAATGAAAGACTCGCGCTAATTTGGGCGGTAGACAATACAACCTTAAGAGATAGGGAGTCTTAAATTTTTACCAAAGGCAAGGTACCCTGCAATATACACCCCACGATCTTGTTTATCCGTTATCTACCATAAGCGCCATTCATTACGTTCAGCCCGGCTGGCATTAGCTCGGAGGCGAACATGAATCAGCACTGACTCGGGCTCTGATGATCATGTAGCGACTATGTGCTCTCCGGCCTCGTCCATATGGAGCCTTCCTTGATGTTTCTTGCCTAGGTAGTCTCGTCTATCACCAGCGTTCCCACTGTTGTTGCTCCTTGTGCTCCGCTTCCCACAGTACATTCGTAGAGAGGATTCTAGCGCTGAAGGAACGCCTCCAAGGTACATATATTTCGTACACCAAGCCTCCCCCGGTGCAGTCTAAGCCACTCACGCCCATAACTATTCCCATTTGGCGTCCAGATGATTACGTGCATATCGTATTTGGCCGGCTCCTTGTTCAATAGAAGAAAATCCAAATGATGGTCGAAACCCACCTATATGACAGGACTCTGGATGCGGAAGCAATGGATCCATTTTTCCTCGTGATACTGCTGTCTTTTGGGTACCTTGATCTGCTGCGTTTTCTGTATGCCATTTGAAGCTTTCCGGAATTATCAATCAATGCTCGTCAGTTTTTCAATTTTTCAGACCCTTGTTAGAAGTGGCACTGCGTTATTTTCCAATCAATAGTTCAAGGCAACGAGGGGCTCTTATATTCTTGTCCGGTTTCTGCATCTACGATGTTTTATCTTACTCTGGTTCACAATAATTCGGCTGTATGTTTCCACTGTCTAGAATTGCAATGTACCACCTATAAAAGGTCTAAAACAGGATATTCCACTTACCAAGGTGCACTTAGCATAGCCATCTGGATTTTGAAAACCCAGTTCAGGCGCGCGTGAGGGAAGTACCGCGCGGGGCCAAGCTCTTCCCCGCGACGTTGCGCTGGAGTCAGTAGAAGGTTGTCAAAGAGCTCCTCGATCTTCTCGAGTTGCTGGGCAAACAAAGGGCGAATGGATGGATCTATTGCGGTCAAGCCGTACCCAGGATGCAATCCGCGGAGCATACAGGAAATCGTCCAGGCTCGCTCCTCGACCACGTCGAGCCGAACGAGAGATCGGTTCTGCGGGATCTCCGCTGCTCTTTGTGCTACAGTCTCTTGTAGATCTTGTAAGTAGTCGATCAAGGGACCTAGTTTGCTGCGGTAAACTTCAGTATTTTCCACGTCTCGAAGGATCCTAGCGAGCAGAGAACAGGCCACCATAACTTGGGCAGACGCCTGCCAGAAATGTTCAATCTGGGTGAAGGCCATTGAATCAGTTCTAGATGATCCTGTCTGTGTGATTGTTAGTGAGAGGGAAACCTTGATGTGATATTGAGAGAAGGGAGCGATGGAAATTGAGTACTGATGAAGCTCAGGGAATGGGTCTTCTAATATCCAAGGGTGCTATCTATATTCCTGCAATCTCGGAGCACCCATGGTTCTCAGTCCATATATGGATAAGTATCTCTTTGTCCAAATTTCTTTCTCTTTCGACAAAGGACCAGGTCGAAGAAAAAGGCCTTTGTGGCATTGCTCTGCCCTATCATTGGTTGCGAGGAGTAACTGTTCTCAAAGAATACCCTAATTTCTTCATTTGTGGTCGAGGCTCACGGAATACAATGGTCATTTTCTGTCAGGAAAGCAAAGATTCAGCAATAGCGCCCGCGAACATCACGTTACAATAGCTCATTGGTTTAGTTTCGAAGTATTAGCTCGGATGGGCTATAGTAGTAACCGGAGAAGGCCAGACTTTTACTCTTCTCTGCTGTCAAACATTAGGCTTGTCCAAGCGGCACGTAATGAGGATCTGAAGTTGCCAATCCTCCCACCTTCCCCCCAACAAAATATCACTCAAAATAGAATACATAATTAACATTTATCACTATTTCGGAACGTGGCCCAGGTAGCAGGCAGGTCGGGTGGATATGATTGACTGGCTGTCCTCCATGTCAACAACTCAGGTCCACGAGATCTCTCAATAGGCAGGCAATTTCAAGTACGATTTCAGTGAATTTCCCCCAAATGCTTAACCCCGTAGGTATAATGAATAACTTCTTATCATACACCACTTCTGCATCAAGTAGACTACCGAATCTTATACACACAAGGCTTCAAGACCTGAGCCTCCTGCTCCGTAGTCATCCCACTATCAGCCTCCGGCTTCCGGTCCACAAATCGCTTCTTCCCACCGGCCGCCGGTGCGCTCAAGCCAGTAGAGTGCTTGCCCTTGGCCGGAGCACCGCCCTGCTTCACAAACTCCATCTTGACAAACATCTTATTGGACTTATCCACCGACTCCGGGCGCAGCACAAACCCACGAGTCCGGAAGACCTCCACGAACGCCGAGATATCAGTCTCGTCGTCATCAGCCGCGGGACGGGCATCTTCAGCAAAAATATCTGCGTCGTCGATATCGGAGTCGTTGTCCTTCTTGCTTTTCTTCTGCTTCTTCTGCTGAGTCTTGCTGAGCGGCTTCTGGGCGCCGATCATTGACTTCTTGCGAGTGACTTTGCCAAAGCGGCTCTTCACCTCGCTGACCCAGCACTCGCCCTTGCCGTCGCCGCGGAGAACTCTCCAGGCTTCCTCCACGAAGGACACCCAGTTGGTGCCCATCAGGCTCAGACAGAAAATGGTCACGTCCACGGAACCATCTTCCACAGGGAGCTTGGAGATGTCGGCCTTGGTGATGAGAGGGTCTGGGGCCTGGAGGTCGTAGCTATTAAGCTTCAGGTTCAGCTTCTTCGCCGATGGCGTTAGGTTTCGAGCAAGTGCGGCATCACCACAGCCCAAATCGGCAATGCTGCAGACCCCGTTGGGTCTACGGGGGAGGGGCAAGGCCTTGTTTGGCAGAGGCTTGCCTCTCTTGGGGACAGGGACTGCCCCGCGACGACGGATGGCTTGAATATAACCATCGACGGGGTTGGAGGGCCAAGATTCCTTGACCTGGCGAGAGAAACCAGCGTGGTATTCATCGAAAAGCTCTGGGTTCGCGTTGAACAGCTCGACTGCCTTGGAGGAGTCGGTAGTATACAGTGTTTCGTTCAAATGGCGGAATCGGGAGGAGATCAGCTTTTGGCGCATAGCCTGCTGGAGAGGTGTGAGGGTCGCATTCGTTGTCGGCGGGGCCGCAAGTGAACTTGTAGCAGAGGTAGTCGTCTGAACCGGTGCAGCGGCGTCCGACTTGTCCTCCGAGGCATCCTTGTTCTTCTTGTTCTTCTTCTGCTTCTTCTTCCCCTGGCCCTCCTCTTGAGCAGGCTCAGGGTCGGCCTTCTTCACGTCCTCCACATTTGTCTTCGGGGAGGGAGCAGCAGCTGGGGTCGGCTTTTCCTTTTTCTGCTTCTTCTGGGGCTTTGTCGCGGTGTGGCCCTCGATGTGCTTGCGATACATTTCGTTGACATTACCCGAGGTGACATTATCACGCTTGCGCTTCTTGTCCTTATTCTTCCCATTGGGTGTCGATGCCTCGTTGGTTGGCTGCGATGCGACCTGAGCCTGCTTTGCCGGCTGAGACTGCTTCTGGAGCGCAGAGCTCTCCAGCGACCATCCTGGTACGGCGAACATGGTCGTTTGCGAGTGAAGCTTCGTAAGCTTCTTGTTGTTGCCTCGACTGACCGTCACCAATTGTGTACGCTGAAATAATTCTTGAGAGCGGTGGGTTGTGCAACGTGAGCGAGAGCTCCGCGAAAAGAAAAAAAAGTTATCGGGAAATTTTCTCCCGTTCTCCGCATTGGTAATCGCCATACGAAAGTTACAAGTATACAGTACTGGAGTCAGTAAGCTATTTTATGGCCCCATTTCTCAGGCACCGTCTTAAGTTGACATTCTGAATTATGTTAACCATCCAAGTTAATTTAACTAGGTTGACTATCTATGTACTCCGCAGTTAACAACTATTAGTTGGGCCGCTCAAGCTTCACCCATATTTTGGTACTCCGCCGAGGGCTTGAGCGTCGGAGATATTGTGGGAGTGTGGCATCTGCACTTCAGATGCAGCACGATGTTCCTCCTGTCTGATCGGGCTCAAGGTCGATCCCAGGTGGGAGAACTTGTCAGCTACACCCGCTCAAACTATGCCGGTACCCAAACTCTGTGCCAAATGGCGCCTCTGGCCAGCCCCAGCGGCTCGTATAAGCATTTGGGCCCTGCCAAATGAGCCTGCGCCTTCATGATATCGTGAGCGGGTCTGCCGCATGTCAGATCGTGTTGCTGGTTGGGAATGAAAGCGCCGATAGGGGTAGGCAACATCAGACCCGCGCAGGGGAACACGGGATCCTACCTTCGCCCAGCGTGTCAATGGTACAGGAATGAAATAGGTAGAGCAATTAAATTTATAACACTTGAGAACTAAGGAATGGTCGCACGGCGAGGATTTCGGGTGATCTGCAGAGCTCGGCAGCGTTGCCCGGTTTGTGGAGATTCCCATGGATTCCAGACCCCCCAGTTCCTCTTCCCTTAAAATACCCTATCTTGGCCCCTCCCAGTCTGTTCCTTCTCCCAGCCCCACCATGCTCTTGGATGTGCACAGTTCCCACCGGCCGTGACCTGCATTCTATCCCCAGGGCCGTCATGGTAGGAGATTTTGAGGATGCGCCCGGGTCGTCGGCGGATCCATCTATTGACATCACCCATACGGCCGAGCCGCCCGCGGTCAGGCAATCCGGGTCCCGCCGTAACCCAAAGAAACGGACCAAAACTGGTTGCTTAAGTATGTGGCGAAGAACAGACAGAGATGTAAATAGGGGCCGAGATTGTTGACTAAACTATAGCTTGTCGGAAACGTCGCATCAAGTGCGGAGAGGAGAAGCCCATATGCAGCAACTGCATCAAGTCCAAGCGTATCTGCGAAGGCTATGCGCAACGCGTCATTTTCAAGAACCCGCTGGGGATCTTCGGATCCTATGGCCCACCACCCGGTCAGGATCCTCAGATGCAACAGCACCATATGAGAGTCCCACTATTCAATGACTTTAGCTCTCTCCCGGCTCAGCAGGCGGCCGCGGCAGCCCAACATCCCATGTTGGCCCCACGACCCATTGACCCAGCGACAATGGGATATCATTCGCTCCAGGCATCTGAAATAGCAGCCCCAGAGGGATCTCCAACAGCAAATGCCCCTCAATTTTATTATCCGGCACCACCAGGGCACGTACCGCCTCAATCATGGCCGCAGCTAGGGCAACAGCCTGCCCCAGTGCCACCATCCTCAGCCCCAATTGACTACTCCCAATTGCAGGCTGCGGCAGCGAGCTCTTTTCAGGGCGTGGAAGAATATAAGGAGGAGTCGACCTCACAATATCCGCAACCCATCACCTATTGGACGAATGTCAACCGGGGCCAAGAATATGCATCCACTTCTCTGCCACCACCCCCGACTGGATCACAGACAGGGAAGGGCGCCGAGAATCCCCTATTTCCTCAAGTATGCCATATTACCTTCTCAAGCTATATGTTGCGATTTTTGGTGCTAATATCGTCTGTCCGTAGCCCACCCAGCCCGCAGAGGCTATATTTCAGTACGACCAACAATCAGGACAAATACCTCCGCAACTGGATTCATCCGGGCAATTCATTCAGCAATATCATCAGCAGGTTATATTTGTGGAGGATGAGAATGAAGACTACTACGATGTGGAATCTGACGAGGAGATGGTGGATCAGGCTCAGGCTGAGGGTTTCAACCAGTTGAGTTTGATCATGGCTTCTGCGAACCATGATGATCGTCGACTTCGATCGTTCACGACTCATCTCAATGAGCCCAACATCCTTGCCTCCTATTATCCCACGCTCGGATCATCTCCTCTCAACAATCCCAAAACGGCGCGCATCTTCGCCCACTTCATCCACTCAACTGGGCCCTCGTTGTCCATATTCGAACGCCATCCAACCGACTCCTCGATCGTCCTGGGAGTCCCAGTCCCACCTGCACAACAAGGTCTTTGGACCTACACCCTCCCTCTCATGGCCTTGGAAAATCCCGCCTTACTCCAGGCGATTCTCGCTGTCAGCAGTTTGCACATTGCATACTTGCAGGGTGTACCCACTACCGTTTCTCTCAAACACTACCACTATGCATTGAAGCGTATCAGCCGCGCCGTCGGCCTCCCCCTTCGTCGGAAACAGATCGGCACACTGGCTGCCACCCAACTTCTAGCCTACTACGAAGTCATATCCGCCGATCATTCCAAGTGGAACAGTCATGTTGCTGGTGCCGCCCAGCTAATCAAGGAGGTTGACTTCGCGGGTACGACCCGGGATCTCCGCGCTCACCGGCGTGGACTCAGTGAGCAGCGCCGCCAGATGGGGTGGTCCAACTCGATGATGTACCATCACGGTTTCGGTCCTGATATAACTGAGGATGACCCATTTGCGGAGAAAGAGGGCAGTGTGGACCAAGCTCTCATCGGATCTCTCTTGGGACGAATAGTCAACTTCGATGAATTCGGCCGCGTGGAAGATGACCACGTGCACAGCCCAAGGAAGCATTTCTCTCGCAAAGACATCGAGAACTTCCGGATCCAATGCGATCTCTACTGGTGGTTTACCAAGCACGATGTGTTCCACAGTTTGATCAGTGGAGACAAGTTGTTGTAGGTCAGCCTTCGTCCGACTGACAATGAATTTTTACTAATTTCACTACTTTGTATTCTAGCATGCCCTACTATCTGCAGTGCCAATGCCCGCCCCGAGCAGCCATCGGCCGGCTCGATGCCATCTACGGGTCAGCTGACTCCCTCTGGCTGCTGCTTGCCCGTGTGTCGGACTATGGCTACCGTGATCGGAAAAGAAAGTTGAGGGCTCTTCGGGCTGTGGGAACTGTATGGAAGCCTACGCCTGGAATGTTCAAGTATATGGGTCGCTTCTCTGGCAGCGATCCCAGCAAGATGAAAGGGCCGCCCGAGGGTCCACAGCCTCCAGGCCCTCCTGGAGGACCTCCTTCAGCCGGCTCCTTTCATCCTAAAGGATCGGTTCCTCCATCGGATTCATCAGGGGTTTCACCGGGCCAAGGAAGTGGTCCACCAGTGCCAGCTTTGCCTCCGATGTATGGTATGGTGCCGCCACATGGTCCGACACGCCTCCCGTCTGGATTTGCAGAGGGCCGCCATGACCGGCGCGAGTCCCCTGAAGAGGAAGAGGAAGGTGATGACTTCACATACGCGGACGCAGAGCATGAATGGGAGGAGATTTTGGTGGCCATGGACATCTTCGCCAAAGCCTTAGGACGCGATTTTCAGCCGCTCCCCGCAGACGTCACGCAGTCCATCCCAACACCCTTTGGGTCGGCGCTTCAGTACCGCACGCACACGATCGCGGTCATCTGGGGCTTCTACTACGCCGGCCGCATCCTGCTGCACCGACTGCACCCCTCCATGCCCCCGGCCATGATGATGGCGGCCGGTGTGGCCGCCCCAACAACCGCAGAGTATGCACAGATCGTCGGCAGAATTACCGGCGGTATTTATTACCCCCAGCGCTACAACCTTGAAGCCGGCAGTCTGAGCCCGACACTCGGCTCTTCACTCACGGAGATGACGGTGCCGATCTTCTTTGCGGCCGTGCAGTACATGGACCCTGCGCAGCGTGGCTGGACCATCGCAAAGCTGCATGACGTATCTCGGTTGACTGGCTGGAAGACGTCAGAGGCCATCGCCAGTGGCTGTGAAAAGGCCTGGACCATGGCAGCCGCGCACGGCCGCGGACCACCATACGAGCGATCGTTTGACTCCGACCGCCAACGTGCGCCCCTTGTAAGTGTCAAAACTGATGATGAACCGATCCGAGCCCGCTTGGGTTGGGGGGTGTGTGGCGCATATGCTGACTTTCTTCTGCAGCCACTCGATATACTCAAGCGCGACCAGGGAACGCAGTATAGCGACGATCGGCGGTTTATCACGATCGAGCCGCCCGACCGAGCTTTTCTAGCGATGGGGCTGTTGAGTTTGGAGGGCGATATGCAAAACCTGGAGGTGTAGGATTGGAGGGGAGGCGCGTGTACCTACATTAGGCAGAGTTAAATAGCGGCCTTAGTATCATACAGATCCATCGTTGTCAGTCCGCATGTAAGCAGTCAGTGCAGTGACCGCGGTGGCTGTGTGGAGACTCCCTCTCCCCCACTTGGTCTCTCCCCAACGTCATCAGCAGCGCTTCTGCCTGACCCTCTTTTTCTCTTCTGCAGCACAATAAGGCTGAATCCCGCCGACGTGCTTGGCTATTCCGCTTTCCACCATTCTATCTTCAGCTCTCCCCTGTGTTTACTTTCCCTCTCACCTCCCTCCGTCGCTCTCGTCCACCCATCCCGTGGTTCTTCCCACCCCCACCCTCCGCGGCCCGCGAGTCAGCCGCCCTCGTCATCCACGGTTCACACCGGGCTCCATCGCCCCTCCACACAACAAGCCCCCTTTGGCCCCTGCGATTCATCCAGATCAAGTCAAACCATGTCGCGCTACGACGACTACCGCTCCTCCACCGGGACCTTCGAGTCCCGCGACCGCTACGACCGCCGCCATTCTCGAGGTCCAGCCGTGGCCGATCGGCCCCGCCAAGTGGAGGACGAGCGCTTCGAGTTCCGCCTGCGCGAGGAAGATCGATATGGCCCTCCTGCCCGCGCCCCAGGCCGGTACTATGAGGATGAGCACCTGTCTCAACCATCTGGCCCCCTGGTGGCGCCTGACCGGCGCCGTCGCCGCGACGGTAGTCCCGCGTTCGCTCGTCCACAGTTAATTAGGCGACAGTCGTCCCTCGATACCTTCGATCGCATCCCTCGCCGCAAGATGGAGTCCCTTGAAACTCGCGATCGCCCCCGGGGTGTCCCCCGTATGCCTCACCCCGCGCCCCCTCCGCCGCGGGCCTCGCCGGGTCGTTATCGTGAGCGGGAGGTCTATGAGGACATCCGTATCGCGGAGCCGGACTACTACGGCGATGAGGAGTTTAGAGATTTCGGTGAGCGCACAAGTGTGGATCAACGTCGGCATCGCTCTAGCAGTGGTGCTCGCTCTCGTCATGAAGAGAAGCCCTATCCGCGCAAAGGCAAAACTCGCATTCCTCGCAAGTGGGTGCATATCCATGCCTTATTGGATCTGGGGTACCCGTTCAAGGAGGATGTATGTTGTCAATGTCTATATTGATACACAGGAGTTTGGATTGCTGATAACTATTCTGGTCTAGGATGATGTAATTGTCATTCAGAAAGCCTTATCCAAGGACCAAATCGACGAAGTAATCACCCTGAGCAAGGAGTTCAGACGGCCTGCCGAGCACGAACATGTGGAAAGTAAGTTACTTTCCTGAGGGCCCCCAGGCAACCACGGCAACTGAATCTCTGTTCTAATACCTGCTGCTTAGCTGATTTTCTCCGTGTACCGCGATCCCCGGTTCGAGCTATACCCCGTGAGCGGGTCACCACAGAGCATCTTGTCGTTGATGCTCACACGCCTCGCCATGATACATACATCATCGAGGCGTCACCGCATCGACACAACAATTACGACGAATTCGAATACGAGGACCGGATTCAGAGACCACAATATCGAGGCATCTCTCGCCCACGGTCAGTGTCTGTCCATGCACATGAACACCGCCGACTCTCATCGCCAGTGCGACTCGTTGAGCCCCGTGGCTTTATCGAGGAGCGTATTGAATCGCGGCCTCGCAATTCTGGTCAGTTAGTCTTGATGCGCCCACGGAGCAGCCACCACGACGACCTCAGTGACTATGTTCGTGACCTGGAAGACGAGGCCAGGTTCCTGCGAATGGAGCGACAAGGAGGATTTGAAGTCACGCGACAGCGTGAGACCGACATTGTTGACAGTGATGGCAATGCGGCTGAAATTACCGAGGTTCGGCGCTCAGAGCGTAGAGGTACGAGTCAAAAACTACACTATCATGTTTACCACTTCATCGCTGATACTTTTTTAGAACCCAGTTCCGGCGTGATGCGAGCGATGCTTGCCACTCTCACTTGAGGCTGAGGGACCATGTTTCTGCGCATTGAGCAGGAATGGGAGATGACTGTCATGATATTCACAGGCCACGATGATTTTGCAGATCTTTCTTGTACTTATTTTCTTATCATGTACTTCCACTCTACGAATGCGAAGCCATAAGCGGGTGCCTGATAAAACCGTGGCGGTGCAGTGTGGTGGGGCGGTGCAGCGGGCTGGATAGCACTCTCGTAGCTGGCCATGTCCTATCATCCCTCACAATCCCTCCTTGTATTTCCCACCCTCTAGTCTCTCACCACCTCAATCATGGATCGAGTGCAGGCATTCGGCAAGACCTTCAGGTGAGCTTCGCCCCCTTCGTCCCCTCAAGCACCCGCCTATCGCAAACACCCCCTGCGCAAAAAAAACCCCCGCGGGTCCCGTTCTGGACCGCCGTCGAACGTTGACTGACATCTCGTCTGTCGCTTGTGTGAACAGCGCGAGCTTTACGCCCTTTGCGCAGCGTACCCAGCAGTTGATCAAGGAGCAGCTGGGCCAGGCCGAGGACAAGACCCAGCTCCCAGATGAATACATCGAACTCGAGAAGCGCGTCGATGCGCTCAAGCTTGTCCACCAGAAGCTGCTGCAGGTGACGTGAGTTATCCCCCCCCCCCCCCCCCCGGTGATATCTAGGTTGGCCTTCAGCGTCCGTGGGCACTACTGATCGCGGCGTCTTCTCCGGAAACAGCTCGCAATACTCCAACGAGGCCTACGACTACCCGCCCAACATCCGCGAGTCCTTCAACGACTTGGGCCGCACCATCAACGAGAAGGTCACCCTCCTCTCGCAGGCCAGCTCCCCCGCCGAAGCCCAAGCCGCCCTGACCGCGCCGCCAGCCGCCAAGCCGCAGCCCAAGACCTTCAACCATGCGATCGCGCGCGCCTCGCTTGCTGGCTCCCAGACCCTGGTGCAGAGCTCTGAGCATGAGGATCCGCTCGCCACCGCGCTGGAGAAGTACGCCCTGGCTGAGGAACAGGTCGGTGAGGCCCGTCTCGCCCAGGATGCGCAGATCCAGTCTCGCTTCCTGGCTGGCTGGAACACCACGCTGAACACCAATCTGATGTTCGCCACGAAGGCGCGCAAGAACGTCGAGAACGCGCGTCTCACGCTGGACTCGATCAAGGCCAGCAAGAAGGCTGCTGCCCACGGTGACCTAGATAACCTGAGCGAGGATGCTCGTCAGGAGATTGAGCAGGCGGAGGATGAGTTCGTGGGTCAGACTGAGGAGGCTGTGAGCGTGATGAAGAACGTATGTCTTTTATAGCTGCTGTCGGCTTTGTTGCGTGACGAGCACACCCCGTGCTAACTACCCCTTACTCATCTAGGTCCTTGATACCCCCGAGCCCCTGCGCAACCTGGCCGATCTGATCGCTGCTCAGCTGGAGTTCCACAAGAAAGCCTACGAGATTCTGAGCGAGCTCGCTCCCTCAGTGGACGCGCTGCAGGTCGAGCAAGAGGTAGGCTACCCCGTTCCACCTCCCCCCCCCCCCAACCAAGCCACTTCTAACGCAGAAATCTCCTTAGGCCAGCTACCGCAAGAGCCGTGAAGGCGCATAAGCTCAGCTTTTGCCGTTTCATTCCTAGCCTACCTACTTTTCTACTTTGTTTAAGCTCTGGCTGTTGCTGTTGTTGTTACTGTTGCCGTTGCCTCTTTGTATCTACAATACTCTATCCTGCAACCTTTTTTTCTCCCTTCTGTGCTATCACAAGAATCATCACCAGTTTGTGATGCGTGTTTTTTTTTATGCAGGCTTGCATTAAATAGATTGGAAAGCCCTGCATTACAAATTATCGTAGAGATCATGAAGGACATCTGTACGCCTTCCTATAAGTAGCAAATGGTCGCGATGGTGTGGGTGACACCGCCCTGGCGCCTGAGGCAGAACAGTCCCGCTAGTTAGCTCCAGGAGCTCCGACATCCAACGGCGCTTCAACTTGTCAGGTCGCCTTTCCTTTCTACATCCCGCTCGACTGCTGCACTCTGTGGAGGGAATTCTTCGGCTGGATAACCCAAAGACCCGCCACCCCTCTTTCTTGGCTCTTTCTTAACCTCGAATCGCCAATCCCGTCTCTCGATTATCGCCCACCTGGCCGCGATCCCTAGCCGCACCGGTAACGCTGCGACTCTACCAGGGAAACACTAGCTCTTTGAAGATTTTGTGGAAGGACAGACACACAGAACATACCGACAAAATGGCCAGTGGGTATGTTCAACTACAATCCAAGGGCTGAGAGGATATACCTGCGGCGGCCAAAGCCGAAGTCTCGGGCTCCACCGGTCCTCTCAAGACGCCTTACTGCGCGTGCTCAACCCGATGGAATGGCTCACTAATGTCATATGCAGTTGGAGTCTCTTCGTCGGTCTCATCATTATTGTGGCTGCCTCCCTAGCAGCATGGTTCTTCAGCCCGAAGGGCGAAAACCAGACGTGAGTTTGCCTGCCTTTGTCCTGTCGCCCCGGCTGGACAAATATAACAATGTAATCTACGAATCTAACGTCTTCATTCTATAGTGTTTGGCGCAGCACACTCATCCTCTCCTTCGTCTCCTGTTATCTGATGTGGGGTATGTCACTCTTTGCACTTCTGTGCCTCTTCTCCCCGCAATACAAATCCAGCCAAGGAAACCAAACTAACACATTTACCCCCCAGCAATCGTCTTCCTCGCCCAATTGCACCCCCTCATCGCACCCAAACGGGCCGATATTCGGCCTGGCCGGGTACCGGAATAGAGATGTCTTTCCTACTTCGGGTTAATCTTGGACTGTTCCATATTTCGGGCCGGGGTCTTCTTTGTGACGTAGTTTCTTGATCGAGATAGCACTGGGGATGCCCGTGCTTCCTCTGTGGTTTATTGGGAAATGTTTGATTCTTATCATCGGAATCGTATGCACTTGGGTTGCGGGTGTTTTGTATAGCTCTTTCTTTTCCATTCTGCTAGACATATCTATCCATTTCGAATTATTTGCCGTCTCTACCGAGTGTGCCGCCGATCACCCCTTAAGAAGATAGAGTTGCTCTCATTAATCTCTCATTTACGTTGTCCAATAGTAGTTGATATTCTAGGAGGCCGGAACACATGTATCACATGAATATAAGCATGGGAACCTCCCATGGATCGATTAGTATCTATGCGAAATCAAACCTATCATCACCCCAACTCCATCCCAGATCACAAAGCGTCTAGTTAAGCCTATCCAACCCCAACAGCCCCTAGAATAATCCTTTGCACCGCCCACCGCGCAACCTGCCCTGCAACCGCAACAGCCACAGACCGCAAATACCCACACCCAAGCAAGATATAGAGCGCCTCGATATTGCTCAGCAGCACCAGATGCGCATCCACAACGCCCAGTGATAGCAGGGACGCCAGCAACTCAAACAGCCCCGTAACATACCGCGTTGGCAGGTACGGACGCAGCAGCGACTCTGCTGCCGCAAGGTACGACTCCAGGAAAGACGGCGAAGACGCGGCGTCCCGGGCCGACGAAAGCGCGGCCTTGGACGCGCCGAGATCTTTGCGGAAGGCGCTCTCGGCCGCGCTGGTGCTGGTACTGTTGCCGCTGCCGTCGGCGCCCCAGATCACGAGGAGAATGGGGAAGAGCTTTGCACAGCTGCTGACAAGGAGGGCAGTGCTTATTGCTGTTGGGCTGGCGGCTGTGGGTGGGGGGAGAGGTTGGATGTTTTGGATTGGGGCTGTTGATGTGCGGCGGAGGGGTGGTGGTGGGCGTTGCGGTGCTGTGGATGGTGCTTGTGGAATTGGGGATGGGTCTGGCGGCGAGGTCGTGTCGCTGAGGAAGGCAGGGTTGGGCGTGAGTTTCGCAGCCGGGAGGCCGATAGAGCTTAGCTGCTGCGCTGCCTGTGTAGCCTGCGACGGAGGCGAGGGCCGGATTGTTGGGGTGGGAGGGCCAGAGGGGAAGGGGGTTGTTTCGCCAGTGCCAGCCGCCGTGCTGGGCTGGGTGGATGTTTCTGGCGCGCCATAGCGATGGGACTTCGGGACTAGGATTGAGGCTAGGAGGCGGACTGTGAGGTGGTGCGCGAGCGTGGTGGCGGCGTTCAGGGTGAGGAAGAAGAGGTATTGGATGACGATTGGGGCGCGCGAGATGAAGGTTGTTGCGAGAGAGGGGTCTTTCTCGAGACGGGCCCAGGTCAGGTAGACGTCGAAAAGAAGTAAGAGGATGCCAAGACGAATGATCGATCGCTATATTCACATCTCATCAGTTCTAATCTTCACCCTTAAGACGCTAGTGCTTGGTCTCACATCAAATCGATTATCATCGCGTCCAAGCCGATTGAACAGAAGATGCCGGTACACCTATCCCCCCAGTTAGCTTCAACTCTCCCACAGCTCTGTTAGAATGCATTACCTGCGGCTTGATGAGCACCAGGTCAATAAAGATCACGACAAAGTCGTACTCGACATATTTGTCGGCGAACCGCTGGCAGCGCGGGCACTGCGTCAATCGCACACCTTTGCCCTGGGAGCGATCATCGGCGCGACTGTAGGCGCTGTACAGGTGCGAGACCGGGTACGAGCATTCGATGCAGATGGGCATCGTGTCATGGCGCCATGGAGGAGAAGGAGAGATGCGTTGGTTGCGGGCGGTCAACTTGACTTGACGTCGCGACGATCAGCCAGGGGCTAACGGCGGGCGGGCGGGACGCGATGTATACTTAAGGGCCGTACTCGGTTAACTGTCAAGCACCTGCCCAGCTAAGCTTGTTAGCGCTTTTGCAGGAAAAGATCCAGTGTAGTGTATCGAACAAAAGTTCAGTCGGTGTCTTGACTCATAATAGCTTGATCTTATTTTTACACCTCTCGTCGCCAACACTATTGTATACACGAGAAGATCGAACACCGGTCTCTTGCCTCGCCTCGCCTCAATCAATAACACTTTTGTGGTCAGCCCAGCTAGGCTGAATATTCCGACAGACAGCCTCATAGTCCTGGAACCGCCGAGTATCCTCCACCAACCCAGGCGTCGTCCAAAACATAGTCCAATTACTATCCGATAACTTCCACGTCCCACTCGACCGCTCAAAATACCACTTATTCACCGGGTTATCTTTGCGGCTGCGCCAGCAAACTCCATCGGGGAAACATGTGCGTACCATCGCGTTGAAGACAATGTCGGCGACGCCGCCTGCGCCCTGACTGCGCTTCAGCACGGCGAATTTGTCCAAGTATGGCACCAGGCGGGCGGCGCTGGCTTTGCTACCATCGTCAACCACGCCCGGTGGCGCTTCCCAGGTGAGGATGGCGCCACCTTCGTATTCGCCCGCGATGATGAGGCCAGCGATGCGGTCGTTCACACGCTCCAGATAGTTCTGGATGTCGAGTTTGCGGTCGAAAGAGTCTTCGATCAAGTGGACGAGGCGGGGGAGGTCAATAGAGGGGTCGTTTAATTGGAGGCGGGACTGGCCTTGGGCTGTCCACATCTGCACGTGTGGGTTCGGGAGGATTGTGAGGGGCATGCCGCGCTTGACAAAGGTGGTATGCGAGGGAAGATGGCTTATTGCGCTTGCACAGCCATTAATGGTGCCGCGGCGTCCGGGGGGAAGCGAGGATGAGAGGAGAGGTTTGTCGGTGAGGAGATTGTGGATGAGAGGGTTGCGCTGGCGCCGAGTTCCAACGGCGGACACGTCGGATGCCACTTCCTGGGGGGCGCGGGCGGAGTTGGCGACTTCTTGTGGGGACGTGATGATGCCCGAGGAGGCGGATGGGAGCATCGCGAGTGTTTGTTGCGAGAGGCGGAGGTTTTCCAGATGCCCGTCAATCACATAGCTCATTGTCTTGGAGCCTGGGAGCTTATGCGAGTGGCTTGGCAGCGGGGATATCACCTCCTGGTCCACAAATTTGGAAAAGGGATTGCTGTGCAGGATCGCGGAGGCCGGTCCTTCGTCTCTGCTGCTTGTGGTGCTTCCTTCTCCTCCGAGGGCGCTGCGCGTATCAAGCAGCTCTTCATTGATGTCGTCAAACTCTTGCTCCATATTGATGAAGACATGAGATGTCTGTGGACCTCTGAATGCGGGGATTCCTCCGAGGGGATGAAGTAGGATCACCCGATCTAGAGAGACCTCCTTCTGTAAATTGCTGATTCTTTCCGCTGTGACGGCCGGGTCCTCATCTGGGTCTGGATCAGTAGAGAGTCCGGCGAATTCCTTAGTGAGCGCCATGACAGCATCATTCGCAGATACCGACACGGCCCTCGGATTCTCCTCCATGTACGCAATTGGCGTGACAATCACGACATGCCCAGCCCGGAGTCGACTTAGAAGCCCTTTTCGAGACATCACCGTCGGATGGCCCGGACCCCTTTCGGACAGAGACAGAGCCGAGTCGAGACGGAATGATTTAGAGTCCGGCTGCTCGTCAACTGCGGTAGATAGCCGATTAGCCTGTTCAATTGCAACTTGTCGCATTGCAGCCGCGCCATCTACATTTCCCGGGTCGACTACCACACAACACGCCATTCCCAGGCGCACGAGTTGCGACAGCGTCTTCGCCACACCACTGAGAGTGTCGTCATCGAGTGACTGTGGGGTAGTGATCTTAACCAAGGCTAGATGTAGACTTTCCGACGGTTCTCGCTCGCGGGGGGCGGGTGTGGTATTCTGCCGAAACACAGGGCTATCATACACGGCTCGAGAAGCGCCATAGAAAGACCCAAGATTCACACCGGATGGCAATGATTCTGGTGACGGCTCTTTGGGCGGCTCGCTCGCTGGCTCTGAAGCTCCGTTCGGCGGGCTATTTTTGAAGCGAGACAAATACGATTTTGCTTCTCGCTTGGTCGAGGCGGAGCTCAACAGACTCAGAAAGAATTCCTGAAAGAGAAACACCATGAACACATGACTATATCCGGCCATTGGCACCTATAACGGACCTTATCGAGCAGCTTCTCCTTTGCACGGTGCCCCAGTCGTTCATGATTCTGGGTAGTATTCGAGAACTCCGCATGCTGTTGGGCACGAATTTGCAATGATTGTGCCGGGCGGATCACCGCGGGTTCTTTTGTACAAGCGACATGTCGCTGTCAAATATTAACCATCAGTTTTCGAGGTCTACATCGCGTGTACATCTTCTCGACATTCAAAATGCGCACCTTTGCTAGAGCGGACGGGGCAGTCCGCGGCCAGTGGAATGCTCGGGAGCTCATTGTCGACCAGCAACGGTCGTAGCAAGGTAGGCAGAGAGCAGCCTAGCCTCAGATGGTTGGGGGACGAGAGCCAGCTCACCAAGGAGAGAAGAAAGAAGAGGAGGTGAGTCAGGACCGAGAAAATAACGGCGCATGACGCACCCTCGGTTGCGATTCACCGCCTGATGATCGTTCGGGCGGAGTGGGTTAACGGTCTCCGCTCGTGTCTGGGCTGATCGGATCATGATTAGGGCCTTCTGGGAATAATCCTCCGTATTGGCTGTGAAATCTGCTCACTCGCATTTTTCTGATAGTCATTCTATTATGATATCGGCGCCTACCGGAGGAAATGAGCTCAGGCGGGGCAGCCCTAAAGCTGTTCTCTGCTGATTATCTTCGGGCACCGCTTGGCTTCGGGGCTAACAACCGCTTTGGACCGGGTGATGGAGCGGCGATATTAGTCTGCAGGCATTCATCTCTGCCGGAATGGAGAGATGTCGCCGGTACGGAGTTGTTTGGTACATATCCCAAGATCTATCGTGCCCAATGGCTCTGTCCCTTCTCTCCTGCCTGTATATCAAGCTCAGGACGTAGCCGCCTGCTTCATCGTAATCGCACTTACTCCATATACTTCTCCCGCATGGAGGAGCCCTGGTCAAAATCGCAAAGGCTACGCGAGAGATGGATCTGACGGTGGCCCGCAGTGGCCCATAGACCATTTTGTTTAACAATCTATAGGCAAAGCCTCACCCCCTCCTCATTTTGCCTTGGAATATGTTCTCAACGTAGGATCCCCCCACTGCCAAGCGACAGTCTTACGACCACGGTACCTGCTCGGTGGATACTACTGCCCTGGGCCGACTTCGAAGATGAGGCTGCTCTTGATCGCTTGGTTAGTTTAGTTCTCATTGCTTTAGCTGGTGGAAATGGAGCCCTCTCTATCGACCATCGACCTCCATCGACTATATTTGTCCAATGCGAGGTGAGCATAGGCTTCCGGGTACGGTACCCTTTGTATCGCCCATCGTCTGCTCCTACTCCTCGATATGTTCAATAAGTTTGGGATGTTCGGTATGTTCGGTGTCAAATGTTGATGTTATTCGTGCGTGTCGTACACCACCAATGAGAACGTGATTCTGCAGAGATCTCTGACTTGAGCTATGTCAGATGATGGGGGACAAAGGTCCCAAGCTCCTGCATCACGCCAACCACCACTAGCCACCGGAGTTTCTAGAAGTCCAGGATCGACACCGACTCACGGGATCCGATCGAGAAATCCCCCGGCTGCTGGGAAGGCGGTGGCTGGTTCGGGGGTGAGGGGTACGTTGGAGTACTTGCAGGCGGCTGGCCGCCGTGGAAGAAGATAGGAGGCAGTCGGGCGGGCACAGTACTGCCAGGTCGCTCCACTCACGCCCCGCCACTCTACCTTCCCTCCTTCTTTCCATCTGAACATCCGAATCGCAGGCTTTGTGGGACACCAGCACACGTAACTCACTCTTGAATACCCTTGCTGGTAAGTTGAGGACGATCCAGTTCACCCCTCCTTACTCTCATACCAGCCCGCCCAGTCGCCAGCCACTACCCTCTCCTTGCGCACACTGCCTGCGTCGCAAATTCTTATCTTCCGCTGCCTCAGAACAACCCCAGGCCAATCAGAGGGACCAAGGGAATAGCGGTTGAAAGAATTCTGGGAGCTGTCTTTTTGTCTGGACTTCCTTTGGGATCGGTCCTCTCAGCATACTTGCATATCAACTAACCCCCACCGGTCTAGATTGCCTCAAACCCCCCTCCAGTCTCCATCAACGCCACCGAACCGGGTCTCCTTGCAAAAAGAGGCGACCGTGCACCTGCGCTCCTACGGACACGCGAGCATTCCCTCATCTCGCAACAACTACCTCCTATATTTGCTGCGGTCGATTTCTCCACCCTTCTGACTTCATCATGTCTGACCCCAGTGAGCGGCCTTCGGAGTCAATGGCCGGCCCAGATACCTCTGGCCTGAAGCCGCTGTCCAATGCCAATGACGACGAGCTGCAGTCCCTGTCAAACCCCAACAACGCCGAGCTGACCCGGATCATGGGCCGTGCGGGCATTGCGGTGACAAATGGCGGGTTCCCGCTCGATGACCCCGAGGACGAGGAAGAGGTGGACGAGGACTACGTCGCCGTCGACCAGGAAGATGTGAACGACTACCCCTACTGGTTCCGCCGGCCCCCAACTCACCACCGCACCAAGCTTGATGAGCTGCACCCGTTCGTCCAGCTGCTTTCGGTATCCAATGTGGAGGACTGTGTCAATGTCGAGAATGCCTTCCCGGAGCCGGAGCGCTGCTCGCGTGACAAGTTCATTTACCGCCTTACTCGTTGTCCGGAACTCAGCCTGGGTATCTTTACTCTGCCCGTGCTTGAAGAAGGCAAGCCCAAGCCCCGAGCGACTCTTATTGGACATATCATCGCCACCCGGACCTCAGAGCCCTTGGTGACGGACCGAGCTATGTGCCTGCCGAATAGATGGCAAGATGAGCGCTGGGCCTTTGAGAACAACGAGGCCGTTGGCCATGAAGAGGGTGGCAGCACCATCGCCATACACTCCGTAGCCGTGCTGCCGGAGCACCAGGGCAAGCAGGTTGGCAGCACCCTCCTGAAGTCGTACATCCACCGTATTCGTGAGGCCCAGATTGCGGACCGGATTGCCATTATCACTCATGATCATCTGGTTCCTTTCTACGAGTCGTTCGGTTTTGAGTCCCGCGGCCTTAGCAAGTGCCAATTCGGTGGAGGTGGCTGGGTGGACTTGGTATGTTTTGATGATCTTCTCGCCGTTGATTCCCGTTTGACTAACTTGGTTTACTATAGGTTTTGCAGCTTGGTAATGAGTCGAGCTAGTGCTCTAGGGGGTCCTTTGTTTTGCATCCTTCCGGCGTGGAACGTGTGTGTGGCCTGTTTGCCGTTCTGCTGTCTTCGTTTGTTTTTTTTCTCTCTTCTATTTACGTTTCACTTGTGTGTTTCTCCCTCATGTCCCCGCTACGCACGCTATGTCCAGTCATCGGTTTTTGTCCTCGGTTTTGAAAGAAAATGGAGTTTGTCTTTTTCTGGGGCGGGATGGTGATGGCCAGTCTTTCGGATTATCCTGGGAAAGGGGATTGGGCTTCCTGAACTTGGTCATAAGGGCTTGTGTACCATAGTTGAAAATGCGATGTACATGAGCATGCCTGGTCTCTCTGATATACGCAACGAACTTAACCCAACATCGAGACTCTGATGAAGGGCCATCAACATGGAATGCCCAATCTCTGTAAACTTTGCTTTTGAAGAGACTTATTCAGAAACACTCCAAAAGTGGCTCGGCTACCGCATCCAATCTGGCCCCCGCAATTGCTGACCGCCTGGCAGAAAAATGTCCGACAAACAATTTTTTCGTGGAGAACGAACTGGACCCCCAACCACCTCCCACTCCAGAGTCAGTACACTTCCCTGTTTGACTCCTGTGGCCCATCATGAAGACGACGTGGAAGGATGTGAGTGTCTTTGTTCCTGCGGTTTTGCACTATGGTTCTCAGGAATCCCCAACTGATCAGTTTCACCGCTAGATTGCGCCTGTGCCCACGAGCCAGGAATTTCTGGACATTGTCCTGAGTCGCACTCAGAGACAGCTGCCCACCCAGATTCGTGCTGGTTTCAAGATCAGCCGTATTAGAGGTATCTTCCCCTTCGTTTAATCCTCAGTCGAACCGATTTTGCTGCGAATAGTGGGCGACGGCAAAAATAAATGTGATTGAGGTTATCGATAAAGGCAGTATCGCTGATCGAATTTTTTTCTACCGCAGGTTTCTACACTCGTAAGGTCAAATACACCCAGGAGACCTTCTGTGAAAAGTTCCAGGCCATTCTCGATGGATTCCCTCGCCTGGCGGACATTCATCCCTTCCGTAAGTTTTTCCTGCGATTCGATTGCCTCGGAGTGGGGCCTAACGCCGATCAGACAAGGATTTGATGAATACCCTCTACGACGCCGACCACTTCCGCATCGCCCTCGGCCAGGTCTCGACTGCCAAGCACCTGATTGAAACCGTGTCCCGCGATTATGTCCGTTTGATCAAGTATGCGCAATCTCTGTTCCAGTGCAAGCAGCTCAAGCGCGCTGCGCTCGGTCGCATGGCCACTATCTGCCGTCGCCTGAAAGACCCTTTGGTCTATCTGGAGCAGGTCCGCCAGCACTTGGGTCGTCTGCCCTCGATTGATCCCAACACCCGCACTCTCTTGATTTGCGGTTACCCCAATGTCGGCAAGTCTAGCTTCCTGCGCAGCATCACCCGCGCCGATGTCGATGTTCAGCCCTACGCATTCACCACCAAATCGCTGTTCGTTGGCCACTTCGACTACAAGTATCTGCGCTTCCAGGCTATTGATACCCCTGGTATTCTTGACCACCCTCTGGAGGAGATGAACACCATTGAAATGCAGTCGATCACCGCTGTTGCTCACTTGCGCTCTGCTATTCTTTACTTCATGGATCTGTCTGAGCAGTGTGGTTACTCTGTTACGGATCAGATTAAGCTGTTCCACAGCATCAAGCCTCTATTTGCCAATAAGATTGTCTTCATCATCGTCAACAAGATCGATGTTCGCCGCCCCGAGGATCTGGACCCGGAGCAGCAACAGGAGCTGCAGGAGATCCTCAAGGCTGAGGATGTTGAGATGCTGCAAGTCTCGTGCACCACTACCGAGGGTGTAACTGCCGTCAAGAACGCTGCCTGTGACAAACTCCTCGCTGAGCGTGTGTCTCAGAAGCTCAAGTCTGGCAGCAACACTGCTGGTACCCCTGGTGGCCGTCTGGGTGATGTCCTGGCCCGTATTCACGTTGCCCAGCCCATGGGCGGTGTGCAGCGGGAGACCTTCATTCCCGAGGCCGTCAAGAACCTCCAGAAGTATGACAAGGAAGACCCCAACCGCCGCAGACTCGAGCGCGACCTGGAGGAAGAGAATGGCGGTGCCGGTGTCTACAGCTTCGACATGCAGCGCGACTACACCCTGGCCGACTCCGAATGGAAGCACGACAAGATTCCCGAGGTGTGGAACGGCAAGAACATCTACGATTTCGTGGACCCGGATATTGAGACCAAGCTGGCTGCCCTGGAGGAAGAGGAGGAGAAGCTGGAAGCCGACGGCTACTACGAATCAGACGAGAGCGTCGAGGACGCAGAGGACGCCGACATCCGCATGAAGGCCGACCTGATCCGCGAGAAGCGCACTCTCATGCGCAACGAGGCCAAGATGCGCAAATCGCTCAAGAACCGTGCCCTGATCCCCCGCTCTGCCAAGTCCAAGAAGCTCTCCGAGATGGAGCACGGCCTCGACGCCGCCGGCTACGAGGTCGACGCTGCTGGCTCCCGCGCCCGCTCCCAGAGCCGGCCCCGCGGCCGCACCGCGACTCGCGAGGCTGGCGACGACGATGCCATGGACTTGGATGATCCCCGCAAGGCTATTGTCCGCGCGAAGAGCCGTGCCCGCAGCCAGGCCGCAACTGATCGTCGCAACGACGGTGTCGTTGATGAGACGGCTCGCTCGAAGGCTGATCGTCTGCATAAGCTGGGCCAGAAGAAGATGAACCGCATGGCCCGCCAGGGTGAGGCTGATCGTCACACTACCGTCTCGCTGGCTAGGCACTTGGTACGTACCCACATCACTAACCCCGATCCTATCGCACTTCGACTCTTAGAAAATCATGCTAACCCGTCTGATACAGGTCGCCGGAAAGCGCGGCATTGGCAAGAACGATCGCCGCTAAGGCTCCAGCGCTTAATCATCGTCAATTGGTTCCGGGTTCCCTTTCCTCCATACCGGGTGCACAATGGTGTTGGGCGTTGTTTTCTTCTTCCATTTCTGTTTATTCCTTTTCTTTGTTTCCTTTGTCTCCATTCTCATTTGACACGGGATTTTTTCCACATTCCATGCACTACTCGGCATCTCACTGCTCGTGGGCCGGGCGTGGATCGGAAGATGAAGTTTGAACAGCTTTACGATTTGTGGGGGACTAGATCTTTGTTTATATCTCCCAGTCATTAGGACCAAAAGTTCTGGACTTGACTTGATGAATGTTGCATATACCAATACAGATGAAATTTCTTGGTTATGAGTGGATCCACTTGGCCGATTTTCTTGTTGGTATACTGGTCTGTTTGTGTAGGTGTGTAGGTCAAAGAGCCAAGGTAATGAAATGTTCTGTTTTCATTTACTATTACATTATTACGTATTATCTTTGCTTCTTTATGCATATCCGGCGTATAAGTCGACTGGAGTCTTTGAACACAAAAGACGCACGGTTGCGCCTTTCAGATGAACAATGGGACGAGAAGAAGGCGTAACATAGCGTAACATAGAGATAGCTGATGTGCACATCGATACTTTATTGTTGTCTTAATTAACCAAAAATCCTTTCAAACAATTAGAACCCCCGAGTCAGTGGCCTCGAGGGTGCTTATAAGAACGCTCAGTTCCGGCTAGGATTGAAGCCCATCATCACAGCCAACAGGCGAGTACAGCTTCACTCCCATCTACTTGTTTGATCACTTTGCTTTCAACAACTCATCGCAAAAACCTTTCATCTGCCATGCATAACCAAAAGCCTCAGATTGACCGAGCCCACTATGACCTCCACCTGGCATTTTGCAAACAACAAAACCCTCTTGACCCCATCCACTGGATGATCCTTATGGTTCATCCAGGCGACGATCGCTGCATCTGGTACCACTCTGTTGGCTCCCCGGATTACGGTTATGATTGTAAGATCGAGCCTAATCGGCGATTCGATAGCTGGAGCATAGAAAGCAAGTTCTTTCTAACCCAGATCCCTGTAAGCGCAGCCCGCACAGTCAGTCAACAAGCTATCGCTATCCCAAGACAGAGCTGTCAATATTGGGCTGTGTACCTGATATACCGGCTTGAGAGGAATGGGTTGATGTATAGTGGTGCCTCGGACCATTGGAAACATTACATTACCTACCCTTATGGAAATCAGGGCTCCGGTCGCTTGTTTGACTGATTGCTTTCTTCGATACGTCCTTTAGCGGTATTCATTTTCTTTTCTTACAGTGGTGCCCGACATCGCCTTGCATGTCGGAGACAGAGATGCTCTTTCAAACCCGAATCACATGATGTTGTAAATTTAGAGGTTTTCTACCAAACATGTAAAATTTCTACGCTCATATTATGATACCTGTATGTATAATATAAGCGTCCAATATACTGTAGATATACTGTAGTATACCTGTTGTGGGGAACCTGCAGGCCGCATGGGCTCAGTATGGCGGTTAGTCGTCGCTGTCAATTAGCCAGCGTATTTATAAATATCCCCCATTCTGAGGCGAGATACTATTATGACGATCAACAATAGTGAAACATCTTGTGTTGCTCAACCGTCGAATGAAGAGGAAATACATAGAGTCATGTGCTACCTATGGCGCTCGGAAAGTTAATGTTCCGAGAGAATGGCGCGAGGTTGGCCCATTCTCCCTTTCAGCCCGACTTCGGAATGCAGTAGTCTCACATGTCGCAGAAGCGCTCAACTGCACCGATTACTATTATGGCTATCTCTGAACCGCTCACACCTTTGTTCGGGCCTCCGTCGACGGAGCTCCCTAAGCCGCCAGTGCCATATACTGCCAGGTGGAGATTCACCGCAACATCTCACACTGTTTCGGGTCCAACACCGGTAGTGCAAGGCTGCTGCATCAACAGTGAATGTGACAGGATGGAGAGAAGGAAACTGCTTCCAACCGACCGATTCTTAAGGCATCCCCCTTTGCCCGGCAAAGAGGGATATGATACTGTCAGCCTAGAGATCATCGACCTCTTGATGGCCACAATTCTCAGGTATTCACGGTCCGACTACTAGACTTTGAGTCAATATCACAGCTGCTTCCTCAGAAAGGCACAGTACTTGTTGCAAAACTATACGACCCACTTTACTTTGACGATGACAAAGGGCACCTCAACCCATTCCTCTGCGTGGACAAATACTACACTCATGAGGCCAATGCATATATGGCCCTCAACGAACTTCAAAGTCAAGGGATTCCAAGATACTACGGGTCATACTCCTTGAGTCTATCTGTGAAATCAGTGCACACACGGATAGTTCGAATGATTCTGGTCGAGCATATCGAAGGTATTCGCCGTTTAACGTATCCCCGACCAGGAGTGAACATGCAGTTGATCTATCGTGCAGTAATTGTGTGAACGAATTCTTTTATGAGATATTCTAGCTTTTTGTTCTTAGACTTTTGGATTCTAGGGAAAGATGATATTGCAGTGACAAAAAAGAAAGTTTAAACGTAAGAAAGTTTCGACCATCAGATGAATATGTCAACACTGACCCAATATACTACGCAGTGCATGTCGAATATATGAGCGCATTGTATGGTCCTAATCAAGACGTGTTATAGAATAAGAGGGGAAAATTTGTGACCGAGAAATCCAAGATTACAAAGATGACGATGTAGCCTTAAAACTAATAATTAGCAGAGCGACAAGCCCCCTTCATAGTTTATAACCTTGATCCCACCTATTCAAGCCTCCCTTCGTTACACCATATGTTTGAAGCAATCGCCAACAAATATGTCCGCTTCTCTCCTTACGTTCTATTATTAACCTCTTCTATTTTATTGTTGTTTGCTGGGATAGCATGCACGGATAATTCGGCTCCTCAGACCCGCCTTTTCTTCATAAAGGTGAGAAAGCGGCCAATAATAGCAAGTGCATCCAAGATGCTAAAGAATGGAGGCAAACATTACCGCCTCGAACGCCTTTGTTATGATGCCACGGTTTCCCGACCACATCAGAATCGATCGCGACTATGGGTCACAACCGGGCACTTCCAGTCCCTCCTTAAGGCCTCTGACTGTGGCCGAGGGAAGGAAAGAAACCCCTTCTCATTTTTCTGAACGATCGATCTCCGCTGTTCCAGACTTGTATTTAATTGGCCTCTGGGGTTATTGTTAGGTCTGGTCTAATGCCTCAAGCTGGATCGTCACTCGTTGTTCCCCGCCGAATGTCCAATTCGGGTTTAATTTCACGGACATTCTCCTCTCAACGGAGCTATCAACTTCAACCCCATTTTTGAAATCCGCGGATCTGTATCATGTAGCATCGGCATGGTTGAAGGCAACCTTTATCATTGCGTTCATGACTAGCAGTGTGATGGTAAGCGTGGGCATGATGTTCGGGTTAACAGTCCATGATGCTCCAAAAGGCAGCCTTGTAATGGGCGTAATAGCCAACGTAAGTGCCTTTGGGTGTCTACAAAAACATAGTTCTGACATTTGGGGAAAGGTGGCGGTAATCTTCACTTTGGCCACCACGGCTTTGGCGACAGTGGTGTTTACCACTCTCGTGAGGCAAATAAATGCCGTATCTGCCTCAACTGGTATTGAAGCATCAATAGGTCTCTCCAGTATTATAATTTCGTGGCTGGGGCATTATCTTCTTTAGTGGCTGGACTCACATGCTTGTTCATTGCCCGCTTCTCGGAGTCCACACAACTTGCCGGCGATCGTCAAATATATAGAGTAAGGAGGAGTCATCGAGACCAATAATAATATTCTTAACAGCCTTCGTGAATAGCTTTATTCCAAAGATAATTAGCGGCTTAAGAAATTCCCGGATAATTCCGCAACTAGATCAATGTGTCCTCCGATCAATATTAATGTCCTCCCGGCTCAGTCCTCTCAACCGTCTATACCTACACCCGGCTGGTACTGAAGCTACGACCTCAAGACCTAGCCACACTGATTCGATTACGGGCTCCTCGATATAGCTATGAAGGAATATACCGACTAGTAGCAGTCACGGGTGAGCAGTGACACCTTTAGGGATAATATCAGGAAAGCACGCGATGTGACTCTTTGAAAATTGTCTCGACCTCCTGCAGATTTATGAGGATCAAGATTCAGGTTCCTTTGTCAAGTATGGCGTGAAAGTAGGTATCGCCCGGCGATTCGTTCGCGACCTAGGCCATTGGGTGAAGCAACGTGGAGAAAACAATGGGTCGTGAAGAGTAACAGTAATTTTGTTTCGGCATTATATAGTCAACAGGGAACAGCCCTCATCGGCATACTTGTTTTCTTGTACGGGATAGCTTCCAAAGTATAGATAAATGACAATTGATACCGGATTCTTAGTACAGTCTGAATACATTTCCGCCTACTGTGGAAGGCGAGAAACGATAGTCGCAAGCGCCTTATACATATCCACTGTTAACATTGACTTATTAAAATCATCAGCTCTGCTTCCTTATGGCCATTCTTGGTTATGAAAAGGAGACTTACTGTGTCTTCTTGAATAAAAATGCCAATTTCATCGGCATGATCCAGACCAGTGGTGACACCGAAGTGCCAATATTTTCCTCTGGCAGTTTCTACTTTCTCTACACCGTGCGGAAATTGACGTGCATCTGCGATGAGATCTTTGGTTCGGTTATTATGCTGGTCTCCGTTTCGATTGAGTGGGCCTTTCATAGAAGCTGTGTTCACGATGCCATCATTGGTTTTCCAATCATGTGTATCGTCCCCCAGAATCTTAGCTTGAGATTCGGTCAGATTGTAGCACCCAATAGCATACGCAGCTGGGAGCATAGGTGGAAACATGCTAGGCATTGGTAGATAATCCGGTGGCCCAGGGATTCTGATTGTGTAGCCAATGTACTCGAGAAAGTGATTAACACTGTCGATAGCCCAGCTCATAACGTCGCGAAATCGAGTCAGCGTAGACACAGTATACCATCCGCCAATGCCAACGCCGGCATCAATAATCAGTCTGGCGATTCCATCTGCAAGTTGGCCGCTCAACTCTGGTATGTTTGGTATGAACCCGCCAATGAATGGAATTGAGTTTAGTGCTCCTTGAACAAATTGAGCAATATTACTGACGATTGGTATCGAGGTGAGAAAGCGAGCGATAGTTAACGGGAATGACCTTAGTGCAACCAATGTCCACGGTGGCCAGTCGTTCGGGAATGGCTCCACGCAGATGAAGGACAGACTGAAGTAGTATACGTCGCCTGAGGTGGGAATGGTTGAATTGTTCAAATTATTGACCCCAACAATGGTATTATCATAGAGTCCATTGTGGTTTGATTCAAGCCATCGACGCACTGGTCCAGATTGAGCCCGATATATCAGAGATTCCAGCCTCTCTCGCGTTTCTGGGAAAGATTCTTCCGTCCCTGCTGCAGTTTTGCCTCTTTTGATTCCCCAATGATCAAGTTGAAGATCATAGAATCTGTGATTTGTATCATTGAAGGAGAGGGTTGCAAACAGGCGGCCAATTAGCTTAGTCCTTTCTTCAGTAGTCGCTACCTACTCACATTAGAGATATCCAAAAGTAAAAGATGGCAACATACTCGGAAATAATTTTGAAGAGCATCAACTATTGTTGTGCCCCTGTGCGGGGTCCCGATAGTTGAAACTGAAATAGCCCACTTACTGCGTCCAGGCTCATCAAAGTAGGTCAGGTGCGCTGGGATGTCACTTAGTGTGCCATCTGTCAAACCCCGCGAGCCATGTTCCATAAGATGGAGTAAATAGCGAACCGTATTTCCTCCTTGCGAATGGCAAATAAAGTGAACTGGATTATTTTTGCTCCAGACCCAGGGTTTCCTTTTTTTCATTTCGTGATCTTGCGTGAATATAATCGGGAGTTTTCGCTTTTCTGTATGCTGTTCATATCCATGCTTGTTTGGAAAAATGCCGCCGTAGTCGACTTTGATACCCTCAGAATCATCTTTAAATGTACCTTTTTCCACATCATACCGAGTGAATCTGTATAGTTGAGAAGCACGCATGTCAAAGTTTCCATCTCGAGTACATACCTTCCAGATGTAAGTTGAGCAAAAAGTTCACACGCCCGTTCCCAATTAGAAGATATAGGTGCTATTGGGGTTACAATCACTGTGTAACCGTCTTTCGCCAGTTGCTGTGGAATGTTCTCAATGCCGCCCCAGTAATTGACAGCACCGAAAAGAGGTGTTCCCCATCCCGAGAATCCAGGAACTGGTGAAGTTAGAAGAGTTATTTCAATTTGGCTATAAGGCCTTACCCATCACAATAGGAACTTTCTGAGCCTCTCTATTGAAATTGTGGCTCTCGGTCAATCTCGTCGCCAGTTCTTTTAGGTTGGCGACCCCTTCTGCATTGTGTTGTGACTCCATTCCAGAAGATCTGGCTCTTGTGAAGTAGGCAATCCTTTTTCTCTGTCTTAAAAGTTAAGCGTTTCAAATTCGTAGAAGAATTGCGGCATTTTAAATATATCTCTGGTTGAGCAAGGAAGCCAGTTTTGCGAAGCTTATGTAACTCTAATCACATGTTAAATCTATTCAAGTCTGGAACTTTTCCTTCCCTGGGTCCCGGGGGTTGTGACGTAGACCAGCAGAAGCAGGCGTCCAACAACAGTTACAATGAAGCAGACTTCAATGCCTAGCTAGACGAAAAGATTGACAGTAACTTCAATTTCGCTGATAAACCTAGCATATAATTTTAACAAATTATCATATCCGCTTGCGACGAATATAACGTAATTCTGAGATTCAGCATGAATTATATATTCAAGACGGCGTCAGATCGATCCTTTTAGGCTATCCTATGTTGCGAAAACAAAAAATCTAGGAGAGCCTAAAGATATCACTTACGTGTGAATGATCGAAAGTCAAAGGCTATATAGCATTTTAGCTGGTGGTTACGATAGAGCTGAGTCTTGAAAACGGTACCCTACTAAATGTCTAGTTTGTGATTAGCGGCAAGAATCTCCGAATAAAGTATAGCCACATTAAACCGGACAAAACCTAATATTAGCCATAAGAATAGTTCCCAAGCCACTCCTAAGCTGCCAAGAATAGTTCACAGGATAAGGACGAAAACGGCGTATATTCTGCTTTGACCCGAACCCCGGCACCGCGTTCTCTGTGGAAGTCACTTATTCAATAATATCAAACGCCCGTTGGTGTCTACTGGCATCATATGCGGGGTTATTTCAGGTCGACTTTGATTAAATGGGAAAGACCTATGATTATACTTGCTTATTACTGTCAGATGAATGTTAGAAGCCAGACCTGACGTCGACAGCGTTTTATTTGGTTAAGCTCATATTAGGTCCGTTCAGAAGCAAATCTTACTTTTAACCGTTACCCCGCGGCCCCGTCAGATCATCGACCGAATCTTAAAAATTAAGTTTACGTGTGACCGCTTACCGCTACGGCAGTATTACACAAGACTTTCAACATAGGTGATCTAGTACTCGTTCACCGTCCGGCGGTTTTTAGAGATGGTCTAGGACTGCCCCCCAGGTTGGTGCGGGTATCGTCTGGCGGGATCAGCAACCAGAGCTATAGTTAGCGGTGGACTGCTCCTAATCATATCATAAACACGCTAAAGTATTGATAGTGGTACATTTGGTACCATTTCCATAACGCAGTAGACAGGAGTTAAGGTGAAAAAAATGTTGTTGCGCTCAAATGTCGTGCGAAGAAGGTGAGCATTGTTTATTTTTCCACCCATGTCTACCCATGATGGTCTATGACGCGAGGAATGGTGGTGGTGCTGAAATATCTCCTGAACGACACGGCCTCCATTTTTAGAGCCATGCAATATCGATGGACCTTTTATGTCTGATTGAGATGGTGATATCGGCATGAGGTTTGGATGCTCACTTTGCGAAAACAGACTATCACAGAAGGAAGAGGCCAATCGGGTGTGACTTTCCCATCACAAAATGCCGCCAATCTTGTACAGTTTGCCTGTAAAGGATGGACGAGACGCATAGTAGAGTCTGCCTATCCACGATCTCGCCATGCTACCGTATATTGAAGAAAACCAAGGAGTCATGTAACATATACTGGAAACTACGTGACAGAGACTTCGATAAAGAACCTATAGTGACGCTTTTCCGATTTGGTGTTGATAATTTGCGGTAAGTTCACGGTACTTGATAATGATTGTAGAATAACAGGTTCATGAAAGCAAAAAACAGAGATACAGAAGACAGCACAGTTGTGCACGTTTGTACCCTAGTGAACAATTGCGCTCAGGTGGTCGGCAATCAATCTACGAGGCCCTCATTTCAAACATATCCTTGCCCTCCTCTTGCCCGTTGGCCTGCGCGTTTAAAGGTAATTGGCGAACATGGTCGTAAAAAAGTCGTTGAGGAACAAACCCTTTGGGTCGAGCTGCTCGCGTATCTGAAGAAACTGCCGGATGCTCTCGGGATCGTGGACCTGGGCAAAATTGCTGATCGCCCCGTCGCGCGTCTTGTTGATATGAGGGATGCCACCGTGACGCACAGCAACCTCATTAAAGGCAAGGCGAAACTCCCTCCACTTGGGATCCTTCGGGTCAGGATACTCAGGGTCAACCGCCATCATGTTGGCACTCCGGGATCGCGACAGCAGGGACGCCTGGTCCTGCTTGATAAAGTAGACAAGTGCGGGCAACGGCAAGATGAAGTCATGCTGCTGCCGAAAGCGGTCGCTCAGCTGCAGAAACGCCCGAATCATGTCACACCATTTCTCCTCAGGAAATACCCAGTCATAGAATTCAAAGTTCGGATCGTCTTCGCCGTAGATGACGCCACGATCGCACGGATCGACGATATAGCGACTGTGGCGGATGATCTTCAGCGGCAAGTCGACCATCGCATTGTGGATCAGTCCGGCCTTGTCGGCCGAGAGGCGTAACCCCGTCACGGCCTTCACCAGGGGCAGAAACAGACCCCCGAACAGACTGATGTTCCTGCTTTCAATCGGGTCGAGCCAGGCCGTTGGGGAATCCGGCCTCGGTATCGCCGGATCCAAGAACTTGCGGCATTGCCAAAGCAGCTTGCCGGTGGTCGGAAAAAGCATACCGAACACCTGGTCGTTGGCTGCTTTTAGCGCCTGCAGCTCCGCTGCAAAGTTGTCCATGAACGTGTTGATTTGCGCGACCTGGAAACTGACCTGCAACGGCCGGGTCTTGAAGACACTCACGGTGACCTCGCAGACTACGCCGAGCATGCCAAAATGGGAGCGAATGGCAGGCAGGTATGCCGCATTCTGCGATTCCGAGATTTCCATAATCTCGCCGGTTGGCGTGACCAGCTTCACGCCGAGAACGAACGACGAGAATTGCGCAGAGCGTCTCGTTGAGGTGTCATTGGCGTGCGTGCCGCTGATGGCGCCGATCTGGAAATTGCCCCATTCCAGGACGACAGGAGGCTGGAGGCCGAGTTCTTTCAAGTGGGCACACAGCTGGCGCAGGGTCACGCCTCCTTGCACGGTGACCGTTAGCCGCTCCTGATCCACGGAGAGGACGCGAGCCATGTTCTCCATCGAGATGACGATGCCGGTGCCCACCGTGCATTCAGTGGTCGAATGCATGGCACCGACAACGGTCACTCGTTGGTCCTGTTTAAAGGCTTGTGTGACGATGGCTTGAACGTCCGAAACCTGTGTCGGCATCTTGAAGCGGTCATCGGCTACTTCAAACTGGATCTCATCATTCCAGTTGGTAAGAGCGGGCATAGTTGCAACTTGATTCAATCAAGATCCTGTTTTACTCCTGCTTATATGAAGAAGAGCGAATCTCTCTAGAAGTCAAAATAGTGAGAATAGGATGGAAATTCAGGACCAAGGGAAAGATAAGAACGAAAGTATTATACTTCAGAACAGATAAAAAACGGTACTTCAGTGTTCGCCATCCTACCAGTTCTGTGTCAAGTCGAATGGTAACAAACCTTAAGTAATAGAAGTAACAATAGGTTAGCCAACCTAGTAGAATGAGCTCATTATTCTTAAACTGTGGGGAAGGCCTAGACCTACCTCCCCTTGAGAACTTAGTTCGTTGCCAAGACTTGTGAAGCTGGAGTGCTAAAATCTGTAATAATGAAAACAGTTTTATTACTTGACCAGTATAATAAGTTGCAGTTAATCACCCGAGTAGATGTTATCCAGTTGACAACAAAAGGCGCAAAAGCAATAACTTGTCAAGATGCTCGATCAGCGTTCTTGGACGAGGTAATCAAATCGCAAATGCAACGCCGCCCGCCCCACTTTGTGCTGATAAAATTTATCTGAGAAACAGGATTCATAGTAGTTCGGCATTCTGTGGGGAAAAAATAAAGATTGTCACCGACATGAGGAGAACCTTCTATTGACAGAGCCTATTCTATTAATTACATCAACATTTCGTTGACGTATGATTCAGCCGTCCCCATTTGGGTACCTCGACTTGTCAGTGAGCGCTTCATGGTGAGAAGGGCGGGAGGCTTCATCCCTGCAACGACTCTGAACTTGCTTGCTGCCGCGTGGATTCAGTTCCAGATCCACGATTGGTTTCAACATGAAAGCGTGCGTGTTTTCTTTGTGCAGTTCTGTCTCCTACATGGCGTGTAAGACCTGAAGCTGCCGTATTGCTGACCCCCAGTACCAGAGCGATGAGTTCTACGATATTCAACTCCCGCCAGGGGATGAGTGGCCTCACGGGAAAATGTTATTACCATGCACCAAACCCGATGAGACACTTGAGCCGTCCGACATCAATTGCCCAGGATACAAGAACACCAACACCGCGTGGTGGGACGGCTCGCAGATTTACGGCTCGAGCGAAGCTACCACAGAGAGCCAACGAACTAAGGACCCAGACGGGAAGCTGTTGCTCACCCAGAGAGGCAAGGGGGTGTTCCTACCCCACGACGACTCCGGGAATCCCAAGACTGGGTTCAGCGATAACTGGTGGACTGGCATGGAAATGCTGCATACGCTATTTGCGATGGAGCACAATGCCATTTGTGACATGCTTCGCGCGGCATATCCGGTCTGGACTGGGTAATCTGATACGGGAACCTCAAAGAACCGGAGATCTTAACGAAAAACACAGAGATGAGATATAAACCTTGAACTCGGCAAAGAATTTATCGAAGGCGCTGCATGCATGTGGATGGCCAACTATCCCATCCTAATTATCACCGCAAAGCGCCAAGCATACGGCCGGGAAAGCCCAATGGCCTACGGAGTGCTCTCGTATAGTCCTCCACCCGCGCACCTGGTCACCGCAGTCCGGAAAAACACTAGCATCGCAGGGCCAAGCCAGGGGCATTGACCATCATGACATGATCTGGCCAGATGCTGTGCAGGAACAAGGCATGGTTTAGGAAGGAGCGTCAGAGACGGACCCACCATGTTTCCCCCTTTTGTGGCCTTGTGCTTTAGTCTTATTGGCTTTTTGAGTCTTTCTGATTTATAATAATTTGTTTCCTTGGATTTATTTGGGTGGGCTGATGGTCAGTGCCCGAGACTTTCCCGCCGCATTCACCGCAGATCGCGGCAAGGGCTTGGGTTTTAGTGGGGCGTGAAAATCAAGACTGGTTCCGTTCTGCTAACAGATGCCGTGTTCGGCATGCCGAGTGCTGGGATTCGACACGATCGGGTTCAGACAATACGAGTTGGAATTCAAATTGTAAACCAGAGCTATCATCACGGGAAGATGATGAAGGTAGGTAATCTGTCCTGTCCAGCGATAATAGGGTCCTACGTGGTGGACGCAGACGCGCGACCCGGCGTGCATCAGATCCCGAGCCGGCTCGGGGTCGGGATCGCAGCAAGACTCGGTGCCGATGGGGGCAGTGCCCCACGCAGCCCGGGAGTCGCCCGAGGGTGTGAAGGCTCACCGACAGTGGGTCTGGCCACGGTCGAGCTCGTCCGCATTCAGTTCAACCTCTGTTCAGTCCAGCTTTGGCCTGGTATCTGCCCCGAAGCCGGTATATAAATGGGGCTCATTCCCACAACATTCATGAGCGTTGGCACTTCTATAGTGCTGGGGAGGACCGCTGGTGATCGATACTGTTGCTCCGTAGGACCTACCTCATGGAGTCAAGCTTTTCTGTGCAGCGATCGTCATCGCTGCTGAGACGGGCTCGGGAGTCAGCCTTTTTCCAGCAGAACCCACGGTGCCCCACCCCGATGTAAACAGATTTTTCCCTGCAACTGAACCACTGCGTTTCAGTGGCGGGTTCGTGGTTTCTTACACGGGGTACAACGCCCTACAAAGCCTGGAGTAAAACTCGGGTCCCGGATAATCCCAGTTCCCCAGGAGCTGCGGACATAGGTCGGCATTAAGGACCTGGAAACCAAGTACCTAATGGCTTCCGTGGATGCATCAATGACGCGCCGGTCCTCGCCCTAGTTGCCCATTGAACCATACTTTGTGCTCTGCCCAGAGGTGATTTCTGGCTCCGTCATCGACTGCAGCCGATCCCGACATATCACGGAGCCGGTCCGTCCTTGGCCAGGCACCTCGTTCTCATTCGCTGTGCCAGACCCAGTCCTGACTGCATCGCGCAGGTTTCTAGAAGGTGGCGAGGAAGCTCGGCTACCCTACCAGAATCTGATTTCTGGACACATTCCAACGATTGCGGTACCTGGAGCCTTCTCGGCCGCTGGTCCCCTGCGATGTTGTATCTTTGGAGACGTGAATACGGATTCCAAATGCCCATAGTCTGTAGTGTAGCTTCTTCCTCGATACACCGCAGCTATGCTGACCTCACCAGGGGCAAACACACCAGACCCAAGACCAGAAATTCCTCAGGCAATCTCCGTACTTCTGCTAAGAATAACAATCAACGAAGCTAAGGGCCTCGTTTCCCGTTGCTCACGTGGACACGCTCATTTCGGCCTCGCAGGCTGGAGAGCATCAAAGGCCTTTCTCCACCTTTCTCCACCCCAAGAACCCTCCAAACAGTACGGAGAATGTGCTGCCCATGGAGACAATGGAGTCAAGCGTGAAATTTCCTCCGCCCCATCCTGGGAACGGGGGACTCGAGATCCGGGCCCCCATTTTGCCTGCCATGGTACCCCAAGGGGGAGGCCGATTCTCCGCGGCAGTCGTATTTATTTGACATGACACCCTCCTGCCCTGGCTCTCCTTCCTTTTTTTTTCTCCTCCATTCCTCTCTGTGCCCCAGCCCATCTCCGTCCCATTTGTCCGGCGTTTACTACATCTGGACCGGCCTTTTCACCATGGGTGTTGGAAATTTCATGGCCCGGCTCAAGCCTGGTGCTGAGTCCCAGTTCTCCTCGCAGGCCCCGACGCCTGCCCGTGCAGACTCGATCGTGGAGAAGGATGATGGCATCATCGACGATAGCCCCGTCAAGTACCTGACCTGGCGCTCGTTCATCCTGGGCCTGTGTGTCTCCATGGGTGGTTTCATCTTCGGTTACTCGACTGGTAAGCTTGAGCTGCCTATTTGCTCTCCCCGGTGCTGGACCTTCCGCTTCTTGGTCTAGGGTACTGACTCGGCCGTAGGTCAAATCTCGGGGTTCACCACCATGACCGACTTCAAGATGCGCTTCGCCGAGTACAACGCTTCCACCGGGGAATACGCTTTCAGCAACGTCCGGAACGGTCTCATTGTCGGCCTGGTACGTGCTCCCTACTGCCTGCGAACCTCCCTTGATAGTCAGAACCCAGAAGTCTAACAGTTGGCCTCTATAGCTCTCTATCGGAACTATGATTGGTGCCATCGTGGCCGCCCCCATTGCTGACCGCATCGGCCGCAAGTATTCCATCTCCTTCTGGGCCGTGATCAACATGGTTGGTATCATTGTGCAGATCGCCACGACCGACAAGTGGTACCAGATTGCCCTCGGCCGTTGGGTCATGGGTCTGGGTGTCGGTGCTCTGTCCAGCGTCGTCCCCATGTACCAGTCCGAGTCTGCTCCCCGCCAGGTCCGTGGCGCGATGGTCAGCGCTTTCCAGCTGTTCGTCGCCTTCGGTATCTTCATCTCCTACATCATCAACTTCGGTACCGAGCGCCTCAACTCGACCGCCTCGTGGCGCATCACCATGGGTATCGGATTTGCCTGGCCCCTCATCCTGGGTATTGGTACCCTGTTCCTGCCCGAGTCGCCCCGTTTCGCCTACCGCCATGGCCGTGTCGAGGAGGCCCGCGAGGTCATGGCCAAGCTCTACGGTGTTCCCACCAACCACCGCGTCGTTGCCCAGGAGATGGCTGATATGAAGTCCAAGCTCGATGAGGAGCGCGCTGTTGGCAAAGCTGCCTGGCACGAAGTTCTGACCGGTCCCCGCATGTTCTACCGTACCATGCTCGGTATTGCTCTGCAGTCCCTGCAGCAGCTGACCGGTGCCAACTTCATCTTCTACTACGGTACCTCCATCTTCCAGGGTGTTGGCCTCAGCAACTCCTACGTGACCCAGATCATCCTGGGTGCGGTCAACTTCGGTATGACCCTGCCCGGTCTGTACATTGTCGAGCACTACGGACGCCGCAAGTGTCTCATGGCCGGTGCCGCCTGGTGCTTCATCTGCTTCATGATCTGGGCCTCAGTCGGCCATGAGGTTCTCCACGTCCACCCCGACTCGCACTCCGCCGGTGTGGCCATGATCGTCTTCACTTGCTTCTTCATCGTCGGCTTCGCTACCACCTGGGGACCCATCGTCTGGGCCATCTGCGGTGAGATGTACCCCTTCCGCTACCGCGCTACCTGCATGGGTATCGCCACCGCCGCCAACTGGACCTGGAACTTCCTCATCTCCTTCTTCACCCCCTTCATCTCGAGCTCCATCGACTTCAGCTACGGCTACGTCTTCGCTGCCTGCTGCTTCGCCGCTATCTGGGTCGTCTTCTTCTTCGTTAACGAGACCCAGGGTCGCACCCTGGAGGAGGTCGACACCATGTACGTCCTGCACGTTAAGCCCTGGAAGTCTTCCAGCTGGGTGCCCCCGGAGGGCATCGTTGCCGATCTGCACGGCCCATCTGAGCCCAAGACCCAGGAGGGCGCTCAGGGCGAGCACCAGCACCACGATGAGCCTACCGAGATCCAGGAGCAGCAGTAATTGGTGTTGCAAGGGGATTCTTCAAAAACGAAACTTAATTTGCATTGCCAGCTTGATGGGAACAGTTAGACCAACTGGCTAGGACCCTTTATGTATCCTATAGTCTATGATTTTTCTGTGTGTATATTTGACTCACCACTTTTGCTACGACGTCCTAATCGGAGTCGAGATTTGAATGAATATGGCTTTTGAACCATACCTGCATCTACTTTTCACTCGCTTCAATAAGGTCATTCCTGTATAAAAGTAGAGTATCTAGCATGCTAAACTTGAAATGTTTCTTGATGGAATGCATTCATACCTACCATTGTTCTCATCTGTCCAAAGGCTTCCATCTCCATGGAATCACTGGTTCTCAAACTTCATGCCAGCACTCTTCCTCGCCACACCATAAACAGCCGCAATATCACCCTTCTCGCCCTTCTCCGCCTTCAGCTCCTGCAAGAACTGATCCGTCACCTCAACATTCCGCAGACGCTGCCCACCCGCCTTCGCCACATCCGACGCATGCCGCAGATCCTTCCGCGCCAGATCTACCGCAAACAATGGCTCCTCCCGCTGATAGTAGTCGCCGCTAATCATCCGGTCCGCATACTTAGCGAACGGCCCCGGGTTGAACAGCTCCAGCCACTGCCGGAAGGGACCCGTGCCCAGCCCGGCCGTTTCCGCAGCAGTGAGCGTCTCGGCGAGCACCCCGACGGTGTTCAGGAGGAAGGAGTTGCCGAGGACCTTGAGGGTGGAGGCGCGGCCGACGTCGATGTCGGCTCCCGTACCGTCGGACAGGTCAATCGTGGCCTTTGCAATGACGCCTTCGAAGAACGGCTTCGCCTTGGCGATGGCGGACTGCTTGCCTGCCGGCACGACGATCATCTGGCCCGCATCTGCCATGACGGGGGCGCCGAACACCGGGCATGCGACGAAGGCGGCGCCACGGGCCTCGTAGGCGGCTTCCGTGCGGCGCGACGTATCCGGGTGAACGGTTGAGCAGTCGATGAAAGTCTTGGTGGAGAGATCGGTCTCTTTGTCGGCTAGGATGGTCTCGGTGATCGAGTCGACGGCGGGGTCATCGCCGACGCAGATAAAGATCAGATCGGAGGCCTGGACGGCCTCGGTCAGCGAGGTAGCCACTGTAGCTTTGCCGTCGAGTTTCTGGGCGTGTTCCGTGGCCCGCGACGTGGTGCGGTTATACAAAATCAGGCTGGATTGCGGGCCCTTGTGCGCGATGTTGGCGCTCAAGCCCTGGTGTTTTTGCGTGTGTTAGCACTGAAAGCCGTCTGGATTGTCTGTCGACGTGTACTCACCCGGCCAATGTTGCCGAGGCCGATCCATGCAACACGAACGCCAGACATGGTGGTATTTTCTAATTGAAATGTGAAGCCGGAGAGGTTGATGCGTAGCGGTTCTCCGGCTTTTAAGTCAAGCTTCGTGGGGCAGCGTGGGGTAAGACGAGGGTCCGTTCCGCGCGGGCTCAGTTCTTAACCGGCGCGTTCCGAGGGGCTTGAGCCTTTGTGGTACAGCATCCATTGCTGGGCGGACATTGGCCTAATTATACCGTTAACAGTTGGAGCTATCGACTGATCGAAATTCATCTTCGCAGTTTCATTTGTCGCTCTCGGCATCCAATTGGGGCGAGATTGCTGCAGTGCCTAAGCAGTGAGTCAGCAAGGCCGAAGGGCCGAGATAGCAAGGCTTCGCTCCGCTGGGGACTTTGGGCATGGATAGCCATCCAATTCAATTCGTTCCTGAAGTATCTTGAATCATTGGGCTTGACAAAAAAGTGCATGAAGAACATTACTATCCATGAAACACCACGGTCGCTCTTTGAATCGCTGATAATCGACGCCGTGGGAGCATTGAGCGGGTTGCCTTGCATGTCCTCCAGGCTCCTCAACATTATCAAGAGACTATACAGGCCATCCGATGCATTATGCCAATATAGGCACTCCTCCTGTACACAGAAACGCATCCTACAGCTTCGCCTTCTCGACGATAGTCACGTCCTGGAACGGGATGCCCAAGTACTGCCACATGAACGCAAACCTACACCCAATTAGGTCCAGCCATAGACACCAGAAGCTAGAAGATATGGAAACTCACCGATCACTTCCAAAAAAAGGCTCCTCCTTGCCCTCCTTATTGCGCACCCAGAACCATGGCGCGCCGTAAGCACCCTGGTCCAGCGCCTTTTGCGTGTTCGCAGTCAATGCTTCCTTGTACTCGGGGCTTTTAGCGGCGTCTAAGATCTCCTTGATTTCCTTTTCGGAGTAGTTGTGCGACTTGAGAAGCTCTGCCAGATGCTCAGGCTTGCTAATGTCGATATTCTGGTGGTACATCCACTCCCATAGTGATAGGAATGTGGTTTCAAAGCGCTCGCGGGGGTAATGGCGCTTGATATAAATCATACACCGTTGGGGCTAGGAAATATCAGTATCATGTACCTGGAAAAAGATTATGGCGGAGAGTCGCTCACCATAATCGAAAGGATTGGGAAGAAATCAGGCGTTTTGATCTGCGGCACGCCGAAGTACTTGCATGCCCGCTCGGAGTCGAATTTGGAGTAGGCTGCCTTGGCCGGGAGCGTCCATGGGGGCTTATTCCCTACAGTTGACATGTTAGCCATCTATCAACTTGTCTTTGTGTTGGATAGACATACCAGAGCCAACATTCACGCCGCCCAGGAAGATGGGGTGCAACCTGTTCAAATCAGCACGCGCTCCCAAAGCAGCCGCAGAATCAGCACACGCACTCCACCTCCACCCCATGAGACTCGAGCGCCTTCCGATTGCGCCTCAGATACAGCGTCGCATAGTACGAGTAGGGCGACACTAGGGATCGATTAGCGAATCGGTGACCCGCTTCTGGGACAAACCCCAGGGATGCCCACCCTGGCGAGGGCTGGGACCGGGGGTGGCGAGATCATACCGCAGTCGACAAACGCGTCGATTTTGCCAGCCATGGCGATGTCACTAACTAGATTCTAATCACAAATGTCGTGATGAGCTGATCACTGGCGCTCTGTGGAGGGAATTGGTCATATTTAGCTGGGGAGAGCCGGGCCCGGCCGAGGTGGAGAGGGACCGCGGCTCTTGTGGGGTTGATGAGTGATCATGAATTTCTACAGCACGGCGGAACTATACGGGAGCCATGAGGCTTCCTTACATGTTATATTGATAATATCAGCCCTGAATATGGGTAAGTAGTTGTGTTGCAAAAAAAAGGTATGTATTAAATTGGTATCTGTTTGAGTTATGCACCATCGCTAAAAGCAGTTTGCTTTCGATTTCAGCCCCGATGGCCGAATCAAAATCACGGATAACAGGGCAGTCCAGGTCCACTTGGAAACGCACGGTGTCGGCATCAACCATTTGGCCCGAGGTTTGACCGGGCTGCCACTCTCTGCGCGTAGAGGTATGGATTGCTCTGGAACAGCATAGGGACGAAGGCCACCGACTTGCTACCTCTCGGAAGGTTTCTTCAACTATCCGTCTGATGGTACTGAGATTGCCAGCATGCAGGCTGGAGGGATGGCACAAAGTCATTCAAGCCCGATCAATCGTGCCGATGCCCACTGATCGCCGACTGTCGAGTGTTGACCAAGTCAAGGTCATACGGATTCTCCTCGTACTGTGTCGCCGTAGCGGTGCGATGCAACGACCGTCCCGACTGACGAGACGTTCGCGATGCGTACAGTCCCAAGGTGATGCGCGAAGGAACGGTTGACAGGCTTTCACGATCGCTGGTATCCTCCGAGACATCAGCAGAGGGATGACTTTTCTCGATCTCATTCTGCGCGGCCGGCTCCTCGGGTCGAGTCTCAGCGTTATTCTTCTCCGCAAGGCGGCGCATGAAAGCATCTGCCTCGGCGGCAAAAGTACATCGCTGGCGAATCTGAGCGCCATATTTGAAAAAGATGAACGGAAATGGCACGCATGCCAACGACAAGAAAGCTGGAATAGAAGATGCCCAGTGGATGCCCAAATTCCGGTACATATAAGTTGTGAAAAGAGGGAGGGCCATTCCGAACAGCGATCGAAGAGCCGAGTTTGCTGCCAAAACCGAGGCAGCAAAAATGGTGTAGGAATCAATGAGGTAGTTGAACACACTCAGAAACACGAGAACCATGCCGAAGCCGAACGGCGCACCTGCAGCAATGGAAGCCATCCAGTGGATACTAGGATAGTTCGTCCACGCGAACCAAAAGAGTCCGACGGGCAGAGCGATACCCCCGACCATACTAGGTGGCAGCCGCACCTCTGGTGGGAGCCGGTCGGTCGTCTCGCTGCACTTCTTCGCGTATCGCATGTTTTCTGGGAAAGTGTATGCGACAGCCATGAGCATACCCACCAGGATCCCGAGGAATGCGAGGCCACCCACGCCTTCGCTCCACCCACGAACCTCCTGGAAGACGATCGGGTACGCTGCGAAGAGCATATAAAGCGTTCCATAAATGATGGACATGTAAATGGACAGGAGAAACACGATAGGTTCACGGAATAACAAGATCCATGGGCGGGACAGAGCCAATTTCAAGGTCTTGCCCATGGGAATCGGGCCGCGTTCGATATCGAGTTTGCTTCGGTAAACCTTCCCTGTGATTTCTGACAGCTTTGCTGCCCGCCGCCGCAGGAGGACTGGAGTGTACGTCTCGGGCAACAGAAAAACAATACACAACCAAAGGGCACCAGAGAGAGCAGCAAGGAAGCCTTCGACCCAGCGCCAACCTGCCCCGGTAGCCAGAAAGCCTCCAATGATAGGGCCGATGGTCGGTCCTAAGAAGGGTGCCGCTGCGAAAAGGCTAATAGCAATGCCACGCTGCGATGCAGTGAACATATCGGCAATCGTTCCACCAGCGTTGCCAAAAGGTGATGAGCCAAAACATCCCGCGAAGAACCGCAGAATGATTAAAGTCTCGATATTCTGAGCACCAACCGCGCCGGCATTGAACGCTGTCAAAAACGCAAAACTGATCGTGAAGATATGACGCCGGCCGAAGATCTCACTGAGCGGCGCCCAAATCAAGGGTCCGATAGCGAAGCCCAGTACGAACAGCGACACGCCGAGAATAGCGATTTCCTCGTCCACGTCAAAATGTGCCACAATCTGGCCAATGCCTCCAGAGAATGCGGACGAGACTAGGGCAACAGCTAGCGTCACAAAAGACACTAGAATCGTAATCGACCACTTCTTGACGGCGCTGAAGTTCATCGGGTTGCGAGGGTCTCGCGGTAACCACGTTACAACGTAGGGGTCTTCATCGGTGCCAGAGCCCGGATAGGGAAATGAAGCCACTTCTTCTGTGATCACTTTCTGGTCGAAGACCAGGCGCCAGAAGGGGATTTTGGAGAGTCGCGGGCTCTCACCTCCGGCGTGGGGCCCAGCCATCATCAGATCAGCCTAGCAATGCCGCCTGTAGGCGTAAGAGAATCCACCGCTTCAACAGCTTTGTCCAAAAACCGCCGTCATGGGGGTGACGGGCAAGATCAATGCAGGTCTGGCGATGCGAAAGGTGATAGCTGGCAGGAAAAGATTGAAAAAGCATCATTTCCATACATGAGAACAGGGAAGCTTAATCTACAGAAAGAGTGACCCACTTTGATAGCCGTGGGCCTCGGCTGGTTCCCAGAATGGTTAATGCTATCCAGGCACCTTCGGCATGCCGCTGTTCTCATTGGCTTATTCCGGAATATTCGGCATGCAGTGCCGAATGGAAGCGGAGTGGGCCGTCGACGTCGCCAGCACAGAGTTTTCAGTGGAGCTTCGTAGGGCTTGCTTTGATCGAACCCAAGCAATTGGCCCGAACGCCACCTTTCGTGATGAGCTTGAGCAGACAGGGCTTCCCAAAGAACACTTTGTGTTCGGAATATCGAGTACCACGATAATTTTAGAGCTTAAGCATTTTTTATGCTACTGGATAAAATTCTCGTTGGATTTTTGGATCTTGAATACTTACCCGGGGTAAGAGAGCGGAGGCGTGGAGTGAACGTTGATGACTGGACCCAACTGTAGCCCTCGACAATCGCAGCTACTCGGCGAGCTTGCGCTTCTATATAAGGACTGTAAATATAAGCAACATAGATTGATTATCCTTATGACATACCCTATTCACAAATGTCTGAATGCTTCATAATCAATAGGTGGCTTGCGAATCTGTTTTCATGAAGGCTATCCAGGTAGAAATGGAATCATTATTGAGCGCTGCATCGCTTTTACCTTCCTTGGTCTAGCTTTTCCGTTATGAAGGGTACATTTCAGGCTATTTCCTGTTATACCAATTTAGATATAGCATGCATGTTGATTAGAACGAAGACGTGGAGGGTGATGTTTATGGTTGGAACTAAGGAATCACGCTGGGGACACTCTCGGTTCGCTTCAGCCTTATCACTCACCCTTTTGTTAAAAAAACTGGTAAGCATCAGCTTTTACCTCTGGTAGCGTTAATTTGGCATGATCTTCACATTCCAGGTGCTGTGGTCCAGTTGGTCAAGACGCTTCGTTGTGGAGCCCATATCGTATTCCGAAGTAGCCCCGGTTCGAATCCGGGCAGCGCCACGTTTCTTTTTACATTTTTATCACTATGCATACTACTTCATAGCATAGCATTAGCACGGAGTATTTACTACTTACGGTCCGGTCCCTATGCAATAGAGACTGAGTACTCCGTATCCGTGTCTACGCCCACCCACACCGCTTCCGCGCTGTGGGTGTGCCACACCGTAACCGCCAATAACACCGTAACCGCCAGTTTTGACCAGGATCACCCATTTCCACACATTTTGAAGCCTTTCACCCACATAACATGCCAAAACCCTCCAATTTTGATGAATCTCGCATGGCAGAGGCCTGCGAAGCTATCCGCGCACAAAAAAAACCGAATATATCGAAGACTGCGCGTGAATTTAGCGTTCCCCGCGAGACACTACGCGACCGTGTCAATAAGGGCAGTCAGGCTCGTACAGCTAGGAAACCAACCAATAAAGCCCTCGATAGCTATCAAGAGGAAGCATTGATACGCTAGGTTGATTATATACGTAGTTAGAATATGCCCGTCACCCCTGGCCTACTAGAGCAGTGGGCAAATCGAGCTATCGTACGCGCTGGTGACCCTGAACGAACTGTCAGCGATATATAGTCGTATCGCTTCATAAAGCGCCTACCAGCCCATCTAGACCCAGTAAAGCAGAAGACTAAGGAATCAAAGCGAATCAAGGCCGAAGACGCAGGATTACTACAGCACTAGTATAATCTATTAGCCAACGTAGTTAAGGATATACCGGCGCGGTTAGTATACAATTTTGATAAGTGTAGCTTCCAACCTAGCCAGGGCGTATCACGAAAGGTTATTAGATCAAAATCAAATTACCCTAACCTTGCTGAATTAGAACGTAGCGAGACTATAACGACCGTTAAATATATCGCTGCCGATGGTTAGCTAATAGATCCGTTATTCATCTTCAAAAGCGGCACGTTTCAAGAGTGTTAGTTCAACGAAAGCGAGGCTTTACCACCACTCACGAATACAGCTATATCACCTAATAGCTAGATATCCGATAAATTAGCCCTCGCATAGCTTCAATCGTTCATTAATACAACTAATAATCGCACGAAGAGGGGGGAAAAACGCATCTTAATCTTTAACGGCCACGGCTCCCATTTCACCATCGAATTCCTACAAAGATACGAGGATAATAACGTTATACCATTCGCTTTTATGCCTCATACAACACATCTTTGCCAGCCTCTCGATGGTAAGCCGTTTTTAAGCTATAAGCAACACTTCCGACGCATCAATAACGAGCTATCTTTTTAGGCCGGTCAGCCGATGGGGAAGTCTGAATTTTTACGCATCATTAGGCCTATACGAGAGAGGGCCTTTAACCAACGAATCATCCGCGAAGCCTTTAAAGATCGTAGTATCTGGCCGGTTAATAGTAGCGAGATTATTAATAATCTAGCTAATCAACTGCCGGAGCTACCAGGGCTAAATACGCCTAATCTCCGTCCGTATAGTAAAAAGACACCATCACCACTACTAACAGCCCTCTCGTCGTCAAGCGTAGAAAATAGCCCTCCAAAATCAATTAAAGCTATCAAGAAAAACCAGCAGAAGATATTAAAACACTCAGATAGCCTTACACCAAAGCATCTACGTAGTTTAGAGCAAATATTTAAACACAACCAAATCGCGATCGAACAGCTTAGTATATCTAACGAGACAATCAGTCGAATAAGAGCCGCCCAAGCACCCTTACGGCGCCAATTCACCAAGCGACAGGTAAAGCCACTCAGCCAGTCTAGTATATTATCCGTACGCGATGCAAATCGATCAATTACAGAGAGGAAGGCCAAAAGCGCTACTGCAGAAGAGAAACGGTTAGCCAAGCAATAGGAGAAATTGTACGGTCGGAAGCCACCACCGTTAGTTATACAAGAGAGTGAGATATCAATAGAAGCAGCGAGGGTAGCGGAAGAGATGGGGGAGGGTTTTTTCATCGATACACAGCCGATGCTTTGATAAATTGATGAATTTGATCAAAACTGGCGGTTACGGTGTTATTGGCGGTTACGGTGTGGCCCGAAGCGGTGTGGGTGGGCGTAGACACGGATAACTAGTATGCTACCTTTTTAGTACTTGGATACTAGCTAATCAGCAATCATCAGCGCCAATTTTGGCAAATTTCCCAACACCGGTGCTGTGGTCCAGTTGGTCAAGACGCTTCGTTGTGGAGCTTATATCGTATTCCGAAGTAGCCCCGGTTCGAATCCGGGCAGCGCCACGTTCTTTTTATTTTTATCCACCTACCTCAGGTAGTTACAGTAGTTACCCTTCCTCCGCATATGGTATCAGAACGGTAAAGTAGAAGTCAGAGACAGACTATCCCCGGACATTCACGCGTTGTTTTCCGGCCTAAAGCCACGCTTATTCGCTTTTGGTTTACTATGTGCGCAGTCTCCGTTTACCTATATCTAGTTTCCAGAGTGGGCAATCTGGCTGAGACACTGAGAGAACCTGCCTTGAGCGATCCATCTACATCGCTTTCGTAGTGCTACCGTTTCTCTTTTACTTTTTCACATCTATACATATGACAAGGGTTCCCTGTAACATGCCATAGCAAGCCATGTCACGGTGTGACCTAAAATCCCTTTATAACCCAGTACTTTAACTTCCATTTCTTTTCTCACGAGTTTGTGCCGTACCTTTTTCCTCCAAGCATGGCAGGGCTATCATAGAATCAGTATTTGGATCCAAAAGGGAGGCAATCACTATACCTCGCCATAGAAGGATTGCCACATAGATGCATAGACCAAGAAGATAGATGATCACAGAAAGCGATATAAGAAATTTCGGTGCTCCACTGAGGCCTAAATAGAACTCTCTTATCTTAAAAAAGAGTTTTCGCAGATCTTCTCCACTCGAGCATGTTAGGGCTATCATAGAATCAGTAGCTGAATCCAAGAGGGAGACAATCACTGTACCTCGCCATAGAAGACTCGTCACAAAAAGGCATACACCAAAAAGATAGAGGGCCACAGTAAGGGAGGAGGCGATCTTCTGTGCTCTACTCAAGCCTGAATTGGACTTTCGTGTAGCCCAGATAGTTCGTCCCCCAATCACTAGGCACAGAATTGCAATGGAGTTGGCTAGATCTAACATGTCGTACAAGGCAGTCTCAACGGCGGAGACACCAAGCTTATTTATAGCTGCGTGTTTGAGCGATAGATCTCAAGTAACAATAGGGATACTCATACTCATCGACGTACCTGTGAAAGGTTTCTGAGGTTGCTGATGCTAATAAACTCTGGCAGATAGGTATCACGCTCGATCATAGGACTATACGGCGTAATCAGGAGGTAGTAATAGTTCCAATGCACGAAATCTTGGCTATTTTCCAGCTCGACTTTTCGTTGAGGTAGTAGCACCGTCTTATCTGTGGCTTTCCCGTGCAGGCCAAGTGGGTCTTACGCGTAAGAAAACTGGTCCCCCGCGAAGTCCCGGCACTAAGCAGCTAGATCTGTAGATAGGATTTCGGCCCGTGGGGACACTAGAAAGAGAAGACTACATGTCGGCTCAGCCCATTTTCTGTTGGCGCTCATCCATACGTCCTAAAAATAAAATAGGTTAGGTTGAGCTGAACTTTTACTTATCATTATTATCATCACGTTATGGGTTAAGCCGACCAAAAAAAAAAAAAAAAAAAAAAAAAAAAAAAGACCAAAAGGGCCTGACCTGTAACCTCGTAAAAAGAGAAAAAGAGAACGTGGCGCTGCCCGGATTCGAACCGGGGCTACTTCGGAATACGATATGAGCTCCACAACGAAGCGTCTTGACCAACTGGACCACAGCACCTAACTTAGAGTTTTTGCGAATTTTGCGCTATTCACTGCTTGGCGCTCCAGAGCTAAAGAGTAGCTTACCCAGTGCCTACCTGGCTAGAATGCCTGGCCACATCGAGTTCACCAAGTCCCCTATCATGACTCGCGTATCACCACTTATTTTGCCAACACATTTACAAAAAGAGTATACAATAGCCTATATCTCAACGAAACAACGGTAACCTTCTAAGTCTTGACACTGGCTTGTAAATTTAAGAACAGACGTGTGTGATGATGAAGCTTGCAAGGTGTGTCACTTTTTATAAATCTCGTAACCAGTGCCATGCAGTTTAACAATTTAATATGCTGGTTACGCAGTCATATTATTAACTGATATTTTTCGAGATCAAGCTGGAAAAAGAATTTAAAAACATAAAAAGATGGTGGCGCTGCCCGGATTCGAACCGGGGCTACTTCGGAATACGATAATAAGCTCCACAACGAAGCGTCTTGACCAACTGGACCACAGCACCATGCTTATTGAACACTGCCCTGTGTCCAATATGAAGCATCTTTTTGTATCGCGTATTTTGATTGGCCGGAAATTTAGGCCCACTTATGCTCCACAGTAGGCATAAGGTGGTCGGTCGGGGTTATTTCTTAATTTTCGGAGATGGTTTAGAATTTGAATCGATCATAATATAAGGACGCCTTTCATAGGTTGGTGCCCTATCATAAATCAATGTCTTCCTCTAACAGGAGACTAAAATACACGTAGGTGAGTCATACGAAAGGACAACCTACTGCAAGTAAGCGGGTTGGGCTATAGGTAGTACCCCATCAAATACGGTAGATTCTAGTTTCAATTTTCGATCACGGTGTCTTACTGTGGAATCTTGATTCAAAAGTATCGCCCATATGGACACTGGCATATTTTCAACATTCTGGGTATTTTTGACGTAGTTGAGCTCCAAATATATATTTGCAGCCTATTGCAACATTACATTTTGGTAGGGTTATTCTACGGCCAGCTACCGAGGGATCTAGTAAACAAGGAGGTGTTGACGGCGATGGGCGATCGCTTTTCCATCCAGATAACGGATTCACAATCTCCATGTAAATCTCTTTGCCTTTTTCTCATGGTCCTATCAACGTTGACCTACACCGAATGAAATACGACGGAAATTGTTTGAATCGAGAATCGCCATAGTGTTGCCTTTTGCCAAACATTGCAGTCATTACTTCGTAGGCGGCGGCAGAGCTGTACCTCAGATATGCCTTTACCAATTCTAAATCATTATTTATTGGATCATTTAGTCTGGCTTTGGGCATCGGTGCTAGTGCTTCTTTAGATATGCACCTTATAATGTCCAATGGCTAATTGATCCGATGACTGCCTAGCTAGCATGTTTTGGTAAATAACAATCGTGATGATGCTTTTTGTGTCTGGTGAGGAATGCTGGGCCACATGTAAAGGCTTCAAAAGAGATTTATTAGGATGTCTATGCGCAAATCATAGTTCTACTAGATTATGACCATATCAAGTGTATGAATCCCAGAGATCATCAGAATTCAAGTGACCGAATGATAATTTTCAAGTGGCTCATAATTTGTGCTTATAGAAATAGCAAACAACATCAATGTCGCTCCAGTGAGCTCAGTCTATCGTGCGCCTACGCCCTGTCTAAGTAGTCCGTTCATCTCAATCAGTCCCAGGGCGTGGGGATCAGCCCGCAGACGGATTACGCTGGTATTCCTATTCCTCTTCTTCTCTTCTGCCTTCTCAATTGCCACAAGAAGGCGGGTGGCACTAACATGCAGCTCTAATAGACCATTAGCTTTTACTGCTATCTTGCCCCGTCATGTAAATGTCACTACTCACCAGTCACCGTGACTTCGTATGCGGTGGCAAAGCTGGGCTCGATTCTCCGTACCTCAACTCGGATCCCAAGTGTATGTTGCTGGTCCAACCAGACGACCTCGGAACGCTGGCTTTCAAGCCAGTCTCTCTGTAGTCGAACAACCAGTGTGCCCCCAATATTGGTAGAACCTGTTATGAGCAAGGTGGCCAGGGTCGACACCAAGGATATTTTCGCCTGGACTTGGGCAAATTGTTCAAAATCTTCCAATATCACTTCTCGCTTCAGCAGCTCATTTGCTTTCCCACCAAAATATTTCACGTTAGCTTGTATCAAGCCACCATTCACAATAAATCACAGTGTCCTACCTGGAGATCCCCCCCAAGGCGTGCTGGCTGGTGAATATGACGTAGGCCGGAATACGGCGAAAACATCCGCCAGTAGCTTTCGACCTGGTAATGAATCCTGCAAGCTGCTCGTGCTCAAGTATCTGCACTTAACATCTGCTGGAACTGTGTCGGTTGGCCCGAATTTCAACAACAAATTCGGCTCTGGGTGATCGAACGTGTAACCCATTCGAGACCGCAGGATGTAGAGAACCGGTTCCGAGAATTTCCTACACGTCCTGTACATTTGAACTAAGATCGTAGCCGGGAGATGGCGGAATACCATGAGTAGGAGCTGGGGAAAGTCAACTCGAATCAACTGCGTAAATGAGGACTCCTACCTCGACCGGGAGCTCTTGGATGGTCTTTCGAGCACGAGGCCTACGTGTGCGACGTGCAGGCTCGCAAGCAGGCAGGTCGGGAGGCCCACTGACTTTGCCGCTATGAACCTTTGGCATATCTCTGAATTGGAAGTCTAGAGGACTTTGTGAGGGTAGACTATATTTAGCAGACTTTGCAGCCGTCGAGGAAGCAGGTACTGACGTCTGAACATGGACATGGAAGAGGAAGTGGGTGATGTTGAGGGGGCGGTGGGAAAACGAAGCCCCGTGTGGCTATAAAAGAAATATCCAAAAAAATAGATAAATGTCTACTAGTCTTTCCTCCAACAGGAAAAGGCGATATTTCAGTTTATATCTACCTCCAGTGAAGGAGTGATCAGAAGGTGAAGGCTTATCGCTGCTATCGATTAGGTTCTGGGTCATAGAGCAGTGACGTCATGTGTGGTGACAGTGTGACCGTTGATCGTCTAGGCCATTGCAGTCCAGGGGAGACTGCCGAATAGATTGCACAACTTCCCCCAGATAAATAGCCTTGGACCAGAACGAGTGTCCCCCTCAAGAGACTGCCTGCAATCGACCCCAGCTGCCACGAGGGCGGGATCCCGAGACGATGCCTTTACGGCTCACCGAAGATAATTACTACCCCACCAACCTACCCATTCCGTGATCGCATTCTTCCCCAATGGCGTTTTTGGGAGCTAAATCTTTATCCACGACGATCGCCCACATCTAAATAATGTAATGATAAAATTATTTTTCCTCAATCTTCAGTAGAGCCTGCAGCGTAGTATATTTAGCGCAATTTTCCGGAGACCCCGCGCCCCCGCCGGAGGCCCACCGACATATTTACCGATATCCCCGACTTGGCGGGGAGCCTTTCTATTTTGTCCCCTGTCTTCCCTCTTGCTCTTCCCCAAGGTACTCTCCACGAGCAGCCGTGACCTATAGCCCACGATGGAGAAAGTGCTTGACGACATTTCTCACCGCCGATATAACCCCCTCCGGGGCTCACATATCCTGGTGTCTCCCCACCGCACCAAGCGCCCATGGCAGTGAGTTTTGGCATTCTTGCGGACACCATTGTGCAGCATGAGAGCCTGCTGACCACTGTCAAATCTGTGAATGACATAGAGGACAGCAGGAAAGTCCGTCCAAGACCACTCTGCCCAATTACGACCCCGCATGCTATCTGTGCCCTGGAAACAAGCGAGCCCAGGGTGATACCAACCCCAAATATGATAGCACTTTCGTCTTTGTCAACGACTACAGTGCTGTCAAAGAGGAGCAGGCTGCCTATGTTGACACAAGCAGCGATGGTACGTCATATCTGGGGCATTGCTTTGTTCTGTGCGACCATGTGTGTGCTCATTGCATGTAGATCTCGAATCGCGCTTCCTCAAGGCCGAACCCGTCACGGGCAAGTGCTACGTCCTCACCTTCTCTGCGGCGCACAACCTCACACTGGCCGACCTGTCCCCAATCGAAATTGTGCCGGTGATCAACGCCTGGACCGAGATCTATGCTGCCCACCTGTCGCCCAAGTCGCCTCTCGCCCAGAATGCGCCCCCAACCCACATCCAGCCCGTTACACCACATTCCAGCATTACCAAGCCGAAAGAACAATATCGGTATATGCAGATCTTTGAGAACAAGGGTGCGGCCATGGGCTGCTCGAACCCTCACCCTCACGGTCAGGTCTGGACTACCAGCACGCTTCCCGAGGAGCCCGCAGCAGAGCTGGAGCAGCTCCGCCTTTACCGCCGAGAGCATGGCGGTAGCCACATGCTGGAGGATTACGCAGCGCTCGAGAGCCGCAAGCAGGAGCGTGTTGTCTTCGAGAATGAGGGGTTCGTCGTCGTCTGCCCGTGGTGGGCGACCTGGCCTTTTGAGACCATGATTATCAGCCGCACCCACAAGCGTGCCCTGGTTGACCTTTCCGATGCGGATAAGACTCTCCTCGCCGAGGCTATCGCGGAGATTACTCGCCGCTATGACAACCTCTTCGAGACTCACTTCCCCTACTCCATGGGTATTCACCAAGCCCCTCTTGACGGCACTGCCGAGGAGGTAGAGGCCTCGTATCTGCACTTGCACTTCTACCCGCCTCTCCTGCGGAGCGCGACTGTTCGGAAGTTCTTGGTTGGCTTTGAGTTGATGGCCGAGCCCCAGCGTGATATCACTCCTGAGCAGGCTGCTACCCGCTTACGTGGCTGTGGTGGGGAGCTCTACCGTAAGAAGCTGGAATAATCAGGGTTTTGGGTGAGGAACATAGGCGTAGAAAGGAGTGCTATCTAGCGCATTATAAACTTATCAACTTCACGAGTACAGAGAACATGTAGAAATACAAACCTTGTTATGTTCTAGGTCCAGCTCGTCAGGTCCCGTGGCATTCTGCCCGTGGTTGGCGTGTCAGCTCTCTGCCGGGCCGACACTCCGTGAATTACTCATAGCCACCTCGTATTCGGTCGTGCAAGCATCAGTCTACAAGCTATTCGCCAATGAACCCCCGATATGGGACAACACTCTACCCCGAATCGGACAAGAATGAATTCGGAAAAGGTCAAAGTGCCAAAAAAGACACTGGGTTGTATATATGATTAGAAATCAACACCCCGGAACTATACGGATGCTGTGGTCTTCGACACTCATCATTGACACCTTTTGTCTATTTAAAGTGATATTCCCCTAACAGAAAAGGCCATTGTATAGTTCATAAGAATGCAGCCCATTATCCTCAAAAGAAACCAGTCTTCTTTGCCTCTGTGACTAGTGAATCTCCACAATATGACTGCTGAACTCCCACCCCTGCTAAAGGAGTCGAGAAATAAAACTCAAGTCTCCTACAGGAGGCTAGGAGCCAGTGGGCTTTGGGTCTCCGTCCCTATCCTTGGTGGTATGAGTATAGGCTCATCAAAATTTGGATCATGGATTCTTGAGGAAGCGAAGGTGTGCGCCCACAGCTCCCGAACTATAAAAAGGGACCATTTGGCTAATTAAATAAAGGCACTTCCATTGTTAAAAGCCGCATTTGACCGTGGACTCAATACCGTAAGATAGCCAGAAACCGGTCTTCAACAAAGCGCTGACCCAAAAAGTGGGATACATCGAACAACTATTCCAACGGCAAATCCGAAGAAATCATTGGCAAGGCGATAAAACAATACAATATTCCTCGGCATAAACTTGTCATCTTGACAAAATGCTGGGCACCTGTGAGCGAGCACGAGGATACGTACGTTGTCCCATTCGTGGAGGAAATGCGAAAGGACAAGGAATACGTCAACCAGTTTGGTAAGCACTCTGTCCAATGTTGTCTGAATCAAACTTAGAAGTTGACTCTCGTAGGTCTTTCCCGCCAAGCCATCTTCAATGCTGTCGATGCTTCGCTAAAGCGTCTAGGCCTGGAGTATATCGACGTCTTCCAGATCCACCGCTTTGATCCATACACGCCCATCGAGGAAACTATGGAAGCTCTGCATGACCTCGTTCGTAGTGGTAAAGTCCGCTACATCGGGGCCAGCTCTATGAGGGCCGTTCAGTTTGCGATGATGCAGGCCTGTGCTGAGAAACACAGTTGGACCAAGTTCATCTCCATGCAGAACCAGTACAGTCTGACATATCGAGAGGAAGAGAGGGAGATGAACCGCTTTTGCAATGAGACAGGAGTTGGTCTTATCCCAGTAGGTGTTCCCGCTCATGCTGTCTTGGTTACGAGTGTTTACGAAAGTCTATCAATAGTGGAGCCCTCTCGATGCTGGTCGACTCGCACGCCCTCTACGGCAAGTTGGTACAACTGACCGTTTGGGGACCACAGGTCCCGCCGACATCCCCAATGCAGATGCAAAGATCATCAATCGAGTCGAAGAGGTAGCCAAGAAGAAGAACTGGACTATGAGTCAAGTGGCCCTAGCTTGGGTCAGCCACCGTGTTGCAAGCCCCATAGTCGGCTTTAGTTCGGTGGAAAGAATCGATGAAGCTCTAGGATGTGGGCATAAAATTCTAACAGTCGAGGAGGAGGCTTGTCTTGAAGAGCCGTATGTACCAAAGGCTGTTAGTGGTCATGATTAAGACAAACGTTCTTTTGCATTTGAAGGTTGGAGCCGTACTATTATTCTATTTTACGAATTACTCCCGTAGAAATGCTGTGGAGCCTATCTATTGAGAATACGGTCTATCGGCTTTATTTACTCTTCAAGAGCGGGCTGTGGAGTCGAGCGATAAGAGTTTCCCGCCGGAATCGGATTTTTCCGCCAGACTTGTCAGAGTCTGCAGATAAACATCAATAAAGAGACTTCTGGGACAATTAAGCCTCATGTGACAGTTGATCCAGTAGCAAAGCCAAATTCACGCAGCAGTTAATGATTGAAGTCTGGGCTCTTTTCGCTCTTTTCCACCACTATAGGATCTAAATGCAGGATCCTCTTCATGCCTATCAATGCTCCAATAAACAATCGGTAGATTGATGAAAGATGATTATACTCTATATAATTGCGCCTTATTATATTTACATAATAATCATTTTCATTCCACAACCTTACTCCAGCGTACTCCTACCCTGGTCTCGATAACGCTGAACCTGCGGGTAGTTTCCCGCTTCTCATCGGGCCCCGCTATCTTTTGGTTGGGATCCCGGCGAACCAAGTCATTGCGGACACATTCTCCTCTTAGATATTCGAACTCTCAAAACTCCACATGTCAGCCACTTCGCCCGCATCTAGGCGACCCTATCGCTCTCATAAGACCCCAGCCTGTGATCGCTGTCGCCGATTCAAGAGACGATGCACCGGGGGTGGAGCCGGTGATCCTTGCGTGCTCTGTAAATTGCAAAACGTTCCATGCCAACCGTCAGATATTGCGAAAGCGCACACAGCATCCCATCGCTCGGCAAAGCATAGGCATTCCTTATCGCGTCCAAGGCAGATCCAGGAACGTCCTGACGCCAGCAGCCCAACCCATGCGCCACCTGTTCGCACATCTGTGCGAAGCAGCCTTGGTCACTCGGAGTCGAATGATCATAATGCGATTCATTTGGGTGATTCTCGGGCAGAATCTTCCATTGTGGTGAGCCCAGTCCTCACGGAAGACATCCAAGCGCTGGAACGTTACTTTTCTTCTGGTGCCCCTGCAGGGGACCACTCAGCCGCAGCCGACGGCTTAGAGAGATCACTAGTCTACATGAGGGTCCCTCGAAGACGCGAAGGACTTGCTATGGCGAAGAATCCTGGAAAACTCCAGAAAGAGATCCTTTGGCAAATCATCCGGCCCTATGCCAGCGAGCTGGTTCGATTGTATGCAAAGCAAGCCACTCTTGGACAAGCACCTGCTAATAATCGACTTTATAGATACTTTGAAGAATTTCATCCCGCATTTCCTATTTTGGATGAGAAAACCTTTCTCGACGTATACGAACGCAGCGACAAAATTTCCCCGCCTCTACTTTGCGAATTCTTTGCTTCAACTTTGACACTTTGGGACCACTCTGATGTCCTCCGACAATATCCCAAGCCAGATACGCAATTCATTTGGAACCTGGCTGTAGAGGCTTTGCAACAAGACTTCTTAGCACCGGGCCTTTCCACGATTTATTCTGTTCTATTTGATATGACAGGACGTCCGATTTTCTCTATCCTGGGCAATACTATTAATAATGGACGAGCGGTTGCACTCGGCCGAAGCCTAGGGTTGAACCGCGACCCTACGAACTGGAGGCGCCCAGACAGTGAAAAGGTCCTCCGAATTCGCCTTTGGTGGGCAGTCTTGATTCATGACTACTGGTAGTTCCCACCATGTCTAATTCCGTTGCTTCTAGAGTAGAGTACTAACGCCAACAATAGGTCAAGCTTCGCCCACGGAGTTTCTCCAAATATCACCAATCGGCAATACGATGTCCCGCTTCCTAATTTGGCGGATCTCATACATAATGGACAATCAGAAAAAATGCTGAAGGCATCTGAATGTTTCATTCACCTTTGCACTCTTACTGTTATCCTGGGAGACGTTCTGCCGCTTGTGTACGATCTCGAACAAAGAGATATCTGGAGAGACATCCGTCGGCGGGAAACAGATTTAGATGCCTGGGAACAACGGGTCTCTTTGCCGCTCAATGGGCCGAATGAAAGATACCCCAGTCCTATCTCCGGGTTGAGTAGCTTATGTTTGAGTTACTTATCCGTTCGGCTACTCTTATGCCGCATTGCGTTTCGTGTAGGCACCACAGTCATATATCTGTGAAACCATGCTAATGAGGCCAGGCTGCAACCAAATCCAGCTCTAGCGATATGGACCGTACGAATAACCTACGATACTACCTTGGAAGACTTCGCCGATCGGCCCAAGATATCGTCGAATATGTTTGTTCTCTGGAAAGAGTGCATTTGCATGAGTTTTGGCTTGTCTGTGAGTACAACAATTACTTGACTCTGACTTCCTCAAACGAAAAACACAATCTAATTTTCTATAGACGCAGCACATCATCTTACATTTACATTCATCATCCTCCTTCGCTGTACTGTAGAGTCCTCCGATACGGCAATTACCGAGTCTTGCAAAACTAGCCTGGTCCAATTCTGGGCCAAGCTTCAAGATGCTGCAGAAAATGACGGCTGGGACCTCGCTGTCATGTGCATTGCACGTTGTGGTGAATCAATGTCCAAAGTCATGAGTTTCTTGAATGTGCAGCGAAATGAACATATGGTGTCAAATGATAGGGTCTGTGACCCCGAAGATCAAGTTCAACAGAATGGTGCCTCGAACGCCGACACCTTAAATCTCGGAGATGTGGTTCCAGATGTCCTTCCACTTTCTAACCTTGATTTGTTGTTCGAGGATTCGGCCGACACTTTTTGGAGCGGTTTGGATTTCACTCCACTCTATGAGGAAATTGATACTGGGCAGGCTTATCTATAATTAACCCCGAGAGCAGAATAATGATATGTAATTATAAGGAACCATTTTTTCCAAGATTATATAGGAATCCCGATATATCGCTCTTCGAAAGAACATTAAAACCGGTGCTGTTAAGGTAGCATTCGGTAGTTTATTTGGGCCCTCAAGACGCCAGATATTCCGGCGGAAAACTCCTTCCCGCCGGAACCTGACCGCACTACTCAACCAAGGGAGTCAATCCGTGGACCTCGCTCCACTTCTCTCTCTCCCTGTCATTTCACTTTAAATTTCGCGGATAAGGAGCTTTCTCTCAAGCTTGAAGGTTGCAATCATTTCTCTTCATACACGTCCCCCGGCTCTCCCTCCCGACAGAATTTCATGTCCAACATGCCAACGAACAACATTGTCGTGGTGGGGTAAGAAACGCCCAAGTTTTGCGAGTAACTTCATCTTAAGCGGCAATTGACAATTATCCTCCAGGGCTGGTGTGACCGGTCTCACGACCGCCTTCTTGTTGTCCAAGAATCCTGCCAACAAGGTCACGGTGATCGCGAAGCACATGCCTGGAGATTACGATATCGAGTACGCATCTCCATGGGCAGGCGCCAACTACATGCCGTAAGTTATGACATTCAAAAAATAACCAAGAATTCCGTTCCTGAACCAACTCAGCTTTGGGAAGAAGGGAAGCAACCATGCCGAGTGGGAGCGGGCGACCTGGCCGGAGCTCCGGGACTTGGCGAAGAACCATCCGGAATCAGGCATTCACTTCCAAGGTATGACATATTTACCAAAAGTTCGAATTGCGATTGCTCATTCCTGATGGTTCTAAATAGAGATTACCGTCTATAATCGCCTCAAGGATCAAGACTCTGTGACGGGTCAATGGTCTGCAGAGTTGACGCAGGCCAACCCCTGGTTCAAGGACTTTATTCCTAATGTATGTTTTGTGAAAACCTACGCCTTATATATTTTCCATTTGAGTTAGTCTAATTCTGCTGATCTAAAACCAGTTTCGAATTGTCCCCCGTGACGAGCTGCCTGCGGGCATCGACAATGCTCAGAAATTTACCTCTGTTTGCATTAATACTGCCATCTATCTTCCATGGTTGGTCAGCCAATGTGTGAAAAACGGCTGTGTATTCAAAAGGGCTGTGTTAAAGCACATCTCTGGTGCTGCTGAGATCCATCACACTGGCAGAAATGCTGATGTTGTGGTCAATTGTACTGGTTTGGCCTCTCGGACCCTCGGCGGAGTCGCCGACCATCAGGTTTATCCTGTCCGTGGCCAAATCATGATCGTGCGCAATGACCCCGGGTCGATGTCCTCAATCTCTGGCTCTGACGACGGGGGAGATGAGGTTTCATACATCTTTCCCCGGGCTGCAGGTCTGTATATCTTCCCATGCCACTGTCTATCGAGCTATTGGCTAATTGTTTCTAGGCGGCGGTACTGTTATTGGCGGAACTTATCAGAAGAACAACTGGGATCCGTTGCCTGACCCAAACTTCGCAAACAGAATCATGCAGCGTGCCCTGAAGCTTGATCCACGACTTGTGAGAGAGGGACAGGGAGTCGAAGGCTTGGACATTGTAAGGCACGGTGTTGGTTTACGTCCTGCAAGAACAGACGGCCCCCGGATCGAGAAAGATCAAGTGAATGGCGTCAAGATCGTCCACAACTATGGCCATGGAGGATTCGGATACCAGGTCTCTTTCAGTTGTGCCGAAAAGGCTGCCGACTTGGTCAACGAGATCATCCAGGACAAGGACCGGGCAAAGCTGTGAACAGATTACCTACGCAAAAATCCCCTCAATCAATCGAGAATTATCTTTCTATGCCTTCGCTACTACCATTAAATTTCACGACTACCGAAAGAAGGGACTGGAGGTAACAATGTGAATAATGGCACCTCAAAGTTTTGCGTGGGGCTGTTCATATTTCCAGAGAGTAAGTTTTGTTTCTTCTCCGAACCAACTTTGCCATTCGAACATCAGTAATAAAGGAGCTTGAAATAACGGGCAATGACCACTCTTTAGGTGTATCAGCCGGTCACACTTATGATCTATCCCTTCCCATCTCTGGAGAGGGTCTTTGCCTTGAGGATGGGAAAGGAAGATCATCTGAGGAAGCTATACGAGTGGAAGGACAACTATAGATCTGATTAGTGGTATTATTTAGCAGTAGCCCCTTGCTATACTTCTTGGAATCAACTCTATGATACATGATTTATGAATAAATGCGGACTCTTGCCGAATCCCAAGTTGTTCGAGACTAGGCCAACCGTTGGCCCCTTTTGAACCTCCAGCTTAGACACCCAAATAGGCCCCCCGCTGGGTGAACATCCAAGCCAGGGAAGATGAAGCCACAATCAATGGGCTCAAGAAGCGACCGCGCAGAGAGGCGTTTCCAAAGACAAGCTCTCCCACAAAGTGTGTCAGGGCAATGCCGTAGGTCCACAGGGCGAGATCGTACGCGACCGGCGAGTCGATGTTATAGGCGGCAGTCATGCGAATTACCGCAGAGAGGAAAGTCCAAGTACCAAAAAGGCGACCGGAAAGTGGTTCAACGGGGGTGGCGCCATTAGTGTAGAGCTTGGAGGTGTAGTCGGCGGAGGTGTAGGCTTGCAGACTGTTCATGGCGGAAACCACGGAGACCTGTGTGGGCGTGAGCAGACCTTCCACGGGGAGTTGATGGGGAGAGACTCACGAAGAGAAGCCACTTAGGCAGTAGACCCTCGAAGGGGGGCAGGTAGGACAGCAATTGCTCCATTTTGCACGGTCAACGGTCAATGGGGGGTTTGTCTCGAGGGACTGGACGCGAGTGCCAGCCGAGGATGTTTGGGGTTCTTGGCATCGATCAGCCCTCCCCAACAAGCTGCACGTCCGCCTTTTTCCCCATCCTTCCCCTCCGTTCCCTCAATTCCGTTGACCACACACCATGGACCTATTCAAATACACTGAATGCCTCTCGCAGTGGCCCAGCCATTTGGCTCCGGGCCTGCCGGCCATCGGCGCGCTGCTCCTGCTCGGAACTGGTGGGCTGGTCGTTGGGTGCAAGGTCTGGTCGTTCTTACGGATGCTTCTCAGCTTGTTTGTGCTTCCTGGTAAACCGGTATGTGCTTTCTCCTCAAGCTCTAGGCTGCGGTTAAGTTATGAAACTCATCATTCTACTGGTATAGCTTCGCTCCTTCGGTCCCCCCGGTAGCTGGGCTGTCGTGACCGGCGCCTCGGACGGTCTCGGCAAGGAGTTCGCGCTGCAGCTAGCCCGCGCCAAGTTCAACATTGTCCTGGTGTCTCGAACGGAATCGAAGTTGGTTGCTCTGGCGGAGGAAATCACAAAGCAGTTCCCCAATGTTGAGACCAAGACCCTGGCCATGGACTTCTCGCGCAACGCGGACGCAGACTACAAGGCGTTGAATGCTCTGGTCTCTGACCTAGATGTCTCCATCCTGGTCAACAACGTCGGCCAGAGCCACTCTATTCCCGTTCCATTTGTGCAGACCTCCGCGGAGGAGATGGCTAATATCATCACCATCAACTGCCATGGTACGCTTCGTGTCACCCAGCTTGTTGCGCCGGGCATGATGCAGCGTCGCCGCGGTCTTGTCTTGACCATGGGCTCGTTCGGTGGCCTCCTTCCTACCCCTCTTTTAGCCACCTACTCTGGGAGCAAGGCCTTCCTGCAGCAGTGGTCTACTGCTCTGGGCCACGAGCTTGCTCCCTACAACATCGACGTGGAGCTTGTCCAGGCTTATCTGATTACCTCCGCCATGTCTAAGATCCGCCGCGCTACTGCATCCATTCCCACTCCCCGCGCCTTTGTTCGGGCCGTGCTCTCCAAAATTGGCCGGAGCGGTGGCACCTCCTACGCCTACAGCTCTTCCCCTTACTGGAGTCACGGTGTCATGGCTTGGTTCCTGACCTCTGTTACTTCGCCCTTTAACCGCTTCGTGGTCTCTCAGAACGGAGCTATGCATGAATCTATTCGCAAGCGTGCGCTGCGCAAGGCTGAGCGGGAGGCTCAGAAGAAGAGCACGTGAGATCTCTTGAAGATCTCTCAGTGCTAACGTGCCGCGCATTTGTAACTGAGTGTTAGCGAATGTTTAGAGGAATTCAATGCTCCTCTGAGGAGATAACAAAATGTAGGATTACTGGGATATGGCTTGTGAGCTCGGTGATCGGGATGATCAAGAGCTGAATATTATTTATTTTTCCACAATTAGCCATCTAACATGGACCATCAGGCACTCAGCATGCCTGCCCTCGAACCCAGGAATATATATGTGAAGAGAAAACCCGGCTGTTGATTCCAGCAGATCCCAGTGATGTAACCTATTATTGCAAGCACCGATCTAAGCCAGGACGCAAGCATGACGCATGATCAATCGTCTCATAACTAGGATGAGTTGGCGATCCTCAACAGCAAGCTCTCTTCAGTGAAGGAGTTAACATGAAGCATCATCAGTATCAAATCTTTATGTAGCCGGCCAGCTACTTTTAGTGCTGTCAACTGTCGGTAAATCGCCACGTATTTTGCGACTTACCAGACTTTGACCGAGGCGGGTCAGTCCAATCATGCTATTGCGGTTTCTTGTCAACAGTGAAAACTACTGTACGAAGGAACACATCTCCGACCAAGCCAAACCCCAACTTTTCGCTTAATATTACCTTGCTATGGCTTCAAATTAGTATCAATAAATTGCAACAGTCCTCGATCTCAAGCACGTTGTGCCATGCTCTTGGCTTTGCGGCAGTTCACTCTACAGGGCACTAACCTATTTTCCAGGGACAAGAGTTGGGATTGGTCAATCCTTATATCTTCAAAGAAGACATGAATCGAGATATTGAGACAATTCAGTGCTGGAATACGTAGTTTCCACATGGGAGGGTTTGCTCTGACTTTGTTTTGAGTATGTTGCTTAAATCTCCGAGCAAAGTGCATGTGAGGAGGCCAATGGGGAAGATACCTACAAGCTTGAGCTTGCAAAAAAGGCCATTATCATGAGAGGCCGAGACAATTCCCGTATTCCTTTCCCCGTGAGTCACCAATGCAACCTTTTTCTTTATTCGAACTAAACTGGGCCGTTTCATAATCTAGTGGACAGATGATCCACACGGCGGGTTCTGAGCACCCACCGCAAAACCGTGGATACCGGCGCTTTATTCTGACGGCGAACAGTGCGGCACGAATCAACAGCAATGCCCTGAGTCAGTATGGTCTTTCTACCGGTCAATTATCAAGATGCGGAAAGCGCATCCTACTCTAGTAGGCAGATCCAAACCCATCTATGAGCACCGTCATTTTGCGGAAGGCAATTATTTGATGTAGTCTTATGGTTCCTTTGAAACCGTGGACATTGAGAACCCCTTGGTTGGGCTGACCAGCGAAGGCCCAAGTACTACTAGTACCTCACCGTACTCAACTTCAGCCCTGGGGCAACTTCATGGCGATATGTGGACCATGAGGTAGACCTAACGCGGTCCAAGCTTATCATCTCTAGTCACCAACCCCGTGAGGCAAATTCAGTGCTAGATATTATTCCATTACAGCCGTTTCAAGAGCGATTTCATAAGCTTACGGCAGATGTGCAGGGGAGTGTCTAGTGGCCCAGAAGTTTCACAATCGAGTCCGGCGCGAGCTTCGACGGTGATGTGGCATGCAAGGTTCCGTCAGTGGCTGTTTCTATCCCGTTTGGCTCCACATGGGCTCGGTACCAGCTCTCCCTCGTGGCCATTCTTATAAATCTTAGGTCAACAGACACAAACATGAGTCGCTCTCGGCCCTAGCCGTCTATATTATTTCATGACATAAGCTGCTATATATTAGTATTGAGTCTAGGCAGACCAAATAGCTTGAAGAGTGCACAGGAAACGCATAACATGCTTTGTTGCGGTGTGACACGCGAGTGTTTGAGATATATGAAGTGGATCCCGTGTCAGGATGTTTAGGCTCTCCGAGCGGCAGCGCCCCCGCCTCGCAAAACGCTGGAGCAAAGCTCTCTATGGTCCATTCGGAATCAAATTCTGCTAGACATAGGTAGATATTTCGCTTTTCTCATGCTCCAGCGAAAAGCAAGTGCCGATCTCTGTCGACGGCCTGGTGCAGGGACCCCCCTGCTAGCTTGCTTACTTTAATGCAAGTCCCCACCCCCCTCCCGTGCTTGTGCGCCCCAGCTCTCGATGTAAGAATATATTATGAGATGGTGCCGGTGCCCGGCTCTAGGACTCTGTGATTCCCGGAAAGCTCAATGACACCTCCACTAGGTACACTCGTTCACGTCCTCGGTCACAATTGGCTGGGTAAGGCTGATATCGCCTTGCAAACAATTCTACTAGCGATCAGCTTCGTTGTAGTCGGAGTACGACTATGGTCTCGGCGGTTGCAGCAAGACTCGCTGCAAGGGAATGACTGGTTAGTGGTAGCAGCGACGGTAAGCACATTCTCAGGTTGGATCATTTGCTGCATATTCTACCAACCTCATTATATCGATTAGGCTATGCTAACATCAACTATCCAGATCTTAATAGTGGGTCGCTATATAGTAGAGCTTTTCCTGATCTTACTTTGTGGAATGGGCTTGCATGCTGCAGAGGTTGCCCGTGTTGGTGGTCCCGAGGCTTTTGTACGCTTCGACCAGGTCGGTTTCTGATTTTATCACGGACCTAGAAGTCCGAGAAATGATTATCGACAAGTCTAACATCTGCTAGCTCACGTACGCCGGTGATCTCCTTTGGATAACATCAGTTGCCCTGATTCAATTGTCGTTACTACATTATTATCTTCGGAGGTTCCCGCGCCAAGTTATCATTTGGCCGGCCTATATCATGATGGGCTTGTGTTCTGCCCTATGGGTCGCAAGCTTATTTGCAACTGCGTTCTTCTGCACACCACCGAAGAAAATATGGTTGCCCGATGTCCAGGGACATTGTGGTAACCGTAAATTGCTACATACGGGCTCCTCTGTGAGCGTAGTAATCCTCAACGGATTGATTCTCCTGCTCCCAAGTCCAGTTATACGGGATATGAGGCTCTCCAGGGCCAGGAAAATTGCGCTGGGCTGCATATTTATCTTAGGACTCATGTCAGTCTCTATCCTTTGCCTTGCCTTACCTCATACTTTTCAGTCCCTTTCTAATTCGTCCCATAAAGTATCATTGCCATCTCCGCAATCCGCATTAAAGTTGAATTCGACCTCGATCCAGAAGACCCAACCTACAGCTCTGCACGAAAATCACTTCTATCAAGTATTATTCCTCTGTTAGGTATCATCGTCGCTAGTTTGCCGATGCTGCCCCCAGCAGTTGAGAGAATCTTTGGGACTTCAATATTTTCGTCAACAGTCGACGGGTCCTCCGGCGGTCCTGTATCTCCAAGGTACTGGAAAACAACAATCTTGTCGGGTACCCAGATGGAAGAGACCGAAATACCACTAGTCACAGTGACAATGCCTCCTATGGCGAAGAAGCTGAGTGAGCTGGCGCATGGGCAGATCAAAATCACTTCTGACTGGGAGATCCACTCCGCACGAAACTCGGCGCGGCTGGCACGCTACTCCCTAGGTCGAGGCTGACCACGGGTTTTTATTTTGAGATTGATCTCAATAACGGAATTTATGATCAAATAGAAGAATACATCTTGCGCTGGCGCATAGGAGATAATTTGAGTATTAGACAACTCTAGTGCCCTATAATAAGATTTGCTTCAGCTAGTCGTGTACGAGAGCAACGCTATTTATTCCCGTTCCATCCGAATGCAATTTACGGCGCCGACCCTTTCATTTCCGCCGAGTGGCAGCTGGCAAACAACGACATCTTCCCGATTATTTACAGTTGTATGAATTGCTCTCGAGTGGGTACTACCAGCAGAAGTCAAGCATCACAAAAGCATGCTTGTCTCTATTTGAACCGTCTTTTCTAGCGAGGAACGAACACCATCTAGACCGAAACCAATGGCCTCGTGGGTATAATCATATAGAGCAAGATTCTTCTATGTTGCTTGCGTCGAAAGAATTATCTCACCGCACCTCTTTCGGGAGGGAACGGTCTCTTCTATCCACCACAGAGAGGCGGAATGAACTGAATAAACGGAATACGCGTCGGAAATTTCAGGATGACCGCACCTGTTGAACCAATGCTATTGTGTTGTTGAACTCTCGTTTAGCCTTGCAATGGACATTACCTGCTGAGATACTTTGCCCTTGGTTTATGTGGCTAAGCTGGCCCACATTCCACATGAAACCGGCCAACTGGCCTAGTGGTAAGGCATCCGTTTCCGGTGCGGGAGATCGTAGGTTCGAATCCTGCGTTGGTCGTTTTTTATATCTTTTTTTTCAGATGAAAAAAACTTGCTTGACACCCGCCCCGCCACTATCTTTTTCCAGAAACCAAAAACTTTTGTTGTCAAAAAAACGACCAACGCAGGATTCGAACCTACGATCTCCCGCACCGGAAACGGATGCCTTACCACTAGGCCAGTTGGCCGGTTGATAAAGAATGATGCAACTCTTTGAATCCATGAAGCTGAACCACACTAAACCACCGGTTGGAGGAATCTTTAGTTATGCGCCACCGTCAATAGGCATTGACAGCTTAAAATCACTTTCACATTCCTAGTATGCCTGTTGAAAGCATAATTTAAGGAAGATCTTGAATACGTGTCTATAGCCGATGGCAGCTTTCACTTTTACACAGCCAATCATTTTTTGGGATTCGGTGACTTGTTCCGGTTGGGTTAACGCAACATATATCTTCAAATTGGACGAATATACATCCATCATGCATATCATAGCTAAGACTGCACCCGACATAAAAATGTCGTTGCCTTTACCTACCTAGCTCATATTAATGCACTCAACCCACCTGCCTCAAGCATGAAAAGCAAGATAGCACGACTCAACTGAATGTACTTATGGGTATAACAATTCCCTCGTACGAGAACCTCTAGCATTGGGAAAAGTCGAAATGCCCGTCTACCCATGTCCATCGACCTGCCAAAGCTTGCGAGGTATATAGATTCGAGTTCGATCCCTTTTAATTATTGCAGTACCTACAGGTATTAAAATATCCAGTTGATTAGCTAGGTGCGTTTTCGGCCGACGGGTTGACTGGATGAGGCTACCCGTCACCTCGTCGGCCATCTACTTGTATAGGTAATCATCCATCGCCCGGTTGCTAATTCAATTGCACTGACTGGGACCTATCACATACACGTACTAGAGCAGCCTCCCAACCTAATACCCATACCTTATATCTTCAATCTGCACTTCCCCCACCTGGCATTTTAACCCAAGCGTCGCGGGAAGAGCTCTGGATTAAGGCATTGAATTAAGGTGCGATTTGCTACTACCCAGACTCCCAGAATCAAATACAAAAAGTCACCACGAAGACTGATCAGCCATGCCAAAAAGAAATGGCTACAGAGGGCAAGAAAGAGGGATAATTAACCCCAACCCCTTCATTTTCGGCAGACCCTCCGATCAGACTACATGATTATCCGCCCACCTTCCCAGACGCACTATAGCAAAATTGACTCACAACATCCTGAAACGAAGTGACAACTTTTATACCACCATGCCATGGCCTATAAGTTTCCAAATGATGGAAGTGGCTTATGGCCGCGAATACACTGGCCATGGAAGTATACCCCATCGTTCCCAATCACTGTTGACCCCCCTTGCATCCTCTCCCTGCAACCCCGATCGACGGAGAAATTTCACTAAACAAGCCTCAAGACATTCCTGTCGCGGGGCACAGGAACAAACCACCCACTCCTAGAGAGCTTGCAAGCCCTACGGCATTCCTTGGAAGGGTTGTTGACACTGCTGGATGCCCATCTCACCTGGGAGGGAGGCGCGAGAGCAGCCCCCCCTGTATCCCAAGTTATCCTAGAATGCCACCAACGCGATCAGTATAAAGACAAGACAGGCTGCTGGAATCCCTCGACGATTTGCATTCCGCAATTTCTCGCTCCTATCACCTCCCTGCTTGCCCACTTACCTACCTCGTCGCTCGTTCGGCGTTGACTCTCGCTTCAGCAGGATTGGGATTCACTGGACCAGCCGACAAGATGGTTAAGTCTACCTACGCCCTCACGCTCTTTGCTGCGTTGAGCATCGCGGCGCCCATGCCGCCTGCGAGCCATGATTATACAGGCATTGAGCCCATGCGTCGCGATGGTGGTGGAACCCTCCTCGGTAATGGTGACGATACTGCTCTGAACCAGCTGGTTGGCGAACTCGAATCCAACGTGAAAGAGCAGGATGCTGATTTGACTGGACAAAAGAGCCCAAAGCAGAAGGCTGCAGTGGCCGCGGCCAGGGCTGCCAAGAAGGAGAAGCCCAGCGTTTTGGGGAGCCTCCCCCTCTTGGGAGGTCTGCTGGGTGGTGGAGTAGGTATCCCGCTGGCGGTATGAAGAGAGAACGTGCACAGAAACAGCGTACTGATGAGCATCGATGTACAGAAGCAGTCGCGAAGCATCGAGGAGAACGAGATCCACACTCGTTCGTTGACCGGCGAGCTCAGCCACATCCCCATCTTGGGTCAACTGTTCGGCGGAGTACGTAACCAGATCGCCGAGTGATGTCAAAATGGCATGTGGGACGATAGAGTTGACAATTACAACAGGCCCAGGACAAGAACCAGAACAGCAACAAGCCACTTGGAGATGGCGATGCCATGCCTGGCAAGTCGGCTCGCTCATATGACCATGGCGACCATCACCACGGCCAGAATGCCGGACAAAACGCTGGTCAGAACGAGGGTCAGAATAAGGGCCAGAACTGGCTGCAAAACCACGGCCAGAATGCTGGACAGAACGCCGGCCAGAACGCTCACCAGAATGAGGGTCAGAACAAAGGCCAGAACTGGCTGCAAAACCACGGCCAGAATGCTGGACAGAACGCTGGCCAGAATGAGGGTCAGAATAAGGGCCAGAACTGGCTGCAGAACCATGGCCAGGACCAGCGCCGCTCCCTGACCAGTGGACTCAGCAGTCTACCTCTTATTGGCAGCCTGTTTGGTGGTGTATGTCAATCACTAGACTATTCAACACGGCAGTTGCTGACAACGTTTGCAGGATAAGAAGAAGGACACCGGCAAGCGTGATATGCAGGCCAAAAATGAGATCCTCGGTCTTCTCTCCATGCTCAAGGGCCTCACTTCTGGAAGTGTAAGTGCATTCTAACCCGCTGCAATGCTCACTGCTCATTCGAACACCATAGCCCGAGACCATGAACCACAGGCGCCGCGAGGTGGCGAGCAAGCCCGAAGGAGGTCTTCTGAGCGGAATTACCAGTGGCCTCGAGGTAAGCCTTCCATTTCTCTGTAGACACATCAAAAGTTAATCGGAATCTTGCAGAATGCCGCGAGCAAGCCCAGTGATCAGTCGGCGCACACCAAGTCCGGTAGTGTCTCCGAATTGATCGATGCGATGGAAAGATCTACGAGCATGGTTGCGGGTCTTGCCGGGTCTGCGGTGCCGGTAGGTTACTGACGCCTTGAAGGCGCTGCTATGTCTGAAGTGATCGTGCTAACCTGGGCCACAGTCGCGCCGTGATCTCTTCGATCTGCTGAAGACACCGCAGCAATTGACGGAGGAGAAGCAGGCGAAGAACGCACAAAAGGGCGGGAAGGGCGAGAAGGCACAAAAGGGCGAGAAGGGACAGAAGGGACAAAAAGGACAGAAGGATAACAAGGATGAGAAGGCTGCAAAGGATGCCAAGAAAGCAAGCGCCAGCCCCCTTAAGGAGCTTCTCAGCGAGAGCGGTCTTGGTAGTCTCGTTGGTAACTCGAACCACGGTGTTGGATTCCTGCCGGTAGGTAAACTTACTCATTGATCTCACTGATCACGTCGCTAACCTCTACTATTAGATGAACGGTCGCCGTGATGTCTCGAATGTGGAGGCCCGTGGTGGTGAGCCCATCCAGGGTTCTACTCTGCCGGAGGTTCTCCTCAAGGGCGGTGTTCTGAGCAAGGTGGCCAAGATATTCTCGCCACTGAGGGCCCCTGGAGGTGCTAGAGGTGCTTCTGAAGACGACTAAGCTCGTTCCTCTTGCTCCATCAGGTCCTGTTCCATCGAGGGAAGTCCGTTTACGCGACTGGGTTGAAGGTTCTCAGCGAGAGCCGGGGGGAGAGGTTGTCCTGGTGTCGTGCTGTATTTATCGAGTTTTTCAGTTTACAGGTCAATCGTTCTGAATGAAGTATCATGCCCTGATATTTGCCAAGCTAATCTGAGCCTCGCACTCGAATGGATGGCGCATTCCGCCAGAAAAGAAAGTTTTCCAATGGGAAACACCCCTCGCAGCACATGTGGGTGCGTGAATATAAATAGAAAGAAGTAAAGCAAGAACACCGAGGTCATAAGTCATTCAAGCGCCTCCAGCCAGTTTCGCTTGGCCAAAAGTGACCAAGTAGACGGGCGCCGTTGGGGTATCGAATCATGAGATGCAAAAAGCCAAACATAGAGAAGCGGAAAATAAAAACAAACAATCATGAAAGAAGGACACCACTGCAGTCAGTCGCAGGTTGCTCAGTCAAAGTCCATGTCCAAATCGTCCACCTCCACTGTCGTTCCCAGTGCCTCTTTGCCCTCTTTAATCATAGCTTGAAGTTGCCGGTTCAATCGCTTGATACTGGCATCTTCTTCGCGTTCCTTGCGGCGCATCTGCGCCGCATATCGTTGCATTTCCGCCGACCCGGGTCCCTCTCTCGACCGGGGCGAGGGAAGGGGCTGAATCCTCGTTGGAGTCGAGGGCCGCATAGAGGGACCGGTACTCGGTCTCTTGCCCAACCGGGGCATGACAGCTGGTCGACGGCGGGGGCTCGATGCCTGGTGAATGCGACGGGCTCGCGCGGATGGACTGCTGCTACTATCGCCCACAAAGGGGTCGGCTGGGTCGGTCGGTATAACGACCCAGTTCCGATCGAGATCTTCCTCCGGGAATTGGCCGGGGATGGGGGATTGGAAAATTCGGTCCTTTTCCACTCCACTCGGCCCAGCCTCCCAGCTGGGATTGAAGGGGGCTGGTGACCCGGCGGGCATGTCGTAGCCCTGCCCTCCACCTGCGTAGAAGCCCCGGAAAGCCCCGGACCAGCAGAGATCGAGGACTTTTCCTACGGCATTCATCACGGTTCGTCCCCAGCCGACGGGCCTTGAGTTGGGACTGGCATCGTCGGCGGACGGAGAGGCGAGGATCGAGTCGCGTCGACTACGTTTGCGACTGGTTCCGTACAAGTCTGGGTCTATTGCCTCGACACTGTTGTCGAGCGAAGGCGGGAGAAACGACTCGCGGTATCGGTTGGGACGGTAGTCGAACTCGGCGGGTGGGTGGAAGTCGTCGTGACCGCTTGTTTTGCGGTAATCGGCCAGGAGCAGCGGAGAGGCGGAGGCGTTTTCCGACGAGGCCTCGAAATGGGAAGATAGTTTTCCAGTATTGCGACGCGGTCGCTTGCGACTGACAGATAGCGAGTAGAGCGACGAGGAGGCGGAGGCTGTGGAAGGGACTTGAAAGAACTGCGAGTTGGCGCTGGCGAGATCGAGTTTGGGCGGAGAGGCCGACAGGTGGAAGACAGCCGGCATGTCGGGCATGTTGGGAGTGTTGGAGGGCTAGAGAGCAGATGAAAAGAAACGAGGCGAGGGAGAGAAATTCAATCAAAATGGGGAATCAACAGGTAACTCATGGGGAAGATCGGAGAGAGGAGGAGCTTTGGTGCGGAGAGGAAAAAGTAGTGTTGATTACTCGGACGGGCTAGTGTTGTTTTGTGTTTTGACCACAAATCTCCCCTACGAAGTACACAGACGTACTGTAGTTCCATCTGAGACCACAACTCGTTAGGTACTTGCCCCTCACATGCTCGTATCAGATTGTGTCCACCCTCCTCTCTCCGCTTTCTCTCTCTCTTCCATCACAGCCGCTGGCTGGTCCACTGCACTCCCGCGGCCTCCAATCCCTCGTCGCCGTCGACCAGCACGCACCATCCCTCGCCACCCGCTCCGCCGTCGCCCGCAATCACCGCGTCGAAGTGACTCCGAGCAAACTCCAGCACTCGGTCATCGAACGTTCCGGGCTGCAGCCAGACGGCAGGGATACCAACAGAGTGCGCTTCTTGCAGCACCTTGAGGGTCACGGCCGGAGGAGTCACCACCGACAACGAGGTCTGTGTCGGCGAGGGCAGGTTGACCGGCGAGGGGACGGTGTCGTATGCACGCGAGGGGAAGGCGATCTGCGGTGCCCGCGGATTCAGCGGGGTCACAGGTAGCGAGTGCTGGTGATACCATGCGAGAACTGGAGAAGGGAGAAGGGGAGAATGTTAGTACATCGGTCCATTGCGACAGCGTGGGGTGGGCGTACTCTTGTAGCCGAATTTGCTGGGGTCGTTGCTGGCGCCCGCCACGGCGAAGCGCGGGGAAGAGAAGAATCTGGTGACGGCCTCCATTGGGTGGGCCAGAGGAGGGGGAGGGATTTGAAGAAGGGAAGGTTTTTCAACTGGTAGATCTTGTAGTGTAAATGGCAAACCAAAGAAAGGTAAAAGAGACAAAGAAAGATAGGTCAAAGATGACCAAACGACCTCGGCAGCTGCCGACAGCGTCATCCACGGTCTTCTTTCGCTCGTCGCGCATCTCCCCCTTCCGCCCGACTATCGGCGACTCCACGGTCTCTTTCCCCCCAAACTCCACTCTCTCCCCTCCACTCCCCTCCCTCGGCGATCAGACTCATTCCCGCGCATGCCGCCGTTCGTCCCCCGCAAGCGCGTCTCCGAGGAGGACCCGCCCCCGGCCAAACGCCAGGCCCAGGCTCAGCCGGCGCCTATCTCCGTCGATGACCCCGACTCCGACTTCGACTCGCCGCTGAGCGACGTGCCCAAGGAGGATATCCAGACTCCTCTATCACCGCACGATGTTGATTCTGATTCTGATGACGAAGAGGAGGAGGAGGAGGAGGAGGAGGAGGAGGATATCGACTGGGAGGATGCCATCGACACTAAAACCACCAGCGCGACGACGCCGACCCTGGCTGGGACCGAGCTCCAAGATCTAGAGCTGATCCTGGACAAGAATGAATCCCACGTCACAGACCTCCTGGACAGCAAGAAAGGGCCGACCAAGATCGAGCGCCTGATCCGCATCCAGTCCCACTGCATGCACGTCCAGTGCTTGCTCTTCCATAATGCCATTCGCAACGCCTGGGCGAACGATAAGAAAGCCCATGAGATATTACGTCATAAGCTACCGGAGGGCATCCTCCAGGAAGTCAAGAAATGGCGGATCGCATCGGGCTTGGAGCTCCCGGAGCCGAAACCGGAGCCACCGAAGAGTAAGAAGAAAGGGAAACAGGCGCGGAAAAACAAGGACTGGAGTGCGGATTCTCAGCGATTGGAGCCAGGCCAGCCAGATATGAGTCGGGGTGATCCGATCATTGGCCTGCTCAAAGTCCTGGTTGCGTACTGGAGGAAGCAGTTCCGCATTACGGCACCTGGCTTGCGGAAGCATGGCTATCGCCCGGTCTCCTCGCTGGAGGCTGTGATCAACGATTTTAGAAATGAAGAGAATGATCCTGACTGCTATGGAGAGCGGATCGCTAATAAGGATGAGTTTCGGTCGGCTGCGGAGCGCATGCAGGGCTCGCGAGATGTCGGGGCTCAGCTCTTCACAGCTCTTATCAGAGCCTTGGGGATTGAGGCCCGGCTCGTGGGCAGCTTGCAGCCACTGGGCTTTGGCTGGACCAAAGCAGAAACCTACACCCCACCCAAGACCGAGGCCAAGTCAAAGGACCCCGTCCCAGACGACGAGCGGGGAGAGTCGAATGAAGATACAACACCCGAGGATGAAGCACCAAAATTAAAGAAAAGGAAGACACCATATGACAAGGATATGCCGTTTCCTATCTACTGGACCGAAGTTGCTTCCCCTGTCACCCATGAAATTATTCCCGTCGACCCGTTCATCATTTCCAACCCCGTGGCGACTACTCCCGAGCTCCAGGCGGCATTTGAACCGCGTGGTGTCAAAGCCGATCGTGCGAAGCAAGTGATATGCTATGTCATTGCACATTCAGCTGATGGCACTGCTAAAGACGTGACCACACGGTACCTCAAGAGACGGACCTGGCCTGGAAAGACCAAGGGCTTCCGCATGCCGGTGGAGAAAATCCCGATCCCCGGCCTTCGAGGCCAGTATCTCGAGTTTGACTGGTTCCGGGTGACCATGCGTGGATACGAAAGGCCCCCGAACCGCAGGACCAAGGTAGACGAAATCGAAGATGCGAACGAGCTCCAACGCAAACAGCCTGAGAAGAAGGAACCAAAGCAGATGACAGATACCCTGCAAAGCCTTCGCCAATCAGCAGAGTTTGTGCTGGAACGATTTCTCCGGCGCGAAGAGGCGTTGAAACCCGGCGCGGAGTCTGTCCGCATCTTCACGTCTGGAAAAGGTGCCAAAGCCAAAGAAGAGCCTGTATTCCGCCGCGCGGACGTGGTGAAATGCATGTCCGCGGAGAGCTGGCACAAAGAAGGGCGACAGATCCTGCCCGGCGCAGTTCCCCTCAAACGGGTCTCCATCCGAGCCGTGACTCTCCTGCGCAAACGCGAGGTGGAAGAGTTACAGCGCGAGACAGGGGAAAAGCCCTTGCAGGGGCTGTATGCTCGCGACCAGACAGAGTATATCATCCCACCACCCATCCGCGATGGCATCATCCCTAAAAATGATTACGGGAATATCGACTGCTTCGTGCCAAGTATGATACCCCGGGGCGCCGCACACGTCCCGTTGCCAGGCACTGTGCGTATCTGCAAGAAGCTAGGCATTGACTATGCAGAGGCCGTTACTGGCTTCGAATTCGGCTCGAAGATGGCGGTCCCTGTCATCCAGGGGGTGGTCATAGCGGCCGAAAACGAAGACCTACTGAGAGACGCTTGGCGCACTGACGCCGCAGAGAAACGTAAACGTGAACAACTCAAAGCCGAGAAACGCATCCTGCAGACCTGGCGCAAATTCTTGTTTGGCCTACGCATTACTGAGCGTGTGCGAGAGGAGTATGGTGGCTTTGATGTTGCGGAAGATCGCCAGCGAGACTCTCACAATCCCTTTGCGGCGCGTAAGAAGGATCAGGGACAGCATGATGAGCCTGACAATGTCGAGGATGACCATCTGGAGGAGTCCACCCATCACGCTCTTGACCATGGCGGTGGCTTTCTCCTGCCTGGTGAAGGCGATGCGGATGCCGACCATGACTTGATTGTTGAGCACCATCACAGTGATCGACGACGCGCAGCTTCTACCTACCACTTGAGTGAAGATGATGGCGGGTTGACCGAAGAAGACATAGACGAGGAGGTTGGTGGCGACTCTGGATCGGAGTATACCACGGGCTGATACACACGACGTCGTCCAATTAGTTGATTAGCTGCCCAAACCGTGTACTTTAATAGCATTCTTCTTACGAGAGAAAATGATTGATATGAACCGGATAACGTCAGAAAATGATGTGCTGCATATGGGTGGGCTGATCCGATGGAAATCGTACAGATGATTCTTACTGTGAGGACGGGTTGAGGTCAATTGCGATTTAGTCCTGTAGATGCAGCCTGGAGGAGCTACGGTATGCTCGCAGACGTATACAGTGGTATTTATTCCATGCACAAACCTGTAGGCCATATCATATCATTTGGAGGATAACGAAGTCTATATGACCCGCTTTGAATTGTCCAGACTGAATAGTAAGCTTACGGCTGGGACTTGGCGAAATGAAACTCCCGCATTTGGACAGACCTCGAAGCGGTTGGAGACCATTACGTAGCTAGGCCAGAGATCTTTCTCTTTCCTTATGACCACTTCGCAGCTCAAAGAACCCCAGTGTCTTTGAGCACTTCCCTCACAATTGATTTGCTTCCATACACCAATCAATCAGGCGTTGGTTTTGTCGTCTAGATTCTAATCCAGGTTGTCTCGCCCACCACAATTCGGGCGGGGGAACTCTGACTCGACTAATAAATTTCCCTCTTTTCAATCGTTTCCAATTTTTAACCTCACACCGTTTATCTTAGTCTCAGGCAGCTGCTTCATTACTCCAGAATGGAATTCCTGGCAGTGGCCGTCGCGGGGTTACTGGGGAGCTTCTGCTCAACCCTGGCCCCCGCCACCGGCATAGGCTGGCTGAATAGCCTGTGCAACCGCGGCAACATATCAGCTGAACTTGGGCCAAACTTGTCCAGCGGTGCAAATATATACCTTCCGGGCTCAGAAGGCTTTACTCAAAGTACGGAGCGATGGTCGTCTTTTGAGGCGCCCAATGTGACTGTTGTCGTGGAGGTTGCAACCGAGAACGACGTGGCTGAGACGGTAAATTTCATCCGAGAAGATCATCAGCCTTGGTGGTGCTGATTTGAGTAGGTCAAATATGCAAACGCACATAACCTACCATTTATAGCCGTTAACGGTGGCCATGGTGCAATCGCATCGCTTGGTGCGGTTAGCAATGGCATTCAGATCTGGTTGAAACAGCTGAATGTCGTTTCTGTTGCAGACGATGGAAAGACAGCGACTTTTGGGGGCGGAATTATGTCTAAGCAGGTTATAGATGCGCTGTGGGAACAAGGGAAACAGACTGGTTGGGACAAGACATGCCCCTATGGAAACAACGCTTCAGCTAACTATATACTAGTGACTGGAGGCTGCGAGTGTATTAGTCTACTGGGACCTGGTCTTGGTGGTGGCCACGGATTCTTGCAAGGACGCTATGGACTCATTGCCGACCAGTTCGTTTCAATGAACATGGTTCTCGCCAACGGAAGCCTCATAACAGTTGACCAAGACTCCGATCTATGGTGGGCCGTGAAGGGCGCAGGCCATAATTTCGGTATTGTGACATCTGTCACCTCGAAGATCTATGATATTCCCCAGGACGGGCTCTGGTCATATGTGAACCTTTTCTTCACCCACGAAAAAGTTGAGGTTCTGTATGAAGCGATCAACGAACACTTTTTAAAAGATGGTGTCGAGCAACCTGAGGACGTGGTCCATTTCTCATCCTGGTTCAACAACCCGGATGTGGATCCCAACCATGTATGTTGAAGTGAAGTGGATAGCTCTACTGCAACAACTTGCTGACAATTCTAGGCCGCAATAGGATATTTCATTATGCAGCAAGGCGTGGACGCCGTGGAGCCGCAATTTACCGATCCATTCACTAAGCTGGGGCCAGTCATGGCTGTTACAGGCAAAGGAACATACAAGGACCTCCCTAAATGGGCCTGGATCGACAATGATTCGTTATCTTGCCAAAAGTCTGGACGAGGAAATATTCGCTTCCCCCTCAATATACAGGAGTATAATCCAGTAGCGCAGCGCACAGCGTTCGATTATTTCACAAAAACCACACAAGAAATTCCAGCACTGAACAATACCATGTTTCTTTTCGAAGGCTATTCGACCCAAGGCGTGAAGGCTGTTCCCTCTGACTCAACTGCTGTACCAGATCGATATGCGGACCAGTTACTATGCCCAGTTGTGATGTACGAGACTGAGGCTCCGCAACGAGAGGGGGAAGCCTATGAGTTTGGAGAAACGCTGCGCCAGATCATATTCCAGGCAAGCGGCCAGGAGGATCTGTACTGCTATGTCAATTATGCAATTGGTGATGAAGATCCGCGGAGCTGGTATGGTTATGAGCCGTGGAGGTTGGAGAAGCTGCGGAAGCTGAAGGCGAAGTATGACCCTAAGCACCGTTTTAGTTTCTACGCGCCTGTTGACTAGGAGGGCTTGGGATATTGGGGTATTTATACTATGAAACTATGCATAGTTAACTAAGTTAGCAGCATATCTGATGATTAAGTTACGGGTATATGACTCTTGGGGTTAACTAGGTCTTAGTAGAGGACTACTAGTAGGTAAGCCGGGAGTCCGAAGGTAATCGTGGCCCATGAGTCGAAGCCCTGAAACCACGGCAATTGCCGAATGGGAAGTGACTCAATTACATTATAGTATTTTATGTGCTGTCTTTTTCACCATCTATCATCAAACATAGGGGGCTATGGATGTCAACCCCGAAACCGTGTGCTCAACAGGGGCGAATCCATATCTCTCAAGTCCGCCTCATCATATTCCAAATCAAACTCTTCATCCTCATCCATAGAGGGACTAATATGTACAGCTGGTGATGAGATGGGGCTATGTGCAACACGAGGCCGGGACTTGAAGACACTGGCGTAGTCGGCATCCTCTTCAAAGAGCTTGTCCTGTGGCGTAGAAGACCGGGTGATTCCTGGACGCGAGGCCTTGCGTGGGGTCTCGAATTGGCTCACCGGGAAAGATGGGCGCGCGCCACGACGCCTGGGCCGGGATTGCGGTTCGTGAGTGGGGGGTGGAATGAGAGACATTGACTTGCGGGTGCGCTCGACCAGGGTATAGTTTGAGGTCGGGGGCTTGAGGGGTTCTGGATCCGCATGGTCCTCGGGCTCCGAGTGTTGATCGGGGGAGAGGCGGACAATTGGAGGAGAGGAATGGAGTGGCTCTGCTTGTGGCTCAGGGGGTTTATCTGGAGAATCGTACGTTGAAAATACGGAAGCCTGCGCATCCTCTGACATCAACAGCTTTGTTGGTTGAGGGTCGCTGATTTCCGCCGAGACTGGTGGTGACTCTATCTTCGTAAATTCCAATGACGGCGGCTGCGGCTTATCAACATGAGGCTTGCCATTGATGCGTGTTAGAGCTTCGTTCACGCTCGACATGAAGGACCGATCGGCCCTTTTCAGCGCCCTCCCGCAGTCTGCTGATTCTCGGACAGCCTTGGATATACTCGCCACTGTTAGGGACTGGTGATCTCGGAACGATAAATGGTGCGCCTGGAACTCGGCGCCCGCTGCATCGCCATTTCTATCGCGCTCCTTGCGGAGGTCGTCTTTGAATTCATGCCATCTACGCAGCCGACTGCGTAATCGCAGAACTTGGGCCTCCAGATCAACCACAAGGTCCGACTTCACACCACTGCTAAGAGCACCCACAGTTGACTGAGTAGCCTGCTTCCATGCTCTGGAGAAGGGAAGCTCCAGGAAGGCGTCGGTGCTGCTTCGGGATCCACCATATAAAACAGCCGTAGCCCACTCCTCGCTGCCCAACCAGTTTGTTTGTACCTCACGCACCAGTCTATCTGAATCAGTCTGCACCGGGTCTTGATTCTGTGCGGACAGTTTATTAGCGCGATCTGCGAGCTCAGCTTTCTTGTCGTCAAGAAGTCGCGAGAACTGCTCATAGGTCTCCTGCACCCGGGTGCGGTGAGCCCCTGTCGCATCAAGGGATATTTGGTGGGCGAGTATCAGAGGCAGAAGGTTCTGATAGTCCGTTGCAGAAACTGAGGATGCAGTAGATAGAGTCATGGCAGGGTTCCAGAGCATCTCAGAAGCTGATACCGCTACAAGCTTCCGCAGGACAGCCGTGGAGAAGACTGCCAGCAACTCGTCGAATTTCTCACCCTTGCAGTCGTCCAGCATAGACTTGCGGAGAATCGTTTCTCGCCCGAGGTCACCATTTTTCTTCAACTCGGTCAGGGCTCGGAATAGGGCTGCGCGGAGGTTGACGGATTGCAGGGGTTCAAGCGGTGGGAAAAAAGGGCGGAGTTTCTGTGTTGACATCAGCATTTTATTACACAATTTCCCTGACCAATTATGGGTTCGAACATTATGAGCACCCTCGGGGTCCCAAATCATAAAAAGATAGTAGAGAGACCATTCTATCAGGCGAATCCGCTGGCGCTGGTTCTGCGATGACGACGACAAGGCGCGAGTGGTGATATCGGGCCAGTCCTCGCGCTGGTCGAGGTGCAACAGCTTCAAGTTGCGGATAAAGACCGTAATATGGGATGGGCCCGACCACTCCAGAGGCTTTGGCCGTGCGGGCCTCGAGGCAGCCATATTGCTGCGGGCGAATGGAGGGCGTAGTTTAGTAAACCGCGGCGGAATGTCAACATTGATAACATGTGTTTGCATTGTTTGCTGCGCCTATCAGCCCCACCAGCCTTAATGGGTTTGTTTCTCACTCGTCTCTCCCTTTTCAATCAGCTCTCAAAGTGTTTATTTGGCCCTCTCCTCTCCAATCGTCGCAGCCATGGGATCCAACACTCCCCAGTGGACCCCGCAGACCGGTAATTTGCCGTGACCACCTTGTGGACAGCACCGAAACTGATTCTTTTATGTTCTTTAGTGCTGTCTACCCTTCCCCACCCCCCGAGGAGAACTCGGCGACACCCATTCCCTTCTTCCACCTCCTCGAGCGCCTCAAGACCACCAAGCGTGAGGGCTGGCGCCGTTTCGGTATCAATGGCGAATCTATCTCCGACCATATGTATCGCATGTCGATCATGACTATGTTTGCCCCGCCCGAGCTGGCATCCAAGCTAAACATCCCGCACTGCACCAAGATGGCCCTGGTCCATGATATGGCTGAATCGCTTGTCGGCGATATCACCCCAGTCGACACGGACGTTCCCAAAGCCGAGAAGGCTCGCCGCGAGGCTGAGGTTATGGACTACATCACCGAGACTCTCCTGGGCAAGGTTCCCGGCGGCGCACTGTCTGCCCAGGGGATCAAGAGCGTGTTCCAGGAGTACGAGGACAATGTGACGCTCGAAGCACAGTTTGTGCACGATATCGATAAGATGGAACTGCTGCTCCAGATGGTGGAGTACGAGCGTTCCCACGAGATTGATCTATCTGAGTTCCAGCACGTCGCTAGTCGTGTGCAACTACCCGAAATCAAGGCCTGGGCTGAGCAGGTTGTTGCTGAGCGACCAAAGCGTGCATAAATCTGCATAACAGGCTATCAGGAGTTTTAAACTTCTTGCGTTCGCTTTCGGTTTGGAGGGCGTTTCTTTCTGGTTTATCTTTTTGGGTACCCTGATACCATAGAGTGGGATAAGTTGCGATGTGTTCGTTATGAAGACAGACGTGTGATGATGTACGACTGCACATGACCTTTCGGGTTTGAGGAGCAAATAAACCTATTGCATTACCATTTCTGCTTGTTCGTTTCGTCGTATGTAGTAACATGATTGCCACCCTAGGCAGGATGGAAAGATCAGCTAAACGTCTAGCCCATTAGTCAAGCGCCTCCTTCTCCATCTCGCGCCCCAGCATTTCGGCCTCAGTCTGCATCTCCTCGGCGGAGCGTGGCTTGCGTGCTTCGTTGTCGACAACGGGAAATCGCGTTCGCTTCTTCGGACTCTCGGAGTTTGTATGTCTGCCCGTCTGTGTTTCGCGGAGTGCCTTGCCCACATCTCCGTCCTCGCCGCCTAGCATGCCGTAGACAGCATCTATCGGGTCAAGGTCCGCAGGCTTGCGGGGAATTATGTGGGCATGTACATGCGGCACGCTTTGGCCGGCATGCACGCCGTCCTGCACGGCAATATTCAGGCTTGCAGCGCCGTAGACCCGCTCCACCATTCGGCCGACGCGCCGGACAGTTAAGAAGAGGTCGCTTGTTTCGGCAGGGGTGAGGTCTGTGATACGAGGAACGACACGGCGGGACGAGACGAGGACATGACCAGGTAGAATAGGCTTCAGGTTGACAAGCGCGAAGGAGAGAGGTGTTTGGTGAAAGACCTGTTTTGAAAGTGGGCCCAGGTTAGTTTCGACGTGCGTTAAGCGATTGAGCCCGCAAGAAGGGGATATTACTTGCGGAGTCACCAGAAATGATCCGAAGTAGACGGGTGCAGAAACTCCCTTGACTGCAGACATGTTTTTGAGTGATTGGGGGCGATTCGCGTTCGCAGAAGGTTGTGGTTGGGAGTTCGGAGGATTGAGGTCGGCGATGCGCCGCCGCTATAAGGCGCTTATCAATGCTTATCAGTGCGTACCTGGGGACCTCTAAACAATTCCTTCGTTCGATTTACAGATTATTTCATCTGATGTGCTTACATAGTGTCTCAAGTATTGTACTATATATAGACCATACATTCAGGGTGATGGGTATCATTGGCATTGACCATAAACAATATCCTGAGCTATATTACAAATAATAATGACATGCCTCACGCCAAGTAAAGCATTGGCGTGTTTAAAAAGACATTAATAAAGACAAGAAGGAATAGAAAATCACTAAGAGCCTGCACATCATTAAGAATCAGTCTGCTGTTCAGGCTCGGGCTCCTGCTGCAGTTCTTTATTTTCTTCAGCAATAGAAGGGGTGGTCACTTCACCCTTATGAGTCTCATCGGTAGATTCCTGAGGTTTTACGTCCTCTTGACCTTTTTGTGCTTCAGTTTGCTCTTCGTGAGGCTTTTCTGTGTCTGTAATCACAGCTTCCTCTGCGGGCTGCTCAGGTTCCTCAAGGGTCTTTTCAGCTGGGATAACACCTTCTGCTGGTTCCTCCGCAGCAGTTGGGCCTTCACTTTCGGAGGGCGGTTCCCTTGTCTCCTCAGCAGGTGGCTCCTCAGCTACCTGTGGCTGGGATTCTTCTTGTAGGACCTCTCGGAGGGGTGCAGAAGCTTGAGGAGAGTCATCATTGTCCTCAGCACTCTCGGTAATGGTAGTAACACGCGATCCCGTAGACGGGCTGTGCTTGTGACGGCGTGTAGTAGCGCCAGTACTGATTGATGGGTCCATGCCCTCAACGCTCGTGCTAAAGGGGTCTTCATTTTCCTTGCGAAGGATCGTCAATCGCTTGTTGTCGGCAGGCTCAGCCACCTTAGGCTGGACGGCATCGGGGCCTTCCGCCTCCGGGGGAATGGTGTAGTTATCCTCCGGAATAAGGCTGAACATGTCGCAGACGGTCTTAAAGAAAACATAGAGACCATCGTGCCCCTCTACCTCCCAGAAGACATCACGATGCTGGAACCAAGCGTGCGCAAATATGCGGTAGAGCCGGCGGAAGATGTTCGTCAAGTGTCGTATGCTGGCCTGGGGACCACCGGAGCCTTCGGCACCCAAAGTCAGGCGGCTGGGGAAGTATTTAGGAGACGTGAGAGTGTTGGTGGCCCAGTCGAGTGTGTGGCAGCAGTAGTCGATGGCGCAACATGATTTAGGCGGGTCATGCACGGCGCAAAGGTACTGCCATTCCGACGCTCGCATCTCCGGGCAGGTTTGCGACGAGCAAGGCGGGTTCTCGGCAAAAAATGCGATGATGAGGTTGTTCACTTTCATTGTTAAGAAGCGGCATAGCTCATAAAGCCAGAGCGACCGGTCAACTCCCTCTGGGGGCTCTGCGAGCTGGATTGCGACCTCGCGGTTGATCGGGACCACCGTGTCTGATCCTTCGGGCTTGGTGAAATGGTGGTAGAGCGCTTTGAGATGTTCCTGTAGTTGAAAAGGGGAGTCGAGCTATAACGATCAGCGAACTATATAGATGAAGCTTAGCAGATGCGCATACGAACCTGCGACAGAGGAATCAGTGGTGGGCCAAACGCCATGTCGGCCGCCTTGGTACCCGGCCGGATACGGCGCGTGGAGCTATCGTCATCGCCGGCCGCACCTCCGAGAAGCTGCTCCGAATCTTTGCCAAATGACTCGCCGAACGATGGCGACTGAGGCCCTATCTGGTCCTCTGTGAACGGTGGCGGACTGGGAAGACGCGGGGAGCTAGACGGGGAGACTTCCGAGGTAGTCATGACGCGTGATGGGAGGGGGAGATCCGGGAAGAAGACGCGAGAAGAAACGAGTGTGGTTGGCGACTAGCAAATGAGTGGATAGGAACCCCGCGACCGGACGAATCGATCAGAGGGGCGATGGCTGGGAGAGCATACTCTGTTATCCTCTGTTGTCCTCAAAGAAGTCGCAGATAAGCCGGGGCAACAAACAAATGACCGCCGGTGCCCTAAGCCCTAATATCCGCTCTGGGTAACAACGTCATACGGCGTAGCTTTGATGCTGCGGGTTTGCTTGCCCGCTGGATAAGAGCAACAGATAAGTGTTCAGAATTTGCAACCTTTGGAATATTACACACCATGTCTACCAACATTGAGGATGATGACACGCCGCCGGAGCTGATTGATGTGTCCACGATGCCAGTCGACCAGCCGCCCCCCTCTATAGAGGAGGAATCGACGGCTCGGGTTCCTATCACCCTGGTTACAGGTACTATAAGTCCCCGGAGGAAGCAAACAATGATACTAATTCTTGCTTGATAGGATATCTAGGAGCGGGTAAAACCACCCTGCTGAACTATATCCTGACGGAGAAACACGGCAAGAAGATTGCTGTTATCATGAACGGTTTGTCCTTGCATGTCTAAGCCGTATGAAGGATAGATGCTAATTCAATCGTAGAGTTTGGGGACTGTGAGTATAGATTAGTAAAAGCAAAAAAGGCATTAATTAATTTCTGACATGCCTTTCCTACAGCCTCGGACATTGAGAAGCCTTTGACGGTCAATCAGGGCGGCCAGGAAGTCACTGAATGGATGGAAGTCGGAAACGGCTGCATCTGCTGCTCAGTCAAGTACAGTCACTCCATAATTTCCTTGTTTTTAGTCATTTCAACCACTAATACCTACTTCAGAGACACTGGTGTGATGGCCTTGGAATCCCTCATGGAACGCCGTGGCACATTCGACTACATCCTGTTGGAAACAACAGGACTTGCAGATCCTGGCAACATTGCCCCAGTCTTTTGGATGGACGAAGGACTCGGCAGCTCTATCTACCTCGATGGTATTGTCACACTAGTCGACACAAAAAACATTCTGCACCTGCTGGATGAGCCAGCGCCCGAGGAAAAGGCAGAGTCTCACAACACTGACCATGACCATGGCTGCGGGCCTGTACTGTCCATGGCACACATGCAGGTGTCACACGCAGACGTGATCATTCTCAACAAAGCTGATCTGGTTACGCCTGAGCAGCTGGAGGTTGTGCGGGACCGCATCTCAGCTATTAACAGCGTAGCCAAGATTCATGTTACGGATCACAGCCGGACGCCACAGATTGAGGGTGTTGTGCTAGATTTACATGCTTACGATCACTTGGATGATTTGGATTTCAGCAGGAAGGGACACAGCCATATCGATCCGGTACTGTTTTCTTGATCGCTTCATATTTCTGACATTGACTCATTACTATAGGCTATTTCAACTATCGCAGTCGTTACGTCTCCAATCCCGGCTGACAAAGTGCCGCAAGTTGATTCATGGCTTCAGTCTGTTCTCTGGGAGTCAATGTTGCCAGCGCCACCTACATCGGCACCTGAATTTCACCCTACGAACTTTGAGATTCATCGGCTGAAAGGAATCCTACGTCTCGATGACGGTTCGAACAAGATTATCCAAGCGGTCCGGGATGTGTTTGAAATCAGGGATTCTGAACCTATGCAACATGACGAAGACAAGCCATCTACATTTCAGTGCAAGATCGTACTGATTGGCCGAGGGTTAGGGCCGACTTCAGACCCTTGGAGGGAGAGCTTCGAGTCATTTATTCGCGAGAGGTAAGGATAAAGAAAATCCAATTCGTCTTCAAAAATGTGCATTGCGAGCAATCAGTGGACAAATAATACAGCCATATCAGCCAAAAGGAGAGGAAAGAAGAATCAAAATACATCAAGACGTATCCGTTGTAACAACGCCCAACAATCAAAAGAAGAATCCTCCGTGTAGAAAGCATTGGCAAAAAAAATGAAACAAATCACAAAAAGTGTATTAAATCAGATCCATCAGAAGAATGCAAGAAAGAGAAAGGACTTTTTTAGACGCCAAAAGTTCACCGGCATGTGCCATTGGTGCATATGCCTTAATGAAGAGCTATGCTGAAAAGACAGTCAGACAATGACGAAGGGGGAGCTATACAAGCGAGAAGCAAACGAAGAGGGTATCGAGCACTGGGCCCCGAAAATAAAAGGATAGGGCTGGAAAGAATCCGGTTCACATTGTTGGAAAGTCGGTTGCTAGTATATAGCATTGCGCTGGGAAGGAGAGGCGAAAGATCAAGGAAGGTTGGTGAGGCGTTCTCTGAAGGTCGGATTGATGGGGAGTCGAGATTCAGAGAGGAAGGTGGTAAGGGTTTGACGAATTGATTCGGACTCAGCAACAGCAGCAGCAGCAGCAGCAGTAGCAGCGGGAGGTGTTTGGGATGGGGTGTTCTTTGGGATGGCAGGCAAAGACCAGCGATGAGAAAGCCCTAGAGCAGGATTGATGGGCAGTTGGGACTCGGCGAGGGAGGATACGGAGCCAAGGCGACCCGCCTCGTTACGAGTCTGTCTTTCCTTGGGAACCGATGAGAAGGATCTGCACTTCGAGATGCCGTGGGCAGGGTTAATTGGCAGCGTCGAAAGAAGAAGCGAGGTCGTTGAATAGGAATGCCCATTTGGTTGAGGCTCAAAGCTGACATGTTTCTCAGTGCATGACGGTACATCCTTCTCGATAGCCGAAATCCCCGACACTGACCGAGCAGGTTCAGCCGCAATCAATTTGTCTTGGCTGGTAGATGGCTCCAAGGGCGGGTGCTGTTCTGGTACATTTGGACCGCAGCCACTACCGATAGTGTTGGCCCAAAAAGCTGGCACAGCATTCTGTACTTTGTGCTCTGTGACCGAGTTCGACTCTGGATTGTCAAAGGAGTACTGGCTGTGATCCCGATCCTGGTCCATGCCATGGGGCTCATCATGATTCAAGGTAGATGCAGACGAATGATGCGGAGCAAAGTCGGCATCTCCATTTGACTCCGTAAGAGTGAGAGTTGATTGTTTCCCTTCATCATGAGTGTCTGCGAAGAGAGGCCGTGGCAGGCTATCGCCCTGTGTTTTTGGCGGTTCTTGCTCAAAGGAGTCCTTGAGGCGGTACTGATAGGGTGCTTCTGTTGAAGGAAGAGGATGAAGGCCGTTGCTTTTTGTGGCAATGGACGTGGAATCATTGTCGTGAGCGACTGGGATTCGGTTGATCGGTGGAGGCCTTCGTGAAAGCAGATCGCGTGGGAAAAAATGGAGAAGCTCCTTCGCCCCTAATCTGTGTCGGGGCGTCGGACTGAGGCAGACTTCGACTAGCCGCCTATAGTAATTTGGCACTTCCACATCATATCCAAGAACCAGAGGACGGGGTTGCCGCTCAGGCTCATCTTCTCCCGTCGCCAATGCCCACAGCGTCATGCCAAGCTGGTAAAGATCTGTCTTGACCCCAATATACATGGATATTCGCTGGTTGCTCTCGATCTTTGCGGCAATCTCGGGCGGCTCCCACCCGACCGGGCAGCCTCTGCGGTTGATATCAATGATATGCGCATCGTCATTAGCATCCACTACGATGTTCGATAATGTGAAGTCACCCTGGACGTAGCCCGACTCGTGGATCTCACAGAGACCCTGGACGATCTGTTTGGCCCATCGCTCTCGTCTGGCAAACGAGATCTGTCCGCGCTGCTCGTAAAGCATATCAACCAGCGCACCTTGTTCAGCGTAGCTGATCAGCAGGCCCTTGACTACCTCCTGCTGATCGTCAACCACGATTCCTTCCACGTGGATCACGTTTGGGGCGCCATTCAGGGCGTGGAGAGCATTGATCTCGTACAGGAACTCGTCCACTGTGTCCGGGCCCGGGATTTCCTTTTTGATATAGGCACGTCCACCCAGCTGTACCTTATAGACAAAACCTGATAGATGGGAATCGAAGTGTAGGAGGTGCTCGGGCACGCATCGGGCCCCTCGCAGATGTCGGATACTGGATATTGGGGGGTACGGGATCGTCTCGTTGACATCTTCCGTGACGTGAACGTGGAGGCGGCCGTCGAGGGTCTCAACTTTGAGGTTGGTCACGGTATCGTAGAACTGGATTTCCGCAAGTGATTCGCGGATTGACTCGTATATTCGGGCGCACTTGTCACGCTGGTACCGCAGTTCCTCCAGGTCTCGTTCGAGTGAGTCAGGCGGTGCACCGCGATAGTCCATAGAGATGGTCACCCGGCGCCATTTTGTGGGACTTTCCGCGTAGGTGACAAAGAACTTCTCCCGCCCTGAGTTGTCTCGGAAGTGCATGCTCAGATTAAGGATCCATCGCCGCTCCAGCTCCATCTCGAGGTCGTCCTGCACAGGGGCCGGGGTCGACACCGGCGTCTCCGCTTCCGGGTCTGCCTCCTTCTCGACCTCCGAGGGTGCAGTCGTTACGTCCGGATACGAAGGATTCTCCCAGTCGACGCGGAGTTCGCTCTCATCGTTGGTGGTTTCGGCGGCCTCGTCGACCGTGGATGCGGGCGTCGGGCCGAGCCACTGAACCTCTGGCGCGGAGAGTCGCGGGCCCACGGCTGGCGGTGGAGACAGGGTTCTGGTTCTGGTTCTTTGGGCGCTTAGCGGGTGCCGGTCGGCGGACTGGGCACGACGGTGGTCGGATTCTAAGGGGGCCAGGCGATCCCGACGCTCGGAAATTTGTCGTTTAAAAGTGGTGGATCGGGGCAGGCCAACGCCGACCTTGCGGGAGAGGCGGCGGGTCAAGTTATCGTGCTTGGCGTGCGGGAAGTCGTCGGCGGAGGAGGCCCGGGGATGGTGGTGGGAGTGGTGGGAAGGCAGGTTGTGGGGGAAGGAAGATTGACGGTCCCTCTCGCCGGGAGAAGCGTCTCGATCGTCGCGGCCCAGCCATCGTCGCAGGCCCAGTCGATGCCACATGCTCTGTTTCTGCTGAGGCCCCTTTTCGTCGGGAGGGAGACCCAGCCGCGTCGGGCTATAGGAGCTGTGGGCAAGGGAGATGGCCATACGGCACGCAGTCGCTCTGTCGTGCAAGGAACGACTCGAACACCCTGCCGGCCGGAACGCCGATGGCCATAAGAATTGAGCCGAGTCGACCGGGCTCCTCGTGGCGGGGGAAAGCGAGGAAAAGGAGAAGGGAAGGAAAAGTTCTCACTGCACTGGCCAATACGGGGGTTGGGCCACCGGCGAAGTAGATTTCGGGTCTCGCTTGTGTTGGAGTCTCAGTTTTCTTTTCCTGATTGGCCTCTCTCTTTTCGTTCTTCCTCTCTGTGGAGGCTGTCGCCAGGGATCCAAGAGGGATGAGAGCTTCTGCGTAGGTCCGGGTCAAGATTTAATCTGGCGTGTCACACAACGTCGGGTTGCAATGGGCGCGGAGGCTGGGAGGCTGGTCCGTGGCAGGCGAGCATGGGGAAAAGGCGGTGCACAGCAGGAGATCTGACAGATGTCGAAATTGACTTGGATATCAGACAGATTTGATCTCTTTCATTCTAAGTCTCCAAAGTTCAAGTCGCCCAAGGAGAAAAAGTACCAAAAAAAACCGTTGCTGGCGGTGGGCGTGATGCGCTGATCCCACTGCAAGGCTGTGATGTCTCACAGTGAGAAAACAAAAAGATAGAGAATCTCGCCGGTACAAAAGGACTCTGCGGGGGATCAATCAGATCCGTTTAGCAGGAAAATAAAGGGAAATCAAGGGAGGGAAAGTAGGGGAAAAAACGGCCAGGATATGATTCATCGCGCACAGATAAAATTGGACGGATGCGTTGCGGCCTGACAACTCATGCCTGATTGGGAGGCTCAACGAGGATCGCTGGATTGACCAGCGATCTATAATTATGCTACTGGCTCACTAGCTATTCGAAGAATTGCACGGCACAAGATTGGCACCGGCGGAATATTAAATTAGTGCCTGCATGGCGGTTATCCGTCCGGTTGGGCTCTATACATCTGCATCTTCACGCCAGTCCGAATGGAGGTCTATCCCGGTCCACCAGAGCTCTTCCCCCTCGCACAAGCGGTTTGAGGATTGATTGGTGCAGAGTGGATGAAAGTAGTGGTATATGAGCTGTGTGTCATTTTAGAAAGAAATTCTGGGAAAGACTCACGTCATTGGAAATAGAAACTACATAGAATGCCAGCAGCGATACGCGCCTTCTTTCATACACCGGGTATCAGACCACTATATCCTGTAGCGTTATCGAACGGAAAACAATTTCCGATCACTTAAGGAGACGCCTCAATGGATTATCGACGAGAGGGCTCGAAAGAGGTATAGAAGAAAAATCGAAGAAAGCCAGCCCTGCGAAGGCGAGTCTAGACCACCGTCAAACAAGATTACTTAGGTTCTACGGGGGCCTAGTTATCGACCAGTTATGTGAAATAGATTCAGGTAGTCTGTACTAGTCAAAAGTTATTAATTCCCTACTGATCGCCTACACGTGGTCATTGCAAGTCATATATCCAGCGGATCGCGACTTTTTGCGAGGTACTTCGCCAAGAACAACTATACGAATGAAAAATGACACTGCCGGATCACCCCAACAGACGCATCCGCCGAGAATCTTTCTATTCAAGAGTGGAGTAATGTTGCCTTTTTTCTTTTGGCGGGGGATGGGGGGTTCCGTACGTCGGAAAGCAAAAGGTCTAGCCGCCAATAACTCCAGTCCATGCATTCCGTGCCGGGAATGACACTGAAAGACGCCATTTACAATGTACATCCCAGAAGATCCAGCAACTATACAGAATGAAACCACAATCGCACACACGAGAAGCAAGTAATTACCTCGTCGAAGTCCGGACATCACACAAAACCAAGTCGCCTTTCACTCGTCATCCTCACCTTCCCGCTCACCCTTCTGGTTGGCGGGCTTGGTGAGCGCCTTCTGCCAGACCGTGCGGGCCGCATCGTGGTTGAGGTCGGCGAAGAGAATGCCAAACACTTCGGAGTACCAGCTGACGGGGTGGCCTTCAATGCCCTTCTTGATATTCTGCAGATAATGATTAGCGTTCATCGAGAAAACTCAGCCAGTGGCAAAGACATACCTCGGGCAGCTCAAGCCAGTCTGATGTGTTGTCGGCAGGGAAGATGACCTTGGTCGCACCGGCCCGACGAGCAGCCACAGTCTTCTCTCGCAGGCCGCCGATGCGCAGGACCTTGCCAGTGACTGTCAGTTCACCGGTCATGGCGACGGTCGGGTCCAGAGGGTGGTTCAGGGCCAAAGACAGCAAGGAGCTGGCCATGGTAATGCCAGCAGAGGGACCTAACGGGACCAGATTAGCAGCTTGAACATAATGTGGGGAAGGGCAAAGAAACTTGGAACATACCATCCTTTGGAACAGCGCCCTCAGGGCAGTGCAGGTGGACCTTGGCCTTCTCAAAGAACTGGTTCTCAGGGAATTCCCGAGCCATGACGGACTTGGCAAACGAGTAGGCAATGTGGGATGATTCCTTCATCACATTTTGCAGATTACCGGTGATCTCCAGACCCGGTCGCGAATGGTATTTGAGAGCGTTCTCCAAGATGCACTCGACATACAGCGCGGCTCCGCCCATGCTGGTCCAAGCCAGACCCATGGTGACACCAGGAGGGAACTTGTCGTACAGACGGTCGGCGGTGAAGACTGGGGGTCCGACATAATCCTTTAAAGAATCCTTGCCGATGCTGAGATGGACGGTTTCGGGAACTTTGAGGGCAAGACGAGGGGTCTCGGTAGTCGACTTCTCGGGCTCGAGAGGGACCTCCGCGGGATCCGCGGGCTCGTGCTCCTTCGACTCTTCTTGGGCAGCTTTGCCCTCGTCAGTCAGTGCAGCCTCTTCGGACAGCACCTCCTCGCCCAGGTCTTGGACGATCTTGAAAGCTGCCTTCCGGTACACCTTCTCAATCTGCTTCTTCAGGTTGCGGACACCGCTCTCTCGGCAGTACGACTTGATCAACTCCTCAATGGCGTCTTGCTGGAGGTTCACGTCCACGTCCTTCAACCCAGTCATCTCCCGGGCTGCAGGGGCCAGGTATCGCTGGGCAATGGCCATCTTCTCGTCCGCGACGTAACCGGAGAGCTCAATGAGCTCCATACGGTCCAATAGGGGTCGAGGGATGGTATCAGTCACATTGGCTGTGCAGACGAAAAGGACCTTAGACAAGTCCACAGGGACATCCATGTAATGGTCCAAGAACGAGGAGTTTTGCTCAGGATCAAGCAGCTCCAACAAAGCTGAAGAAGGATCGCCCTGGTGGCCACGGCCAATCTTGTCGATCTCATCAATCAAGATCAGAGGGTTTTCCGTCTGACACTTCTTCAGAGCCTGAATGATTCGTCCGGGTAGGGCGCCAACATAAGTTCGTCGATGACCCTTGATCTCTGCCACATCTGTCAAACCACCCACGGAGAAGCGGTAGTATTGCCTGTTCAGAGCGCGAGCCACCGACTTGCCGATACTGGTCTTACCCACACCAGGAGGGCCAACAAGGCAAAGAATCTTGCCCTCCACAGTGCCGCGAAGCTTGCCCACCGCAATGAACTCAAGAATACGGTCCTTGACATCCTTCAGACCGTAGTGGTCCTCATCCAGAACGCTGACCGCATTCTTGATGCCAAAGTTCTCCACACTCTTCTGTCCCCAAGGAATCTGAGTCAGCCAATCCAGGTAGTTCCGAGTGACATTGAACTCTGAGGCAGCAGGCTCCAAGTGAGCCAGCTTATTGATCTCTTCTTCGAAGACTTTCTTAACAGCTTCTGGCATAGCCAGCTTCTCTGCCTTCTCCTTGAACTTCTCCACAAGCTTGTCCTTGCCATCAGACTCAATACCAAGCTCTCGCTTGATACCTTTCATCTGCTCCATCAGCCAGTATTCCCGCTGGCGCTTTTGAATCTTGGCCTCGACATCCTTGGTGATTTTGGACTGGAGCTGTGCATTCATCAACTCCTTCTTCAAAACGACAAGCGCTTTAGGAAGACGCTCCTCAATGTTCATGGTCTCGAGCACCTCTTGCATCTCATGAAGTTCACCGGCGGAGACTGCAGCAGCAAAGTCGGCAAGCTTAGCGGGTTCGTCACTGAGGTTTCCGGGGAACTGATCCGTATAGAAGGCCGAAATCTGATCGCGGAACAAGGGATTCAGAGTGGCGATCTCCTTGCACACGTTCACAATTTCACTGGTCACCGCACGGATGATACCATTCTTCTTGTCATATGGCTCCTCCGCCAAGTTCTCCACGTTGACAAGGCTAACGGGATATTTGCGAAGGAAAGAAGTAGGTTCATAGTGATCCTTGGGCGCATTTTCAGATGCCCCTTCCTCGAAGCTTGCAACAACGTCGCCCCGCTTCTCAGTCGTCTTTTCCTCCGTCGTAGAGCTCTCCTTCTTCGTTTCGGTAGGTGGAAGTAGCGACGAGATCTTGATGCGTCGGTGAGGGTATAGGACGGCGGTCACACCGCTAGCTTCGCCGCGAAGAGGGTAGGCGGCGGTGATTTGAGCGAAGACTCCCGTATCGTAGACGTCGTCCAGATTCTCAATCACATCACCATCGGCGTTGTCATCCTTGAACAGGAATGCACCGACGTAAGGCTGACCTCGCTTCATCATATCCTGGATCGCAGCGGCGACATTCGGGTCGCGGATAGTAATGGCTTTGTAGAATCCGGGGAAGAGAGGACGCTTCGCAATGGGGATGGCCATCACCTGCGGGTATACATCCGGAACCGCGGGCTTTTGTAGGGCCTTATCTCCGGACCCCTTCTTCCCTTTCCTGCTATTATTGTCATCGTTGTCGCCGTTACCGCCGCTGCTTGCCGAGCTGGGTTTCGAGTCGGCCGAGTCGCCACTTGGCGGAATGGGAGCGGGTGTTTGAGACGAGTCACCTTTTCCATCCGCTGCATTGGCATCTTTCTTTGCTTCCTCCTCTAAGCTGCGTTGCTCTTTATCACTGGATGACCGGTCCTTTCTCCGCGTGGAGCCTGTCTGTTCCGCAGCGGCATTCTTCGCTGAGTCGAAGACTTTCTTCCGAGACTCAGGGGTCCGATCCGCCTCCTTGTCATCTTGTTGTGGTTCCTCCACCTGCTTCTGCTCTTCCTGGTCCTTCTGGCCCTCTGGTGGGGGTTTCTCTTTCCGCCGGGTAGAGCTTGATGAGAATGTGCGGGGCGTCGAAGGAAGAGAACGAGCAAGACGAGTCGATGTTAATGCTGATCGGAAGGTTGCATTGTTCCTCGGCGAAGCCAGAAATGGCCGACGGAGTAAAGGGCGAGGTGTTTGATGGAGCGCAGCTCTCCAGGGGAGGGTCTGGCCGCGGAGCATGCTACTTGTTCGAGTCGCGTGATTCTGGGGAGGTCGGATATGGTCGAGTACCGCAGGGAAGCGGGTATAGGATAGAACCTCGAACGACCCGTAGGACAGCTCCAGGGGGGATGCAGTCGTGAGAACAATGGAGAAGAGAGAGGAGTGCAAGGAAGCGCAAGTTCCGGCCTCGGAGCACCGCTCTGTAAGCAGCTCCATCTTTCATCATCACAGCACGGGCCGACTGTTTATCCGGGACACCCTTCCACCGAGCCGCCTGGAAGCTTCTTCAGCGGACAGGAGAAGTCGACTGGTGTAAAGGCTATTGGGTTTGCGCTTTTCAGACTTTGGCCGTTTGGGTTGTGCTCGTCTTCCGCTCTTTTATCTCCCTTTCCTCATTCCCTCGCCCGAGCCCAGATTCGCCGGCAAATATCCAACCACTGTTCGGGAATTACTATCCATGAACCCAACCGCAGTGTTCCCCAAGGCCGCGGGTCTCCCTGCGCGCCTGCTGCGGGCACCATCCACATGTTCGAAGCAGAAGGCCTGCCCAAGTGTTTGCTCTGCAAGCCAGAAACGAGGTCATCACTCGGCAGTCTTCGCGACCCCCGCCAGACGGCTGCGGGATGGTGTCTATAAGACGAATTCGTCATTCCCGCCCTCTAGAGTAGGTGACTTCTTCGGACTACAATGCGCTGCCCTATATCCCCCCTATGCAATTGACTGACCATTTCAACAGACATTCCACACCACATCACCCCTCTCGGCGATTCCCGATCCCTACAAGGTCCTCGGAGTGGACAAAGGTGCCTCCGCGGGGGACATCAAGAAGGCATACTACGGCATGGCCAAGAAATACCACCCGGATACCAACAAGGAACCTGACGCCAAAGAAAAGTTTGCCGAGGCTCAAACTGCCTATGAATTGTTATCCGATGCGAAGAAACGAGAGAATTACGATCGGTTTGGCTCGGCGGCCTTTGACCAGAATGGCGGGTTCGACCCGAATGCCGGTGCTAATCCCTTTGCTGGCGCCGGAGGCTTCGGTGGATTTGGTGGCGGGGGCTTTGGAGGCGGGCCGTTCGGTGGAGGTTTCGCGCAAGATATTAACTTCGAGGATCTCTTCGGTGCATTCGCTGGAGGCGCTCGTCGAGGTCCTCGTGGCCGGCGCAATCCCTTCCAGGAGCAGATATTCGTGGGCGAGGATATCGAAGTGCAGAACAATATCTCGTTCATGGAGGCTGCCAAAGGAACGTCTAAGGAAATTAACATTACACCTTTGACTCAGTGCGGAACTTGCAAGGGTGACGGACTGAAGTCTGGCGCCAAGCGGTCTCAATGCAAGCAGTGCAACGGCTCCGGAACTCGTGTTCACTTCATGCAGGGCGGATTCCAGGTGGCCGCGACCTGCGATGCCTGCGGAGGTATTGGTATGATCGTTCCCCGCGGGTCGGAGTGTGGCAGCTGTCATGGAAACGGTGTGACTCGGGAGCGGAAGACCATAAAGGTGGATATCCCTGCTGGTGTTGAGGATGGCATGCGGATGAGAGTTAGCGGAGAAGGTGATGCGCCCCCAACAGGCACATCCGCCGCCGCCGGTGCTCGCACCCAGCGCGGTGATCTCTATGTCACCATCCGGGTTGCCCCCGATCATCGCTTCAGCCGCAATGGATCGGATATCCTATACACTGCCACCCTTCCTCTCACCACTGCTTTGCTGGGCGGTGAAGTGACAATCCCGACCCTCGATAACGAAGTCAAAGTCAAGGTGGCCACCGGTACCGGCACTGGTGACCGTATCACCTTGTCAGGCATGGGTATGAAGAAACTTGGCGGTCGTGGACGCTTCAGCCCGTCGGGTGACTTGAAGGTTGAATTCAAGGTCGCCATGCCGAAGTATCTGAGCGGCAACCAGCGGACTATTCTGGAGGTTCTTGCGGACGAAATGGGCGACAAGACGGCTCGGCGGACTATGAACTTCAGCAAGGACAGGTCAGTCATACTTCTAGGGCTTTTGTTCCTGTCTATACGTGAATTGCCATGCTAACTCCTAATTCTAACAGCCCTCCGTCAAGTCCCGAGTCCACAGGCGACGGGCAGAAGAGCGAAGGTTTCCTCAAGTCCGTCTGGCACAAGCTGATGGACAAGAACGGCGAGTCTTCCAAGCCCGAGGCAAAGGATGCTAAGGACACCAAGGATGCTGGCAAGACCGATGCCAGCAAGGACGACTCGAAGAAATCGACTTAAAATTCACAATGTAAATCTCTGTGTATTTGTATACTATTTTGGGCTTGTATTTACTTTCTACTTTCAACATTCATAGCGCCGGCGATCGGGGGGCCTTGTTCTGCCTTGGGGGTGGGGCAGTCCACTTGTATTACTATGTTGTTAGGTAGCCGTGAAGCTCTCTACTTCTCAGTTCCATAGATTTATAGACGGAAAATACCACAGACTGACTCCAACCATTTTTCTGCCTGTCGCGTAGTACCTATTGTTCGTAGTTCGTCTTTGACAGTATAGATATGCAAGCCGAACGAACCGGCCCGTGGTTGGTTCTCGTGTTGCGTTTTGGCGCCCACCCGTCCATCAATCACAACTCAGTCATCCATCACTGAAGATCACATCCCACCTGTCACCTTGCAACGCGCCGGCATCCCCCCTCTTCCACCCTTTCCGTTCTTCTCTCCTCTTCGTCGCCATTGAATTCAACCTCGTCCCTCTTTGCCTCTGCGGGTGAACACTTTGGACCGACGTCATTGACCGACTGGTGATCACCGTCAGGCCCCGACCTTCCGCACTCCTTTTACCCCACAGCCCTTGAATCCCGATCCCCTCAGGGACACCCTTGATCCCTCCCCTCCCCACCCCTCCTCCGACGACGCCCTACCCCTATACAATATTACTAGTGGATGGGGGCATCCTGCTCCTGACCACCACCCGACCATGGTTCAGTCACCGATGCTCTCCTGCCCACTGAAGCAGACCAACGAGATCGATTGGATCCAGCCCCTCAAGGATTACATCCGGCAGACCTATGGCGAGGATCCCGAGCGCTACAGTCAAGAATGTGCGACCCTCAACCGGCTTCGGCAGGATATGCGAGGTGCCGGCAAGGATAGTGCTACCGGTCGCGACCTGTTGTATCGATACTATGGCCAGCTGGAGCTGTTAGATCTCCGATTCCCCGTCGATGAGAACCACATCAAGATCTCATTTACATGGTATGCCCTGTTCGCTCGGCTTGATTTCTTCGTACCAATACTTACCAATCTTGTACTTTAGGTATGATGCTTTTACGCACAAGCCGACCTCTCAATACTCCCTGGCCTATGAGAAAGCTTCCATAATCTTCAACATCTCCGCCGTACTATCCTGCCATGCCGCCAACCAGAACCGGGCCGAGGACCTTGGAGTCAAGACAGCTTACCACTCCTTCCAGGCATCCGCGGGAATGTTTACCTACATCAATGAGAACTTCTTGCATGCGCCCTCGACCGACTTGAATAGGGACACAGTGAAGACCTTGATCCATGTCACTCTCGCTCAAGCACAGGAGGTATTCTTGGAGAAACAAATAGAAGATAAGAAGAAGCCTGGGTTCCTGGCGAAGTTGGCAGGTCAGGCTGCCTACCTGTATTCCCAAGCGGCGGAGACAATGCAGGACTTTGTCACCAAGAACGTCTTCGACAAGGTGTGGTCGATTATGGTGCAGGCAAAGGCGGCGCATATGGGATCCATGGCATCTTACTTTCAAGCAATTGCGGATAGCGAAGGTGGCTCGCACGGTGTGGCTGTTGCTCGGCTGCAGATGGCGGAGAAGCAGGCTACTACCGCACTCACCTGGGCCAAATCCTTCCCCTCGTCGGCTTCTGCAACTTCGAATTTGCCAGCCGAGGCTGGAGCTAATCTGGTGGATCTCGTGAAGCACAACCTCGCGAATGTGCAGTCAATACTGGTCACGATCACCAAGGATAATGACTTTATTTATCACCAGCCTGTCCCCAATGAGGCTGGCTTATCGGCTGTTCCCAAACTTGCGGCCGCCAAGGCAATTCCCGTCAGCGAACTCTACCAGGGACAGGATATCCAGCGTATTATTGGGCCAGATATCTTCCAGAAGCTCATCCCGATATCTGTCACGGAGACTGCCAGTCTTTACGATGAGGAGAAGGCCAAGTTGATTCGCGCTGAAACCGAGAAAGTTGATACCGCTGATGGTGAGATGGCTGCCAGTCTGGATTATCTGAAGCTACCAGGCAGCCTTAATATTTTGAAGGGTGGCATGGATCAAGAAATGACCGTGGACGAAGAGTTCCGGCGGTGGTGCTTCGAACTCGCAGGCCACAAGCCATTCCATAAGGCATTCGACGAGCTCCAGGAGCGCAAGGCAGATGTACAGGCCCAACTGGATCACTGCTCTAAGCAATTAGATTTGGAAGAGAGCGTGTGCGAGAAAATGCGTTCCAAATACGGGGGAGACTGGAGCCAGCAACCTAGCAGCCGCTTGAACACCACACTTCGCGGAGACGTTCGCACATACCGAGATACCATCAGCGAGGCTAGTGCTAGTGATACTCAACTGTCTGCCACGTTCCGCCAGTACGAAGGGGACTTTGATCAGATGCGATCTGCAGGAGAAACGGATGAGGCAGATGTGCTCTTCCAGAAAGCCATGATAAAAGCTGGATCTAAACACAACAAGGGCAAGAATGGTGTTCTTAGCCCGGCAGAAGGCAGTCTTTTGGATGATGTCTACGATGAGGGAAGTGCTTCTGTTTCAGAGCAGATCGCAAAGGTGGAGGCAATTCTGAATAAGCTTAGCCTCGTCAAGCAAGATCGGGCTACAACTTTGAAAGACCTGAAGGAGAAAGTAAGAAAATAGACTTGAAGCTGTCTGTGATTTGATGCTTACCGAAGACTAGGTCCGCAACGACGACATTTCAAACGTTTTGATATTGAACAAGAAGTCTATCACTGGCCAAGAGAGTCAGCTCTTCGAGACTGAGCTTGAAAAGTTCCGGCCACATCAGACCCGCCTCTTGCAGGCAAACCACAAACAGTCCTCTTTAATGAAGGAACTCACGAAGACATACGCAGCCTTGCTCCAGGACAAGCGAGTTCAATCCGAGCAGTCCAAATATGAATCCATTTCTAAGCAGAGGAACTCCGTGATGGCTCGGTACAAGAAGGTGTACGAGGCATTCAATGGCCTATCATCGGGTATTGTACAAGCTCGAACATTTTACAAGGAGATGGGCGAAAATGTGGAGAGCCTGCGGAAGAACGTCGAGACCTTCATCGGCAATCGCCGGTCCGAGGGCGCTCAGCTTTTGAGCCAGATCGAGCGTGACAAGGCTAGCGGTGTCTCTGAGCAGGAGGACCGCGAGCGAGAGAAGCTCCGACTGCTGATGGAGCGTTTGTCAACTGAGCAGACGCCAGCCTCGATCTCACCATCCACTGGCTCTGCTGTGGCTCCTCCCTCCAAGGTCAAGTCGCCACCACCTCCCGTTCAAACCCCATCTTACTCTATGACGGGTCCATCGCCAAAGATGTCGCCTCGTTACCCCCCGAGCATGCCAGGTGCACCGCAACAGGGTGTACCCCTCTCGCACTCCCCGGCACCCTACGGACAATACGTGGGCGGCAACCAGGGATATGCACCCGGCCAGTCCTTCCAGCAAGGCGCTGCTGCCCCGCTCTCCGAGTACAACCCCATGGCATACCCATACCAGACTCCCGTTTCCCCACCCCCGAATCAGCAGTTCTTCTCTCAGACGCCTACTCCGTACAGCGGTTATTCTAGTGCTAGCCCAGCACCCACTGCTGCTGCTGCCCCGAATTATATGGCTCCTCAGGGCTACATTCCCCCTCCACCCCCTCCACTCCCGCAGCCAACCAACTACCCACCTTCGACCGGTGGTGTGTACCCCTCTGGGCCTGGTGGATATGCGCAGAGCAGACCTTACGGATACCACAAGGCACCTTCTCAACCTCAGCCACCGCAGCCGCCAGCCGCGAATGATCCTTGGGCAGGTCTGAATGCATGGAAATAACCAGATATCGCATTTGGAGAAGACTCGGGGCAATCCATTATGGAAACGGCGGCTGGGAAAATTGGTGGTACGGGCATGTTTCTCGGCGTTTGTCTTTCGCTTGTTATGGTGCAAGTTCGATATCACGTTTGTCTCCCTGTTATTGCGTCCTGGGTTTTATTTTTCTTGTGGTTATAGCTCAATCAGGTTCCGCCATCCACCGTTTGGAGCTTGACTAACGTCAGATCGGTTGTCTACATTTTGCTCCTTTTTTCTCCATATAGAGAAAATATTCCGTTGTGCCCATGACGAATGCAAATTAAAAATAGCAAACGTACTTGAAAGTGAAATCGCAACCGCCCCATCAGACAAGTCATGACCCTTATTTAGCGAGCAGTCTACTATTTTTTACCACTGCCCTAGCACCCACCTCAACTACCTGAGTAATCTTGAAAGCTGTGAGTCATCCAAAGGCAGGGATTTCGGCCTTCCTGCACTTACAATGGACCTTCCAACAAAACAAAAACCATTTCGTGCAGAGACAAAGACCATACAATGCGGAAGGCAGTTATTCTTGTTGAAAAAGAACCTCTATCTATGCATTTTGGGGCTTTCATACGAAAACAAAGAGCTTCAACAAAGATAATGACAAAGGAGAAAGGGAGGACCTCTTGCCGCTCAATCGACCCTGAAGCCCTTTGAAGGCATCCCGGCCTGTCGGCTGGCTCTAGCATAAAAGCCTCAGGTTGTCCCTGACATTTGACCTGATCACCAAGCTCCGTGGCTATACCCTCTCAGACCCTTCATCACCCGATACTATTTGTCTTCCACAAAAACAAGACACATCTAGGATAGTCCAGGTTAGTTTCATCATGACTTACACCATTTCGATCACTACCGTTTATGCGGCCCCAGTTGAGGTATTCTGGGCATTTCAAGCCTATGTCCTCGTGGGATTGCAAGTTGTTTCCACCGCTTTGCTTCACAGGGAGTGGAGTGGCAAGCTTTCCCGAACCACGGTCATCAGATATGTGACCAAGCTATTAGAAGAGATCTCACGCTTGGAGGCTATTTCGGAGGAGATTCCGATATCCCAAGTTCGCTATTCACTCGCGGGTCTCAAGATGCTACTCTCGAGTGTGAGGCGTGAGACTCTCTTGGCACTCACACGTCTTAATGAGATGAGAGACCCAGTCATACCTGAACAGTATTGCTCTGACCAATTGGATCTCGCGCGTAGGGAGCTTGAGGTCATCCAACTAGTCGAGCGAGAGGATGGTAGTGCAAAGGTTGGACCTGGGAAATGGATGGGTTATCAACGGCGAAGGTGGCATGACAATCTTCCTCTTGACTGTCATCCTCTTCCAGATGTCCTCTCTAACCTTGAGGATCGGAACTAGGGCGCAATGGCCGTGTGACTAGCATCGCAAAGGGAGAAATACCCGTTTTTGGGGAGGCGGAGGCGGTGGTTTTGTTGTTGGGAGGGGAAAATGCTAAAACGCCTAAGTACACGGTCTCGTGCAGTCAATTCGGCCATATTCTGAACCATTTTCACACGATTGACACGTCAAAGTGAGAACCAAAGGGATCCTGTTATTGTTGTCTCCTTTCTGGCGGTGGTCTTGGTGGGTCTGGCGCCTTTGTACGGAAGGCGGTGCGGAAAGACCCTCAGTCATTGTTTTCTACTGTAGGATAGAACTTAGTTATGTGTGGTAACGTCCTTTTACGGAAGTGATCAGAACAGTAGTGGCAACGTCAATCAAAGCCCGAGAGAAAATGCACAAATTCAAGTGGATAGGCGAATAGCCCCCATTCCTTGGCACCTTCGCACAGACGGGAAGCAAGCTTCAGCCCCCAAGCCCCGTCCCCGTGGGATCCCGCAGATCCATCCAGACTTGTTTGACCCCCGTAACTAGCATAGCCTCACTCCTAGCGAGCCCTCAGCTGCCCGGAAGAAGTCTGAGTTTCCCTCATAGACTGTGAGGTTGACAGCAATCATCACGACCGCGGGTCAGGCAGAGCAAGGCAGTAAGTAGGGAGTACAGAGTAAATAAACCCTAACTCGCAGTATACTTTGCGGTAAGATCTTCCTGGCTAATGTATCTGAAAGTCCCTGAGACTCTACAGAAACGACACATTCGAATCGACTGGCAAGATGCATGACGACCCTTCTTCGACAACTCAACTCCAAGATGTTCGTTGCAGAGAAAAGTTGACTGAGACTCCGGCTACGATCTCGGCTCCCTCCACGTTTGGTCCCGAGCCTCATTCAGAAGAGGATAGCCTATCCACCCAGCAATGCACCGAAAGCAACCACGAGCCCAAACCGCCGAAACCATCGGTGCCCCTACGACGAACTGTATATCCTGTGTTCCTTGTTCTACTGTACAGCGGGGCAGCACTTTACGCTTGGGTTATCATCTGCATCCTCACTCATCGCCCCATTGGTGGAATAGGCTACGGACTGGACCAACTCAACAGCACTCTCGCACACCCACATTTAGGAATCAGTGTACCAAAATACCTCAACGACTTCTTCGACAAGAGCGAGAGGTATCTTAGGGCTGCGAGAGTGGTACAGTCTCTGGTATCCGTGGTGACTATCCCTTTAACCTCGGCCGTGTGCTCGCAGGCAGCGGTAGTTTATACCCAGCGGAAGCGATGGAGAAATGGCCCGACCCTCCGGCAAAGCATGGCCCTGGCAGACAAAGGATGGACCGACATTGACCTCATCAGAAGACTCATTCTCGGGGGTTGGAAGAAGTACAGCTCCACGCTACTACTTTTGGGCTTGTTCTTACATCTTCTAGGTGGGCTCATCATCTAACTTTGCTGCTCTAAGTCTACCTGCTTACCAATTCGCTTTCTTCCAGGCTTTGCTATATCTCCAGTGCAACAGCTCTTTCTCTCATATAAGACAATCAAGCGTGTCCAGTCAATCTCCACTGAACTCGGCATAATCAACGACATCTCTGATCTTTTCCCCTCCGGTGGCGATAGTGACGGCGATTATGGATTGAGTACAGTGAAGCTGAGGTCCAATTTGGCATCGGCCGTCAATGATCAGGTTCAGACGAGACTCTGGTCGCGAAATAATGACACCATTTCATTAGAAGATCGTGTCGAGAATACCGAGGCTTATTCGCAGTTAGAGACAAAAAGTCAGAACACATTCGCCAATTTAAGCATTATTACAGACCCTTTTTGGGCTGAGCTCCCCCCAGTACGACGACTGGCTTGCTGCAACAGTTCGCTCCTCGGATCAATTCGACAGCCAAATGGGAGAACAACTCAGATGCCATGCTTCCCGCGGACTGCCACCCATCGTCTGATGCCCTCTACCTCCACTATATGTACCAACATGACGATGGACTTGGATATGACATTCAAATCTGTATGCCCGGAAACGTATCGAAGTCGCCGTGGAAGAACCAGAAAAATCGACAAAACATTAGCGAAGAGTTGTACCTCAGGATGAACTTTTCAAACAGCGAATCTTCTTGGTTCTCTCCATTAGGGGTCAAATCCGGATTATATTCAAGAAAGCTGACACTTCAAACCACGATGGGCTACTTTGAGCTTCCTAACTACGCGAATGACGGATTCCCCGGGCCATTGATCGAAGGAGACCCGTTCGCCAATGCGACGCCAAATTTGTATAAGAGAAATCTGGACAACGAAACGGCATGGAATATACTCAACGCTACCGAAAAGGTCAGCAATTATAGCACCAAAGGCCCGCTACTTCGCATTGCCTTGGCTTTGTTTGGAGAAGGCTCATTTGTCGATGTACAACATACAACCTTGGCAGCATACGCCCGCTCCGACGTCCCTTATTCTGGTTGCATTGGGTTAATCCCCTTCATTTCACTCCTTCACTCGTCCGACGTTGTCAAAGCTCCGGCCCTGTTTGACCCCTGTTTAGAAGGAGGGGCCGTCAAAGGGGGTACTGATGCATATGATCTCGAAACAAAAAACATCTCGATGCACTCAATAGTTGCAACATACTTCTTCCTTTTCTCTGGGGACTCTTGGGCGCCACCAGCGAACGTGGTGGAGAATGCATTTGCGGCATCAGCATTTCTGGCCAACGATGCAATGATGGCGGATGCTTATCGCTTTCCGAGTCTCTCAGTATCATACTCTTTGGGTGTCGATATGCAAATCCCGGCAATTTCCCGGGAAGGGATCATTCTCGTCTCGGTATTACTAGGTCTCGACTTGTTATGTCTCCTGGCGATGGCGATCTACAGTGCATGGATTCCTCGCTGGACCATGGCTCTTGACTCCTTTGCGATGCTGCGAATAGGGGCTTCTATATCAGAAAAGGTCCCTTTGCTCGCCACAAATCATGCTGAGCGCATCAAGACCCTTGACGAAACTCCCGGTTGGATAGGGAACGAAGCCGAAGGCAAGATAGGCCAACTATGCTTAGGAGGGCGGCGGCCACTCAAGAAGACGCAGTGTTATGCCAGCTATGACACGGACCAGATGGCTCAATCATCGGCGACCAGGGAGTCTTCGAGAGCTATCAGGCGAGAGGGCTACTCTTTAGCTGCGGGGGAAAATTCATAGCGTTCAAGCCATTGAGCGGGGGTATGGAACCTTGTTGGACAACATCATCTCAACTCTAATCCATTGCCCTTCCTTGGGTACAGCCAGTTAACACGATTCATGAGAGGCTTGTTGACAAGTTGCCTGTTCAAACCTTGCCTTATTTGCTTTGTTTACATGGAACCTTATATAAGTTCTAGGCTTCTATTTTGGGCGCTTGTATATAAATGACCCTGGGACTTTACATTCGGTACAAAACCTATAATCTTATAGTAATGTGATTTGGGTGAAAGAACATCTCTGTGTTTCCAACATGGAAGGCGATAGCGGTCTCCACTATATAGCTTGAATCATGGTAGACATAGTTTGAAAAAAGGGACGCAAGGAAATGTTGATCACTTCAAGTACATCACACGCGTTGAAAGAAAATTTCAACATCAAAAGGATATGATATAGGATCGTTGTTAAAAGTCACTTTGCCATTCCTTGATCATATACCTGAAGCCTGGAACTCTTCATTTTGATCATCTCTCCTGCTTTCTTGTATGACAGGGGCGCTCCACCCTCATATTTGACCTCAAAAGCCTATCACTTTGCTAAAAATGAGTCCAGCAGTCTCATAGAAATACCGACGAAGGTAACAAAGGTGAGGCTGAGATCCGCAAACTTCAGCACAACGCTAATCACGCTAATTGACGGTACATTCACTGCCGATGTAGCCACTGGACGCCGGTTTAAACTCCCTTTTTTACCAAAATCTTAGTCATCTTGATGTCCCATGTGTTTACATAAACTATCTATCACTGAGCAGTGCTCGGTGCTCAGTGAGCAGTTAGGGCTGCTAGTGATTAGCTTACCCTTGCTCGGTATACTTAGGGCAAAGGATCAGTGATAGCATGTGTGCTTAGTATTCCCTGCTCCGTCTGTAGCTAGACAGAATAATGAATTATCTGTCTTGCAGAGCTAACGAAACCGGTTCCAAGTATTTAAATGGTCTCCCTAATTCCCCGTTAACTGGTCGCCTTACCTAGTCCTCACCAGCAATAATCTTTTTGAAACTCTGTTACTCGAGTAGTTACACAGCTCCTTTATGTGTCTAGCACCTTGTCTAATGTGCCCATATCCGCCAGTCTCCGGACTGCTATTTACTTGCCCACTCCATTCTGTTTCTAGGGCCTGGTGGAATTTGGAGTTGCAGGCGTTTGTTGGAATTCTGAATTGTGCAAGGAGTAGCCGTCACAAGATCTTATCGATTTCACAGGTCTGTATCTGATGTAGCTTCGTTCCACCATTGTTCACATACATGTTATCCACGAGATCTGGGTGCTAAGTGTTAATGTTACTTATTCTCCACAACTAAGAAGATGCTGGGAGGTTCTGTAGGACCCATTTCACTCCGTCGACAACAATGTTCGGCTGGTCATCTGGACAAAGTGTCCACTCTCAGTGGCGAAGACAAGCTCGTTCTTCGTAGAGAGTTTCAAGAATTCTTTCATGAGACCCTCATACTTCGCATCGACCGTCTTGATCAACTCTCTCACATAGCTCCTCTGCTCCTCCGTCCCGTTCCCTTTAGCAACGCCCGCCTTGTACAATCCACTCCAATCCCGGCTTCGTCTGCCCCCAATAACATAAACCGGGTTGTCTCCAAGTAGTGGCTGCTTCTTGCTCAGCTCCTTCTTCCGCAGCGTCTCGAAACTTGGCATGTAGTTCTCGACATCCTCCTTAAGCGCAATCAGCTTAAACTTCTCGGTTGCTTCCGCCGCCCTGAACGCGTCCCACTCCGCCTGCGTCAACTTGTGCTCCGCCTCCACACCCCAGGCAGAGTATGGTTCAACACCCGCGGCAACAGTCCAGAGAATTGGATCGTTCACGTCCACCACCAGTGGCGCTGTCTCATGGTTGGCGTCCACAAGCACCAGGCCAGCGATTTGGTCAGTTCCCTTTAGGGCGATGTACTCATGCGTGAGCACGCCAGCCCAGGAGTGCCCCACAAGGATCAGAGGGTTCGGGATGCGCGCCTTTTCGATCAAAAGGGAGAGCTCCAGAGCAACGTTCTCGGCCGAGGGAGCGAGCGGCGAGCACTCCGAGTTGTGATAGCCGGAACGGTCGTAAGTGTAGCTTCGCAGCGAGGGACCCAGCAGCCGCACCACGGCTTGCCAGTTGAGGGCATCGCTTGCCACGCCCGAGACAAATAGTACGACGGGATCTTTGGAGCTGCTGGGCTCTGAGCCGTGAGTGTAGAGAGCCAGAGAGTGAGTGCCGATGTTGACGAGGCGGCCGTTGGAAGGGAGGGTAGAGGAGGCCATTGTAGGAGATGGTTTTATGAATCCTTAAGGTCTGTATACTTCTGATGAGTGGTTTGTAATATTCAAGGTCGTTCACCAGCCAAACCAGCTGCAAGATATCGCGGTATGAAGTGGCAGAGTGACGGAGGGGTAGAGACTGTCTGAGAGGGAAGAGCCCGAGAGCCAGTGGGCGCTTTATATGGCTAGATCTTTAGTGTCGCCATCTAGTCCCCAGACCCCTTGTACGGCTCTGGCAGCCTTGTGGGTCGTACCTAGACTATTGTCTGGGCCGGGGCTCGACATAACGTGGTTCCGCATTCGTGATTTCGTGGCGATGTCTGCCATGGTATCAATCAAGCAACAGTCTTATTCCTAATAGAGCTTCCTTAGATACAGCTGCTATGCGGCGATTTGCGCCTTCCGGTGACCAGCCCAGTGCGCATGCGAAGCTGCCCGCAGCGAGATAGATGGCTTACTGCTGATCAGACCGACGACAGTAGTGCAAACGCGACAAACAAAACAAATCAGACAAGCAAAACAAATCAAACAAGCAAGACAAATCAGACAAACAAAACAAATCAGACAGAGGAAATGGCACAACAGAGTCCCCGCGACCCTGCCGTGGTATCATTTTACTTTTAAGCGAACAATTGTTGTTAGTTAATTTAAATATCGCGTTACATAACACGGACCTTGACTTGTCGAAGGAATTAGCCTAGGATACCTGTATCTATATCATGACCATTTGGACGTGGATGACGATGCAGCGCATGCTCTATCTGGAATGGTGTACGGAGTATACGAAGGCGGGATGAACGGGCCGCCAGGCCAGCTATAGCTGCTTACCCTTCCTCCAGTTGTAGATAGGCACGCCAGGGGTCGCTGATCATCCACAATACCTCCCCTTCACCCACAATTACGTTGCTGATCGTGTCTAATATACATGTCCATCAGGGACAGATGTTGAATGACTTTCGGGGGTTCCAGTGACATACATGTGCTCCGTTCATCCCTTGTACCTTTGTGTAATGCACCAATTCACTACAGGTATCCAGTGTCTCATATATATACGTGGATATTTGACAGCTAGTAGTTCGTAACCGAAGACCCGGAGCTGAATAACACGTGCGATGTATATTGAAATACTGCAGATAATAAACTGCATACTTATCAGGTCAAAATGGCATTGAGTTGACTAAGTTAGAACTATGACTGCAGTACCAAAGCCCCGTACGCTTTCTAGCTTGCCTCATTGAAATAAATGACAACAGGACTTACACAAAGGACCCGAGCAACGGTGATCTGGGGAACCGAGAACGAGGCTACTTATATGACTCCACCCACCGCAGTAAAAGCATCCCCAATGATAATACTTCTGCGACGACCAAGATGCATTCCAATCAGCATTACAACGCAGACCTGAATGCCGCCGCCAGTGTGCACGACGCGCAAGGACATCGCTTACGTTCCCGTTAGGTCCAGCCATGTCAGAGATGGATCCTGGACACCAACCATATCAATCTTGACCCCAATAGCATCTTGACAGGGCTTCGTCTCCTGCACACCGAGAGCACCAGCTTGATAGCCTTTGATCAAGAATAAGAATACCTACCACAGCCTGAGCAATTGGTTTGTTGGGTCTGTTAATGAGACAGGTATACCACAGACAACTGAACCGGGCAAGTCTGCGCAATGCCTTACCTGAATATACTCATCAAACATAGAGAACCGGGCCAATTGGCATAATATCATACGATGGGAGTGTCTTATGTACATCCCTAGAAGATCACGATCACGCAGCCCAGCTTTAAAGAGCCCCTCCTACACAACCAAGGGCGGGGATTATATTCCTCAGACTGCTTGTGCTTGTACTCCACTGAACCCAGATCACAGTAGCCAAGGAAGCCACCGTACATGGGAGTTCAAATTGTGGCTATTCAGATTGGTAGGTCTTTACGACGGGTTATTTTGGTGGCCGGGCCTGATCTGGGGTATTTGTGGTATGGAAGGGCAACAAAACCTCATATGAAAGGAGCAAGTGCTATCATGACAGCTCTAGCGAATATTATGTAGGGGTGATTGAGAAGGGCTTTGCCCAAGTTGAGTTCTATTGTGACATGGGTATGAGCATATGTGTGTGGGGCTCTGATATTGAATGAGGACTTCGGCAAGTGCCTCCTGGGGTGGATCAGAGGCGTGCAATGACGAGATTGAGAGTCTTACATTCTAATATCAATGGGGAGTTATTGCTAGCTATTTAGACAGCTTGTCACATGTTTGATCCTGTATCTCATTTTCAAGTCGAAAAGATATAAGCGTCCGGCCTAGTGGCTAGCCTAGAATCGTCTGACCTCGTTCTAGATAGTTCAGATACTTTGTGTGGAGCGGACAAACTCATCATCACCTATCAGATACATGGACATGGACATGCGGGCGATGTACTTAGTGTCCAGCATACTTGAGTATCATGGGTAGGTTATCCGCAATGGTACCCGGAAAGATACTGTTCACAAGCTATTGCAACGGGAACAATAGCAGGAGAAGGAGAAGAGGATGTATTCGATCGACAAGCTGCCAAACGTGCGTTGTTTCAATAAGATGCCCCTCGGGATCATGTTACCACAACACTAGCTATACATCCGCCAAGGCAACTAAAAACAAACAATCTGTACACAAAACGCCAGCGCAGCACTCAACCTTTGAAAAAAAAAAAAAAAAAGGCGCCGAACCCAGAACGCCAATGGGTATCATAATAACACGTTAAAAAACGCAGAACCCGCGACAATGCCATCCGCGAACACGACTCAGATAGGGTGCCGACAGAAGGCCGCAAAAGAGAACCCGAACTCGAAGAGCTCCAGCTCCAGCTCGATCGTGCTTATGGCTGGAACCTGAGCCGGAACTGGCGCCCCCTCCGCTCCTCGCGGACGGTATACAAGAAGCGCGCGATGGTCTCCTGCTCCGACAGCCCTGCGCTGTTGAAGTGCTTGCGGACCACGAGCGCGAACTGGTCCTTGCTCACGCGGTCCTGGCCGAGGATGTGGTGCAGCGCGGAGGGCTCGGCGTCCTGCGGGGTGGTGCCGTTGCGGTCGTCGCGGGTAGACGAGCGCGTGGACTGGGCGCGGCGAGCGGCGAGGGCGGTTGGGGAGCGCAAGCCGACGCCTTGCGAGAGGACGAGACGGGAGTAGTCGGCGGAGAAGGCGGATGGGGTGGACAGTTTGTGGACATGTCGGTAGGCGTGGAGGATGTCGAGGGGGAGGTCAGCCCAGGGGACCTGTAGCGGAGACGAGTGATGTGTTAGTGAGGCTGACTCTGGAGGCATTGGGGGGGGGGGGTTTTGTCTGACGTCTGCGTCGTTTCTCCCGCTTCTGGGGGATTGTTCCCCCCCCAAAGCTTTGTTGAGGGCGATACGTACCCTCGGCTGCTCGTCGATGTATTGTTCCGTTGGTAGCGGTACACTGGTTACGGAGGCCTTATCTTTGGCTACGGCGGTCTTCCGGCTCTTTGGGGCGCTGGTCTTAAACTCTCGCGTGCCGCTGGAGGCTTCCGACCTCGAGTCGTCGACGATTGCGGTGGTGCGCTGGCGCGGGGGTGCCATGGTGTGAAGGGCCCGCTGGGGAGCGTTGAAAAGACTCTGGAGGGTTCAATGGATGTTGGAGAAGGACTGGGCAAGAACAATGCCGTGCTCGATGCCTGTGATGAGCTGCCAGGCTGGTCGCGGCGCACTGGGCTCCTGCAGATTCTCCGCTTTCCTGGGCGGAGGTACATGGCAGAATGGCCATTCCGCTTTCGGCGCGGCCGGACATTGCTCCGCGGTGGTAAGCGGTGAGGGGGAGGAGAAGGGGGATGGGTCTTAGGAAGAGATGGGTGATATGATATTGTGCGCGATACATGTGTATATCCAACAGAAAGAGATGTATAGAATTGAGTATGGCGACTCTGTCTCTGGTAGTTCTGGTAGAGTAAGGGGTACGGAATAGGGTCGTGGAGATGCTCCCCGACCTGCCCTCTACAGTCTCGAGTCCCGCCTGGTCGCGCAGAAAGGCCACACCGCTTGATGCGGAGAAGTCGGCTCAGAGGAGCAAAGGCGGACAGTGGGGGGGCAGTCGGACGACAACCGCCTCGGGATGGGGGAGAACCGGTCCCTTTCCATCCGGCGAGTCAGAGGCAGGGATCGGTCTAAGGTTGCACGATTGTGAGAACCGGCGTTGCAGTCAGGGCAGGTAGGCCGAAAGCGCCCACCAGACAAGCGCCATTGACCAACCCCACTAACTGATAGAGCGGTGTTCATTCTTCCCCGGAGGCAAAAACTCGCGGGTGGCGAGCCTCGGTAGAATCTCGGGGGAGGGGGCGTCCCAGAGCGGGTGAGCGAGTCAGCCACAGAGCCAATTGTGTGGGCAGCCATACAGGGCCGGGCTCAGGAGCACGCAAGCCAGGCCGAGTCGGCACGGACATGCCGAGTGTGTGGCCGAGTGCAGTCGGGCCCGCGGATCGGAATGTCTCCAGCTGGGGCGGCAGAAAGAAAAACTCTGAGCGGAAGAACCCCGTGGGCGTTAGGTAAACCCGCTGGCTTCACCGGCGCCCCCTTTTATGGCTTCACGACTACTCTGTATAGTCCTTGCTCCGACTGGCGCCACCCTCCCCCCCCCCCCCCCCCCCCCAAAAAAACCTCCATTGAAAAATTTTCTTGCTTTGGACCCAACTCCCGTCTCGCGAGATCTGCAAGAGCCGAGTCGTGGTCTGCTTCCCGAGTCACTCTGGACTTGTCCTAGACACTAGACAGCCGCCTCCACCATCGTGGAGTCTCTCCGAAAGCCACACGCTGCCCCGCAACTCGGCCATACGAGGGCGCCCTCCTGTCCTCCTCCCTTCCGACATTTCCCGACCAGATCCGTCCTTTCCCAGACCGGTCCCTTCCTAGCCCTATAGGCTGATGGACACCGAGAGGTACCTGTGTACCTGCAGCAGCCCAAGGTCTAGCTGGTCCTAGTTGGTCTAGCTGGATTCCCTTGATCGGCATGCCGTTATCCCGGGCCGGGCAATGAGTCCTCCTATTCGGAGAGTACGGAGTACTTCCTAGCCTCGTAAATCCGATGCGAGCGCGATGTTATGTCCAGGTCAAGCCGTCCGTCAAACCTGCTCGAAGTATGTGCTCCATCTATGGAGTAGCCCGGAGTCAGTAGTCGGTTTTCCCCCCGAGCTATTGAGCGGCTCGCGTCAGGTGACCGAGCCGGGAGTGACAGCAGCGATCATGCACATCATGCATAACGTGACCCAGAGGCTCGAGAAATGGCATCATCCACCAGTGCCCGGGACCGAACCCTCGGCCACATTCGGGTCGCTCCGGTCGGGTCAGGGTGCAGCACGAGCAGCACGAGCAGCACGAGCAGCACGAGCACGAGCAGCAAAGACCATGAAGCCAGAGAAGCCACGAAAGTTCGCGCGATAAGCACACTACCACATGGGCCCTACCAAGCACATGTGAAAAATCCTAACCAGAAGCTATGCTGCTAGCTCGTGCAAACTCCGGGGTTGGGCCCGGGCACGCACTGCGAGAACTGCCCCGGAAGCTCGCGCAACACGTGAAAGCGAGAGTGCCCATGGATTACCTCTGTGGTTTTCGTGACATTTGGCAGGGTTCGTCTAGATTGCCTGAATCCTCTGAATCCCGGGCCTCCAGTTTTGGACGAGATATGGGACTCGAGCCCGGTTCTGGCCCTTATCAGCCTTTTGGCCCCGGGCAAGAGCGGTGGTGGCGGGCCCTGGTAGATAAGCGGATGCTGGATATCGCGATCCTATCCCCTCCTTTCCTGGACCATCCGAGGCGGGGGAAGCATCCTTTTTTTTTTTTTTTTTTTTTTTTTCCCTCCGCGCTGAGGCCAGGCGGCAGGCTTTGGGGTGGGTAAGACTAGCACAGGGGGCGCAAGGTGGACATGGTCGCTAGCCTCGAGTACGGGGTAAGCCCAATAGGACTCCGTAATCATAACGAAGAGAGAGAAAAAAATTCAGTCCAAAGTAACAATAATTCACTCACGGGCACAGAGAGTGGGGCAGCGATGGGGAAAGGGGGGCGGAGAGAGAGGAGGACTTCGGCCCTCACCGAGAATTGGATACAAAAGAATTGTACTACTCCGTACGGATGCAGACTTTCGCACCAACGGCGGGCCTCGAGTGTCCACTCCTCCGCGCCTCCGCTCCTCTGCCGGATGGAGAAGGTTGTACCCCCTTTCCCGTTCACCCTGGAGTGACCCTTGACCCTTTCCTGCCCCCCATCTTGATCCTTCGCGTGGACGGACTGGGAACGTACCAATCGTTATTGGGCTCGATCTGATCGAGCGGACTCCGGCACAACGGCCCCGCATCCTGGGGCGGTGATATCAGCATGATGCGCCTAGCGGCGTCCATTGGACCAGGGGTGTCTGTTCCAGAAGCTGTGGATCGCGGATCGCTCGCCTTGGCGTGGAGGGGCTGCGTGTGCATAATCAGAGGGGTGGTGGCTCTATCCGGTGGTATCCGTATCTCTGACCCATACCCGTAAGTTACCCTATTGCTTATCTCTTCAGGTCACGCCCGGGGATGCACGGGGCCGCGTAGCCTACCCCACGCTGAACAGCGCAATCGCACCCGACCACCGCTCCCTCTTTCCCCCGTGGGCATACTGAAACAGATAACGCTCCACTGTAAGCCACGAAGTATTGGTCCTACTACTGGACAAGTCACCTCGTGGAGGTAGGCTGGAATCTCTTCCCCCGTCACCACGAACCCAAACCTACCCCGGATTTTGGACTGTCCCCGCATTGAGAAAACCTGCCAAGCCCGACCAAATGTCACCCTGGTCGCAGAGGCATTGCGACCATAGAATCAAACGCCAGGCAAAAGCTGGTTGATCGATGCCACCCGAGCTCGGCTGCTAGGAATGCAGAAGGGAATGAACGTGGTATCGTCACGGCCGTATCTGACCTATCTGACCCATCCACGGAGGCCCCGGCCCTCGAAGCGATGAAGTAGGGCTGAGGTCAAGGTCGAACGTGGCAGAACGTCGGACCCTCCACCGCTACCGGAAAGGCTCGAGTGTCGTGTGTCCGTGGCGTGCTGCAGTTTCAGCGGCAGCAGGGGCCAGGGCGATTTGGGAAAATGGGAGAAACGGAGATGAACCTGGTCCATGTCAACCCGGCTGAGGCGAGCACGTCATGACTCCCGCAAGGGGTGGCCGCGGCCCCCCCCCCCCCAATCCGGGGAGGGCTGAGACAGGTGCTGGACAGAGGACAGGTTGCATAGACGTGCGTGCAGTGGGTGCGATGCTATTCGATGGCATTCGATGGCATTCGATGGCATTCGTGATGGCCGCAGCTGGGCTGAGCTGGAGCTGGGAGGTGCTGGGAAGGGACGGGAGACCGCCTGTCGTTCGCCCAGTAGGAGGGAATTGGAGGGATCGGACCGTGGACGGGAGCATTTGGATAACGTAGGTGAATGCCTAGTTAGGGTGGTGCTTGACTAAAAATATCCCTTCTCTCGCCCTTGGGCCCTTTGTGAAGGGGTACAACGGTACCACAGGGAAGTCAACCGCAGTCCGAAAGGAGGCATGTGCGATCGTCCTTTCGGGCTTTGTTTTGTTTCGCTACGGACTTTTGACGGGTGCCACGTCCAGGGCCAGCTGATAACACTGGATGGATTACTGGAATATCCGCCGTACCCGGAGGAAACGGTCAACACAAAGCGCAACTCAAACTCAAGCCCTTCCCCAGCATGGCGACTGCGGGGGAAGTCAATCTCTGATGATGCGCCATGCGCCATATCTGACGCCCGGCTTGCCCCGTGCATCAGCGATATCGGAGGACTGGTCGATCGCCGCACGATTCCAGCCTCGACACGCCTCAAATGACCTCCGGCTCGGCGATCGTAGCATGTGTCGCGCCCTGCTTATCTTTGATGTCAGGTTTCCCCTGTGCCAAGGGTATCGCATCTAGTACGTCTAGAGGTGAAGCGGTCCACTAGCGATCGGGCCGATCATCCTACAAAGGTGAAGTGATTCACGCCAGGGAGATTGCGGGGTAGACCGTCGCGTCCGCCAGAGTCCAGTTGTGAAGATCATCGGGTACCTCCAAACTTTGACGATCATCCCCGACCAGAACCAGATAGGCGGAGAACCGGGGACATCCAAACCTTGGCAACAGGACCGGAGTACGGAGATAGCAACTCAGACGGAATCGATGCTTTCGGCGAGTCCTGCCTGCGTAGCCTATTCCCCCACAGTCGAGCTATAGCCGGTGGATAAGGATGTCGATCTCCACCGTGAAGCAGAGAAAACTCTGCACGATCGGAGAGGGCAAGTGGGACGAGGTAGAAGGTTCATATTTACCTGTGGTATTTGGTAATCTTAAGTGACAGAGGCGAGATTCCGAGGAAAGCGCCGCTTGCGCCGAGCAGGTATATGGTGTTGCTTGTGGAGCAGTAGACGTGTTCCAGGAGGGAGTCCTCGTCAGCTAGCTGAAACACCAAAAAAGACAGGTCGGAAACACGAAAGCGAAGCAGTTTCATGAAGTCCCAGTCAGACCGGCTACGAACCAGCTCGGCAAAATGGGCAAGGGCAAGGGCAAAATGGGCCAAAGCCGGGTAATTGCCGGGTAGGAGAGGCTGGAGGGAACAGTACCTGCTTTGGCTGGCCAAACCGCCCCCCTGCAGGGCCCGAATCCGGAGCTTCTCCAAGGCGATTGCGCCATTCCCCGTGGAGAAAACTGACGAGGCACTGTGGCAGTGCCTCCCCCAAACCCCCCCCCCTGTTTTCCCCGGAGTTGCCTGATTGGACCGACTGCGGACAAAAGGACAGCAGCAGCTCACGACTCTGTGGCCTCGAGATGGGCCCTGATCACTAACGAACTAGAAATTAATTAACTACGGGGTCGTTCCCCTGGTACCACGGAGACCCGAGGCCGAGGCGATGGCGGTGATCCGGGGTTCCCGGGAATACCCAATTATCTTCCGCCACGGAGAAACCTCCATGGGAGCGCGGCCGAAAATGGAGGGAACGGGGGACTCAGGAGCTGAAGACCGCCACTATCGTGGTTGCCGGCCTATTGTATACTTCCCATGGATGAAAATGCATACTCTATGTGGTACCTTCTGGCCACCAGGCCCAGAGGCTGCTTAAGATCGGCGACTAACAGGCTCCAAACATCCCTGCTGCACGGTTTATGCAGGCCCATCGCCCTGGATCTCGGCCCCAAGGGGTTGTGAAGGAGCCAGGCCGGGGGGGCGCAAATAGTACGGACTAGTTACGTAGGTGGAGGTGGAGGAGGATGGGACTGCTACAGCATTAACCGATCGTCTTCTTTCCTTTTGCTGGTCTCTCCCGATCCAACCAGATGGGCAAACTTCGGCACATGGGGGTCATATCGCATCCCTGCTAGAGGGCGGCTGTGTGGAAGGGTCTTGCCGAGAGGGCCTATCTTCGTGACCCCCCGTGGTGCGTGGGCTATGGGGTTAACTGTGATGAGCTATGGTTATCATCAGGTCTCGGGCAAACTAAACCCTTGGCCCCTGTCTCCACCATGTCCCGGGTTTATCGCTACACAATGAAGGGTTGTTGGTCCAGGATGTACCAGCACCTCCGCTAGAGCCTATTGTCCCGACCGGGGGATATCCCGGCCATACTCCAGACGACTCCAGACGACTCCAGATTACTCCAGGCTTCACTCCAGACTCCGGAAAACCTGGCTGCCTTCTGTGGCGGTGGGGGACGAGGAGGAGGATCTGAACCAGTGCCACTCCAGGCGGATTTAAATTGGATGGCTGAGAACAAACCGGCTCTATGGCCGGGCTCCCCGTGGCCAAGATGCAACCTGGCTCATGGGCTGGATGCTGGCAAGGGAGAGAAACCGACGGAAGCGCCCAGAGCTGAGCGTAGGTACTCGCATTCGCATTTGGCCCGCGAGGTGCGGCTTTGCGGCTGCAGGGTGCATCGTCAATAATTGGACGATCCGCGCCTATCAGTTGAGCCTATCGCGAGTCTCCGTTCGTTCATTCCTTGATCGGGGTCGGACGACTCCTCCGGCCTCGAGGTCCCAGGGCGCGGTGGTCACGGTCCTCCCATTCGTAGAATCTGGGGTATATCATCCTATCTCGCCTGGTTATCGGCGAACCGGATTTGCGTAACCACGCGATCAAAGGACGAAGGAACCGACTCCAAACCCCAATGCCACCCGGCTTGTTTTCGTGCGACCCCGTGCTGTATGACTGCTCGCCCATGACTAAATCATGCCCAAATCATGCATCATGTGTCGACATCATCGATGATCCGCCGCTTCGTCACCGGGGGCAGGTTAGGTTGGCCGGGGAAAAGCTCTGATCGAAAGACGGAGGATGGAGGTCATTGTCCGTGTTGAGGTTCTTCTGCCCCAGAATCCCGTCCGACTTGGTCTGGACTGTTCGCCGGTCTCCCTGCCGAAGCCTCTCTGCTTTCCCCCGCCATGGCGATCGCTGCCTTCGTCATTGCCACATCATGCCATCATCGTTTATCATCCATTCCTCCATTCCTCCATTCTTCCGGGGGAGAAGGGGAGGAAGCCTAATTCCTGCGCCCGTATCGTACTATCTCACGGGGGCCGTGATACAGTAGAGTCATCCAATGGCCGATCCCCTGCCCCCAAAGATAAGGGGGAACGCCCCAGCTTTCTCCAGTTGCGCGATAGCCGTAAGAACCGATGTATGGACCGTACGGGCCACGCACCGGCGGTCACGCCACACGGGGTTCTTCAGGAAAGTATGAGATAATCAAAGGACCTTGTGCGTCGCGTCGGAACTAGCCCTGGTCCCCACACTTGCGGTATGGAGTACGTAGCCCTGTCTTTTTTCTTTTTTTTTTTTTTTTTTTTTTACCCTGCTCGTTTCGTCCCTCTTCCCCGAAACGCCATCACTTCCGTACATCCAATCCCATCCCATGGCCATCCGACTCTGCCATGACACAAACGATATGGGGGGATGATCCGTGTCGCAGATACTGTAGTTCGTCGTAGAAGCCACACCCCATGAAGTTTCCATAATTGAATGATGTGATCATTTGATGATTTGATTAGATGATTCCGTGGTGAAGAGACACAAGAGCCAAGCCCCCAGGAATGGATGGTACGGCGATCGACCAGTGCACGTTGCCTACCTTTTTTTCTTTTTCTGTTTGGGGCTGCGAATTTTTCAGCGTGCTATTTCCCCATTCGGTTTTTTTTTCTTTTCCCTTTTTGCCCCGTCCCTTCTTTTCCCCCACACGCTGCTCAACCTTGTTGCGATCCGATAAGTCTCGTCCTTTTTTTTCTTTTCTTTTTTGATTTTTGATTTTTGGATTTTGGATTTTCTGAGTTTTCCCCCCACCCAAACCACCCAACCAAAGCGCCGATTCCGAGCCTGCCCTTTCTCCCCGATTTCTCCCTTCCTCATTTTTCCCCTCCATTCCTCATACTTCCTCCCCCGTCTTCTCCTTCCTCCCTCTTTTATTATCTCCTGCTCCCCAGATCGTCGTCTCCAGGTTCTTTCTTCTCTCTCCCCTCGCATCCCTACATCCCCATATTTCTACCCAACTGTTGTGCACTGCCGCTCCGAGCACTGCATCACCCTCCTGGACCACCCGAGGATTTATACCATCCTCCGATCCGCGCTTGCCATCATCTCCCCCCCTCGGGTGCTGATCGACCGGACAATTTTAGCTCGGGAACCCCTGCGGTGATAAATCATCCCTCCGCCTCGGCTCGTCCGTCTTTCTTTTCCCCCTCCCCCCCCCCCCCCCTAAATCCTTGGAGTTACTGGGCCCTGCCCTTCCCGGCTATATATCCGGTCTCGTCCCACCTTCCGCCCTCAGGAGATATTCACATGTCTCCCCCGGCCTCCGTGGGTTTCTCCAATCTCCTGAACCCTCAAGAAGCAGCGGATCCTGCCTCCTCTTCTTCTCCTCAATCCACTGCATCACCTTCCTCTGAACCCTCCATGGCGTCTTCTGTGAGCTTGCTGCCGCCCCTCATGAAGGGTGCGCGCCCCGCCAACGAGGAGGTCCGCCAGGATCTTCCCCGGCCCTACAAATGCCCTCTCTGCGACCGTGCTTTCCACCGACTGGAGCACCAGACCCGTCACATCCGGACGCATACCGGCGAGAAGCCCCACGCCTGCCAGTTCCCTGGCTGCACCAAGCGCTTCAGCCGCTCTGACGAGCTGACCCGTCACTCGCGCATTCACAACAATCCCAACTCGCGCCGAAGCAACAAGGCTCAGCACCTCGCGGCCGCCGCGGCCGCTGCGGCGGGCCAGGATGCCGCCATGGTCACCGCGGCCAACATGATGCCCCCGCCCAGCAAACCCATCTCTCGCTCGGCGCCCGTCTCCCAGGTCGGCTCCCCCGATGTCTCCCCCCCACACTCCTTCTCCAACTACGCCAACCACATGCGCTCCAACCTGGGTCCTTACTCGCGCACCACGGAGCGCGCTTCTTCGGGCATGGATATCAACCTCCTGGCCACCGCAGCCTCGCAGGTCGAGCGGGATGACCACATGGGCTTCCACGGATCGCGACACCACATGTACGGCTCGCGCCATCACACTGGGCGTGGCCTGCCCTCGCTCTCGGCCTATGCCATCTCACAGAACATGACTCGGTCGCATTCCAACGACGATGACGACGGCTACGGGCATCGGGTGAAGCGCTCGCGCCCCAACTCGCCCAACTCCACCGCTCCCTCGTCCCCGACCTTCTCGCACGATTCGCTTTCGCCCACTCCCGACCACACCCCCTTGGCTACTCCGGCGCACTCCCCCCGCCTGCGCCCCTTGGGAGCGAATGAGCTGCACCTGCCTTCCATCCGCCACCTGTCTCTCCAGCACACTCCTGCGCTGGCACCGATGGAGCCCCAACCCGAGGGTCCCAACTACTACAGCCCCGGCCAAGGCCACATGGGTCCCAGCATCACCGACATCATGTCAAAACCGGACGGTACGCAGCGTAAGCTGCCCGTGCCGCAGGTTCCCAAGGTTGCGGTGCAGGACATGCTCAACCCCGCCACTGGCTTCGCTTCGATGTCCTCGTCGACGAGCAATTCCGTCGCGGGCGGCGACCTGTCAGATCGCTTCTGATTTCTTGTTTCCGGGGCTCTGCCTTCCCCCATCCTTCTTATGTCTTCTGAATTTGTGTCATGCGCGCTACGAAACGATATAGACTTGTGCATTTTTCTGGGTTGCAGGCATCAACGGTGTCGGTTTGGATGGATCGGTTACTGTTTCCTTTCTCTTATCTACTTTCTGTTTTCCCTTCTCTGCTGGATCACGGCGTCTCTTACCAAATAGATTGGCGGGGCAATTCTGTTTCTGGTCTTTTTGCCCTTCTTTCGCGACCAAAACTCTTCTTTTTCTTTTCCTCTCGTGATTCTCCCCTCTGTGAGGCCTGTGGTCTCTTATCTTACACTTGGACCACGATGTTTCTTTATTTTATTCCAACTCCAACTCTCCTAATTGCTTGCCCGGCTTCGGCTGGGAGAACAAAAATTATCTCTCTTCCATATCGGATTCCGTGAACGTAGTATGCGACAAGAATTAAGGGATTGATTGGGTCGATGGCCCCCATCAGCAGCGGGCTGTGAAGTGCGATTCAAATAGATGCCACTTGGCCAGGACCAGCAACACTCCAAGTCCAAGTCTGACGCATTATCAGACCGAAACCATTCAATCCGACATCCAAGACAACCCGGAGAAGATCACTCTCTGCTCGAACACACATATTCACCAGCTACCACAATAACCATGCCAACAACATACTACTGCACACCCCAAACATTAGCCCCTCGCCCCCGCTCCCCCTCCCATCTTAGCGCCGAAAAAAAAAAAAAAAAGGCATCAACCACCAGTTCCGTGGCAAGATGCCCAGTGCACCCAATCCTCACGTCTTGCGTTTCTAGCTCTGCTCCACTACTCTTCATGCCCTCCCGCGATGATGGGTCTGCAAGCTTGAGCTGTTGTTCTTAAGCGTTCGGTTCTGTGCTGGCGGCAGGCAGGCTCCACTTGCTTGCGGTACGTCGTGCCCGCGGCCGCGCGCACTGGCCGGCCGCGCCGGTTTCTGGGATGTCGTGCATGCTGACGGGTTTGACTAGGTACATTCGTCTGTCAGCAACGTGCCCGGCTTCGGCTTGGGCCTGGTTTTGGGCTTGAGCTGTGGCAGCAAGGTCGTTGGTGAGTATCGCGATTTGATCGTGGCTGGTGAGGCGAGGTGCGAAGTATAGTCGCAGAGGCACACGGCTGGATTCGGGCGTATGTATACCGATCTCTGTTTTCTTTCCTGTCTGTCCTCTGCCCTCTGGCCCCCATCATGTTCTCGATGTCTCGTCCCGCGCAAAAGAGGTACCTACCGTCCCAGGCAACGCGGTATCTCCGAGCGGCCGGTGACGACAACCACACAGACGGTCCCAGGCCCTCCAATGCCCTGTCTGGTGTAGAAGCAGCCCGTGATATCCCCCGCGCATCGCGCCGTGCGGAGCATGTCGGAGCGTCCACCAGCAGCAGCCCCAGATTTCTCCCGCCTCCGTCCTGTCCTGTCCCTTCGACACAAGTACGTTCTCGATCAGCGTCGGTTCTAACCTCTCAAACTCAGATCCAGCTCCGCTTTCTGCACGGCAACTGTCTCCGCTCCGATGCCTGCTAGCACCCCCATCCGGCAAAAGCAAAGTGAGGTGATCGTCTGCGCCACCCCAATGCCCTCGTCCTCCTCGCCGACCCTACCGGGTCTGACGAGCGGATCGTCGTCGACGTCGATCTCCTCCGTGGAGACGAGGTCTGATGGCGGATCTGGTGGGTGGTTTGGTCCTGCACTTGTGCAAGGACTCGGGCCTGGACTTGAGCCTGGCTTTGCTGGGAGAGCTGAGCAGGGCCAGGTGCTGGAGGAGAACGAGATGGCGCCTGTTGTCACTGATATGATCGGCGACGGGACGCGCGCACGCTCGCAGGCGTCTTCATCGTCGTGGAGTACGGCCACGCCGTCGGTGAGTTCCGCAGGGTTGTCGCTGGCAGACCTGAGCATGAATCCCAACGCCGAGTCCGGGATCTATGTTTGTTTGTTCCACATGCTGGACTGTCACGACGCCTTCGACGACGCAGCGCAGTGGCGCACTCATGTCCTCAGTCATTTCCGAACGCACCCACCGCCACGGACGGCGCGGTGCCCTCTCTGCCCCGATACAGAGTTTATCGACAAACAAGAAGACGCCGGCGCTGCGTCACCTACACCGATTGAAACCGGGCTCAACTCCGCGCCCCACGCACCTTGCACCTCGCAAGATCAAGATCAAGATCCAGATCCAGATCAACCTTCAGCATGGGACCGCTTGCTCAACCACGTCGCCGGTGAACACTACCAGCACGGCCAGACACTGGCAGGCAGCAGACCGGACTTCGAGCTTATGCGCTACCTGTACGGGCTACGCCTCATCTCGGATGCCCAGTTCAAAGCCATGCAGCTTGCGCCCGCGCCGTCAAGCCCGGCATATCACCGCTCGCAGGATGGCGTCCGCGCTAGCATCGGGTCTGCGGATGAGCCGTACTGCGCGCCGTATAGTCGACGGCGGGAAGAGAGGATGCGGGGGCAGCAGAGAGGTGTCAGTGTGGTATGAGGTATGAACTTGCGAGGATCGGACAAAACAACTGTGGTACTCTTGTGGTGGATTTCCTTGAGCGTTTCCGTTTTCATTTCCGTTTCGTTGCCTTTCTTCTTTGACCTATCGTCCAGAATATTCCCCCTTGTTTCTTGTTTCTTGTATTTTGTTTTGTCCTTTTTTTCAATTTGTCGTCGCTTCTGTATAGCTGTATTTGTGCAGTGATGTGCGCCTCAACATTGGGTCTTGTTTAGATTGGTAATAGTCCAGATGCCGGGGTTAATTCGTCTGCTCTCGAATTGAATGATGTGGACGTGTCACGAGTATTGGCATGGATTTGAGCCTCTTCAGATGGAGCGGTCGTTTGTCCTCCCGCGAGATCTATGCAAGCCTAGACGGGTCACCTGATTTCGTTGGTCACATGATCCCTGTCGTTTTCGATAGATCTGATGCTTGTCCTGTGTTATTGAGGTGGGATTGATTTCTAGTCTGTTTCGCTCTTTCCTGTGGTTTATGGCTGAGGGTCTTGGGGTTGTGGTCCAACGGGGTGGATATGTATATCAATCACTGCCCCTTCCACACCGCTACACTCGATGCAACAACTGTTTTTTTCTACCCGTTTGATTGGGTCGTATATCAACAAATCATCTGTCTTTAGAGAGAATGTTACAGGTCACGAGGCATAGGTACTGTAAGCAAGATGAGTTGGAATACCGGGAATCCTAATCTCCGCGGAAAAACATGCTCTTGATTCCACGGCTCCGGACCATTTCCTGAGCCATCAAGGAAGGTGTGCACCAGTCTCCATGCAGGATTCGTGGTACATGCTATAGAAATTAAAGGGGAGGTATTAGTGGTTAGCATGGTTGGTACCTCAGCATCTACAATGGATTTATTGATTTGGGTTGCCCGCCTATATGATATTCATTCTTTTGTCAGCACCTAAGCTGACCTGTTGGCTGGAGCAAATCTAGCGCAAGGTATCATAATAATTAGAGCAGGCACCTGATTGCTTTGTGTTCCCATATCCTCGGAGGGATATGACGGAGGGGTTCGCGGAATCGTAGCACGAAGAGACCATAATCGTTGATTCACCGAACCTTGACGTGGATAAAATGAAGGTGTCTAATAGAACAGGGGGGGGAATGGCTGCAAAGCTGTCTCGGCTTGCCTGGTTGGACAAGTCTGGGGGAGTTCAACAAGAATATAATTGAAAGCTGGTTGTGAGCTTTCCAGGTTTTGTTGGACGTGTTTGCAATATTCTGATGCTTCAACACTGTCCCCGCTAGGTGGAAATAATGGTACGAGAAGTGGCCAATCGGCTCGAAAAGAGTACTAGGGATAATACCATTGAAACGAGAGAGTTGTAAATACCATTGTCAATTGCTGATTGATAGGGCTGCGGGCACCAAAGCAAACAAGACAAACTCACCGCCCTTGATGTCCATCTCCGGCTCGGAGAACTCCCTCAAGCTGTCGCAGATTTGGCTGCTCTCTCTGATCGACTCGTGCGGCCTCACACAGAATGAGAACGTTGCCTTCTTCGTGCTAAATTCGAAATTACCACCACCTCCGGACTCTCAGTCGCTCGCCCGCTCGCCCTACCGATTTCTCACTACCCCCCACCTCCCACCTCCCAACCACTGCCGACATGGAGCGGCTATCTCTAAACGAAAGTCCTGGCAATACGCAACAGCAGAGACAACAAACCCAGCAAAATGCGCTTGGTCCCCAAGCACCGATGACCCAATCCGGTCCTCCACAACTTCCCCCTCAGATGTTTACGACCGCCGCACAACTGCTGGATTTGACAGATAGTACGTCGATTTGAATGGATGGTAGCTCTCCGAGCGCCTTGACTGATGCGGGCATCACTTCCATCCTACAGAGAAACTTGTCCTTGTCCTGCGTGACGGGAGGAAATTGATTGGCGTGTTGCGAAGTTGGGATCAATTCGGTATGAAACGCTGCCTCGCGGAACCAAGAACCAAGAAGCGTTGGCTTACCACATGCCCTCCGTGTTGGCGCGTTTTTTTGTAGCGAACCTTGTTCTTCAGGATACTATTGAACGAATCTACGCTGGAAAGCTCTACGCGGACGTCCCGCGCGGCATCTTCCTCGTGCGTGGCGAGAACGTCCTCCTGCTGGGCGAAGTGGTGCGTTGGAGGAACCCTTGAGACCCCGACAGTCATTGCTTGTCGCATTAGGACTCGATGCTAATACACATCTATACAGGATCTTGACCGCGAGGACGAAGTCCCCACTTCCGTCACTAAAGCGCCGTTTGAGGAGGTTTTCGAACTGAAGAAGAAGGAAGATAGCAAGCGCAAGAGCAGCGATAAGAAGCGGTATACCGAGCTCCAGGCACTCGGATTCGAGCCTGAGCATAGCGGCGAGATTTTGTTCTAAGCGCGATAGTGCGTGGTTGGCTTGTGCGATCCTTCTGCCGTTGTCCCAAAGACCCCGACCAAGATGCCTCATGACTTGAAACCATTGAGTGTTCTCCATGCGAGGTGACACTTGATTTAGGGACATGAATATCCTATGCGCTATCTGTTCCGTGATGTTCAACTGTTGAGTGCAAGTAAGGAGTTTTTGCCTGGTCATGGCCCACTTTTTCATACCGGCTCTAAAGATTTTTCAAGGCATGTTGGAGTTGTGGACATCGGCTTATAGAGGGATCAAGGGGGTATATACCGCGGATTTGAATCCAAGCTGTCAAACCTCGATCTGGAGCGGATGCTGTTGTACCGCCCCTTCCGCATACCATTGCTGCTTAAAGATGGTGGGACGCGGGCGGACAACGGTGTAGCGACCATCAGCATACCCCAGTTGGGACATGGTTTCATTTTTTTCCCCTGTTCAATAGTAACAAATTCACGAGTTGACGGTTCATATGGTACAAAGAAGACGAAATAAAATCAAAAGAGAGTGAGCAGTCCGCGGCGGTGGGTTAATAGATGCTTATCGATAACTCCGCCAAGAACCCGCTGTACCTTTTTTTTTCTCACCTTTTTTCTCCATCACCGCTAGAACAGCCTCCCCGCACGCTGTCCTTCTCCCCCTCGTCGTCAACAATCATCATGGCGACTCTGGCGGAGAAGCTCGAGAAGATCAAGTCTCCTAAGCTGCAGAACCAGCACCATGTAAGTTTCCGTTCGATCGCTCCAAGGCCTGCGGCAGATCCAGATCGCTAACCGCTAATGCAAAATGCAGACTGCTGTGGTGCTTTCTGCAGTGGAAGATACCCTTCGTGACCAAAAGGCCGACTTTTCCTCAACAGCCTATTTCGCTGCACTCCTTGCGCTCCTCTCCCAGTCGCTGTCCGCCGAGCAAGGCATCGTCAACAAGGATCTGGCGACGTCCGTCATCTACCTTCTGGACATCACCACCACCTTCGTGCCTGCACCGATTCTTCGCTCGAAATTTTCTCAGATTCTTACTAGTCTCGCGCCCGCACTTTCCCTCCCCGAAGTTGACGCCCCGCTCCTGCGTCCGTCAATTGGTTGCCTCGAGTCACTCCTCATCGCTCAAGATGCCGCTGCGTGGAACTTGCCTCACACTCAGGTTGGGCCCCGCCGCGCGACGGCGGGCCTACTGAGCCTTTCGGTCGACCACCGGCCTAAGGTGCGGAAGCGCGCCCAGGAAGCACTTATCAAGGTTTTGAAGGCACCCCCCGAGTCCGTCGCTGGACCACCCGGCTGCGGATATGTGCGCCGAGTCTGCGATGAAGACTCTGGGCGATGGCATTCAAGCTGCTGCTAAGCAGAAGAAGGGTCGGCAAGATGCCCACCGTGACAACCACGAGCCGCTCATTATTCACTCTTTGCAACTCGTCAAGACTATTGCGTCCGCATCGGGCGGCTGGCCGAGTAAGAAGATCGAGGCACTGTGCGAACTGTTGATGAATGCATCCCGCTCCAGCAACGAGTACATAACCATGGGCGCTTTCGAGGTCTTTGAGGTGATCTTTGAAGGCATGGCAGACGAGTTCTCATCTGCCAAGCTCCCCCGTCTGTTGGATGCTATCTCCGAGCTCAAACCTGCACAGAACGACTCGCAGCTGCTTCCTCCCTGGATCGCTGTCCTGTCTCGTGGATATGATGTTTCTGCCCAGATCAACCCTGAAGATACTTTTGAAAAGCTCCCCAGTCTTTTCCAGCTCATTTCGGGATTTTTGGCTTCACCCTCGCACAACATCCGCGTTTCCGCTTCCGAGTGCTTGATCTCGTTTCTGCACAACTGTATCCCTAACAGTGTCATCGTGGATGCCTCCGTTTATGATGAGAAGACCCTGGAGAAGCTTGCCCGGTCAGCCGCCGAGCTGCTTTCTGTGAAGTACCAGGCTGCTTGGCAGGAGGTGTTCAATGTTTGCTCCGCCATGTTCGACTGCTTTAAGTGGCGATCTAGCCCCATCCTCGTTGATATTGTGACGACTATTGGCGAGCTGCGCAGTAACGAGTCCTTCCATGGCAAGAAGGAGGCCGATAGTGTTCTTGGCAGTGCCATTGAAGCTATGGGCCCTGAGGCTGTCCTCGAGCTTTTGCCGCTCAACATCATCCAACAGAAGAACGGCCAGCCCGGTCGTGTCTGGATGCTGCCTATTCTTCGTGATAGCGTTACAAATACCAATCTGGGCCACTTCCGCTCGGAGCTGGTGCCTCTGAGTGAGGCACTCTACCAGAAGATGATGGATTTCAAGTCTGCCGAGAAGCCAGTGGAGACGAAGATCTTTGAAACTCTGGTTCAGCAGACTTGGGGCATCCTTCCGGGTTACTGTGAGCTGCCTCTTGATCTTACCGAGGCTTTCGATCAAACCTTTGCAGAGCTTCTGTCCAATGTTCTTTACAAGCAGACAGAGCTGCGTGTCGAGGTTTGCCGGGCTCTCCAGAACCTGGTTGAGTCGAACCAGGCGATCCTGACTGTTGAGAGCGATGAGGATGACTTGATCTTGCAGCGTCGCATCACGAAGTCCGCTGCCAAGAAGAACATCGCCCACCTGGCTAGCTTTGCCAGCAACTTGCTGGCGGTCCTGTTCAACGTCTACAGTCAGACTCTTCCCCACCACCGTGGCTACATCCTGCAGTGTATTAATGCCTACCTGAGCATCACCCCCGAGGAAGTTAGTCAAACTATCCCCCAGATGATATACCGTCTGTCCAATTTGCTAATATTCATCAACTATAGGAACTCAATGAGACTTTCACTCGGGTTACGACGATGCTCGAGTCTTCATTAGTTGAGGAACAAAATGCGCCCGCTAAGCAGGGCTTGTCTGACAAGATGCCGCCAACTTCTCACACCCTGATTGACCTGGTCATTGCCATGTCCATCTACTTGCCGCGCTCTAGCTTCAGTGGACTCTTCGCTATGGCTGCGACCATCCTCAACGGCTCTTCGCCCAACCCGGACCAGCAGCTCATCAAGAAGGCCTACAAACTGATTCCTCGCCTTGCCTCCACCGAGACCGGCCGCGCCGCTTTGGAGGAGCGCAGTGGTGAGTTGCAGACTCTTATGCTGGCCACGTCCGACACAACCCCCGCATCGGGTCGTCGAGACCGTATGCTCGCTATCGACGAGCTAGTCACAAACTTGCCCACATCAGACCTGCATTTTATTCCTTCTATCTTGTCAGAGGTGGTCCTCGGCTGTAAGGAGAGCAATGAGAAGGCCCGTACCGCTGCTTTCGATCTGTTGATCCATCTTGCTCGCCGCACCATCGACTCCGAGCGTAACCCGCCTGGCACTGTGATCCGCAACTCGCTTGTGCCTCACATGCCGGACGACTCGCCCGATGCCCCGGCCACCATCGAGGAATTCTTCACCATGGTGTCTGCCGGTCTGGCTGGCTCATCGCCCCACATGGTCGCTGCGTCCGTCACAGCTTTGTCGCGTCTCTTCTTCGAGTTCTACAAGGACCTGCGCCCTGAGGTCCTTTCGGATCTTGTCCAGACCGTTGAGCTTTTCCTTACCAGCAACAATCGCGAGATTGTCCGATCCGTCCTCGGTTTCGTCAAGGTTGCTGTTGTCATTCTCCCCGACGAGACTCTGCGTCCGCGCCTGTCTACCCTTGTCCCCAATCTTATGGCTTGGAACAAGGAGCACAAGGGCCGTCTGCGTAGCAAGGTGAAGGGTATCATTGACCGCTTAGTGCGTCGCATCGGTGCTCCTCTGATGGAGGCCCTTGTCGGTGAGGAGGATCGCAAGCTTGTCGTGAACATTCGGAAGCAGCGTGAGCGCAACAAGCGTAAGAAGAAGGAGGGTGCTGCTGATGATGACGAGGAGGAAGACGACGACAAGGCACCCGGCCAACAGCAGTCCGGCAACGCCTTTGACAAGGCCGTGTACGGCTCCGACTTCTCCGACTCTGATGAGGACTTTGACGATGATGCTAGCGAGATTGACGTCGACAACGACGGGCAGGCTCGCATCAAGGGTCGTGGCCCTGGTGGCAAGAAGAAGTCTGCACAGAGCAGCCAGTACATCCGCGAGATGTCTCCCGAGGATAACCCGCTGGATCTGCTCGCACCCGATGCCCTGGCCAACATCTCCACCACCAAACCCAGCCTGCGCTTCCTGAACACCGGCCCCGGCTCCAAGAAGAGGCGTTCGGCCAAGTTTGACGCCGACGGCCGCCTTATCCTCGGCGATAACGATGCTGCCGATGTTGAGATGAGCGGCGCCGCCCAGGGCGGTAGCGGCATCAACGCCTACCTCGCTGCGGTCAGCGGCCCTGATGCTGTCCGTCGCGGCCAGAAAGGCAAGGTCAAGATGGGCCAGGCTAAGAGAGGTGGCGGTGATGCTATGGACCTGGATGATGAGGATGATGCAGCTGCTATTGGTGAGGATCTTCGGTCCAAGGGCCAAGGTCAGGGTCGTCGCGGCCTGGGCGCCCCTAAGACGCCCGGTGCTCCCGGTGCTGGTCGCATCGAGAAGCGCCGCAGTCCCGGCGGGATGACTGGTCGGGGAGGCCCTCGCCCTGGCCGTGGCGGTGGTCGTGGCTTTGGTCGCGGCGATGGCCGTGGTGGTGGTCGTGGCTTTGGTCGTGGCGGTGGCCGTGGGGGCGGTCGTGGCTTTGGTCGTGGCGACCGTGGTGGTGGTCGTGGCGGCGGTCGTGGTGATGGTCGTGGCGGCGGTCGTGGTGACGGCCGTGGCCGGGGACGATGGTAGTCGCCTTGTTTTCCTTCCCTGTATTGATGAACGGCGCGGAAGAATGGATACTGTGGCAGTTCTTGCGGTTGTCGAAATCCAACTGTCTCTCTTTGACTCTGTCACCACCGTGCCTCGTCTCTGGTCACTCTCATCCCCATGTTTAATTGTTGACGTTATTCCTCATAATACCCCCCCCTCGTTGGCGATTCCGTTTGGGGGTCGGCTCGGAGTCACATTCAGCCCTGGCTGATTGGACCTGTCTTCTTGTCATGATTCGATTACGAGCAAAAGTTTTTGTTAGGGCAGCTGCACATAGAACGGTTTTATTCTCTTTGGTCTTGAATATTTTTTTTTCTGAATTCTGGTATCCATCCGTCTTGTTCTGTAGGAGGAGAGTTGACTCTGTGAGATTGTGTGAGATTGTGTGATAGTTGTGAATAGAATCATTTCCACCCGCAACATACTGTATTATTGAGCCTTGCTATGGAGGATGTGATTGGGCAGCAACAGTCCTGTCATCTAGGTTATGCTGTCATTCCCTATTGGGGGGATTGTCATTGCCTTGGACGGACTGAATGCTACAACAAAGTACTTCTTGGATACATTCTTGTGTAAAATAATCGGAGGAAGACAGGCCAACGATCCCCTAGTGATGAGTACCACCAACACCACAAGTAGTAGTGACCTTTGGGGCTTGCGAGGTGTCCAGTCTACAAAAGCAGGAAGACTGAATAGGTACGTCGGCCACTGCCAATGCTTGGCAGGTGGCAGGTTCCATCGCAGAAGCTTCTTCAGTCTTTCCCAGTCGCACCAAGCACTCATAATACCCTTGCAGTGCCCAGACATTGTTTGGATGACGGGCGGCTCGGATCAAAGTATCATCAATCCCCAAATCAGCTCTATATACCGCCGCAGCTTCCTCGAGATGGCCTTGCTCAAGACTCAGAGCGGCATAGGCATGTCTCGTGGGTTGCATCCAGGGCCAAGGCTCGCTATACGACAGGTTGTCATCTAGCACGATGGCGGCCCGAAGACTGGCAAAGGCCTCGCTGTACTCTTCATGTCGATATGCAATCTCGCCATCCAGCATCTTGCTGGCAACAGCCAGTACTTGGAGACAGGTCCCATTGTAGGCAAGACGGGATTCTGGGACGGCCGTGACAGCTTCCCGGAAGAGACCACGTTCCTTCTCTGCAGCTTCGAGCTGTCCTGTGGCTGCGTATGCGAGGCTCCTGCCGTAATGGACAGTCGCGGTCACCACGCAGAATAGCTCTGGATCCTTCGGGAGCTCCAGATCGATGAGCTCTTGCCACATGCCAAAGCGCACCATGACATGCGCGCGAGACGTAAGAAAGTATTCAAGCCAGTCCGCCATGGGAGGTGAAGTAACTCGGAGCACCTTCTCTGGAAGAGTCGCCTCCATACGGTTCACTGCATCCATTGCCACCTTTGATTGGCCCGAAAACATCGCGGCATAGATCAACGAATGGTAGTCGTGCAGACGATAGAATGTGTAGAAATTAAAGGCACCGGCGCGGTGATAGTACTTCTCATCGGCAAGGGTCGATGCATGGTTCGATGTGACCGATCGCTTCCAGTCGCCGACCAGTATATCGAGATGAGTGGGCATGTGATGCATATGTCCCGCATCTGGAACCAAGTGGCGGAGGTGATTCGCGATGGCTAGACCTCGCTCGGGGTACGGCGACATCTCGATGTAGTGGATATAGAAGTGGAGGAGCCCTGGGTGCCCAGAGGCCCCGTCCTGTTCCAAGGCCGTTTCAAGGACCGATTGAATCTCTGTGGTTCGAGCCCCAACCGTAGGCTTTCCGGTGAATAGATCCCAGAGGCTCCATGGATTCAAATTCATCATGGAATCGGCATACAGTGCCGCAATATCAAGGTCGGTTTTGAATACTTCGTAGACAGATTTCATGGCCGCAGCATAGGCCACGTTTTGTGCGGCCAAATCGGGCGTAACATGGTCACTCTGGTAGCGAAACTGAATAGCATCAATGAGCGCCTGTTCCACGGGAGAAGCGTTCTCGGCGATGGCAACCTCTTTTGCCTTCCGTGAAGCATGATAAGCGCGATCCACGGAGATCTTGAGGTCGTGCGTGTCAAACCGTTCCCACGGCTTGTTGTAGTTGGGGCCCAGGGAAAAGGCTAGTCCCCAGTAGGCGATCGCGCAACATGGGTCATGGGCGATAGCTTGTTCAAAGCAATATGCAGCTTCTGCATGGTTGAAGGAGTACGCCCAGGTCAAGCCGCGGTTGAACCAGGTGAGAGTGTCTTCGCAGATGGTGGTGATCGGGCGTCCAAAGTCACCAAGGTTGTAATAATCCTCGCTTGCCGCAACGGGGGCAACTTTATTCCATGTCGCGTGCGTCATGTTTAACTGCGTTAATAGCGGCTCTTGCCCAACCTCAACACCACGTTCGGATATGAGGTGTGGACTAGACTCCCATATAACTATACCGAGGTACTGATTATGGTGTACAGATACCAAAGGGCACGAAACAAAAGCCGACGATATGGCCTTTTTGGCACACGAGGATTTGTCTCCCTCGAAGCGTTAGTGAAGTTGTTCAAGCGCTGGGCCTGGCGACTCGTCGGGTTTTTGTTTTACGGACCAATCAACTATACGCGTCATGTCCCGGATCACACGCCGCAGTCCCCAAGGTTGCCTCCGCGAGCATTTCGCCACGTGCCCCGTTTAGGTTAGACACGAACCATCTGTTGACCCAATATGACCAGAAATGATTATGGTACACAGCTTGACATGTCGTACAGCGTACATATAGCCCCTGTGCGCATCAGCCGGAAGAGCGGATTATCAGGCGTGCATATGACCTGTCGCCTCAAGATCGAGCGCTTCTAGATCGTGTGCATAGGATGCCCTAAAAAGGGGAATTGAGGGCGAAGCCCCGGACCGGAAGCAGAGGGTAGGCAGCAATGGCCTTAACGAGGAGGCAAGTCTGTGGCCACGTTTTACTCTAATCACCACATGACATCTAATCATAGACCGTATTCAAGTGGTAGATGCAACGACCCTTGCCTTTTGAGGGTTGAAGAACATTCTCATCCGAATGATCTACCTACTCGGTTCTACAAAAATGGTTCGACGCACCACATAGGCAAACCAGTCGGATGAAGGCAATAAATGCGGGTATCAATTCGCTCAACCAAGAGCACACATACATACACCTCCCCCTTCTCGCAGATAAAAGTAATACAAGTACAGTTTAGTGCAAGCAGTCTCCCTGACAAGAAGCCATGGCAACCATATGACTGGTCAAGTCAAGGATAGACACTCCACCTTCCTCAATGATCTGCAAGAGAGCAAGAGAGCCCCCACAGGATGGAAAGCGCATAAACAGCAAACCCGAGAGATAATAAAGCAAAGATAAAATATGCGCCCGCTTCCGACGCCATTAACAGTAATTAGCAAGGAAAACAACGAAAATAACAATGAAAAAACCCAGCCCAGACTCCGTGCATCCTGGTCAAGGTGTAGATGCAAAATGTGTATAATCGTAGCCTCCGAGAGAGACAGGGGTAATATTGGCAGACGAAAGTATTCAATCAGGGGGTCATTCCGCGTGTATCTGCGTTTCTTCTCATGCGTGACATGTTAGACCACGCAGAAAGCAGTCGAGTGCACAGGGTCGATAATCCGATGTCAGGCGGATGTATTCTTCCCTATGAAAAAAGCTGTGTGGGGCTCAGGATCAATGTCATGACCACTTCCGCGCCTTGCCGAGCCATGTATGCCACCATTTGCAGACGCCGAGAACAGCAGCGCGGCCGTCATCTTTGCGCTCTGTCCCGTCCGGGTTGCCCATGACCATGGCGAACACCCAGAAAAATGCGGCGGTCCAGGCAAACAGCAGGATGGCGATGCTGAAGAAGGGGGAGATCGTCAGAACGAGGATGGATGCACCAACGGCGTAGTATCGGGTTGGGTCGACCTGCGTTGAGGAGTGAACCGTCTCTGGGTCGGCATGGATCCATTGAGTGGAGGACGAGCGTTCTGATGTAGGGGGCCGCATACGCACGAGACGCTCGTGGATGTGGAGGGCCGGTGAGAGGAGGTCACACAGCTGCGATTGGAAAGACGTATTGCGGAGGTATGGGGTTGGCGGACACAGTCGAAGAGGTGAGATTAGGACGGCGAATATGAGGGCGCAGCAGGCGTAGAGGCAAGCGCCGAGGGAGTATATCGGGACCGGGACGGAGAGTCGGAACTATATGAAGCTTGTTAGGGCAAGAGATGCTTTCCGTAAGTGGGAGAGAACCAACTCACAAGCATGAGCAGCGCATCCTGACTGTCCACGACAGGTCCCTCAATGGCAACGCCTCGCTTCTGTGTGCGGGGAGTGCCCGAGTGGTCGACCGACATTAATGAAGGCTGGTCCGCCCAGCTGCCACGAGAGCGCTCTCCTTTGTGTATCACCCCTCCAGAGACCACAACACGGGTGACATAAGAATCGTCGTCGACTCGGGAGGCGCGCCGCGAAGCTTCCGGGGACTGGGTGAGGGATCCCCGCGGGCCCGAGGATCGAGGGCTCACGTCGTGGGGTGTGCCATCGATGGAGGGGCGCGGCCCAGGATGGCTCGGCTCGGTATGTTCCAGAGATCGACTGGGGAGCGGGGGGAGGATGGAACTGCGAGCCGCAGCGCCGAGGCGGTCCTGGCCTTGGTGATAGGCGGGACTATATGACATCTCCGGCGGCCGCATGGCGAGCCAGAAGAAAGGAGGGAGAGCAGGACGAGATGGGGGTAAAGCGGATGGTCGTACAAGGCGCACAGTGGGCGACTAGGGCTCTGCAGCGCTCATTCCATAGTTCCCCAGGCTTTTAGAGCTTAGTCGACACTTTCATCAGGGGGTGGGGAAGTGTCCGTCTTGGGGGCGGAGGAGAAGAGTGAAGACAGGCAGGCAGGAGGGACTGTCTACCATTCCACCGGGGGAGGGCAAGGGCGGAAAGGGAGACTTATAAGACGGAGAACCGCGCAGCGGAAGGGCCAGAGAAATGCCATGGCAGCGGAGAAGCAGTTCAACTGTTTGCAGGATCTCTCGCCAAGGCGCCGAGGTGCCGAGCCCTTGGCATTTTGAGGGTCGAGGCTGGCCGTGGTAGTACGCATACGGCGAGTTTTAGTGGGAAAACGGAGTATTGTGTAAACACCAAGCGCCATTCATCCGGTCGATCATGTTGATCATGGACCTCGTCGGCTGCGGTTGTCTAGTCCGATCGTCCTCAATTCTTGTTCTGGGTGCTGCTTTTCGGCTTCAATCAAGTGGGACAAAGCCTGTCCGACGGCAGTTTCCAATAGTTTACCAAGTGCCAAGCTGCCAAGCGGCAGCATGGACCAAACGCGGCGGTGATTGGTGCAACTGCCTGCGATCCGCAGCAGAGGCGGCTTGGCGTTCATGTATCGTGTATCACGGTGACACACGTGATGAGTACGATACAAGAGGGAAGCCCTGCGAAGATGGCACAATCCGTTCGAAATGAACAGGGACGCTTCTTCTCTGTACATGCTTCGTACAGGCTCCGGCACCAATGTCGACAGATCGACGTGATAGGGAATTCTGCTGCTCGGCTGTCCCGGCGCTCCAGTGGTGGGCATCATCACCTCCGCAGACAGCCGTGGTGCGCCACTCTGCCGAGCCTGCCCAGCCGCCGAGAGATTGGCATCCATTTGACGGAGAGAGAAAACACCTCACCTGCCGCACGAGGGCGTATGCTCTCTTCCATATTTATTAGGTAACGAGCCTTCATCGTAGACTGGGAATGCCTGGGCGTGCATTATCCATGATCCATTTCCTGACGGAAGAGCTGCGGCACACGAACTGTATGATCGCCTTTGCCCGATCCTTCAATTAGTCCCGGACAACAGCTTTCAGGGCCCATAGTCTTGGCTCTCCATCTCCTGCTCCTCCTCATTCCGCTGCCCAGCCGCCCAGACCCGGTGAGTCCAATAGTTGCATCTCAATCCACAGCATCTGACCGACTCCCGTGTCTTGGTCGTCGTCTGTCTCGCCCCCAGGAGCTCCCCTCTTGGCCCTGCCGGAGGGGGAGATGTCTCGGCACCTCTCAGGCACTGCAGCGATCTCATGAGGCACGCTTGGCTGGGCGGTCAGATCCGCGGCTTGCGTGGCTCGTCCTGGCTGGGAAGGGCTCTGAAACATGGAAACGTCGGGGTGGCGGAGCGATCGTCTAGCCGACTGTTCCCGCCCGCGAGATGCGACTCGGCCGGGGTTTGATGTGTGCGATTGTTCCCCTCACGCTGGATGTATCATGTGCTGACCTCGGTGATAGCGTGATGGCATGATAGCATGCCACTGATCTCCGACGATTCGACGCTCAGTGGTTGCCCACACCCCACGATGACTATAATGTTGGATGGAGATCTGCTCCATCTCTGTTCCGGCCTCCAAGAGAGCCATTGCAGTTCCCCGCTTTGAAGGCCGCGCTCCATGATATTCAATGTGCATGATGCTTCTCGGCGACCAATGCCGAGTCGCTATTCCACAGGGACGAAAGCCCGACCGCCGAGTTTTAGCCTTAGTGGGGTGCCCAATGTGCCGATCTGCCAATCGGCTGATACGCAAGCGGGCAAGGAGATTAACAAGGCAACCCCGGTCAATCGGCGATTTCCTTTCTCTGCCTTCCGGTTGGTCCCCTCAATGTGATGTATGTCGAGGAAAGTCCATCTTTTTTGGGAGGCCTATTTACCGAATACAATGTATGAAAACCTTGCAGTATAGTCGATGATGAAATTCTTATGTACACTTCGCTTTCGAGTGGCGCAAGCATCTATGGAGAACAGGAGCCTATTCCTTGTATACATCATCCTCCTGGATGTGAAGCCAGCTAACACCGCGGCATTACTTTTCTATGAGTCTCGCACCAACCTCATACGATAAGAGTGTTTATATGCTTCCCTCCCCGCACCTGCCAAGATAAAAGAGCTTGCCTCATTGCCGATCGTACCCGGCAGCTCTGCCAATATAGAGTATTTCTCCGGGTTGAAGCAGTCGCTCTCTGAAACAACTCGATGCTGAAAAGGAGCCTTTGGTCAACAAGGCACACCATATGGATGTCGTAAATTCTGCTCAGTCGGCCACGGCACTAGCGGGCATGTTCGCAACATCCTACAGGCCGCAAAGTATGTTATAAAGACCAGAAAAGGAGCACGGGTTGTTCTAATGGAGATTTTCACTCGTGCAGAGTGCATCCGTCTAAATCTGGAGCTCTTCCGCTTCCACATTAACCGAAACTTTTCTGACTTGATGGAACAGGCTACTCTCCTTTCAGTAAATAAAAGTTCATACAGGCAAAACACTGCGAAGGAAGGTGCTCGACATGGTTGGTGAATATGCTAATTCGACCAAATGCCACAACCCGTGGGTGAAACACAACCGGGTGGTCTGCAAACCAGACCTCGCAGTACTCGTGGACAGATTGGCCAGCGGGGAAATATGGGACGTGTGTTGAATTTTGTCGCTGCGTATGTGCTTGATTGACATTTTGCTTTTGGCAGTTCGTAATGAGTTGATATGATAGGCCTAACTCGAGAAAGGCGTTTGCCTCTTAGAATACTATTGAATAAAAGCATTTTAGGCAATCAAGTGTCTTTACTGAGAGCAGAGTGGCAGGCCGGGAGCTTCAGCTGATGGGGTGTACGGAGGTCATTGATAACTGTAGCAATATGTCCAGGGGAGAAGACATTGAACCTGCATTAGCTCATAAAATATCGACCACGAACAAGCTTTATCTAAGGTGCTCACTAGCTATGCAGAGTCAACAGTTGGGAGGTCCGATTACAGCGCTTTCTGGAACACCGCCTGCTCTGTGTAGGTTACTCTGGAGGCATCTGGGAGACTGACCGAGGAATCCCTTCTATGAGGAAAAATCCCCAATCAGTCATGGCCACATGTCTTCCGGCTTCGTATGTACGTAGAGTCACCAAAATCTGCATTTGAGGTTGACTCATCAACCGCCAGACCCGAACAAGAATTACCATGAACTTTCCGCTTGCTCCAAGCTCCATCAAGCTGCCAACATGCATGCCCGCGTTGGCGTGGTCTCCGCAGCTTATTGAACATGGAGCCTTTCGTATGAACATTCCGTTTATTATTTTACCCGGGACTAATCAGCTGGTATCTTGCGGTCTCCTCATGAACATCATACTTGTCAGGAACCCTCCCGACTGGTCAGTATCAGTTCTCCGATCTCACAGCTATTGAGCTTACTCGCGAATTTGGATATATCAACCTATCCATCTTTATGTGCCCTGTGGCCAAGCATGTTCTCCCTGCCTTAACAGCCGACCTGTCGCGGCGACAAGGTTCATGGCCTTCTGCGGGCGGAGTTGGGGGAGTTCTTGAAATTTTCATGTCGGAGACTTTTCTACTGATATTTTCATGTATCTTGAGGAAGGAATAATCGATTCATGGAAAGACCAAACTCTTACATTGCTAGTTCATTGGGTCTTTTTCCGTGCTCACCTGCCCAGGACGGTCGACCGGAGACGGTCAATTTGATCGCAAGTACATCGAGTGAGAATATCTCTATACCGTCCACAGCGCCACAACTCAGGGATGACAAGAACCCTGCCTTGAGATGCCCCATAAAGCCAACTTACAGGGTGAGGGAAGGGGTGGCTCTCCTCCCAGCGACTCGTCTCCGAGACCCTTCGAAGGGCCATATTGAGGCGTCCATTCCATCGCCGCTCTTTTGCACCGCCCTTTTCCAGCTCACCAGAGTAGCACACGTGCCCATAATACAACTACCCACGATCCCGACCGTCACCACAAAAGTCCCCAGTCCCCATGCATAGTCCGCCCCCCAAATATGATCCAGCAAAGCGTGACAGACCAAGCCCGGCCACACGCAGCAAGGGGTCGATCTGATCGGCGGCACTTATCGCTCCCGGCACGCACCGTAGACAAGGTTCAGCCCAGCAAGATCGCGAGCCCCCCCCCCCCCCCCTGCTTCCTGTCAGACATGCCAAGTACGTAACCCTGCATACAGTGCGTGCGGTGTTTGATTCCTTCCGTACAGCAGGAGCACCAAGTGGATGCTACCCTGCCGACGGAGGCCCACGGAGGCCCACGAATACCCCAGGGCTGACCGGATCTGGCGATGCAGGGTGCCTGGTTGCCCAGGAAAAAAGCAAGACTGACAGCCTGTCGGATGGGCGCATGGCTGGCTTGCCGGGCATATTTGTCTGGGATGATCCACTTGGACAATCATCTATCATGCAATTTCCCATCTCCAGATGGACGGCGGCAGTGCGATTGTGTAGATGTGGTGGGGTATGGAAGCTTTTTTCCACTCTTCCCCTGGCCACTCCATCCAGTCCAAGCTCGAGACTTTCTCAGTCTTCAGATCCAAGGTGCAATAATATGCACCCGGTGCCTGCTTCGACGTGATTATAGCGAAAGCTGCGTTATAGCAGTCGATCTTCAGCCGCACGGCGGCCCAAGCATCCTAACATGCTGGTGTGCTGAAATGCTGAAATGCTGATATATTCTACACCGGTAGATCGCTCGAGCACAGAGACCACTGTTTATCCCTGGATCGCCACAAAAGCAAAACACTAAACATCCACTCTTCGTCGCATATTTCTTTTCCCACTGGACAGATCGACAGCGGTCATGTGTCACAACCCAATGCTTTTTCCTGTGGCTGCCCAGCATGACTCGCCTCTGCATCTACGAATCTCCCGCCCATCCATACAGACTGCACGGAGTGTGCGCACCTCCACTCTGTCCACTCGGGACAGGGGTACTGAGAGCCCGGGAGACTGCGCTAAGCGCCAAACGCCCGCTAGGCCGAGACGACAAAAGTCCCGGCCTGTCATTCCGTTACCATGGCAGAGTCGGGGCATCGCTTGGAAATACCCCTCTGTCTACTGTTTATATCCACTTTCCACCTGTCCGCCCAGCCTTCCACCAAACTGCAAGCCTTTCGTTTGTGGCTGCAGGTGCGCCGCCACTCTACGGTGATCGAGATGTGTGGAGCCCAGCTTGCGAAGCTGCCTGGCCCGCGTGCCGTCCCTAGGGCGGACCTCGCCCGTGCGCGGGATGACAGGTTCCGTGTAGTTAAGTTATCCATCACGCTCTGTCTGCCCGTATTTATAGTCTACTGCATGCACGGCCGATGGACGATGGTCGGCCGCCAGTGGTCGAGGGAGTTCTATGGTACTCCGTGCTTGGGTTATCTCGTCCGGGGTCACCCCTGACCCGATCCACTAGTTTCCCTTACGCCCTTGATCCCCAGCTTCTGCAGTGCGACGGACACACGGGTTAACAGTAGACTGATTTTGTTTTTCTGGTATTCTTGCTGTCTTTAATTTGGATATGTGGTAAACTGGTCGCTACGCTCAGCTACTACTTCGCTTAATGCCGAGCCTTGCTCGAGTGTTGTTTTGTGCCTGCTGGCCATTCCTCCGCCGGTCGCATCGGCATGGCTGCCGTAGACCACGGCCAATTTCCCCAGCCCATCCACTCACAATCCGGGGAGTGATATTTCTGGCTGCTCCGACTGGAATACTCGAACCTAGGTGGGTAGGCCAGGGGGGGGTTGTCTGGCAATTGTGATGGGAGGAGGTCGCACGTCAACCATGCTCGCCGGCCGGGACTGCAACGCGGTGATAATGTGCGTGATGGTGGAACGTTCGATACGAAGCTGTCTGAGATGGATTGGATATTTCGATCTTCTATTTTGGCTCCGCACTACGATACTCTAGACGCTCCGATTGTATCGGATCACCACCAAAGCCTTATTTCCCGCGCCCGACCTGACCTAACCTGGGACGGCTATGCCCTCCCGGGTCGATAGGGTCCAGGCCCATGCTCCAGCATGGTCCTTTTCCCACCCACATCCTCCATCGTGACTTGGCGATGACCGTGATCTCCTCGATGAGCGGAGTCCCACAAGAGCCCTAGCTCAAGCCTGGACGAGAGACGGTCTCCACAGTGGGCTCAGCCAGTGCTATGCGCGCGGCTGCGTGGAGCAGGGCCGTCTCTCCGCTCCGGTGGACAAAGTCCGGATTGCATGGGCACCAATACTGGTTTCAGTTCGGTTTCGGGTCAGACCCGTTCCTCTAGAAGCGCTGCAGGGATCCGGAGGGAGGAGGCACCAGATCCTCCGGTGAGATTGTGTTATGCAAGTGACGGGCCTGGGAGAATGGGACTCGAGGTTCCCAGGCTGGAGGTCGTGCACGGCACGTTGGGATGTTTGCTCAGGCGGCTGGGTAACTCAGCAGCGATCCTGGGTAGGTCTCATCCTATCTGGTCCCATCTGGTACTCCGTGATGGCCAAGAAGGTGTTTGGGGAGGGAAAGGAAGCTAGTAGAGTAACGAGGGTCCGGGGTTTTCGAGGGGGGGTGGTTTCACAAGGCGGCCCATGGACTGCGACGCAACGGCAGTGGCGGCTCGGCTAGTCAAACTCTGTCCTATAGAATGCAATCGAGGGAATGGAGAGAATGGAAGAATACTCCGGCATGAGGGGGGACCGAGAAGGATGCGTACCCACGCAACTGAGTGGATCCCTCCGGGGATTCCTTCGGCTGACGACATTCGCGGCCAAGGATGACTGCGACAGAGGGGGACTGGCAGGGAGAGGGAAGAATGAATGTTATAATGTTCCTAGGGGGATCCGTGGATTGTCAAGAGGAAGCAACCAAGGAATGATCCACTAGGGATATGGAGAAGGCAGACATGGTTCGTGGATTTGGGTGGATTTGGGTGGATTTGGGTGGATTTGGATGGGCAGGGTGTGAGGAGTGTGAAGAGTGTGCGGATATTCGGGAGGTCGGGTAGGCAGGTGCAGTTGGGAAAGGGGGAAACGGTCGGAAGCGTAGCACGGGGAGGGCATTACAGTGTGATCATGCTGAGCTCCACGGGGCGGGGCGGCAGGTGAAAAGGAAAGGTGTGGAAAAGTGGGATCAAGATTATCGGCAGCCACTGGCATGCGGCAAAGGGCTGTGGCTGATGGGCGCGGCTGTTGAGGCAGAGAGGGAAGGGACGAAGGGAAGGCAGACAACCTGGATCAGTAGAAAAGAAAAAAGAATAATCCCCATTATGGTATAGAATCAAAGAAACAGTGTCCGAGAGCGTTTGGAAAATCAAGGCGAGTATAATCATAATAATCATCATCATCATCATCATAATAAATAATCCACAAAAGAAAAAGCTCAAAAATGCCCAACATGCGGAGGAAGGGGCCATGCGCAAACTAAACTACTTAGGGTAAGTGAATGAGCGCGGGAACAACTCGAAGGTCATGACGGAAGGGGCGAATTGCACTAGCGGCAGGAGGCTGGAAGGTTGGAGGGGGAGCATGGCGTTTGGCGTTTGGCGTTTGGCTTTTGACTTTGGGGGATTTTTTGACTTTGCTTTTCGGGCTGGTCGGGCGTGTCTGGTATGCAAGTCAAGGAACCCTGCAGGGCATGGCCCCTATAAGAGGGAAGTACAGGGTGAACGAGGATGTCAAGGAACGTATGTGCCGAGGTATCCAAGTCCGTACTCCGGAGAAATATACAGCACGACAGCCGATATATAGTCAAGCTCCGTGGTGCTCAGCAGGGTCGCTCAACAGCTGCACACTGCACGCGTCCGGGTTTGGAGGTGAGTTGGCCGTGCAGCGGAAGAATAGCGGAGTCGTGTACCACCAGGGGTGGCCTCTGGCAGGGTTAGTGCAGGGGGCAAGGATCGAGCTTGGGCACGGTCCAGCCGGCTGGGTCTGAGGCCCGCTTTTAGTGCCGGAGTAGGCTAATGTCGGAGGGGCACGGAGAGCAGGCGCACTAGCCCCAGTCAGGCACTAGCACGGTAGCCTTAGCTTAGCACCGCACCCTGAACACCGACCACGGGGCCTCCACCCCGAGGGGCCCACTGGGGCGCCACTCGGCCCAACCGGGGAGGGTTCGTGTGAGTGAAGAATGATGGGTTTCATCATGGGCCCGTCAGGAAGGGGGAAAATCAGGCAGATGGAGAGGCGAGATGGACTCGGCCATCTATATACTTCGCTGACGATGACCATGCCCGATTACTATAGCGGAGGTGCTAGCTGTGTACCCGATATACCTCCCCCTGCCAGGATAATACGCCCCCACACCGTTTCTGCGAGGGGGGGGGAAAAAAAAGAAGAAAAAAAGCACAAGAATAACCGCCTCCAGATCCGGCCCCACTGCGCTAAGCCATTCCGGGGGGCTCCAGCTGTTTTGGCGTGGTGATGCTGGCGTTGCGCAAAACGAGAGACGGACCCACCATCCACTGGGCGCTCGCGCCGGCTGAACCAGGCCCCAACCCCATGGCAAGCCAGTCCAGTCAAGCCAGCCAAGCCCGTCAAGCCGTGGCCCACTCAAAGTCTGCCGCTGGACTTGCTGGTGACGGCCGCAGCAGCTGCACAACCACTAGCGCCTCTTGGCAAATTCACACCTTTCCTGCCAGCCCCTCGACTCTTCCCTTCTCTCCTCTCGGGCTTCATCCTTTCCCCTTCTGCTCTACTGCCCTCCTACCCCCCCCCCCCCCTACTCTCTATCCTTCCAATCCTCACTTTCTTCCCCCCCCCCCCTCCTCCTCCTCCACATCCTTCCTTTATTCCTGTTCTCTTCCTCCCCATTTGCAAACCGGGGATTTCCGGTCACCCTCACCCGCCGGCTTCTCCACACGCGCCCAACTCCGGCCTCCCATCTCCTGGGCGCATCCCAATTCCACCCGCGCCGATCGCAAGATCTTGACCACCGCCGGTCGGGCATCGCGTGTCACCCTGCGTCTAACCTTTTTTGAGACGACATTGGACCTGCGATTCCGCCGCCAGGCACTCGCTCTCCGCGTTTCAGCTCTCTACCCGCCGCTGTTTCTCATCTTCGGGTAGATTGCATCATCGTGTCGCAAAGGTTGCTTCACTCGTGGGTCGCATCACCATAAACCCGCAACCGCATCGTACCTATCTCGATACACCATCATGTCGCATACGCAACCCTCGCCCACCGCGGGGGTAGCCCAGCACCACGCCGCCATGGCCGCGCACGCCCAAGTCAATGGTCATATGCCTTCTGCCGCCATTCCCGCGCAAGGCCAGAAGGGAGTCTCCCTCACCACGGCCCAGAAGATCGCCGCCCTCAATGAGCAGGTGTGGCTGCAAATCGGTAAGAAGTAGAGAGCTTCGGCTGATGCGAGTACCAGTGGTGGGCGCGTACTGACTGTGGCTTGTAGGCAGCTTGACCGAACTAATGGGCGATTTGGATGGTGCCATGAATGCGTATGAACAGGCTCTGCGCCACAACCAATGGTCGATTCCGGCCATGAATGCCATCTCTTGCATCCTGCGTACCAAGGAACAGTTCCCCAAAGCGATCGAGTACCTTCAGAACATCTTGAAGCTGGACCCCACCAGTGGAGAGACCTGGGGCAGCTTGGGTCACTGCCATTTGATGATGGATAACCTGCAAGAGGCCTACACCTCCTACCAGCAGGCTCTGTACCACCTGCGCGATCCGAAGGTGAGTAGTGGCGGCTCTAACGGGGTTTGTGAAAGGTCAATCACTCATCAGTATCTTTCTGTCTAGGAGCCCAAGTTGTGGTATGGAATTGGTATCCTGTATGATCGCTATGGATCCCTGGATCACGCCGAGGAGGCCTTCTCTCAGGTCATGCGCATGGCTCCTGAGTTTGAGAAGGCCAACGAGATTTATTTCCGTCTGGGCATCATATACAAGCAGCAGCAGAAGTTCAGTCAGAGTCTGGAGGTATGTCAGCCATTGGTCATCCTGGAAGCGCGTTCAATTCTGACTGTCCCCAACAGTGCTTCAAGTACATTGTCAGTGATCCGCCACGCCCTCTGACCGAGGAGGATATCTGGTTCCAGATCGGTCACGTTCACGAGCAACAGAAGGACGTAAGTTTTCGGAATCAGTTCACACCTCACCACATCATCCTAACCACACGTTGTCTTTCAGTTCGACTCTGCTCAGGCTGCCTACCGACGCGTCCTGGACCGCGACCCCAACCACGCCAAGGTCCTTCAGCAGCTGGGATGGCTCTACCACCAGCAGAGCAACAGCTACGCGAGCCAAGAGAAGGCCATTGAGTACCTGGAGAAGTCCGTGAGTGCCGGTAAGCATCAACTCCACATCCCACTCTCAATCTATCCCTGGTGCTAATTCATCTTTTTCCCGTCTTAGACAACGGCGATGCGCAAAGCTGGTATCTGCTCGGTCGCTGCTACATGTCTCAGGCCAAATACCCCAAGGCCTACGAAGCCTACCAGCAGGCAGTCTACCGCGATGGTCGCAATCCCACCTTCTGGTGCTCGATTGGTGTGCTCTACTACCAGATCAATCAATACCGCGATGCGCTCGATGCTTACTCTCGTGCGATTCGCCTCAACCCGTACATTTCCGAGGTGTGGTATGACTTGGGCACCCTTTACGAGTCGTGCAACAACCAGATTGCCGACGCTCTCGATGCCTACGGCCGTGCTGCGGACCTTGACCCGAGCAACGTCCACATCAAGGCCCGTCTGCAGCTACTCCAGAGCCAGCTATCTGGCTCTGCTCAGCAAAGCAACGCCCCAGCTCCTCAGCCCCAGGATGTGCACCCTCAGGCCTACCAGGCGCCCGGTGTTGGTGCTCCTCCTGCACCTCAGTGGGGTGCCCCCGCCCCGGCTCCTGCACCTGCTCCGGTTGGCCCTCCGCCTCAGGCCCCCGCTCCCCCACGGCAGATTGCAGACTGGAACCGGGGTATCAATGAGCTGCAGTCGCAACAGCCCCCCTTGCCACCCGCGAATGGCCTTGACCAGCGTGATGCCGGTCGTGCTCCTGGTGCTGCTCCTCAGGTCAGCCCTCGTCAGGAGCCTGGCCGGGCGTTCCCCGACCCTGCTCGTGCCGGCGCTCCTCCTCGCTCACCCAAGATGGGCGGCCCCAGTGCTTACCCTCCGCCTCACACCCTGCCCCAGCTGGGAAATGCGCCTGCCTCCGGTCATGAGCGTGCCCCCAGTGGTGGCAATGCGCCCTTCGGCGCTGCTGCTCGCGGTCCTCTTCCTCCTGCGCCCACTGGTGCTCCGGCTCCTAGTGGTCCTAACGGTGGTGCCGCTCCTGGTGCCCCTGCTCCCCCTTACGGACACCGTCCCTTCACCCCTCCTACTGAGATCCGTCCCATTCGCGATGAGCGTCCCTCCTCCCCTGGCTCGGGCTACCCCCACCAGCAGTACCACCACGGCCCGAGCGCTCCCACTTCGGGCGGCAGCACTACGGGTATCGCTTCCGGTGCCCCGGCCCCTGCGTCGGCTGCCGCAGCTGCTGATGCAGCTGCTCGCGAGCGTGGCGATGACCGTCCCGGGTCTGCGATGAAACGCGGACGTGAATGGGAAGGCGAAACCGGCCCTGTCAAGAAGCAGGCTAGCGATGAGAACCGCGCTCGCCTGGATGACCAGAACAGCCGTCGCCCAAGCCCGCCTGCTCGTCTGCCCTCTCCTGGTGAGATGCAGCAACGCAGCTCGTCTGAGGCCCGTCGCGAGGATGCTCGCCGGGCCAACGAGAACTATCACCCCTCCGAGGCGGCTCACCACCCTCCCACCTTGCCGTCCATTCAAAACATGCCTCCCCATGCCGCTGGGGGACCCAGCCTTCCTCCTATGGCTGAGAGCTCTGCTCCCCCTTCCTCCAACGGACCCCCTTCCGGTCCTCCTTCGGCTAACACGCCGGTCAAGGAGGAGCCTCCCCGGCCGGAGGCGCCCTCGTCGCACGAGCCCGCCGCTCGGAAGATGGATGTTGACGAGGACTACGATGACGATGTAGATGAGGAGAAGAAGGCTGGCGCCGTCGCCAAGGGTTCCCCCAACGGCAGCGCCGCGGGCACCACCACCACCAACGGAAATGGAGTCAGCAACGGCCGTCCGGGCACGCCCTCGAAGACTGAGGCTGCGTAAAAGATATCCGGAGTTTTTCCTTTTTGAATGATGAAAGACTTTCCTTGTCTTGCGCCTGCTGCTTGCTGCCGGCGTCATCTCTTTTCCTCTTTCTCCCCTGTGTCCTTTCTACCATCCCACTTTACCCTCTTCCCCTTCTCCTCGCCTCATGTACGGTATGAATGTGTGTGTTTCCCCCTAACGTTAAAGTTTTGACCCTGTCGTTTCGGCTATCCCCAGGCCACTCGATGCTCGCTGGGTGAGTCGATGCTGGATGCGGTCGTGTCCTGTATTCGTTCTTTCTGCCTTTTGATGAATTTTTTTACTTTTAGTGGTTTTTATTCTAACCTTTCCCTGTGAATCTTTTTTTTCGATGCGAAGGCATCTTTGTGATAGCAAATTCAGCCATTTTGACATTGAGGAAGGCCTTGTGCTCCTCTCGTGTAGGTTAATTGGTAGAATATCGTGGATGTTGGTGCCTAGCGAATCAGAAAAGGCATTTGTAAGAGCTCGGTGCAGATATAGATCATATAGCTTTTTTTTTTTTGAGAGCTAGCCCTGCATGGAGGGTATGACAGGTGCGGAGTAGGCCACACCTAGAGGCCTCGGGAATGAGGGGGAAACAGAGTGGACGAGGTTCGATCAAATCTTTTTCTAGAGTATGCTGACTACCAGAGCGCAGTAGTAGTAGATTGGAGACTCGGTCAAACAGCTGAATATTTATGGATGTAAAGCGAAGAAGTGCTGCGTAAATTTGTGGCGGGTTGATTTCAAAAGAACGTCCTGACCTAGGAACTGCGAACTCCAACTCCAATATATAAATCGGCCGTGCTTGCCGCAAGTGACGCGAAAAGAATCTATAGTCCTAGAGGTCCATTGCACTAGAACCAAGGCCGCCATTATGGTCGTGAATAACCCCTCTCTGCATATCAAATGAAATTCATAAGTAGCCAGTATACTTCTACAGATAACAGAGCTGTGAATATGCCGCGCCAAGTCATGGCTGCCGCGGCAACCTATAGGCATTTTCGAGGGTATTGTTCCAAGGAAAAGCAATGGCTTGAATCATGGTGGTGTTTTGAAGAGTTCCTGCAAGACCCTCCAACACATAACAGAAGTATGTAAATCTATCATGACAGGGATATTGAGCCACGGCAAGAGTCTGCACTGAATGGCGTTCTATGGGGAATATTGGATGGCTATCCTTTCCACTATTTCTATGAAGAGCAGGGGAGAGGAGCCGACTAGCCAATCAGACGAGGTTCCGCTCCGGTAAAACCCAAAGGGAAGCATAAGCCACGTGACACACAGTAGACGGCCGGTGGGGTCGCTTACCTGCTGACTCATCCCACACTCGGCAAGCGCAAAATGCCTTCCACACTTTCAGATCGTCACTTTCTCGACGTTTTCACCACGCTAACGACAACAGGGTCAAGATGTAAGTCGCACCTTGCCATGAATTCCTGATCAGTCTGTTGAATACAATTGCTGATATCTTTTCTCTTTCCAGGAGTCACCGGAAGTTCGAAGCCCCTCGCCACGGTTCGTGATCCTCGACGCTTTTCCCCTACGCCGGTCGAAATTTCGACTCGAAAAAAATCCCAATGTGCGGTTATACTGATTCTCTCTACAGGCTCTCTGGCCTACCTGCCGCGCAAGCGCGCTGCCCGCCACCGCGGAAAGGTTAAGAGGTGCGTTTTGTCCTCCAAGATGAAAATTTTTTGTGTGTGAAATCCGGTATACTGAGACTTCATGTTGCGAACAGCTTCCCCAAGGATGACGCCAAGAAGCCCGTCCACCTGACTGCCTCCATGGGCTACAAGGCCGGTATGACCACTGTCGTCCGTGACCTTGACCGTCCCGGTGCCAAGATGCACAAGAAGGAGATTGTTGAGGCCGTCACCGTCATCGAGACCCCTCCTGTACGTGGATCCCGAATCAAAGAAATCACCAACCTTGACTGTCCTCTAACTGTCTTATCTAGCTCGTTGCCGTTGGTGTCGTCGGTTACATCGAGACCCCCCGCGGTCTCCGCTCGCTCACCACCGTCTGGGCTGAGCACCTGAGCGACGAGGTCAAGCGTCGCTTCTACAAGAACTGGTACAAGTCCAAGAAGAAGGCCTTCACCAAGTACGCCAAGCAGCACGCCGAGTCTTCCGGTGCCTCCATCACCCGCGAGCTCGAGCGCATCAAGAAGTACTGCACTGTCGTCCGCGTTCTCGCCCACACCCAGATCCGCAAGACCCCTATCAAGCAGAAGAAGGCCCACCTCATGGAGATCCAGGTCAACGGTGGCTCCATTGCCGACAAGGTTGACTTCTCCCGCAACCTCTTCGAGAAGACCATCGAGATCGACTCCATCTTCGAGCAGGACGAGATGATCGACGTCATCGCCGTCACCAAGGGTCACGGTTTCTCCGGTGTTACCTCCCGTTGGGGTACCACCAAGCTGCCCCGCAAGACTCACAAGGGTCTCCGCAAGGTTGCTTGTATCGGTGCCTGGCACCCTAGCCACGTCCAGTGGACTGTTGCCCGTGCCGGTCAGATGGGTTACCACCACCGTACCTCTTGCAACCACAAGGTCTTCCGCATTGGAAAGGGTACCGATGAGGGCAACGCCTCCACCGAGTTCGACATCTCCAAGAAGCAGATCACTCCGTATGTTTTCCATGTTCCATGATTCTTTCCCACGTTCAAACCATACTAATATTTTCACAGCCTGGGTGGCTTCGTTCACTACGGTGAGGTCAAGAACGACTTCGTCATGCTCAAGGGCTCCGTTCCCGGTGTGAAGAAGCGTGTCATGACTCTGCGCAAGACCCTGTACCCCCAGACCTCCCGCCGTGCCACCGAGAAGGTCGCCCTCAAGTGGATCGACACCTCCTCCAAGTTCGGCCACGGTGCTTTCCAGACCGCCGAGGAGAAGAAGGCTTTCCTGGGTACCCTCAAGAAGGATCTTATCCAGACTGTTTAAGGTGTTTCGAGCCTTGGTTGGTGTCTGTGACGTATTTCCCGTTCAATAAAAAAGCGAACAATACCTTTATGATAACGTTTCCTGCTGTCAACGTAAACTTATTTGTAAGATTGTGCGCTGGTAGTCGGTGCATATTTCAGATCGATTTTATAACTCCATCAGGATCTACCTGCAGTACAGTGGATGAGCGTAACCCCGTATCTCCGTAAACTTAATTGTGTATAAGTACGGTCTGCCAGCCGTCAGAAATTCCTTTTTCCTCCAATTCTTCAGCCTCTTCATTTCTGAAACAAGACCCATCTTGGGGGCCCGACCACAAGCTTTGCCTCTTCCGTCACTCTCGTCTCTGCTCGATCTCGCCCGCCACCAACAGGGTTGTGCAGCAGCATGCGGCCGCCGTCCAAGATCCATTGCGTCATCCCACACTATTCCTCAACTACACACATCCAAGCACCCTCGACACTCTTCGCTCGCTTTCACCGCTCTCCTTCTTCCATCTATCTCTCTCCGCTGCGAAACCAGACCCGTTTCTTCCACCAGCAAGCCTCTCACATTAGCTATCGCCTAAGAGCGGCCCCCTGCACCGCCGTGCCCAAAAGCCACCACTTCCCCGCAATTCCAAGCTCCCAGCCCAACACGACAGCTCTCTCCCATACTACACCCTTCTCCACGTGCTCCACCACCATGTCCTCAGACGACGCTTACATGTCCTTCCTGGACAAGGCCAACTCGGACCTCAACGCCGGCCGCGCTCCGCAGCAAGGGGCCAGCGGCACCGCCCGGACTGAGACCGTGGATGCCACCACCCAGATCCCCGCGCCGCTGCAGTCCGTCGATGCCTACTACATTTCTGACGCAGACGAGCCGTTTGAGCCCGTAGCCCTGCGGTGGGAGGGCGCGTCGAAAGGAGTGTGGCCTAGTGCAGGTACGCTCTCCTACATACTACATCCCTCAAGTCCTACGTTGCTGTGCCTTGCGCGACCCAGGACCGGACCCGGACAGGCACAGGCACGGGCATAGACACAGCACGATAGTGTCTCTGCCACTGCCATCCTTAATGGCATGCACTTCCTTGACCCTAGAACTGGATCGCTGACCCGCTCTTCGTGATGCCTAGATCAACTATCCGGCCTGATCTCTCCCGATGCCGATCTCTCCCAGGCTATTTCAACCCTGACTCCGACCTCCTTCGACCCGAAGAATCAGTATGCCTCCGTCCTGCATGCCGTGCGCTCTGCGGCCGTTGAGAAAGACTTGGACGCCGATCAGTCGAACGTCGAGGTCAAGGTGTACCGGGTCGAGCTCACCAGCACAAAACTGGAGTATTGGGTGCTGGCGCTGGACGCACCGGGGGGTCGTGTGGTGGGGCTACGGGCGAAGGCGTTTGAGTCGTAAACTGCGCGTTTGTGTATTTTGACTGGTCATGGAACGAGTGCTGCTTGATGTACGCTGTACATCGACTCTGTAAGATGATGCGGATCTACTGCATACCTGAATTATATTGAACTGTGCTGCTCAAGGGAAAGCCGCGCTTTCCGCCGTTCAGCCCGCGTGGTGTAGATACTCTATTAAGGACCGATGTGAAGCGGCATGCCCGTTCAGGGAAAACAGGACATATACCTGAGAGTCGGATGTGCTGCTTGAGACCATCTTGGCAGCTGCTCGTCGAGCATCGCGGCATTCCGTCGGGGCGGGAGGCGGAAGACAAGGGACGCGTGTTCGGGAATGGCCGCTGTCTTGGAACTGTGTGCCGCTCTTCTGTAAATATCGCAATTGGATTGATTATTGAAGATGCCTTTCCTGTTTACTCGAGTAAAGTGGATGTTGTGTCGATGCACGTTGGGGAGAGGCTACGGCCTGGTTGAAGCCGCCGGCCGATTCGCCCACCGCGGTTTACCTTCCTCCGCCCCGCGGTTCGCTTTCTCCAACATTGTATTCTCTCCCATAGCCTGTCGCCATCGCACGTACCTGCGCTTAACAAAGGAAGGCCTCTGCCGATCATCAGATTCCTGGCCAGCATTCATGGTTTTCCATTCCTCGCTGCCCCCGCGAGGACGTCCTAGGAATGTGCCTCACCCTGGGGAAGGGCTCTTCACCACCCATGAAGGAGCAATTGCTAGCAACCAGCACCCATCCAGCCCAATTCACGATAAGTTGAATTGGGTCAGCAGGAAGAGGAAGGCCATTGAATCTCTAGGATCAGCCCAGCAGAACAATATACAATGACCCACAGCTCCTCCCTCCAACCACCGTGTCGTCCTGGGAACTATACGCATACCACGGGTTGCCCCCCCTTGTCCGGACGGCCGGGCATTCCACTCCTCTCCTGCACCCAAACAATAATCCTCGGAGGAGGGAGGGAGGTTCAATCTAGGCACTTCTTTTCTTTCTTTGCTGCGGTGCCTGTATTTTACTCACTACGTCTCCGTTGCTTCCACGCTGTCTGCCGTTACGCTACGCTATACCTTCGCCTGGGACATTGGATGTCGTCCAAGTGGTCCTGTCCCCTCATTCGCGTCCATTGGGCTTGACGACTGTGCACAATTGAGAATACTTTCGGTCCTTACCTTGCCGGCTTGGGGATTGACGGAGACGGAGAATTAAGAAGAAACAAAAAGCAGAGACAGGAGGACGAAGCGCAATTCGACCATTCTGCCGGTTGCAATTGCATAGGGACAAATCTACCGTTGCCCACTCAGTCTGAATGCTAGAACGCCCGCGTCCTGAACCGCAGGACTGACTGACGACAACTGGATCGGACGACAACCGGATCGGACCCGGCTTCAACAACGTCGTGCTTGCTAGGACGCCCTTCAGATGTCGGACCAGGACCTCGATCTTTCGAGCGCCCGAGACGATATGCCTCACATCCGCCTGAACTCGGGCCAGCACGAGCCATTTCTAGACAGCGACGAGGGATATGCCCCGCTGACTGGGCGGACCTTGCCACGACCTTTGACACCACAGGGCCTGGAGCCGTATGTGCCTGTCGGCGCGCAGGGTATGTCACCGTACGGTGTCGCCAATGCCCCCGAGTCTTCAGAGTTTCTACTCCCACCGAAACTGCGTCCCACGCCTCGGGATGATCAGGACCGGTCCGGCTCGCCAGATCGCTGGTCTGCACGGTCTGCGGCGCGATCGAGTGTTAGCTCAATGAGTCGCGACAGTCGCTTTCAGTTAGATCCGTTTGAGGATTCGCGGGCACCGAGTCGCTCGGGTAGTGATGAATACGATGTCAACACACAGACTGTCTCGGAGAAGTTTAATATCATGCCGACGGATGGGCTGCTTCTATTTCCCGAGGACGTGGAGAAGGATGATTACTTGCATAACCCGGATCCTACGGATCAAGACCGCGATTGTGATGTATGCAATCGTCGGGGGTTGTTGAACGTGGGCGGGCTGGTACTCTTAACACTGGGAATTCTGGTGCTCTTCATTGGGTATCCAGTCATGTAAGGCTTCTTCGATTTGGCATTTGGGTGGGATGTCTGCTAATATTGGTGGCGACAGAACTTGGGTAGCGGGCATTTTAAAACCAGCTCATTCTTGCAAGGCTGGGGACTGGCTCTGTCTGGATGTTGGCGATCGGCCTCTGTTGAGCAACATTCGAAGAGGATTGATTGATCCGGACACACCCGAGGAGGCGATGACCAAGAAGAACGTGGATGGCAAGGAATGGAAGTTGGTGGTGAGTGCGGATCGGATGGGTCGGCGAAAGATAGGGCTAACACAATCCAGTTCTCGGACGAGTTCAACATGCCTGGCCGGACGTTCTATGATGGCGACGATCCCTTCTTCGAAGCGGTAGACTTGTGGTATGGTGTTACCATGGATAAAGAGGTTTGTTTCGCTTCTCGACCAGATCGCCACTTTCATCGACTCTGACTCTGTCTAGTGGTACGATCCTGACGCTGTCATTACAAACGAAGGCGTGATGGAAATCCGATTTGACAACTTCAAGAACCACGATTTGCAATACCGATCTGGCATGATCCAGAGCTGGAACAAGCTCTGCTTCAAGGGCGGCCGGTTAGAAGCCAGTATCTCCCTCCCCGGTGATGGTCACATTCAGGGTTTCTGGCCTGGGTTTTGGGCTATGGGCAATCTGGCCCGGCCTGGCCATGCCGCGACCACTGATGGCCTGTGGCCGTACAGCTACCATGACGGTTGTGATGCTGGAATCACTCCCAACCAGAGTTCCCCAGATGGTATCAACTTCCTCCCTGGCATGCGTCTTCCAGGTTGCGCCTGTCCTGGTTCGGATCATCCTTCTCCTGGTCACGCTCGCAGTGCTCCCGAAATCGATGTTATTGAAGGCAGCACCGCTGCATTGAACGGGGATGGCCCATTTATTGGTATCGCCTCGCAGTCTATCCAAACCGCTCCCTTTGACCTCTGGTACATGCCAGACTACGGTTGGTTACTCCCCTCTCAAACCGCCTTGTTCCCTCAAATATCTAACCACATTTTCTTCATCTAGACTTCACTGCCGTCTACGATCCTCGTATCACCCAGATCAACGCCTACCGCGGTGGCGTCTACCAACAAGCCATGTCCGGTCTCACCAATCTCAACAGCCGCTGGTACAACGGCAGCGAGTACCAAATCTTCGCCTTCGAGTACACCCCCGGTGCGGTGGGCAACGTGACCTGGTTCATCGGGGCTGACAAGACCTGGACACTCGACGGGCGTGCAATCGGGCCCAATGGCAACGTCGGTCAGCGTATGATCCCGCTCGAGCCGATGAGCATGGTCATGAACTTGGGTATGGCGGATAACTTTGCGCCGCAGAATAAGAGTATTCGGGAGTATATGCCCGCATATCTGCGGTTTGACTATGTCCGTATCTACCAGGATCCGGATGACGTGAGTGTTACGTGTGACCCGCCTGGGTTTGAGACCACGGGCTATATCAAGGCGCACCGGAAAGCGTATGATAATCATAATTTGACGACTTGGTGCGTAACTCCCGACCCCCGTCTGTCTTGTGCTCGGCTTATCTTGCTCACCGTCTCTTAGGGAGGACGCTGGTTACCACTGGCCGAAGAACAGCTATATGCACGGTTGTTAGCAGCATCTGCCCCGTGGGGCTGTCCTGGTCGTTGAATTCGTTCCTGCGTCGTTTTAGCGGCATTGTGTTTCGGCGTTGCGGGGGTTGGGCATCTCATCTTCATTGTGGGGTCTGATTCGATACCTGATATTATATTTATTCCATATCTATTCATTTCCCTTCTATCTCCATGCAAACTATTCTCCATGCATTCCCTTCTTTACTTAGACTAGGTTTCGGGTCGGCTGACTCAGCGACACTGGAGACGAATCTCGCCTGAGGCACAGCAGTACACCACCTCCCCGGACCTCCCTTGTACGCTTGGTATCATCACCAACGGAGTATTAATCTTAAAATCCCCTGGATCACAAGCTCCATCATGTAAGGACAAGCATAGTATGCTCATATGGCCGAAGCTAACATGCCATGCAGACCCTGCAAAGATCAGCTCCCATTGGCAGGCCTATCTCCCCAACTCGGACACGACAAAGGCCACACGCTATTCACGCTGTAATGATTCAACTATCGATCTAGAGTTTCTACCTGAACTTCTGCATCAAAAGCCCGCGGCTGAACTCGCTCGTGTGTTCGGTTCTGTCCACAATTACATCTCGTCCTCCACGTTTACGAACGGATTACCCGTCTTCTATATATCGGCACCTCATCTCAACTGGGGCACAACCCCCCTCACGCTACTTTGGAGCATCAGAATACTTTTGCCTGCCGGCAAATCTCATACTTTTTCTCCTCGCACCTCTAGCTTCCAATCTTCACACACTCAACCCTCGCCCCTTCATCTCCCGGACCTCCCATGACAATGTCCAACAACCCAACCGCCTCGGGAGGTACCACCCCCCTCCAAGTAATCCACATGGACACCGACACAGCCTCCGACTCAGAGCCACATTTGCAAGCCCCGCCCGTCCACACCTATATCCCGGTGGACACTGACTCTGAAGACGGCGGCATGCAGCTCGTACCAGCGGATGGCGAGCTCCTCCAGTTCGCGGAGGACGACAGCGACATCGAGTTCGATGCAAGGATCATGGGGGTTGCGATGGAGGAGGAGAGAGATGGTGAGTCCCTTCCCGGTGACAGCCATGATCATGTTGTGTAGATAAAATCATGCCACACCTTACGTATCTACAGCCAGCGGGACGGGGGGCTAACTCGAGCAGAGAATGATTTCACCACACACGCCATCAACCCGCACTCTGGCGCCCCGAACAGGCACAACACACCCTCGCAGCCGGGGAACAGGGACAATCTCGGTCCGCGCCCGCGCCCGCGCCGTCTCCGGACGCGCGCGAATCTGACCGAGGAGCAACATGCTGCGTTGGCCGTCCTGTCGAACTGGGAGCTCCTCGTCACGCACGCGCTCAACTCGCACCGCGTAAGTTTTCACCGTTTGATGAATACGATGCATATGATGCATACGATCCCGTCCATACATCAATACCTTCGGGACCCCGGACTCGGATTCTGACTCGGATGCTGACTCTGCACCAGACAATCCCCCAAACCCGCCGCCGCTTTCAAGCCAAGCTCCTGGCGCCCAGCAATCCAACGCTGGAAGACGAGCTCTACGCCTCGCGCTTCGTCGTCCCGGCCTCCAAATCCGAGCTGCTCCCGCCCGCTGCGCCGGGGCGGAACTACGAGATCGCCACGGGGGCGGATAATACCACGGCGTACCTGATCCCGGGCTCGTACCGGGAGGTCGTGGAGACGGATGAGAGCTCGTGGTGGCCGCAGGGGAAGCCGAGGGGGAAGAGGAAGAGTGATCGGGGTGGGCGGGGGCCGAGGGATGGGTCGGCGAGTGGGAGTGGGGAGAGTTCGAGGGTGGTGAGTCGGGGGTGGGAGTCGGGCTGCGTCGCGGGGGCCCGGGTAGGAAGTGGTGGAGGCAGGATTGATAGTGCAGTTTAATGGGGATACTGTTGTATTTTTCGAGAGAAACTGTAGCCTGTGCGACGTCACCTAAACCCCCATCTACGCTTATGAGTTATACTGTGCAGGTCATGGTCAATGGTCAAATCCACTGCCATCGGCAGTTATCCTATAACGATATATGCTCGCTAACACCAAATATCAAAGTACTATACAGAAACCAGAGCCCAAACTGACAATAACAATCCATCCGAAAGGGAGGGGGATGGAGGGGGGGAGAGACCCCGACGAAGAACAAGAGGGAGGAGGAAGCACGATCAGACGCGAGTAGACCAGGCGGTAGAGGGGGGGAGTAGATGGAGTGTGGGTGGAGTGTGGGTGTATGTGGTGAGGAATGGGTATCTCAGAAGGAAGGGAACCAAAGCCAAAGAAGACGACAAGCTTTGGCTGAAATTTTGTTTTATCGGCGTGTAAAATCGATCGGGGGTGACGGGCGCTCTCTCCCCCTCTTTCTAATTAATTTGTGCTATCCGCTGCACGCAGCTGGGCTCAGGTTGGGCTCCATCCCCAAGTGGTGTTGAACTCGGCTGTCGTGTTTCGTTCGTAAGACTTGCCGTTGTCCATGTGAACGAATACCAGTGAAATGAATAGAAGAAGGAAAGGTGAAGCCCGCGCGAATTGGCCACTAGGAAGTCCATCTGTCAGAAACTCCAGTCACGCAGACAGATCACCAAAACCGTTTTTTTTTTCTTTTTCAAACAAGCAAAAACAAGAAAACAAGGGATTGTCAGTGGTCTCTCACATCTCCTCTTCGTCTTTATGTCGCTGTTCCGAGTGGAAAAGACTCTCTGCGTCTCCGACTTGTTTGCGTTCCGAGACTTCCCGGCTGCGCATGCGGGACTGATGTGCCTGGACATTCATGGGCGTCAGTCCTCGAGAAGGCGCGGACTTGCGTGCCGGTTCAATATAGAAGGGGTGCAGGCGGTGCGAGGTTTTGAACCGGGTCCGGCCGTCTCTCATGACGGGTAGTTGTCATTGTAGGGGCTCCGAGCTGGAGGAGAGCCGGTTGAGGTGGAGGTAGACATCGGTGCCGTATCTGGAATAGATTAGTGGGGGTGATGGCGATGCCGGGGATGGGCGGATGTCTTCTTACCCTTCCATACTAATCAACTTGAGGTCGCCTCCAAAGTAGCGCGCGTACAGCCGACTGATGGGCAATCCGTAGCCGAAGCCCGCCATGGGTGCCTTGAAGTCGCTCTTATCAAAGTCGGGGTCGAGGCTGGGCGTCTGCTCCACGGTCGTGTACATATACGTCCACACCAGGGGGATTGCCGACCGGGGGATTCCACCACCCTCATCGGTGATCTTGATGGTGATATCTTCCTTACCCTCGGCCACAATCACCTTGGTCACGGGGAATTGGTCTCGGTCGGCACCGTGCTGCTCGACGACCGCTCGCAGCGAGTTCTTCAAGGTCTCGAAGAGCATGTGCGAGAGATGGCCCGGCACGTACATGAAGTTCAGATCGTCCTTGCAGACCAGCTGCACTTTGGGCGCTTCAAACAGACCATAGTAGTCCTCACAGACGAAGCGGGCGTTCTCGATGGCTTCCAGGGCGATATCGCGGACGTTGGTCTTGGTGCAGATGATGCCGACGTAGTTGGGATGTTTGACATGGGTTTGTTCCGTGAGCGCTATGTGTTGTCCGATTAACATTCGGATTCCGATGCGTGACATGTAGAACCGGTCGAGGAAGGACTGGATGGTCGAGTCGATCTGCATCCGCTGCCGCTCGCGTTTCCACTCCAGGATACCCTGGGCCACCGTTGTCACCACCCCGTCGTGACGTCGCTTGATCTGCTGGAGAGTTTTGGAGAAGCGCTGGTTGTAGTCGTTCAGCTCGGGGGGCCAGTCGCCGTGGTCCCCGGCGGGCACGAAATACCGGCGGCCCGCTGCGGCAACAGCGGCCGCCTTTCCGTTCCCGTTGATGGTGCCATTGGCAGTGGTGGCAGAGCGGTACTGGCCCTCGCGAACACTGGGGTTTTGCGTGGCCTCGGAGAGAATCTTGGAGGTGACGCCAGTCATGCGGCCCGGTCGCAACAGACGGTTCCTGACCTCTTGGGTCAGGGAGGGACGGGGGAGGGTGATGATTTCCTGCAGGGCCGGCCGTTTGTGAGTCACCCCACCCAGGGAAAAAGCAGAGAGCTGCCAAAACAGCCGATGGGCGGACCTACCTCAAATGATTGCGCATACCAATCCTGAACCTTCTTGATGGAGGGCATTTCACTGAGGCCATCGGGCAACTCGCCCAGGTCCTGGACTCGGTGCGCGAGACGAATGGGGAGTTCCTCGGAGAGGAATTGCGAAGCTCGGAACAGAGTGCCTGGAAGAACAATCAGTCGATAGTCGATCGCGGTCGCGAGATGAGAGAAGCATCGATTGCCGTGAAGAAGATCTGAGGGGGTGGGCATACCGGTTGAGGGCCGGTCGCCAAACTGGACCATCTGCCTCAGCGAGACGCCGGTTGCGGGGAAGCTGGCATAGTGCCTGATGGTTTCCATCAGGCGCTCTGACGGCTTCCACATCGTGCGACTTTTCAAGCCGGGGTGAAGAGAAGGGGGTTATTTCCAAAGGGGTCTCTCTCGTGTGGGTGGTTGGTGGTTGGAAGGGGGAAGAGGAAGAAGCTGAGTGTCGCGTGCGAAGGAGGTCGTTAGGGTGGATGACTGAGGGACTTCGGGGCGAATGGCATTGCCGAGGTTTGGGTTTGGGGGGGGACGAGTGGACGGTCCCGGCGCCCGCACCCTCCGGCGTCGGAGGAATTGGCCCAGCACCAGCGCAGTTCCGCGTAGAAAGTGCCGATATGCGAATCTACGTCAGATGACCACCGTTCATCGTCCTTCGATGGTCGTGCTCGGCCAATTGACTCTCTCCCAATGACCTTGCGATCTTCCGCCCCGTCGACCATGGGGTAGTTCGAGGCGCACTCAGGCAATGGAATGACAACAGCAGCAGCAGCAGCAGCAGCAGCAAGCATCATGATCGCAATAAGCATGGGTCGAAGATGATAGAATCCCAGATCGATCAATCCACATTCACTGGGCGCATGTGTCACTTTTCCCCCCGGATCTTCCCCTTTCGCCCGAAGGTGGGGCGATCACCGTGAAGACATCCCCGTCGCTCGCAGGGGCTTAGTCTGCTCGTTCGTCTAGGGTTCTCTCCTGAGTTCGTTAGTCAACTGTGGCTAGGGCCAGCCGTTGGGTACTTTTGTCGCACGACACTCCCCGCAGGCAATTCTGAGGACGCATTCCAGGAGCCCACTCAGAGTCCACTCGGATTCCAGTCTGCCGCTGCAATGATGCCATGATGCGATGGTGCCCGGTGATGGGCATCCGATCTTCCCATCGCGACCTCTGATAGATCTATACAGCTTTTGAAGTCTACCTACCTCCTCCTCCCCCCGTCCCCCCACCAATCTCGTCCCTCCTCTGTGAGATAACGCGATCCCGCTTCGATTTCCCCGTCCGCCCCTTCGCCGATCGGTGCAGCAGCCCTCGGCGGATCCGTGGAGACTCAAGATTCCCTTTTCGAGCTCTTGCTGCTTCCTGGCGGTGGGACCCCTCGCTTTTCTGGGTACTCTTTTTTCCTTTCTTCTCTCTCTTGTGTCTCGCTCGCTTGTGGGTGGGCATATTTCTCGTGGATTTGGGGGTTTATCCTCTTTTCTCTTTTCTCTTCTCTTTCATCCCCGTTTGAGAACATCCTCGTGTGGACGTCCATCGCAGAAAGGCCCCCCTCCTCCCCCCCTAAAAGACACGCCCTAAGCGCAAGCGACTCGGAAGACAACCGTCTACCCCCTCCACGCTACTGGGCCTCTAATTTTTTCTACGGTCGATTTGGGACGGTATTGGCCTTCACCTGTCACCTTATTACATCCGCAATCCCCCCCACCTCGGTTCTCTTTTGTTGTATACTTCCCTTGGGATCGATTGCATTTGCCAACCACCCCCTCCAACCCCCACCGGGGTTTTTTTTTTTTTTTTTTTTTTCTCTGCCACTTTTTCGCAGTCCTTACCACTTGCAAACCATGTCTCGCCGTCGAACTTCCCACAGCGAGCCCATGAACGAGGCCGTGGCATATCCATTCTCCTCTACGGCCAACGGCCAAATGCCCGCGCCGCCGCGCCGCGGGCCCATCGAGGGTCCCAATGGCCGCCGTCTCATCCGGCGCGTCACCTGGCGCTCGTCCACCTACAAGCTGATGGCGTCGCTGTGGGTGCTGGGCGTGCTCTACATCCTCTGGCTCATCCGGGACCTGTTCTACTTGCCGTTCACCCCGTCCGAGTCGAGCCCGCCCGCCTCGGCTGATGCATGAGTTGGGGCTCTGTCTCGTGCTGGGGTGCATGGACGGGGGATGACGGGGTATGGGGTACTATGGCTGGCTATGCGCCTCTATTCGGCCCGGTCGGGGTGCTTTCAGCTGTTCTGCGGTATCGTGGGATCTTCGAATCTTCGAATCTTCGAGCCCTCGGGGCTCCCTGCGCGCGGCTGCGTTTCATGATGTGTATCGGTCTCTGCTCCGTGCACTGGGTGGCATGATCGTGCTCCCATTGCCCTCTCTCTCTCTCTCTCTCTCTCTCTCTCTCTCTGAAACCACGCACGAATTGGGTCTCTTCGGACCAGCATGAGGCTGGCGAAAGGGTACTTCTATTCGGCTGTGGATAAGTGGATGAGGGATGAGGGATGAGGGCCGATGGCTGAGAAATGGAAGCGGCCCCGCTGGTTCACAGGCATTCGGCGGGAGAGAGGTCCGTGGCGCTTCCAATGCCAAAATGGCCACAGCGAAAGGGGGCACGAGCGGCTTGTTCCAAAGCTCTCACAGCCCTCGGCTCTCCCGGCAGCCCCTCCGATGCCTCCAGGACGGTGGGCAGGCGCAATTCCCACCCGCCGTTCCTCTCCCAGCGGCACACGTCTTCACACGACCCCATGGCCTTCAAAACACATCATCCCAGCCTGAACAGCTGTCTTTGTGTGCGATGATGCAACCATGCAGCCTGACACTGGGCGATCGGTTAGTCTGGAAGCCCAATCGACCGGGGAGCTCGACCGTCCTGCAGACCGACGATCGGGCATTGCGTCCCGGCACCTTTTACCCCCCTTACCCCCCCCCCCCCCCCGGCGGCGGCCCCACCACCTCCTTCCTTTGCAGCGCCCCCCAGCGATCTCGACTGCGCTGAATTGCCTCGCTTCCCAGGGTTGAACTCCCCGGTTTCCACCCCTGGGCTTTTTGAACGTGGACATATTATCTGGCTTTTACTTGCGTACGGTTTGCATGCGCATAGCGTTTCCCTTTTGTTGGATGCCTTGAATCACGGCCCGATGACCTTGGATTTTGCATAGCCTTTTTTCTTTTCTTTTCCTTTCTTTTCCGCTCCTTCCGTTTGTTTTTTCTTCTCTAATCTTTGACTCCTTGTATAAAGGTTGGGGCATTTTCCTTCAGCGGCTAGTGGATCATGATTGGATGCTGTTAGGCTCTCTTCGCCCGTTTCATGCTGCATCTTGTGCCTTTTCTTCATAGTTAGAACGGGTGGTTCTTTTGATTGATCATGGTCTCTACATCTGCTATACCTTAATTGATAATGGCCGTCCCCCGAAGCGATACGATCCCGTCGAGTCTAGTCCTCCTGTCCATGGCCAGATGAGAAGGAAAAAAAAAGAATCTCATTTCATAGCGCGTATCACTGGCCAATATACAACTCCTGCCCTCTATACCGTCCGTCGTATTTTATGGCAACATTCAGTTCATGTTCATGCCGCGCTCACACACTGCTTCTATCCAGCTGGGGCCGACTAGGTGTCCACGAGGCACTTAAACGTGCAGGGCAGAGGTTTCGCCCTTGGCAATGTGCGAGGCGTACGGCTTAATGGCGGCAACAACCTCGGTGGTGGTGAACTTCTCGACCTGCTGGGGAGCACGGCCGACGAAGGTGGAGGCGTCGAGGAGGCTGTCCAGCTCAGGAAGGATGGGGTTGAAGAAGGCGGTGCGGCGGATGCGGTCGAGCAGGTCGTTGTCTTTACCGTGCTTCTTGACATTGTCGGCGGCTTGGTGGGAGAGGACACCTAGAAAGCGGCAAAAAAGAAATTCTCGCGTGAGACGGTGCTTGCGGATGGAGTTAGGAGTGGACCACTTACGAATCTCCTCGTGGGCGTCCTGACGGGAGAGACCCTTCTTCACGCAGGCCATGATAATCTGGAGACGATTAGCATTGGCAAATTGTGTGTCAATAAATTCCATAAGCGCGTACATTCTCACTGTAGACATGTTAGCTCTCTGTCTTGCACAGACGGGAATCATTGGGGACTTACGTCGCCATAAAGGGAAGCTCATCGTTGACGTGGCGCTTGATAACTTCGGGGTAGACGACAAAGCCGGAGCTGACATTGTCTGGGGAATGTTAGAACAGAGCGTTTAGATGACTTGATGTGAGGACATACTCAGCAGGATGAGACAGGCATCAGCGGTCAGGTAGAGCTCGGGAATACTGATACGGCGGATGGCGCTGTCGTCCTAGTACAAGTTAGTAATACGTTCCAACTCAGCTTTGAAAGGCACGTACCAGCGAGCGCTCAAACCACTGAGCGGAGTAGGTGTCCAGACAATCCTTAGGCAGGTTTTGGAGGTGACGTCCCAGCGAGCACAGACGCTCCGAGCGCATGGGGTTACGTTTGTAAGCCTAGTAAGAGTAAGCAGCCGTATTCACAAGTAATTGGCCAATCACGCTTACCATGGCACTGCTACCAATCTGATCCTTCTCGAAAGGCTCCTCAACCTCCTTGAGCATGGCCAGGTGACGGATGTCAATACCAATGCGCTCGCAGGTAGAGCCGAAGGAGCCAAGAGCATTGCCGACGTCGACATCGATCTTACGCGAGTAGGTCTGCGAGGAGATGATGAAGGCGGAGCTGAAGCCAGCCTTCTCGGTGACAAGCTCATCCAGCTTCTCAACCTTGGCGTGGTCGCCCTCGAAGATCTGCAGGAAAGAGGCCTGGGTACCAGTGGTGCCCTTGACACCACGGAATCGCAGGTCATCGCGAGCGCGCTCGAGGTTGCGCAGATCCATCAGCAGATCCTGGATCCACAGACAAGCACGCTTGCCAACGGTAACCAGCTGGGCGGGCTGACCGTGGGTGAAACCCAGGCAGGGCAGGTCCTTGTACTGCTGGGCGAACTGGGACAGCTTGTCGACGACGACGGCCAGCTTGGGGATAAGAATGTCGAGACCGTCCCGGAGCAGGATGAGGTCGGCATTATCAGTGCAGTAGCACGAAGTGGCACCCCAGTGGATGATACCAGCGGCGGCTGGGGCGACCTGGCCGAAAGCGTGGACGTGGGCCATGACATCGTGGCGGCGGCGCTTCTCCTCCTCGGCGGCAACCTTGAACTCGTCGTCCTGGATAGTGGCATGAGCCTTCATCTGCTCGATTGCATCGTCGGTGATAGGCAGTCCAAGCTCTAGAACAGCAAAACCGAGTCAATTGAATCCTTCGTTTGTTTCATGCCCCCAAATTTGCATCGAATGTCGGTGCAGCCCTCAACTCAACCCTCCAGGCTGGTATATAACGTACCCTTCTGGGACTCTGCGAGCCAGATCCACAGCTTGCGCCATGTTGAGAACCGCATGCGAGGCGAGAACAGATACTTCATCTCAGTGCCTAGTCCATTGAAAGCAAACGATCATTAGCCATAGACTCAACCCCCCGGATTTCGGGTCCCCCTCATCGGGCGGGCGGCCGGAGGAGTGACTTACTCGCATAGCGCGAGTTGAGGGGGTCTGGTAGACATCGTTGCTGGCGGACATGATGCCGGGACTTATCGGAAAGTACCCGAGAGACGAATTGAGTGACAGGATCGACTGGAAAAGAGAGGGCGAAGCAATGTGCGATCTAGGAAATTTTGCTGCGAGGCCGGGTTAGCGGGGCTTATCACGTTATCGCAAGGTTGAGGCGCGGGCAAGTCACGTGTATACTATGGTGGGATGATCTGTACTCCGTAGAGCAAAGCGTTTATCTGGCGGCTTGATTATGGTATTATTGGCTTGAAGAGAGAGAAAAGAAAGCTATGGATGCAACAGTACAATACTAGAGCCTAAGACAGCTGCGCCAGCTGCACCGCAAGGCTTGCCTTGTCGTACTTGATGTACTTGCCCCGACCCTTGTCGATCTCGACATAGCGATCATAGAAGCGCGCATAGAGCGGCTCGAGAACAGCCTGCAGCTCTCGGCTTAGCACAGAGCGCACCTCCCGCTCCATATAAAGGTTCTTGTGCCGAGAAAGCATATCCTCGAAGCTCGCGTTGAACGATTTGAACTTTTCCTTGATGGCATCCCGATCGCGCGACGACAGATTTTTGACGATCGCGCTGGAATCCACCGCGCCACCTGAGGTGGGCCGCGCACCGGTTCGCGAGGTGTACTGCACGTCCAGCAAGAATTGTGATGTCTCCTTCCACGCATCGAGGTAAGTCGATGTGGCGCGTTTGCGGAAGGTATCAATTCGGGCGATACTATCTGGCGCACCGAGATAACGTGCCAGCTCGGGACTCTGTCTGATCGAACGGTCGACAACACAAAACACGTTGGACAAGAATACACCAAGCGCAGCCTTCGACCGGTGGAAGGCTCGGCCGCGGGCTTCTAGTGAGGTCATGAGCGCCTCAATCATGTCCAGAATGAAGTGGGAGAAAAGGGTGCCACTGTCGGGACCGACATCTAACGGAGCAGCGCCAGCAGTGTTTGACTTGGAACGCCAATTTCCATCTCCAAGCGAGGTTAAAATAGACGCTAGGGGGCCTGAGTAGCCGGTCAAAGTAGCTAAAGAGCTCATCACCTCCTCAACCAGAGGGACAGAACCACCATCAGGGGGCAGGGACGTGTTGGCAGCCTTGCGCTTGGTCTCTTCGAGTAGCTCCGAAAGTGAAGACTTGGCAGTCTCACGAACCGGACGCAAAGCTTCTATCAGTAGACTCTTGAGCTCTGCAGTCTTTGAGTCGATTCGGTAAGACATTGCCGTCACAATCTCGATAATCTCAAAGGCCAAGAAGCAGTCCGTCATCAGATTTGCCTTGATGTACTGGTTAAGCTCCCGTAGTGTCTTTGAGTAATCTCCCATGGCCGAGAGGAAGGTGGCCTGTAGAGCGAGGCCTTGCTGATCCCCGGTCAAGATTTGCACGATAATCCCATGTTCTGTAACGATAAAGCCTTCTAAAGCATTCGAATAGATCCCAATTCCGTTTGTGCCTTGCTTGTATGGACCATCGGTCGGTCTTCGCTTGACGGTGTTCAGTGATGCAATTGATAGATTTTGTAGGCTAGCGGTGATATACGGCCCGCGCACTTCTGCATATATCTTCATCGCAGGATTCTCCCCTTTCACGCGCTGCAATCCATGGATTGATGCCGACCCGATTGCCGAGCACAGCGGTGCCAAGTGTGAAATCGTGTCTTCGGGAAGGGAGGGGAATGGGAGTTCTGAGAGCGCCCGGGTCAGTTATTCGTTCGCAAAGGGTTGTGCAGCCAGGACAAATGCCCACCTTTGGTCAAGTAGTGTAGCGGCTCGATAGGCGTGACATGTTGCTTCAATTCACTCCGGAGATCATCTTGTAACATGTTGCTTCCTGTGCTCAGAAGTGCGTTAAAGTCCGACATCGCTTTCTGGTTCGACCTGAGGTTCGTCGCATTGAGGTCGACCAGCGCCTTTTCAACACGTTTCATCGCCGACAGGTACTGCGAAAGACCGGAGCTCTGTGGCCTTTAGGAATGAATTCAGTCAGTCTATCTCCTAGCAAGCTTGTCTTGAGGGCAGCCTTGAGGTAGTCTTACCCTGAGCGGATGATGCCCTCCTCTCGGCTCTTCGCGTCGAGCGGCTGGCGCAGACGGTCGATAGCATCGTTGACCTTATCGATATTGCTATTGGTAATCTGAAGTGATTGCGTATTGCTGTAGATCGGTCCAATGGCCTCCTTCACGACCTTGCCGCTGGTCTCCAGGCGCACAAGAGAGCCTTGGATCTTTTTGGTGAGACGGTTCAGTTTCTCGAGATTGGCGTAGAGCACCTCCACCTCCGCGCTCTCCTCCGCATAGGCGGTATTCCTGGGGGCTACCATGGTTTCTCAACGGCAGAAAAGATACAAGGCCGAGTCACCAGGAGCCGTCATGTCTCCCGGGTGTGGGGTCCACGAGGGATGTTTGGCCGCAGCAACTCGATAAGCTCTGCCCCGGACGGCGTTCGCGCTAGCCCCAAAGAGGTATATATCGGCCCGTCTGTGATCCCGTCAATTATCACATGACATGTCGTCATCCCCGCGGCTGCAGTAGACGAGCACCAATGATGGCCTGGCACTGGCCAAGCTTGTTGCATGCATGTCGCAGCTGCTTCTACGCGCTCCTCTTTCGCCAAAATGAGGGCTGCAAGGGTTTCACGTCTTGGCTGGACGGTTCCTCCTGCTGCCCTCGCCGCCTACACTGCGGGAGAGTGGAATAGACGTCTGCCGCAAAGTGCTGGCTTTACCACTGCTTCTGCTCAATACGAGGCCAATTCCGAGTCGCGAAGCTATCCGTCCAGTAGCAAGAAGGGCCATGAACACAGCGACCATGATTCTGTGTGGTTTAAGATTGTGCAGAAGCTCGATGAGGTCAAGCACACGGTTGGTGCTGGAGGGTGGGGAGACCTTGGGGGAAGCATTACCGACTACATCGTGCCCGACTGGACGCGGATGCTTCCGGCGATAGCCCAGAAACTCCAGCGGGAGCTTTCAATGGCTCCTGGCTCACTGGCAGATGATATTTGGAAGGAGTCGCAAGATCCGGAGATCAACCCAGAGATCTTAAGAGATGCCAGGGTGCGGGTGAGCGGCGATCTTTGCAAGGAGGAGCTAGCATTCAGGAAAAAACGCCAACACCACGCGGTGAAGGCATTGGCTTCATATCTTGGCATTCCCGAGGAGGAAATCCACCCAGAAGATGTCCCGGTCATTGCCATGTGCGGCTCCGGGGGCGGGCTACGTGCCCTGGTCGCAGGAACCGGATCGTACCTGGCTGCTCAGGAAGCCGGGTTGTGGGACTGTGTTACCTACACGGCTGGGGTCAGCGGCAGCTGCTGGCTGCAGACCCTCTATCATTCTTCCCTCGCCGACGGGAACTTCAACAGGCTCGTTGATCACCTGAAGAATCGGCTGGGTGTCCACATCGCCTTCCCGCCGGCAGCCCTTAATTTGCTGACCACAGCGCCGACCAATAAGTTCCTTCTCAGCGGCCTCGTTGAGAAGCTGAAAGCAGACCCAGGCGCGGACTTTGGATTGGTGGATATTTATGGCCTGCTGCTTGCTGCGCGACTCTTGGTTCCTCGAGGAGAACTGGGTGTTTCAGATCGGGATCTCAAGATCTCAAATCAGCAGGCCAATCTGTTGGATGGCGCGCATCCAATGCCTATCTATACTGCAGTACGACATGAGATTCCTGTGTTGGATGGAGATAGCCAGGAGGCCAAACATACAAAGCCGGAAGATTTGATGAGAGAAGCCAAAAGCGAGTCCTGGTTCCAGTGGTTTGAATTCACTCCATACGAATTCTTCTGTGAAGAACTCAATGCTGGAATTCCTACTTGGGCATTGGGACGTCACTTCAATGCAGGGCGTAATGAGCTGCCTTCCGATGCCTACCCCATCCCCGAGCTGCGGGTTCCAGGACTGATGGGAATCTGGGGCAGTGCCTTCTGCGCAACTCTATCTCACTACTACAAAGAGATTCGACCCTTGGTCAAAGGTCTTGCTGGGTTTGGAGGAATTGACTCCCTCATCCAGGGCAAAAATGAAGACTTGGTTCGGGTGCATCCCATCGATCCTGCAGCCATTCCCAACTACGTGATGGGTATGAAAGACCAACTTCCTGCCTCTTGCCCAGAGTCCATATTCCAGAACAAGCACCTGCGTCTTATGGATGCTGGCATGAGTAACAATTTACCCATCTACCCGCTGATTCGGCCAGGCCGAGATGTGGATGTCATTGTCGCCTTTGATGCATCTGCCGATATCAAGCAGGAGAACTGGCTCTCTGTCGTGGACGGTTACGCCCGACAACGAGGTATCAAGGGCTGGCCCATTGGTGCCGGATGGCCTAGAGCAACCGAGAGTCTTGCAGCCACGGAAAAAGCGCTCCGAGAGTCGCAGGACATCACGGACGAACAAGCCAACCAGAAGATCGCCGACTCACAGCACAAAAAAGCAGATGTCTCGAAGCAGCCCAAGCCAGCTAGTGCTGCTGACACGGACCTTGGATACTGCAATATCTGGGTCGGTACCCAGGAGGAGCGCATCTCGGAGGACGAACCTCCGCCTTCGAAGCGCCTTTTTCACCCCGAGCACGGCGACGATCACTCCGAATCCGACTTCCACCTCATGAGACCCGAGGCCGGAATTGCTGTTGTCTACTTCCCTCTCATCCCTAACCCCTCGGCCCCAAATCTACCACCGACCCCTAAGACCCGCCCGCTCGCAGCCGCCCACTCCCTTCGACAGAATCGCAGCCAAACCAAGGACCCGGCTAACCCGGTTGCCTCTCATCCCAACTCGATTGACCCCAATGTGGATGATTTCCTGTCCACCTGGAACTTCATTTACACGCCCGAACAGATCGACTCTGTCGTGGGACTGGCCAAGGCCAATTTCTCTCAGGGCAAGGATCAGGTCCGCCGTGTGGTCCGCGCGGTCTATGAGCGGAAGAGATCTGATCGGCTGCGTCGCGAGCAAGAGGAGTCTCGGAAACGTATGGAGGGCTTTGTCCCTCTGTAGAAGCATGATTACGCCAATAGACGAACAGGCGTTGGTGCTGTGGCACCGCACGATTCTTGCAGTTTTTTTTTTTTTTAATATCCGTTGGTGATTTGTTAGAATATTTGGTCTGACTGGGACCCGCCCCGTTATGTACTAACGCTCTCCTTTTGTTTATTACTCTGCTTATAATACCTGCAATAGCTAGCGAGCAATTTCTGGTAGGAGAAAGTATGCGAATATCGATATGTCCCACTCATCTCGTGTAAAACAAGGCTCATAGTGCCCACACCCGCAGGCAGTAGGTATATATATATATGCTACCTATTAAATCTAACGTTTACACTTTCCTCTTGTTCTCACGACCCTTTGGAGTCGTGTGCTGCCTCCTTACCCTCTTTCTCTTTCTCCTCATCTTCGTTCTGAAAATAAGACTGCACCCCTTCCAGATCCCCATTCCCCTCCACTTTCTGCATCGCAGCCTTTGCCTTCCTCGCCCTCCCCTGATCATCCGTGACCGACCGTGTCTCATCCTCACTGCCCGCCAGACTAACATCTTTGCTTTCGTTCGTCTGCTTCCGCAGTCCCAGTTGCCGCCCAAGCTCATGGACCGAGTCTGTGCTCACAGCTAGCAACGTAGACGCCGTGGCGCTGAGGCCAGCCCCGAAAACCTCCGACTGGGAAGATTCTTTCAGGTCCGCTTGCTTGGCCGGAGGTTTATTCTCCTGCTCAGGCTCCTCCCCGCCTTGCTTGCCCCGCCAATCAGCAGGCACGCTCTCAGGAACAGGCTCGCCGGGCTTCGGCTCGCTAATAGGTCTCCCCGCAGCAACAGTCGCATCTTTTTGCCCATCCTGGTCGGACGGATACCGCCAGACCACTTTCAGCCGCTCGAATGCGCGGATCCCCTTTCTTGCGCTCCCCTTGATGCCGTCCATGGCATCCCACTCAATTTCGAAGATGCCCGAGTCATGCTCGGCGCCGCCTTCGAAGTACGCGTTGAACCATACGTGCGCGACGGAGGTTACCATAGCGAAGCCGGTATAAGAGACTTTACTGCGACGCTCGAAGTCGATGTTTACATCTGACTGTGGGACGATAATGCGCTTGGTGGGCCGGAATATCACAGTAGAGAGGCTGGGGGAGGTTGTTGTTGCGCGGTGGGCGAGCTCGGACGCGGAGCTGGACGAGTCGGATTGTGAGGGCGGCGACCATGTCGCAGAGGCGTTGATAGGCTGGGCCAATTTCGCTTCTTTGCTGTCGGCGCGGTTTTGGGTGGGTGGTGTACCGCCCTCGCCGACTTCGACCACGGTGCGCTCCTTGCGGTGGAAGAGATGGAAGCATTTGATCTTCTTGCCCTCGTCCACATACCCTTCCACTGCGACTTTGACGCCATCTCGCAAGCCCCAGATGTGAATCTCAAGGATCTCCACCGGCCGCTCCACATACTGTTTCTCCAGCTGATTCGTCCACCGGTCGATATACCCGACATACCGTAGCTGGCTCGGGATGCTGACGCCGTCCCCGAAGTTAACGCGCATGCGCCGCTCCGTGAATCTTTGAAGTGCATCCTCCTTCTTCCAACCTTCTTCGCTAATTAAATATGCGGTTGCGATAGTCCCACTGCGGCCCTTGCCCGCCTTGCAGTGGACGACGGCAACTCTTTTCTCTGCCTTCGAGCCGCTTGTGGGTGTGTCTTCGCCTTTCGCGTCTAATCGATGTACCCAGTTCCGCATGCTGCCCATGATATTCGGGATCAGCCCAAAGGGCGGCGGGTGGTGATCGGGCCAGGGAAAGTGGTGGATTCGACCGTAGACCTCAGAATCCGGGTACCCAGTGCCCTCGGCGCGGAACTCCCAGATACACCAGTTCTCACCATGTTTGGAGTCGAGGAAGGTGACTAGCGCGTCGAGTGGGTTGCGATATGCTCGTTGGGGGTATGTTGCGGACGGGCCTGAGGTTGCGATGACTGCGGAGCGGGGAACGGTGGTGTTAGTTTGGGTGGTCGGCGTAGTTGAGAGTCACACCAAGACGGAACGGGAATTATATTACTGTTGTCTGTCACATAGCACAGATCCAGGCCGGCCTCCGCGTGCTGGAGACGTGGACCCGCCACGATCTGTCGGAGGATGGAGGACTGCGCGCAGGTGCGGTGTTAGTTAGCGCGTCCTCGCGTCCGGGGGAGACAGGGGTTGTACCATGCTGCGCGAGTCGAGAAACTCAGCTCGCGGGGGGAATTCAGAGCCAGGACATGGATTTTGTTCAAGTCACTGGCCAAATAAGAGACCTGCCGAGCTCCATGAGCATTGAATGACGCGGTTACGCGAAGGGATGGTCGAACTGGTTTGTTGGCGATACGTACGGCTGACTGAGGCGCAGCCGATGATGTCACTCCGTCCCCCCTTCATGGCTATGGCTGGAGGCTTATATTTTTAGCGTGCAGAGCTATGAGCTAAGTCGGACACATGCAAGGTACATGTCCATAAGAGTATTTGATCATCTGCTCTTGATATTGTACAGACTAGGTATGCCTATGTGCAGGGATTTGTGAGCCGGCTCTTGTCCAAGCGCGGTAAGCAGTGACGCCCGAGTTCACATCCATCCCATATCCCAATTTCAACATTCCCCTCTTAAACGCCGGTCATTAGGGAGAGACATACGGGCTCTGGGCCCGAGGACGTGGTCATCAATTACAGACGCCCCGGAGACCTCCAGTGTTCATCCAAACATATTAAAGAAAAAAGAAATCACGGCCAGAAATAGGAGCGGAACAGGCCATTAAACAAGGGGGCCGCCTAGGCAACGCCGTAGAAGACGTTGGGCGTGATGAGGAAGGCTGTGGTGGTCTCGGTGACGTTGGCACTGCCGGCCTGCCAGTAAGTGGCCTCGGAGTTGTACTCCTCCTCAATGACGTGCCACTCGTGCTGGACCTTGACGTTCCACTTGGGGTTGGTTAACGGACTGACAGCCGCGGTGATGGTGTCGTTAGCGCAGGCGGTTGCATTGGGAGTGAGGCCCTCGCAGTAGGTGCTGAAGCCGGGTGCGTTCTCCGACTGGGGAGCGCTGATATTGAAGCGGTATGCACAGCCGCCCGGAGAGCAGTTGAGTTCGAAGTTGGTGCAATTCCAGGTGGAAGCCTGACCGTCGGGGAGAGCGCTAGTGAGGCTTAGGGCGGAAAGCAAGACGGGTATGAGAACGGTGAATTGCATGACGATTATCCCGGGGGTTTATAGATGGAGAGAGGATAATGTACGGAAGTGGAAGGTTCTCACAGACAGGTGGAGAGAAGGAGGGGACTTGTATATCTGGCAGGGGAGAGTGGAAAGGAGGAGGTTGGAAGAAGGTGTGGAATGGTAGAAGGGCCGTACGGAGAGAAAGGCCGGAAGGAAAAAGAGTTGGGCGTCCCGACAGCCACGCCCTCCTCCCTTTTACCCACACCCGCACTGTTCTTCAGTCTCCACTATTTTACCCTTCAACCACTCCCACTCCAACCGTTGGACCCCCGTTCCACCAAACGGCCGATCGCTGCTCTCTCACTATCCGTAGTTCGCGCATTGACGCCAGTCGAGTTACAGATAAGTAAACACCCACCTGGGACCCAACTCGTCTGGCCCTCCTATCCAGTCTCACTGTCTAACACGTCCGAACGCCGATCGTCCCCCGGGCGTTTCAGCTGTTCGGGCGACTCCGGCTATTTTTAGGCGGTGGACCCTGATGGAGCAACGAGAGCAGGCCAGTGGTTCGCAGCGCCAGATCTGGGGTCGACTGGGTCGAGCGGAGAAACGAATCGGTTGGCGCCAAGCTCGGCAAAAGGATGGAGAAACTAATGGATAGAATGCGTGATGGGAGTGATTTTTTGGACTCAATACAGGGTATCGTGGGAAATATGGTACAGTCATCCAAGACCATCATGTCCGTCGCATACCAGAACGTCCCCTTCCTCTAGCCGGGGTGGGCCCCAGGCACCAGAGTGGCAATACAGCAGGATCTCGCAGCTCGCAGCCGAAACCGCTGTGTCGAGAAAACCTCTGATAGAGCGCTGTGGTTTCTATTCGCCCGCCTTGGACGGGGTAGGGCCTGGGTCACTACTGGTCTTGTCCACCTCGTCCACCTCATCCACCTCCTTGTCAGAGTCCAACTCGGGGTTTTCCGCAGCCTCCGGGTCCATGATACCCTTGGCAGCGAGTCTTTCCAATGCTCGCTGTCGACGTTTCTTCTGCCGTCGTCTTTTGTTATGCGCGACTCTCTCCTCCCGACTAACCTCGCGGTGAGGGCGGCCAGGTGATTCGGGTTCCTGGGCCCTCTCTGTACCCTGGCCGGGGTTTGCTTCCTCCTTGGGTGCATCCGCATCCTGGATAGAAGGATGATACTGCAACCGCAGCGCATACTCGCTCACGGACTGCGAGCAAATGCTCCGGATTTCCTCCTTCGCCTTGGCACTGACTGTCTCTTGCCGCTTGGATAGGTCTACCAAGTACATCAGTGCGGATTTGTAGTTACCCGCATCAAGGCACATCAGGATGATGGTTTCAAAGGTGGCGGCATCCGGGATGACGTTCAAAGTGGCCATTTCTTTGACCAGGAATATGCCAGCGTCGCGTTTGCCCGCCGTGCGACACATCCGGATCAGCGTGTTGTACACCGGGCGATCGGCGCCTTGGGGACACACCGTGTGGAGTTCATTGTAGAATCCCACAGCGTCGTCCACCACCGACGGGTCATTTTGCGCATCGTGTTCACACAATTCCGCAATGACGCCAACACTCGCAAGGGGAATGCTCTGGTTTTCATTCCGTAGCCGCTTGAGGATCTGCCACGCTTCCCGGCGGTCCAGTTTACTCTGGATCATGTATGCGAGAATGGGTTTAGTCGACGTTTGATCGATCCGGTGGCCAGATTCGTGCATGGTAGAGAGGACCCCGAACGCAGCGGGAAGGTCCCCTACGCCCACGTGGGTTATAATAAGCTGCTCGTAATCCTGCGGGGTCGGCGAAAGCGTGTTCCGGGCGAGGTATCGCAACACCGACTTGGCCAAGTCAATGTCACTCATGCTGGCAGCCAGTCTCAAGACATTACTACACCAATGACTCGGCAGGTGAAGGTAATCTAGTTCCGCCATGCGCCACCACACAAAACGCGTCGTCTTATAGTGCTGCGCTTCAATTGCGGTGTGCAGCACATGCGTCCAAAGCTGAGGCGTCATGTCATGACCCTGGTTAACGCGGATCTGCATCAGGCGAAGCACTTCGTCGAGTTCGTCCATATCACAGAGATAGTAGATAATTGAGCTGTGCAGCCAATCCTCCACATGGATGTCCTTCCGCGCCATCAAGGCTACCTGTTCAAGTACCATCTCAAATTGGTGCTCGCGGAGAAGACCCGCCACCACGAAATGCCATCCATCTGGGCTGAGGGATAACCACCGGTCTCGAAGTTTTTGGAGGACTTCTTGGCGGAGCGCAAAGTCTGGATGCACAGCAAGAGCCTATACCATGAAAAACTTAATTAGGAAACCTTCCTCACATCAACTGTTTTGACCTGGGGGTTTATGTACCTGTAGCGCAGCATGTAGTGTTCCCGAGTCCGCCGCAATCCCCTGTTCTTCCATCTCCTCCAGCAGACTCCTCACAAACATCGGCGAGCCCTTCATCGGGTCTGAATTCGCCAGTATAAGCGCTTTATAGTGCCGCGCAGACGGCTTGATACCCCGGTCCCGTACCAACGACCGCACGATCTGTGTCGCGCCCGTAATGTTGGGTTCCTCGGCCATTTTCGTTTGTAATAGTGTCTCCAGTTGTTCATTGTTCATCTGGACAAGATGGTTGGGCACTCGGGGCCATTCGTTGATTGATCTTCCCCGCCATGTCAAAGACGATCGTCCCTTCTCTGGCGATATTATTTCCCCATCTTCGTTCTCGTATGTGTTCTCAAGATTGGAGCTATCGTGTTGGTTCTCCACCGGCTCGCTGGCTGACAAGGTGGATTTGGAGAAGGGTGTAGGTGAGTTTCGCGAATGGTCATAACCCCGGGTGTCTTCAAATTTACTGCGCGTGTCGGACTTGCTGGCATTGGTGCTGTAGCAGCGATGCGGCGGAGGCGCCGCAATGCGGCGAGCTGGCGGCGAGCATCGCCGTGAGCTGAGCCTTCGCTGCTTCAATAGGGGATTGGGGCGGGTCAGCGCCAATGGGGTAAATGACGGACATAGTGAGTACCACAGTCCATCAAAAACCAATGCCCGCCGCGACATGTCGAGCTGCGTGTGGACTTGGGAAACTTACATCTAACGCCCACGATCCGACGAAACTGTGTCATGATCACGTGATTGGCATCGATGGTCCCTGGACCATTCAACAACGAATTGAATAGATCGGGATTACGCAAATAAGAGACAAGTATCGATTTCAGGATGTAATATTCGTTGATCGCAAGGCGACCAAAAAGCCCAGTTCCCACTGAAAAATACAGAGCCAGATACGCCACGGCCATGCTCGTCCAATCCGATCCTATGGGACCTCCCAGCGAGCGACCTTACCCACTCTCTGCTGCAGGGTATCTCATTATCTTGTCCTCTCTTCCCCAGTTATGCAAGTCATATATCCTGGAGGGTCGCTCATAATCCTCCACGATCACCCCCACCACGTCCTCCTCGGCCCCGACCACGGCCACCACGGCCGCCACGGCCTCGTCCGCGGTCACCATCTCGCCCATGGCCGCCGCGGCGGTTCTGTGGTTGGTTCTGTTGCTGTTCTTTCACGAGCTCGATGATTTCGTCGGGGACGCGGAGGTATTTGATCTGGATTGAGGTTAGCGGACTAAAGATGCATTACGCAAGTGCCACCCTGGTGCGGGCGTGCGGGTAGGGACGTACGTTGTTGCCGCGGATATACACTTCGGGCAGTCTGAAGAACTTGTCGCCCTCGGGGCTGGTCTGCACAACCTCGCGCAGGATTAGGTTCATCCAGTTGTCGCAGGTGACTAGGTGGCCGTTTAGAGTCTCGCCGTTCTTCAGCTCCACCAGCATCGGGTGGCCCTGTGCGGCCGTAAGGAGGCCGAGAGGCAACTTATAGAAGAAGATATTAGCATGAATTGTAGGTGCTTGCAAGCGATGGAGTGATTACCATTGCGAACTGCGTCGAGGCGTAGGAGTCGCAAAGGTGGGAGGGTTGGTCGGGTAGTGCGCAAGCGGTAATCGGTGTGGGCAGCACACAAACTCGCAAGTTATGAGCGAGTCAGTTGGATCAAGATTGGTGCGTGACCAATGAAGGGGGCCTGGCGGGGTTATCTGGCGCTGTTGGAAGTAGCAATGGCTGCGCCTGAGCTCCGCTGCAGCTGTGACGGAGGCTGATGCCCGGAAAAAATGATGTGCCGAGAGTCCAGCTCGGGGATGCTCTGTGCGGTCTACCTGCTCTCAATCATCCACGAGACTAAGAAAATCTTAAATTTATCAATTTTGACAGAAAATAATGACTTTAAAAAGTGCTGAAATAGAATCTTAATGACAGCATATTAGATTACATGCAATCTAAAAATGGTAAAATAAATATTAAAGATATTTTAGCTATCAGATTTGTCAACTAGGCCCAATACCTAGAGCTACCACTATCGAAACAATGCGGACCTTTGCCCCGAGGCATTCAATCTACACCTTGGGGCGCTTGACTGCCTCGCTCACGTTTTCTTCCTCGTCTTCGTCATCCTCGACGGCAAGTTTGCGCTTGTTACGGGGGCCAGTAGGAGCGGCAGGGGCGTCGTCCTCAGGTTCTGGCAAGCGACCCTTGACCGCATTCAGTGTGATCTCGTATCCTTCCTCCACATTCCGAACTGTGTCATCAAGCTTCTCCACCCGGTCAAGCAGTTCCAACTCCTGCAGTAACTCCTTGTGCTTTTTGAAAAGACGCTGCTTCGTAAGCATACGCCACCAGTAATATCGTCGATCATCCGGGTCATCCGCTTTGGCTTTTTTAATTAACAGGCGCGCGATATTCGCGCCTCCAGCCAGACGGTGGCTCGGAGGAATTTGGCTGAGGAGGAACATCTCCAGGATGTGGGCGAATTGAGTAGCCTCGATCTTAAACGAGGTGCGAATGTCACGCAAAACATCGGTAGGGATCAATTCAGCGGTTGGGACAGAGCTGAGGCGCTGTTTGCGAGAATAGGCCCCGTTGGGGTCGGGGTTGAGGTTGACTTTGCGCTTGACGAATTCAGGCTGCAGAAGACAGAAATCGGCCGTATCCCGCAGAGCATCGAAGCTCTCGTTTGGATCTTCAACTGTCAGCTCAACGATTGTAGGATCGGCGATGCATGAGGCATGTATCGTGGTATACAGGTGGGTACCGTGACCCGAGCGGTGGTGTGAAGGAAGGATGAGGAATTGGGCGATGCGAAGCCGGGATGGGAGTTCCGAAAGCTTGATTTCGGGGGGCGGAAATGCATCATCTTTGACGGCGGGTGTTATAGTGCGGTCTCTCTGGTAGAGCCAGTATCGATAGGTGGTGGCGTATCCCACGATAGAGTAGGATGAGGCGGTCGGTGTTGGGGGTGTCACCTTCTCGTATCTATGCTGGTCAGTCCAGAATACCAAACGGAAAATGACAGCTAGGGCCCCTACACAAAATATACTGTCCATCGTTCCAGAGTCCATTCTGGATCGTCTGTCGCTAATGGTGTGCCAGCTTCGATGAATAAGGACACCAAGATCTGTGCGCGGTCGAGAATGCGTCGCACATCGGGATCCGCGAGAGATCCAGCCCAAATTTCATAACTCCTTTCGTTTGCCTCGTAGCTATAGACCAGCTTGCCGGGAGGAGTGAAGTCCTTCGCATTGGAATCGTCCTGGACGGCGTTCTCGTAATCAGGAAGGTTGATCAAGGCCTCTGTTCGGGAAATTTGCCCGTCATTAGCCAGCGACTTTTCCATCCATCGAGATCCACCAGAACTCACCTTCCGGGACAAATGGCTTTAGAGAACCGAGAAGGTCCGTCGCAGCTGTGTCAGCTACCGCCTTAAATCGATCGTCGTAGGAAATGTGAACATGAGGGCGGAGGTCGTGGGCGGCAAAGCGTAGGCGGATGATCAGGCCCTTATATCCAAAGATCTGCTCCTCATCGCCAAAGATGGGGTAGGTGAATTGGGGGTGAAAGGTCGACAGAGTCTTCGGCTTGGTTTCGCCCGGCTGCACAACCGTGATATGGAGCGCATCGTTGGCGTCACACGACCCTGGGACCAATTAGTTCTGCTATCGCGCCGGAGAGTATCGAGACCCGATCGCCTTACAGTCATCCTCAAGCGCCATGATAAATATGGGCGGAACGAGTCCAGCTGGTGAGTTACAGAAGATGCGAAATGACAGGAAGGAGGCGCGTCTGACCGCGTCGGAGGCAGCTTCAGTATTACCTAATTGGGCCTAGCGGGCTTTCTCAGACGAGCGATTACATGCAGCGCTGCAGACTACCAAACTTCTCTTCCCTCAATTTGTACATTGCTTTCTTCTCACAGCTGTCCCTATTTTCCGGTCGTTAGTTCTTTCATTTTGCGCTCGCGGGCTTGGTTGAGCATGGGAATCGTCTCCAAGGCTCGCCGTATGCCCATCGTTTCCCCGATCCTCTGGAGCGTCTCAAGCACCCATTCGTGTACTTCTTTGGGAGCTCCAGCAGCACCCCCTGCAACCGCCAGTGGAAACATCAACATAAACACTCCATTCAGTGGCGGCAAGTGCTTCAGCCCTCCAAGTGGGAGCCGACAGGCAAAGACACCCATTTGACTCGCCGCACCAGCGCAAATGTATGTCGCCATCCGCGAAATCGTGTCCAGCGCTCGCTGTCGCCGTTGGAGATCATATAATGTCGGGGTTTCTAATCTTGATAAATACAATGCGATCATCTCATTCACCATCAACCGCGCCCAAAAATAGTGGTTGAGGATCCTTGACGCCCACATATCGTTATACAGCAGGTACTTCCCTTTAAACGTGTTGTGCAGGTCGGTCGACTCATTCAAAGAAAACATCCATTTCCTGGGAAGCTGGTTCTCCCAGTTTTCTAGTTCTGCGTCGCAAGCCTGTGCAGAGCCTGCAGTCGTTTCTGGGTCGGGATTTCGATGGTGTTGAATGGAAGAGTGTAGCTTCATGAAGCGGATCAAGATACCGACCAGGCGGACTGCGGGCGCCACATCCGGCTTTACACTGGGGACGCACCCGGGAGACCAGTCAAGCAGATCGGAAGGTATTTCCCCCTGGGTCAGGAAATATCTGACAATCAGAATGAAGTAGAACTGCAGTTGAGGGCGGGGGTGGTCACTCTTCATGGCATCTTCAAAGCTAGTTTGTTTTGCCAGCGCCGCCACTCCATCCAAATGGACAATCCAGGAGTCAATTCTATTAGGTGTGCAACAGACCATCTGCCAATAACAACCAATCAGTCATGCAGGTGAGGGGGGAAGAGATGGTTTGCAGTGAGTGGGTTATAGCTCATACCTCGTACAGACTTAACATTAAGATGATTTTGAACGTCTGATTCACATTTGCACTCTCGGGGTTCTCCACCGCCCTCTGGACGACGTTAATGGTCGCCACATACTTCTCCCGCGCCGCTAGCGACAGGGCGCGGTCCTGCGTGACATTGGACATAGCGGCTAGTCCAACCGAGACGACTGCATCGCGCAGGGATGACTCCCTGTGAATGGCCATTATGAAGGGTGACGTCTCTAAAAAGTCTCCTGCTAGCCCAGAAACTGCAGTGACAAACCGATTGAAAAAAAAGTTCAGTCCTTGGTCCTCCACACTAGAGGGAACCGCCGCCGGTATGGTAGGGACCCATGTCACTCGAGTCTTTCCTGTCTGGGCTACACATTTCGATTGAGAAGAGACCAATCTATTGGCCAATGTGCCCGAGCCCTCATCCGAGCTGTCCGAGCTATCCAAAAGCCTGCGGCGGGCCTCCGATTTCGCCTTTGCAACCGCAGACCGGCGGGCCGTCTTGTCGTTCTCGTCGCGGAACAACAAAGACGGAAGATCGCGATAGCCACCACATGGTTTCCCCGCCCGCTTGCACTGCGAACAGACAGGCTCAAGATGGTCGCACTAACCCCCAGATGCTCGTGTTAGATGATGGGGTTCAGTCCGGGATCTATCATGTTATAGCTCGCATTGGAACTTGCCTTGATCCGCCTCTCCCGACAACTCTGGCAGTTTTTGCTCGGGCGACCGTAAAATGGCATAGTTGTTCGATGCCTCGGTAGCACAGATCATCCCCATTTCTCTTAAATTTTTGGGGGCTCAAAAGGTGCAAAATCAATCAAGGGAAGCTGCAGAGATGCCGAGACGTACAGATTGCGCCGCCGCATCGGCGAGGCTCCACCTTGTCAGACGTGGAGTCCGCGGGCCGCTGATAGGTGACCAGCTACCCTATTAATATGGGTCCGCTTTCCCTAATGGGGTATCTGTTTCGCTGACTTGTATGAAGTAGAGCATTAGCGAAAGAAGCCGGAAAAGCGTTGCAGCTTTGACGCTCCTTGTCGTGGGAGCCTAAAAAGCTCTGTCAGGGTTGTAGCTTATTTGCTGATTCCTGGTTGACAGGCCGGCCTTAACATCGATGGCGTCCCATTTCCATAGTTGTAGCGACGAAATCTTTGCCTTTTATGGAAATGTGACGCTTCTATCACATCAAAATACAGCTCTATCGAATCCGCGTCGAGATTTCGATTTTTGAGTCCAGGATATAAGTGGACACCGTCCCACTGCCGTGGCTGTATACTTTTCTTTTCATCCTTAACATCTGAACAACCCTACATAATTGATAAATACGAACATCATGGTCTTGGAGGCCCGCTCCCTTCCCCAAAATGGTGATACCTCATACTACCGCTATAACCCCTCATTAGCGGCCGCCGTTGTCGCCGCTGTTTTCTACGGCCTCGCTTTTAGCGCCACTTTCCTGCTGTGGATCAGATATAGATCCTGGGTTTGGATTGTCATGGTCGTTGCTGCGGCTAGTAAGTATATTATTTCTTCTGTCAAATTAGAATATCGACTTCGATACTAACATAGCTCAAAGTGGAGGCAGTTGGCTACATCGGACGATGCATCTCAGTACAGAACGTTACAGAAAAGTCTATCTATGCCCTTCAATTTTCCCTTATAATCCTTGCACCGGTTCTCATGGCTGCTTGCTGCTATGTTCTTTTCAGTCGCATTCTTTTCCTGGTCGTCCCCAGTGAGAAACGATCCTTCCGACTGTGTTGGGTACCGCCGCGGTTCATTACCCCCATATTCGTTGGCTTTGATATCGTTGCTCTTCTTCTCCAGCTGGGTGGTGCGGTGATGATTACTTCGGTAGACCCTGGAGACGTGGATGGAGCCGACAAGCTTGATCGGGGAAAGCATATTGCCCAAGCCGGTGTCATTATACAGTTGGCCGCCTTCGGTCTTTTCTCATTGGCTGCTGCTCGCTTCAATTTCACCTCGAAGCAATTTTTTGCGACTATGCGCGAGCGGTACGAAAGATTCGGAGAAAAGGACTATATCATCGATGGTATTGCGAAGAACAGACATTGGCCGGCGCTATTACGGGTTGTGAACCTTACTTCTCTGTTAATATTGGTGAGTGGATTATATAGTCTACGGGATAACCTCAAACTAACCATAATATGACTGTGAAAGGTCCGCTCGGTCTATCGATTGGTGGAGTTTACTGAAGGCTCGACAGGGTACCTCAATACTCATGAGTGGGCCATGTACGTCTTTGACGCATTGGTCATCTACCCTTGCATCGTTCTCTTCATATACTGGCATCCTGGAAGGTATTTGCCGTATCTGGGTTTCCGTCTACCTAAGCACACTCGCTAGAATCTAGGGCTGCATTTTGGGCGATGATTTCAGGGGGAGTAGTTCAAATTCACTGAGAGTCTTCTATACTACTTAATGATATGTGTTGCACTCAAAATTAACATCATGACTTCTAGGAATCGTTCTCTGCGAGATACTACTATAAGCAGCTATTTCCCGCCGTAATTATAAAAAAAGCACTAACTCTTGCATTCTGGCCTAGCTCACCGTTCTCTTGCAGCAAGGAAACCTACGACTCCCTATCGGCGATGTTTATTAATACAATGGTGTGTGATAACAGGTGAAAGTTGTTCGAATTGACTCAATTCAACCCCACCCACAGTCTGGAGAGAGGAGTACCAACGATTTGATCAGATTAGTGGCCGCTTCTACAGCGAGTTTGAACTGGCATCCTTCCCTGTATATCAACCATGCATGTAATGATCAGCAAGCCTGAAGGTCTGCTTCCCCGCTCACGAGTTCTCGATTTCCACATTAAGGCTGATGGTCATAAGCGACGGATTGGCACTATATCGCGCAGAACTTGCGGCTCGTACTAGACCTTGCGGTGAGTACCCATATTCACAATCAACTGATATATGATAGTGCCCTAAACAGAGCGAACATCGCATTCCTAGTCATGGGTATATCTGACGCAGCTGTCACAAAGTGAAGATCTATGCCTAACGTGGCTGGCGTCGTCGGTGGGAGAGGTGAGACGCTGTGGTGGAGCTCTCGTTTGGTAACTACATGACTGCTGGCTAGCGACCTCTTGAGGGGTAGTTGACTTTCATTTCCGCAAGAAACCAGCGTTAAAATATTGCTTCGACTAATTATGGTGGGATGCAACGAGGTCATCACGATTGGGGTATTTGTCATGCACGCCTAGCGAAGTCATATGGGTATAGCGTGTGGATTTCCGGCATTTCACTTGAACGTTCACGGTTAGACGATGGGCGGCGCTTCATCTCCATTGAGTCGTGCAGAAGCATTAGAACCGCTATTACGAAGACTGGCCTCGCAGTCACCGCTACCGGAGTAGTTGTCGTGTTCTCTTTTGAGATCAACAATGTCGTTGATGAGCCTCGCGTCTTGCCTGCACAGATTCTCAGAGACGGTGTGACTATTTCGCGAGGCGTTGACTAGCTGTAGCCTTTCCAATATCAATCGTCCGCCAATCGTGGCGAGCATGTTGTGTCTCGTCTAGGACAATATGTTGTCTCAGCGGAACGCCCCACTAGAGGCCTTGTCGTTGAGTAGTTGATGGAGTTGTTCTGGGTGACAACTGTCTGGATATTGTCCGAGGAAGCCCCCATATTTATCCATGTTGGCATGGAAAGCACTGTGGTATCGCGGTCAAGGATTAAATATTTGGGCATATCTACGACCTTTGTGTGCGGCTGAAAATACTTATTGTCTGACATTCCTATTTACATAGGCCACTATATAGTTAGAACTAGGCATGCGCGTCCTCATTCGCTCGGCGGTATCTCAAATAGGGAATCTCTAGCCGACAGAGGGATTAGTTTACAGAGATCGCCCTACGATCCACTCGTTCCTGCCTTTCTTTATTCCGTCCTCAGAGGTTGTGCGGTCTTGTAATCGGAGTACAGTTAAACATGCCCACTGATACACTCATATTATACTTAAATGATCATCATAGCTAGCTACATTTTCGCGGTTCCGTCGCCTTGAATGGCTGTGTTCCTTGGCGGGGGCCAGACAACCTTTTGGTTTAGCCTGGTCTTGAACCGGCTTTATCAAATTCTCAATCAGGCTCCCCATCTCTAGTTAGATAGTCATTACAGGGTACAGAAAGTATTAAAATAAAGTGGCTAAGGAGGCCCAGTAATTCCAATAGGAACCATCTAGCTATCGCTTTGTTGCATGGGGAAGGTCACTCCCCATGTTGGCAGACTCATTTTATCTTTTCTCCCTGTTTTTCTGTGTGTGCGGTATGAAACGCAGGGGGATTCAGACTGCAACACTAGTACCAGTTTGCAAACTGGATGATGAGATTGGAATAATCAGATCCAAAGCTACAAAGCGACTGAGTTTTTCAGACTTTGGGTCTAGGGAACTAGAGATCTACCTCGTGTGATTCCAGATAAATCCGCATCCAAGCCGGGTTTTTCTTCTAAATAGCAATAGTCCCTATGAGGCTGAACCTACCCTTGGATCCAAGCAGAGATAATCGGGCATTTCCAACAATAAATGTGGATACCCGTAGCATGTTGCCATGATTGAAAAATTGGAACGGATAAACTTCCCAATCTAGCTTTCACCGGACGGGGCAATAGTATTAGGGCTCGTTTCACTTGACCCGACTTACGCAAGAAACCGATTACGATGTAATGCATGGGCCAAACAAAAATGCATAGAGCGAGAAAACTCAACGCCATCGTGCGAAATTGATAAACTAGAGCTGTGGAGATCCTAGTTCTAGCCCGCCCACGCGAGACAATGCTCCACGCTGCTCAGCTCATTCATACCGAACCGAAACAAAAGCCAGCGATATCCCATGCAATAGATGTTATCCCTTACAGCATTTTTCAACGGCGTGCTTGCAATTGTCCCTCGCTGCTATGAGGTCTTGTCGGTTTTTATTGATCGTGTTGGCTCTGCTAGTAGTTGGGCTGCACGCGACAGACTTGGTATCAAATGATAATATCCCTGCTTGCGCGGTATGAACATTTCCTAAAGACCGTTTCAATATATTGCTGACAACTCATGGCAAGATCGCCTGCGATGAGCAACTGTTTTCTGACTGCTCATTCAACAACACTTCATGCTTTTGCGCCAGCAGTTCGCGTCCCTCCTCGCTGTTGGACTGTGTCTCGAGCAACTGCACAACAAAGGAGTATTTTTGTAAGTTTCGTTTTTGTATGATCGACAATATCCTAGCCTAACTATCTCAGCTACATATAAATTGTATGAGAAAGAATGTGACATCACCCCACTCCAAGGCCCTCCCATCATTAGCGCCTCCACGCTGGTTCCTTTTATCTTGGCAACATTTTTCTTTATTGCGAGAATATTGGCCAAGAGCAGTGGTCTTGCAGGTGGGTGGGGATGGGACCACTATACTATTATCGTTGCATATGTAAGCTATTCTCTTTCCTCAATGTGGTATGGGCGGGTTCTAAAAGACTCGCAGATACTAGGCGTTGCCATCTACGTTCTAAACGTCTACAGTAAGATAACTTCTTTTCCATCTATATGTACCCTTTAACGGGAACTAACAAGTCAGGGATCCATTTCGGCTTTGGCCGCAATATCTGGGACGTGCCTTTTCCTACCATCACCAAGTTCTACCAGGTTGGCTCTCCCCTTGCGGATCAATGGGGTTTGATTCTAACAGAGGCAGTGCTTCCAAGCCTTCGCCGTGATGTACAAGATCCAAATTTCTCTTGCAAAGATTTCCGTCTGCCTATTCCTCCTCCGGATCTTCCAAACCCGCTCGTTCCGATACCTCGCATACGCGCTCATTGCCGTCAACGCCGCCATCGGCATCATCTGGGCCTTTGTGGACTCCTTCCGCTGCGTGCCCACCCGTCTGATGTGGACTGGGTGGACAAATGAGGAATCTGGGAAATGCATTAACTTCATCGTCTCCATATTGATCAATTGTCTAGTCAATATCTTTGTCGACTCAGTCTTGATTCTAATGCCGGTATGGGAGGTGGCCAAATTGCAGTTGCCTCTGCGAAAGAAGCTTGCTGTGGCATTGATGTTTGCCGTGGGGTCGGTGTATGTATCCAGTCTCGCTTTCTGCATCTTCTATGCATTGCTAAAATGGATGCCAGACTCACAATAATCGCCGTTATTCGAGTCGTCGTCTTCTGGAATCACCGATGGGGCATCAATCAGACTCTGGGTCTCTACCCCTTAATCCACTGGTCCATTATCGAAGTCCAGATCTCCGTCATGTGTGCCTGCTTGCCTGCCTCCAGAGCTCTCATTGGCCGCTGGTTTCCTGGCTTGGTTGGATCTGCGCGCCGAACGTACGCGTCGCACACAAAGAAGGGTTACAACAGACATACTGGAGGCAACAGCAACATCAACATGTCTGTCAGCTATTCTGTAAATTATACAGCTCGATCGGGAGCAAATAGTGTGGCAGAGTTGGTTGATCTGGACACGAAGCATCGTTCGTGATCTTTGTTCATTTTGCAAGGTCGCCCAAGGATAGATCAACCAGACGGACGCAGGCTTTGATGCCGTAAGGTCGGGAAGCATGACTAGTCTTGTTTTATATTATAATTGCACGATAATGATGACAGAAAGATCAAGCGACGGTGGGAGCATGAGAACACTCAGGGGAGGTCTCTTGATTATAATCCTAAGAAAGGCCGATTTGACTTGGGAGATGGCGAGTATATCTGTGATGAAATGATCTACGGCCGTGTGGCGAAGGCTAGTCAATGGCTCGGCGACTGGATTCACTACAAGCACTTGTATCACGAGCGCGTATCGATCCGACCGGTATCTGCCTTGAAAAAGTGACCTTCTACATGCGCCAAACAATCCTGTCAGATGTGCAATTCCGCCTTTCCTTCTATCTCTCGCCCAAGAAACATTGCTAGTAGCGAACTCACAACTGTGCGTCTGAAACCGGGGGCCAACAAGCGAAAGACACACAGTGAATTGAGCTATCCAGATCTAGCTAAGGACAGAAGGAGAGAAGGAAAGGAGAAGGAAGCGAAGGCATCACAGGCGGTACCCATAGCGCCGTTGAGTACCATTCACTTGCAAAATAAGCTTTCTGTGTCACAGACAGACACACCATATTTTTCTTTCGGGCTGGCCTGTAATATTAAAGCCTGCGTCGGTCCACGATTTGATCGAACATAGCGTTGGGAGAATGCTAGATCTATCTAAATTTGATACCGAATATCGTGAGCGATCAGAGGACCTAAAGAAACATTACTTGACTAGCTCGTGGTTACACCGAGTTTATTGGATGATAATTGCTCTTGACAGCCTTGCCGCCGATCATCTCGGATTCGGATGTATAGAAAGTGGCGCCACGTCCACAACGAGGATTCAGCCAGAATAAAACAAAACGTGAGGATAAGCATCGGAATAAAGAAAGCGTGTACCCGGGCCACAAGTAATTGTCAGAAACATTTTTCGATGTCAACTTTTATGGTAATGTAATCAGTAACCATCAGACAAGTATGAAACTTTTGAGGCCAGATCGTTTGGTCCGTTTGCGCTGTGGAGTAACGATCCTTCTTTAATGCTAGATAGCATATTCCAGAACCACCCACAGAAAACTCTATGTATGATTCCCATTTGAAAATGATAAGCCAGGCCAATCTGGAAGCGGAGATGAACAAGCAAACATTGCCATTCTTCGCATGGAGGGCCCGCGCCAAAGTTCTTTGGCGGTGTTTTGATCCAAATTTAGCGGGCGGTACCTGAGGAACTTGAGGCCGCGTGGGTCCCCGAAGTCTCGCCATCTGCCCTCCTTCTCCTTCCCCGGCCGCCCTCTTCATTTGCTCTCTGCATTCTCACCCGAATCCTCGCCCTAGACTCCCATCTTGATCGGGCGACTCGCTGCAACCCTGATACACCCACTATCCGGCTTGGACACCATGATTGATGTTCTGTAGAGCTGGTGGCATAAGTGCGAAAGCTCGGGACAAGAGGACACCATGGAGGGACTCTTCACTTTGCTCGCTCTGAGCATTGTGATGGCAATTACGTGAGATACTGCTGCCAGTTGGATTGCGCCCGGGATGGATCTGAAAGAGGCTAACGTTTCCTATCCATTCCACTCGTACAGGTCCTTTGTTGTCGGCTCATTACCTCTTGCCTTTACATTGTCCCCCTCCCAGCTGCGGTTAATATCCTCGATTGGCATGGGAGTGTTGGTGGGCACATCTTTGATCGTTATTATCCCTGAGGGCATTGAGACCCTCTACAGCGCCAGTTCTGTTAGCCGGAAAAGTCTCAGCACCCGTGCAACCAATGTCGACTGGGCCTCGCAAGGGCTAGTCTCGACACATATACAGAGTGAAGGTAGCGATGCAGCAACATCACCATCCAGCACATCTGTTCCCTTCCTCTCGCTCGATAACGAACGGATATTACCCCTCATCGGTAGAGACGCAGCTGTGGAGGAATCGCAAGTGCTGAGTGCACGGAAGGACGAAAATTTAAGTGAGAAGCAGAAGAAGGAGAAGGAGGAGGAAGAGAGCTCGCCACATGCCTGGATTGGCGTCGCCCTCATTAGCGGGTTCATTCTGATGTACCTCATTGATAAACTCCCCGAATTCGCATCTCCGACCAAACCTGAGCGGCAACCATATCATATCTCCCTCGACAACCTTGGGTCCGGCTTACGGCGAAACTCCTCTCCCATGCGCAACGGCGGACTCCTTGATGCTGGTCACTCGAGTTCCCGGCGCGGTCACAGTTTTGCCACCACAACGGGCCTGGTGATTCACGCCGCGGCCGATGGGATCGCATTGGGGGCGTCCAGCTCGGACACCGGGCTCAGCTTTATTATCTTCCTGGCCATCATGGTGCACAAGGCGCCAGCATCCTTTGGTCTGACCTCGATTCTGCTGAAGCAGGGACTGTCGAGCCGGACTGCGAGGGCGCATTTGCTGGTGTTCAGTCTGGCTGCCCCCGTCGGGGCGCTGGCCACTTTTCTGTTTACGCACATGGTAGGGTCTTCCAGCGCCGACGAGACTGGCTCTCAGTGGCGGACTGGAATGCTCTTGCTTTTCTCCGGTGGCACCTTCTTGTAAGTTACCTGCCCCGTAGGTGCGTGGTTTGTTTTGGTGCTAACGGCGGCTTAGGTATGTGGCCATGCACACGATACAAGAGAATGGACCAGGTTCGAGCTCGCGGGAGGTGCCTGTGAATGGCTACGGTGACTCCCGCGACTCGCAGAACGGCTCGGACAAGTCGATGCGTGACTTGATCGCCTCCGTGCTGGGCATGATCCTGCCGCTCTTCTTGCAGCTCGGACATGCCCATTAAGCTTCTCTCTCATTTTCACCTTTCGCATTGCATGCAGCTCATCAGCCACATGAGCCATGTATGACGATCTTTTGTCTTTTTCTGGCCATTTTGACACTGCGACGAGAATGATTCGGGGCCATATACCCTCTCTGTTTGGCGATACTCCTTGGACAGCCACTGGCTTTCCGCTTTCTACTTTTTTCTCTTCTACCTTTGTTTCTCTGCGCCGTTTCGTTTTCTTACTATTAGGTATCTGGTCGGAGGATGCCCGCGTCGTGGAGGACTCTAGATATGCTTCTCGCTCCGTTTATTTTGCTGTATAACTCGGGCGAGTGGTGGTGGTCATAATTGCATGTTTCTCTCTCGCGATCACATCGACGTAGCGTGACGTTGGACGCGGGTCAACTAAGCCTCTCGTGTGCCTCTATAAAATGCCGGGGTGACCCCTCGAATGTGCGTGCCCGTGGGCGATTCCCTCATTTTTCAATCACCATGCCCCAAGCAGGGTGATGAAAGCATTCGTCAATCTCGTCAGTCTGAATCATCCTCACGCGACGGAGTGTTCCACGGTCGACGCCTGCGAGCCGCCCGGTCGCCCACGGACTCGGGGCGAACTGCATGGTCGAAAGCATTGAACCAATCTATAGAACCAATATAGTTTATGTGGGGAGACTGCTGCTGATCTCTACACCTCTACAAGGCAGCCGGAGCAAGCCAGCAGGGGCAGGTCGCGCGCGCTTGCAAAGGCCTGGATCCTCGGCGCCAGGCGACCAGCGCAGGTTGGCTGCCCATTTGGCCCAAGCGGACCCATCTTTGGGCCGATCTAGGGACGTGAGGCTGCGCTTCGGCTCCGTTGCCTCATTGCCTCTGACGGATTTGAGATTCACCATCGCAGTGTACGGGTGTCTGGGTTGTCCGGGTTGTCCGTGCTGGAGCTCGTCTAGGAATTGGTCTCGTCGGGTGTCTCACTGCCTCCCAGCGCCACGACCCCAGCGGAGACAAAATGAGCCGGGTGGAATACAGTGTTTCATCGCCAGGAGTGGAGCCTTTGGGGGAGCTTGGCGGCTTTGTCAGTCGAATAGTCGAATGAAGACCCGCCGGTCACGACATCGACTCCGCCGGGAATGTCCCTTTCCTTGACCGTCCGCCTCTCCGCCATTCTTCTGCCTTTCGAGCTGGGTTTGCCTCGGGGAGGAGAAAAAAAGAAACCAACAGTTGAAGACCAAGACTCAAAAAGAACGGCCCAAGAATCCAGCGCGAGATCGGAGGCTCTGCGGCGCTCGTCTGACTCCATCTTCGACTCCCTTTTTACCCTCGGTCAACCGTTGCCAGCCCCCGATACGACTACACGCCCCTCATACCCGCTCTCCAAAATCCTCCTCCCCCAAACCCCCGACTACCAACCAAAGTGTTCCTGCTGGATGCCGGTCGGTGAACATCCGCCTTTCGCCCGGTACCTCTATACCAAACACTTGTGAACGAGCGGGTATATACCAGCGGGTCCGGGTTTCTCCCCCGTTCGGCGGCTCTCGCGATGGAATCCGACCCAGCCCTCAGCGACATGGCGGATGGACCGATCAGCTCGCAGCCCATGTCCGACCAGCTGGGCTCGCACTCAACCCCCTCGACGCGCGACTCCGTCTCCTCCTTCACCAGCACCCCCGCCCGTTCCTTAAGCGGCCCCAAGAAAACCGTCACCCCGATTACTGCGAACCTCCTGCCCTCAGCGCCCGCTTCTCCCCCAACCCCTGCGCCCAGCCCGACACCCCACCAGCGGCCGCCGAACTGGCACTCTAGCGATGAGGAGGAGAATACTTTCCTGTTGAATCTCCGCATCCACTTCAGTACCTTGTCCAACGCCCGCAAGCAGAAACTCCTCGAAGGTATCTTGGATGTATGCGATAGCCAGCAGCTGAGCTTTGTCTCGAGCTATGTTGGCCCCAGGTTACGAAAGGATCCATTCCAGGTGTTTCCGAATGAGTTGTGCTTGAGAGTAAGACAACGGCCAAGGCGATGATGAGGAGGAAAAGAGGTACAAGAAAGCTGACCACCTTTCACCCTGACTAGGTCCTATCCTTTATCGACGATCCTAAGACACTCGCCCGAGCATCGCAGGTATCCCGACGCTGGCGCGAACTTCTCAATGACGACATTACCTGGAAGAACCTCTGCGAGAAACATGCATACTCGGTGCGCCGCTTCTCGGAAGAGGATGACCTGGATTCGTTCACCGCCCGTTCGGTCGAGTCCAACTCCGGCTCGCGTGCCATGGCCAGCCTTCGACGATTAACAGCATCCAACAGCCAGTCTGTGGTCGAGGGTTCCCCCGAGCTCACCCGCACGCTGTCGGGCGAGTGGCTACCACCGACCACCTTCTCATCGCGACGGCGCCGAACCCGGCCAGTATCCTACCGGTCCCAGTTCAAGCAAAAGTATATGGTCGAATCGGCATGGAACAAAGGCGGCAGGTGCACTCAGCGCCATATTACCCCTGACCAGGGCGTGGTGACGAGCCTGCACTTGACCTCGAAATATATCGTCGTCGCCCTAGATAATGCCAAGATCCATGTCTATGATACCAACGGCGACAACCAGAAAACCCTCCAGGGGCACGTGATGGGCGTCTGGGCCATGGTTCCTTGGGACGACATTCTGGTGAGCGGAGGATGCGATCGGGAGGTGCGGGTGTGGAACATGGCGACTGGGTAAGTTTTGGGTTTCGTGCCGTTGGACTCACTGGGCGAAGCGAAGGCTAATCCCTTTACCAGGGCGGGAATCCACTTGCTGCGTGGTCACACGTCAACCGTTCGATGTCTCAAGATGTCCGATCGAAATACGGCTATTTCGGGGTCGAGAGATACGACCCTGCGTATCTGGGATCTGGCCACAGGAACGTGTCGCAATGTCCTGGTCGGGCACCAGGCTAGCGTGCGCTGCCTTGCCATTCACGGCGATCTCGTGGTGTCGGGTAGCTACGACACGACCGCGCGGATATGGAGCATATCTCAAGGTCGTTGTTTACGGACGCTGTCCGGCCACTTCAGCCAGATCTACGCGATCGCCTTCGATGGGCGGCGCATCGCAACGGGAAGCCTAGATACAAGCGTCCGGATCTGGGACCCGCATTCCGGACAGTGCCACGCTATCCTGCAAGGCCATACGTCCCTGGTTGGGCAGCTCCAAATGCGTGGTGATACTTTGGTCACCGGCGGCTCGGATGGCTCTGTCCGCGTCTGGTCGTTGACTAAGATGGCGCCTATACACCGGCTGGCGGCTCATGATAATAGCGTTACTAGTCTTCAGTTCGATAATACCAGGATTGTGAGTGGCGGCAGCGATGGCCGGGTCAAAGTGTGGAACTTGCAGACCGGCCAGCTACTGCGGGAACTGTCTAGTCCGGCGGAGGCGGTATGGAGGGTTGCTTTCGAGGAGGAAAAGGCTGTTATTATGGCGAGTCGATCTGGCCGAACGGTCATGGAGGTATGTTTGTTCCTTTGCATCGGAAATTATCACCTCTCTTACACTTGCTGATCGTTATACAGGTCTGGTCCTTCTCCCCGCCACCAGAAGACTCCGAGGACGCCATTGTCATCGAAAGTGCCTCCAGTACACCGGGCCTCAGCTCTACAGGCGACAGCGATTTCGCCGTCAACCCTCGCCGTCGTACGCTCTTCTCCGATCCCCCACCATCAATACCCTCCGTCGGCGACGGCGACCAACTCATGCCCGACGCGCCGTCTTAACCTAAGCCGCCCTTGAAAACGAAATCCTTTGTTGGAATATAGCCTGCGATCTACCCACCTAACGACTACGGATATCCCATTGTTTGTGTACCAGCGTCGGGGATTCTATTCTTTTGATCCCTCCTCTTATCCCCTCTTGAGCATTTTTGGTTCCTGTTTCCTTTTTCCGAATGAGCAGTGGGCGCCTCGTCCCCTGGTCCATTCCGTCCGCCATGCTCGGTCCGTTCTAGAGCAGCGAGCGGTTGCATATTTGGTGTTGCACATTCTTGATTTATCCCGTTGATCGTGGAAAACTGCCCGTCATCTGTGGCGTTTGAATCTTTGTTGTGGGGAGGTGGTCTATCATCCAGCAGTCTCGATCTTGAGCTCGATTTTGATCGACATTTATCATTTTATAGTTGCCAGCTTTGGTCTGGTGTAAGTCATTTCGGAGTCAAATATCCTGTTTGCTTTGGGTACTGATGATACCTTGGCCTTGGGACTGTGTTTTATAATATTTTAAACATTCATCGGCCGCATCTCTATGCACTTGAATGAACTGCATGTCCGCTTGATTCTTGATTCTTGATTTCTGACCCTACCCGGATGCACCTGCAGCGCAATGAGTAATTACCTTGACCACCTATTCAGCACGAGCGTTTGCATGATGACTTAATGCTCTCGGCATAGATGGGTCCCTTTCCAGTGCTCGATGACTGGTACGTAGTTTTCATAAAAAAAGATTCCGCTTCTCGGGTGACCGGAGGCCTATCTACCGCAGCCGCGACGCCACAAGGCAAGCCGTTCCTACCCACGAACTATTACAGTCAGGTGAGCCGATTTTGAGGCACGTTACTGTCTCATCTGTGTTGTTTCACCATTCCAAACACAATCTCAGCTCAAAAGCGATCATCCGAAGGATATTATATCGCACCTCACGGACAAAGAAAAGCTGACTAATGCCCAGTGCAGCTAACGTTAGTTATCCACACTTCCGTTGCAAAAGAAGCTTCCAAGTCGACGTCGATCTGAATCTCATCTTACCTTATTCCGATCTAGGCACTTGACTAGTTCACCCCGGGTAGTGCGATTTGGATATTTCGCTTGAGGTCAAATCGTGCATCTCGTTCCTTACGATGCACACATGCGCTGCGCGGACCAAGCAGCCGAGTTGATCTGTACATCGTTTGGTGATAAGCGTGCCGACCCCCCGGCTGTGGAACCCCCTTCCCCCAGATCTATAGGAGCGGAGCCTTTCTGCGCACTTACCGGTCCGGAGTATACCTCATTCCATTGCCTTTTTCGGAGTTTTGTGTCTGCTTGTGCTGGTTGAGCTGGGCCTGAACAATGGTCTATGGGGGTAAACCGAGCACCGGATGTTACCTGTGTCGCAAGCGAAAAATCAAGGTAAGAAAAAACCCGACCGCGGGGGCTGTATTGCTGTTGCTGGGCCCTTTGTGATGACTGTTGCAATATCCAATTGTCGTGGTTATTAAATTGGCAGGCGACAAATACTGACTACTTTCTAGTGTGATGAAGCCCGCCCCAGTTGCCGGAACTGTGCTATCTATGGACGCCCATGTCCTGGCTACCGGCCTGATGCGGTCTTTCGCAACGAGACCAGGAAAGTGGAACGATTAGCAAAGAAAGATATTAGCTCCAGCTCTAGTTCTTCTGCTATTGACCGCCAAGCGCACACACCAACAGCACAGTCATCCGCTCTCGGGGAGAAGCAAGGACCTCCCCATGAAGAGTCTGCATTGACTCTGCATCGCGTAGCGGACGCAACCTGGGAACAGCGCGCGCTATGCTACTTCTTCGACCAGTTTACGATCACCGGCGAAGGCGAAGATGGCATGGGCCATCTCGAGTATTTACCCCCGCTATACGCACGCTGTGGCGATAGCAGTGCGCGCGGCGAGATGTCGCCGTCCACTTGTCTCCGGTGGGCGGTGGACGCAACGGCACTGATGACTCTTGCCAACGTTGCACATGCACCATCACTCATGGTCAAGGCACGGCAGGGGTATGGTAAAGCCATCCGCAGCTTGCGAGAAGCTCTGACCTCGCCAGACCAAGCAGCTAAGGACGAGACCTTTGCTTCTGTGGTGCTTCTTTCGTTATATGAGGATATCACCGGCGAGCGGAATGGGTTGTTTAGTTCCCATACCGCGGGGTTCGAGTTTCTCATGAAACTGCGAGGTGAGGGCCAACTGGATCATCGACGCGGTCGTGATATGTTTAATTTTGCCTATGCACACACGGTATGTCACGATTCCATGCTGTTTCATGCCCAGCTATATCAACTCTGATGATCTTGAAACAGTACGTTGAGATCCTCGCGCTGGGAGACAAGCCCAGATGTGATATCGACTGGGTTTTGGGACTGCTGGATGAGAACGACCCCATTGAGAGTCTAATGCTCGCGGCATCCAAGCTTAGCCAGCTCTCCCTGTCCATGCAAGCTAGCCCCAGCCCACCCGACCAGGCGATGGTCGAATCGTGGATTGCCGCCGGCCAACAGTGTGAATTTGAGCTCTCCCAGTGGACGCTTCACCTCCCTGGTCGCTGGTTACCGTTAGTGGTCTACTCCGCACAGGGCGAACCCCTCCTCACCTACAACCGCATCTCCATCGCCGTGATCTGGAACTACTACCGCGCTGTCCGTGTCATGCTACAGCAACTCCTCTTCAACCTCAACCGTACCCTCCTCTCAATCATACAGAAGAATAAACGCCCCGGGGACCCGCCCTCGCAGGCCGAGTCCAACCTCGACGAGAGTAGCCTGCGGGCCGTCATTCAGGAAATGACCACCGACACCTGCCGCAGCATCCCTTTCGCCCTGTCCGAAGTCGACACCCTCGGCCGCCCTACGAACCCAAATGACAATAAGTACCCGATGCGCGCCGCACAAGGCTACGGTCTGATCTGGCCACTGTGGTACATCTTGTCCTGCGGCATGCCGACCCCGACCCAGGTCCATCAGATCCGCACCGTGCTGTCACGGGTCGGATCTTCACTCGGCATTAAATTAGCTCTGCTGCTTGCTGGCGAGGCAGAACGCATGCGTGGGGATGCCAACTCCTTTCAAACTCCTGTGGTCGGTCCCTCCGGTCGGCAGGAGTGACATTGTTTTATTGCATAGATGGGAACCGGGGTGTTCAATTCATTGTGGCATATATTTGGATCGGTCTGGAAACATTTGGGTGAATTGGCCTGGCGGGATTTAGATACCAGAACGCCCCTTCCGACGACACTATCCTGGACAGGAACGCGTGCGGAGTGCTAATGTACATGCTCATGACTGGTTTTGTATACAATCGACGAGCCGGAGAGCTGACGCGGAGTCGGCGGCCGCGCGGATCTCATGACGTCATCGTGGAGGACCCTTCCACTGCAGTAGGGCGGATAGCTGGATAGTTCGGGCATCAAAAGGCTAGTCTAGTGCACGAGATTTACAGGGGAAATCTTGATCAGGAACGGGGTATGGCCTGGCTGGCAGGCTGGTTGAGCGGAGCGAGTTCCTGGGAAGATCGAGGGAGTGATAAGCCCTGGCCCAGAGGGTGCCGAGAGAGCCGTCTCGTCGCAACCATGCATTGTGGATAAGCAGTGCATGGGAGGTGCACTGACGCCATTTCTTCCCTGCCAGGACTTGTGCTCGCTTTCTCTCGTCTTGTTCTTTCTATTCTTCCTGTGCTTCTGGCTACCCTCCCTCTTCATTCTTTTTCAGTCCGTGCTCGGTCGAGCAATAATTCAGAAGCATGGCCCTGCAAGATCGCAAGCTTCCCTTTGGGCTAATCGAGCCCAACTCCACCAAGTACTTCGCCAGCTGTGCCTTAGGCGGCATTATCGGTATGTCTCCTCCTGGCTCTGCTGGATCCAACAATCAATGCGACTGCGATTGTGACTGCGACTAACCAAAGACTTCGTGACTGCGCTCAGCTTGTGGTAGGACCAATCCGAGCTCTTATCAGCTCTATCCGCTTTCCCCTCACTCCAATTGACATGACATCTCGTCTCCGACAGGACCAACCCACACTGCCGTAACACCTCTGGACCTCGTCAAGTGCCGTCGCCAGGTCGATCCCAAGATTTATTCCTCCAACATCTCTGCATGGCGCTCCATCTTCGCCAAGGAAGGCCTGCGCGGCGTCTTCTTCGGCTGGTCGCCCACCTTCCTGGGCTACTCGTTCCAGGGCGCCGGTAAATATGGCCTCTACGAGTATTTCAAGCATCTGTACGGCGATCAGCTATTCCCACAAACCAACCGCACCTTTGTCTTCCTGGGCGCCTCCGCATCTGCCGAGTTCTTCGCCGATATGGCGCTGTGCCCGCTTGAGGCCATCAAGGTCCGCATGCAGACGACTCTACCGCCCTATGCGAACAACTTGCGCGAGGGGTGGAGCCGTGTTGTCACGAAGGAGGGGATGGGCGGTCTCTATAGGGGGCTGTACCCATTGTGGGCTCGTCAGATCCCCTACACCATGACCAAGTTTGCGACTTTCGAGGAGACGGTGAACCAGATCTATAAGTATCTGGGTAAGCCCAAGGAGAGCTATGGCCAGATGACCCAGACTGGTGTGAGCTTCCTGGGTGGATACATTGCCGGTATCTTCTGTGCGGTTGTCAGTCATCCGGCCGATGTCATGGTGAGCAAGTTGAACGCCGATCGACAGCGTGAGTATCAACCCTTGGAGACGCAGGGTGGATATAGGCTGATAGCTTCGAACAGCTGGTGAGGGTGCCATGAAAGCTGTCTCTCGAATCTATGGCAATATCGGCTTCTCAGGCTTGTGGAATGGCCTGCCAGTCCGTATCGTCATGCTGGGCACACTGACTGGCTTCCAGTGGTTGATGTAAGTTGCATTCCTCGAGCTCTAATGAGCCTGTGGCTAACATGTCAACCAGCTATGACTCGTTCAAGGTCTTCCTGGGTCTCCCCACCACTGGTGGACATTAGATAGAAGCACAGAGTTGATCGTGCAAGCGTGTAGCTTTTCAGTGTCTTAGCTAGTTTGTTGTTGAATGAAATGCATTCACCGCCTTTGATATCGCGGCAGAAACAATATCGCGGCATGGAAACGTTAAGACTCCTTCATCTCCTTGCACGCCAGGATCCGGGCTTGGACTGCTCTCTGCGACTCTTCACTGCCTCTATCCCCCCTGATATCTCGGTGTCCCCTACAAAGGCGGCGCGCTTGCTCCTCCCGACCTCCGCCCTCTCCGCCTTGCTTTCCACCCTCCGTCCCCACCGCATCCACGCCGAGCCTACACCTCCATCCATCCATTGACCCCCAATTCCAAAGACAACCCAGCCCAAAGCATCCCATTTATACCTCGGCTATCCCATTTTCCCCCAATTCCAACCCTCTCTCACCCTCACCACAATGGAAACACGCCCCCCAACCACCCACTCCTCCGCCAATCCGCCCAGCGTCGAGATCGCCTACAAGCGCAAATGCGCCGCCTTGAAGAAGCGCCTCGCCGAGGTCGAGGCCGAGAATGAGCTCATGCGCACCCGCAACCGCCGCGGCTACCAGTACATCCAAAAAATGCGCCTCGAATCGTGCATGTTGCTCGAGCGCCTCGCCAAAGTCACCGGCATGGCTGAGGAGGCCGCGGCCGGCACTGCAGACCCGGAGTTGCGCGCCCGCGCGGCGGCGATGATGTCCAATGCGGCGGTGCTGAACGGGCTGAGCGCCGGGGCGTCGCAGGGCGGGAATGGTGGGTATCTTGAGGATGACACCGAGGGTAGTTCGGATGAGCAGCCTCCTACGGTACGTTCCCATTGCCCTGGCCTACTTGCTCTGTCTTAAGAATCTTCCTGTCTGGTATCTGTGGATATGGCAATGCATCTATCTGTATGCGATCGGGTTTGACGAGCGCCGCTAACTCCCCATCAGCCCGAAGAACGCCCTCTCCGCGTCAAGCGCTCTCGCAAATCAAACATGCCCGCTGACAACGCCGGTGAAGACGATACTCCCGCCCAAGACAATGACGGTGAGGTCGGTGATGGTGATGCGAACTCATCCCTTCCACGCCTCGCCCCGGCCCCGAGCCAGCAAGATCTCACCTCGTCATTCCGCGTGCAGCCTGGCAGTAATGGGGCCCGGGACAGTGAGGCTCCTGCCGACGGGGAGAACCAGGAGGCACAGTCGGAAGCGCAAGCTGGAGAGACCGGTGCTGAGTCTGCGGCTACACCTATGGATGTGGATAGCAAGGAACCCAAGGTGGAGCGGGGGTAGAGAGTGGACTTGGTGATGTTGTTTCATTGCTGGGTGAGGTTTCTTCTTTTCATTCGATTGTGGCTTTTCTGATTTCTTTCCGAACACCGGCTATGGTTTCTTTTATTTCATCCTTGGATCTTTCATAAAGCGCTGGTTATGGGTTTTAGTGCTTTTGTTTTGATGGCTTGCTCTTTTTTATTATTCTTTTTTTTTTTTGCAAGCCCTACTATTGTGTCTGGATATGATAAAACAATACCAAAATCATTATTCAAAGATGAACTTGCTTTCTCTAAAGCCGTGGACCTTGGTCTGTTCATGCATTCCACTAGCAAACTGTAAATCTGGACCGATATGGATGAAACGGATGTAGGAACAAAAATATCCCGTTTATAGTGCAAGTTGAACGCCATAAATCCAGTCCCTCTTCAGTAAGAAGCCCACCCTAACACCAATACCAGTAAGAAGACAGACAGGATTATGGTAACAATAGAATCGCCTCTTCTTCTTTTCTTCATGTACAGGAAAGATGGCTCCGAGGTCGGGAAGTGGTAATACAGGGAGATGTTGAGAAACTTGGTTGTTGTACGGTCGGCCAGAGATTTGGTAACGTAAAGGGCTTGTGGCTAGTTGCGGTAGCACTGCTCACTATTTTTGGGGCCAAGGCAGGGTTGTCAGTTGGGTTGGTGTATCACATCGGAAGGCTTTGCCGTACAGGTGTGCAAGGGACATGGGGCCTTGTATTTTTTCAAGTACCCATCGAGGTTGTTGGTAACCTGCTTCTTTTCGTTGCATAGAGATACAACATGCCAGCTTAGTCGACGCCGGCGTATAGGTCGACGACAATATTGATGGCAGCAACCAAGATCTCGGCTGCAATTAAAACGATGACTAGGCCTCAAAGTTAGCACCGACCTAGAATATGAGTTCCTCACAAATGCTTACCAATCCATTCAAGGTATTCGCCATGGCGGTGCGTCAATTGATCCTTCAGCACAGCCAGAAGATCTGCAATGACATCCAGTCGCTCAGTGAGCAGACTGACTCGCTGGTCCATTTCCAAATAACTACGAACAGCCTGATACACAGGCTCCAGTTGTGGTTCTGCCCAGAAAAGCTCCGGGCTATCTAGGACAGATCCTTGTAAGTGGATATTGATTCGCAAAATGAACAGTTCGCCAATTTGCATGTTAATTTGCCGGCGCGTGAGATTAACACTGCCAGTTTGGGCAATCTGAGCAGGTAACGGCGCGGTGTCGGCAATGGTTTCAGATAGCAAGTCTTCAAAGAGAGAGGTCTTGACCGACTGAGCCAGCGCGTGCGAAATTGCCAGCTTGATCATATGATTGCGCGGATCACGCAGAGAGATGAAATCATTGTATATCTTCGCCTGGTATTCGCGGGCATAGTAGAAATTGAAATTCTCAATCTGGGTATCATCGGGACTCAAGATGGAGGTCGCAAACTTCGATATATCAGACAAGAAGCGGGATTCTTGTGCAGGAGTCATGCCCCATATGACCACAGTGCCATAGTCGAAAAGGAAGACTTCAGGTGTGTGAATGGTGGTGTCGATTTCAAAAGGCTGCTCGTCGGATTGTGGAGTGGAAATTGCGCGTTCGGAATGGACATCGCCAGGATGGCCAGCTTCATCGTGGAAGTCGATGAGATCTTCCCTTCGGGATTTTGTATTATCCTCCACTTCCACCGCACTGTCTGAGTACCTCCGCTCGCTGGGCCGTCGCTCATGGTGTCCATTGCCTCCTGCACCAGGGAACATCCGATTCCCTTTCTGCTTCTCTTCGTACTGATAGTCGAATGGCGAATAGACACACTCGTCAAACAGCTTTGGGTTCGCACCGCGAGTTTTAGCGCGGGATTTCAGAAACTTGATCACGCCTTCCAGTCGGTAGGAGTTGGCCGTGCAATATGCGGTGACTCGAGGAATGCGATCACGGTCGGCTTTTCCCAGTCGGGCGGCATGGCTGCGGGCTGCAGGCTCTTTAATGCGGGTGATTTGTGAATAGACATCTCGAGGGAAGTCTCCGTCAAACTCCTCTTCCTCTTCGGCAGTGATAGGGTCGGGAAGTAGCTTGAGCTTCTGTGCCTTCTTGGTGGTACGCTGGGGTCCAATCTTGGGAGCGACCGGCTGCGGTGCGGTGAATGGAGCACCATGGCTGTTGCGACGCCGGAGTTTGCTGTTCAAGGCCGAGAGCATGGGCTGGCTGCCCGGGCGAGGGTGTCCACCAGTAGCATTGATATTTTGAACCGGGGGTGAGCCGGTCTGCAGAGGACGAAAAGTGGGATCGGAGATGGTACCGCCGTAAGTACTGATTGTCGTCAGCGGATTGAACGTCACCGACCGCGATGTTCGGGTTGCCCGCGGTGACGGATTCGCTTGAGGCAATAAGGGGGCTTCTTCTGCCGCAGAAGACATGGTGGCTGAGCAGGCGACAGAGGCGCCGCAGGGGAGGGAGAATGAGGAGCGTTGAAGCTGGGAAAAGTCAGAGCTTCCAAGGTTGGAGCTTCTCCCCACGTGAATTGTAGGAGTCCCCACCCTTAATAATCCCCGTAGGAGGAGATCTGCAGCGCCGTTTCTGAGGTGGAGAAGGAAGGTAGGACATGTCTTGTCACGAGTTCCAGACGATTTATTCCCGATCAATCATTCTCAAATAGTCTGGTACAATCGGAAAGTGCATTGCATAATATTCATACTTGATTTAAATACCCATCAAAGGGGGTATGGTGATGTATATACAGTAGCCACTCCATCAATCAGAATGCAGATTGTAGAAATTACCCATTGACCATGCTATAATGCGCCTTTTAAAACTGTTTTGAAATCAGAGAAACCGTCATTTCACCGCCGCTTAAAGCCCGAAGAGCCGCCTGCTGTCCTCCGCAACCCGTTGACGTGCGCTGTGCTCTTTTGCTGCTTGAGCCAACCCTCCTTCAGACCCCGCCCGCTCTTGGAGGCCTTGGGCGGCAGCGCAGGCTTCGAGCTTGGTTTCGCAGATGGAGCATCGAGTACGCGAATAGTCACATCGCCCACTTGGACATCCTTCGGCGCTTTCTCTGTCTTATCCAAAAACCTCAGCTTATTCGATTTCTTGGGAATTACAAATCCGAAGTTATCCTCGGCGGGGGGTGTCGGAGGCCGGACGACCGGTTCGGCGTTCAGAATATCATCAGGAAGCAAAGCAGGGAGGGCGCGTCGCCGTGCATCTTCGGTGCTGGAGCCCTGGAGAGTAGCGGTGCTTTCGGACAGAAGATCCTCGCTGGGAGCGGAAGGTTCCTTCGGTTTGAACTTGGCTTGCAACTTGCGGTGCTCATCGAGCTTTCTCCGCTTTTCCTTCTTCAGTTGTTCTTCTCTATATGTGGTGTAAGTAAAAAAGACATGGGAGCTAGTTGGCTGCAAGCAAATGGGACATACAGTAACTTTGCCTTTTCCTGCTTCTTGGCCTGCTCCTTGATCTTCAATAGCTGGGCAGAATTGTCGATCGTCTCGGGTGCATCGTCATCGCTATCCTCTTCGTCTTCGTCCTGAGCAGGCTTCTCCGGGGCTGCATCGGACAGACTCTCCAGCACGGCGGGCTCCGGGTCCTCGCTGCCAAATCGGAAGTGCTTCTTAGGCTCCGAGTCCTCTCCATTCGTAGCTGGCTCCTTCGGAGTACCGATTGTGAGATCTTCAGCTTCGTTGGTCGCACCCTCCGCTTCCAGGATATTCTTCTTCCTGCGCTTGATCTGCTTGTTGTTCGTCTTTTCAGAGGTTACAGGCTGGGCCTTGCGCTTTCCATGCTTTCCAACACCATTTATGGTCGGCTCCTCGGTCGGTGTGGACATAACAGTCCCTCGTCTAGTGGCGGTCACCATGTCGGATGTGGTTGCGGCGGAGGCGCCAGCAGGATCTGCGAGTGCGTCTTGAGACTCGTGTCGCGCAAATAGACCCTTAGCCGCAGTGACAAAGTTGGAGAACATAAAGCACAACGAGAACAAAAGAGGAAAAGGCGCGAGTCCCAAGGGGAAGGTACTTGTGATTGAGCTGCAGCGGTGATGCGCCAGCCAAAAAAAATCGCTCGGTCTTAAAATTTCCCGACTCCACAAAGTCTTGGCGCTGTCGATCTATAGGTTATCATGTGCCGACCAAGTTCATGGTAATAGTGCATTAAACTGATTCGAGAAGAAGAACTATAAGGTGAAATGTCTTCTGCAACTCTCCCGACTATAATAATAGCTTAAAGTCGTCATTGGTAGCTATTACCCTTGATAATAGCGGCAAATTCCTAACGTTCCGACAAGTTCCAAGTGCAGCCCTCTGGTGCTCTCTCTGCTCCTGAGGCCTCAGGTAACTCAAGAGCAGGCTCAAATACTGCAGCAGATACTTTGAATGAAATGACCCTAGTCCTCGAGATAGTTATAAGGGGTAAAGAGGCTATTTCCTAATTTTCCAGGATAAGACTCGCAGGCCGTGCAGGTGTCGATCGTATATTGAACACCTTGTATGGGCAAGATACTGGTATCCTGGGCAAATAACTGATTTTTCATCCCAATATACGGTAATGCCGCGATAGTCAGGGGCTCATCGTCGCCAGATATTTCATTGCCAGCCTCCGCGTTCACCATCCTTTCTAGGGCATACTTGATGATGCAGTTGTTATGGGCCTCGATGCCGGCTCAGAACGAACTCTTGCAAAAGGTCAATCTCTTTTACCAACTCAACAATAGTAAAAGTTAGATTTAATTTGAGAGTTTTTAATTTTCGATGTCAATGCCTTGTAGGCGACGCAATTGGTATCTCAATCAAGGCTCATACTCCGAAACACCGTACATTACAACCCGATTCTTTTCAGCCAAATCCAACGCCGGTGCCGTCCATGCAAACGAACAAACACATATGCAAAAAATGCGCTGTACAAATTAGATATTTCCACATAAAGCAGCGGCCATTTGTTGCCGCTCCATGGCTTCCTCCTTGGAGTTTATAAAGTCATCCTCGCCAATGTCACTGGCATCATCCCAGATTTTTGACCACTCATCCGCGTCATCTCCACTCACAGTCCACATGCTTTCTCTCAAGCGTTTGTTCCGCTCGCGGTCTTCCTCGATTCTCTGCTCGATTTGTCGTTTGTCCACGCGCATGCCGCTGGTCTTCGTGTTGCGTGGGGTCCCAGTCTTAGACCTGGCACTATCCCGCGAAACCCCTTCATCATCCATATCATAATGCTCCGGGGGTTGTCACGGTCTTTGAGCGCTGCGTCGATCTCAGCCACGCTTTCAGCGGAGAGGACCTCTTTGCTCTGTAGGTTGCCTAGTACTCGTCGAACGTGCTTCACGTTTGCTGCACCCGTTCCATCGGGTGGTACGACTGCATCCACCACGCGTAGAATGTCACGCTGCATCATCCGGACGTACGGAAGGTGGTCTTCTTTCGTGGCCATTTCGCAAAAATGCTCGATGAAGGACATGATGTTGGCTCGGTTGTTCATATTATTCTGCAAAACGAAGACCCAATTAGCACCAGTTCATCAAGTACCCTTCTAAGACATTACACGTACCCTCTCTAACTGTTCTAGAATGCATGAATGGAGGTCCTCGTCCAAGTCGCGGTACTTCAAGGCATAATGAGCGGCTTTCTGCGAGGATGTGACCGAAGCGCTGAGATGCTGGAGCTGCTGCGTGAAGCGCATCCGCACTTCAAACGGATCAACCATCATGTTGTCGACCAATATAAATTTGCTCGCTAGAAGAACGTCCCGCGGAGCGATTGACTGGCCCGCCATCGGATTATCGGCGATCAGGAGCGGTGGACTGCGGCAGAACGATGCGGGGCGCATGGACCACCGCGCAAGCAGGGCTGCGGTGAGGTGGTTGAGAAGGCTGAGGGTGAGAACGAGAGTGGTCGAGAGGTTCTGAGTTGATAGTCTTCGTGGAAGGTGCGTGTTGGGGACAGCTTTTGGCCCTCGACTCGGGAATTTGACGAATGTGCTCCAGCTCAAAGTATGTTGTTGGGTGGTGAATTCCTAGGCCTACATCCCAAAACATATATACCTGCGGAAAGAAAGATAAACTGTTCAGTACCCCCAAACACCTCACTTCAGCCTTGAATTTTAAGAAAAGAACAGAGATTCACTATAGCTGCCTAGACAGACATGCAGGTTTCAGACATTTCTAAACATATATTCATGAGAAATTTTACAGCAAACCGATGGTCTAGCGACTGAGGTATTAATCCTCCAAAAAACACCATGCAAGAAATCCTTGTACAAAGTTAATGTGGGAAAGCAGTGATCATCATAGCGAGTCTCGCGGCAGGGAGCCACTGAGACTGCTTCTTTCATCACCATGGAGCAGCCCGACCTCTTCGGCCCCATGGCTATCCTGGAATTCATCGCCTCGAAGGGCCTCTTGCCGTCGGAACTCGACCCCGTTGAGCACCGACCAGACATCCTTCTTGGTCAACAAGCCTTGTAATATTCCCTTGTTAGCAAAAAGGACATATCGCAAACCAAGCCGCTGGAACATCCGTAGCACGATCAGGAAACTGATATTACTATTGAGCGTGATGGGGGTTTGGTCCATCCAGGGTCGAAGATCCAGCGTTTCTACAGGGTCTGCAAATGGCTGGTGCGCGAAAAACACCTGGGTTTCTTCAGAGAGGTTGCGATTGGCGGGAGAGGTGGAGTGTTTCAGAGCGAAGGAAAGCTCGTTGCGTGTGATATAGCCAAGGAGAATCGGCGTTGAAGTTTCGGAGACCACAGGGAAGCCGCGATAGGTGGTATTGGCAACGAGGGCTTGAAGCGAGCCAATGGTATGGCCGGTTGCAGTGATGACAGAGAGATCATCGACAACGGTCATCACTCGCCGAGCATAGACATCTGGTGGGGTAGTGTCGTCGCGGTGATCCAGGAAGGGATATTCTTTAAGCTGAATCCATGATTCGTAGATACCGCGCTTCCCGAAGATATCACCACACCATTTTGACAACATGACGGCGATCATAATTGGGATGACATAGGTCAACGCGCCTGTCAACTCGAACATGATAACGACAATGGAGAGAGTCATTCTAGTCGCACCACCTAGGGCAGAGGCTGCGCCAATAATCGCATATAAGCCAGGCGTCACACATGGAATGTCGGGTTCGCATTTAGCGAAGAGGAATGCTTTCGGATAGGCTTCCTGCCACATTCGAACGAGTATCCCGAGAGCACGACCGTACAATGCACCAATGGCAACGGATGGAAGAATGATACCGGCCGGGATATCGAGACCAAAGGTCACGGAAGCAAGGAAGAAGGCGAGAACGGCAGCCACTAATAGAATAGCGACCACACCGAATGCCTTCGATCCAGTAACGCAGAGACCAAATCGATCGTATGTTTCGCTGCTGCATTCTGCAAAAAGGGCCTGGACAAGCTCTGAGTTTTGAGCTCTCATAAAATGATTCGGGAAGTTGATCAAGGCCGTCAGAAGAGCAATTACGACCACCTCAACAATTGGTCGAGAAAAGGACCGAGATCGTCGCCATCTGGCGATCTTGATATTTAAACGAATAAGGAATGCTCCGAAGAGACCGCCGATGATACCAAGAATAATAAACGGAATGACCTCAAAGCGGTGCCACCCCCGAGTGTAAGTGACCTGGTACAGCACGATCTTTCCAGTGCGGAATGGGTTCAGTGCTTGCAACGTGACGGCGGCGACCATGGCGCAGACAAAGCTCTGCCACATCGTCTTGTCTGGAAAGTAATATGATAATTGCTGTAGAAGGTTAGCGACAACAGGCGATATTAAGCCAAGAACTAAGATCGACCCGTGCTTACCTCCAAGCTGAAAAGGACACCTCCGATGGGAGCACCGAAAGCAACAGAAATACCAGCTGCAGCCGCAGCAGAGAGTACCTCGCGTTTCCTCGCCTCGTTCCCATTAAGGCTGTCAAAGGGCTTCATCATGATGTTGGCACAGCAGCATGCAACGTGCACTAGCGGGCCTTCCTTCCCGAGCCAAAGACCTGATGAAACTGCGAGGCACTGGTAAAACTTGTAAGTGGTCAAATCGGTCTCGCGAAGGGGTGATGGAAACATACCAGCCCAAGCGACTTGATGGTCAGCGTCCACGGCCCCATCAAGTGCCGAATGACGGTTCCTCCGAGTACCGTTTTAATCTCGGGAATTCCACTGTGCCTTGCATAAATGGCGAATCTCCGTACCAAGAGGCAGGCACATAGAGCGAATACCACCTTTGTTTTTGTTAGGTCTCTTTTGACATACAGATATAAGCTGACATACCGAAAAGACGGTGTAGAAGATGTACTCGACAGTGTACCGACCTCCAGTCGAAGATACACCCAGAGCAGTTCCCCATGACGTCCATTCCATGCACTTTGTATAGTCTAATTCCATCAGGATTGGTTAGCTTGCAGAACAAGACGAGAGACGCCTAGGAGCGGCAAGTATATGCGTTACCATCTAGCCCCCAGCAGCAAAAGCTTCGGTTCAAATAGAACTTGCCGCCACCACTGCCACTTTTGCAGTAGCCTGTCTTCAGATCCCCTAGCCAATCCGTCGCAATATCAATCGCTGCAGCAATGATTCCGACTGCAATACCGGTCGCAATGAGGACAATCCAAACATTGCTGGCTTCTACGACCCTGCGTACATAGCCAACAATACCTTGGCCGCTGGAGTATAGGAGCCTCTTTCGTTGGCGTTCCTTTGTATACTCATAGATCCAATCGATAGCGGTGAAATCGTCGTAGCCAACTCGACGGCCGGGTCCTTCCACATACCAGTCCAGGGGACCGCCATCTTTGGAGTTCGGATCTCCATGCAGCTCAGCTGATAGATTGGGTTCTAATGGCGAGGCATCTCCATTTTGTCCCCCTTCGGGTCTTGAAAAGCCAAATCCAAAGTCCGAACCGCCGGCGGTATTCGAGAAGAGGCTGGATAAGCTGAAACGGGACTGTCGTTTTTGTTTTCGTTTGAAGGAAATTCTGCAAAGAATGGGATATGAGGAAGCGAAGTAATACCCAAGGAATCATGCTCACGGTTCAAACCCCTCCGCGCCTCGACTGGCATCTCGAGGTAGGGTGTTTCCAGTTTCCTGTTCCGGTTGAGCTGGTTGTGTCGCGTAAGGTTGACCATCGCTTCCCGAGCTCTGACCGGTCATTGACATCTTGAACCATCAACGCCCCAGAAAGCCAGCATCTCCCGACAGAAAATAAGATAGCGAGGACCACGTCGTTGCTGCAGACAGATTGATTGATTATTGGAGCTGGCGCAAGCTCCGGGGGGATTAGTCACCTGGACTTGGAGGCGGTGAGCGCTTTAGCCCGGTGGGGCTAGACCTTCCATCATGGCAGAAAAAAAAAGTTACGGGGAGTTCATTTTCAACTTGCAATAAAACTAATTGCAAGGAGATCCTCTGCGCGGCCGGGCTCAGCATGGATGGAAGGCCCGTCTATGAGAGGACTCTCACAGAGTCCCAGCTGCTTGAGCAGCTACCGAGTGAGATCGCTAATCTCATTCGGTCTGCTTCGGGAACTCAGCTGCTTCACGCGCTTGCGCTTGGCGCATTAAACACCGAATATACAGAAAGCGTTCTCAGGCTCTACGAGCCGATTGTGGTTGATCTGGCAGCTCGATGGCTTCGACCGGATCTTAATGCCGACCCTATTCATGTTCTGGCGGCATTTGCTCGCATTCTACCTTTCGCTACGTACCTTCGACCTTTTGCGAGTCAATATGCCTTTTCACAGGCTGGTCCCCTGTCGGCCCTGGCTGGGTCGAAGGAATTGACATTACGACAGTTGGACCCAAGCAGTATCCGTTCATTACTGCTCGCGCTCTTCCGACTGCTTTCGTTCGATTTGGACACCTTCTCCAAAACTGTGTCACCTATTCAACTTCAATCTCTGTTCCCCCACGAAGACCGAGTAATCCGATACCTCGCCGTTCGATGCTTTGCCATATACATGCATGCGGCCGACGCAGCTACTGGGAATATGCTGCGCGTCAATACCGGCGTTGACCCTATTGAAGGGGAATGGGAAGGGATCACAATTGATTACCGACTTTTGGGGTTGTGGGAAGAGCGGCGATGGGAAACTCTTCAGAGGAATATTCGCCATGCGAGTTCATCGCGGTCAGACAGCGAAGTCATGGAATTGGCCGATAGGACGCGTGATGCACTTACCGCCAGATCCGCCGATGTTTGTGGCATCCTGATCCCACGATTGAAGGATGCAGAACCTACATCTTCTTCCATTGTGAAGACACCTACAACGACAGAAAATCTTCGCCGCATCGCACGGTCCCTTCTAAGCACCAAACCCATCTTGTTGATCGGTTTGCCCAACTCCGGTAAAACGTCTCTGATCAATGACATTGCCGGCGTGATGGGCCAGGCGGAGTCGATGGTCACGCTGCATCTCAACGAGCAAACTGATGCCAAGAGTCTTCTCGGGATGTATGCGACGTCATCCGCAACGGGTTCCTTTTCCTGGCAGCCCGGTGTGTTGACAAAGGCTGCAAGAGAAGGCCGGTGGGTTTTGATTGAAGACCTGGACCGCGCACCGTCCGAAGTTCTCGGCCTGATCCTTCCGATTATTGAGCGAGGAGAATTGACCATCGCGAGTCGGAGGGAGCGAATCAAGTGTGCAGAGGGTTTCAAAATCATCGCCACCATGAAATCTTCATATAATATCGCTGGAGAGGAAGTCGCCCCAAGCACCTCGATGCTCGGCAGTCGCCTGTGGCAAAGAGTTCCCGTGGCCTCTCTTTCAGTGGGCGAGATGCGAGATGTCATCCTGCAAAAGTTTCCTTTGCTGGAGTCTCGTGTACCAATCATTATGGAAATTTACCGGAGGGTATGCTCTGCCTTTCATGGAAGCTTGGCTATCAAGGGCTCGCAGGGCCGAACACCGGGGTTTCGTGACTTGATCAAACTTTGCAGCCGATTGCATCGGAGATTGCAGCGTATGGGTGCAAAGACAGGCTTCGAAGCTAGTCCAGAAGGCGTCGAGGATGAGATTCTCTTAGATGTTGTGGACATCTTCCTCAAGTATCTTCCTGAAAAATCCATGCAAAGCGCTCTCGCTTCTGTGGTCGCCGAAGCTCTGCAGATCTCGCCTCAACGAGCACAGTTCTGTCTTGATGAACGGACACCGAATTACATCGATAAAAATAACTCCTTAATACTCGGCCGGGAGGTTTTACAGAAAATCAAAGTACCAAGTGGTGCGGCACAAAAGCTTGCAGCAGCAGCATCACGATTTGCTTCAACTAGATCAGCTTTGCATATCATGGAGCAAGTTGCTGCTTCGGTCCAAATGGCAGAACCTGTTCTACTTGTTGGTGAGACAGGTATCGGCAAGACCACTGTTATTCAGCAACTTGCTACATTAATGCGTCAGAAGCTCACAGTCGTCAACTTATCCCAACAATCCGAAAGCACAGATCTGTTAGGAGGGTTTAAACCTGTTAGCATTCGCACTATGGCGGTGCCGATGCTTGATGAATTCATCCAGCTGTTCGAACTGACGTTCTCCGCAAAGAAGAACCAGAAATTCCTTTCATCCGTGTCCAAGTGTGTTGCTTCCGGAAACTGGGTGCGCCTGGTCAACCTCTGGCACGAAGCTGTACGGCTGGCCAACGGGGTTTTCAACCCTTCGCGCAGCATTTCGAAGGAGACTGAAAATGGGGATGATCAACAGCCGGCCAAGAAGAGAAAGCTGGACTCCCCCAAATACCAACACCTGCGACAGCGATGGGAGAGCTTTGACGCTCAGCTCGCGGATTTTGAAGCCCAGGTCTCTCAAGGCGACGCGAAATTTGCGTTTGCTTTCGTGCAAGGAAAGATCGTCAGAGCCCTGAGGAATGGCGAATGGGTTCTGCTCGATGAAGTGAACCTGGCTTCCCCCGATACTCTTGAGAACATTGCTAGTCTTCTGCATCACGGCAGTGAGGGCTCTCCTTCTGTTCTTCTCTCCGAGGCTGGTGATGTTGAGCGAGTATTCGGCCATCCTGACTTCCGCATTTTTGGTGCCATGAATCCAGCAACAGACGCCGGTAAACGAGATCTGCCTCCAGGACTACGCTCTAGATTTACCGAATTCTATGTCCATTCTCCCGATAGCGAGCTGAATGATCTCCTGGCTTTGATTGAGAAGTATCTTGGAAACCTGACCATGGGCGATCCACGAGTCGTGCCCGATCTTGCACAGCTATACATGGAAACCAAGAAGCTCAGCAACGCGAACAAGCTCACAGATGGAGCTGGGCAGCGACCGCATTTCAGTATTCGAACTCTCGTCCGAAGTCTCATCTACGTCATTGATCATGCACATGTTTATGGTCTGCGACGAGCGATCTTTGAGGGATTTAGCATGAGTTTCCTGACGGTGCTGAGCTTGGAGTCTGAACGATCTGTGATCCCTTTGCTGGAAAAACACATATTCGAAAACGCAAAGAATGCTAAGTCATTGCTTGGACGAACCCCTAGACCGCCTGAAGATGGCCATGACTATGTTCATTTCAAGCATTACTGGATGCGACGTGGCCCTTTGCTTCCAGAGGAACAACCTCATTACATTATCACTCCGTTCATCGAGAAGAACCTCAAGAATCTGGTCAGAGCCAGCTCCACTCGCCGCTTCCCTGTCTTGCTGCAAGGTCCCACATCAGCAGGAAAGACGAGCATGATTGAATACCTGGCGAAGGTCTCTGGCAACAAGTTTGTTCGTATCAACAATCACGAACATACGGACCTGCAAGAGTACCTAGGGTCCTATATTTCGTCTGACGATGGAAGTCTGCGTTATCAAGAGGGTGTCCTGGTGGAGGCTCTGCGAAACGGGTATTGGATTGTTCTCGATGAGCTGAACTTGGCCCCGTCCGATGTTCTCGAGGCACTGAATCGCCTCCTGGATGACAACCGAGAGCTCTTCATTCCCGAAACTCAAGAGGTGGTTCACCCCCATCCCAACTTCATGCTTTTCGCCACGCAAAATCCTGCTGGTCTCTATGGCGGCCGAAAAGTCCTCTCTCGCGCATTCCGGAATCGTTTCCTTGAACTACACTTTGACGATATCCCTGAGAGTGAGCTGGAGTACATTCTCAAAGAGCGATCTCAGATTGCGCCTTCATTCTGCACAAAGATTGTTTCGGTCTATCGAAAGCTTTCTCTGCTACGCCAATCTAACAGGCTTTTCGAGCAGAAGAACAGTTTTGCCACTCTACGTGACCTGTTCCGTTGGGCCCTTCGTGATGCCGATGACCGCGAACAGTTGGCAGTGAATGGCTTCATGCTCCTTGGTGAGCGTGTTCGCAACCCCCAAGAAAAGGCTGCTGTTAAGAGCGTGATCGAAGAGGTCATGAAGGTCCGCCTAGACGAAGACGTGCTTTACAGCGAGTCACAGCTGAAGCAAAGTGTCCCTCAGGTGACCGAACTACCCCCTGGCATTGTCTGGACTAAGGCGATGAGGCGTCTTTTCATTCTGGTCTCCAAAGCTCTCAGGAACAACGAGCCGGTTCTTCTCGTTGGAGAGACTGGATGTGGCAAAACGCAGCTTTGCCAAGCTGTCGCCGAAGCTTTCAAGAGGGAGCTGTTTATTGTGAACGCCCACGTCAACTTGGAGACAGGTGATCTTATTGGTGCCCAACGGCCCATCCGGAACCGAGCAGCGATTGAACGGAAAATCTTTGAAGACCTCCAACTGCTCCTCCATGGGGAGCATTCAGAAAGTGGGTCAATTGAACAGTTGAAACAGGAATTTGCAGCCCTCGATGCCGAACAAAGACAAGATAAAGACCAAGACCTTCTGCGCAGGATCGAAAAGAACATTACTCGGTGTAATGCCCTGTTCGAGTGGTCTGATGGAAGTCTCATCAATGCCATGAAGACCGGCCAATTCTTCCTGCTTGACGAGATCTCGCTCGCGGACGATTCTGTTCTGGAGAGACTCAACAGTGTACTGGAGCCCCATCGATCGATCCTTCTGGCCGAGAAAGGCCCCGTCGACTCTATGGTTGTGGCTGATGGAGGATTCCAATTTCTCTCAACCATGAATCCCGGAGGTGACTACGGAAAGCGAGAGCTTTCGGCTGCTCTTCGAAACCGGATGACTGAGATATGGGCTCCTCAGCTGTCCGAAGACGAGGATATTCTCCCTATTCTCCAGATGAGATCGACCCTCCAAGATGAGGAGGTCGCAAGATCAATGTTGCAATTTGCGAAATGGTTCAAGACTACTTTCCACAACACTTCGACCACCTCTCTTTCTCTTCGTGATCTGCTTGCCTGGGTTGACTTTGTGAACACCTGCCAAAGTGACGACACGTCGTTCGCTATCATTCAAGGTGCAGCCATGGTCTTTGTCGATACCCTCGGTGCCAACCCAGCTGCAATGCTTGCCATCTCTCTTCACAACCTCGATGATAACCGACAAAAGTGTCTCGACAAGCTGAGTGAGCTGTTCAGCGTTGATGCCTCCAACATTTACAGGCAATCCTCGACCGTCTCACTGGAGCCCGGCTTCCTGCAAGTCGGTCCATTTTCTCTGCCAACTGTCGGGGAGACAGATCCCGATCCGCAATTCACCATGGATGCACCAACCACAATCGCCAATTCAGTTAGGATTGCTCGTGGCTTGCAGTCTTCGAAGCCCATCCTCATGGAGGGTAGTCCTGGTGTTGGTAAAACTACACTCGTGACAGCCCTTGCCAGAGCCCTCGGCAAACCTCTCACTAGAATCAATCTTTCAGAGCAGACAGATCTCACGGACTTGTTTGGATCCGATGTTCCGGTCGAAGGAGGAGATGTTGGACAATTCACATGGCGCGATGCTCCCTTCCTACGCGCAATGCAGCGCGGCGATTGGGTTCTTCTGGACGAAATGAACCTGGCCTCGCAATCTGTTTTGGAAGGTCTCAATTCTTGTCTGGACCACCGTCAGCAGGTCTATATTGCCGAACTTGACCAGACTTTCAAACGCCATCCAGACTTTGTTCTCTTCGCTGCACAAAACCCCCATCATCAGGGTGGTGGAAGAAAGGGTCTTCCTGCATCCTTTGTGAACCGATTTACTGTTGTTTATGCAGACAGCTTCACCGACGCAGACCTGAAGAGAATTTGCGCTAAGCTCTTCCCCGGAAGCCCTGCTTCCCAGACCGAAAGACTGGTTGATTTCATCTCCAGTCTGAACACAGCGATCGTTACAGAGCGCAGACTTGGGGCTGTCGGTGGCCCATGGGAGGTCAATCTACGAGACATCCAGCGGTGGCTGCAGTTGGCTGACCGGGGAGATTTGCAAATCCCGACCAAGCACTTCTTGGACATTGTCATCAGCCAAAGATTCAGAAGTCAAGACGATCGTGCATTGGTCGCACAGATTTACGACCGCATTTTCACAGATTGCAACATTGGACAGAAGAGCTACTTCCATAACTTGACCCCGGCTTATTTGCAGGTTGGCCTAGGCATTTTGAACCGAGACTGTCTTTTGCAACGCTCAGTCGAGCCACATATGAAGATCCTTCCGAATGATCTTAATATTCTTGAATCCCTCATCCTATGCATTGACAACTCTTGGCCCAGTATTCTGGTTGGACCTGCTGGCTGCGGCAAGACCACTTTGATCAAGAAGCTCGCCGCTATCAACGGTGCAAACCTTGAGGAGCTAGCTCTTAGCGCCGACACTGACACTATGGACCTGATCGGTGGCTTCGAGCAAATTGATCACAGAAGAGAGATCTCATCTCTAATCCATGACGTCGATATGTTTTTGCGAAAACAGATCATTCACTCTTTCGCGTCTGGGGACGTTTCTGAGTCTGTGGCTTTGGCGCTACAGATCTGCCAACATTTCCAAAGCTCAGACACCTCGCTGGAAACCGTGGTCTCGTCATTGTCCGAGCTTTGCCAGTCATTTCCCGACCCAACCTTGCAACAATTCCTTGAAAGAGCCCAGACGTTGTGGGAAACTATCCGGAATACAGATAAGATGAAAGTTGGGTTTGAATGGACGGAGGGCGTCCTCACGCGAGCTGTGCAGAATGGCTCCTGGGTTATTCTTGACAACGCAAACCTTTGCAATCCCTCTGTTCTGGACAGATTGAACTCTTTAACCGAACCCAATGGTACCCTTATTCTCAACGAACAGCGAACTGAGGATGGATCCGCTCGTATCATTACTCCTCACCCCAATTTCCGCCTCTTCATGACCATGGACCCTCGCCATGGGGAGTTGTCTCGTGCCATGCGGAACCGATGTATTGAGATCTGCTTCATGCCATGCGAGATCCAGGATTTCTCTACTACCACAGGTCCTTCCTATTTATGCGAGTCGGCACTCTATCGCCTTCGCCATATCTGGAGTTCGAAGACAGCATTGCCGTCCCCGTCATCGTCCGCCTCCATGGAAGGGTTGTTTGAAATCTGTCTAGATCATCTCTCTCCCGCAGATCTCGTCTATCTCCAAAAATCACCTGGTACATATCTGCCTAATGACACCGAGTCGGATGTGAAGAGACTTACTGCATCCAACACCTTACAACGTTATTCTTCAATGCTTCATGAAAATGCCCATTGGAGGCCACTTAATGCCATCCCTGACGAGATCATCATGGCGGGTGCTTCCCTAAGCATCAAGGGTGGACTCCAGCCAGTCCATCCCCTTGTCAACGAGCCATTATTATCAATCACGGGAGGGAGCCATTATCGCTCGAGCGTCATAGTCTTAGCCTACCTTGAAGAGTTCAGACTTGAAATTCATCGACTTCGACAACGTTTGGTCCAGTCTAATGACTCTGCAAATCAACTGAAACCGAGTCAAATGACACGACTGGAGCGATCCTTGGCTTCCAGCCGCATACAACCGTTAATGAAGGATACGACGCAGCCTGTTGGCAACTTCCTGTCTGATTGCGGCCAAGCCTTGTACGACTACATTCAAGGCTTGGATGAAGCCAGCCTCCAGTCACCTGAAATCGTGGCAGCTCTCAGAACTATTATCTGCCTGTGCTGGGACATCTACACAGCGACTGACGTGAACCAAGTCAATGAGGGCGAGTTTCAAGTCTATCTGCAGATCGGAAGGAGAGTCTGCGCATCTCTGCTTAGCTCATCCCCTTCAATGAAGACCTTGCAAAATGCCCTTTCTGGCGCACTTGCTCGCTTCCAAGCTGGGTGGGCGTTGACCACGGGTCTCAGCATGCAACGAATCTGGGATGTATGGAGGCATGTTACTCCTTCATCGCAAGAGCAGTTAATGTCTCTGATCGAACTGGAGAGCACCGTTTCTGATTTCACCAACCTGGCATTGCAGACACGAGTTGAGCTTTCTGATCTGAGCAATGTCTGGAACTCGTTGATCAACGCGCAGAAATTCATTCTCCTGGATGGCGCAGATGGAGATATGCTTCTCGAGGGAATTAAGCAGACCGTGGCTGAGCTCGGTAAGGCTGTCCGTCGTTCTGACTCTACTCAATATCCCTACTTCTCGCAAGAGTTTGAAGCGATCTGCCAGTACCATGATATTGCTTCGTTTGGTACCGAACAGGCGGTCGAGACAGTAGTGCCCTTGCTTGCTGGCAGGCGTGCACGCTCGCTTGACTCGTCGACTGCTCAAAGTCGGGTTCCGGAGCTGTTGCACAGAGTCGCGCTGTTCTCAGGAGCGGGAAAGAACTCCAGCTCTCCGCTTGCTATTGGCGGCGTTATCTCATTATCCCTTTTAGACCGGTTGACATCCGTTGGCACTACAACTCTGGGTCAAATGGATATGCTTCAGGCTGAGAAACAAGTGCTCTCGAGGGCTATCTCGATGAGCAGCCGACAAGTCGCAACAGAACAGTCTAGCAATCTCACCCGTGCGCTTGCAGCGCTGACCGCCGAGCTGGTCTCTTGCCACCGTGAATTCTTTGAGCGCGAGTCCGCCGAGCGCCTTATCTCGGTCCTGCGATCCATTGAATTAGGAAAGGCCGTCGACAATGGATCGTTGGTTACAATCAGCCTTGATGAAAGCCTAGGAGAGGACCATTTCTTCAAAAGCCTTGCTCAGAAGGCTCTACCGGCCCTCGTCAACTCGCTGGCTTTCGCCTCTCGCAACCAAGAAATCATTCGCTCTACCGGATTCGCAACAGTCCAGCTAGCAGTGATTCTCCTTCGCCTCTTTGTTCCAGATAAAGCGTTTGATCCTTCTCTCGGTCTTGTTGTCCAACGCAAGCGGTATTATCAACGCCTCGATGAGATCAGTGCGAAGTCGAACGCGATCCTTTCTTTCGAAAGCACGTTCTCTGGCCAGCCCTCCAACCTGCGCTCTGTCCTCTTACAGGAGGAGATCCAAGAACTGGGCTCCGCTCCCCCTCCCTCATCTGTGACTCGACCAGAGCAATCTGAACTAAGCTTGCTACATGGTGAATTCCTGAATTTGATCAATTCCGTCCTCAATCGGAACCCAGAAGCGATGGTCGACTCCCCCGAGAGCATATCAAAATCCCAAGAAACGGTCCAGCTTCTACGTGATAACATCGCTCAGCTCAGCAGCCGTCTCAGTACGTACTATCGATCCTACGACGACATCACAGTGCCGGTAGTTCGCTTCCTCCAGCTTCTTGATGTTGGTTTGTTCCTGGCCTCAAGCCTGGGCGAACAGTCAGAAGGCGCTCAAGATATCCAGTCCTTGAGCGAGCGCACGCCTTTCTTGGGAGGTACCCTTCACCCAATCCTTTTCGAGAGCAATATCTATCAACCTCCCAGTCAAAGCAATGCGATCGAAATGCGACTTCACGAATTGTCTGCTATCTGGGCAGCCAAAGATGCGGATCCTACCATGCTGCAAGTCAAATCTGGTCGTGATACAATTCGCCGCATTTTCGTTGATTTCCACCATCTGTGGAAGACGCAGCTCAGAGAGGATCAGGAGAAAGAGGCAGAAAAATCAGAGCTTTATCGCTACCGTGGATCGTGGGAAGATGAAGAGGAGGTCGATGAAGCTGAGCTGAACCAGCTCTTCCCTACTTACGACGGAGGAGCTTCTGATCCTCAAGAAGTTGGCCGAATTGATCCCCGACTGATTGCCGTGCGGCTCTCATCTTTACATGCCAAGATTGTTGGCAGTCAATGCACTGGTGAGGCGTTGCCTACTTTTGTCAAAGAGTCTGGCCGTCTCCTGGGATCGATGTGGTCTGCGAACAAGAGTCCCTTCGCGCCCGTGCCACCTCAACACCATCTTCCTTCGGTCTTCCTACTTCTTGAAGAGGTCATAGGCGAGGAATCTCATGCTCAACAGAAGAACTACAACTTCTATACAGATTCGAACTTTGCGGAAGCAAGAAGGCTTGTCAATCTTACGCTTTCGGTCCAATCTCGCTTTGCGCAGATCCAGACTGCTTGGCCGGAGCATGCCGTTCTCCAGGATGTCATCACCTGCTGTTCAGAGATTCTCCAATTCAAGCACATTGAGCCTGTTGCTAAATTTTTGACTAAGGTTGAGAAGCTTCATTCGCTTGTGCATGAGTGGCAGTTGGTGGCCAGCCGCGAATACTCAGCTGTCCCCCTATACGATGAAATCACGAACATGACCATCGGGTGGCGTCGCCTTGAACTGTCGACATGGGCAAAGCTCTTAGATCTCGAGAAGGAGCGATGTGATGAGAATGTTAGTTCATGGTGGTTTGTCGCATACGAGGCCCTTCTGGCTGTGCCGCTGCAGATAGCCGAGTGTGGCGAGGACAACCTGAGTGAGCACATCGAAGGTGTGATTTCCACTCTAGAGCAATTCTTCAAGTCTACCACGCTTGGTCAATTCACTCGTCGCCTTCAACTTGTCTCAGATTTCCAGGCACTGCTTGTGGCCTTCGTCAATGACTTCCCCTCTTTGACGCCACTCGTCTCTGCGCTCAACAATTTCCTGTCCCATTTCCGGCCCTTCGAGCCGTCAGTTGACAAGATCCTGCAGGAAAAGAGATCAGCTTTGGAGAAGGACATCAAAGAGCAGATTCAATTGGCAAGCTGGAAAGATACCAATATCGTTGCTCTGAAGGAGAGTGCCAGAAGGTCCCACGTCAAGTTGTTCAAACTGGTTCGCAAGTACCGGGAGGCTCTCGCCCAGCCCATCCAGCCAGTCCTTGAACAAGGGCTTCCCGAATTTGGTGATGGTATCTGCGAATCATGTATCGAGGATAACAATATGCCCACAGCTTTGTTCCCCGAGGTCTTGTCCATCTGCCAAAAGAACGAGAAATTGTGGTCATCCAGAGCTCTTCGATTCCAGAACCCGGATGGCACGGCTCGCAACATGACGAATCTTTATTCATCAATTCCGTCTGAGTTTGACATTGCGAAGGATCTTGACGGGTTCACTGTCTCCATCATCGAGGGCATCAATGAGTTCAAGTCGCAAACGCCCAAGACTCTAACCGAAGAGAACAAAGATGATGTCCAGCACCTTAAAATTCAAAAGCGTCGCCTCTATGCTGAAACTTTGAAGCGTCTCTTTGCGATGGGCGTGAAGCGTAATGCTGGCACAGGTCTCATCGAGACCCAGGTCTCCCTTGCTCAGGTCCTTTCCACGAGCGCTGCCTTTGAATCTAGTACTACAGCCTCAAGCTCCATTCAAAGTGCCGATTCCTACTTCCACAGACTTCTCGACCTCCTGCCCCGCGCTCGTCTGGCATCGCGTAACTACTCTGAGGAGCTCAGCAACGTCGAAGTTTCCAGGAGTATGGGCTCTATTGAGTATCTCCTGTTCGTCCTCCGACGCCAGAGAGGTGTTCTTGCGCCCACTCTTTCTGATCTGGGAGCTCTCAAGTCTACTCTTGACAAAGCACGGCACTTGTGGACAATCGGATCAGACTCTCTCATCAAGGCTGGCGCTTCTGCTAGCGACGAATTGATGGGTCTGACTCGGGTTGTGGCGTGGCTGAGCCCAATTCTTGCACTTGCGTCGACTATCATTGAAGTCCACTCCAAGTTCTCGGGTCTTCAGGCATCCTCCATCTCCCAGGAATTGAAATCAAGAAGGGCTGCATTCGACGATATCCGCAAGTCCCTCCAGTCGCACCCCTCCCTGCCATCTGGAATTGCCTCGACGATTCAGAAGGAGCTCATCCAACGCGCATGGTCATTGCTCCACCAACTCGATGCTGATCTGAAGATATGGGTTCAAGATCGCCCGGACCTGTCCTTCGCTTTGGACCAAATTGTTCCATGGATCCAGACTAACAGTATTCCTTCTGCTGGCTTGCTTGGAAAGGGTACCGTCTCCATTCAAAGCTTTGACGACAGCCTTCTCTCTGCCGTTGATAAGATGCTCGTCGGCCTGCAGCAGCTCAAAGATGTTCCTACCGCCATCACCTTCGATGGCCTTATGTCCCGAAGTGACGAGTTCTTCTCTCGGGCATCCAGGGCAGTTCATCTTAACGAAATCACTTCGTCGTTTGATGAGGTCCTTGGCCATCTTCAAAACCTGCAGGACAAGTCTGCCAGTGCCCTCTCTATGGCCGCTGCTCTAGTCACCAGTATCCTGCCCATTGCCAACAAGTACTACCACATCTGCCAGGATTTGACCGGCCGTTTCATCTCGGTTCACCGTGAGATCTGCAAGACTTCTTACATCCTGACCAAGACTTTCACTCAGCTAGCGTCGGAAGGATTCTGCAGCCCAGCCGAGGCATCCCAAGACGAAGGAAAAGAAGGCAAAATGGAGAGCGGTACTGGCCTTGGCGATGGCGAAGGCGCTGAAGACATCAGCAAGGACGTCGGGGATGATGAGGATCTCTCAGAGCTTGCGCAGCAAGCAGAAAAGGAAGACGCGGATAAGGATGAGATGGATGACTCTGCTGATGCGGTCAACATGGATCAGGAGGAGATGGAAGGTGAAACCGGCGAACACCAAGAAGAAGGCGATGAGGAAGAGAAGGATGACAACGACGATGAGGAGGACAACATTGACGAGGAAGTTGGCAGTGTTGATGACCTTGACTCTGGTGCCGTTGATGAGAAGCTGTGGGATGGAGCCAATGATGAACAGCAGAAGGAAACCGAAAACGAAGAAGGAAAGGGCCAGGCTGAGGAAGACCAACAAGCTGCGGCTCAAGAACAGAAGCAGGAAGGAGAAGAAGGCCAGAAGGGCGAGGAAGAGGATGGAGACGAAGAGGACGAAGAGGAAGAAGCCCCTGATGATGAGGGCGAAGCTGTTGGTCGTGAGGATATGGATGTTACTGATCCCCAGACCAAGGAGGAAGAAACGTTGGATCTTCCAGACGAGATGCAATTGGACGGTAATGATCAAGATGGTGGCGATGAAGGGGAGGATGATGATGGCATGGACGACCTCGATGATATGGGTCCGCTCCCCGAAGAAGAGCAGCAAGTTGAAGAGCAGGATGATCAAGCTGGCGGTGAAGATGCCGATGTGGCACCTGACGAGCAGATCCCTGGCGAAGATGAAGAGATGGGCGAAGAAGGGGAAGAGACCAACGAAGGCGAAGGACAAGAAGAGAATGAGGCTGGCGGCGAGGAGCCGGAAGAGCCAGAGCAGGACGACTTCCTCGCTCAGCGGGATGACAACGAAGCTGCGGGTGACGATGTTGCTCCTAGTGATGCTGTCAACGGCGGACTTGCTGCTGATCAGGACCAGAATGAGGACAAGGGAGCGTCCGGCGATGCACAGCAGGAGAGTGGCTCCAGTGATCCCACTGCCAGTGCCGAGCAACAAACCGGTGCTGCCAAGGAGAGCGAAGAAAGTAAACGCAGTCGAGACGCTGGCGGTGCCGAGGACGCGGCTCCTAATGAGCCTCAGATCCAAGCCTTCAAGAAGCTCGGTGACATTCTCGAGCAATGGCATCGTCGCCAAAAGGAGGTGCTGAATCCGTCACAGGAGGAGGAGGACTCGCAACCGTTGCCGCAGGATACCGACATGGCGGACGCCGACTTCGAGCACCTCAGGGACGACGAGGATGTGGCCGACACTCAGGCTCTGGGGCAGGCAAATGAAGATCAAGCCAAGGGTCTGGACCAGAACAAGGCCGTCGAATCCGAGAACCAGCCTGGAGAGCACGAGGCTCTCCCTGACGTCTCAGAAGAGATCCAAGACTCTCTGGATAACCAGCTTCAGGATGAGATGCAAATCGATCGCGAGAACGCCCCTGCCGAAGCTCAATCGGCCGGAGCTTTCATTCCGGGTGATCAGACATCGCGAGACCATGCAGATGGCGCCCCCGGTGCTGAGGACGTGAATGAAGAATTGGATGAAGTCGACTCGCAACTCGCGGCCATCCACCTTTCATCAACCCTCCCGCCTTTGACCCCCGAGCCCGAGGCCCGCCGTCTGTGGTCGCACTATGAAAATGCTACGAATGATCTCTCCCTCTCTCTCACCGAACAACTGCGTCTCATTCTCGCGCCCACCATGGCTACCAAGCTCCGTGGAGATTTCCGCACAGGAAAGCGCCTCAACATCAAGCGCATCATCCCTTACATTGCCTCTCAGTATAAACGCGACAAGATCTGGATGCGCCGCTCTATCCCCTCCAAGCGCAACTACCAGATCATGCTTGCCGTCGACGATAGCAAGTCCATGCTTGAAAGTGGCTCTGGCCAACTCGCCTTTGAGACGCTGGCTCTCGTCGCGAAGAGTCTGAGCATGTTGGAGGCCGGAGACCTTTGTGTGCTGGGCTTCGGTAATGAAGACCATGTCCGCGTCGCGCACGAGTTTGGCAAGCCTTTCTCATCCGAGGCTGGCATGCAGGTCTTCCAGCACTTCAGCTACCAGCAAACCGGTACGAATGTGCGCAAGTTGATTGCCGATTCGATCGCCCTCTTCCGTGAGGCACGCTGGAAGAGGTCCCCCGGCTCTGGGTCTGCGGATCTGTGGCAGCTTCAGCTGATTATCTCCGATGGTATCTGCGAGGACCATGATACTATCCGCCGCCTCGTTCGCCAGGCTCTCGAGGAGCGTATTATGATCGTCTTTATCATCGTTGATGCCGTCAAGGGCAGTTCCATCCTAGATCTCTCGCAGGCTAGCTTCGAGGCCGATCCTGATTCCAATGGTGAAATGAAGCTGCGGATGAAGCGCTATCTCGAGGGATTCCCCTTCCCTTACTACCTGGTGGTCCGTGATGTGCGTGAGTTGCCTTCTGTTCTGGCGACTGCGCTGAAGCAGTGGTTCGCGGAAGTTGTGGATGTGTCTTCATGATCTACATTGAAAAATGGGTTTGCAACATTTGGCGTTATTTTGAATTTCCGGGCGTTGTCTTTTTTTGGAATTGTGATGTATATGATAGATCTAGATACGTTTGTACATGAATATGGTCTACATGTTTCTTTACGAGGTGTTCATTTACACGCAGTAAGTGGTGAGCTTAAGGATGTTTCCTGTGATGTAGTATTGGTACCTCGATAATGGTGATGTATAATGCCCCGGCACATTTCCAGAAGACGCCAGGATATGCTAAAACTACCACCCATACTTGGATCCGGCTTCCTTCTTGTTTCTCCTTCCTGTGGCGAAGCTCTCTTCCAGGGCGTCCTTCTGAGTACTCGCTGCATTGACCAGCTGCTGCAACGTGTGCTTGCCAGGAGCAATAGCGCGGACAGGGTTGTGTTGCGTGGCAGCCAACTCGGTCTCGGCATTGGCCTGGTTCGAGGCGTATTCTTTGTCGGTATTAAAGGAGAGGATGCGGGATTGCGCAGAGGGTGCATTGCGGCCGAAGAGCTGCCGGCGTTCTGACTTGGAGAGATTGAGGTCGTTGGCGATGGTGTCCAGGGAGGATGATACGGAGGCGTTTGTAGGATAATATGCCGCGTCCGTGGGTATGGACTCCGGCACTAGTGCTGCGTCGGCCGATGCGGCCTCCATCTCAGTCTCGGTCTCCGTGTTGTAGACCAAGGGCTCGTAGATCCCTGTTGGTGCCGAGGCATCGTCTGTCGGGGCCGTATCCTCGGATGATAACGAGAAAAGGCTGACCTTGGGCTTGGGCGGCATGGGCGCAGGCGCTGGTGCGGAAGCCGATGCAGTCGGTTGTTGTGCCGTAGGATCGGCTAATTTGGATGCCACAGACGCTGCTGCTGCTGAGGGTATTGGCTGAGAGGCGACCTTGGTGGTTTGCTTCTTCTTTTGGTTTCGCGCAACGGACAAAGGCCGAAACATCATGGGGTTGCCCTGGAGCTTGACCACTCCAGCCTCTGCCTTCGCCACGGGAACATTGTCTGAATTGGCCGCCGGTTGTCCCAAGCTGCCAGGCGTAGGTATTGTACTGTCGGTTGCGTCGGCATTATGGTTGAACGCCTGACTGTTCCGCATCTCCGCATCGGCTGTACGATCAAAACCTGGTTCGGCACCCGTCTTCAGACTGAATACTTTGCGCGTCGTGGCTACCTGTGCTTTCTTCTCCACAGCCCGCTTTGGAGCGGGCAGAAATGAGTTGAAGCCGGCAAAGGCCCCTCCAGCGGCAGCTCCTAGCCTGGCCTTCTTGCGCGCCGGTCCATCTTCAGCGTCCTGGTCCGTGGGGTGCTCGGGTTTCAGCGGGAGTGCGACGCGAATCTTGCGCGGGTTGCCGCGGTCAACCTGGAAGCCGGCGCCCGCCTCGGGCTTGGGCTTTGCAACAGAGGGTGCGGGAGTGGTATCGGGCTCGGCATCTGAGCCTTCAGAGTCGGAGTAGGCTACCAGCGCCATGTTTGAAGATAGTGAAGGGTGAGTGGGTCACCTGGTTCCTGGAAGACTTGGGCGGCGATCTACCATCTCCGTTTGGTGAACTTATTTGGACACCTGAACTGCCAGGCATCAAGAGGAGTCGTTGCTTACATAAGAGGCTTGGCCCCCGTGACGATCCGGCGTATACTTCTCAGTTGGAGGCCGGTCTACGAATTGGCGGGGGAGATCGAGTCGGATGGGAGCCATGGGCCCGTGTCTCCATCACATAAACCCTCATCCTTCGACACCCGCCGGATGCGAAGCCATTGAGGCGCTCGGGGGGACGGGATGGCACCTCGTAGCAGACCGGGACGACACCACTTGGAAACGTCATCGGCGTCATCCGGATTCTCCGCTGGACTCGGGATTCAATGGGGGGAAGATCGCTCGTTTTACAGTGCATAGTTGAGGGTGGATGGAGAGAGCCGGTCGCATAGAATCCAATAGGCCTAATTATGACGGCCGCGAGACAAAGGAAAGGGCGTGATATCCGGTCGAAGAAAGCCCCAGCCACACGCACACAAGCCATGCCGAGACGCTTCTCCCCACGAACGAGCCCGATAATGTACCATAGCCAAGTCCAGACGACTCATGTAACCGAGCATAATCAGTATAATCAGTGTCAATTCACCTTATCAGCGGGGACCAGCGCAGCAATGGCCGACAAGCCAGCACGAGCGAACGGGCAGAGATCAATGCGTCATTCTGGCCGCCCCCCCCCCACCTTCGTCGACTCCGGCCCTCCGACCATCTTCCTCCCATGGCCCTCGCCCTCAACCTGCCCCGCCGTCCTCCATGCCGAGTTTAGGAGGCCTGCTGAAGAAGAGGCGAACGAAGGATTCTCAAACCCTCTCGTCGGAGCTGCCCCCATCCTCCGAGAACCATTCTCCCCCCGACACCCACGAAGAAAGCGCCTCCATGCAACCCGCCGGGAGCTCACAAGCTTCTCCGCAGCAGCCCAACAATGCCGCCAGCATTAACAACCTCATAAACAACCCGGACCATGCCTCGCAGACGCAACAGCACAGCTCCGCCCACGGCCACAATGTTGACTCGCCCCATCAGCACCAGCATCAGCACCAGCACCAGCAAAAGCAGGAGCGCACCACCAAGGGCAAGTACTCACAAGAGGACTTCCTGCTGCAGCGCACCCTTGGCACCGGGAGCTTCGGTCGGGTTCATCTCGTCCAGTCCAAGCACAATCACCGCTTCTACGCTATGAAGGTTCTCAAGAAGGCTCAGGTCGTCAAGATGAAGCAGATCGAGCACACCAACGACGAGCGCCGAATGCTGAACCGCGTCCGGCATCCGTTCCTGGTGACTTTGTGGGGAACCTGGCAGGACTCGCGCAACCTCTACATGGTGATGGACTTTGTTGAAGGCGGCGAGCTGTTCAGTCTGCTGCGGAAATCCCAAGTATGTGGCCCCTTTGCACCCCCGCTTCCTTCCCATCACCAACCCCCCTCCCCGAAGCGCGCGCGTGCATATCGCTAATGGTCTGCGTTTTCCCCCTCCCTGCAGCGATTCCCCAACCCAGTCGCCAAGTTCTATGCCGCCGAAGTGACATTGGCCTTGGAGTATTTGCACGCCCATCAGATTATCTATCGTGATCTGAAGCCAGAGAATCTGTTGCTGGATCGTCATGGTCACCTTAAGATTACTGATTTCGGCTTCGCAAAAGAAGTGCCCGACATCACCTGGACGCTGTGCGGTACACCCGACTATCTCGCCCCAGAAGTAGTTTCTTCCAAGGGCTATAATAAGTCTGTCGACTGGTATGTTTTGATTTCAGCTGTTATCTTCCCAAAAAAACGTCCCTATTTCCTAACCCTTCTATAGGTGGTCATTGGGAATTCTTATCTTTGAAATGCTATGCGGGTTCACCCCCTTCTGGGATAGCGGCTCCCCCGTCAAAATCTATGAGAACATCTTGCGAGGCAAGGTCAAGTACCCGCCCTATCTCCACGACGATGCCGTCGATCTGCTGTCGCAGCTTATCACCGCCGATCTGACCAAGCGTCTGGGTAACCTGCACGGGGGCCCCGAAGACGTCAAGAACCACGCGTGGTTTGCCGAGGTCACTTGGGACCGACTGGCCCGCAAGGATATCGATGCACCCTATATCCCGCCGATCCGTGGCGGCCAAGGTGATGCAAGCCAGTACGATAAGTATCCCGAAGAGACAGAGCACTATGGCATGGAAGGTGAAGATGCGTAGGTTTTTCTCCTTAGTTGCATTCATCTGATCATCACAAACCCAGCTGACCCTCGCCCAGATACGGCCATCTGTTTCCCGACTTCTAAGAGCGCTTGTATGATTTATGACGAGATGAAAGGCCCGCGACGCCGCGCAGGATTTGGAATTCGCACCGGCGCGCCCGCAGGAGTCGACCTGAAAAACCGGAGTGATATCACATCTATTGAAAACCTACTTGCGGATCTCATTTATAGCAATTGGACTCGAGTTTTTTCTTGTTTTCTTGTCTGTTGTTCATTTGGTTCTGGATTTGGCTATATGTGGTTTTGTCTCGATATACAAGGGGGGGGATGTCCTTGATTCCTCTATATCCCAAAGCAAAGATCCTCGCCCATATTGTACACGGGCTCTCAGGCCGTCTCTATTCGTACACGGATCCTTTGACGGATCGTCGTATGTCCCATCCTTTCGCCGTAGACATCAAACCCAATTGAGGAGTGGTTATCTTATTGCCTCCTCTCTCTTACAGGCCGGGGCCCATGTCGGCAAGGGATGTGGCATCACCGCCCATCTTCTTGCTTTCCTCAGCCATACGGCGCATGTAGGTGCGGCTGGTGACGTTCCACATGTTGATGTACTTCTCCATGCAGCTAGACAGGCAGGAGTTCTCCTTGGAGGAGAGGGAAGAGCCAGGGGCGGGAATGCAAGCGTCGAAGCAGTTCTCGTTGATTTTCTGAGTTGCGATTGTGTTAGCGTAGTGCTCGGTCAAAGCGAGAGAAGAGGGCGGAACGGAAAATGGTGACGTACTCCGATGAGAGCGCGGGCGTTGGTCATGGCCGCCTCCTGCTGGACCTGCTGCAGGAGAGAGGTCTTGATGTCCTCGCTGGACTTGGAGGAGCCGGAGCCAAGGAAAGACATGGTGGATGGAGTGGTGGAGAGGAGGATGTTGGGAAGGAAAGGCGGAGCGCAGCTGGGGAAGTCAAGTCAAGAATCTGAGCTGCGGCCGTGGCTGGTGCGGAGCCTGCGCCACACGCAATGTGGACACCTTAGCATCATACGGAAGAGAAGTACACCACGAACTACTCCAAATCAGCCCTTCCCCGGTTGACCACCCTTGCTGATTCTCGGCTTCCACTCTCTCCCTTCCTTCGCCGCTCTTCTCTGTCTCATTTTCTCTCCGGGTTTTCGGGTCCTGGCGACACCGACACCCACCCCTTCCAATCTTCCCCTCTCCCCACCCCGGTCTCTCATTGAGCTGCTGTCCCCTCCGTTCGGCCCTAACTTGACACTACCATGCGTCTCCCGAGCTTGTCCTCGCTACTGTGCCTGGCCGGCTTGGCCTCCGTCCCCGTCAATGCGTATGCAGGCGACGACCCCAATATCAAAAGCATCCCGGTAGGTGCTGATCTATTGATGCGCATTCGCTGCCGAGGTACTGATTGTTCAATGTGTCTTAGCTCCGAACCCACAGTCTTTCCCCGGTATGAAACCCGACGAGCTATATGAGCTTTGTTCTCTATCATGCAGAACAAGCTGCGAGTGCATCTGTTGGGAACGTGAGCCTTGTTGACAAGCTGGATAGCCATACCTTGATTCGGATTTCCAAAGCCGCTGGTTCGACTTCGGAGGAGATACGGTGATCCGCGCGGATAAGTGCGAGACTCGATCCTTTACTATCCTGAGCTATATCATACTAATGGAGATGCTCTCTATAGATATATTCGTCTGACCGCCGACCGGCCGTCGCAGCAAGGATGGATCTTCTCGCGCGTGCCTCTGACCGCAACCAATTGGGAGGTAAGGCCGCCCTAAACACCATGCATACCGAGCTCCAATGTGACCGCAAAGCTCACATCCACCTCCAGCTCGAACTTGAATTTGAGGTCCACGGTAGCGGCAACCTGCACGGCGATGGCTTCGCTCTATGGCTCACCAAGCAGCGCGCCACTCAAGGCCCTGTCTTTGGCTCGACCGACCGCTTCGAAGGCCTGGGCATCTTCATCGATACCTACAAGAACAACCGTCCCGGCGTGTCCTTCCCTTACGTCATGGCCATGATGGGCGACGGCTCGACCACCTACGACCAGGCGCACGACGGCAAGGCCAACGAGCTGGCTGGATGTTCGGCACGCGGCCTCCGCGGCGCCCCCGTACCCACCAAGCTCCGCCTCACCTACTTCCAGGACAAGTCCTTGACTCTGGACCTGCAGTACAAGACCGAGGACTCCTGGACCAACTGCTTCACGCTCAACGCCGAAGACACCAACATTGCCATTCCCTCCGTCGCCTACTTGGGTCTCTCCGCCGAGACCGGCGAGCTGAGCGACAACCACGACATCGTCTCCCTCAAGGCGGAGAACCTGTATGCGCTGAACCGCAACGCCGGCAGCAAGGGTTCCGATGGCGCCAAGGGGGGTCGCAGCCGTGGAGGCAGCAGCAGCCGCTCTGGACAGACCGAGTCCAGTAGCTGGTCGTGGTTCTTCTTCAAGATTGTGTTGTTCTTCGGTGCTTGTGTGGGTGGGTACTTTGGTTGGACGATTTACCGGACGAAGGGGCGGTCCTCGCGGTTCTGAACAGTTCGACAGTCTGTATTGTTTGGCGAGCCCAGCCAAAGGAAAATCGCTTTCTCTGTATGGTCTACTTGTGTCTTCCCCTCCCCTCCCTTTGTTCCTGGCTGTTAAACGATTGGTCTTGCATAGCCTTTTGACGTCATTTGTGGTTCCTATGCGTTGTGTAGGCCGCTTTTCTGTTCTATTTGAAATGAATCCACTCATAAAACAGTTCTGTCATTTGTATCATGGGTCCTCGCCTGAGTCATGTTGCTGGGCAGCAGGAAGGGTATCATATATCTATATGGTAGAAACGCCGGTCAAAATGCAATAGTCGTAGCAAAGTCTCCCTGAGAGACTCGACTTGGAAGGGTGTCTGCGTCCTGAGCACATCCGAAAGCTCGGTTCTCTCAGGTTTTTTCACCGATGCGCTCTCGCTCCTCACCCCACATGCGATCCACGATTTGGAATACCTCTGTCACGCTGCGCATCACTGCGTCTTCGATTCCCAGCGCGCTGTATCGGTGCTGGATCTTGTCAGGATGCCACCGCACCCGCTCTGCTTTCAGCGTCGCCAGTAGATCGGCCATCGGCGCATGGCGCAGGAACTCTTGCACCGAGTCCGGGTTCACATCACGCCGCTTGCCAGACTCGACAGGCCAGAAAAGCAAGTCGCGCAGCGGCTTGCGCTGCGCATCAGCCTCATCCGCCTCGGCAGACTGGGTCGTGGACCCAGGCTGCGGCACCACCTTCGCGATTTCCTTCCAACTCGCCAAATACGCTTTCCAAGCCACGTCCCAGTTCTTCCTCTTCTTTCGTTCTGCTCCACGCCGCAAGCTCTCGTCCATCGCCTGCTCGAATGCTCCGCGCTCCCTCTCCTTCGCACCCCTCTCATCCTCCCGGCGTCTCGCCTTCTTCCTTTCGGCCCTCAGCCGCTCCTGCTCTTCCAGCATCCCTTCCCGCGTGCGCTCCCACATCCGTGACCGCACATACGTTGCATATTCCTCGTCAGACATCTGCTCGAGTTCCCCGTCCGGGCCCTTGGGCACCTCCGGGACCGCATAATTGTGGATAGGCTGGCCGTAGACAGATTCCCAATACGCAGCGCCTTCGTCGTCGCCGAGTGCATCGAAGAGAGATTCTCGAAACGCAGCACTGGGCGAGAGCGGAGGCGGCTTGGTTGGGTCGGGTGGTTCTGTTGAGCGGTGGTGTCTGTCCCGGCGCTTTGAGGGGCGTGCATTCTCGTTGCGCCTGCTGCTTCGAGGGCTCCCGTGGCGCCTTTTATGGTCGCGCTCGGAGTCGTGCGAGCGGGCGCTATCGTTAGGGTCGTGGTGTCTTTTGTCACGCGACGGCCGGCTCTTGAAGCGGAAGCGGCCTTTGCTTCGGTTGGGATGTGTGTAATCGTCCGAAGGGTGCGCCGTCGAGGTGGTACCCTCAGGCGGTTGAGAGGCCATGCTCAGAGGTATGGGGTGTGCAGATGCTATGCCATGACATGATACAGGATAAAGGGAAGCTGAAGAGTGAACAGAAGTTCATTCCAGCCGTTGCGACCTCGAAGTTCTTAGTCAGGTCTTATCAGCCTTATCAGGCAGGTGACGCCGCGGAGCGAAGTACATTTGGGAGGCGGCGTTGGTGTTTGGACTTGAACTATGCTTGATTTACCGATGAGTGGAATTTCGCTGGTCACTCAGTGGCATTTGCCATTTCAACCCCACACAAACTCGTCGCCAGTCGGGGGAATATCGTCGAGCCTGTTCTTTCTCTACGCCGGAAGAGAATGCAAGGGCAAGAACAGAGATGACGACAGGAACAAGATATGGGAGATGGCCTGGAAAGCTGGGGGAAGACAGATTGTACCTGGTCTGTTCCCTGGTAATAAAGCATCGCACAATGGGTTTAATTCGATAGTCTCAATTACTCAATTACTGATGCTCCCGCGACGACATACGCAGGTGTCTATTAGTCGAATACGTCTTCTACTCGATCTCCTCCAGGAAAGTCGGCAGCTCTTCCCCGGCACCCAGTAGATGACCATCGCTGCAACCTTTTCCGGCTCATCTACATGTCAGGGATGTCTGACATAGGGTGCCATGTTAGGGGCGCACCATTGACTCCTCGCGCATTGCCTGCCACCGGTGGAGGAGGTTATGCCATCAGCAGGAACGGGGTGTCAGCGAGATGCTAGAAAGGCAGTTTCAGCTCCAGATGGGGTAATAAGAAAATTGAGATGCTCATATTGATTGCAACTGGGAATAGATAGACAACACAACGCCAGATCCAACACCACCACCCTAGGCAGCTGTCCCACTGAACCGACCAGAAGAGTACGCACGCGATGACGTACAGACTGAAAATCAACCGCCAGAATGTCAAGTGCGATAATGTTGCATGTTCTTCTTGATCTCGTCCACAATTTCAATTGCCTCCAGCGGGTTCCGCGCCTCAAAATCGTAGCGCTTCTGCTCTGTGGCATCATTGCCGCGCAGAACGACGACTCGGAAGCTTTTGGGGTGTCGCCGGCTGACCTTAGAGCCGACCACTTCATTAAAGCTAATCGAGCGTGTCTTGGAGTTGGATACGGTCTTTCCCGTATCCCCGGCCATGATGTGCATGTAGTCATTGTCAAAGGTGAGGATTCGATGATTCGAGGCAGTAAACGACATGGGTTGCTTGCGGAAGACGTGATAGCGGCGATAGTACCCGCCGATGAGGTCTTGTTTCTGCGAGGATGACGGCAAATTACTCTTTTTGCCCTTCTTGACGGCCGTCGGATTATTGCTGTCCACCATCAAGGGTGCGTTTGGTGAGGAGCTGCCTGGCGAGCCACCCATGGCAAGCGGGCCGTGGCCAAACCGGCGACGGACAAGGTCCAGCTCTGTGATGTTACCCAACGCCTCCACAGTGCGATCTAGCGGTACGATGGTATTCGATCCCATCACCTTGAGGAGATAGTTCCCTTTATCCAACCCCCAGCGCTTACACACCGAATCCAGAATCTCAGCGATGTAGCTGTCGGAGAATGTGTTGAAGGTCGTGACATGAGCAGAGGCTTCCAGGTTGATAAAGCGAATCTTCAAGGTTTTAGAGACACCAAGTCGAGGAGTAGCATGGGAAACCGGGACCACGGGCCGATCTGCCGGGGTTAACGTATTGTCATTCAGCGCAGACGAGAATGGTTGGCCCAGAATCGGGTTCACCCGACCCATGGTGGTCTTGGCTGGCGAAGCAGGCTGGGCCGGGGGAGCTCGTGGCACAGCAAGGTTCGTCTGTTGATCGCCATCATCAGACCCAAGACTCCCGCTGTACTGGGGGTATAAACGTTCGTTCTCCTCAAACTCGGCGTTGGAGGCCTCTACCAGGGCAAACTCATCATAGGGTTTGCCCCGTGAGCGTCCTCGCGCCTTCGCTGCTTGGTTATTGTTCGATGTAAAGTCTGTCATGGGAAGTGTTCGTCCAAGCGCCGGGAAGTCGTACTCGACCTCCCCGTCGTCGACCATGCGAAGAGCCCATCGGTTCACAGTCAGCCTGTCGCGCTCCAGAGACGGCTCTCGTGAATCTTCAGAATACTTCCAAAGAGCAAGACCAATTGTCTCCGCAACGGTGATTGGAGCGGGCTGCTCAGCAAGTTTCGACTCGCGTATGACTGGCAAATCCAGAGGTTCATCAGGATCCAATGAAAATGGGACGTAGATCTTCAAATATAATGGATCCACCAGACCTCGTCCCGAGAGAACCATGAATCTCTCAACTGGGTTGCTCGGTGCACGTTTACGGGATGTCAGCTGTTTCGTCAATAAGCTGACTGGCTGTACTCTGCTGATGGGCCGCGGGGGCGGAAGATCATGCAATTCGGGGGCAGGAGTTTTGGATTTGCGCGGCGAAGTGTTGGCACTCGGCCCAGTTCCACTGGGCAATTTGTGCATCAGGGCCATCGGCGAGGATGAGCCGGTCATGCCTACCCCAGCCAACAGCAGTGAGCCAGAACCGGCAGTGGCATCGAATTCAGAGGAGAGTGCAGATCCAACAGACTCGGCCCCCGAGTCTTCATCTTGCTCATGCAAGTCCTCGAGCATGATACTATCAGCTCCACGACTGCCTGTTCTCTCACGCCGTCTTCGAGGACGCTCAACCACCTGATCGGTTGTGGAAAATTGAACCTGGCCGGGCTGATGATAACCGTGCGTGTCAACTTCGTTGTCGGTGGAAAGATCACTGCTTGTTGTGGTATCTCGTCGCGGTCGTTGCTCCTTGCTTGATACTGCTGTCCCCAGTGATCCTGTGCGGTAATGGCCTACAACATTCTGGGTTGAGGGGGATGTGATCGTGACCTCTGGCCGTTCGCGCTGGTCTAGAGAGCGAATAGGGGAGGAATCGGCTCGGTCTCGGCGCAGGGGCATCTTGGAAAACTTGATCTGATCGACAGTGCTGTTTCTCGTCAGGAAGTCAGGCCACGCACTGATCGGACAGAATGACCTACCTGTGCATGCTGTCACCATCTTCATCGCTGTCGTCACTCAAATCGCTGCTATCGTCATCTTCCACCTCGGCCTGTCGCTGAGCCTCTTGGTGGCGATCTCGCCTGCCCTTCTTCTTTCCAGTCCGTCCATGATGCCGTCGCCCTGCACCGTCCACATGGCTCTTGCCGGTCACCATACCCCCTTCATCATCCTCGCCGTCCTCCAGGCCGAGCCCTTGCACTTCAACTCTCGCCGCGTTTGCATCTCGTACTGCTAGTCGGTAATATTCCGAGGAGACAGCAGCTGTGGTTGGAATAGGAGGGGAATGGGTGCGTTTGATCTGGGCGTTGCTGGTGGATGCGGAGGACCAGCCCGCGGCGCGAAATCCAGGAGTATTGAGGACGGAGTTGTTGACGTTGATCAGGCGGTCTCCAATCCCATCTTTAATGGTGGAGAGGTACGTCGAGCGTAATTGCCAGATGGTAAAGCTAGGCCTCGGTTAGTCTGCGGTGGTCGCAATGCCAAACAAAGGGGAAAGGGCAGCAAGCCCGACTCCACCTACTCTTCGTTGTGAAGAAGAGACATTTTCGCGCGGCCTCAACTGAAGCTCTATCCCTCGGCACAACCAAATACACAATGCGGCGCGTGAAGATCGCGTGGTGGTGGGCAGCCTCGGGCCAACCACAATGGAACTCGTCAGAGCTGACCGCGCATGCGTACGGAGGGCATACGCTTAGAGAGGGCAAGCATGCGCCTCAAAGTGTAGAAAGAATGGGGATGACGCTATCAGGACCAGCCTAGAAGGAAATGAAAGTGAAACGCAAGTCAAGCAGTCAACTGAGCGGCGCAGGGCAAGGCGTGGAGGGCAGGGAAGTTGATCAGTGGCGGTTCTCCGCAGATCGTTTCCCCGCCCGCACCGCCTGCCCGTGCGGCTGCCGCCGCGTACCCATCGATCTGCATTACCTTCAAAATGATTGAGGTATACAATGGTTGAAATTCAATTGGTTTTTTAATTGCTTTTTCAATTGCTGCGAATTCTAGAAATCAACCACAAAAATTAATCATAATCAACCCATGCATTATCAATCATGGATGCAGAGTACCTAACCTACAGAATGTTGTCACCTGACAGAAGGAAAGGCAGACCATCCATGTATAAGTAGAATGGTCGACAAAAATCAAGATACCTGATTAAGATATGAACCCATTGATAATGCAAGTCAATCTCGATCAATTGTAAAAACTACCGTCAGCAGGCAGATAAGACCCAGTTGTCCCCTTGGCATCATCCCTGCAAGCCAGAGGAGCGATCACCGCTGGAGCGCCCGGAAATGTTACTGGGAGATTACAGATCGCCGAATTGGAGTGGACGATTATGGTGCGCGTATTAATCCTGACCCAGCTGCTGGTCTTTGATCGTCTCGTCGCGCAGATGATGCGAGTCCGTTCCTTAGCACAGCGATATTCCCAAATGAAGCGCCTACGTGCTTCAGAGTTGCGGAATCGGCGCGGCTCTGTCCCGACTTGTCAGAGTCGAGTCCTCTGTCAGATTTGGGGTTGCATTTCATATCATCACCCCGGCTAGGTTAGATAAGGTCATGACATTTTCACTCGAGAAGAAGAAAGAAGAAGAAGAGTCAATTATCATAACCTAGTAGATGTAGGTTGCTCGGGCCCTCTTGTAGGTACCTATGCCGCACGTCTTTGGTCAAGGCAAAACATATATTGGTGGCAACACCATTAACTAATAAACCTGGTATATAACTACTAGTTCATTATTTATTAGTTGTATTAGTTAGTAGCAAAGAATTAACTTCTTTTTGGCTTAAGAACCCCTATTTATACATAAGGTGACGGTTAATTCGAGCTGATATCTATACTATTGGTCCCTTCTGGGTTTAGTGCCTGCACTACTCCTGGAGTACTCCGGGAGCAAGGTGAAGTGGTTTCGTTAGTTGTTGTCTGGGGATGCCTTGCGTATTGGGAAACACATGTGACTACCTAACGCTAATGCATGGTTCGCGGGGGCTGGTTGGCTCTCGGTGGCCTATCTATAAGCTACGGCCCCTTAACTTAGTGAGGTCCGTAACAAGGTATAACTGATAAATTAACTGATAGGTTCTAGTATTGCTCCGCTCCGGTTGCCTTCCCTATTCTTCCTAAATCCGGGCCGATTATTCGTCCACCCCTACCTCCTTAAGCATCAGGCTTCCACTTTTCTAACCACTAAGAAAGACGTAGTCGATCATTATTATCAACAATAACATCAATCTCGTGAAATCACTAAATCTCATCTTTCTCTTCAAAAAAACACCATGCCGATAATTACCTACAACCCAGACAGTATGCCCGATTTATCTGGGAAGGTCATTCTTATTACTGGTGGTGAGTACCACTACACCAGTAACCAACCTGGAAGCCCCGATACCTCTATTTAGTCCTTACATATAATAAATCATGAGCTAATGCCTGTCTTCGTTATGTCCTCTACCAGGCACCGGAGGTCTTGGGGCCGAAAGCGCACGGCGACTGGCGCAACAATCGCCAGCGCATATCTACATTAGTGGTCGGAAAGCAGCCAGCGCGCATGCAGTCATCCAGCAGATCCGACAAGCCGGCAGCAAGACACCAGTCACCTTCCTTCCCTGCGACCTAGCCTCCTTGGCCTCAGTGAAGCAGGCGGCAGAGACTTTTCTAGACCAGGAGTCCCGCCTGGATATTCTGATGTGCAACGCGGGCATCATGGCCACGCCACCGGGGCTGACGGCGGATGGATACGAGATCCAATTCGGCACAAACCATCTCGGTCACGCACTGCTAATCCGCAAGCTGCTGCCACTCCTCCAGACTACAGCAGAAGCAGCGGACGTGCGTATCATCCTGCTCACCTCATTGGGGTTCAAGATGCACCCGGGTGGAGGAATCGTCTTCGACGCGCTGCGCACCAAGCAAGAGTTCAGCGCCTTTGGCGGATGGATTCGCTACGGCCAGAGCAAGTTGGCAAACCTGCTGTACGCGCGTGAGCTCGCACGTCGGTACCCGGCCATGACCAGTATCTCCGTCACGCCCGGAGTCGTGAATACCGGGCTGGTCGAGAACCTAGGCTACTTCAACCGCGCCTTCGTCTGGGTCACCAACTTGGGTCAGCTGATGAAGCCGGAGGAAGGTGCCTATAATCAGCTCTGGGCTTCGACAGTCGCCAAAGACACTCTGCAGAATGGCCAGTTCTATGAGCCACTCGGGGTGCTTTCTACCAAACTAGACAAGGCATCCCAGGATGCGGCGTTAGCTAAGCGGTTGTGGGATTGGACTGAAGTGGCCTTGCAGACATACCTGTGAAATAAGAAATATATAGAAACAATCTATCTCACTCTCTTCAGTGGTCTCTCATATCACGTCAAGCCGATTGGGTTTCAAGATGACTTCTCTGGAAGTATCAAGTATGTTCATACTATATAATAAGCTTTACATATTAGGTGGGTGAGAACAAAACGGTCCTATTTTATGCGCGGCCGTGCACTATAGAATAGCTTTCGGGGGCTGTCCGTCTAGAATTCCTCGGCGGCGCCGGCGCCGGATGCGAAATGGAATAGGCGCAGCTGGAGGCACAGCGCCCACCCCATAGAATCGGTGGTCCGGGCGCGGCAGCCACTCCTTGGGCCTGTCGACCACCTCCAGCTCGTAATAGGACTGAAAAATGGCGACACTGCCCAGTATCTCCTGTTTCGCAAAGTGCCGTCCAGGACACCTGAACCCGCCGCCGCCGTAGGGGATCCATGCGCCTGATAGTCCGTGAGAAAGCACTGCGCTGGCCCGCCATGAGCTGGGAGCAATGGGATGAGGACCAGGAGGTAGGCGAGTGATTTCTTTCAAGTATTAATGGTCTTGTAACGTATCTAGTTCTTCAATTTACAAATGTGCCTTGGTTGTAATGTCAATATCCATTCAAGTTTGTTCGCTGATAGACGCAACCATTGAAAAGGATTTGAAAAGAGAAACGTAATTCTAATTCCGTCTTATACGAATTGGAACTTAGTCGTAATCCATGAGTCGGAAGCTTTGCAGACAATGGGAAAATAATGCAATAACAAAAGCTTATAGTACGAAGATGTGTCCTAAGCCTTGGCCTTCGCCTTGCTTTTACGGGCCTTCTTCGGCTTCTCCTCGCTGTCGTCAATGAGGCCATCATCCGCGGCAGCAGCCTTCTTCCCTTCTTTCCCTTGGCAGCACCGCCCTTCTTCTTAGGCACGCTGACATACTTATCCTTCGTCAGATCCATTTCTTCTTCATCTTCATCCTTGATCTCATCGACGACTTCTTCTTCGTCCGATTCTTCGATGGCGTCTTCGATATCAGGCTTATCCTTAGGGCCTTTCTTCGGCGCGATGACATTGCTTGCCTTCATGAATGGAAGTGGATGCGAGCGTTGGTTGTAAAGACGTGTGAATGTAGCCTTGGTCTGTGTGTCCAGCTTGACCTTGGATTGGTCCATGGGCCCCAACCCGAGCTCAACCATAGCGTCGAAATCATCTCGCGTCAAGAAATAGGCATCCATGAAGTCGATAACCTCGTCCACGCTCTCTTTACCCTCAGTCATGAGTCGCTTGACAGACTTGTCCCACACCAGGGGCATATATTGTTGACGAATCTCTTCACGATTGCCTGAAGTTCGAAGACGCATATGGCCTTGGATTTCCTTGACAAAACGTGACAGTTTGCCTGGAGAGTGAAAGTTAGTCAACGTCATGGTATCAAGCTGGAGTGGGCAGCTGCAGTGTACCTTGCTTGCTGTTCTGGCCAAGCCAGCTGGCAAACTGTGGCCTGTCCGTCATGTTCCCGAACTGGAAACTAGCCGGTCGAACAAAGCTGAAGACAGCATGAGTGGGCATGAGACTCCACTGCTGCTGGGTTCCATGAATCATGCGGTCCACAAGATCGCCATCACTAATACTCGAAGCAGCGTTGTCAGCCAGCTCAAGGAGCTTCAGGTTCTGCTCCTTGCCCTGGTAGCTGGTTGCAAGGGCGGGCCTAGTCCGCAAGTAATTCTCCTGCAGCATCAGATAGCTGAACTCATGGTCGTTAAAGTAGAGTTCAATCTTGTCGTTCAGAGACGCGGTGGAGCTTGGCGAGAACATTTGCGCACTGAGAATCCTGCTCGTAATATCCCACGGCTTCAAAATAATGTGTTTCTCCCATGCCTTCGACATCTCCTTGCCTTTGTCGAAATCCATGCTCGACTGATCTACCTTAACAGCAGACAGCATGTTGATGACTTGTCGAATATCTGCGTGCGTTCCTTGGATTAGAGCATCCAGCACAGGGGGAGGAATCTTGATCTTCTCGCGGAAGCAGATAGTGGATAGTCTTGCGCGGATCTGGTCCACTGTCGGACGTCTGAACGGAACATCGAAGGTGACATGATCAAAAGGCTTCATCTTCGGCAACCTCCGCTCATTACACAGTAAAATGATAGGAATGTTGGTCTTCTTGGCAATGGCTGCCACTGCGCCGACACCACCCCGGTCACCAGCAGACATACCATCGACTTCATCCATGATCAGAACAAGGTTGCGCTTCCCACTTTCAACCTTCTTGCCTTCACCAGCGAAATAACCTTGCAAAGATGTCGTATCCAGTACCCCTAAGGTGCCAGTCTCGACAAGCTTCTTGCTCCTGGTATCGCTGGCATTGGTCTCGACGATATCGAATCCTTCCAGCTTAGCCACCAGATGTGCAGCAGTTGTCTTGCCAATTCCTGGAGGCCCATGAATCATGATGGCACGGTATATTCCCGAGCCGTCTTTTCCAGCATTCTTAAAATTCATTTTCGCATTCTTATGCCAATTGCGCAGCCAATTCTGGATTTTCTCAACTGCGGTCTTGTTGCCACAGATCATATTGACTGAGGTTGGCGCATACTTGGTCGTCCAAAGCTGATCATCAACTGCCGGGCCTTGAGAAGCAGGCGGAGTTGATCCATTTTGTTGGGCTTTGGCCTTGGCTGCCTCCTGCTTCTTCTCCTCAGCGTCAATCTCGGCAGCCATCTTCTTGACTTTGTCCTCATCGGCTTTCTGTTTGGCTGCGTATTTTTCCGCAGCTTGTCCAGAACCGCCATTTGCGGGCAGGCGCCGAATCAATTCAAAAAGGCCATCCTCGTTAATAGTCTTGATTTTGAACTTGGCGATAGTCTCAAGCTTCTTTGGGCCTGCGTCGCCGCCGAGAACAACATAACTGGTCTTCGAGCTGGGGGCTCCAGTGACTTTACCACCATATTTCTTCACTAGTTCCTGACCCTCCTCGCGCCCCAACGTCTCAAGGACGCCGGTGAATACAAATGCCAATCCTGCCAGGCAATTCTCGGCACCGACGGGCATTTCCTTCGTGCCAGCAGTTGGGGGAGTACGAGAACGCTGCCCCCCAAAGGTCCATTTCTTGGTCTCTCCGGTTTGTGGGGCTGGGGATGGTGGCTTGATGATTGGAATGCTGTCGAAAATATCCTGGATCTCGGGGTTTTCGGGTTGCGGATCTTGCTTCTTCGGGGTGGACTTTTGTTTCTTGACAACAGGATATGCAGCCGACTTAGATCGGGATGCTGGCTTTTTCTTCGGGTCTTGATACTCGCCATCATCATCCTCGTCAATGACGGCTTCTGACTTCCGCTTCCGACCCGCTTTTGTGATTTTGGAGGCGGTCTTGGGGAGATCTTCCATTATCACATCGTCTTCTTCGTCCAGGATCGATGGCTTCTTCTGGGATCTCTTGGATGCTGCAGTTGCTGGCTTGGCCTCCAGAACCTCGAAATCATCGTCGTCGCTGTTGTCTGCGGCAACATAATCATCATCTCCCTTTCTGACGTATTCACTTGCGAAAATGTCATCTCCACCAAGGCCCTCGTCGTCGTCAACAACCTTTTTAGTCTTCTTGGTTGCTTCTCGTGGCGTATTTCGGGAGGACTTCATGGGGGCTTCATCAGTTATCTGTTCGGTTGACGCCTTGGATGGCCTGCCCCGCTTCTTGCTCGTAGCAAAATAATCCGAGCTGGTTGTCGGTTCGCCTTTCGGCTCGTCGCGCCTCCTGCACAAAAAGAATGTCAGGAAAAATCAAAGGTGAAATGGGTGGCGCGTGAGAGAGATCGTACGGTTGACTGTTCGATTTGGATTTGGGTGTTGGCGGTTTCGCTGGTGTAACTTCCTCGTCCTCGTCACTGTCAATCACCACCTTTCTGCTCCCTATTGTAATCATTAGAACTGAAGGGTACTAAATGGGCAGAACACCAGTTCATACGTCTTTTCCGCGCAGTAGAGGGATCCTTTATGGTGAGAGCTTGTGTTAGTAAGCCATAGGACATGAGTGAGCGAGGAGAAAATAGAGTCCACAATATTTAGATCCTATACAGGACAATCGAGCTTACCTCTTCTTTCGCGGGTTTAGGAGCGTTGCCCGAGGCCTGGGCGGGCTTGCCTCCAAAAAAATTCCGAATATCAGAGGGCATCTCGAGCTCCACTGACCAGACGTGTTTCAAAGGGCAGGACCAGAGTACGAAGACAATTGAGGATACAGCAAGCTCCTGCAGCCTGGTGAGGCAATACTCGCTCCACGGGTGACGCGCTGGGGAGACGTGACTGCTGACTAAGAAACACGACAGGCACGTGCCTAGTACTTAGACCCTATCAGGCCTAGCGTGACTTGGACATCGAAAAGTGCCGTTGCCCTGCGCAAAGCAACGAACGTCGCTCGTTGCATCCTTGGTCGCCTCACTCGGTCACAATGGGTCCTCAGATGAAGATTTTCGCAGGGCCCCTGTCGGCCTGCGGCCGGCCAACATGTACGATCACCCTTATCCGGGCCAATGGCGGTTGCAGGCCTCTAATTGACATTTGCGAAGCAGGCCTCTCGGGATCGCTAGCTACCTTTTCTCTCGCACGATGCTTCTCTACCACCTCACCCGCACGGGATTGGCTTACTCCGAAGTTTGCCGAGAAATCGAAGTCCCCCAAGGGTCGCCCACACGTCGCTACCGGAGGTTCAACTCGTGGCACAACAGTTGTATGGGGAGACTTTGGCATCCGCATGAAAGACCATGACCGTCGGATGCCTGCTTCGGCTCTCAAGATCGCAGAGGAAACAATCAAGAGGCGGCTTCGTGGGATGAACTACAAGTTGTACAAGCGTGTCAGCGCCAACATTGGTGTCTACACCAAGGGCAATGAGCAGCGTATGGGTAAGGGTAAGGGTAAATTCGACTACTGGACCGTTCGGTTGCCTGTCAGCCGAGTAGTGTTCGAGTTGAAAGGAGATCTGCACGAGAAGGTTGCCCGGGAGGCATTCAGATTGGCTGGCCATAAGCTGCCGGGTATGTTTTGATTTCCATCACAATCTGCCCTGATACCATACTAATCAATCCTACCTAGGTCTCTGGGAGTTCGTTAAGAAGGATGACCCACCCGTCGTTGGAATCACCAAACTCGGCAACGGCGTGACCATCGACTCCCTCAAGCGCGCACGCAGGAACCCTCCCCTCGGAACCAACGATCTCGAGAACCCGCCAAAGACCGCTTCCTCCAGCCCTTCCCCCTCTCCATGAACTGCCCCATCCTCTCACATGATACCGACTTCATGTTCCTCCTTCCTATTTTGCCATGTTGATTCAAGCCCCGACGTTGGTGCCGGGCCCATACCCCTGCAGTCTCCTGGCCTTAGCGGCTGCTACATCCCCTAGGGTATCGAGATCCAGATTTTCTGTACATTATCTGTCAGCTTAACGCGCATCTTCCTTTGGTCATAGCACCATCTTGGGGGGCAGATGCTTTCACTTTATATTAGAAGTTTAGACAGAAAGATGTATGATTGTCATTCACCTTTGTCGAAGTCTTCGGCGCCTGTTCCCATTCCTAATTTCTGTACCATGGCATCCTCATCTTCATTGGTTGCGGCGTCGTCAGCCGGAGTCATGATGCTCCACAGTTCACTTTTAGTGTGCGCTGCGGTTCCTAAAGCGCAGTCAGCTTTCCAACTCCCGATAAGAAAGGAATTATTAACGGCCTTGCATACCACCCAGCTGCCCGGTCTGCTTTTCAGGAGTCTGTGTATACAGGCGGATAGACTCGTATCTGGGAAATTGGTGTTAGTTTTGGAATATAATGGAGTGGGATTGGATGAGTTTCATACTGCGTGCTCTCCCCTCCGGGCTCCATATCAATCAGTCTGGGGTCGGACATCTGAACAACTTAATGAGTATCAGAAATGAATATACTGAGTAGTCGAGAATATATTTGATTGGGAGAGAAAGAATCTCGGTTTAGTAGGACATGCGTAGTTATGCTGGGTGGGTGGTCCAGTGACTGTTTGTGATGACGTAGGTCTAACGGGCGAGGATTCCTCGATCTCATGACACCCAACGCTTTGGGCCGGTACCGTCCTTTCAGACGGATAAGAACATCTCCTCGAAGATATCTTCGAGGATGTTTGTATTTTACAGATGCATGAAGCAGGGTGAGTTTTTTCATGGAATAGTTGACTCTTTAAATCATAACTCTAGTGGCAAATAAAACCGCCAAAATCCATCTCAAAAATGCCATGATGCGCCCAGGGAAACTTGACAATAATAGAAGGGTTTCAAAGCAAGTGCCAACAGATCGAAAACTGGTCGAAGTCTGCACCGCCGCAGAAAATGAACTGGCTTGGGAGAGCCCCGCCGCGTAGCGTACAATCATCATTCATCCATTGAATTGTGTCAGTGCCAATTATTCGAAATCCATGCCCATCGTCCAACTATGATTGTGTTAGTTGATAAGCTTATAACTGGGCTCGAACAAGCTGACCTTTCGTAGATACGCATGAACTTGGCCACAAAGGCCTCGAGGTGGAAAATCACTTTCTATATTGGCACATATATCAGCGCCCACACCAGCAACCCTTTTCGAAAACAAGCCCAAACTTACACTGCCTAGCTTGATCCGATGCTCGTAAAAGGCAGACCATTTGATCACATCCGGCTTAAGCACATCGTCAACTTTTGACACGAGCTTGAATGTCAATGTCTAAACCGCAACGGGTTAATCATGTATTCCCCAAGTTCATCGTCAACATGTATATACATACCTTAAGAATGGTAGTCGGGGGGATGCAGTGTGTCAACAAATCATAGAGTTGTGCGCGGACCTGCAAAAGTTGAGCGGGAGATCGTTCCCTTATAATCTCGTCTGCGGTAACCGAGATAAGTGCCTCCCAGTCTGGAGGCGGGATGGGGCTGTTGTCTGTGACTTTTTCACTGTATTCGCACAGCCGTTAGAACTTTTGACTCCTACGCCCGCCCACGTGTAACAAATCACTTACTTCTGCGCATAAATAGCCTCGAACATAAGCAATGCACGGCGTAGATTCCGACCACTCTCCTTCGCGATTCTTTTGTTCAGCCCATCAGCCTCGGTCCATCCCTCTCTCTTTGCAGCGACCCGAAGCGCCGAGCAGATGTCGTTTTCAGTAGGCGCAGCCACCCTGACCAGCAGGGTACGCGAGCGAATTGGAGCAATGATGTTAGAGGTGCTGTTGGCCAGGAGAATCAAGCGCAAGTTCGGGCTGTATTTTTCCATCGTCCGTCTCAGCGCGGCCTGTGCGTCACGCGTGAGATGGTCGGCTTCGTTGATCACGACAACCTTGAACCGTTGCTTCGCCGACAGGTCCACCTGTTGTGTCTGGGCAACCTCCTTCAGCAATTCCTGAACCACGACCCGGTCATAGGTGCCGACGTCAGCGGGAGTAATCTCGAGGTGGTAGACGGAGGATACGATGTTGAATTCGAGCTTGCGGTTGCTGGTGGTTTGGAAGACCCGGGCATCGATCTTAATCTTTTCAACACCGGGGCCGTAGAGTTCCTTCAGAGTCGCGATAATACGCGTTTTCTTGCCAGCGCCTGATGGACCGTAGACCAGTAGATGAGGAAAGTCTCCGCTTTGTGCCTGTCATATTGTAAAAATGGATGAGTAGCTGCCAGCCTCGCAAGCGGACTTTCTGGCTTACCAAGGACCGAAGGCGATCCGAGAGCTCAGGATGGTATGAGAGCGCATCGAGCGTCCGTGGACGCAGCTTGTCGACGAGAAGAGCCATAGTACACTTTCGATATTTGGGAACGTGATAGTTGGAGGTCTTCGCAATGGGCTTTTTGAAGATGCGAAATTGGGAGCACGCGTCGGGACCACGCGCCTAATTAATCCGTGGCCCGTGCACGCTCCTCCAATGAACCACCAGCTCTTTTCTTAGAAATGATCTGTAGCGACTAAGCACAACCTAGGGTTGAATGAGATTGGAATTCTCTCCTGTATATACAGCTCAACATGTCTATCAACATTTTTATCGACACTTAATGCCTTCCTTTTAATCCCGACGATATAGTACAGTCACAAATTTGTGGAGATGAGAGTTAGACGCAAAGAATTCTCAGCCAGCATTGACTCGGAGCTCTGCTTGCAAAAGGGTTGATGTCCCTTGATCTCGACGGAATTCATCTACCTTCAGTAGCTTTCCAATGGTATGGAGCAGGGCTTGAGAAAATAGAATTATGCCGGGATGGGCTTCAGAACTCCATTGTCATCATATTTCGCTTCTAGTATTGGTTAGTACAGTCACCAATCATGCTCCACAAGGAACGTTTCTCACTGAAGAATGTATAAGATAGCGTGATTGTATCGATGCCCTTCATGTTCGGATCGGTAGCGAAATCGGGATCGATGTAGAAGAAAACAGGCATATCCACCGTCTCTCCCGCGTTCAATTTCTGTTCTTCAAAGCAGAAGCACTGGATCTTGCTGAAGTACGGCGCCACTTGTCCCGGGGTAACGCTGTACGTTGCGACTCCAATGATATCCTGAGGACCTTTGTTGATTGCAGTGTAGAAAGCCAGGGCTGTCTCACCCGGTAGCACCCGAACCTCTCGTTGTTGCGGTGTGAATTTCCAAGGCAGCACATCAGATACAGATCCGTTAAAGGTAATGCGAAGACGTCGGGAGTCTGTCACGGGGGTCACACGTGAGGCCGTATCGCCGTCGCCGACGCGATGGGTAAGAATCGGCTGGCCGCCCCAGCCGGTCTGCTGGCAGATCTGCAATTTGGGTAATTTGTCAATCAAAATGCTCATTCGTCGTTTGCCCCTCAACTAAAAAAACGCGCGGCGTACCATTTTGTAAAGTGGAACAGAGCCGTAGGCGAGTGCGACGGTTCCGAGGATCATACTGATGGTATAGTACCTGATTGAAAACCCGTCAAGAGATGGAACTCTCATAGCCCAGCCGTGTAGCCCCAACTCACATAGTAGACGTGTTGCGCTGCTGCGATTGCGGCGTATTGAACGGTGCCGCGGAGGCATGGTGCTTCTCATGCAGCAAGGAATTCCTTGAGAAACACCTCTTCTCTGTATTCAAGATAACCCTCCGCAGGTAAATTGAGGGACGTGGTACGCTCCCCGTTAGTGTGTTGCGGCCCCATGAGGGGAGCAATCTGGAAAACATGGTTCTGGAATTTGGAATGGAGTCGGACCACTCAGTTCCCGGCGATTGAAGGTATTCCGCCCTTGCACGTGATGCCGTTAGGCTTATCGATAAGGTCGGTCCAAATCTAGAGAGTGTGGATAATTGAGACCATCCCGTTCAGGTAATGCTTTAATGTGCTCCCTTCTCCGTTGATATTGCCTACTCGGAGGGTGAGAAAAAGTTTTTACCTCTTCTGCCATCCTATCTATAGATTCCCTCTCTGGCTCGAGTGGAACAGAGAATTCGCTCAGATCGGTAAAGTCATGGTGCGGATATATAGTTACGCTCAACAGAAAGGACAGTTGGGTAAGGTAGGTATTCATTTTGGACTAGGTAAGGTTGACGAACATAGCATATGCATATTAGATTTATAGTACGAAAAAGGTATCTAAAGAAGACTCTACCCAAAGGATCACGAATAAAGTAATAGTAGTAGTAATACAGAACACCGAAGGACGTCCACAGCCACCAAGTCCCTCCCAGGGCCCAAGATAACTCTAGTTTACCACGCTTGCCGTGATGCGGCCAAACACACCTCGAACCATGTGGGGTCGTTCGCGAAGACAAGTGAGAAGAATAGCAGCACTGACCGCAAATGCAACGCGCTCACGGTATTGATACTGAAAGCGAGAGGGAAAAAGCATTAGCGCGTGTGACGATTTGGCGTCTCTGCCCCGGACCACAAACACACACCTTCGGGGGTTTGGAAGATGGTTTTGGACCGCAGGAGAGTAACACGCGCCGGCTGGGCAAGACGGGGTTGGAACATACCTTTTTATCATACAACCGTGGCAACACCGTGGCCGCAGCCCTGGGTGCCACAAATAGCGCCAACTCCTGTCTCTTCCGCGCCTGCTCGACTAAGACACTCCATCCACACATGAGACATCCTGCTCCGACGCAGAGACCAGAGTCCCACATCAGCGGCGTGACTGTCTTTTGGTCGAAAATCTTAGGGCCAATTCGCGTCCGAGCCAAGCAGACAGCGTAGTAGAATAGACTGACGAAAGAAGCAAGAAATGCAGATGACCGGACAGCTTCCGAGATTGCGCGGCGAAGTACGGCCAGATTCTTCATTCCCCGCAGGCGCAGAACAATCTGCAGTGGGATATACGTCGCACAGGCCACCTTGAAGGTTCTCGCAAAACGGGACACCGCGTGTCTCTCGCAATTAGGACCGCAGCCCATGTGTACCATTTCGCATGGAATGGGGACTGTCATCGCTGGATCACCCCATTCCACGGGCCAGCCAAAGTCCCTGCACATGGATTCCAAAAGTGGTGCCTGCCCGGTGTCCTTCCCGTATACAAAGACCCCTCGACGAGCGCGACGCAGGGCCTCGATTAACCGTGTGTCCACTCTGGCGATCTCTCCGATCCATTTCTCGTAAGTTCGGGGCAATCTTTCGGGGAGATAAAACCATGCCCACATAACCACAGCTGCACTCATCGCAAAGACTCCAGCATCAGCCAGGCCAGGAGCGAAGGACTCCGCGATAGTCCAGCGGTGCTGGGCCTTACGACGGCGAGACCAACGGCTCCACGCCATACATGCTAGCACGTCCACGGCTCTCGTGGCAGTGAATAGGGTGAGATCCATCGTCCGCCCCACCAACTCCGGGTGAGGACGGTCGAGCGGATTGGCCAGCTCTTTGCCAGGGTCTTGGGCCGATGAGGCCCTTCTGAATTCAGAAATATGTCGTGAGGTGGCGCGATTCTTATTTAAAAGTCCGAAACTGAACCAAGCCGATAAGAAAGCAGTGGCAAATCGAATCTGTCGATCCAACCGTTGGGAAACCTGGATGTCTCCTCTAGAGAGATCGATTGCGATCGATGCGTATATCCGATAGAGTAATACCGGCACTAAGGTTGATCCGCCAACGAACGCGGCGCAGAACGTTGGGAAACTGTTGACCCGCAGAGGCCCGGCTAGAACACGAACAAGCTGCAAGGTTGACGGTCAGCTTGCGCTGTTTTGGGGCCACAAATAGACAGCGTCTGAGCACGCCGGGGGGGGGCAGTGACATCATCTATCGTGCGCCGACTCTCACAGCACCCTGCGTCCGCGACTCACCTCTTGGAGGTTGTGTTTGATGGACCAGCCCTGACTTCTGAGTCGTCGGATATAGGCGACAAGTTTGGGAGTGACTGATGACAGATACCCCAGAGTGTAGGCGCGCAGGATGCTATAGGCGGATCAGCTCCAAGAGTCCCCTCTCCCTATTTTGAGATGGCGCTGGTACCGCGCACCTGGTAGAAGAACTTACGGCTTCCATATCTGCGCTCGAAAGCGTCTGTCACGGAGACTCGACCGGACTGCAGGCTCCATAGCGCCGGTAACCTTCATGAGCTGATCCGTGGGAAGGTAGGATGCGCATCACACGGACGCGACTAATCGGCGTTTCCACGACCCCGTTCGAGAGAATCGAGGGTGGGACAGCCAATGCTTGCCCAATCAGAGGGCCAGAGTTACTGGGCTGTGATGACGACCGCCCAGGCTTTGTCGTGGAAGATGACCGGCAAATTGCACGGCCCGGAAATTGGGTAGTATTTTGACTTCGGGATTGAGGGGGAGCAACCCTTCTGACATCTGCACGATCGTTTTTCTCCCCTCTGATCAACCGTGGATCTGTGTAACGGGGGAAGCTTATGTAGGGGGGAGGGTGAAACGTCGAATGGGGTTGAATATTTGGACCTCGGTTCCTGAAGTGGAAAAAAGTCCCCGCCGAGCAGCAGCCCAGTGTTCAGGGGCACCAGAAGTCGCGGCCGATCATCCGCCGCGCAATTCCAGATATTTGTTATTGCGGGGCTCGGGCTGAACAAGGCTGGACGATTTCACGGTGGGCCGAATGGGGGAAGGATCGAATCCTGGCGTCCTACAAGTCTCCCTGCACACAAGGCCGAGACAGAGCAGCACAGACCCTGTGGGAGTGGAAGGAGACGTGGGGAGACCGGCGCAGGCCAGACCAAGTGCTGTGGAGGGGTAGGAGGTACCTTGGATGGAGAGGGACTCAAGAACGGGGTACTCCACGAGCTCCGTCGAACTTGGTCTCACCTCTCCACGTCGACTTTTCAGGGCCTCGGGGCGGCTCCCCCGGCCGTCCGGCTGGTCACCGCTCGTACCAGTTGTACCGCTGACAACCGCTCAGGTACCCCCGCAGTACCGGGGCGTGCCGCCAATGCGGCTGTAACTTTGGGTAATTTTTGGTACTGCTGTTACGTCACGCGACCCGCACGAAAATTTACATGTGATCGATGGCCGGCGATGCGATGGCTGAGGGCTGCTGGCGACGATAGGAACTCCACCTTCGTTCTTCCCCAGCTTCGCTCGTGGATCCTCTCTTTCTCACTCACCTCTCTTTCGATACCCTCTCTTGGGCCATTGGAACCATCGACACGACGCCGAAATTCCTACAATTACACACCTCATTCTCACCTCTCCCCGAATACCGCGGCTTGTTCGCTCTTCATCAAGTCCGTGAACTCGATCTTATAGCACAGGCGATACTCGGATCCCGAACATATCAGCCAAGGCATGATCCTGTCGCCCTGGTCTCCGCTGCTCTTGATCTTTCAGAGCAGCAAGTGTTGACCCGGTCGTCTCGCTCGGCCTCATCCACCCAGGCCTAGTTTCATCTCTTTGACCATGGATGGATCGGGCCCTGAAGTACACACTGGACGTACCTCCCCACCACCTGCTGGACCATTTGGCTGTGAGTGGCTTCTTGAGCATTTCTTTTCTCCCAGTCCGATCTCTGACAATGGAACAGACGCTTTTCTTTCCCCCATGGATACTCCTTTCGAACAGGCTCCGGCCTTACCCCCCGGTCCCTCTCTCCTCGACGATCACGAATCCAACATGCTGGACAACTTCTTTACCACGATGAATGCCAATAACTTTACGAATGACTTCTGGCTTCGAGGCCCGACAAATAAATCTTCCGGGCTCAATTTCGATTGGACCGATGAACTCCCGCCCACATTCGAGGGCTCAACGACTTCGCTGTCGCAACCATCCTTCCAACCACAAAACCTCAAAACGAATTTCATGGCTGGCAGCGCTGCTGGCCCTGACATCTATGCGGCAGCCTCGATGCTCTATCAGGGTGGTTTGAATGGAACGGATCTCGGTTCCGCTGTGGCCCAGCAGCCGTTCGTGGGCCAGCCTCTCAATACGAACGGCTTCCATGGTGGGCGTGACTCGCAGCACATGGCTCCTGCACAGGCATCCAGTTCGTCGCCATCGAGAACGCGGATTCCTACCGGATTCCATACTTCGGAGATGCTTTTTGATGTGCGCGATCCCATCACGGAAGACCAACACCCCTCTCGCAAACTACGCGGTCTTCACTGGGGCTCCGACAACGGCTTCATGGATCAGGGCTATGTGGCACCGCTTGATCAACCTGACATGGAGACCCGGACAAGAGAATTGCTCGGTCATCTTGACTGTTTCGAGCCGCAGAGCAGTGCAGGCAACACCCGGGCTCCCAGCCCTGAACGCATGGCTGGTACTCATGGTCCACACACCCCCTTCCGCCAGGCCGACGAAGATGATAGCGGCCAGCCTCGTAAACGACAACGTACCATCAAGGATGGTGACACGCTATCGGACGATGATGATTCGAGACCACTATCCAGAAAATCCCGAACCCCCAGCGTCGTCAAGGTCCGACGTTCATCGACGGACACATCTCGAAAGGGGTCAAGAGGCACGCCGACAAGCAAGGCACCCCGGGAGAATCTCTCAGAAGAACAAAAGAGGACCAACCACATCCTTTCGGAACAAAAGCGGCGCAATCTCATCCGTCAAGGCTTTGACGACCTATGCTCCCTGGTCCCCGGCCTCCGAGGTGGTGGCTTCAGTAAGAGTGCCATGCTCACCCAAGCCGCTGACTGGCTGGAGGATCTCCTTCGCGGTAATGAAATCCTGCAAAGCCAGTTGACCGACAGGAAAGGAATTAATGGCCTGGTAATGCCTCGATGAGGTAGCCTGCTCTCTGACGTGACACGATCTGTTCCTTTGTTTTCTTTTAAGGACTCCCCGGAAGGACCTGGCGTATTTATTGTTTCCCAAGTGTTCAAAGCGGTTTAGCGGTTGGGTCAGCTCGGTCTCGCAGACTGGCAAGTGGGCGTTCGTTCTCGATATGATACCAATTTTTCTTTGTACATGGGAGAGGCAGGTGTGAATTCTTTTGTGCCTCTCATTTTTTTTTTTTCGTGTTCGGGGACGCTTCGCAGTATTTTGCATCGCGGTGGCCAGCCATCAGGGCTACTCTACCTTCATAAGCTCGCACGTGAATGGCATATATATATATGCCATATTTGGCATCAATTGGCTGGTAACTGCTCTGGAGTCAAAGAAGGGCGCCCAGCGATATGCATTTTCATCAGCATAGCCTACAAATACTCTGCACATATCGTCTGTCTTTCGATCTAGTTAAGAGGTTGCTTGCCGAACCTGGACCGTCGTAGAAGATATATTGTAAATTCATGCCGTGGTCTCGACATTTGGATGAAGCCTCAAGCGCTCATCCTCGCCCATCAAATATTGCCTTGGAAGCGCAAAAGAAATCTCAAGAACCAGATAATGGGCAGTGTCAAAGCCACAATTGAGTCCACCATTTTCATTTCCTGACCCCAGCCATCACTCTGGGTTTGGGGCATTTTCTTTCCAAATAATGGCCAGCGAACAGTGCTTTCATGGGCCATTGGTGATATGCGATTGATCTTTTCGAACTGACCTGTTGCAATCTCATATGGAATCGATCATAGTTCTCGCCTTTCTGTGTAAATCGAGGTGCGCCGACTGGACGGCAGTCTCCAGGAAGGTGTCTTCAGGAATGGTGGCTCACTGAACCGAACCACATATCTGAATCTAGGAGGAAACTGTGACAGGCCGTATCGCCCACTAAAACGTGACAGTCATGCCATTTGAACTTGAGAGGATTGGAAAAATGCTATATCCGACGGTTTTTCAAAGAATGAGCCAGATCACCATTGGGCATGGAGGCAAGCTGGATGGTCTGTGGTGTAGACGCAAGAAACGGGACAACTCCAGTATGGCTTCCGATATGAAGATAGGTCTTTGCTTCCGCTTGAATGCGTTCGACCGTCCTGTCGAGATGGTATTCGCAGGTGTCGCGGTAATTTAGTGCATCTGTATCGATATGCCGTTTTGGGGAATCACCAGGCCAGTGGAGTCACAGCGCAAAATCTCTTCATGAAAATTCACTTGCCATCCATGTCAAAGGATTCTGAGCTCATATTACCGGAGAAGGGGTCGCTCTATAGCACACATGCATTTCCGATGCGAAAAAGATCGAGCTGAGCCAAGATAAGCACATGGAAAATTTAGCTTCGAAGGTTGGTAGTTGGAGTTGGAACCCCCCGGGAGCTCGTACATCCCCCCTTTATATCTTATCCTAAAGAAAGACTCCGGTATAGGCATTGGCACGGCCTCTTTCTGGGCGGCGCGTTTCCGCCTATGTAGTAGACGAATAGATGGCAGCGAGTCTGTAGGAGTTTAGTATTGAAATGCACGTCCCGGGGCGCATGGAGTACAATCAGACCCGAGGGGGAATGCACAGATTAAAAGCATTTATACAATCCAATCGAGTTGCCAGTGGGATGAATTGGTCGATCTAAAGACACCAGAGAGTGCTCAGCAGTCCACATGTATCTGAAGACTACATGTGACTATGCATAGTGTTTATAGTGTTTGCCGGGGGCGGATCAACCGCCGATCGCATGGGCCCACCGCGCTGTTTTGGGCGACGCGTCTGGCCGACTGCAACTTCGACTTCACATTCAACACCAGAACACCACAACACCGCTCGACACTCCCCTATCATGCCACCCAAGCGGAAGCGCTCTGGCGACGAAGAGAATGAAAATACTGAGATTGAACCACGCAAGCGCTATGCTTACCTGAAGCCGAGCGTGCGTCGCATCCCCGAGAAAACCATCAAGGCGAAATGGACCACCCTACCGGAGCCGGTTCAGGATAAGGTCCGGGACCTGTTTCATTCGCTCGAGCGCCCGGTGATTGTACGCCAGCAGAATGAGCGAAAGCGCATTGAGGCGCAGAGTGCGGTCCGGGCTGTGGTGCACAAGTACGTCTACACCGTCTCTGATCATCTCTGATCACCTGGATCCACCTGCGAGCGAGCAACGCGGTCGTGTCAAATACTGACTCAAATCTCCGAACCAATAGCCTAGGCAAACGTATTCCTCGAATGCCTTTTCCGCCTATTACGAAAGACTCGAACTTCGACTACGAGTCTGCACTCGATGAACATGTGTGTCTCCTAAACAACGCCAACAGGACTAGTCAATTGACCCGATGCAGCGTACCCTTGAAGCCAGCCTGGCCACGATTAATGATAGCACCGATCTACTGAAAACCGAAATCGCGAAAGAAGAAGCACTCCTCACCGACGAGAAAAAGTCACTAGAAGAGATGGACAAGAATGCCAAGCGAGCGGAGGCTGAGAGGAAGAGGCAGATGAAGAATGTATGCAGAGAAATCCTCCTTAAGGCAACGTTGATTGCCCCCTTTATGCCCGATCTGACATGGCCCACCTACAGGAACATCCTGTCTTGCGCCAGCTAGACGACCTACCCCAAACCCAGCGCCAAGCTGCCTTTGATTTTACACTTTTGGACGCTATGAATAGTGAAGCAGCCCTGGATGAGGTACAAATGCAGCTTTTTGCGTTCTAGTGGAACCACGTGGACTGACTACTTGCCTCGAATCTAGTTGGATGATGACCCTGAGATCCAGGGGCTGATGAAGCAACTGCATAGCCATCTCCAATCGATGCAGAGCAACTTTGCACCGCTGGCTGGACTCAGGGAAGCAATCACCCGGTCGCAAGCCGCATTGGACCTCTACTCAGCCCCGAATGACTGAACCAATGCAGACTGCTAGCCCCATTGTGGAGTATCGGCCCTACAGGAGTTCGTACATGCAAATGCAAACCCTCGGGAGGATCAACTTTACCCTCAAACGCAGGAAGTACATGGTTTGAGCTTTGCCCCCCGCAGCACCTAGCTGTCGTATGCCAGATCCCGATGCCTTCGACGAGCAGGTGCTGGCAGTCCAATGCTTACCTCGCACTGAGACCGTACTCCATCACACGTGAAGCACGGAGTGCAGGCTGCAGTAGGCAGGACGACCACATCCGGCCAGGACATGCAGGGAATGCGCCAAGCCGATCATGCGAGACTCGTCCAATCCGAAGAATTCCATTGTTCAGGATCCTCGCCCCAACCCAGCACTCCACTCCCTAGAGCCCCTCCATGCTATTTGATCGTGGGCGCCCTATGAGATAGTCCACTCCACCGTAACTTCAGTATGAAATCATCGAGTCTTGAAAATCGCTCATATCAGTGGTAACTCCGTAGCTTAGCACGAAATCACCATCAACAGGCCTTGGGGTGGGGGGGTACCGAGGTCATGGCCGCTGCCGCGGAGTCGGTGGCGCTGCCGTAAAAGATCGGGGAAGCTGACCCCATGCGGAGCAGTTCGGAGGGGTCGCTCTCACTTTTGCCTGAGCGGGACTCCGCTTCCCACCCCCGAACTTTGACGTCTCAAAACCGCCTCCAAATCCTCTGATTACTTCACTATTCCCCATTCACCATATTACGGCCAATGTCTGCAGGCAGCCATTTCGCCCACACCTGGTGATTTCTGAACTTCGCAATGACCGAGAAGACCGCGTCGGGGTCGGGCGCGGCCTCCGACAAGAGCGCAGCGGCTGCCAAGTCCAAGGCCAGTACAGGAGATGCAGGGAAGGATGCGCGGGCAAAGGGCTCGCCTGCAGCATCTGCGGTCAATTCCGAAACACCCGGCACAGGCAGTCATTCCAGTCCTAAGAAGCGCCGCAAGGTGAATCACGGTAAGGGTGCCGTTTGCGCACTATGCGACAGGAATCCGCAGGCGCAGTCCTTTGGAACCCGGCTCGCATGGCGATTGGGTGATAATTTTGCTGACGAGTGATTCAAATTTGCAGCCTGTGTCTATTGTCGCCGCTCGGTAAGGTCCCCGATCCATAAACCCTCGCGCGCATTCGGTCGTGATTTGCGACAGCCCTCCCGGAGCGTGTGGCTCCAAAGTCCGATCAATACTAGTGGAGCGGGGTTTGTTTGAAGAAAATGCTTTGCTAACAGAAGGCTTCTTGTTCGCGTGGGACAGCATATGACTTGCGATTCGGTACGACATTATCCTCCCATCCAAACCCATCCAACTCTCTTGTTACCCATGAACAGGCTCTCAACACTGGTAAAGTTCCAGTAGAATGTACCCGCTGACCATTCTCAATCCGTCAAGGAACGCCCTTGCACACGTTGCATAAAGCGCAATATCGGCCATTTGTGCCATGACGAGCCCCGCGAACCCACAAAACGCAGAGACCAGGAACATTCGGCCGCGGACGAGGAGGGCTCGTCCAATAATGAGCTGGTCACCGTCCAAGGCATGCGTTCTAGTGTCGACATCCCAGATGCTGCCGGTCAGCCAATCCTCCCCGACGCTACGATCGGAATCCCGCCTTCCTCGGTACAGCCTGCGAGTATTGCCTCCTCTGGCCAGGGCATAGATGCCAATCCTCAGCAACGTAAGCGTGAGACACGGTTATACTTCTGGGAATGTTTAGAGAACCGACTGACGTGGGATCCTAGTAATGCCCTACAACGACTGGCTAGGTGGACAGAACCAGTTCCAAGACATGCATTCGCTCCATCCTTCATACATGTTCAATGCGCCTGAGGTCACCAACGAGTACAACTTGCTCGGCGATTTCCTCAGTAACAGTTTGTTGGATGACGGTGCACTATTTCAAGAACAGAACATGCAGGGCATCTACTCCGATCAGACTTTGATGAATTCCATAAACACATTAGGTGTTGCAGGTAGTCTCCCCCCGCCGGCGCAACTCCCGCCAGCGACACAAAGCCAGGGGCCTCAGGCAGATTCAATTCAGCGACCGATGTCGACAGTGGGCAATGACAAAGCTCGCGAGACATACTACATGACTGCCGCTGATCCGTCAGGATCTGATCCGCCAGAGGAGCGCATGAACAAGCTTCTCAAGGCCAAATACGATGCAGGGCTCTTGAAGCCCTTCAACTACGTCAAAGGTTACGCCAGGCTCAACCAGTACATGGAGAAGAACATGCAACAAGCATCTCGGCAGAAGATCCTCCGACAGCTGGACAAGTTCCGGCCTAAATTCCGAGAACGCATGCAGAGCCTGACTGACATTGAACTCATCCTTGTGGAAATGTGGTTTGAACGGAGTTTGATGGAGTACGATCGTGTGTTTGCCAGTATGGCTATCCCCGCTTGCTGCTGGCGACGTACGGGCGAGATTTTCCGCGGCAATAACGAGATGGCACAGCTGATTGACGTCCCGATTGAGAGTTTGCGTGATGTGAGTGGTCCTTTTCTTCCCAAATACATTCTTATTCGAGCTCAACTGATCTTGAGCACCAGGGTAAACTCGCGATTCATGAGATAATTGTCGAGGATCAGCTGGTCAGTTATTGGGAGAAGTTCGGCGCCATCGCTTTCGACAACACCCAGAAAGCTATGCTCACCAGCTGCACGCTGAAGAGCCCCAGCAACCCGGCGGGTGACGGCATTCAATGCTGTTTCTCCTTTACTATCCGACGTGACAATCACAATATGTAAGTGCCCTCGAACTTGAGATCCGTTGTGCTCCTGACACTCACCTGCCCTACAAAGCCCTTCTCTCATCGTTGGAAATTTCCTCCCGACGCAGCGGATACATAAGTAGCCGCAGATCTAGATGGTATATCTCCTACTAGGCCTTGAACTTGGAATGTACTGGGTCAAAAATGGGGGCATTCTTTTTTTGATCAGTTTTCGTGTTTATTGTTAAATTTTGATTCCCCGAGGCTGGAGGGTTGCCTTCCTTGGTCTGAAAATGTACAATGCCCGAGGTGTACGATACTACACCATTACTCATCGATAGCGAGTATCACCATTTTTGGATTTTCTTATCGTTCAACTTTTCAGACATGATTTAAACAAGTTTGGGTGGTCCGGTAGGGTGAGCAGGTGACTCTACCTCATCGCTCATCTCCCTCGACCAGTGGAACACTTCATTTTTCCATTCTCTCCTATCGTTCTGTACTCAAACCAACGATCTCATCATCCTCAATCTGATCTTTGACTATTCCCTCATTCCTTGATCCAGACCTATCACACCGTTTTCCCCCCTTCCCCTCCTCAATCATGGCGTCTTTTGCAGCCGGTGACTTGACAGATCGAGTAGTCGCGCTGATAGCCTCGACACTTGAAATGCAGGCTGAGGCTTCCGTCGAGCCACCCAAGATCTTCATCGGAGACGTCATTTGCACCATTGAGGAGCAACTTGCACGACTCCCTGATATGGCAAAATTGCTTCCCTCAGAGCGCTCCAAGTTGGACGCGATTGGAACAGAATTATGGAATGTATGCCGCAGTCCATCAAGGTCCTCGAATCTAGAAGACAAAGAGACAGTGGAGATGTACAGCAGAGGTGTGATCAACAGCTGTTGGCGCTGGGTGCAAACAGACAATCTGACGGACCTTTTCTACAGTGTTGGCCGTGGCCTTTGCGCTCGTTGATATCACTTCGCCTTACAATGCTCAAGGTTACTCACAATCAATAGGTTTAAGGGAAAAGTGGCTCATTAGTTACACAGGTCATGTCAGGGCTTTAGAGGTGGCATTTGAAGCAGCTCACATTTGTATTGGTATTTGAGCGCCGTCTGTACGGGCTTGGTCATAACTAACGAATTTGACAGAGACTGCCCCGCTAGACTACACCCTTAGAATACTGAAGGTGGTAGCAAAGCGGCTCAACTCATTAGAAGCTTCTGACCCTGCCATCGATCAGGTTCAGCTGGACTCTATTTCGACCGAGTACTACATGTTTCGCGTGCATCTGGTGGGGTTTCAATAACAACACCAAATCGAGACTGTCAGCTCATTAAATTTTTAGGCTTGGCGACAAGGCCGATCTGACATTGCCGATCATCTCTTTGCAAAAGTGCCATTGAAAGCTTCAATCAACAATCGTTCGGTTGTCGTCGAGAGATGTCTCCATGTTGGCCGCGGTGCACTCGAAGTTGGCCAATATGATGCTTCGATCAAATGGCTCGAAACTGCACTCGAGCAGATGCAAGAGATCCCGGAAGATCAGGGACTGGGTTTGAAAAATCTGACCCTTCACGTTCGGCATACTCTCGGTCAGTCTGTTCAGGCTGGATTATGGAAGAAATGAATCAAGCTGACGTGCCAAAGTGCGGGCCTATACGAACGTCGATTCATCTGAGGCAACCAGGAAGCTTGAGGAGCAGTTGGCTGTACTCAAGATAGTAAGAACTACTCTTTCGAACTAGTTAATAACTGGAGCGGCGCATGTTTATCAACCATTTCAGGTATACGGAGATCTTCCTGCGGTACAATTCCTTGAACTTGACATAATTCGTCAAGAAAAGAAGCCAAACAGCGACCGATTCTCTCAACGTAAACCCCTCCTGCTCATACTATTTGACCTCCTTGCTAACATATCCTCTTAGTTCTAAGAGTCGTGATTGAGGGTCTTGATTATACTGAGGAATATTTCAATATGCAAGTAGCTTTCTACTACGACGTGCCCTGACTTCTAACCGCGTTCAGAGTCCTCTGTTACATCAAATATTCGAGGAGACTGAGGTAAGTTGACTAAGAGCATGTTTCTTCCTTTGATTGTGATTTACTCACTCAATACCAGTATTGGCCTTGCATTTGAGATGTACCAATTGCTCCTGAAGTCTCTGCCATCTCACAAGCATGAATGGGTAGAGGAAGGCTTTCTTCGACTGGTGTGGATGGCTACTTCAAGGGCAGCAGAATTGAAGATTACCGACGACATATGCATGAAAGCCATAAAAGATGCACTTGGAATCATTGGCGCACGAGGAGTTGAGAGACTGAGCCATGAAGCTACTCACGTTATCCTCACGGTGAGAACTCGCGGTGGATCGAGATGTGTATTTTGCTAATCAATATGATAGCTTCTTTTGAATGCAATTGATTATGCAGAAAAAGATTCTCGCTGGTGTATTACTGAGAGCTGGTGTCACCTCGCCCTAGATACCAAGATCTTCAAAGACTGCTCCGTATCCGATCGGCTCAATCTTCAGAAGTGCGTTCATATATCACTCATAGCTTGTTCGCTGATTGTGACGGTCTTTAGGCGACTGGCTATAACACTCTTGAACAGCCACAACTTCACTTTGGCTCGGCAGATTTTGGATCAAATTGTTGCCGAACCTGGCGCCAAGGCCGATATTCAAACCCAGTACCTTCTCTTCAAACTTGCGCTGCACGATGAGCAAGATGATCTATCTGGTATGTACTCTTTCTAAAGTCAGTGGTAAACTATCTACTAACAGCTTGAGAAGTTGAAGAATTCCTCTGCAATCAGTCCAGCCAGACTTGCTACTCTGATCGTGTAGAATTACTCCGGAACTGTTTAGTCGAGGCAGAAAGGCAGGACAAAACCCGGGTGGTCACTGATTGCATCAGAGAATTCATGAGAGCAGCAGTTGTTTCGGAAAACACTAGCGAAGAAATGTCTCTGAAAGACAAATATCTGTGAGTCTCTTGAATCCACTCCGGAAGATTTCGGAGGCTTATAAAGATAGCTTTCCTCTTTCTACACTCTCCACAGTGCTCGACAAAAACCACTGTCAATGTTTCTCCGCAGAAAGTACAGTGAGCTTGGCTCATTCAGGTAAGGCTGTGAATGTTTCGCCTTGATGTGAGCTTGGACATTGATGTTCATAGTTCTTAATTTGGCCAAGCTGGGTTTCAACAGCACAGATCCTGAGTTTTCAATTGCCGAGATGACATCCATCTCTCTGGATAGTTATAACCTGACCTTACAGATCTTCGACATGTTCCCACCCGAACATGCCGAGCGGCTCCTTGGCACCACGCGAGAGGTTTGTCGGAAATTGCCTACCAAATTGAAACAGATAATGCTAACGGCATATCGCGAGGTCAGCTCCAGGATCTTGCAATACAAAGATTCGAGACCATGCGGGTCAAGAATGCCCAAGGCATGCCCACCACAAGTAACCACCAGAAACTGGAGAAAGAAGCGCCCACGAAACTTCATCGTATTGCGTACCAAACTTTATATCTCGAGGTCACTATACGTGCCTTTTGCATTCGATCTCAGATTGATCCAAAAACTAAGGTTAGTACTAGTTGTATACCGTTATCGGTAAAAATCATTCTCACCATATTTCTTTCGCAGCTTGGTCTTTACAGGAAGATGGACGAAGCAATCCAGTCAATTCGGCATCAGACGTCAAAGTACTTCGAGCACTACCCGGCGCGAGCAGATAACCTTCGCAACCTCTGGGCAAACGAGTTCGAAGCTGCCACTGCCCTAAAGCATTGGAAATCTGTGTTCTCGATAATTCAAGACTGCAAACCCGTTTTCGGAGTGAACCTGTGCGATTATTTCATGAATTGTATTCTCAGCTTCGACATGCCGGATGCCCACCGGGCAGATGCCATCCACGTATGTCCTCTCCAAGTGTCTAGGCCGCACAGTTTGATACTAATTCTACAATGTAGGCAATGATAGGAAATCTTTACGGAAACGAGGGAGTCGTGCCAGCACATTTAGATCGCCTTCGTGACTATCTTCACTACCTCTTCACCTTTTCTCTTGCGGCAGCGGCGTCCCAGAACTCTGTGATGCTGCGTGATATATCCCAGAAGTGGCCGGAGGCATACTACAGCATGGCCGAGTCAGTCATTGACCAGGCCATTCTCACAGCGACCGATGATGCATATCTTCGGAGCGAGCAACAGCGCCAGACGCACCTCCATTCCGACGACCCGGTCGTTAGAGACAATCCGCAATCAGAATGTCAGCAGCGCCACCCCTATCCAACCGAGGAGCTGGGCTACCTAGCTACGTGTTCGTTCAACCAGGCAATGGACTTTTATTCGGAGGAGAATGACAAGGAATGCCGGTGCTGGGCTGGGAAGGCTATTCAACTCGCAGGGTTGATGAGCAATGTTGAGGGTAACAGACTGGTAACGCTATTTAGGAAGGGTTTCGAAGGATTGTTTTAGACCTGACTCTATTTCTTAACATTTCCTTTCCTGGAACTATCAAACGCAACAAGAGGTTGGAGGTTGGTAGGGCCAAGAAGCAACATTGAATTACCTTGTTATCTCTAAAAATCATGTTATCATACTCTCAAATAAGAAAACTCTTAGGCAACCAAAAAGAGAAGGAACAAGTGTGTAAATTTTAAGTATAAGTAAGCCCTGGAGACATGGCCAGAGCCACATGGAAAAATAGTATGGGTATCATGATGGAAGAGAACAAATGTTGAGAATCAAGAAGCAAAAAGAAAGCAAGGTGGCCCTCTTCCACATAAAGGGAACAAGGGATGCAAGAAGGACGGACTAGGCTGAAGTTGGAAAGGAAACAAAACGAAAGGAAAGGCAAATCACCCGAGATTTAAAATGATGAAAGAAGAAGGGAAAAGAAAGGGAAAGAGAGAATGAAAGATATATAGCTCGCATCCACGGGGATCTGCAACGCGAAACACCAGAAATGCCATAACTCACAAAGAGGCAGCGAGAAATCCATCTCGAGTCCTCAGGAATTCAGGTCCGATTGAGAGGTAGAGGTACGAAGGCATCGAAAGAGAGGTGATTCATTCATCACCATTGGCATCATAAGAGCGACTCCTCGAGACTTGCCGCATCCCTTTGTGGCGTAGTAAAGGAGTCGAGGGCATGTGGCGAGGAAGATGAGGAGACCGCGAAGAGACAGACGAATAGCTCGGCTTGCAGTCCAGGTCTTTGCCGCTGCTGTCTGTCTCAGTCTCAACGCTTTCATCGCTACTTTGAGAGCGTGCGCTGACGGCCCGCAATGTGAGATTGAGCTCGCGCTCGAGCTCCTTCTGCGCATGGAGGTGCTGTGCCGAGCCGTTGAGTTTCTTGCGATAGGCTCGCAAGGTTCGACAGACTTGTTCTGTGGACATCTCCAGACTGCCAAATTCGCTCCGGCTGGATCCTTTCGCGCGTGAGCGGAAGTCCATCGAGGTGCGACGACTGGTGCCCTTTGCACTGTTGGGCTTCTTTGCCATAGAAGAGTAAGATTTTGTCTTAGGGCTCACTGGAGACGGGGACCTGCGAGCGTTGTCTGTTGGTGTGAAGCATGTGGGAGAGCGACGGTTCGGCGGAGATGGTGTTTCAGCGAGAGAGTTTTTCTTCAGAGTGGACGGGGTCAAAGCCAGTTTGGACATCTTCCTTGTCAGGGTTGGAGAAAATTCACGGACGGGAGTCGGCGTTAGGGGACTAGGGTTGTCCGGTCGCTGGAAGCCAGCTAGCTCACTCCGTGAGAGGACCTTCCGGAGAGGAGGCTTGGCTGCAGTCAATTCTTTGGTAGGACCTTCGTCATCTCGTCCATTTTGAATGAGCTCTGGAGGTAGATGCGGTTGCACGCAGAGAGTCCAGATCATTAGGATACCATCCATGCCGGCTGAGATCAGACTCCGCTTCGTGACTGGGCCATCGTCGGGAATTTCGCACTCTTCAAAGAGCAGCGCATCGCTCACACCCTCTGTGTGACCGAACTCTCCCGTGAGCAACTGATCTTTTTCCAGGTCATAAACTCGGATAGATTTGTCGGTGCTAGACACGCCAATCAAGAGCTTGGGGCAATGTCCCGGAATCTCGGAAGTAACTGTCAACGAGCTCATGATCACTGCATCATTTGTTTCGCTGTCAGTTGCACGGAAGCAGTGGAGTTGCCGTCCTGATGGAATATCAAACTTGGAGATAGAGCGGTCCATGGTGGAGACAAACAGCAGGTTGGATTCATCGGGACAGAGGGCCATGGACACTGGAGATGTCTTCATAGTGATAACTTTCGTGATAAGATAGGCAATTGAGGTTGCGCCGTCTTCCTCTCGAGTCGCACGCTCCCGGATCAGGATGGTGCGATCTGCGGAGCTTGATAGTAATTTCTTGCCATCATTCATAAACATGATTTGTCCTACGGCGCCAACATGGTCATCCATAGTTTGCACCAGCTGCAATGTCGACTCGGTTTTCTCGAACAGCTGGACCATGCGGTCGCGACCAGAACTGGCTACCAGCCACGAAGAATTGTCAGTTTTATGGAGGGCAAGGTCCGTGATCTCTCCTCCATGAGCACGAGCTTCGTCAATGCAATTCCAATTCTCGCCGGAGAGAACCCTGGTTCGAGGATTTTAGCTGAGGCATACCGGCATGGTAGACGATAGACAAACAAACCTCAAAACACCGAATTTATCACCTGCAACAAACCAATCCGCGTTTTCCGCAGCTCTCAGAGCCTTCAACTCATTGGAAACATCCTCCTCGACTGCTGCGCTTTGCTCGAGTGCCACCTTCTTCGAATGAAGGCACTTACCCTGGGCATCCCAGAAAAGCACCGAGCCATTGCGAGACCACGAGAAGAAATTGGCGGAAAACCTATTAGGCGCCTTCAAAGGACGAATGCCAAGAACCGGATCTCGGTGCGCTGGCATGGAAGTCTCCCCATGCTCGTGCTCACCCTCATCAGGCAAAGACTCGATAGGATAGATGTGGATCTCCTTCGTTGCTTCTACGGTGACCAAGTGTGAGGAGAGCGAGCCCATGCAAGTAATGGCAGGTGCCTTGCTTTTCTTGTTGACCACCAGTCTGTCCAACCTCGCGGGTAACAAGGGGTGGGACAGGGAGGATGTTCGCAGAAATTCGAATGATAACCGCTGCATCCTCCTCCCGCGGCCACCCAGCCATATCGATTCTCGATCGAAATCCACGGCCAGGGACGTGACAGCGAAGCCCACCTGCATGACCACCGACAGTTTCTGGGTCCCCTCACGATCATCGAGGAGACAGACGGCCCCTGATTCGGAAGCGATCACGGCCTCTTGGTCAGAAATACTACTGAGACAGCTGAAGGTATGGTCGTTCAGCGGCCCTAGGAGACAATTCCTTCCGGATAGTGCCTTTGGCGCCGGGTTTGGCGAAGGACCCGCCCCGTCTACATTCAACCTAGATTTTGTAGGAGAGACCGGCCGTGCTGTCGGAAGTCTCCATACTTTCACATGGCGTACACCAGCCGTGACCAAGGATGGGCCCACCCAGCACATGTCACGGACAAAGGACGTGCATTTATTGGTCGAATGTAGCTTCGCCGATCCGTTCTTCAAATTGATGGCCCATATAAACAGAAACCCATCGTTCGGGTTGCCCAGTGTTGCCAGATACTGCGAATCGGGACTGAACGCCAGACTGCAGACGCCGAAAGTGTGCTCGCAGAGAATGGACAGAGGGACATCGGGCAACGCGTCTCGGGCGGTAGAAAAGATGAGCACGCGAGGATTGTATCCGGTCTCGCCCACCGCTAGGAACCGGCCATTGGGGCTAATTGAGACGCTGGTGACAGCTTTGATCCTTTCTCTGGACGACCATGCGCGAGGGCTCCCATTGTCCGCGGCTTCGCTCGAGGGCGAGCCGTTAGGAACATTGAGGTGCGGATTCGATCGAATATGGGAGAGGGACCGCGATCGGGGATCGGGGGTCGCAGGGGGGTGGATTGGTAAAAGGAAGTGGTCGGGTTCAGGCTTGTGGCCGAAGGTCGAGCCCGAAAGAAGCGCTGGCAGATGTTGGCGTCGCCATCAAGCTCGGCGAGCACTGCGGCGGAACCAGCGCACAGCGCAAAACTTTTGCTCTGGTCGTGACTGGAGAAGCCATTGGGGGTTGCGGTGGTTGTTCCCAGCACCGTCTGGAGAGAAAGGGTCGACTGGTGGGAGGATTTGCTTGGGGAGCGGGTTCCTGGCCGGAGAGTGGGCGAATTGCACGGGGTGATTTTCAGGGAGGCGCTGGGGCCGACGAGCTTGGATTTTGCGCTGAGCGGCGCGGTGGTAGCCATCGCCTCGGGGGACCGAACGGGCGGAAGATTCAGAGTCCCCTGGGTCCGCGCGGTCTTCGCATCTCAGGTTTGCGCATTCGTTGAGAGACGAGGGGGGAGGTGAAAAGGCAAAAGGAGGCGGGGGTGGACGGATCAGGCTGGACTGTGTGGTGATCGAGAGCACGGAGGGTCTACACCAGCTACTGGAAGGTGGAAGGCTGGGGAAGGGCGGAAAAAGCTGGTGGATGAAGGTTGAAGATCGAAGGTGGTAGGCTGACGGTCTGCAGGAGCCCACGAGGGAAAAGCCAACTTCAGAGGGGAAACCCAAACATGGAGCTTCATTCCGCACTAACACCGCTGATCATTCCAGACGATCCAAGGAATCTGGCGAACCTGTGCGTCTGAGTCTCCGGCCCTTGGGACTGCACGGGCCGAGTGGAGTGCCTGCAAAGCTTCCGGGGTTCTCAACCAGATAGATATATAGATAGGTACATCGACCGGGGGGCGGCTCACAGACTGACAGCTCTGATCGTTCCTGGCTAAAGGATTGAGGAGCCCCGGAGAATATTCATCTGCTACTCATCTCTCCACCCTCCCTCCCGTCTGCCCCGGCTTTGTTGTGAGGCCGATGAAATGAACAGGTGGGTCGCGGCCCAAACACAACCTGGTGCTGCTAATCCGATCGAATGGTTTCGCCTCAATGTCTCTTAATCGGCGTCGAAGGACTCTTCCAGGTATCTTCCCACGTGGGGTCTGGCGTCCCTTTCCCATCCGTGAATTATAGATATTTTTCTATTTGGATATCTTGTTGTAGACCCCGTAGAACCGGCACGGTTTGGTTGTATCGATGTAGGATGTTGGGTCGAACATAATCCGGTATATTTGGTCCCGAATAGACCATATACTCATGCAGTATGCCACTGTTTCCAGTACGGTTGAATCATCTTAACTATGCGTCAATCTGAAGGTTTGGCAGTATGGTTTTCCCGATGGCTGACTTTGATGCCTGATTTACTAGGAACCAGCTAAATTAGTTAACGAGCTTAAGTAGTTTATCTTATCGCCACGCGGAATTTCCCTTTCACTCTCGCCTTGCCTTTCGCAATTTGGTCGTCCGCTCTCCTTGCAACCGTCCCCCGGTCAATGTCTATCATGGCAACCCAGTGTACCGCATCTGCCAAAATGGCCTTACCGTCGCTTCTTCGCAGCGTCTTTTATCCGGAGTTTACCTGCAACCTACGCGCTTCCTCCCTCCGTCAAGATTCTCGCCCGACAGCAAAACTCCAACAACTTCGACCATTTAGTTCGACAGCCAGGGCCTACCAGATTCAGATCAAGCAGTCCCAGCATGCGACCACTACATTGGCCACCCCCCAGTCTTCCTCATTTTCCACTCCATCCTCCCCATCCTCCGCAACCGAACCAACCACGAATCCAGATTCACCTCCGCATGAAACCGCGCCCGTCAGTTCTACCAAGAGAGAAAAGACTAGCCGTGGTAGTTCGAAGAAGGATGGCAAAGAGCGCAAAGGATTGAGCAAGGACAGGAAATTTGACTCTGCGAAGAAGATTCCCTGGAAAAAGACGAAGCCCGACCCCTGGCAGACCCAGAAAGATGCCCTGGAGAAGAAATTTCCGACTGGATGGAACCCGCCCAAAAAACTCTCGCCTGATGCGCTGGAAGGTATCCGACATTTGCATGCCACTGCCCCCGAACGATTCACCACCTCCGTCCTGGCGGAAGAGTTCAAGGTCTCCCCGGAGGCTATTCGCCGCATCTTGAAGAGCCGATGGAGGCCCTCGGAGGCCGAAACCGAGAGTCGGCGCCAGCGATGGGAGAAACGACACGAGCGCATTTGGAGTCGCATGGCGGAGCTGGGTCTTCGGCCATCGACTAAGGCCTCCCGGCCGTATTCGGATGCTAAGACGCTGTATAAGCCTGGGGAAGGGGAGTTCTAGTGTAATTTGCACCAGAAGGAGCCCGCTATTGTAATGATGGCGGCGTTGATCGTGGTCGCAACCAATAACAACATGTATAGTACTGCATAGCGCTGTAACATCATCGGTTTCTCTGAATGCGTTCATCTGTCGATCCCCCAAGCGCGTTCTTATGACTCGCCATAGCGCAGTAGCGGAATTAGGCACGGCGTACGGCCCTCGAAGGGGTTTGTAAAAATTAAAGGCAAATTCCTCTGCAAGCCTCTCCATTATCCCATTACCCATGAAGGGTTATCATCTGCTATTACCAGCGTTACGGCGGGGGGGAAAAGGAGTTGATCTCCTGCAAAACATTTGGGGTCGGGGCCGCAGCTCGCAGTGGAGAGGCGCCACCACCCAACTCCCCTTCAACTCGCCTCGGCACCATAGTCCTTCTCCTCGACCGCGCCAGCCACTTCCCCGTCATTGTTCCTTCGATCTGACAGCATGCCGATGTTGATATACATCCTGAACCTTGGTTCTCATCGCCAGTGACCGTCGCGCGCAATTCCCCGCCCGAGATCGAGTCTGGAGTAGACGGCCCTTCGGGCCACATGCTGACGCCACGACGCCATGCCGTCGAACATACAGGTCTTCGTGAAATGGAAGGACCAGACAATTTTTGCCGGGGAGGATGTGGAATGCACCATCACCTTCAAGAACGTCTCAGAAACTGCTTCTGAAGCAGGCCATGGGGGTGAGGGTGGCCAGCATCATCGCAAGCTGTCTCGAGTCGCGAATCACACCAGCAGCAACTCTACCTCGGACTCGTTCTTCTCCTTGAAATCCCCCCAGAGCCTCTTCTCGGGCAGGCGGTCTTACTCGATCAGCTCTCAGAGGAAACCTTCCCACCGGACCGCGTCATCGTTGAGCTCCCCGCTCGTGTCCTCGCACAGCTTCCCGCCGACCAGCGGCCCCTCCACCCCTCGAAGTTGGCAGCCCGGCCACAGTCACAAACGATCGGTGTCGATTCTATCTATCGAGAGTGAAAGTCAGCCTGAGAAGACCACCCCGGCCCCAAACTATGGCCGGGCTCGGCCGGCCAGGGGTCATGGGCGCTCAGCCAGTCTCCAAGTTGCCCCCAGGAGGAATGATAGCTATGATGATTCCCATCGGAAAGGTATCTACCCAGGCAGGCCAATGAGTCATTAGAATGCAAGGGCTAACAATACTCTTTCGTGCAGTGGGGAGAGCTCCCATACGTGGTTCTCCACTAACAGAATCCCCAAACGAGTCCGTTACAGGCAATTTGCGAGTCGACACTTCCCGGGCTGGACGAGCCAGTCGTCCTGAGTCTCTTACAAACAGCCCCGTTGTTCCAACCGAACTATTACGTGCCCCGCCACGACGAACAAAACCGCCAGCCTTCGATTTCAAGTTCCCTGCTCCGCTCCCAACGAATGAACCAAACAACAGCCGCCCTCCTCTCTCTCCCTCTCCAAAGTCATCGGAAAGAAACCCTGCGGCGGGCAAGCCGGCATCAAAAGATTCAACGTCATTGGCAGCTCCACCACATCAGCAGCTTACGCGGATAATATCAGCCACGAGCGTGAATGGAAGCAGCCGAAGTAGTGGAGAGTTCTACTCGGTTAGTGATCATTCGAGTGAGACGCTGGCGTCGGAGTATACAACCTATTCGACACAAGGCGCACGAGTGCCTCCTTCTGTACGCCACGGACGGCATTACTCGAGTGTGTTGGCATCAACAATGCCGTCCGATAGCCAGGCGCTACTAATGGGCTACGCGCAAATCAGTGCGTCTTTCACGGTGGATGGGTCTTTAGTGAACCAGTCAGTATTCGATGAGGTCAAACGGAAAGGTGTTGTCGGTGGCCAAGCAGGCACAGGCGGAGTGCCAGGACGGCCAAGTTCGAATGGTGATCGATCACGCAAAGGGGCAGGTTTCTGGGGGGCGCTCAAGTGGAATGCTATCGAAGAGTCCATCAATGGGTTTCTCTCGAACAATGAGCTTGATGGCCTACGAGAAATGCGCGGGGTCGCTTCGTCACGATCGATTCCGTTGCTGTCCACCCCACAGTCGCTACTTTTCGTTGACCTACGACTGGCACCCGGCGAAGAACAATCTTACTCGTTCTCTTTCGCGCTTCCCAGAGGACTCCCCGCGTCTCACAAAGGAAAGGCGATTAAAATTTCCTATAATCTGGTCATTGGTACCCAACGCCCTAGTGGGCCGAATGAGTCCCAGCGAGTAAATCGCATTAACATTCCATTCCGTGTCTATAGCGGCGTCAATGGTAAGATCTTCCTCACGCTGTACTCACTCGGATGCTGGATATCTAACATAATATTAGAAAAAGGAGACGTCCTTGGCCATGACCTGATGTCACCGTACGTGATTTTGCGTGACGAAGCCAAGGTGCAAAAGATTGGGTCCAATACACCCCTGACCGTCAAAAATCAGAGTATAAGCGGGGCATGGAATTCCGCTGGAGATTTCCTCTCTTACGTGGATGAAATCCTGGAAGAGCGTGCACGCGCAAACTCGCTATTTCCTCCAGGGACCCTCCCCGAGAGACGGTCAAGCTATGATGGGCCTCCGCCGCACGCGTTGTCTTGTAAGGATATAATTGATTTTGCCATCCTTCGCAGCAATCAAGCCGTGCAGTCCCGGCGCAGTCCCAACCGGTTTGAGATTGCTCGCGATGGGCAGCGCATCGCTGTGGTTGTGCTGAATCGCCCAGTGCACCGGCTTGGTGAGACTGTCATTGCCACCGTGGACTTTGGCGACGCTGCTATTCCCTGTTACGCCGTACGGGCATCCCTTGAGACGTCTGAGAAAGTCATGCCTACTATTGCAGTCCGCTCTAATGCAAGCATCCACCGCACCACCCGCCGCATCCATGCGTCTCTATTTGAGAACACTCTGTACGCCACCCGGGTGGTTTTCAGCCCAGCCATCCCCATTACCGCCACTCCCACAATTCTGACCAGCGGTGTGACTCTTGACTGGGACTTGCGTTTCGAGTTCGTGACGCCAAATATGAATGGCGTTCATAGTCACGGACCATCCGGAATTCGCTTACTTGAGACCTTGTCCTCTGACGATCGCGGCAAAGTTCTGTCCGCGATGGAGCATCTGGGCTGCGAATCATTTGAAATCTCCATCCCCCTGACGGTCTACGGTGAAACCGTGCGGGAGCAATTGCCAGAAGAGAACGAGGGGTACGTCATCTAGAGGTGTGATCTATTTGATGGATGTCCTGGGAGCGCCTGCAGTGTAGGCTTCCTGTTTAGTCGAGCTAGATATTCCCCTATCCCCCGCATGTGGACATGTTCCTTGCGAGCGCCATGTTTGCCATTGATTAGGTGCATAATGTTGTGTTTGATACTATTTCACCCAGGGCTTTTGTCCCAACCTGGTCCTTCCCTCGGGCAAACTCACGGCAAGACATGAGCGTCGCCTGTTCGAGGGATGAACCACGCTCCGACTTCGCAGTGGTTTCTCTATTGCCATTGCCTTCTTGATTAGACCCCCGATGCACTCTCTCCGAACCCATAATGTATAAAGACCCGTCGGCAAACCTCACCCCTGCTGAGGCAGAAGCCCCATTTAGTCTATTCCCTCCGACCGTCGCCCTATCGCGACGGTGCAAGATGCGAGAGCGGGTCCTGCCTGCCTGGAACGCCAAGGCCCTGCCTGGGCCCTGCCTGACTAGCCCCAAGCCAACCGCGGGTTCTCCTTTTTCTTCCATAGGCCTCGAAGCATTATAAAAGAGAAGGAAGTGCACTGTCTTACCTTCCCGGCTCAAAATCAGCGACGCACCAAAGACTCCACGATGTCCTCGACCTCATCGAACCCCCAGCTGCCGGGGTTCAACCTCCCGTTGAATTGCAAACCAGAAGTCAGGGGAACTTCATTCTTATCGTGGCATTTTCTGACGAATTCTAGAAACGCATAGGAGCTCATTCATGGTCCACCGGCCCGTTTGGATTCCCAAATGCCTTGGATATTGCTGATGGTTACGTGAAGTACGACTTGATTTTCAACCGCGGGTGGAGCTGTTACTGATATAACACTTCCAGCCAATCAGACGTGAAGAGAGAAATCCTGATGATGCGAGTGATGAATAGTATCACAGACAAGCTTGACTGGGATAAGAAGGTAGGCACGGATTCCGTTGTTCTGGTTACAGCAGCCACATTTCTAAAGCAACACAGGTTTTCGAAGAAGACATCATCTCCAAGTGGCGCGAAGAAATCGCTCGGAGCGGAGAAGACGTATCCCCCAAAAATGATGGATTGGATTATCAAAGAACTCCAATGGAAGGCCGAAGCTTTCAAAGAGACTGGCTGCGTTACCGTCTTTGATGTCGGCGTGGTCAAATCTGATACCGCCATTTCTCCGGAATTGCAACAAGCTTTGCAGAAAGCTGTTGTGCCCCTAGAAGACATTCCTGAAGACCAGAAGGATTATCATCCAGGGTCTCAGGAACAGGTCCTTGATCTGGTGCATCCGTCTCTGTTCCCGGTCATTTTTGGACGAACTCGCATCCTTCCTGATCGAGTCATTGGCTTGGATACTTGTCTAAGTAGTGTTGGACAAGGCAGCCTTCTTCTAGTACCGTCAGAAGATGATGCCAAGCTTCCCCACAGATATGGCTGGAGAGATGTTCAAAACGCCTACAGTCGCAAGTTCCAATGGCTGCCGTGTGACGTGGAATTTACTCCGGATGCAGGATGTCGAATCGTTTCGTACATCAACAACCTCCATCCAGTTGAACACAGACGACTGTATGAAATCGTTGAGAAGATAATCTCTCAAACAATCCCTATTTGGAACCAAACACTGGCCTACAGACCGTTTAATCAGAGGCGAATTCAGTACCAATCGGTTGACTATGAAGATGATGGCGAGGATGAGCCCCACATGGGCGATGACGAGGACGATGAAGAATATTACGAGCGTTCGACCGCATGGTGGAAAGCCCGCCGCATCATCCAGCCAGAACCAGAGGAGTTTAAGCCTCCGAACTTTGATAGATCGAATTTGGTTGATTTGCAGGAAGGCTTCTCCAAACAAGGGCTACAAGTGATTGTGAAATTGGCCAATATCGAGCTTACTACGGACAAGCCGGAGTACGCAGGAGGTAGCTGGCACATTGAAGGACAGCTGGTAAGCAGCTATATACCAATCTGCTCGACCGTGACTAACCCGCGCTAGAATGAACGTATCTGTGCAACGGCAATCTACTACTACGATAGCCAGAATATTACTCAGAGCACACTGGCTTTCCGCCAGCGCAGTGGAGACGATTTTCAAGATGTGCAATATGAACAAGAGCAGCACGGCTTTCTCCAAGCTGTTTATGGATTTGGGGAGGAAGTTGAGGGCAACGGTACTACCAATGTCACGCAAGACCTTGGAAGCGTCGTGTGTCAAGAAGGTCGTTTGCTCACGTTCCCAAACGTGGTCCAGCACCGTGTCTTGCCGTTCTCCTTGAAAGATCGAACAAAACCAGGTCACCGGAAGATCCTGGCACTGTTTTTGATCGATCCTCACAGGCGTATCATTTCTTCTGCGAACGTGCCTCCCCAACAGGAGGAATGGGGAAGAAAGAGACGGGAGCTTGTGGATAATCTCTTGTCACAGAATTTGCCACCAGAACTGCAGAACATGGTTAAACAGGATCTTCCCTCTGTTTCCATCTCCATGGATGAAGCAAAATCCCACAGGCTTGAACTGATGGAGGAGAGAAGCGTGAAGGCCGAGGCCAACAACTCAGCTTTCGAAACTGGAGATTTCTCGCTATGTGAGCATTAGGCGTCACCGGCATCGCAAATGGAAAGAAGATTAGTATGATGAATTCATGATTGCTGATTGATATATTGATCATGGACGGGAGGAGGGAGGAAAGGGACCTCATTGTACACCCTATTGCTAGTAGTTTAAAGAACCTTCGCTCCAAACCATCAAGGTTGATCCTCAATACCTACCAATAGCACCCCACATCTTGCTAATTTGTTTAGCTGCGTGGCCTTTTCTATCTTCAACAAAGTAAATGTTGAACATACCTGGGATAGTAAGATACTGTGTGAGGATAATTGGAAGAAAGGTAACGAAGCCTATATGAGCAATTCAACGAATCAAACTTATGATGCAAAAAGAAAAACAAAAGACCATGGAAGAGATCCATACTATATAAAATGGTTACCGCGCAGATTTGAGTCCCTCCATGGATCCAAGTCTAGGATCCTTAGCCGCTGACTTGACATCGGCATTTTCAAAAACAAATCTCGTATCCAAGGGCCATAGATCCCGGAGCGTCGGCTCTCCACCCGGACATGCGGGGAACCCACGTGGAGAGCCGCGATGCAATCACTACACCGTAGCTCTAAGAAAATCAACTGATGAATCGAGATATTGCGAGTATATACTGTCGGGGTCAAAGAATTCGGTAAGGAGCAACTACCCGATTTTACCTAAAAGTAATCTCAGTAATTCGATATGGATATCTTTTCTCGCACATGAGACTTTGGAGAATGACGAATTGAAGATAAAACCAAATATTCTCGTGGAAATGAAATTGAGTCAGATGTATTCGCTGAAGATGTCGACACAGGGTGGTGTATATACAGTAGTTCCTCGATCATGAAAGAATGCTTCAGTCATTGCCGTCTCGCTATGCCGGACCCCAACCTCTACCTAACAGACAGATCATGTTTCCTATTCCATAGTATACGGACTGTGTCGTCCATTAGCGCCCCCTAAAAGAAGGGAAGTCATGCCCAGCACAGTGTCATAGTACTTGAAACAAAAGGGGCGCATCCCGCCACAACGAAACTGACGATATCTCCTGGAAGCTGCCAGATAGCCAGTGGTTACAACCATAGTTCCAGCAATAAACGCCACAAAAGAAAAGAAATATTTATGATAATTTTTCAGACAGTTGCGAAAAGGAAATAATCTGTGGGTATGTGCGTTGGGATACGCAGCCTTTCTAGCGTACATATCGCATCCAGCAGGATCAAAGAATCAGATTATATTATGAGCCGAGAGGGCAAGATCAGATATCAACAATACGGTATAGCTAGTTGTAACTACTTCCTGTAGCCAATCTATAACCTCCTGACGTAGGGGACGGGGGGCCCGTCACTGGGGCAACGGGAGCCACCCATGGATCCGATTGCTTTATCATGTTGGGTGGAGCAGCTGAAGCCGATAACCTGGCCTCCCCTCCCGCCCTTGCTCGGTGCCGCGCGCATCGTCGATCGTGACTTTATTCCGGTTCTTTTGTCTGTTGCAATCCTCTTGCTCGCCTTCAGATCCGTCCTGGTACGTGGTACGGCATGCCGGCTCTCATTCCCCTCCCATAACACACGGCCACTGACCCTTCTGACATCGGAATGCAGATACGTCGCGATCAGCGCCCACCCCCGCCGCAAATAACATCTAAGGGTGCTCTCATCCCGAGGAACAGAAATGGCTTCGTTCATCACCACCATGTCGGTCCCAGCTGCCCCTCCCCCTGTTTATCTCTCGCCTCCCTCTAAACCCTCGTCTCGCTCCCCGCGCTCACGAACCTCTTCTCTGAGCCCGAGCCCCTCGGCCATCTACCTGACCACCCGCACTTCCCATATTCCTTCCCTAGAACCTCCATCTTACCTGTCGCCGGCGGTGCACGCTTTGAAACAAGGCGTTTTTGGACTGACACCTCCTAGCAATGCACGGACAAGAGCTCCCTTCAAGCCTCGCTCCGCCGCCAAAGGCACCAACAGCTACCAGCTGAGGCAATTCGCCGAGGCCACTCTGGGCAGTGGCAGTCTGCGCAAGGCTGTCAAGTTACCCGAGGGAGAGGATTTGAATGAATGGCTTGCGGTGAATGGTACGAAGTCGTGATCTCTCCTTTGACGGTACAAGGCTAATTGCCTCGGGGTCTCATCCAGTCGTCGACTTTTACAACCAGATCAACCTCCTCTACGGCTCCATAACCGAGTTCTGCTCACCGCAGTCATGCCCCGAGATGAAGGCCACAGATGAGTATGAGCGACCAAAGTGACAGAAATTGACGTGTCCTCGATCGGGCTGACCAGCCATCCAGGTTCGAATACCTCTGGCAAGACTCTGAGAACTTCAAGCGGCCAACCAAAATGTCTGCGCCTGAGTACATCGAGCACCTCATGGGCTGGGTGCAGGGCAACGTCGACAACGAGCAGATGTTCCCCAGCCGGATTGGTCGGTAGCCCGTGTTGTCGTATTTGAAGATCCATCGCTCACATATTGTTCTCCCCACACAGGTGTCCCATTCCCGAAGACTTTCCCCAGCCTTCTCCGTCAGATTTTCAAGCGCCTGTATCGAGTCTACGCACACATCTATTGTCACCACTACCCGGTCGTGGTGCACCTCGGTCTTGAGCCGCACTTGAACACGAGCTTCAAGCACTACGTCCTCTTCGTCGACGAGCACAAATTGGCCAGTGGGAAGGATTATTGGGGGCCACTCGGTGATCTGGTGGAGAGTATGCTGCGCAGTGACTAGAATCTGACGGGGAGGAGATTGATGGTCACACTGTGCATGGAGATCCCGCTTGTGATCGTTCTCGGCAGCCGGAGTCCCCGGGGAAGAGGCGGCAGACAGGGGTTCTCGACGGCGTTCTGGCATGGTGCATACATTAGTACATTCGATTTGTGTTTATGGGTTTGTTCTGGCGTTTTGTTATGTCATTGTCCGCAACGGCGAATGAAAACGTCAATGATCTGCTAGTATTTTTGAGGTATTCATATGTGCTCAGGATAATTGATCCGAATGGCGTGGAGTGATCCTTGTTGCGGGTAGCGGAGATGGGCGAAGTGTAGACTGGCATATTTTGCCCCCACAGTGGTGCTATATTTGATTTTGATTCTAGGCGCGAGAGATCATTTCGTGTCAATTCCCACGTACTAGGTTGGAGAAGCTAGTCCGCAATAACAGCATATAATAGCTGGGGCAGGCCACAGCCGAAAAGCGGCAGCTCCACTTTGCACTCTACTGGCGCGAAAACAGGCGGCTTACCTCAGCGGCTAACACGTCACGTGACTCGGGAAGAAGTCGGACCTGCAACTCAACCTGCACTCACGAAGCCAGCACTCCGACCGCCGCTCGCATCTCCCTCTATCCCAACTCTTTCGGTCTCCTCCCCCCTCTCGAGGCTCTCCTCACATCCAATTCCACGATGATGTCCGCTCGTGTCGCCCGCACCGGCCTGCGCGCCGTCCAGCAGTTCTCAGTCGCTCGCCCGGCCTTCAACGGCTTGCGGACCTATGCCACCCCGGCCCAGGATGCCCGCCCCCCAGTCGCCCTGTTCGGTGTTGACGGCACCTATGCCTCTGCTCTGGTATGGACCCAGCCCTTGACGAGCCACTACGTTTGCGATGTCGATTTTTTTTCGCGACCCCGTGTTGCCCCGACCCCTCCTGCTGGCCCCCTCTGCATTTCGATGTCGGATATGAATCCCGCAAAGATGCAATGCAATTTCAATGAATAGCTCACCTAATCCTCGCTTCTGCTAGTACACTGCTTCCTCCAAGTCCTCCGCCCTCGACCAGATCGCCAAGGCCATCGCTTCCCTCGGCCAGACCCTGAAGGCCGACCCCAAGCTGGTCACTATCCTCGGCGCTCCTAGCCTGTCCATCGCCGACAAGCAGGAGATCATCAAGGAGCTCCAGAAGGTCGCCGGTGCCGACAAGGCCGACATCCTCAAGAACTTCCTCCAGACTCTGGCTGAGAACAACCGCCTTGCCTCCCTCGAGGGTGTCTGCGACAAGTTCGCTACCCTGATGAGCGCCCACCGTGGCGAGGTCGAGCTGAACATCACCTCCGCTCAGGTGCGTGGTCCCCATTTTTCCACCTGCGATGCCAGACTTCGCAGCAACGCTAACCCAGTCGTGTCACAGGAGCTCGACGCCAAGACCATCTCCCGCCTCGAGAAGGCCGTCGCCAAGTCCGAGTACAGCCAGGGCAAGAAGCTCAAGGTTGTCACCAAGGTCCAGCCCGACCTGGTTGGCGGCCTCGTCGTCGAGATCGGCGACCGCACCATCGATCTGAGCGTGTCCTCCAAGATCGCCAAGATGAACAAGGCTCTGACTGATGCCCTGTAAATGTAAAATAGCCGAATTAGTTCCGTGGGTGGAGTGGATGGGTTAGACTATCCTCAGTACTCAGCATATCCTCCCGCATGAACGGTAGCGTTGGTTTCGTGAAAGTGGAAAGGAAGAGTCTTTGTGGCCCCTCCTTTCTTGGTCCTTTCATCTCCACTTGTTTTCAATATCTGTGAATTGCACAATACACATTCCATTTTCTTTCCATGTCCCTTTTTTGTTGTAGATGGTACATGACTTGGATTCTGTGGGCTCTTTGAAGGGGGATCTATGAGGATAATACTTACGGGGCTCGCTATGCTACGGGAAAGTAGTTCGATGTCAAAAATGCGACCTAATACAATGAACGCAATCTTGGTATTCAGGTGCCGGTCTCAAAAATTAAATCTCCCAAGGTGCACCTCACAATTCAACGATATCTATTTGGCGTAACCCGTACTCTGGTAAGGTCCTTCAGGTTGGGCATATATTCTAGTTCCTCGCCCATGCTTGACTCTGATGCGTGGTAAAATCAATGGCTACTATCCCCATTCTGCTTCTCTGCTTGCGTTTCGAGCTCATCCTCATACCCGGTGGCAATCGATGCAGAGCTGCGAACCCGCTGCAACTGACTCTCAACGTAATTATGCAAATGCTCGTCGCTGGCGCCGTTGCGAGACAGACCAGCGCTGCTGTCGCGCCGGCTGACGGGCCTGCTGGCGTCCTCATCGTCGACAACAGTCGAGGCCGCTGGGGTTGCATCACCCGCAATCGTGGAGTTGAAGTCACTGCGGTTGCCGATGGAGCGGTTAGTCGATGAGCGCCTGACGGACGGACGGCTAGAGCTGGGGCGGCGGCCTGAGCGCGAGAACATGTCATCGAAATAGTGAGACGCAGCGGCGAAGGGTGATCGTGGCGTCTGGGGTATGCGGCAGTTGAGCCTGAAACTTATTAGCATATGTTAGGGTCGCAGCGCGTTGGATTCAAACCTACCCCGTGTCATGGATGATCTTGGCAATCAACCCGGTCCAACCGCACTGATGTGAAGTGCCCAGGCCACGGCCAGTATCCCCGTCGAAGAACTCGTGGAACCACAAGTAGTCCTTCCAGTGCTCATCATAGTCGAGCAGATCGGATTTTCCGTTGATAGCACGACGACCGTCGTCATTCCGAGCGAAAAGATGCTGCATACGATGCTGCAGCTCTTCGGCGATGTGGCCCAGGTGCATGTAGTCTCCCGAGCCAGTGGGGCACTCGATCTGGAACGAGTCGCCGTAGAACATGTAGAAGCGCAGCAGAGATTCCACAAGCAAAAAATTGACGCACAGCCAGATCGGCCCACGCCAGTTGCTGTTACCGCCAAATAGGGCGCTGTCTGAGTCGCCAGGCACGTAGCCCACCTGGAACGTCTGACCGTTCACGTCCATCGAGTATGGGTTTTCCTCATGGTACTTCGACATGGAACGGATGCCATGCTCGGACAGGAACTCGGTCTCATCGAGCATGCGCTTCAAGATGTTTTCCAGTCTGTCTTTACTAACAAGTGATAGAAGCAGGCGATCATCCTTACCCCGGCGCTTCATGCTGGCAATGTTGCGCTCAGCGACATCCTGCTTGTTCTCAATGAACCAGTCAAGGCGTCGTTTGAACGAGGGGAACTTTTTGATAATCTCTGGCTCAAGGGTGAGAACAGCATATAGCGGAATGAGACCGACCAACGATCTAATAGGCAGCTGTTGAGTCCAGGGACCCCCATACGAGATGGCATCATAGTAGAATCTTGAGTGGGTTAGCAAACATGAGATACGGGAAGTAGATGATGGCTGTGGACTTACTTGTCTTCTTCATTCCACAGTGACTTGATGCTGTCCTCGCCAGACCGGTAAGTCATTGCGTCGCTGATGAGAACGAAATGCTCAAAAAATTTGGATGCAACTGGAAGGAGGTCAGTATATGTCACCCACTTCACTTCGACTGTCAAGACTCACTGTCCTCATATGTGCGGCGGTGCTTAGCCAGCTCCAATGCAATGTTCAACATAGTCAGACAGTAGAATGCCATCCAACCCGTGCTGTCCGCTTGCTCAAGGACACCACCGGTAGGCAGAGGCTCGGAGCGGTTGAACAGCCCGATGTTATCCAGACCCAAGAAACCTCCCTCGAAAACGTTCTTACCATCCGAATCCTTCCGGTTCACCCACCAGGTAAAGTTCAGCAGGAGTTTCTGGAAGACGCGTTCGAGGAAATCCAAGTCCTGGCGGCCATACATTTTGCGCTCGATCTTGAAGGTGCGGAAAACGGCCCAAGCATGCACGGGCGGGTTGACGTCTCCAAAGTTCCACTCGTAGGCCGGAAGCTGGCCGTTGGGATGCATGTACCATTCGCGAGTCAGGAGGTCAAGCTGCTTCTTGGCGAAATCTGGGTCAATCATTGCCAACGGGATGCAGTGGAAGGCGGTATCCCAGGCGGCGAAGAACGGATACTCCCAGGAGTCGGGCATCGAGAGGATATCATCGATATAGAGATGCCGCCATTGCTCATTGCGAATCCCCTTTCGTCCGGGAGGAGGGGGGATCTCAGCTGGGTCACCGTTACTCCATTGGTCCCAAATAAAGTGATAGTATTGCTTGCACCACATCATGCCCGAAAAGGCCTGTCGCTGGATGTTTCGAAGGTCATCACTCATGGGAAGGGGGCTGATGCGGTAGTAGAAGTCGTCTGCCTCGGCGCGACGCTGTTCAATCACATCATCCAGAACTTCCTCGTCCACGAAGTCCTCCTTCTTCCGGGAGAATCGGAACCGAACAATAGCGCATTCTCCTGGAGGGACACCCTCGCCCTCGTCGAAGGCATACCACGCACCGAACTTGGTACCCTCATTGGCAGGGTTAATTGCATCCTTCTCTTCATCCACAATAAGGCGATGGAAAGCATCCTTAACGTATGGGTGTTGGTTATCTGTACCCCATAGCTTTTGATTGTTGGTCTCATTCTCGGTGAAAAGCATGCGTGGCTGAATGTCTTCATCGCTGGATCCAATTGGAGGCGAAGGGGCAAAGCAAACGTATCGTTCACCCAGCTTGCGGTGGTTCGATTTCGCTACCAGAGGCCCCTCCTGCTTGATGGTTGGCTTGGAATTCTCTTTCTCATAGCCCCAAGACCAGGTGTTCCGGAACCAAACATGAGGGATGATGTGCAGATGTGCCGGTTCGGGACCTCGGTTGTATGCGATCACGCGGAAGATGAGTTCCTCTTCGTCGTTGCCTTCTTTAGCAGTTTCAATGAAGATATCCCAGTATCTGTTCTCATCGAAGACATCAGTGTCGAGAATTTGGTATTCGCGTTCTAGGCGCGATCGTTTGGCATTCTCGTCAACCAACTCCTGATAGGGGAACTTCTTTTGAGGGTATTTGTAGAGGAACTTCATGTAGGAATGCTGTAGGGAGCGCATGTCAGACTTCAAGATCCGGCAGCAAGGTCAGATCTGCACCTACCGTGGGGGTATTGTCGACATGGAAATGGGCCTCCTTGATACTCTCGCCGTGGTTACCTTGCGGGTTTGACAGGCCGAAAAGCCGCTCTTTTAGAAAATCACTACGCCCACAGTGTTAGTATTCCGCCAGGGCAGCCTCCCGGGATTGGATTTGACTTACTCTTCTCCATTCCAAAACGTGAATGCAATGTTCTGCAACCCATGGGTGTCGCACACGCCGGCGATGCCATCCTCACCCCAGCGAAAGGTTCGCGACCGCGCATGGTCGTGCGAGAAATCTTGCCACAATGGTCAGCTATATCCTTTGGTTTTATTTGTAGCTCTCAGCTTACAGCTCCAGGCGTCACCATCCTCACTGTCAATTGTCAGCTTCTTGTTTTTTGGCTTTGAGGGGAAGAGGGCTTTTTTTTTTTTTTTTGGGCTCTCGTTGTCCTTGTTGGGGTGATTTGACTTACGAGTAATCCTCACGCACTGCATCGCGGTGATGAAGTCATTAGCCCGCCATGTCCATTAGAGTCAACCAAATGCATAGGATCGGACCAACCGGTTGCCCATTGTCTCTCAGCCACGTACGGGCCCCATTTCTTCCAGTAACGAGTGCGATCCCGATCCTCCTTGAGACGTTTTTCTTCCTCCGTGAGATACTCGTGCTTGTCGATCAGTACCATGGTGGGCCCGGAATGCGGAGTTGGCGCGAAAACAACAATTGAGGGGAAATCCTGTGGCACAAGCTCCGAACAATCCGAGCAAGGGAGAGGACGGAGACGAAATGAAATGCAAGAATGAAGACGTGCCGCAGAAGCAGCAGAGGGGTGGAGGGGGACGAAGGAGGAGGGTGAAGATGGAGGACGAGGGGCGGGCAGGGTTGGTCACCTTTTACTCCGCAGGTCGGTCGCCCTCCTGCCAGTCCGAGAGACCGCAGTAGCGCGACCAAGTTACCAGCTTGCCTAGTGCTTCCGACCAAGGTCCAAGAGACTCAGGACCAAGTCCGAGTGACGCTCCACCGCTATCCGTGCCAAAGCAGGGACAATGACGGCAGCGGTGGATATCGGGCGTTCGTGCTTGTGGCTGCGCCGCGTTGATTGGCTGGTGGCGGGCAGTCCATCGGGATCTCGACTGCGCGAACAACACATGCAGCCATTCAAATTATGGAGCTGGTCTCAGCTACATGCCCAAGCAATCTCGCGCATATCTCCCCAGATCCTGCATCTCCATGCTCACGGTCATTGGGAGGGGTTGGGCCTTCGTGCACGCATCTCGGGAAGGAAAAGAACTCGATTACGCCAAAGCAGTGCTAACGAGGCGCTCCGGACCCGCGGGGGCCCAGATACATACACGAAATGGGGGATTTCTTAAAGAGAAGCCGCACAAAGGGTCAAAAAATAAGCAAAGCCGCAAAAACACAATCACAACGCGCCAACCGGGATATCTTTCGTCGGGTCGTCCGGCTTCAAGTCACCATCCACGGGTCGGTTTCCGTCTGCCCCGTCTGGTCCATTCGGAAGAGGTATAAAACAGTCAAAAGAAAGGAGAAAAAGCGGTCCCCCAGAAGGACAGTCACCTGGGTCGTCACGACTCATTGCCCTTCTGCTCGTACGTCTGCTGATGCTCGTTGCTGGTGGGTTCTTCTTGGGGAGCTATCGCGTTGAATCAGTCGTCCTGTCCGCCACAAGAACAAGAACGAAACATCCCGTAGCATCGGGAGATGCGACATGGGGATTTTCACATGGAGCCATCCTTACCGGATTCGTGGTCCCGTCCACTTTCGTTTGTCTGCGATGCCGATGTGAAGTGGCTAGACTGCGACTTGAGGCGCTCCTCGGCCTCGCGGATGCGCGCTTGCAGAGCCTCGAGTTCACGGCTCTGGATGATCATGTGTTGCTTCCTGCAGGGTGGGACTTGTCAGCACCGCTACGGCTAGCGCGCAATGCCCAATTTTCCCCCGGGGTCACTTACTTCTGGTCAATGGTCTGCGAGAGGTGGTTGACATCACTGTCGAGCATGAACGCGTTATCCAAGGCCGAGGAGAAGGCCTGGGCCATGGTCCTGGAAAAGGTCAGTCACCATTCCCGCTGGCCGCAGCTTCACAATAGGGAAGAAAGTAAACGCACGACTGCGGCCGAACCTTCCCCGACGGCTTCCACTCCTGCTCTGTGTCGGACATTGTCTATGATATAGGCTCGGTCTTTCCGTTGCGACGAGTGTTTGTCGGGTCGGATTGGACGAATTTTGTAGAGGGGGATGTGCGACTAGTCGAGCGGGGCACCACACGGCCGGAATTCAGATACCTCAGGAGGGAGATCGAAGAGCGTCGAGATAGGGCAGCCAAGGAATCCGCGGAGGAATTGAAGAAGCCAGAAAATACCAAAGCAGGTCAGCGGAGGTCTATCGTTGGCCCTGATCGAGTGCCCTGTCGAGGGATCCGGGTCAGTCGAGTTTCGCTCACGGCGGGTATACTTCGCCAACCCCAACAAACAACCCCGATAAGCGGGCTGTCTCCGAACTGGAGGGGGGTGAGAAGGCAGCTGGCCAGGGGCATAGGGCCATACCGAAGACAGGTGGAACGCATGCACGGGTCGAGAGGAATCGGACAAGTCTTTTGCGTTCGCTGTCAGACAGCTGCGAGAGAGAAGGGAGGAGAGGAAGTGGAAAAAAGAAGAGAGGAGAGATGATCGCAGCCCACCGAGACGCTGTGACTTGCCTTAATTTCCTTACGGTAGCTTAGGTACAACATAGTTACTGAGTTACTTACTAGTAGTAATGTACAGTACAACGTAATAGGAGGAGTCCTCACTGCAGCGAACTTACTCCTAGTCAGCGTAATCGTGGAGAGTCCAAGGTGCATCCACCGCAAGGGTGCGTCACGGTATTACAAGGGGCAGCTAATACAATTAGGGGGAAGATAGGCAGGATCATTTGCTCTGGTGGACCAGGCTGATCGCGCGGATTCGCTTTGACGTCTTTCTCGTCTGGCCTCGGAGGCAAACTTAAAGGGGGGCACAGTTGTTCAGGGGCTACAACGGAGTGCAAATCCACGCTATTAGGGCACTCTCCACTGGGGAGAGCAAAAAAAAGGGGTGAGGCCACTTTGCCGAAAGAGAGCCCCTGACGTGGGGGGATTCGTCGCAGTAGACCGGAAATTATTGGGGATCGCGAGAGATCGGGAATCATGGGGTTATCTCGTTAGAGCTGCTAGCTGGATGGAGTTCTTGTTGGAGTCATTCATCTTTATTCTGCTTATGCTTCTTATACTTCGGCTACATTGGGATATACTGTACATACTGTACTCCGTGTACGGAGTACGGAGCTGAACTGTACCGAGTACAGTGCTTGACTGGGCGGGCGTGCATACGTCCTTACATGCCTTACCGGCCGTACCTGCCGTACCTGCCAGTCATCGCGCCCTCCGTGCCTGCCCCCAGCAACGAAGGGGGGGGGGGGAAATCACGTGCTTCTGTAATTTTCAGTACGGTCCGTTTTGCAAAGTTGCATCCAACCGGCCTTTCCCAGTGGAACTCTGCCCGTCCTTCAGCTCTTGCTTTGCTGTCTTGCTGGCTTCAAGTCCTCGCTGCACTGGTCCACCCTTCACCCTTCCATCAAGTCCATCCTCATCCTCCCGGCCTTTCATCTCTCAACTCCATTCGCTTGATCCTCCCCATGGCCTAGAGGGGCCCCGGTCGCGTTCGCCCTCTCCTTTCTGAACCCGCCTTCCTTCAGTCTCGACCCCCGACCGCCCGTGTCTTGAAATCTTCGCGATCCCCGAGAATACGCTCCGCGTTCGCTCCGCGACCAACCCCCTTCCCCTCCCTCCCCACCATCAACGTGGCCCCGATCCCCAAAGCCCTCCCCGCCAGTGGCCGACCGGGCGGGCAATGGGGAATGCCTCCTCTGTCGGCGTACACTTCGTTTGAGTCCCTACTCTTCTTCCAATCCCTTGCGACATCTGATGTGCGCCCCGCGAGCTTCGCGTCGATCTCGGCGCTTTTGAGCAATAATCCGCTTGTGCGCCAGAATGTAGCCTTCAGTGCCGATCGCCTCAGCCCAGAAGCTTTGGAGGATCTCTATGCGACCTTGTTACGCGACGGCTTTGATCGCGACCATGTGTCGACAGCCTTGAATGGACGCTCAACGGAGACCTCGGGCCCAAGTAACCCGAAGAAGCGCAAAATCTCCAGCCCGCGCCCGGAGGGGCTCGCCGATGGACTTCCCCATGCCGTTCTGGTTCCTGAGCTGGTGTCATACCTCTACGCACGGTATAAGGAGCGTGTGACGAAGGAGATCAGGGATGACGAAAAGCGGTACGCCGAAATCAAGACCGAAATCGAGCGCCTGCAGAAGGAAGGCGCCAAGTCCACGGTGCAGGCCGCGAAGGGTATTGTCGCACCGCAAGCTACAAAGCCCGAACGTGGCGAGCTTATGGATATCGACGTGAAACAAGAAACTCCACGACATGAACATCCCGACCAACCGATCCCTCGCGCGAAACAAGCCCCAGCGGGCCAACCGATTCCGCAGGGGACCAAGCCTGAGTCGAGTCAATCCAGAGATATACCACGTCCGGGGGGGTTACCTGTGGCCCTCGGGCCGCCTGGAGCTCAATCACCGCACGCTCCAATCCAACCCACTCTCGTCAAGGCTGGACAGTCACCACAGCCGCAGACGGTCAATGGGCAGAATATACCGCACCCTCCAGCCCAACCGTCGCTTCCTCCCAAAACTCTGCAGCCAGGCCCTTCAACTCCTGCAGCAGCACGAATCACGCCAGCCCATCCGTCGCAAGTTGCTCCACGTCCCAATACCCTTGTGGCTACGCCTATTCCCCCAGGCAAAGCTGCTATACCCCCATCCGCTCCCCCACAACCCACCCCCACCAAATCCAGCTTCCAGCAGTGGCAGCTCGAAGCACCTCCACACTCTCCTTACTCCGCAACCTCCCCCACCACCGTTACGCCCCAGGTCAGCTCAGCAGCCGCAAAACAGCCTCTACCCCTCTCTCCCCAAGTCCCTTCAAGGACACAGTCCAAGGCCTCCATTTCCTCAGCCGTTCCAAGCACGCCTGGTGTGCCGACTTCGGCAGCTCAGACTCCTGTTCCCATTGGGTACCCGCGCATCTCACAAACGCCGAGTGGGGTGATTCCATCTTACTCCGAATCCCGTGGATCACGCCCTCGATTATCCATTGACACCCCAGGATCTTGCACCCCATGGAAGAGAACCCCGCGTTTGAGTATCCCCGAGTCACCGGCATCACCAGATCGCCCACGGCCAGAAGATGTTAGTCCGATCAGCGAAAGAGCCCCTTCTCCCGATGCTATGGATATATCGCCACCTCGGGAGAGGAAGATCACTCGTCGAAGCCAAGCTACTGTTTCGGAAAGCAAGGGATCAGCGCCCAGTATCAAGATCGAGAAAGGCGCCTCGGCCCGGAGGAAACGTGCGATCAGCTCCGCCTCTACTCAAAGCCGCGGGCGTTCGGTGGTCTCGCGTGATGAGTCACCCGATCCTTCTAGGTCCGCGACACGCCGGAAGGCAGCCGTGGCAATTCCGGATGACCAAACGCCCAAGGGACGATCGAAGCGCAAGCGTGGTGTCAGTGAGTCCATGGATCAGGAACCCATCCTCCCTGAGCAACCCAAGATCGATACCACCAAGTATGTTCTTTGCACACGCGGTTTCCACCGAACAGCTGCTCCCATTTTAAACGATGTGACAACCCACAAGCTTGCGTCGATCTTTGCCAAGCCACTGGGAGAGCGGGATGCCCCGGGCTATCACGATCTCATTTATCGACCTCAGGACCTAAAGTCTATCAAGTCTGCCGTCCATCAGGGAAGCAAAGCTGTTGCCGCCGCAACCGAGGCCGTCAGCACTCCTGCAGGGGACGGTGAATCTCCCGTACCTGCTGCCGGGACTCCGTCCAAGAACAACGTGCTCATGCTGCAGAAGACCGAAGATCTCATCCCACCCAAGGGTATTGTGAATTCCGCCCAGCTGGAGAAGGAGTTTATCCGCATGTTCGCGAACGCAATTATGTTCAACCCCGTCCCGGAAAGAGGCTTGGGTCCCGCCTTCCCAATGAGGAATGAGCGTGGCTCGCGCGAAAGTACTCAGTCCGGTGACGGTGACGAAGGAGGTATTATCCAGGACTCGTTGGAGATGTTCGAGGACGTCGAGCAAGCTGTGACTCACTGGCGTCAAGCTGAACGTACCGCTGAGCGCAATGCCGACGAGTTAGCGAATAAGAACGTGCTCGCTTTGCGACGTGGCAGCGCCAGTGATTTTAACACTGATAGCGCGGACGACGTTAAAGGGTGACGCGCTCTTCTGACGCCATGTATTTTATGAATTTTTGAGTGTTTGATTAGGATTTTTCGATTGAAATGAATGTGACATGTTCCCACTTAACCCTCAGCGGACTGAGGGTGGATATCAAATCATTTTATATACTCCTTTTGGCGCAAAGTTTGCTGCAGTTGGGCGGATGTTACGCGCCTTCATTTTTGGAAGCAAAGTCTTTACCCCCGAGCCCTTGGTAAGTTACCTCTCCATCCTCCTTTAACGAGATGCTACATATCAGTCTACCATCATCATATGCCAAGCCGTATACTCGATCCCAGCCTCAGCCATAAACCCCCTAACCCAGCAATACCGGCAGCAGCCTTGTCCGCTGGGTAACTGGCATAGCGGAACTGCTGCATCGCGAACTGCAACACTAGTATGTGTCGATGCACCAGCATTGATTAGCACGTCATCAAATTGGTCTCGTGCTGAGTAGACGTGGTCGATGGGCCCCACGGGTACCTCGGAGATTTAAGGTTGGGGCCGCTGATGCGATTTAGTAAGATGATCTTGAACTCAATACAATCGAATGTGTTGTTCATGATTATTGGGCTACGGGTATCACAAGTTCTGTTTGCTGCTGGTCCTGGCTTAGATGGTCGGTTATGATCTTAGCCGACGGATATCGTATGGAATCGGGAGTGGTCATGCCGGAGGTTGCTGGAGTTGAGCCAAGAAGTCCGTGTCCAAATCTCCGTCGTAAAAACCCAGGTTATGCGCAAAAGCAGGTTCCAGCCTGGATGCTTCGTCAGTCTATAAATTTGGAGAGAATTATTTCCGGGAGCACGCTACCTGTTTGACGGAAAGGACGTCACCATTTCCTCAAAGAGAGCATCATATCCCTCCGGACTGGGTAGGGGTGCCAACGTGGTATATGCGCCGGGGCCGTGAATGCTTGGCAAATCCACGAGGGAAGATTCTTCAATGCTGGCCATGCAGATTGTGCTTTTGGGAACAGCCAAGGGCACAGAGGGCCCATCTGGATTCAATGAAGGGACAGTGGACAGCCGATCCTGCTGATTCTTCATTTGGAGGCACTCCGTGGATTTTGTAAGTTGAACAAATTTGTAAATCCGACTTTCTAGGTGCTTTCTTTCCGGCAAGCTCAAGGTTGAAGTGGTGATATTGAGACATTGTTGACATCGCAGTACAAAGCAATGAACTAGTGGAGAGATGCCGGTCTCTCCAGCTATCTCTAGATAATGCTCCAGTAATTCAAGAAGGCGATGAATAGTTCCGATACAGAGGTCTGTAGTTGCAGGCAAAACCGGCCCAACCCTACAAACCAGTGACAGAGTAGTGAAGGTCGATGTGAGGTGTAGCATCAGAAGAGGCGGGTTGGGAACGTCTTCGTTATTATATGGGTGATTATACAGGATAGCTCCTTGCTTTTCCCGTAGTTCGTCGAGTAAATCTTTGAATTGGATGTATGCTGTCGGCTGGTAGAGTATTCGCGATAGATATTGCATGAACTGTCGAATAGCATTGAACGAGCTCAGAGCACGCAGAGGAGCGGCTGACATCCGCCCGCCATTGACGGTCTTAGAACGAGACGCGGGCCACACATCCCATTCATCGACATCATCTTCCTCTACCGGGCCCTCTTCCAACTGCTCATCGGAGGATAGGCAGGGCGTCCGCCCCAGGGAAGCGGATAAAATATTGTCTAAAAAGACGCAGCCGTGGAACGTGTGGCGAAACCGCGATTTCCTTGCGGTCAGTGGCACGCTTGCCAACATTCTTGTAGCCTGTCCGACCAAAGTCCAGGCGTGATAGATGTGGCCCAGTGAGATCTGTGTCAGCACGAAGATCAATATGGCGTGGACGTGTCCCAGATCTAGCTTCCCCGGGTCCATCAGTAGTTGCTGTTGAATGAAGAGCTGGATGGTCGAAGGAGACGGGGATTCCGCATCATCAGTACATTTCAAGGTAGAGATGTAAGAGATCACCGTCCATAGTACCATGCGGCAGGATGTATGACCAGGTGTTGGCCGGTCTTGATTGACATGCATGGCGCGCAGGAGGTCTCGACGTTCAAGAATTGGGAACCAACATTGCGTGTAGGTGAAGTAGAAGTCGAGCAGGTCCGGAGTATTGTCGGGAATCAGCCAATCAACGGGGTTCGGGGATGTATCAATAGGCCTTGGGAGACTCGGGATGATCACGGCCTCGTTAGGCCCTGGATCTATTGGAGCAGGACCTAGATCGTCCATGTTCTCATCTTGATCCTGTGTCTCCACCGGCTCCCAGTCGGAGCCATCATTGCCAACATCTTCAGAATCTAGGGTCAACAATTGATTCACCTCTCGAGACAATTTTGATTTTCGCCAGAGGGCCACAGAATGATTCGCTCGTCCACTTTTCAGGAAGTTGCCCTTGCCTCGTAAGTCGCGCAAGACATTGTGAACTGCACCCTCGCTGGTGGGAACATGCTGAAGAATGAGACCCAGCGTTATTTCGAGGCTTCGTACATATCCCGATGGCAGTCCCCGCCGTCCGCCACCATTCTGGTAGGTGCAAGTCCGATTTGCAGCGTGGCAGATCTTGCATATGGGTTGTTCTCCGTCACATTTAGACTTTCGACGTCGACATTGATCACAGGCGCGATAGATGCGCTGCCTTTTTAACGGACGTGGACTGGACATCGAACCCGCGCCTTACAGCCATATACAATAAAGTGTTAATGATTCCTTGTACTCCTCGTGCAAGTGCGAGTGGCCGTGCTTCGAAGGTGGCGAACGGTCAGGTGATCGGCGATGCATTTAACCGATGGCCGTGGAATTGTCACCCAGCGATGGCGAGGCAAGTTCGAGAAAGGAGACAAGCATCGGGAGAGCGCGAAGACACATTGCATTCATAACTCCCTGGAGGCAATATGAGTGCTCTCGGTAGCTCATCTGGCCCTTTAGAGCCCCAGTGTTCTCCGCCAGGACAGGGTGACGAGCTTCTTGGCATTCGCCGACACTATAGCCCGGATGCGACACTTTTACTCGTCGGGCTTTTCGGTGCCGGGAAGAAGACACTCGGTATCATCGCATCGGTCGCCTTACGAAGGCGCTTCATTGACTTTGACGCCTTTTTCAAACACGAAGTGGAATCATCGCCCCAAGAGTTCATAGCCCGCCATGGCCTAGCAAGATATCGCGAGGTTGAACTGCAAATATCGAAAGATCTTCTCACCAAATGCGACAAGGGTTGCGTGATTGTTGGTCTCGGGGGCACCGCTAGTCCTCCCCAACGGACGCTGTTAAATGAATTTGGTGAACGACATCCCATTATTTATGTACGAAGAGACGAGACCGATCTGCAGCAGCTCTCCGGTACCAGCCGAGACAAATTCAACCGCATACTGGATATCATGAACATGTTTTTCCACTCCTGCTCCAACTTCGACTTCTTCAATCACACCCAAAGCGACGCTCAAAGTGACCCGACACTGCCCGGCTATCTCAAGCTAAAGGAGACTGAGAGAGTATTTGTGGCATTCCTGCACAAGATATTTGGCAGAGATGATCGTCAAGTGTTTTCATCTGACCCATTTTCAATGTCGCATACATATTCCTTGCAGGTCCCTCTGAGCTACCTGGATCAATCAGAGCCTAACCTGGAATCCCTCGAGTCTGGTGCTGATGCCATTACGCTGGTTATTGGACCTGATGATATCCACTCAGCCAGACTGATTGACAAACTTGTACGCCACATCGCGACATTGCGAAAGCATTCACGGGTGCCCATTATTGTCGATGTGGCAGTATCACCTTCAATACAGCCGGCTTTCAATTACCACAAGACCTTAGTAACCATACTTCGCCTGGCCCCGGATGCCCTCACCTGCTGTCTAGAATATGATAACGATTTCATTTCCAAGCTCAATTTGGCGAAGGGTTGCACCAAGATCATTGGCACACTTCATGAACCCAGGCCCGTTGGATCGGAGCATCGATCTTCCATGTCTTCAACGCTCTTTAAACTGCCTGGGGTTTCGAGGTGCGATGCTATACGTGTCACTGGTCAGACGACATCTCCGGATCAGAACTATACCTGTGTCTCTTTCTTGCAAGATATGTCAAGGACTTTGGGTATCCCCATTTCCGCATACAATAATGGACCAATGGGGCGGAGCTCAATTTGCTTGAACCGTACCTTGTCCCCGGTTGTACTCCCGTCCTTGCAGGAGATGGGCATCTCAATAAAAGAAGCACAATGTGCATTGACTGCATGCTTTTTGCAGTCGAGGAAAATATTCACAATCTTTGGGCAAAGTGTGAAGTACAGCCTTTCAGCTGCGATGCATAACACTGCCTACACAGCATGTGGCCTGCCGCATGTCTACAATATCCTTCAAAGCGAAACCCTATCGGATGTCCATCAACTCTTAATGGATGAAAATCATGGTGGGGTGACCGTCTCTCTACCATACAAATCTGCAATCCTATCCTTGCTTGATGAGGTTAGCTCCGATGCAAAGGATATCAACGCCGTGAATACCGTAGTACTGGAACACAAGCAACTTCTCAGTGGCGAAAGAGTTACAATTCGGCGAGGCTATAATACAGATTACATTGGTATCAGAGACTGCATTGACAAGCATCTCTCTCCCGCGAATGCAGTCCGGGAGGGAGCCACGGCTCTTATCATCGGTGCTGGCGGAATGGCCCGCGCCGCGATCTATGCATGCTATGAGCTTGGAGTTCGAAGAATGTGCATCTACAACAGAACAGTGGAGAATGCACGAAAGCTTGCAACCTACTACCATCAATGGGCACAGTCAAAATCTGGCCTGAACTTACGACTTGATGTGCTCTGCTCGACAGCGGACCCTTGGCCTTCGGATTGTCGCTTACCAACAATCATTACCTCCTGTATCCCACCAAATGAGCTTGGGAGTGAACGTCCGATAGATATGATCCTTTCGGAACAGTGGCTTGGAAGCCGAACAGGTGGCGTATTTCTTGAGGTACGTGAGAACGATCAGAATCAGAGAATTGGAGACTAGAGTTGACCAAGTACCTAGGTTGGATATGGTCCGTCACGAACTCGACTGATGGAGCAAATTATCCCCCGTGCACCTAAAGGGTGGGTAGTAGTGGATGGACTGACGGTTCTGGTTGAGCAGGGCATTACTCAGTACGAGATTTTCACCAAACGACCGGCTCCAGTTCATGTGATGCGGCGTGCCATTCGAGAACAGTCTATTCAGCATGGATTTTTTCATAAATAATAATGAATTCTTTCAGGCATTCTGCGCATTATACCCACTCTATGCCTACTATGCGTAGAGTGAAAAAGAGATATTTGGTTCAAATACTGCAATTTTTTGTTCGTAATACCTCTTAGGGGCTCTTCTGTTCTTCTGGTTCTCTTCAACCCTAGTCAGGTTCAGTCTGTAGACTGTTCAATACAGAGTTTAGCACAAAATGAGGTCAGGAATTAGGACTCATCCATTGTCCAACGCAGGATCGTTCCTGTTTCCATAGTTTGTCCGTCATCTCCTCTTGTGCCTATAACAGAAAATCAATCAGTCAGTTTTGTCCCTCTCTTATTCCACCCAAGAGGATCCCATATTGTCAATTGGAAACCTGCCTGGGTGGTTGTTTACCTCCAATGAGTTGAATCCGCTCGCTTCCTGTTTTAATCCGCTCGCTTCCTGTTTTCGGCCATGGACTAGACCCCGACTGGAGCTAGGCTAAGACTTTAGCCTACTCCACTCGCAATGACATTGGGCCTACATCCTACATATATTCAAAAACCACAGAAAGAATATTTGTTCTCAAAGTCACGTCGGTCAACACCGTGAAAGAGCGACCGAGACAACATGAAATATCGGCCCGCTATCATGAGCGCGTCCCTGGGGCGGGCATGGCTGCACAACCTCGATCACAAGATTGAGCAGGCCGCCGAGGCTGGCTTTAAAGGAATCGAGATCTTTTATGAAGATCTGGAATATGCGGCACGCAATATTTCTGGTCATGATTCTCCATCTTCAGAGCATGTTCTCCTAGCTGCAGATCATGTCCATGAGGTATGCCAAGCGCAAGGGCTCGAGATCATTGGGCTGCAGCCTTTCCTCTTTTACGAAGGTCTCAAGGATCGAGATCAGCAAGCCAGATTGATCGAGAAAATGAAGGACTGGCTCCAAATTGCGAAGCGACTCGACACCACGATCATTCAAATCCCTGCCAATTTCCTCCCGGCAGAGCAGTTGACGGACGACCTGGATATTATTGCCGCCGACCTGCGACAGGTAGCTGATATGGGCGCCGCGGAGAGCCCTGTTGTGCGGTTTGCATATGAAAACTTATGCTGGAGTACCTATATCGACACCTGGGAGAAGGCTTGGGACGTGGTGAGAATCGTCGATAGGCCGAATTTTGGTATGTGCCTCGATACCTTCAATATAGCCGGCCGAGTGTGGGCAGATCCAACAGTGGCAGCTGGCAAAGCGCCAAACGCAGACAACGACTTGATAAAATCCATGCAGCGGCTTGTGAAGGAAGTTGATGTGTCGAAAGTCTTTTATATTCAGGTTGTGGATGCGGAGCGTATGGAACCACCGTTGGTGCATGGGCATCCGTTCCATGTTGATGGTCAGCCTGCACGAATGAGCTGGTCGCGAAACGCAAGAACATTCATGTATGAAGAGGATCGTGGGGCCTATTTGCCCTCGGAAGACGTTGCCAAGGCAATAATATTTGGACTAGGCTATGAGGGTTATATTTCGATGGAACTCTTCTCCAGAACGATGGCTGAGCTAGGAGAACATGTCCCTAACCAGCATGCGAAAAGAGGCATCGTATCCTGGAGAAAGCTCAGACAGCGGCTGCAGCTCGAGTAGTTACACATCATCTAGACTACTCAAACACTCCGCCGAGCGAATATCCCGATTCGGACGCACACGGATGTTGAAGGGAAGTTCCATTGGGCATATACTCCCATTCGTCCCACGCGAGCGTTTTATTTTCAGACTTGATGCAACTTATTCTTGGGATCCATCGTTGTAGCAAATATCTTTTGTTGAACTAAATTTCATGGTATTTCTTTCTGTCTTGCCTTCCAGTGCCAGCATTTTCTTTTTGCTAATGACCCTGACTTTCCGTGACGGGCACTTGCCTTCCCCTTTCCGGAGTTAAATCAGAACGACATGGCCAAAAACAACAAGGTGGGCCTTGTTCAATAGAACTGAGCCGGGTACAGCCCTCATGAAATTAGTTCTACCGGATAATGTGGTTATAGGCCATTGGTTGCTCAAACTTGATATACTCCTCAGTTTACTATTATCTATATTCTGATGTTGAATATTCAGCCCGCGACGAGAATGGTTATGATTATGGTGGATCTAGCTGGATTTAAGTTTCGACTAAATTATATATCGATTGTCTTTCCATCCAGCCAATCCTTGGCTAGTCGATACAGCAGATCGTGCTTTTCTCCAGCAGCGGTCCCAATGTGCCTTCTGTGTCCAGGCATGTCTCTCAGTACGGTAACACCCATAGTGAGCTCCTGGCAGTAAGCAAGATACTTGTACCCCTCAGGATACAAGCTGAGCTTCTCATCATCAATGCGTGGAACCTTACACGGGTTGACAAGCAGAAGCTTATCTTTTTCATACCAGTGCCGAACCAATCGGGCACCCCAGCGGCCATTGGCTTTCTCAAAGAAGAAGCAAAATCGGCAGTCTGCCTCGGCATCAACTTCGCATCCGTCGATTGTGAAGCGCTGGGTAATGGTCGCTTTCATCTTGGTCACAGCACGAGTGGCATCGGCGGTGATATCTGTTGTCACACCATGGCAGCGGTGCATGATGAAGGCACCCTTGTCCATGCCGGCCTTTGATGCAGCGATGAAATCTTTATAGGACACTCGTCCAGACCAGGTCGTGTACACATGTGCGTCTTCGTGGAAAATCGACTCGAAGTTCTTCCATTCACAAGCGTCGCTATGAATCGTTGTTAATTGAAAATGGAAGAAATGAATTTGGATTTGGCTCCTCAGCCTACCGGTAGCAAGGCCAGCCTTCCGCAAGTTCACGCAACTTTGCTCGCTCCAGGACTAAATGGTCAGGCCCATTGTTGCGAAGGGCATTTTCGGGCCAAGTGCCTTCGGGAAGTGAGTGCAGGTCGGGCATATTTCTGTTCAGAAAGACTTTTGAGGGGTAGCAGGTCGGGTAGTGCTTCCCGCGCGGTACGATTGCCTCTATATACCAACTGCGGGATATGCTGCGGGATATCCGGCTAACGGTTAAGGCCACTGCCGATGGATTATCCGTCAGCCCTTCATGACAAACCCAAATGTGGGGAGTGCGGAGTACATCGAGTTCATCCCATCTTCGGCGGGGCGTTCCATTTTCCACAGATGAGAACTATTGAGCCTTCTGGCACTAGATAAAATTGAACCACACTACTGGCTTTAGTCTATCTAGAAATTGATTCCTTTGGTATCCGCAGCAGCCTTCAATAGGACATTCCAGGCCCCTTCTCGATCCAGTTTCTGAACCCGCTCCTCTCCAGCCCACAAGCGCCATTGCTCCTCGATCTGGTAACCGATAACATGCGTTCCGTCCACGCATGGCCAACCCAGTTGCTCGGCCAACTTTATCATTCTTGTCCGCCGTGGCTTAAAACACATATCCAGCAATACCCCTTTCTCTGGGCGGGAAAGAAAGTGTTTCAGAATTGAAGCAACAGCCAGCTCGGGCACTGTGGTTGGCTCAATATCTGGCACAGTCCCCACGACATAGTATGGGCTGGTCAGTCTCGTGGCTTCATCCACGGTCTTGACGTGAATGATCTTCGGGGCTGCTGGAAGTCGTCTCGAGTCCCTGATGAGATCCTCTACCTCCCGGTCGTCTCGGTTCAAAATATAAATCGTCGGACAGTGAAGGTGCTCGATGAGAGCATACACAGCTGCCCGGCTTGCTCCACCCGCTCCCACAATCAAAGCAGAGGCAGGATGTGCTGCTGAAGGCCGATCCTTTTCTTCTCCCTTTTCCAAGAGGCAGCCTTTAACTCCTCTCCAGTCGGTGTTGGTGCCGCATAGGCGCCTGACCTTGTCGCCTCTGTAGTAAACATTGTTGCAAGCACCAATGATGGTTGCGAGTTCATCCAACTCATCCAGGAATGGCATAATTGAGTTTTTGTATGGCATCGTGACTACCAGGCCGGACGTAGTAGATTTAGTGGCTAAGGTGACTAGGTCTTCAATCACCGGACACTCTGTCGAATAGAACGTCCATGGGAGGCCGAACGACTTTGCGATGTAGTTGTGCATTGCTGGGGCAATGGAATGGGAGACACCTACACCAACAAGATGAAGTGTCATCTCTTCTTGCTGCGTCATTCTCGGTAGATCTGTCATGGAGAGTAGGGTGCACTGTTCGGGAGTAAATGGCCAAATGAATTCAACTTCGGCTAACCCAGATCAAAGCTGAGAAATACTACCTATTACCCAATATTGAGAAGTTTCATTCGGGGTAAATCATTGCCGGTCGTCAAAGGGTTCAACCGGGGGTTCGGTTCCTTAGCCGTCATGCTCATCAAATCACGGTTAATCTCATGGCCGATATTGGATGTGGATATGAAACGGAATGTAAATAGTCTAGTTGTACTTTCTAATTGATGGCAGAGTCACCTTTCCCAATCTACTCTGTCTCTTTGGCTCAAAATTAAATCGTGTACAATCTTGCTTTCACTCGATGGCTCAATCGAAATCCTCTTCAGACAGCGCCGTCGCACCTAAGAACTTCTATATTTTTGGCAGTGGAATATCGTTCAGTATATCGCCCACAATTCACAATGCTGGATTCCTGCATTACGACCTTCCACACAAATACGCCATCCGCGAGTCCACCAGCATAGACGAAGTTGCTGGATTGATTTTGGACGAGCAATTTGGCGGCGCCAGTGTGACAATGCCACACAAGCTGCACGTCCACAAACTATGCACCGACCAAACTGAGACTGCCCGCTTGATAGGAGCAATCAACACTCTTATTGTCAACCACAATGGCAATGAGCGAATCATCACCGGTGATAATACGGATTGGTCAGGACTACACAGGATCATGTCGGACTACGCGACTAGAACAGACCAACGGCCAAAGGTCGGCCTTGTCATTGGAGCCGGGGGGCATCACGGGCAGCACTGTATGCGATGCATCGGGCGGGCCTTCAGCATATCTATCTCGTCAACCGAACACCGGCCACGGCGGAGAAGGTCAAGCAAGATTTCAATTCCGTCTTCAAAATCACAGTGCTCCGCAGCCTTCATGAGCTACCTCAAAATCCCGATGTGATTGTCGGCACGGTTCCTGCAGAGACTACAAACGAATCCCAATTTGTCTCGATCTTTGGACCACGGGGTCTTTGCATCGACATGTCGTACAAGCCAAGGCAAACACCGCTGTTGACAGTGGCTCGGAGAAATGAAGGCTGGTCCGAAGCAACTGGAGTGGACGTGCTGCTGGCTCAGGCATACGACCAATTTTACCTTTGGACTGGGTGTGAGCCACCCCGAGGGAAAATGATCGAGGCGATTGCTGAGCACGAGCGAGGGAAGGCGAAAGTAACCACGGGAGGTTCGCTTTGACGACTGAAAGGACAAACACTGGCTGGCGGACGATGGTACAAGGGAGACATCTCACCATTATGCTTTGATAAATAGACTCGAAGATGGAATATCGAGACTCAAAGTTCCGGTACACATGAAACAATATCTTCCTCGCGGCCCTGATGATACGAATGGCTCGACACCTCCCTTCGGATTGAGCCAGTCCATAGATGAAAGACGGGGTTTTGCTTGAATGACATCGGAAAAATAGATTCGGATCAGAGCTCAGTATGTTGCTGAGGACAACAGTAAAATACAACACTTACCCAGCCGCTTTCAGCATGATGAGAGAAGGCTTTTAGGGTACCTTCCAAAGTCTAAAATAGGCAATTACCCACTTTATCCTATCCTCATATTGATATCTATGGTCAGACCTGCTGCCTTGTATTCTATCTCGGGGTATAAACAAGTTTGGTGATCGTCGGGTTGCACGGCACTAGAAACCAGGTGGATCAAACCGCGGGAATGGCCTGCTCAGGCTTTGTTCGACCAAGTCCGTCCTTGGCATAGAAGTCCATGGGGTAAACGCCCTTGTTGGCTTGATCCCAACTCTCACGCACACCCAAGGCAATAAGTGCTTCATATGGGGTCAGCAAGGGCCGAGAGAAGGCATATCCCCAGTCGATACTCAAACGCGGGCAGGCGATCTGTACCCAGCACTCAACGTCGGGCATGGATGCGAGCTTTCCGGGGAAGATCTCACTCAAGAGAAGATTAACGACAGGAATGCCTCTCTCCGCGAGATGGCGCTCAATCATGGCCATCGTATTGGGGTTGCCTTGGCGGCCAAGCGATCCCAGAATAATACCCCATTTGCGAGCGGATCTGGCCGTTGCAATAGCATCTCGCCGAATGGTATGCATCTCGTCGTGGTCATATGTTTCGCGAGTTAGTGTACGCGAGTAAGGGTCGTATCGGTATGCAGGTATGTTGGGGTTGTGGATCATGGCCGATTCAAGATGGAAGTGGCCATCGCCAAGGTACAGAAGAGCGTCGATCTCGGACTCGGGGAGTTGCGGCGAGGTGCAGCCCAGAATCTCACCCTTTGAGAGCGGCATGATTTGGGGGATGACCACGCGGAATCCTGCGCGCTCCAGGACAGGCTTGAGTCCATGCAGGGTTGCGTTGAACTGGATTGTGCCCACGGTTGCAATGGTCTGACCAGGCTTAAAGTTGCGCTCGAGGGTGGCGATCAGGTGGCTGGTGTCGATGCTAATGTCGACAAAAATATACAGAGTCTTAATTTTGGTCACATCCACGGGAATCAAACAGCTGTGGGCGTAATGGACCAACAAGTCGCACCCAAGGGCTCGCGCTGTGTAGTCGTCGATGCAGCATGCTCCGTATGTTACATCGCCCATAATCAGCGTCTCAATGCCAGGGCAGAATTGCGTGAGAATATCCGAGATAGTCGTTGCGAATATCAACAGGCCTTCCGGAAACTGGAGTGCGACGCGCTTGGCGCCAGATGAGCGTACTCGATGGATTGTCTTGGGGATCTCAAAGGCGTAGTTCTTGGGGAGCAGTTCGATCGCCGCTTGAATCTCTGGGTCATTCAAGATTTCCGGGGGCACTTGGTTGAGGGTGCGGGGAGTCCGTCTCGGGGCAGCTGAATGCACATCCATGTTAGTAACTTTTTCCGACCAGTGTCGGCAGATCCTGCATACCTCTCTGCACTGCCGTGGACTCGACGTCATTCTGGCCGACAGGCTCTTTCTGGGCCTGGGCATCAGCGGTACGGCGGCCGACAAATCTCTTCTTAGGCTGCCGTAGCTGACTGCCCTGGTTATTTGCTGTATCCTCCATAGTTTGCAACGGCGGCAGTTGAGCCTCGAATATATTCAGAAGATCACCCCGCTATCGCTTTTAATCTTTTTTTCGGTGGGGCAAGACGGTTCCCGCACTAAACCTAAAGGAGCAAGGTGCTCTCCGCATCAGACGAGCTCCTCTTTACCTCTTCCTCTTCTCCTCTTTTTAACTCCTTGACTGTCTAATAGGTACCTCTTCAGGTTCTGTCAATGCACGTTGAAGTCGCCAAGATGGCAGCACGTCCCCGTCTGCGTCCGCTGTCAGTTTTCCGGGTGCCTTTGTTCACTCGCCGCTTTTCGACCGAGTCGCGGTTAACCTCGGACCATGTTCGCATCGTGGAGGTCGGCCCTCGAGATGGACTGCAGAATGAGAAAAAGTCCATCCCAATGGAGACTAAGATGCAGCTGATCGAGAAACTGGCCAAGACCGGAGTCACAACCATCGAGGCAGGCTCCTTTGTACCTGCGAAATGGGTACCACAGGTGCGGAACTTCGACGCATCTCGGTGGATGGATTGATCAGTGTGAATCGCTAACATGCGCTGGCTCTTGATTTTAGATGGCCAGCACAGCTGAAATCTGTGAAAAACTTCTCACATCACCTCCCCAATCACAAAGTACAATTGCCTACAACTATTTAGTTCCCAACATCAAGGGGTTGGAAAGCCTCGTCAAGATCATGGATGCGACGGGCGTCCCGGCAGACGCACCTGGCTCGGAATCCAGGGCAGCAACAACAACAGAAATATCCCTTTTCGCAGCAGCTACCGAATCATTCTCGAAAGCGAACACCAACTGTACTATCGCCGAATCCCTAGAACGCATTAAACCCATTGTCACATTGGCCAAGACCAAGAATATCCGTGTCCGGGGATATGTCTCAGTTGCCCTCGGCTGTCCATACGATGGACCAGAAGTGAGTCCCTCTAAGGTGGCTGACATTACTGCGACTTTGCTGGAGATGGGTGCGGATGAGGTGTCTGTGGCCGATACTACCGGCATGGGAACCGCACCGCGGACGATGGAGCTCCTGCAGGCTCTCAAGTCGGCTGGCATTGCCAACACAGACTTGGCGCTTCACTTCCACGATACCTACGGACAAGCCTTAGTCAACACCATTGTTGGCCTGGAGCATGGTGTTCGTATCTTTGACAGTAGCGTCGGGGGATTGGGTGGCTGCCCGTATTCGAAGGGCGCCACTGGCAACATCTCCACGGAAGACCTCGTCCACACTATCCATAGTTTGGGAATGCACACAGGCATCAGCCTGGAGGAAATGTCACGGATCGGGTCGTGGATCAGCGGGGAACTGGGCCGAGTCAACGACAGCCGAGCAGGCAAGGCAACGCTGGCTCGACTGTCTGAATAAAATGTGTCATCTACGGCAATGATGTTGTGTCGTATAAATTATGTTTCTCTACTCTGAGCGTATATTTCAATCTTGATCAGCTGCGGCTTCCGCCACAGTATTAAACATATTATAGACCATAAACCCCCTGTTGAGTGTTTTATTTCTCATGGTCCTAGTTAATCCCACCATTTTATGTACATCGCAGTAATCACACCATTACCGCTCCAGATTGAATATCCGTCCGGGCGGAGCCGAGATATGAACCAACGCCAGCAGTATGCATAGTCCTCTCGTTCTTCAAGATGCTCAGAAATCCGTCACTCGTCCTCCATAGCTCCAGTCCCCCTCAGATCCCCAGCGCAAAGGCTCATTTTTGGGTCCACCGATTTCTCCTGTCTTGGGATTCTTCTCGCCATCGAATTCGGGCTTGAGGCCTTGCGGCGCATCCGGGTGAAGCTCCTCGCCACTCCCGTTGACCTTGATCTTGGGCTGGGCGCCGGACTGTGGCGACTGGTTGATCTGTGGTGTGCTGAACGCACCGGTCGAACGGCGCTGGAGCTCCTCAAAGATCTCTTGTTCTTCTTTGGGGAGGCGTGGAGGAGCGGGAGAGTCCTTGAATCCGAATGAAGGTTTGCTGTCATCGCTAGGTCGGCGCAGGACTGCGGTTGTGGACAACGACCGGGTAGCAAGCCGCCTTGTGAAAGGTTGGGCGCATGTGCGGCGCAAAAGCAGGGAAGCTGCCATGGCAATTATGTGGGAGGTATTTATCTGCGTCAATGAGGAGTCGGGGAAAAGCAGAGTTGATGCGCGGAAGCTCCAAAGCCTCGGGTGGTGGCGCTGAACCCCAAATGACTAAGATTTGCCGATCCGATATCGCCTTATTTTTTGTTTCTCCGGCGGTCGAGTCATCCGAGCAGTCGGCCCTTCTTGATCTTCCCTCCCTGCTGCACCAGACGACCCATTCGCCTTTGCAAATTAGGGAATTTGCACTTGACAATGTCCGCCCTCCGTGTGGCCGCGCGCCGTCTGCCTCGCGCAACCAGACTGGTTCCTTCCCTTGAGTCACCGATTCAGCGACGATTTGCGGCGACGTCCAGTGTTGCTCAGGATGTGAAGACTCAGGTGGAGGTATGCGATTTGACTGGAATTTGCGATTGTGAAAGGTCAAGACGGCTAATTTTGCTTGCAGAAGGAGGCGACTTTGCCCAATCCTGACCCTTCGGTGGACTCGCTCACCGTGTCGTTCATCAGAGAGCGGGCTCCCTTCATGGTCCCGACCTACGTTCGCCCGGCACCTATCATGATGAAGGGACAGGGCTGCTACCTGTGGGATATGGAGAATAGACGGTACCTGGATCTGACTGCCGGAATTGCAGTCAACTCCCTCGGCCACTGTGATCTTGAGATCGCCAAGATTGTTGCGGAGCAGGTGCGGAGTCACACTTTCAAGCAGCTCCAGTGAAGCAATCGCTAATGAACAAACGTTTTTCCATCTCCTGCAGGCCGAGACTCTCATTCACGCGTCGAATTTATACCACAACCCATGGACTGGTGCTTTGAGCCAGCTCCTCATCAACCTCACCCGCGAGTCTGGTGCTATGCGCGATGCCTCCCAGGTCTTCATTTCCAACTCCGGCACCGAAGCCAATGAAGCTGCCATCAAGTTCGCCCGCAAAGTCGGCCGGTCTATCGATCCCACCGGTGCCAAGCATGAGTTCGTCTCCTTCAACAACTCCTTCCACGGCCGTACAATGGGTGCCCTCTCCGCAACCCCGAACCCCAAGTACCAGACTCCCTTCTCGCCCATGCTTCCGGGTTTCAAGTACGGCAATTACAACGACGTTGAGCAACTGCAGACTCTCATCACCGACAACACCTGTGGTGTGATCGTCGAGCCTATTCAGGGCGAGGGTGGCGTCAATGTTGCTAACCCTGAGTTCCTTGTCGCCTTGCGCAAGCGCTGCGACGAGGTCGGCGCTGTGCTGATCTTCGACGAGATCCAGTGCGGCCTGTCTCGTACCGGTAGCTTCTGGGCTCACGGTCACCCCTCTCTGGCCCCGGCCTCCGGCGAGGCCGCGCACCCTGACATTCTAACCACCGCCAAGGCCTTGGGTAATGGTATTCCCATTGGCGCGACCATTGTCTCTGGAAAGACGGTCGCATCCCACATCAAGACTGGTGATCATGGCACCACATTCGGTGGTAACCCGCTGGCCTGTCGTGTTGCCTACCACATTGTCGCGCGCCTCGCCGACCCCGAGCTCCAGAGTGCCGTCAAGGACAAGTCGGCTGTCTTTACCTCTGGATTCCAGGCTCTGCAACAGAAGTACCCCGATGTTGTCTCTGAAGTTCGCGGCCGCGGTTTGATCCTTGGCCTCCAGCTGTCTCCCGCTTTCTCCTCCAAGGCTGGCGATATTATCACTGCCGCCCGTGAGCGCGGCCTCTTGATCATCACTGCTGGTGAGGGCTGCATCCGCTTCGTTCCTCCCCTGACGATCACGGAGGAGCAGATTCAGACCGGCTTGAACATTCTGGAGCAGGCTCTGGCTTCGGTCATGACCAAGGCCTAAACTATTCGGTCCTGTCTGATTTGAATGCCGCCTACGATGTGTTTGACATATACCATTTCTGTCCATTGCCCTGCGGGAGATGAGCGTATATTTTGTGATTTTAGTCAAGGATTTTGCCCCGTTGCACTGTATAGACAGGCGATACATGTAGACAGGAAGCGAGAAAGCAAACTTTTGGGTTTTACTAGTCTGATCATGGAGCATGCCATCCTCCACCCTCCATCCAGCCAAGAAGGCCGCCAATTCGCATTTTGTTGAAGATGTATGGAGTTCGTTGAGGGCGGCGAATGACATGACGCGCGTAGCGGAGCCGCCCGGTGGACCTCCGCGTGGAACCTCTTTCCTATCCACCTCCCTTGTTCAGTGGTGATAAGCAACTCCCACCCTCCAGTTCCTCCGTTATGCACTTCTGATGGCTCCGAATGGCCCCTCGCGTCTAGTCTGAAGTCATGGACTGGGTATCTGACCCTATCCTCTCTCGTCTGTAGCCTTCGATCTCCTCACGCGACCACATGCTCAGGATGCCTCCCCCCACGTCCCTCGAGGACGCCCCCATGTTCTCCGCTGATGATACTTCAAAACCTCTGTGGACTCGCGCGTGCGATCGGCTCAAGTTGGTCTTTAGCGGCGCGGACCCTCGCGTCTGCGTCGCCTTTTGGCTGTTTGGTGCGTATCGCTTGAATGTCCGGCGCGGACCAGCAAAGCATACCCAAGAGAGTCAGCTAATCTATCTCCTAGGTCTGATTAACAACGTCCTCTACGTGATCATCCTCTCCGCAGCGCTCGACCTTGTCGGCCCCAATGTGCCGAAAGGCGTCGTTCTCCTGGCGGATATCATCCCATCCTTCGGAACCAAGCTGATTGCGCCGTACTTCATCCATGCGGTGCCCTACTCGGTGCGAGTTATAATCTTTGTATTCCTGTCGGTCGTTGGTATGCTGGTTATCGCGATGAGCCCGAGCTATACTGATGGTGGGACAATCTCATCCAAGCTTGCTGGCATCGTTTTGGCGAGCCTTTCCGCGGGCGGCGGCGAGCTCAGCTTTGTCGGTCTGACTCATTACTACGGCCCATTCAGTTTGGCAGCCTGGGGAAGTGGAACGGGTGCTGCTGGTTTGGTTGGGGCCGGCGCCTATGCCCTTGCAACCTCTACCATGAATATCTCCGTTCGAGCGACTCTTCTTGCGTCTGCTATCTTACCAGCTGTCATGGCTGTAAGCTTCTTCCTAGTCCTGCCTCGAGCTGCACTGCAGCCTCAAGGACTCTCTGCAGATGGCTATCTTGCGACCGACCGCGAGGAGCCAAACGAGGATGAAGTAGACGATAACGGCCTTGAAATCGAGCGGGGCGAAGCCGAAGGACTCTTGGGGGCATCTGTGGTCTCGGCAGACACTTATAAGTCTGTCCATGTCAACGACTCATCCTCCCCGTTGGCTCATTTGCGCGCTAACCTGCGGCGGCTCCGAGGCCTCTTCTTTCCCTTGTACGCTTTCCCCAAGTATACATGTATAGAACATTCGAGCTAACCAGCGCCACACAGCATGCTGCCATTACTTCTCGTCTACATCGCCGAGTATGTAATCAACCAGGGGGTCAGCCCAACGCTTCTATTCCCGTTGTATACAACGCCCTTCGAGAACTTCCGTGCATTCTACCCAGCCTACAACGCCATCTACCAAGCCGGGGTCTTCATCTCACGCTCATCAACCCCATTCTTCCGGGTGCACCATCTCTATATACCGTCCTTGCTGCAAGTATTGAACCTGGTGTTATTAACACTGCACTCCATGTTCAACTTCATCCCCAACGTCTATCTTGTCTTTATTATCATCTTCTGGGAAGGCCTGCTGGGTGGATTGGTGTATGTCAATACGTTCGCCGAGATAGCCGACCAAGTGCCGAAAGAGGACCGCGAATTCTCACTGGGAGCCACCACAGTCAGTGATTCGGCAGGTATCTGCATTGCCGGCTTTTTGAGCATGCCGTGGGAGGTCTTGCTATGCCGCTGGCAAATGGCACATGGAAGGGAATATTGCCGGCAGGTGTAAGCTGTGTTGATTTTTATTCTTGCTGTATAGCATCGCTTTTGCTTTTGATGGCGTTGGTGATCTAGAAGGATCATGATTAAGCAATTCCACGGAATATTTGGTCGAATTGTGACATGATGGTATACTCGAATCTGCTAGTAAAAATGACAGCCCATGGAGCATGTTTGGTCTAGCTTTCAAATTCTTTCTGGACGAATTATTTGGTTGTGTTCAAGTGGTGACCGAGTTTTATTGTGCATATGATCAAAGATGCTGCGGATTGGCTTCATTTTCAACGGCGGATTACAGTAAACGGAAACAAGAAGAACTCAGAGGGCTCCACGTTATGCATGAGCCTGTAATGATCCTGGCCATGCATGCTTCATTGTTCATATTTGCGTCGCGTATAAAATCGTACAATATAAATTCCCCACAAAACACTCTGGTCAGCTGATGGCGTCACTGGCATGTGATAGTGCGGGAGTGTGGGGGGCTTTCACGGGGCTTTCACATGTGACGGAAGGTGGCCGACTGCGCAAATGCCGGCTGTCTGACTTGAACTTTCTCACCTTCGCCCATCTTCTACGTTGACACTTCTTAGGCACTTGGCACCCAGCTTGTGTGTCTTTTTAGAGTGCTGGCAGTCGTTGCAGATTGCAGATTGCAGATTGCAGATCTTCGGTCCGGACTGCGGCATCTCTAGCGCGGGTGGAAATGATAGGTACGGACGACACTTTACTTCTCATTCACGATGCTCTGAGCTCATCGGCATCTTCGGCAGACCACGTTTTGGGGAGACCCTCGACTCGATTTCGCAAGATCCAGGTCTTTGCTGTCGTGTCTTTCTGGTCTTTCTATCTATTACGGTGCGTTGAGAATCGACGGAATGTGGAATGCTGGACTGACTGGATAAATCCACCTCGCATAGAGCCGACAAACATGGCCCTCCGCTTATTCGGTCCATATCGTCGAGATTTACGGGGAAATTAACCAGCTGGCAGACGACCGTGATAATCTTCCTGTGGCTCTATCTAAGCCGCAACTTCGCCAAGATCGTCGGGCTTGAATGCCCCGAGCCTTTGGCGAACCTCTATTCTCGCTCCTTCTTCCGTGCAACATGGATCACCACTGGGTTGGATGCAGGATTTTGGACTGCAATGAAAATTAAGCCCAAATGGCTGCGCGATTTGGCATCGTTGGTCTTCACAGTCTACTACCTCATTGCCGCAGAACAGGCTGATGAGAAGGCGCGACGAGTCCGCGGCACTCTTACATTAGAGCACCTTCGTGTATCCTGGAATAAGGCCACGACCCCTTACTTATGGTTCCTGGCGAGTTTGGTGCGCCCTCGATTGACACGATATGGTCCCCGAGCCCTCCGCATCCCCCGACCCAAGAACTCTCTTCACACCGAACCGGTCAATGCATGGCTGTATTTTGATGGGCCGCTAAGTGCGTTAAAAGACCAGACTACGATGGTCCTGGATGCTCCTGGAGGTGGATTTGTTGCCATGACACCCCGAAACTCGGAGGATAAATTGCTTTCCTGGGCGGGACAGTTGAAAGTTCCAGTTTTGAGCATCGATTACCGGAAAGCTCCAGAGTATGCATACCCATATGCGCTTCACGAGTGCTATGATGTCTACCATACCATCATGGCCACAAATGGCCGCTGCCTGGGGCTGAGCGGGTTGGCACAGCCTCGAGTTGTGGTCACTGGAGAAAGCGCTGGTGGTAACCTTGCAGTTGGCATGACACTTATGGTTCTACAATCAGCAATGGCGCAAGGCTGGCAAGGTGACAATATCCTTCCCCGACCAGCCGGCGTGGTGCTAGGGTATCCAGCACTGAATATGAGGGTCGAAAGCTGGATGACGGACGAACAAATGTCCTTGATTCAAGACAAGAGCTCTGGACAGACAAACAACAGTGTGCTGCAAAGAAAACAAGACCAGTATCGCAAACTCACGCCCTTTACCTCCCCTGGTCACTCGGTTCAGGATTTGACGGCAATTTCCTCGGACAAGAAGCTGCAAAAGGAGAAACCGGAAGAGACCGACATAGCTGCTGAAACGTCCAAAGCACTACGTGATAAACTGAATCAGAGTGAAATCGTCAACGAAAGCGCAGTTTCTACGGCCGAGGACCCGGTTTACCCCCTCAAGACCCGACTGGCTGTCTCATCCATGATCTCCTATGTCCATGATCGAATTCTCACCCCGGAAATGATGCGTGCTATGATTATCCTCTACATCGGACCGCACCATCGTCCAGACTTCAATACCGACTTCTACCTGTCGCCCGTACTTGCACCAGATGCTTTACTGGCTCGATTTCCAAAAACATACATTTTGACGGGCGAACGGGATCCACTAGTCGACGATACTGTTATTTTTGCAGGCAGGCTCCGCCAAGCAAAGCTTCACCATTTCTGTGAGCGCCAAGAACTAGGACTCGAGAAATCACAGCATCGGTTCAACGAGAAAGATCATGTGGAAGTGTCCCTCATACCAGGAGTCTCACATGGCTTCATGCAAATGGCTGGTTTCTTTCCAGACGCATGGAAGTATATCAACCGCAGTGGCCAGTGGATTGAGAGCCTTTTTGAAAATGTCGACCTTCAAGGGCCTGACTACAGCTTCCTTCAACTCTCTCATGCCTCCGGTCTGAAATTTTCTCAAAATTTGAGCACGCTTTCTGGGAGCAATGGGAAGATCAAGAATGATAATCCACACCATCACCGCAGTTTCACGGGCGAATCTTCCTGTGATGAGGATAGACCTCTTGAGATGCACATGAGCAAAATGACACCACATACCAATGACGAGCAATCTCTTTCTACATCGGATCGTCCGGCACGGCGCAAGAGGTCCAGATCATCACTTGCCTCAACACATCGTACTGGATTAACTGCCACTGCCAATACAACGGGAGATGCGAGCGAGTTCCGCGCAAGACTCAAGCATTTGGAAATGAGTAGCGATCTTCGCGACTCTTACTTCCCAGATGAAGTCAACAGTGCCCCTGAAAGTCGTATGGCTATGCGGCCGCGTGGACGAAGCATCGCCTCCCTTGATAGTGAGGAGGATATCCTAGATCGTCGGATGAACGGGATAGCTGGGGGGCTAATGGGGCTGGGTGAGAGAGCCCAAACGCCCGGGGCGTGAAACTTGGACCCATAGATAACACGACTTACGATTTACGCACCACCTTATACCTGTACATATGACTTGTGTTTCTCCAATACTAGAATGGCCGAACTAGCTATTCATTCATACCTACAGTAGCGATGTGTTTCATATCTCAGGACGTGTGAGCCATTGGGCCTATCACGAACCCATAAGTTATCTTGTTCCACCCTATCACACTTGTTGATTACTGATAGCCGTTTTTATTGCCTGGATACCCTGCTACTTTTATTATTGTACGTCCGATCTATGAGATCACGATTCCTATCACTGGCCCGCTGTCATGTAACGGATTGTCAGGCCTGGATCAGTCCAGTTAATCCTGGCGGCCTAAGCGTTCAATATATTCTGGCCAAGTAGTACATACGTATTCTATTTTCATTTACTGGTGGCAAAAGGACCTTGCCGGGTACTTTCCTATGGCAAGGAGGAGTCATCCACTAAAACTACTCATTCTGAACATATAGAAAGTGACCAGCCACTAGTCATCAGCTGGTCATTAAGCCTTCAGTGTTCGGTTTGCTTGTTGGTGTGTTGGCATGTGCGGTACTAAATCTTGACATGTGAAACGGGTCGGTCGGACATGCCCCGGAAGGAAGTGCGAGTCAAACACACTTGCAGTTACGAGGCAGAGTCGGTTAAATCCACCTGAATGAGATTTTACATGAATCTTGGCAGCCTTTAAGATAAACAATCTCGTCAGTGTAAATTCAAGCCCTTTTCGGTCTCCCTGAAACGCATGAAAGCCGGGGCATCGGCCCGAGGGGGCTAGACAATCTCGGCATGGCCGCATAGACTGGTTCAGCCCTGCGACCGGGCCAGGCACATGCTTGTAGGCAAGTACGCAGGTAGATCCACAGTGGATTTAACCTATGAATAATACCGTGGGATAATCGTATGCCTTGGGTGTTGCGCACGGAGGGAATCAAGTGGCTTCGGTACCAAACGTCAACATCCGTAGCTTACAGCTTCCAAATATCCGATCCCGCCGTCCATCTTCTGAATCTCTTTCCCGAAAAGTAGAATAGGAAACCAAAAGAACACCACAGCACGGTCAGACACATGTTCAACATGATCGCCGGGACATATCCGGACTTTTCTGTCCAAGTCGTAATGAATTTGCTGAAGCCATAGCCCCATACGTTTTTATTGACGGTGATGGCAATGAAGACCGAACCGACGACGGGTTTATAGCTGTCAACGGCGTAGGTACTCGCAATAGCGGGCAGTGCGGTCACTTGGATTCCCGCACACGTGTAGCCAACAATGACAATGGCCTAGAAGGGATCGGAGTTAGGACAGAATGCAAGAGAAAATGCGGGATATCCAAGGGGTGAACGTACCCTCCAATCCCAATGATACTCATATCCAAACGCGATGATAAAATTCCCGATGATGGAAATCACGACGTAAGGTATGAGTGTCGGCAAGCGCATCTCTGGCTCGCGGATCCCCCCGTTCTTCTTCGTAGCACGCATGGAGATCCAGTCAGACAGATGGCCATTAGTGAGCAACCCAATCATAGCGCCCGCCAGACTGGCAAAATTGGTGAACCCGATGGACTGGCTGGACCAGTTATACGGTGGGGCGCCAAAGGCCTGGCTTTGGGTGAGATTGGCTGTGAGGAAACAGCTGGCAGACCACGAGACCACAAAGGCAGCATATTCCACGATGGGGAACGCAAGCAGTCGCCAAGGGACCCAAAAGGCGAGCAATAGAGATTTGATCCAGTGTGCATTGCGCTGATAGAGATGAAATTGACCTTTGGAAGGGTGGCCCTTGTGGAGGAATGGATCGATGGCGGCCTCCGCAACCCGCGAATTTGGAACCTCCGTATGGCTCGGCCACTCTTTGGCAGGTACTTCCAGGGTAGTGGATTTCTCGTTTCCGTCCGTGGAATCCGTCTGGGAGGTGGGCACATCCTGGGAGTGTTGGACTTCATCTGGATGAGCACGATGCCACTTGGTTTCCGGGAATGCGAATACGGCGGCGAGGATGATGAAGACAAAAGCCGCGACGTTCAGCCACCAGAAGCTCCGCCAGCCCACATGGAGAGCCATCGAGCCTGCAATAATGGGACCCACCTATTATGAAGAATCGTCAGTCATTGGCGGCCGACGTTCACTCGTTCGTGTCACCACTCACCATGAGAGAGCCAAAATAGAATGCAAAGTACATGGTGTTGTAGAAACCTCGCTCGTGGAGGAAGAAAATGTCCGTGATCACTTGGGGGCAGAGAGTCTGGTCACGTATGTTACTCATGTTAGGACTAATTGTGCGGATCCCCAGGGCAGGGTTGGGATCGTACCTCACAGGGTCCAGCCCCGAAGCCATTTAAGACGCAGGCGCCCATGAAGCTTCCGTAGGTTGTTGCCTTTGCGCGCCATATATTGGATGCCAAGCACACAAGGGAGGAAAAGATCAGGACGGGTCGTCTTCCAAATGTATCGGCGATGGGTACCCTGCCACCACAGATGATCAGTAATGGAAGTGAAGATGCCGTAACAGAACCCGATCCCCACCAGAAGAAGTTACTGAAGCCCAGCACCAAGATGCAAACTCCAGTGAATTGCACCACAGATGCTAGATCGGATTCAAAGGCCTCTATAAGGTTCCCAAACATCGGCGACAGAGCTAACGGCCCGATGCCCATGATAAAATTGCTCCCCATAGCGATGAGGATGGTGACGAACTTCCAGTATTTATTCCAATTCTAGTTCATCGCAATGACGACCGATTAGCATGGCACTGTCCACTCATCATTCCGCGAGAGGATAAAATCCATACGAGAGGATCGTGTCGGTCCTGGGATGGTTGGGGAACCAAGACATTGGACGACGCGCCCGACTGCCGAACGAAATGATGCGAGCCCACATCGGTCATGATCTCCGTGCCCGGGTAGATCTTGACATTGAGCTCGTCTTCGAGTCTGGATCGAGGTCAGGAACGAGATTCTCTGCGCGTGGACATCAATCTGCCAGTTGAACTTACTGGCGAAGAGTCTAGAGGTTGGACGCGTTTGATCAGTCTCGTCAGTCCATAGAATAAGCGGAGCTGCAGCCAATAAACCCACCGCCTCATCGTTGTTCATCTCCATGATGAGAGATTCGCTCCGACTATTGGGCTCGAAACTGAGCGTGCGGCTGGATTATCTGGGATAGATCTCGTGGGTGAACACGAGGATGGCCCCTGATTGTGCGGGAGACGCGTGTATTTGAATCCGCCCCTATCAGCCGAGGCAGACACGCTTCTTATCCTTCTTTTAGCACCGACGAATAGGCGTCGCGTATTTATTGGGGTTTGATACCGGTTTTGTGAAGCCATAATTTACTTGGGGGACGGTTGACAGCTAAGCTCTTTGTAGAGGGCGCCCGCCGAGGAACTGCCAATTAACTCGGGGCCCCCACGAGGGCCATTGCGGGGAAAGTCTGGGGATGGCTTGCGATGCCTGGAAGGAACTGAAACGGGCGATGGCTGACTCGACTGTCTCCAATCAGCATCCAAGCCACGGTCGCCCGAGCAAAACGGCGGCAAATGCAATCGGCATTTTGATGCCATCCGGTAGTCCAAGAGAGCCGCGTACCCCCAGTGTCAACCTCACCTCGCCTCTTCCTGGGGTATGGCTTGACCATAATGCAAGTTATTAGTGGCTTAAAGAGCTGGAAAATGGCTTTTGGTCGAGTTATAATGATTAGTGATCAGAGCATGGTTGGGTAATTTTGTACCGGCTAAGCATATAGCAGGTAGGGGGTGATCTTGCTAGAAGGCTTAGCCCCCAGTAGTAATACCAGCCCAATCACCCCCGTCTCGACTCTTAGGGAGATCATGCTAATTCTCCATAGAAGCAAAGACCCGTGCCAACTAGTGTGATGACGTGACTTTTCCTCGGAGGCACCGGAGCATGTACAATACATAGGGGGTCCTCCGCATGTCAATCCGTGAGCTCGACCCAGAAGACCCTTGTCAGCCACAACCCCACCATAAGCTTGATGGTAGAATAGCAGTGAGGTACATCTTGAAATAAAAGATCGTCGAGTCGCCCAGCTATCTTTTTACATCAGCCATTTCCTTCGGTGTCCCTGCCCTCCCTCCAGCGTCACAGTCGCCTCGATTCTGACCCACAGTACCGCGCAAGTGGCAGCAGCAAGCAACACCCCCACCATGATACTCGTATGTTCATAGCTTCGTGGGCTGGTCTTCTGTTGCTGGTTGCTCCTAATTAAGAGCCCGGCGATCGGAGTGCCGAGCAGCGTCGCAAACCCTCTGACCATATACAGAGCCCCATTGACACTGACGAAGTTCTGCACGCCGAAGAGTTCGACCAGACTGGTCGGAAATAGGGACACATAGGCCGATGCGAAAATTCCATAAAACACAGTGAACACAATAAAGAGTGCACTCCCATTGGCTTGGGTGGTTGAAAGTGCGGACGGCAGCCATAATGCCAGAACGGCAATTGCCGAGACCAGAGTGGATAGAAACAAGGTGTTGAGTCTCCCCATTCGATCCGCGGCATATCCAATCGCGATTTTTCCCAGTGCATTTGCCGCGTTGGAAATGGCAATGAAGTTGGCCGAGGTCGCCTGCGAGTATCCCAATGTCCGGGCGAATGAGGCAAAGAAGAACACAGGAGTATAGTACGCAGCTGATTGAAGCGCTGCGCCCAACGCATGCGCAGCAAACTTGCGAGTTCGTACCACGCGCCAGTCAATCAGTGGAATTTGGAGGAAGTTCAATCGGCGCGCATTTGCAGCGTTCTCAGTCTGGATGCGGGTCAGCTGGCTGGCTGGCCACTTCATGAAACAACCGGCCGCCATGATCAGAGCAAAGGAGATCCCAGCCGTGATCCGAAGGGTGTTGCGAAATCCGACACGCTCGATAAGCGATCGGAAAGCAAGTGGCCACACAACGCCCCCAATCCCAGTTCCTGAAAGAATGATGCCCATGGCGAGGCCCCGATGACGGGAAAACCAGGTTGGTGCCACTGTCACGGAAGGCATGTAAGCCATGCACGTTCCGATCCCCAAAAGAAGACCCTGGGTCATGATAAACTGCCACAGGGCCTCACTGAAGCTGGCAAGAACAAGTGCCACAGAATATATAATTCCACCACTCCAGATGACCGCTCGTGGCGAGTACTGCTTCGTCCAGGCTGTCGTGAATGGAGCCCCGATAGTCATCAGCGCGATGGAGAGTGTACCGATGAGGTCAATCTGTGCGGGCGAGGCTCCTGTGAATGGAGTATTCGGAAGCTTCGACATGGAATCATACAGTTCCTGGTAGACACCGAAAGTGAAGTTGATTCCACATCCGGTAAATACGAGAGCCGTTGAGGAGGCTAGGATTAGGAATGGTTGTCTAGCGAGCTGTTAGTTATGGGGTTCGCAGAACACGGCAAGGGGCTGGTACATACAAACGCTCCCAGACCCTGGGCTGGCTAATTTCAGCAGCCAGCATAGGCTCCAATGGGTGGTGGTCCATTGTTTAATCTTGTGGAAAATAAAGAAGCCGCTGGCGGGGCAGGACCTTTTTTATAGCATCCTCGGCGTTTGACTCACCGCACCGAATCGGTGCGGGGCCGGGCACATGGGTTGTCGCCGGTGTCTACTCCAAATGTTAGAAATCTGGTATAGCCATCGTGGTCACACAATCAACTCGAGAATAAGCATAGCGCTTATATCGTTCCGATAAGCCATCACAATCACTGCCTCCAGGGTCATGCAGGCAGGTCAACCTTTTCATCGACCATATCTCGAGGCCGTGACATGGACAGCATCCCCATAATCAAGTAAGGATCAACAGTTCCCTTGAGCTGTGTATGTCCAGGATTGCATCGATGGGCGCACAATGTCAGAAATACTGTAAGTCGGGCAAATCAAGTCAGAACGGTACGCCGATGGGAGCGATAAAGAAAGATTGGTTGATAAGGGGACAATCACGGCAGAACGCCGAGGGCCCACAGTTGATTCGCTGAACTCGTAGCTAGCGCTGCACTCTATCGCTATTGGCGTGCATGCGGAGAGTTTACCCCGCATCTCCCGTTGCGTGAGCCGCTGATAAGCATGATAGCATATCGTCCTCTATCAGTCCCATCTTTAAATCCCGTGGAGCCCCTTGAAATTGTCCCACCCCCAACTCCCTCCCGCTGCCTTTGCGGTCTATGAACGCGCCACGGCCCCACAGGTCCTTCCCACACAGACCAATGTCCCTAGAAATCAGAGCGGAGGGTGAATCACGCGGCACAAAGCGCAAGTGTGAGGAATCGGGGGCCAGGAGACGCGCTTCACTAGCGTAAGCGATCACAGCTTGTGATGTGCGCCCACTAACGGATATTAGTTGTGATACGTGTCGAAAGCAGAAGGAAAAATGTGAAGGAGGTCCTCCCTGCTGGCGATGTGAACGATTGGGCCGTCCGTGTCGCTTTCAAGAACCGACAACTACGAAAAAGTCACCCTTTGTGTTTGTCAAACAGTCAGCCAAGCCAAGCCCAGAGAAGGGAGATCAACATGTCCAAAACTTGGAACACATAGTACGGCATTTCCTCGGCGACGTACCATTAGATGAGGAAAATATCGCTCGCGTTGCGGCGAAATGCTTATCAGAAAACAACGATCCGGAGAGTCTGTTGAACGTCGAGGAGTCATTTGACGTTCAAGTCGTCTCCAGAAATGTCGCTTGTGCGTTTAGCTGCCCTTTGTGCGCGTCCTCACCCTTCTGATCCTCCCTAGTCTATTCCGGCGAGTTTTCGCATTGGAATTTTGCGGAGAAATTGCGCCGAACAATGCAATCCCGCCGGCACACACTCAGCGACGGGGTATGTTCTTTTACTCTAAAGCGTTGTTGTTCATAACTCGCTAACCGGACCAATCTTGATAGGTCAAGGAATACTGGCGTCCAACCCATCTCCAATCCTCCGCCCATGTCGTCGCCGAAGCCATAGCCCAGCTACCTCCGAGACCGATCGCAGAATTCTTGATTTGTGTGTTTTTCAAATACGAGGAATTGAATTCGTTCTATCTAGAAAAGGGATGGATTCAAGGCAAACTGGACGCTTGCTACGACCCGGCGACCGAATATACTGTTAACGACATTCCTTGGGTATGCACCTTCTTCGCTGTCCTAGCGATCGGCACTCAAATGGCGCACATGGAAGACGTCAATGCCACCTCAAATTCGAGTAGTCTGGAAGAGCTCACCGATTGCTCGGAAGATTCGGTGGGGTTAGTTTTCTACCACGTGGCATCCAAGTTGGTTCCCGACGTTCTGTTGGCTGCCTCGTACCAAAGCGTACAGGCCTTTTTACTTCTTGCGGCTTGGTCCTTGCCTATTTCTACCGGGGGTCTCTCGTACACTTACTTTGGTTTGTCCATGAAAATGGCAATACAGAACGGCATGCATCGAAAATATGTCGGAAGAGACTGTGATGGTCGAACGATTGAGTTGAGGAACAGACTATTTTGGACGGTTTATTCCCTTGAAAAGTACGACTCTAACCCTAGGGGTCAGAACTGGTGCTGACATCGGTGCAGAAGAACGAGCATCATGCATGGGCGCCCAGGTTCCTTAGCTCGATCGGAAATCAATGCTGACCTACCGACCAACCATCCTGCATTCGACTCGCCCAATTTCACCAATATGATGACATTCATCAAATTAGTCTCTTGGATGGGCGAGGTGGCAGAGACTCTGTAAGAACTTTCGTCTTCTTCCCTCGATTTATCTCCATGCTTTTCCTAACCGGGTGATCACCCAGGGCACAATTTAAAAGATGTCCCAGGAGGCTTCTATTGGAGTACTCGGAGCGACTCCTCCAGTTAAGAACTAACATCAGGAACTGGTGGAACTCCCTGTCCACGAATATCGAGTGCCGCGACTATAGCCCCAAGGGGCCTTTGTTCCGGCAAAATTCACACATGAAACTTTGTTATTTACTCATCTATATCTATATGGGTCGCCCCTTCATTTTTAAAGGCGGGACCAAGGAGAGACCCTCAGATGAAGGTGGAAATGGCGGGAGCGCTCGTCGTTCTGAGTTGGTGGATGACTGTGTGCAAAGCGCTTTGGACATCCTTGCGACATTACAATCACTCTCCGACAATGTCGGTCTCTGTCGTGCATCATATACGGAATTCAGCTCTTGTCGAGCAGCCCTTTTAGTGATTCTCGCCGAGAGCCTCAATTCCGGGAGATCTCCGAAGCTTCAAAGCAGCTTGAACCGTGGGATGATTTTGATACGGCAGATGTTGGGCGGAACCGCTTCTCAGTCAGAAATTTCATACATTGAATCGATTGAAGCCGCTATCCGCCAGCTATCTTCAGGCGATGAAGACCACGACGATTCAGAAGCGAATCCTGAGCAGAGTTTTGTATCTGCTTACGCCAAATTCAAGGACTGGACCCAGTCCATGAAAAAAGATAGAAGTGCCTCAAATACTTTAGAGCTGGCCTCTTTCAGCCCTATGTCCAATCTCACGTCCGGGGGCGAGAGCGTGCTGCACTCAGAAATCAACGACCTGAGTGAGCTATTCAATCCAGACTGGGCAACGAGTGATCTAGGACTTGATCCCGAAATTTTCATGGTCCCACGAGATTGAATATAATGATGCTTCTCAGAAAGAAGGTGAATCTGTCATATCTGTCATGTCATAATTTATCCAAATACTAAGTATCGCGCGCGCTTCAGCCACGCGGCTTTCTCATTCGACTCTTGCTCCTTCTCTTGAGCTGCTAGCGCATTCAAACGATCCTCTTCATCAAAGTAATATGCCTCGCTAAAGTCCATTTCTTTTGGCTTGACAATCTTGGTCTTGTAATAGTACTGTTTATCCGGTGTCAGACTGAATTCATTCTTGCAGGAACCTGGACTTGCCTTGTAAGCGAAATAGTCGAACACAAACAGCGGAGCTGCCAGGTAGCTAGAGAAAAAGCTCCTCACGGAGCCTTTCTCTCCAAACGGCCAACAAGCCAAGTAAAATTCACAGCCGAAAATGAAGGCGACGATGATGAGACTCAGGTATTGAGCCCATGGGGTGAGGAAGCCTGTAAACGGAAGGGTACGAAGATCTTTGCCCTGTGCTTTCAACCCTTGTCGGAACCTCAGGTGGGCAATATAGCAGGATGACCATTCAAATAGCGTTGCGATAGCAACCTAGATATGCCACTTTAGTCAATCATTTAGGTGCGAATGGGGGTGTCTTCATACCAGAGCCGAGAACCAGCTATAGACAGTTACACCGACAGTGTTGAGGTTGAGATAACACAAGCCACCCCCCAGGCCCAAGCTGATAATTATCGACACATAGGGTCGGCCGTGCTTATCCTTTCTCCCAAAGAAAGGGTGAATGAGTTTCATGTCCGCCATCGCTGTCAAACTGCGGCTGGCCACGTAGACACTTGTAATCCCGCAGCTAATGACACTGAGGAAGATGAAACCGTTGATAGCGTGCGCGAGTCCATACACATCTGCACGCTTAATGGCAATAACGAATGGGCTTCCCAACGTTCCACTGGCACTCGCGAGGTCGCTATCATTACTTGGAACACACATACCGACCAGCCAGATATTGACCACGAAAAAAAGTAAACATGCGCCAGAATACGGGCCGTACCGTCTTTTTGATGGTGTGCCGCGGGTTTGCTACTTCGCCCGCAATCACAGCTATATGCTCACCTAACATATTCGTTAGCATCAACTCCTACAATCTGGGGTTAGATGATCTTACCGCCACCAAAGCTAAAAGCAGCTTGCACAAAAGCCTTGGCAATTCCCTTGATGCCATTGTTGAAGGCTCCTGGATTCTTCCAATAGCGGAATTCGATGGGACCATTTGTAGCAGCAATGCCCCCGGAGGTCATGATGAACAGGAAGAAAATCATCAGTATGATCGCCAGGCATTTGATAAATGACATATAGTATTCGATATAGCCATACACCCGGACGTGGAACATATTTCCGATCCCGATAACCACCAAAAATATTGTTATATATGCTGCAAGAGGAACCGCGTTCGTTTCGGGCCAGAATCGAAGCACCGATACTGCTGCCGTAATTTCTGCCGGGATAATCATCACCCACTTCAGAACTACCAGTCAACTCAAGTTCCACTTCTTGGGGTGGTGGGAGAGCACAAACCGCAAACCAAAAATTCATGCCGATCGCGAACCCCCATGCTGGGTCGATATATTCAATGCATTGCCGAATAAATCCACCATGAACCGGCTTGTACGTTGTCATTTCGCCGATTGAGGAATACTGGGCATATACAATAATGCTACGTTGAATATTGTTAGCAGCCCATCCTAAGGCAAGCATAGGTGGAATGGATGTCTCTTACGCGGTGAGGGTATATGCCACAGCAGTTCCAGCAGGGCCAGCTACCATTGATTAACATCACATAGGCGTACCTCGAAAGATGCATAGCGGCATACCGTAACGCAATGCTTGGCCTGTCCCCACCCACAGGCCGGTTCCAATGCCAGCTCCAAAGGTCATCATCATGACCTTGCGCCTGGTGAGGGATCGGTGATAACCAGCCGTGAGCGGCTCCAACGATATGTCCTTAACGCCGCCATGCTGCTCCGTCGCCGTCGTGGGCGTTCGCTCAATGTCAATTTCGGTATTTGCTTTCCCTATGATTTCGGCCTTGCCTTGCGAGATCTCGCTTGTTGTCGCCATCGCTCTAGCGGAAACGAGCTATATCTTGGGTGCAACTGCAGGTTGTAGGAAAACAGCAATCTGCACACTTCTTAAGTATACATCCCAAGCCATCTTGCTCTATCTGGCTGGTATGTGGTTATGGTTCCATCTCCACCCGGCGGGAACGCCAAAGAATCCGCCGGGTAGTGAGCGGGGTTGATAACCTCCTCTCCACTTGGTGAATGGCTCGTATCTCCTCTTCCTGAAGATTGATCCTCCGACAGTGACTCATTTGTCCCATCTAGCATTCTTTGCTGTGGCTTATATTGCCCCAAAGAGACCCTAGCGCTGATAAGAGCTTTTCTTTTTTGGCATCCGTTCTCATTCTTGCCCAACTGATCATTTCAACCAACATGACCTCGTCTAAGAATGTTGTCTTCGATATCGTGGGTACCCTGGTATGCTACGACCATCTTTACAATGCCATCGACTGCCGACTAGGAGACCGCCTCCGTGCGGAGGGCATCAAGCCTTGGCTGCTGGGCCAACTCTGGATGGAAACTGCCGAGCGTGAATATACCAATCTCAGTATGGCCGGTCGATATGTACCGTTCGCCGAAGTGTTCCAATCGCTCTTTTACCGGATTCTCTGGATGGGCGGAATCCAGCAGCCTCGTACCTTCGCCTCGCCCGAGGATCTTGCGTGGATTATGCAAGAATACCAGAAGCTCACCATGCGGCCAGATGCGGCCGAGTGTATACAGAAGCTGCGTAACGCCGGATTTACGGTTTGGGCCTTCACTGCTGCCGATCTGAAGCGCGTCAGTGGATACTTTGCGAAGGCGGGGGTCGACCTGCCGGCGGAGAACTTGCTCTCGTGCGACGCTGCTGGTGTGGGGAAGCCCGATCTCGCTGCTTATAAGCCCTTGCTGGAGAGGTTGAAGGCAGACAACGATGGGAAGACCCCCTGGTTTGCGGCCGCTCATATGTGGGATGTCTCTGCGGCCCGGACGGCTGGGTAAGTGATCTGCTTCCGTATTCCATCTAGAGATGCTGATCGCCCTGGAACAGGTTCAAGGGAGCGTATTGCACAGTGTTGGAAAAGGAGCCATTGCATAATCTCTTTGGGGATATGGACGTGGTAGATGACACTCTACCGGGCATGGCTGAGAAGATCATCGCCGCCCAGGCTGCTGCTTGATAGTCGCCCAACTTGTATCTTAGAACCAAGCTCATAAACTGAACTCGGACGGCTTCATTCCGTTTTCCTTTCCACTCAACCCATGTTCTTCAGATGTTAATGTTCTTCAATCTTCACCGCCAAGTCCGAGGGGGTTTGCGGGCCGTCTTTGATTGCAGCAATATAGTGGGCAATATAGTGGGCATGGCGCAAACGCAACGTCCATGCACTAGGGCTGACGCTAGAGCCTATCGATGCGGAGAAGATCGCTGTTAATCTACAGTTCATACCAAGTTCAAATCCTTTATCTCCCCTGTTTCGACTAGCTACCTATCGCACGCCCGGGACCTCACTGTGTGATCCGCCGGTTACAGTCCCGCCGGCAACTCGACAGTCTACCCGGTCGGGGTAACGCTCCCTCCCGCTCACGAGGGGCTCAGACACCCCCTAGCAGTCAACTATCGCCAATAAATGAACGCCAGTGGCGATATCATCACTACCAGAGCCATTGCGTACACTTTCTTTACAACCACAATGTCGTCAGAACATTACCCTGCCCCAAATGGGATGCTCCCGTACTGGCGGACCGAGCCTCATCGGCTGGACGACTGTCGATCCACCGATGCCCTACCAAAGGAGAGCGATATCGTCATCGTGGGCGCTGGATATGCAGGCGCCTCCGTTGCGTATCATATCCTAGGCCAGACCAAGCCGGGGTCCAAGCCGCCATCTATCACGATAGTGGAAGCGCGACAGGCATGTTCTGGAGCCACCGCCCGAAACGGTAAGATAATCGACTCGTCTCGCCCTGACCAATCACAGACGTTCTGACATCCAGAACAATTCTAGGAGGCCATGTGAAGCCTGATCTCTACAACTATATCTCTACGGTGGCAGCAGAACATGGCGTCGAGGCAGCAGGGGAGGTCGCCGCATTTGAAGCCAAGCATGTCCATGCCATGAAGGACTTTGTTGATCAGGAGAATATCGACTGCGACTATACAGTCACCAAAGCGATTGATGTGCAATTAAACGCCCAGCATTACCAGAAGCTCAAGGATGGTTATGAGCGATTGATCGCAGCTGGATGCGGTCCAACGAAGCAGGCTCGATCTGTCGGGGCCAATGAAGCCCAATCGGTAATCCTCTGCCCCCGCATTACCGGTTCATGCATCTCTCGGCCTAACATTTTCCGCAGTTCTCAGGCGTCAAGGGTGCTGTGGGCTGTTTCACGTATGATGCCGGAAGTATCTGGGCCTACAAATTCGTGCTCCATCTCCTGGAAAAGGTGGTTTCACAAGGCGTAAATCTGCAGACCCATACCCCCGTGTCAAGCATCACGAAATCCACCATTCCATCCGCTCCCTATGGCTGGGAAGTGAAGACTCCCCGCGGCACCATCGCGGCCCGAAAGGTGATTTTTGCGACGAATGCCTATACCTCCGCTCTTGTGCCACAGTACAAGGACAAGATTATTCCCGTCAGAGGAACGTGTAGTCGCATTGCTGTTCCGCCAGGGTCCACGGCCCCTCGCTTGACTCATACTTATACCTTGCGGTGGGGCGGCTGGGACTATGACTATCTGATCCCGCGAGCGGACGGGAGCATTGTCGTCGGGGGAGCCCGGTCAACTTTTATTCACGACTTGAACGATTGGTATAATGTGAGTGATGACAGTCGAGTTCTGGAGGGTGCTGTGCGCTATTTCGATGGGTATATGCAGCGCAACTTTGTGGGGTGGGAACATAGTCATGCATACACCGACCGGGTGTGGACGGGAAGTACGTGCATGTCCTTTGCGTTGGCATTCAAATCGAACTGGAGCTGACGTGAGAACCTCTAGTCATGGGTTACTCCGCGGATGGACTGCCTCATGTCGGGTCTGTTCCTGGGCAGAGTGGTCAATACATTCTGGCTGGGTTTACCGGCCACGGCATGCCGCAGATCTTTTTCGCGGCACAGGGGATTGCGAAGATGGTTGTCGATGGAGTGGCGTTTGAAGAGACTGGTCTCCCCCGGCTATTCAAGACGTCCCAGTCTAGGCTTGATGAGCGGGAGAATAAGATCTTCCACAGCACGCCTCAGACTGGACCATCGCAGGCTAAGCTCTAAAGAATGCTTCAGTCAGAACCTACGCATAGCACTTTTTTTCGTCCAACAAGAATAGATGGAGGATTGCTCAATCCATACTTTTTTTTGCGTCGGGTACGATTGGGGACCCATTTTCTTTAATCCCTTCTCCGTATCCCCGGTGTTCATATCATGATCATCCGTGCTGTTAGATTGTCATTAGGAAAACTTCGGTACCCTGCAGCGCATGTTGGTGCCCACTGCCCTCCCCCGGGCTGGCCCTCAATGGATCTGAGCGGCTTTTGCTGCTCTAAAATCTTACATTCTCAAAGCTTAAAAGACCCCCATATCAACCCCCCGCAAGAGGAAAGGTAAGTTTACGGGCTGCCCAAATTGAGTCGGGCCCCCAGTCCCCGGCGCTGGCTACGAGCGGCCCAATTAGACACTAGCTTTGACTCGGATAGTCTAACTCACGTCGTCTACAACTCCCCCCCCCCGGTGCAACCGCAGGCGCAGGACACGAGCACTTCCTGCAGTAAAATCCCCCCTGTGGGCGGTGCTTGGCGGTGGGCTTGGCATGCAAAACGTCAGTTGGGAGGTGAATTGTGTGCGGATCCACTCTCGTCCATCCCCCACAGCAGTTGCTGCCCCTGAGGGATGTGAAGATGCGACGGCTCCAACCCGCCTTGATATGTGCACATGGAAATGCTCTTGAAATCAGGGGCCGCAAGACGAACCGAATCTCTCGGGTTGTTTTGCTTCGCCTTCACCTTCTGACCTTTCGTCGGTCCCTTGCACGGTGAGAAAGACAAGCCGCCGACTAGAGCGTCGATCATCCGGGCTCGTGTTATCACCAAATATGATGGCGTGCTCCGCACCAGCGACAGCCCATGATTGCGCGATGGGACCCGCTGCTGAGGTCGCAATTAGCCTTTCTGCTCCTTTGCGTCGTTTATATACGATGGCTTCCCTCCCGTCATATTTGGGATGTTCGTTGTGGCATCTGGTGAATCTCTCTTGTCGGGTCCTCACCGCTATACTCCTGGGGGAAGAAGTCCTTACCTACCCTTGCACCACGCACCTCCGTCTCTGGCCATCTCATCGACCTGATGGGTGCCCCAGAGATACTCGTGGTTCCTCCCAAGGAGGAACTGGACTATCGGCCCGCGACGGTCCGGTACGAATACGATCCTTGGTTGTTGGATGACCACCCGCTGCGCTCGCATCCAACCGAGTGTATTCCCGGCCTGGGGACTTTCCTCGCCGAATGCTGTGTCTCTTTTCAGCGCCGCTGGAGGGACTATTCGCTCCGCGTCGGATACCTTCTCCTGGCATGTCTGTGAGTGATTCTCGGTCCACCTGAGTGACCGAGGTCAGGCCTTCTCTGACATCCTGTTCCCTAGCGCGGCCTTTCAATGCCTCAAGCTACTTCCTTTTCCTGCTGGCCAAGGGCTGCCGCGCCTACCAGTGACATCCCGAATTAGCCCTCGCGACTGGCACGTTAAATGCACCTACCCTCATTCGGATCCTCGCCCCAACACCCTTGCGCAGTCCGTTGCCGCCGGCTGCGATGGGTTTCGAACGGACATTTGGCTACGCGGCAATGCGCTGCAGATCGGTCCATCCCACTTGGGCCCCAACTCCGCCAATGACCTGCCGCTGCATTTCGACCCGATTATCGCCAAACTGGAGGCGGATCATGCTCCAAGCAGCCTCCAAATTCCCTTGACTGCCAGCGCCGACGGCCTGAACGAGCGCGATCCGACACGGACGTTTATGCTGGTCCTGAATGCCCAATCCTCTCTCCACGAATTGCTTCCCTTCTTGGTGTCCCATCTGGACGTTCTCCGCCACCAGGGACATCTCACTCACTGGGACGGGGCCCGGGTGATCCAGCGGGCTGTCACCGTCGTTGTCACGGGGGAATCTGTGTCCAACTTGGACCACTGGACCGCCGCCTACTCGGATGTGTTTTGGTCGGCCGAACCAGGATTGATTCTCGCGGAGGATCTGGTGAATGGCCAATTACTCCCGATCGGTGCCGTATGATTAGATGTCGTTCTGTCTATTTCTGTCGATATAGCTTGCTCTGTTTCATGATACCCAATGCCAATGCCACAAGTGAAGTTGATTTTTTTTAATTGCGTGGTCGCGTTTCATCCTATTTATTCCACGGGGCTTGTATTGTTCAACGTTGCAAAGAGAAAGCCACGGTCAATCAGGGGCCGAGGTGTGGTCGCACACTACTGCTGCTGCACGGATGACGGATGTTGATCGACAGGCTATGAGTGCGACAGCGATCAGCCGACCACGAGTCCGGGAAACAAAGCAAAACTGTATGCACGGAAATAGGGAAACGAATTTAACCCCAAGGACGAGCATACTGCCTGACGTCGGGTCGCTTTTAGGTCTTAGGGCACCGGGTTGCGTCGCGCCCAACCCGGCTTGGTAAGGAGTACTGGAAGTACGCACGTAAGCTATAGATCACAAAGTACACTCCGTGCCTAACATCATGGTCATCCAACAGCCAACATCCAACATCCAACATCCAACATCCAACATCTCCGCCATGTACCACCGGATCCCGTTCCAATGCATCCCCTGGGCGCTAGTCTCATGTCGAGCGCGTTATCGAGTGTGCGGCTGTGATCCGATCCCCACCTGCACGATACAGTCTTAGCCGGGCCCCATTCACCACCGCGCTAGGCCGCTCACCGTTTTTCCTCCGGGCTCCCAGCTCTGAACCATCCTGTCGCTTGTCCTGTCGGTCTGGACCTGAGACTTTTCCTCTTCCCCTGCCGCCTCCACTTCCACTCGTCACCTCCCACCACCAACAACAACAACAACAACAACAACAACAACACCAACACCAACACCAACTCCCCAACCTGCCATCCCACCCAGCCACTAGATCCATCATCTCGTGACCCCCTCACCCTCGGCTGTGTCGCCTGTCTCCGCACCTCCTCACGACACGGGCGCACTATCTCCGACAGAGCATGGATCGCGCAATCAGCCGCTGATCTCGACACCATTTTGACCTTGCTGCTCCTCTTTATTTTCCGGGCGCTTTTCTCCACCGCCACTCAAGCGGACCACGCCTTTTTACGCCAATTCTTCGTCTGCCCTCCGTCCACCTCTGCGACTTGACACGGCTCGCCCGGGCAATCGCCCAGGATGGACCTCTTTCGCCGGTTTCACCAGAATTCGTACCCGTCTCGTCCATCGCCCCTGAGCAGCTCCCAAGAGCCGCGCGACGATCGCCCCCGCCAGCACAGCGGCCTCGCGCCCGCCCACGATCCTCGTCGTCCTGAAAACGAAACGGCCCGACCAGCCGGTCGCTACGAATACTCGTCGACGTCGTCGCATCTATACCCACCGGGCGCTTCACGGGGGCCACATGGGATCCGGGGCGAGAATGCTGAGGCGGCGAGTTCTCCGCCGCGGAATCAGCACGCGCACCAGCATCGGCGGCATACCAGCCTCGAAACTCGGCAACACGCACATGTGCATCGCCGAAACAACTCCCAGCCCCAAGGGGGTCACTATCGAGAAGGTCGGTGTCTATCCTCGCTTGCTTTCTGTTTGTCTTTCTTTGTCCCGAGGCGAGTGTTGTTTGGTCCCCCAGATTCAGGAAGAGCTGGGGACGGGCCTGTCCCGTGGTTCTCGTGCTGTTTGTGCCCGTCCGGTCCCTCGCTCCACTTTTTGGCACCATCCTTGCATTCTGGCGTTTATTGCGGGTCTACTGAAATATTTGGGAGTGACATACCATTCTAAATACCCTTCACACCTGCCCCTTCCCTCCATCACCACATCGTCCCAGCCCTTCACCTGTCCTCCAGCCTCTTTCTCCTGATGCTTTTTTCCCCGGTGGCGCAGATCCATCGGGAACGCTAGTCCCAAGGTGACCTAGCGGCACTAGTCTGCTTTGGGCCTAGCGGGTGAGCTTCCGGAGTCACGGGTTCGCGGCTTCTGGTCCTGGCGCCCTGGTGAATTCATCATCCACACCCCTTGGGCTCATATCTGAACTGAATTGTCCAAGGGCTTCGCGCGAGATGAACCACCAGCCCTCTGACCTGGGCCACCGTGCGTCCCAGAGCAGCGGCAGCCCTGTGCACTCGGGTGAGTGAGACCTCGACGCGCGCCATGCAGGTCGACTGCACCGCACTGCATGGATCTAGCCGCGCCCATCATCTTGTGACAACATCGCTCGCCTTTTGCTTTTTGTTTTCTTGCCCTGCGTGATTTCCCCTGTCGAACGAGACCACTAACCTGCGGATTTGTATCATATAGGTCCTCAAGAACACTCTGCACCTCCGGCCTTCGGTAGTCGCCAAATGCCTCCCCCGTCTCCTCCACACTCCTACGGCTCCCGAGCGCAATCAGCCAACGCGCCCGCCTCATCCCTGCTTTCGCGCGATGCGCCCAGTGCAACATCCCATCGCCCCGGCAGCAGCATGTCCATCTCAGCCATGCTAGGATCAGATGCAGAACGCCCTGCACGAGATTCCGGGTCATCGGTTTTTTCGCGACCTTCGGGATCTTCTATCTTCGGTAGTGCACCAACCTCCGCCTCTGCCGGCATGTCACCACCCACCGGTCCGTCACGGCCATCACCACTCGACCAGTCGGTGATGCGTCGATCGCATACCCCCGAGAAGTCCTTTTCGAGGCCGCCGATGGGTCGGCCTTTCCGGTCTGGCTCCGGTGGTGGATCAAGTCTGCTGGGAGGCGTCGAGCAGTCAAAATTCGGTGGCCTGTCACGCGCACCACTCTCCCAATACCCCGAGAAACCGCATTCCACACACCCATCGCCCCAGATCTCCGCCGCCGAGCCACCCTACAATGAGCCCCGTCGCATGAGTTTCAGCGGGCCAATTACACGACCCAGCAGCCAGCCACCGAACGCCGAAGCCCCGACGCGTCCGCCCGGTTATAGCCCCATCTCCCGCCCGTCTGGCGGTGCCCCCGACCGATATGAGCCTGTACAACGCGCCAGCTCTTCATCATACGCTGGTCCCGACCCGCATGGTCGGGATCCTCATGGGCGGGATCCTCATGGTCGCTTCGGCAGTCTATTTGGGGATCGTCGCGCGGAAGAAACTGCACTGAGGGAACGAGAACGGGACCGGGAACGGGAACGGGACCGTGAAAGAGAACGTGAGCGAGAGCGGGAACGGGATCGTGCTATCCATGGGCCTGACACCAAGGGGCCCCTTGGAGGACCACGATACGGTTCAGTTTATGGCGAACGGGAACCACTTGACCGGCACTCGAGCGCGTCGGCGTGGGAACAGGGTCGGTCACACCCGTCATCTCCTGAAACGAAACGCTTCCCTGCGCCCGACGCAGGATCAGGCTTTGGATTTGGGGCCATTCAAAGTTATACAAAGTCGCTCGGGTCTCAGCCTGGAGGCAGCCGGCAACCCCTCTTGTCACTGCAAACCGGACAGGGCCAAGTGTCACCCTCACAGCGCGAATCACCGTATCTCAGCAAACAACAAACTCAACCCCCGCGTTTGGGGTCGACTCCTGCAACGGCGTCCTCGACAACGGCTCCCTCTTTCGGGCTGTCTGCGGTCGAGGAGCAAGGGCGGCGCAAAGGCAGTGATGAGCTGCTACAGCATCGCAATCTTCTCGCTGTGGGTGCCGATGGTAGACGAGGTGGCCGAGCGTCTCCGCTGCCTCAGGCAGTTCAGGGTGCCCAAGCTCCATTCATCGGCCCCTCTGGCGAACCGGGGATCAAGAATGAGCTGGGAAGGGTATTTTCTGGAATTGGCAGTGGTGTTGGTGGTGTGACGGCTGGCTCAACTGGCAGCGGCCCGTCTACGCCGCTGATCGCAAGCCCCTTCAAGCGCGACAGTCTCACCGGTCGCTCGGTGAACGGGGAAGCCGATGATGCTAAGATTGCCCGACCAACATCGGCGGCCGGCCAGCGGCGGTCAAGGAAATCGCGAGATGAGGATGTTCAGGTGGACGAAGGTGGTGCCGGGCTATCCGGTCGTGGATCTCGTCGGTCTCGACATGCCCATCACCACCATCACCAGTATGTGTTCCCGTACTTCTGTTTCTTATAGGGTGATACGTGCTAATCGCTTCCTAGTCATCACCATCACCGTCACAAGGGGGAAGAGGAGGCTGCTACTCTTAGTAGCCTGTATCGGCCAACATCTACCAGTTTCTTAGGCCCAACATCTACTGCTGCCGAGCCCCTAGCCGGCCACCATCATCATCACCACCATCACCACCATCACGCACCTCGTCCCTCTGCCACGGTGCCCGCATCTCCCGTCCGCGAGCCTCGCACTACAGTGAACCTGGAACCGCTTCTGACGACCGTAGCCCATTTACCGCGACACCACCTGGGGTCTACTCTCTATACCCCTCGCATCGGCGTTCCCAGCGCAAAAGCCTCCTCGGAAAGCTCCAAGTTCGGCTACACCACCACTCCGCAGCCCCTTCCCCGGTTTGATGGACGTGAGAACTGTACTTTCACCATTCGAGTCCCCCGCTTCCGCATTGATGCGGCTCGGCGGGAAGAGATCTGTGCGCGACGAGCGTTGTGGGGCACCGGCGTGTACACGGACGACTCCGACCCCGTCGCCGCCGCCATCCACTCGGGATACATCCGAGGCGCCTGGGGCGAGGATGTGGATGAGTCCATGCTCGATCTGGAAATCAAGGACACCTACCAGCATGCCCCTCAAGCCACGGCGGATGGCAATGTGGAGGATGCCTCGAAAACCGCTACGGAAGCCAACGGTGCCCGTCTCCCGCCAGTACCTCCAGCTGACAAGGACCTACACATTACCCTCCTCATCCTACCCCGTGTCGAACTGTATGACTCGACGGTGATGTTCGGCATCAAGTCTCGTAAGTGGGCCGGTCGCCATGATGGGATGAGCTTCAAGGTTCACCGGGTGGACTGGGTGGATGACGGAGTCGGGCGCGGCGAAGAGCGAAGCGGCGAGGCCCGACGCAAGCGCTTGCGCACGCTGATGCACACAGGGCGCATTTGCACGGGGCCCGCCATGGCGAGGATGGACGAGCTTCGTCAAAGTGGTGTGCAAGTTCCCCGAACTCTGGATGGCCCGGAGAGGCAAAGGCCGACGCCTGTCCAGCTGGTCTCTTGATGACTTCCTATGGCAGTCATCTCTCCCCTCTCCTATCGTCATCTTTTTTTCCTAATCCTCTCTATTTCCTTTCGGGTCAGTGGGGAACGTGTTTACGGGCTATATGTTTCTGACTCTGGATCGGGGCGGGGCGTTTTCTCTTATTTTTTTCCCTCTATATTTCTACGTTTTCGTCAACTTTACTGAGGCTGTTGATACCTGCGAATAGCGAGTTGTTTTCTTTGGATGTGCGGTTATGTACTTTTCTTCCCTCTATACTTTTCGATTCTACTCCTTGACAGGCAGCCGGGTCAGCGGGAACGGATGAAGGGATTTCTCTGGCCTCCCTTTGGGGAGCGGGGGCTCCCTTACATGCGTCTGGCCCCTCTTAGCCATGGATTTATTACTTGGTTCTAGTATTTAGTCTCTATAATATCTACGACTCTCTCCGCGGAGAGCCGGTTCCCGGCCATTTGACCTTGATTTCCGTAGCGGCGAGTTGATGAACCCCGGCGCTAAAACGCAGCTCTCCCCGCAATTTGTGCGTTGCCACCGCTGCTTTTGCGGCAACCCTTGGAAGTCTAACCGGCCAAGAAATCTTACCGAAGTGCAATTTTACTGTAACTCTTTTATGCGCCATCTTCCATCTTCCCTTGCGATTCTATTCAGTCTCTTTTTCTCTCGGTACTCCACCTCGGTGAGCCGATCCTCTCTAGAGTGTCCCCATACTTGGCACCCTTCACAGGTCCACTTGACCACCCCCGGACTCTCCCACAGTCAACCGAGGCCCAGTCGGTAATACGGCACTGCCTGTCTGTAACCGTATTCCCGTCTTCTATTGTTTTCCTAGGGAAGACACCCCGCCATTTCACTACCCCGGGCGGAGCCGAAACACGGTGTGGTGACAATACGTGACCAGACCAAACACGCCCGTACCGTCCGCTTCGGTCCCTCCGTCCAGCCGAGGCAGTTCAGCAGGTCCGCCAGTTCTTATTTGGGCTTCCTCCTAGACACCATCGGCCTCTGACGGAATTCCTTTTCTCGTCGTCTCCCTTCCTCTTTATACCCCCACCCCCCAGAATTCTCCTTCCTATACCGCTGAGAGGGATGTTCGCTGCCTCTGCGCGAAGCCGTCTCTCCATCCTGTCAAGGCCCCGGCTCCCTCCGACACAACTGCTCGCCCGCTCGGTAAGACAGCCATTTCCGATCTCCCTGTGCGCATCTTTGCGGATAGGATATACTTGAGAGGAATCGCGGTGCAAAGCCTGCAGTTGGACAATTGAACTGACCCCCTATATAGACTCCCGCCATGGCTCGCAAGGCGTCGTCCGTCCCTGAGGGTGAGTTTATCACATGCCCCCACGCAGGAGGAAAGGGAAGCTTATGACGGGCATGCCCTCATGAGCTTCCTCACGCATCGTACCTAGCTGACTTTCGATTCAGGATACAAGGAGGATCTGTCCAAGGGCAAGATGCTCCGGTTCGAAGACTCCCTGCCCCGCCTCCCCGTCCCATCCCTAGAGGAGACCGGCAAGCGGTACCTCAAGTCCGTTCACCCGCTGGTATCCGAGGCCGAGTACGAGCGCACCAAGAAGGCCGTCGAGGCATTTATCCGTCCCGGTGGTGAGGGTGAGCCCCTCCAGAAGCGTCTGCTGGAGCGCGCTGCCGACCCCAAGATCAAGAACTGGCTCGCCGAGTGGTGGAACCAGGCCGCCTACCTGGGTTACCGTGACCCCGTCATTCCCTATGTCTCCTACTTCTATTCCTACCGCGACGACCGTGCGCGCCGCAACCCCGCCAAGCGTGCAGCTGCCATTACCTCCGCTGCACTGGAGTTCAAGCGCCAGGTCGATGACGGCTCTCTCGAGCCGGAGTACATGCGCGGCCAGCCCATGGCCATGAGCTCGTACGAGTACATGTTCAACTGCTGCCGTATTCCCGCCGAGGGCGAGGACTTCCCCGCAAGTACTCGGCCGCCGAGAACCAGCACATCGTTGTGGTCCGCAAGAACCAATTCTTCAAGGTTCCTCTGGTCGTCGACGGCCAGGCCCTGAACGTGTCTGAGCTGGAGCTGCAGTTCCAGCGCATCTACGAGACTGCCCAGCCCGCCCCGCCGGTCGGTGTGCTGACTGCGGCCCACCGTGACCACTGGACTGCTGCCCGCAAGACGCTCATTGCTGCCGACCCGGCTAACGAGCAGGCGCTGCAGGACATTGAGTCGGCCGGCTTCGTCATCTGTCTGGATGACGCCAAGCCTGTCACTCTGGAGGAGCGCGCTCACCAGTACTGGCACGGTGACGGCAGCAACCGCTGGTTTGACAAGCCCCTGCAGTTCATTGTCAACGACAACGGCACTGCTGGCTTCATGGGTGAGCACTCCATGATGGATGGCACCCCCACCCACCGCCTGAACGACTTCATCAACGCCCTGATCTTCGGCAAGAAGATCGACCTGTCCGCCAGGTCCGTCCGCTCGCAGCTGGCCGACCCCAAGGCCATCAGGTTCAGCCTGAATGATGAGGCCAACGAGGCCGTTGACGTCGCGGCCCAGTACCACCGCAAGCAGATTGGCTCGCACGAGCTGGTCGTCCAGGCTTACCAGGGCTATGGCAAGGGCCTGATCAAGAAGTTCAAGTGCAGCCCCGACGCCTACGTCCAGATGGTCATCCAGCTCGCCTACTACAAGATGTACGGCAAGAACCGCCCCACCTACGAGTCTGCCTCGACCCGTAAGTTCCAGGAAGGTCGTACCGAAACCACCCGTACCGTCTCAGACGAGAGCACTGCCTTCACCCGCGCTTTCTGCGACCCCGATGTCCCCCGCGAGGAGGTAGTCAAGCTATTCCGTGCTGCCCTTGCTCAGCACACCAAGTACACCCTCGAGGCTAGCGACGGCCACGGTGTTGACCGCCACCTGTTCGGCCTGAAGAAGCTCCTCCAGCCTGGCGAGAAGCTTCCCGCCCTTTACGAGGACCCCGCGTACACTTACTCTGGCTCCTGGTACATCTCCTCCTCCCAGCTCAGCTCGGAGTTCTTCAACGGCTACGGCTGGAGCCAGGTCATTGATGATGGCTTCGGCATTGCCTATATGATCAACGAGAACAGGTAATTACACCTTTAGCCCCCTACCATATCCTCATCCTCTCATACTAACGCCTTTTCCAGCCTCAACTTCAACATCGTCTGCAAGCGCCTCGGTGCCCACCGCATGAGCTACTACCTCAACGAGGCTGCCTCGGAGCTGCGCGACGTCCTCCTGCCCGATCTGGCCGCTCAGCCCGAGAAGCCCAAGCTGTAACGCTGGAGAGGTGTATGCTTGCATTTACGTTCTGTTTCTCTTTTGATTACCCGCGTCGGTTCGCAAGATTTGGTTTTCCGGTCTGATGTCTGGTTTCAGCGCCGCAATAGATGAATATATCTCGTTTGTACTGTCGTTGAGGCATGCATATCCTGTACAGTTGTGTGGATACAACATGAATACTTTTTTTCGTCTCTGAGTTCAATCGTGCTCTTTCTAGAAGCACATGTTCATTGAGAAATGCATTAGTTATCAAGTTCATACCCCTTTGTGCTCAGAGAAATTCTGTACTTGCACCAACTTGTTTTATAAGCTCAAAATGGTAAAGGGAATGGATAGGCTTTTTGAGGAAATCGACCCTATATTGTCTGACGGGATTATTGGGGCTAATTTATCAGCGTGAAATTGGTGGTTCATGGCATTGTGGCTGCTTTGTACGACGTGCCTTGCTTAGGCTGCGAGGTAGCTAATCGCTAGTTGAGAGGCTCACTCATTAGTCCCCGTACCACCACAGCTTCAAATACCCTCGCTGCATATGATGAGTCTCCTAGAGTAGGAAAGAAGGCTATTACGCGATACAGACTTGGTTGGGCAAACGTCTCATGTAGCTCGGTACAAAGTACGCTGCAAATTAAGAATATCCATATGTGAGATCATCATCGCGCCTTGGGGCAAACTCTAGCGGTGAAGGTAAGGAGAGCAAAGCAGTACTGGTTGAGGGGGAAACACTTCCCTCGTCTCTTGATTCGCATCCGGACGCCACGAACATGCGTAATCCTCCAAAAGGGGGAGAGAAGGGGGAGAGAAGGGGAGGGGGAGAGAAGGGGAGGGGGGAAAGCCGGGGGGGGGGAAGACACTCCAGACTTCGGAGTCTGCGAGACTTCCTTAGATTCATCTTCGAGCTGAGCAATCCCATCCACTCTAACATCATACCCTACCTGGGAAGCCGTGGCGTCCATCATAACCGGAAGTGAATAGGAAATCATTATCATTAGGAGGGGTCACCACGCTGATGACCGCAAGGACAAAGGTCGGCCAGAAGTTTTTTCGCTCAGTCTTTCCCGTCTGCCGATCGCACAGCCTGTGGGTCGGCCGTTTCGGGACCCTCTTGCCCCGACACTGGGCCCGATTCGGCAGCTGGTCTCGTAGAGGTAGTCAAATCGCCAATCTGCCGTTCTGGGGGTGGGTTAGATGATATTGTTCGGAGAGCAGTGCGGAGAATTAGGGGCTCCGCGTCGGGGTGGGGTACTCCGCGGGGTTTATTGCGGGAGGAGGCGTGAACCGGGGCTAACTTACCTAGCTCTCGAACACGTTGGCGCAACATCTGATTCTCTCGGCTCAGCATAGCCGCCTCGGCTTGGTAGTATGCACCCTCATCACGGCTGCCCCGTCGGGATGTGCTTTCCCGCAGGCCCGGGAATGCATCCATACCCTCTGATCCCCGAGAGGCATCTTGTGGCCGTAGGTTCGGCGAGGTCGCCTGGCTGGAAGGACGTGATGATCGGCGGTTGGAGAGTGAGGAGGAGATCGACAATCGGTTGCTGGGCCCTGTGGCTGGTAGAGGCATAGGGGGGAAGAACGTAGTCGACCGCTCTGAACCCGGGGTGGTATCATCGATGACTGCGGTCCCCGAGGCCGACGAATTCTGCTGTTGATTCTGCTGCTGGTACTGTTGCAACTGGGTCTGCTGACTGCGAATCATCTGCAGCAGACGGTTCTAGCAGACGCGGCCATTAGTTAGCAGCTGCATTTCGAGAATCAATCAAAGGTGAAGGATGGATGACCCACCACTTGTGCTTCCTGCTCTTGCTCCAATTCCTGGTGTAGCTCCCCCAACGACGGGGCACGCTGGTGGTGCGGGTCCGCCGTCGCAAAGACCGGGCTACCGCCGTGACTGGTGGGACTAGCCGTGCGGAATGCATGGCCCATCGAGCTACGATGCTCGGACCAGGGCGCGTCGCCGTTATTGCCCGAAGCTGCAGCCGCGACGGCCTCGTTGAGGTTGAGATGCATGCCGGCAGCCGATCGACGTCGCTCGGAGACCGATAATCGGCCCATACTCGACCCGCGCGAGGGCCGTGGGGAGGTGGTGCCGGGGTTGACGGGATTGACGGGTGCGGGGACGGGGTTGCCCGGGGATGCGGCGGACGGGTTCCGGTAAGGGAGAGAGGACGAGGACGAGGACGAGCGCGATGGTGGAAGCGAGTTCAAATCGGGAGACATGACGGAGAGAGACACACGGTGGCCGTGAGGAGACGAGCTTCGAGGAAGCTTCAATGCTCACTTGGGGCAGCGGGCATGAGGGGGTGCTGAGTCAGCCCATCGAGGGGGAGACAGTCATATGACCCATAAGTGCCTCATAATACAGGCATTAAGGTATTAAGGCATGCGGTGATTAAAGTAACTGAGGCATTCAGGCATTCAGGCATTCACTCCTCCACCAATTTCCCAAGAGGGGCCCCACTGAGCTGTGTTCTGATTTCCCAGGGTTCTCTCCACTTTTACTTTGAGGGAAGCTGGAGTCCGTTGTTCCACTCCCTTTCACAACTCGCATGAGCTGGTTGGAGCGTTGGCACTGCTCCAACTTTGTGCGACCAGCCTGCGACTGTACTGCAGTGGAGAAGCACAGCATGAACAATAACTAACTGTACGAAGTACGGAGTACGGAGTACTCCATACGGCTTGACGGGCAGCCACATTCTCCCGCCCGGCTGGGCTCCGGCCTCGGCCGGTGAATATCCCCTTCCCCAGAGCCCTTTGGTGCAACCGTCCAGTCCCTGTGCACCGCCTGTTCCCGGTGTGCCCTTGACTCAAGCGCTTTAACGAGTGGGATGGATGACTGCATCAAGCCCAGGGATCGAGCCAGGGATTCCAAGTCAGCCACGCAGATCCAACGCGCCTCCCGACGCCCTCTGAGTTTCTGAGTTTGGCAGGGCGCCAAGCCCCGAGAAAAGGAAAAAGAAAAAGAGACGGCGTCTCCGGGTGGGACAGGCGGCGCCAGACTTTGCGAACCAGCGGTGGATGATAAGTGCTGAAAGTGTCGATAACCGGAACGTCGCGTTGCACACCGTATACGATGGTGTATTTTTTTTCTTCTGGATCATCTTTGTCTACGGGATACGGAACACATGTCCACGGTGAAGTCCATATCTTAGGTATACTGTGCTTAGCCACAGGACTGACAATCATATCCCAACTGGCATTTGCACATCCTGTTAGTCATTGACATCCACGTTTTCCGTTCAGCCGTGGAAATATTGCGTAAGATCTTTTGGTACATTCTAGGCCTGCCAAGATAGGTGTCTGAAGTATGTGTTGGACATACAACTGTTTCTGTGGAGTGATAGCCACGCAAGGATCGCGTGGCGTCTCGGATACGATCTTGTCGATCATCCAGATGAAATAGGGTGACCATGTGCAGGCAAATCATGCAAGGTCGCATCGCTTGCACCTTCTCTCTATTAGTTTTCCGATTGTCTGCCCTCCAGATGCCCTGTCCCAGTCCGGAGTTGGCCCTGCACAGACGGTCGTTTCCGGACGACGTGCTCCGTGGATGTGGTCCGATCCACCTGCAGGCGGTGTGACTTGGTGGGCCAGCCAAACTCTGTTCCTCAAATTTTTTTTCGGCTCCACAAGGTCAAGGGGCTCACGGACTCCTGGGGAACCAAGCAAATTGGGGGTCCAAAGTAAGTATAAGAAATACCGCATGGACAGGACACAGTGAAGAGAGTGGAGGGGGACAGGGAGGCTGCAAGGGATTGGGATCGGCCCTCCATGCCTCATGTGGTTGACATCGGCGCTTTGACGTGCTTCGATCCAGCGTTCTGGAAAGTTGGCCACAAAGGCGACCGGTAAACGTCCACCAAACAAACAGAACCCAGAAATCATCTTCGGGCGCCTGGAGAGAGGCATCAAACGAGACACAGCGTAAGCGCCTCCCGCGTCAGAACAAGACTTCTCGGCCCCTGCCTAGATGACGATCGCCGCGACGCCACGCCCGTAATCAAGCGGGCGGTACCTGCTCCTGAGTCTCCTCGTCTCAGCCGCCCGCACAAAACCATGGCCATCGCTCCAATGGGATAATGTGATAGGACGCGACTGCGCCGAGTCCTCCGCCCCAACCGCCTTGACGTCACTGGGCGATCGCATCCCTGGCCCGCGGCGATCGCGAATCCTGGCTCAGCCAGGATCACTGTATGTCTCCCGTCCATCAGGAGGCCATGTTATGGTTCGGCTAGGTCGCCTTGACTAAAAAGAATTTCTGAGGATTGCGCGCCTGCGTCATTTTTGTCTGTTTTCTTGTCGACCCCCCCCGTAGTCCTTGATCTGCAATGGGGAACCATGCGGTCCGGGCACTCCCAGGCAAATAATCCCGACTCCTTGCATCGTGGGGCTCCACACGGCCCATCTCGTCTTTGACATCGCGACGTCCTAATCGGTCGAGATCAGAACTGTAGATTCGAGGTTGCATGCGTCCGTCCAGATGAGTAGAAAGGTATGGCCAGACGCGGCAACGCCATCTCCCCTGTGTATCCCCGATGCGGACATTCCTGGCTCAATTTGACCCCAAAGCGGCCTCCTCGGCCGTTGCTCGGAGGGGAGCAACATTCGATTCCTGGGAAAGCGATGAACTCGGGCCCTTCTGGTCGGCGGCGCCTGGCGAGTGGAGCCGAATGGCCAATTGCGGGTTTCGCAGGGCCCGTGGGGCGACCTCTTTCCGGCGCGTCATCTGGCGGCCTCTGCGGTAATCCTGCAGAACCAGGGCCACAGGATGCAGATGTGTTGCGCGGTCTATCTCGAGCGTAAATGCAGAATTTAGGATTCGTAGCGCCCGTTGGATGAGGAGTGCAGTCTCTTCTCGTGTCGAGGCTGGAGCAGACCTGGGGCGCATCAACAAAAAGTGGGTATACGGCATGAGCCCATGGGGAAGGAATCAGTCGGCATCCCGCGTCGGTGACGCAAAAGGAAACTCCACGGCGAGGCAAGAGTCTGGAGAAATGATGGAGTAGGTATCATCCCGTGGGATCCGAACGATCAGAACCTGGGGGTTCTCAATGGACAGAAAGCGCAAATGAGTGGATGTGGGAGAAAACTACAAGTGGATGGCCCAAGGAATGCCCGCATTTGACTGCGTTGGGCCAAACCGGCCAAATTGAGTGCGGTCTGGTTGCTGCTGGTTCCTGCTGGTTTCTGCTGTTGCATCGCACCTGCCCAGTCGGTGGTATGAGCCCTCTTCCCTTCTTTTCATTATTTATTGCCTCCCTCGCCCATCTCTGTTTCGGTTGCCGTTATATTTTCCCTCTCCTCTCCCCACTTGTGTTCCTCTCTTCCCTCCCTGCTTCTCATCCTCCATTCCCTTTCCCCGGATTCTACCTCTCTTCCCTCTTCTGTCTTTCTCCCTCTCTCTGGATTATCTCTGACTCTGTGATTGCCCCCCATCCTGTGCCAATGTGAGTATCACGGGCGTGTGCAGCGAGCGGTATGGACAATAGCTAACATGCTTCTTCTCAAAGTGTCCAGTATGGCGAGCACCCCAGAGAAGCTGGGTGGCTTCGACGCAGTGCAGATGTCGGAGGCCTCTAGTGCAACCCAGCAGGAGGTGGTCAATGTGGAGCTGAATGAGAAGCTGGAGCACAAGGACGCACAACTTGAAGATGCGGATCCCTCGAACCGAGTCGAACTCACGGAGGATATGTGCTACGACAAGCTCGGATACTCGTTCAGCGAGAAGCGAAAGTGGATGATTATTACGGTCATCTTCCTCGTCCAGACCTCCATGAACTTCAATACGTCCTTGTACTCGAATGGCCTCAATGGAATCTCGGAGGAGTTCGGTGTCTCCATGCAGGCTGCCCGCTGCGGTGCCATGATCTTCCTGGTTCTCTACGCCTTTGGCTGTGAGCTGTGGGCACCATGGAGCGAGGAGTTGGGCCGCAAACCCATCCTCCAAGCCTCTCTGTTACTCGTCAACATCTGGCAATTGCCCGTGGCTCTTGCGCCTAACTTTACCTCCGTGATGGTCGGCCGTGCTCTGGGCGGTCTCTCCTCCGCTGGAGGCTCTGTCACCTTGGGCATGATTGCTGATTTGTGGGAGGCGGACACACAGCAGTATGCCGTCGCGGCAGTTGTCTTTTCATCCGTCGGCGGCTCTGTTCTGGGCCCTGTGATCGGTGGTTTTGTGGAGGCCTTCCTCCCATGGCGGTGGTGTATCTGGATTCAGTTGATCTTCGGCGGCTTTGTTCAAATCATGCATTTGCTGCTTGTTCCGGAGACCCGAACGACTGTGATGATGGACAAGATCGCTAAAAAGATGCGCGAAAGCGGCGAGAACCCGAATATCTACGGTCCCACCGAGGGCATCTCGTTCCGCCAGCGTTTCCCGCCCCGCGAGCTCATGGCTACCTGGATTCGCCCCTTCCGCATGTTCCTGACGGAGCCTATTGTGTTGACTTTGTCCCTCCTGAGTGGGTTCAGTGACGCTCTGATTTTCATGTTCATCCAATCTCTGTCGCTGGTGTACGGACAGTGGGGATTCAACACCTGGGAGAAGGGTCTGGCTTTCATTCCCATCTTGATCGGCTACCTCATTGCCTGGATCTCGTGGTTCCCAGTCATTCGCCGCAACGTGAAAGAGCGCCGTGATAATCCGGACAGCGAACGCGCGCAGTATGAGTCTCGTCTGTGGTGGTTGCTGTATACCGCCCCCTGCCTGCCTATTGGTTTGATTGGTTTCGCTTGGACTAGCTTGCCTCAGTGCCACTGGATTGGCACTATGATCTTTGCCGCCATCATTGGTATCGCTAATTATGCCATTTACATGGCCACGATTGACTATATGATTTGTGCCTATGGACCGTACTCTGCGTCTGCCACCGGCGGCAATGGCTGGTCTCGAGACTTCCTGGCTGGTGTGCTGACTATTCCGGCTACCCCCTTCTTCGAGAGTAAGTGCCTCGTGGAACATTTTCTCTGGTTCACTCGTGACTAACGCACTTGGACAGATATTGGTGGCAAGAACCATGTCGAAAACGCTTCTACTATTCTCTGTATGTTTCTTTCTCAAATGCTGCTTAGGAATAGTAAGCTGACCGTGATCTCCAGTCTGTATTTCGGTGCCGCTGGTTGTTGCCGTCTACGTGATTTACTGGAAGGGTCCCGTTCTCCGAAAGCGCTCCCCATTCGCCCAGCAACTCGAGGAGGCCCGTCACGATGTGGCTATCCAGGGCCGTCAATTGTCCAAGGTTCCGGAGGCGTCGCGCGCCAACTCGTATGCGCGCTCTCAGCAGGACCTCCGCATCCGGCAAACTATGGGCAGCCGCCCCGGTTCGCGGGTCAACTCCCGGGCCAACTCGCGGGTCAACTCGCGTCGCAACAGTCTTGCGGCTCTCTGAGCTACTCGTTCTCAACATGAACAAGGTTCTCGGGACGATTTTCTGACGCTCGTACATGGAATTTTGCTCTCGGAACGAGGACTGCGGGAGTGGAGCTTGCTGCCGTGGAAATCTATGGGCATTTTCACATCTTCTTTTCTCTGTGCATGTCTTCAACCGCATGATTCCTTTGCGCTGGCGTGGTGGACTCTAATTATTTTCCTTGGTAAACGGTGGGCATACTGGTTTTCAATATGGCTAGCATGAGTACGCCCCGTGTCGTGCCGGCGCGCCAATGGCCTCGGGTCTTTTCTAGTAATGGCTGGCTTATTTCTCCTTCTGTTTGTTTTTGCTTGCGCTGTTCGCAAAAGTCTGGTGTTGATGATTTTCCTGGTGATGTGATGTACGCTTATGGGCTTTGGCGGCGGACACGACGCAGGTTACGATTTCTATTGTTTAGCTGATTACCCCCAATTCATTCGATCGCCTTTGCCCTGTGATCCCGAGGACCTGTAAATGGTAGTCGCCTAGAGACACTGAAAAGACTTTGAATAGCGCAGAGATTTCGGCACGGCGGCTGGGCTGCATTTCTGTCATAACGACCTCCTGCATATCCCCCGCTTCATCCAACGCGAGATTTGATCGGCGATCTCTGTGGAGGGCTCGCGTGGCTGTCGATGACTAGTGGAACCCTGCAAGCGAGCTAGACGATCGTACCAGCTTTCCAGAAGCGGGGAGGGCACGGACATGGAACCATTGGTGGTGATTATTGGCTGGATGGCAGTGTAGCATCGCCAACCGGAGACGTGAGATCTGGACGTTTGCGGGAATCGGTCTTCTGCGGGGTAGCATGTTGAGCAACATACCCTCTTGATCTCAGATGTACCTCTTTCGGGTTGCATTGACATGTCGTGGGCTTGGTGGCTTGGGTGACTACCTGGTTGACTCGCTGCGGATGAAGGATGCAGGATGCAGAATATGCGGGAGGGTTAGTTGGAGCCAGGGTGATCTGGCAGCCCCTTTGGGCTTATGCTTGACTGAACCCTTGACAAAGCGCAGAGAGGCAGCGGATAACATGCCAACGAGGCAGGCTACATATCAATGCCCCCTGTTCTTCGCTGATCACCTTGGTGGTCCGTTTTATACTTCACAACTGGCCGGCACGGCGGTCCGCTTGGTCCGTGCACGGGCAACACCTCCCCAAAGAATCGCCCGCACCGCGTCTCATCACCCCTGCAACGATGGGCATTTCCCCCGCTTTCCGTCTCGGTGGGAGATTCTCCCGGCCAAGTCCTGTTCTGCTTGCACGAAGAACCGCCCCATTTAACCGGTTCAACCAGTTGACCTTGGGACGAATGGCCTCCAACACCGCCGAACCGCGTTTCGCCGAGGGTGAACATGCGGCGCAGCTGGGCCCAGAGACGCAGACTCTCCTGCAGCAACAGGGATGGGCACTAGACACTGACGGAATGGGAGTCACCAAGACCTTCCATTTCAAAAGCTACTTCAAGGCTGTGGTGAGTGCAACCGGCCGTCGCATTGGCGACGACAATACTCCGTACCATTGGCCTTTGCTGACCGGCGAGATCAGTCCTTTGTCAACCTCATCGCCTCTGAAAGCGCGGCGAAGAAGCACCACCCCACTATGACCGTGGTAAGTCCATATCTTTGAGAGAAAGAGGAAGCGGGAGGTATTGAATCCGGGTGAGGGGCTAATAATAACATCCGAAGCGGATCGGCTCCGTCGATGTGCACTGGACGACGCATCGCCCGCGCGGCCTCACTCACAAAGACATCACGATGGCTCGGCATTGCGATAATGGCGCCGGGCTGATGGGTGCAGTCGAGTCCGGGCAAGGATTGACGTGCGGACCAACTCAGTAGCCAGCAATGGAATTCTCGCGACACCCTTTTACTCATTCGCAATTGACGCAGGAGGCACAATGGGCGATGACGGTTTGCGTGTGGAAAGTTTGGATGGCCGAGTGGAGCGAACGGCTGAGCTCCACCAACGAACGCGTGGGCGCGGTGGAAATGATATCCTTCGGACACAAGCAACTAAAAGCAAACAGGAAAGGCAAGAAAGAAACAAGGAAAGAAGACTCAAACTATGGATGGACCGAGATGTACGGAGTACTCTGTACTCCATAAAATATTTAAGATTGACCACCTGGCACCGCCGAACAGGGCATGGACTCTTCTGTGGCTAGTCCGTACGAAGTATAGTTGATGTGATGGATCCCGTCTCCGGTCTACGCCTATCACAGGCAAGCAAATATGGTTCTGCCTTGTAAGAAGAGGCGGCGGAAAAAATCGTTCTCCATGGTTGTGGTCAGTAATAGGAAATAGCTGGGCAGAAATATGATCATTGCCAGTCTGATAGGAATTCAGTGAATTTGGATAGGCTCTGGGCTCTTGGCTCTACTCCGTAAGCGAGGCACAATAATAGTATACCGTATGGAGTACTCATACAATGGTAACAACCAACCTGGAATCCCCCCAAGAAAAGGAAAGGAGCTCAGGGGGCCAATTTTAGCGGCCATGCACGCCGAGTCACTCGAGGACCAACTTCTGGCCCGTCACCTTCGGCCAGTCACCAGCCGTCTCTCGATGTCCCCACTCCCGACCTCCAAACCAGTTCCTTCCGCATTGCCTTGCTGCTTCTGCCGGTGCGATCTTCGGCCTCTCCTGGACAATTCGTCTCCTCGCTCTCCTTGATCCCCCCGTGCCTTGGCCCTGGCCTTTGCCAACCCGACCGCCTGATCTCAATCACGCATGACGCCAAACGGCCATGCAGATGCGCCCACGTTCTCGCCGATGATCCTTTCCCTCTTAGAGTAGCCTTTGTCCCCTTTACCTGACAGTCAGCCTGAGCCTTGAAATCGGCCATGCTCTGTTGAATGTGGTCGCCATCACAGGACCATCCGCGGGCCAACAATGTCATCCATAATGACGAATGACCCGCCGCAGCCGTCGGCGTCCTTCGGCGAGCGCAGAGGTCACCGTCTCGCGCCATTGCAGACCAATTTCAGCCGACCCACGGCGGGACAGTCCAAAGCGGCCCCCTCGCGATTGCAGCGCCCCAGGCCAACCGAATATCCCAGCACCAATGGCTCTGAGGGGCCGGTTCCTCTTCAGAGCCCGGTCAAGCGACAGTCGTCCAAGTCGAGCCTGCGCAGCCTCTTCGCTCGCGATAAAACCCAGCGTACAGGTGCGGCTGCGGCCCCCGATACCAAATTGGCCGAGATTGAGGAAATCCAACCCCCAATAAACCACGAGACAACAGAGACCACAGAAACAACAGAAACAACAGCAACAACAGAATCAACCCAACCGATGGCAGGAGCCGACATGCCATTGTCGCCTGTTCTCACTAGCCCCCGGACGACCGCATCAACCCCAACATTGACCTCGCCAACTACCCCACGACCCCGAGCAACATTGAAAACCACAAGGCCAAGGCCCACCGATTCCAAGCCACTCTCGCAGGAACAGTATGGCTGGAAGCCTCCTCCACTCTTCCAAGCCTACCCCCAATCTTACAAGCATGAATGCTTGTCTGCACCGGCCATGTCTGCAGACTCAATTCTGCGTCTCCAAGCCCCCACAGGGATTGCGGGTGCCAGTGTAGGGCAAGATGAAACAGCCGACGCAGCCCGGAAGAAGAAAGAACAGAAAGAGCGCAAGCATCTCCGAACATTGTCGGGTACAATCAACAAGGTCGAATGGACACAGAAAATCTACGTACTCGCCACGGCGGGCTTCATCCTCCAGTACGCAGGCGAAGGGAAAAATGACCGTCTACCAGAGAAGATGCTGCAGTTAGGCCCCCAATCGGTTGCATTTGCCAGCGATGCCATTCCTGGGAAGCACTGGGTGCTTCAGGTTTCTCAAAGTTCCGCGACAGACATAAGCGCTGCGCCTGCTGAACCCTCTAAATCGGGCCGCTTCTCGCGTTTCGGCTTCAATCGATCCCATGCGCGCCGTATGGCCAGCAGCTTCCTTTTAGTTTTCGACAACCCTGACTCCATGATCTCCTGGCTCATGGCAGTTCGGGCAGAGATCGAGGCCCGCGGAGGTCCGAAATTCACCACAGAGAAGCATTCCGATGATAACCAGGAGCCTCGGCTTCGCAGCAAGTCTAGTACCCGGAACATCGTCAAGAAAGACCCGCATCGCATCTCAAGCTTGTTTCTGCAACCTCAGGGTCTCCGTTCACCAGATGATGATGGACACTCGGTTGGTGGTTTGACCTGGCAGTCTCGACGGAGCTCATACGTTTCGATGAACCGCCAGTCAATAATTGATTCACGCTCTGGTTCGGTATCCACGGGCTGGACAGAGGCTACAGGTCATACCAATGGATCCGATATCCGAGCATCTTCATTCACTTCGGTCAATCCCCCCAACTCACCACCTCAGGGGAGTGGTCATGCTCCCGACGAGGCCCGGTCAAGGGATGTTGATTCATCCTACACTCGCAGTCCTCCCACGTCCAGCCATGGCAACAACAAGCGCCAATCGCTTTATATGTCTACCAACCCGCAAGACAATCCTGTTCCTCTTCGCGCCGAAGTCATTCTGCCCAGTCAATTTCCCCCAAGTGTACCCGAATCATCAGTGCGAAGTGCCTCCCCGCCAGCGCCAAACTTCAGCGTCCCTTCATTCAGCAAAAAGTTCGTCTCAAGGCCCGGGCCACCTCCCGTCACGCAGGCTTCTCCGCCCCCATCTGTAGCTGGTGTTCTTCGGCGGGGGGAAAGTATTGGAGACTTTAGCATCTCCAGCATTTCCTCCCCTCCGCAATCTCCCACGTTCAGTGTCACAAGTTCGAAGTATACCGATTCTCCGGAGCCGACATTTGTTGCGCGGGATCCTAATGGTCGACGCATCCTACGACCATCCATTTCAGAAGATGCCTTATCGCGAACTGTGCGCTCAACCCAGAATGCCCCTAATTTCGCCCGTGTGCCTCGCGCTGCGCCCTCTGAAACCAGTTCCCCGCCATCTCGCCCTCTCAGCATGCTAGGTCGCTCTGGGCTGGGCATTCAGATATGCAGAGAGCTGCAGATGCAGCCTCTCCCTCCAGCGGAGCCAATTCCAGTTCCTCGCAGCCGCAACATGGACCAAACACACCAAAACATATTCCGCCGTAAAAGCATGCCTGGACTGACCATTGGACCACCGGCCGCACCACCACCAAACTGTCCGCTCCCCAAAATTCCCTCTCCCATTGCTGCTCAAGCATCGCCGGCCTGGTCAACGAGTCCTCCCGCCGATCGATTCTACCAGTCACAGCAAGTCCGTGAACATATCCAAGACCGACGACGGAGTGGTCTCCCACCAGTCCTTCCCGCACCGAAAAATGGCAAGCTGTCAAAAACAGCTCCGCAGCAGTCCAGCATGATCCAATGAACTCGTCATGCACAAGACAGATACGATACAAAATCCCTTGACGCCGAAATCTTCCGCTATACCCGGTCGCCTTGTCCTATATACCCTCTCCTCAGCTTCTCGTCTTATCTTCTCTGCTCATTCTACACCTACGTGTTATAATCCTCGGCTTATCTGGCTCGCGAGATCCCGCGGTACCGCACTCCTTGATCGTTCCTTTCGCGTCCTGTCCTTATTATCCCCTTGTGCATTTGTCAACTGCATAGAATACCCAGAGCAAGTCTCGCAAGCATATGGCATATCCGCCTTCTTTCCTAGATCATCTCCCGCCCCCTGGGCCTTTTCCTTTTTCGGTTCTATTCGATTGTTCTAAACTGACGACTCCCGTCTGTTCATGTATACTAGCTGTCAACTCTACTTCATCTTATGTTCTGTCTTATTTATACCCCGTTTTTCCATCATTTGTCAATGTGAAGCTTTCAGAACTCGGTTTTCCGTTTACGGTTTTTCACCTTTGCCCGAACATTTTGAAGGGCTCAAAATTACGGTGTCTAGTTGTTGCAATAAAATAGAACGTTGGCGCTGGGGACATTTCACCTACTCCTTTCCACAACACACCGCTTTGAGTGGTGTGGCTTAGTCGGTAGGTCACGGTTAATAGTTATGTTTAAGATAAGATCAGTTTTAATAGATTTCATTTTTACCAAGAATTGGAAGACAGCCCTGCAAAAAAGTAAAACATTAAACGCCGGAAAGAGCATCTTATGAATAAAGCGCAGTCCCGCAGTCGAGATGGCAGGAAAACAGCACCCGCTTCCCAGATGAATGCCTGGCAGCCCCGAGTTACCCACGTAGCTGCACGAAAATATGATATCAGAAAACATTACTCCTCCACTTCTTCCACCCGTGCAGTCAGATCCCGTTTCACAGTGGTCGAGCTAGGTGCGGATACGGGCTCCGCGGAGGTAGTGGTTGCTGAAGCCGTGGCCTCTTGGGATGGGCCCTCGACAGCAGTAGCCTTGGACTTCTTGCTCTTCTTCTTCTTACTCTAATTTTTGCGATTAGTACTGATAATGTCTATGAGGGGAAATCTCCTGGGACTTACCTCCTGCCAGCCCCACAACGGCTTGAAACTGTCAAAGAACCCGACATCCTCGAACAAGTTGGGGAACAACCAAAGACCAGGCGGCACAGCGAAAACGGTGACGCAGAAAAGAATCAGACGGAAGATCGACATAGCAAAGAAGAGACCGAGAAGACCCATCATGCCCACACTCAAGTACCACACACCCTGGCGCAGCATGATAGGCCATAGAGGGAACAGCACAACGGCAAAAATACCGGCCACGACTGCGGCAGCCATGGCCTTCTGCTTCCACTGCGGCCCTTCATACAGCCAGACGTAGTGCATCATGGGGTTGGTCTCCTGATGCTGCTCGATCTTCACGGTCCACTGGCCCTTGACGCGATTCTTTGGCTTGGCGTGGTCGTGCCCCGCGTGCGGGTCGACCTTGCTTACCCGCAGTGCTAGCAGAGAAAGCGGAAGAAGCTTGAATGTATTCTCGGCGGAGGCACGGTCAGTCACGGGTGGGAGGAGGGAGTTCTTCTTTGCGGCAGCTTTGGCGTAGGCGGGGGACTCGATGGCGCGGATGGCTCGCTTAACTGTAGTCACGATCAAATTAGAAATCGATGTCCTCGGCATTGAGTTGAAGTATGCTTGCACCCACCCTTGAACATATCCTTTCGCTGCCCATCCAAGATACAAGTCCGCGGCTTCAAGTTCTGCGACCGCAGAAAGTGGGCCACGGCCAGGGCCTTGGGGTCCGGCGGCTGCCCTGGTTGAACGGGCACTTGGTGTGTCTGCTGTTGTGGCTGAGGCTGCTGTTGAAGCTGTGGCTGTCCTTGCTGTCCCGATTGTTGCTCTTGCTGCTCCTGTCCAGGCTGTGGTGATCCTTGACCCTGACGCTGGGCCTCCATCTGCTTCTGATGCGCCTGGAGCGCCCGCATCCGCAACTGCGCAATATACTGCTCTGGCGTCAGACCAAGCTTCGCAGCGTCAGCTGTCAGCTGCTCGCGCTGCTTCTGCGCGAATTGCTCGGGGGTCATCCCTCGTTTGGCGGCCTCGGCGGCGAACTGTTGTTGCATGGCCGCGATCTGCTGGGGGTTGGGCTGACCGGGCGCGGCCATTGTGATGGTTGGTTAAAGGGTCAAGTATCCGACAAGAATTGGAAAGGAAAAAAAAAAATGAAAGGAGACCGAGTTGGGCGACGGTGCTGTTGGCGGAATAAGAAAGTTGGTTTGTTGGTCTGAAAGAGTGAAGTGGCCAGATCGACTCAGGTGATCTGCCTCCGCCCTGCAGCTTCTCCGGCTTTCGCAGCCCCAGCCGGGCGGACCGCAACTGCACGTCGGACGCCTCGCATGGAGTCACCACCCTGCACTCCTCCATGTCGGTTTCATATGACCCTGAAAATGGCATTAATGATGCTAAGTGGATAGCGCTGCTCCTGGTTTGTCTACACTTTCTGTCATCGCGCCTTTCCAGAACTACGCCAGAACTAACGTCACCCCTCCCCCAGAGTGAACGCGACGTAGCCGGCCAGATCCCGATCAACTTCGTCACCAACCCTGCCGTATCACTGTCCTCTGCCTGCTTTGGCAATGGCTTATATGATCGAAAAGATGCCGCGAAGTGCATCTCCAATCTCCTCGCAGTTGGGTATAGACGGCTGGTCGTAGATCTGTATTGGTCGGTGGAACGCCGAACATGGACTTTCTGTCCGGTTGAGATTCCCGCCAGGGCCGACGTGATAGTATCAGCTTACACATCTACAACAACTGAAGCCTCGACAACTTCTACAACGACGGAAACAGCCACGACGACATCGGGTGCAGAAGCCGCGGCCATCACTGGATACACTGATTCACATGGGGATACGGTCTATGAGGTAGGACCCTACAGGTGCACCAATGATCTCGACCTGTATAGACTATCAGAAGTACTTGTGGGCTACTTTCAAGATACGGCATCTGAACTCCTGGTCTACACGACATATTTGGTCCTCAACCTTCATGTCGCTGGTAGCGATGCCGAGCCGACCGAGCCGGCCAAGGTGGTGACAGGCGATGATTTACCATCGTCGGATACAGAGCGCGCTGGCTCGTTCCTCCATACGGCTCTACGGCAATATATATACAGCCCTGCTCAGCTTGCCAAGGACCGAAGCGATCTGAATGAGTCATGGTATAACGTTGAACAAAGCTACATGCCGATTGTAGAATACTTCACCGTTCATGAAGACAAATCAGGCAAACAAAGTACTCCAGATGGATGGCCATCGGCGAAGTACATTCAACTAGCGAAATCAGATCGAATTCTCGTCGAATATGGATCAGTGGATCCGCAGCTTGCCAGCTACGACCTTTCTCAAGATGAAGATGGCATTTTCCCTCCCGGCTATCTGACTTCTGGGGTAGATATATCTGCCGCTACGAATGGCACCCTGACATCGGGCTGTCTGTATAAGGCGGAAGCCACAGAAGTCTCCCAGGCAAACTCATCCTGGGCTCTCTCCAATCCCGTCCCTGTTCCGAATGGATCATCCACAGAGAGTGCTATGGGATCATTAACCAATATCATCTCCGGAATAACGAGATGCGGCATCTCCCCAATGCTCAACACCACCCTCTTCGGTCAAACAGCGGACACTAACGTGGAGCATTATCGCAACGTCTCCTTGTCGACGGGATGGGCATGGGCAATTGGTGAACCACAGGGTGCAGCCTCCGGGGGCGGCACTGCGGATGAACCCAGCTTCGACCGCTGCGCTGTCATGGACCTATCATCGTACGGACACTGGCGTGCCACTAACTGCTCCGAACCGCGACGAGGCGCCTGTCGTGTGGGCAATTCACCTTTTTCATGGGCCTTGTCCAATGCCACGGTGGAGTATCCAAATGTCTCAGACACCTGCCCTCCGGGATCCACCTTCGCGGTCCCACGGACCGGTCTGGAGAACACTTACCTCTACGAGTACCTCCTGACCCAGCCCGAAACAACTATCAACCCTGCGTCCACCGATCCTAACCTACGGGAGATCTATCTTGACTTTAATTCTATCGATGTAACATCGTGCTGGGTTTCAGGTGGCCCTGCAGCAGAGTGTCCCTATGTGTCCGACCCTCAACAACTAGAGCACAGGACTGTGCTTGTGGCGGCCATCGCTAGTATTATCATCTGTATTATCACAGCTTTGACTCTTTTCGTCAAATGCAATGCTAACCGGCGTAATTTTCGTCGGCGAAATCGTGTGATCGGGGGTTGGGAGTATGAGGGTGTGCCCTCGTGATGCGCATGCATATTCTGTTCTTACTTCTGTCTTAACATTTTTGACCCTATGATACCCTGATTGATCTGTGGTTTGAGTGGATTGTGCCCTTCTTTGGAAAATCTATACTGACTAGTAGATGCGTTTTCGTCCGATCTTTGCTGGTTTTTACCTTGCGGGGTCGCTCGCAGTTGATAAATCGGGTGTCTTAGGTTGCTTATGATGCGTAGATGGCATTCAAAGGAGAGGGATACATTGCAGCAGCTATCATCAGATCTCCTAGGCCCGGATTGCTGAATCGTATGGGCTGCTCCAAGCACAGTTGCAAATTATATGAAGTCTAACCAACCAACTGTCACTACTCGTTTGAATTGGCCGATCTCTGAGAACAAGGAGATGAATCCTTCAAAATGTCACGATCATTATCAAATTTGCTATGTGAAGTATCCGCACTAATAAAAATATCCGTACACCAAGAAGTAAATCGCAGCCAGAAATAACCCGTCCATATGTCAAAGGGGCCTGCTAGAACCCGAAAAGAGATGAAAAGAAATCGATCGCTACATGCCGTTCATAAAATTCAAGAACGGTAAACTCCGTATCCCGAAAAAAACATTCAGATATCCTTTTCCCACCGTGTATCGAATCACAGTCCCGCGAACCGCGCCCATCCAGCAGCTCGCGTAGACGCTGGCTTCTGGCTCTGGCTCTGGCTCTGGCTCTGACTCGGACTTGGGGCCTCGTCGGGGACGTTCAAGCTGCGGCCTTCCTCAGCCACTTTACCGCTCACATCCCGGCGACGTCCAACACCCAGACCAGCAATGTAGCTCCCGTAGGAGGACAGGGAGGCACCAACACCACTGACGAGGCCCGGTCGAGCGGTGTCTGTGCCGGAGTTGCTGACAACACGGCCCTTGCGGTCTCCTTCCACTGCGCCTCGGGTATTCAAGTAGCTCTCATCATCGCTGTCATCCTTCTTCAAGGATTGGTACGCGGACATCTTCTTGCTGCGCTGCTTGGAGAGCTTGGTTGGCTTGCGGGTCAATTCCTCTTTGGCACTGACATGGCGCGATAAATCCAATCCAGGCTTGCCCTCTTCCTCCAGATCACCATAATAGCGGGTCTTAAGTGATGGCATGTCGAGGGATCCCTGCGGAACCACCTGAGCCTTTTGATTGGAGATGTTCAAATTATCACCCAATACACTGCGTCGCACTGGATCGGTGTCTTCGGGCTTCTCCATGAGGATCGGCTGTGGAGTCGGGGGGTTCAGCATAAGTGGGTTGAAGGGAAGGCCATGAGAAGCCTCATCATCATGGTCGTGGTTGTGCTCTTCGGGGTCGGGGAAGATGTTGAAGCGTTGGTCACCCAGGTCCTGCTCGTGCTTTTCATCGTCGTTGGCGTAATTCTCGTGCATTGCCAGTGATGCATATTCTCCGCGGGTGTCTTCAGGGATTATGCTTCCGATGCTCGCAGGCTTCTGTCCGTATGCGAACCAGTCTCGGATACCATTGCCGCCATGTGAGGTAGCTGTGGAGGTGGTGCGGCGACTATAGACTGACGATGACTGACGAAGAGCGGCAGCATTCTCATTGTTGACGTCGCTTATGGGGGATTGCGAACGATCGGAGTAGGCAACCCAGTTATCAGACACGGAGCTCACCGAGTGCGATCTATCTGCAGTGCGAGGTACCAAGTGGAGGGTGTGAGTGCCGGGGTCCACAATTTCAGGCGAATGCATAGCCACGTTGCGGTATTCAGGGGCCGGAGTCTGGGAGGTGATATCATAAGGCTGGCTGGCAGGATGCTGGAACAGCATCTCCGGACCTGAGAGCTCCATGTGAGACAACCGGTGCGGCCGAACAGATTCCCGAGACTGAAACTTCTCGTTAATCATGTCCATTGATCCACGGTTAGAGTCACCAGCCGAGGACTGGCCACGCGTATGCATGAATGGCACAGAGCGAGGAGAACCAATGAGCGGGGCATCGAGGCTCGAATTCAGCGTAGAGGAGCTCATATGCTTCTTATCCACATCAATCTCCCGGCGACTCTTGCGAGGGCGAGCAGTCAAGTTGTCTTCCAATGGGTTCATATCTGGAGGCAGATGAGAGATCTTACGGAACATAACCGCCAAGAAGATCGATAGAGGAAGAGATACCAGGTGCAAGCCACCATTGGCGAGGGCGCATATAAATGTGGCTTTGGCCACCTGAACGGTCACATCGCTTTTGTCAAATAAGGTGCCCCAATAGTAGGCATCGATGGTGTATTCCCCATGGGCCATGAAGGCGGTAAACACGTAGAACGGAATGAGCCCCGCGTCGAGGGTGGAGGCGAAGAGCCCGTAGCTAGCTTGTGAAGCGGGAGGCCGAGTAATTGGAGATCGACCGAGATGGTAAATGGCATAGATGGTATGCAGAATTGCCACAATGGGCTATATACGGGTTAGCGGTTTGGATATGGATGAGGATGATTTCGATTGCTTACGCCAGCCCGAATGATCCAAATGACGGTCGTCGCAATATTTGTGATCACAATGGAGCAGAATAGGGACCCAAGTGCCCCGAGTAGGGCGATTATTCGCAAACCCAATTGTGTGCGTCGCGCATATGTGACTCTGACCTTTGTTTTGGGACTCATCGGTGTCCAGGTTGGCTTTACATCGAGGCTACCCCACTGCAACTGTTGTTAGTAAAAATATAAATATATAATTTCAGCATGATGGCCCATACCGAGTCGGGATGTCGGTTGATATTCACCAACGGGCCCTCGGGCTTGGGCCTGGGCGGGGGACGAGTCCGGCTCGCCTCCGTCACGGCTTTGGGGTTAAAGCCGGGGTCGGTTGGGCCATAGAAGTTGTAGGTGGAAGGATGATCGTAAATGAATGGAGGCGACGACCTGCCCATGGTAGCAACTGAGGGCTCCCGTGGAAGCCACACGAGAAGTGGGGATCGGAGATGGAAGGGAATGTGGGTGAGGAATGGAGGAATCGGAATGCGATCTGACAGCGGCGAGCTGAGAGTATGCGGAGACGAGGGCGACCCCAGATCAACACGATAATTGACCCGGCAACCCTGATAAGGTCACGTGTGGGTTGTGTTGGAGGCGATCTGATAAGCGATAAGCTTCAACCTCTTTTCCGTGGTTGACTCCGAAGAACAGCTCCGGATGATTCACCCGGTCGTGCCTCACACCTTCATGCACACCATGCTGGACCGGGCCTTTGTCCGTGCCCAGTGTACAGCGCGAGTGAGTCGCCGGTCTATGCTACGGACTAAGGCAGTGTCATCTTACTCGGGGTCCCACCGCCTAAGCAGTCATGCCGCTCAAGTTAACCGGCCTGTTCGCGTCGCGATTGTGGGCTCCGGTCCTGCAGGATTCTACGCAGCTGCGCGTCTGCTGAGCAAACAGCAGGATGCGATGGTTGATATGTACGAAAAACTCCCCGTGCCGTTTGGGTTGGCTCGGTATGGTGTGGCTCCGGATCATCCCGAAGTAAAGGTGTGTACCCGGCAATGCGCCGCGCATGCAATTGCGGTCGAGAAGTCGCAATATACCTATCTGCAGGCCATGGTAACATGGGGCTAATTTTTTGCCAAAGAATTGTGAAGAAAAATTCACAGAGGTCGCAACTTCCCCGCGCTTCAACTTTATCGGCAACATTGACCTCGGCAACGACCTGCCTCTCGCTGTACTCAAGCCTCACTACGATGCCATCCTCTTTGCATACGGAGCTTCCAAGGACAAAGAGCTAGGAATTCCTGGAGAAAAAGCTTTGCGTAGCGTGTACTCGGCCCGATCCTTTGTTGGCTGGTACAATGGCCTCCCGGAGCATCGGGATCTCCAGCCAGACCTGACCAGTGGCGAGGATGTCGTTATTGTTGGGCAGGGTAATGTAGCACTCGATGTCGCTAGAATACTACTTTCCGACGTTGAAGCACTTCGAAGCACTGACATTACCGACTATGCTCTGGAGGCGCTCTCGAAGAGCCGAATCAAGCGCGTGCGAGTCGTTGGTCGCCGAGGACCGCTGCAGGTGAGTAGAATAAATGTATCAATGTCTGAGGTGGATTCTAATCGGTTAGTAGGCTTCTTTCACCATCAAGGAGATTCGAGAGCTTCTCCAGCTTCCGTCTGTCTCCTTCCATCCCATCCCAAAAGATGTGTTTCCTCCCGAGGACGTCGTCAACGGATTACCTCGGGCACAGAAGCGACTGATGCAGCTTCTTGCCAAGGGCTCTGCCAATGATCCTCAGACAGCGACCAAATCGTGGTCGCTAGACTTCCTTCTCTCTCCTGATTCTCTTCACTGGTCACCTATGCACCCGTACCGCCTCACACATGCCAAATTCTCCCGCAACGAGCTCGACCCCGCGGATCCTTACAACCCCACCTCCAAGGTCACGCCGAAGTATTTGTCCAGTGGGAAGCGTGCTATGGTAAATCTACCTTCTAGCGTCTTCTTCCGCAGTGTCGGCTACAAGTCGCTTCCTCTGCCTGGACTAGAGGACCTGGGAATTGAATTTGATTCTCATCGTGGAATAATTCCCAATGACGGGTTCGGTCGGGTTAAGAGCCTGTCAGGCTCCGGCGAATCCCACAAACTGCCCGACGGCTCTTTGATAAGCCATCTACCCGGCCTGTACTGTGCTGGGTGGGTCAAGCGAGGCCCAACCGGTGTCATTGCGTCCACCATGACCGATGCGTTTACCACCGCGGATAGCCTGATGAAAGATCTGGCAGACCACAACGGCTCTGGCTCTCTCCTCAGGGCCCCCGAACAAAGCAGTGGCCTTGGTTGGGATGGAGTCAAGCCCGAGGCTGCCCGCCTTGGTCTTCGACCGACGTCCTGGCAAGACTGGCAACGTATTGATGCTGCCGAACGTGAGCGTGGCCAACGAAAAGGCAAGGTCCGGGATAAGTTTGGACGTATAGAGGAAATGCTTGAGGTGATCAGTTGACCACCCTATGATTGTAAATTATACTAGACATTCTAACCGAAATGTATTTGACAAACTCCTCATGCATCCCATCCCACTCCATCTCATATCAAGCGTTCATACATGGACAGTATTTCTGCTATTATAGCCCCCTGTGCGCATGCTATGGTTCCCTTTCCAATGCTCAGGCGCACTGAGAAGCATCAACCTCGGTATAGGTGGCCTGCACACGGCCCAGCTGCTCCGCCTGGCCGTTGGTGAGATCATTCATGGCCTGGAGACCAATGTTGAACCCGCCAGGGGCGGTGTCGATGCCGAGAACGGTGATCGTCTCGTCGATTCCATTGCCGGTGTAGTGCAGCTGGTAGCATTTGCCGCAGCTAGGGCTGCCGCTGCCAGAGACGGTGAGGGCACCACCTATGTGAGGGAAACCGGGTAGCTGCCCGAAGGTGGAATATGTGCTGCTGAGGACACTGCCGCAAGCAACGGTGTTCACAGAGGATCCGGAGACATCATAGACTGGGTCGTAGGAGACCGAGACGGACACTCCCTCGGCAGCTGCATTGCTGTTCGGGGCGGGTGCTGGGACAGCGACGGCGAGGTTGAGGGAAGCCAGTATGGCGCAGGACAGAGCGATAACAGACTTCATGGTAAATCAGAGTGTCCCAATCGAGCCGGTGATTAAGGTATCTTTGAAGGTCCAGGTGACCAAGGTGGACGAGGAATGGATTGAGTTTTTGGCTGATGTATACCTACTTCATGTCCCCTGTTGTGGTGTTTATATATATATAGCACCGGATGGATATCAGGCAACCCGGGCATGCTACTATTTTCAGCGCCATGCAAAAAGCCGACTGCATCTGGTGCAGGTCTTAGACATCAAGCGGATACCCTTTCATCAACAGGTGACCTTGCGGCCATGGTTGACGAGAAAAAGCTGCATCACAGGACAGGCCACCCGTGCGGGGCGGGAGAATGCGGGCAGAGAGCGAAAGCCTGAGACATCTGATGCCTAAAATCTTGGCCGGAGAGGGAATATGGTGTGGTTGAGGATGATCATATGCATAGCCCAAAACTGCATCTACACGAAGCTGAATTCCTACGAGCCCGCTGTTTTTCATGTCACCGTGTACTTGTAGGGTGTGCCTTGAGCGGTGTGGGCGATACTTGCGGGCTGGTGATAGATGATGTTACATTCACCAGGCGGACGGAATGGGAACTTCATAACACGGCCGCACCTGGACTAATCTGAGCCGGAGCATGAAGTAGAATTTGAAACTGAACGGGGAAAAAACTCATATGGCTGTCACAGTCCAACAGAGATGAAGGTGAGAGAGGGAAAAAAAGAAAAACAAAAATAAACGTCCCCGGGAAGGCTCGAACTTCCAACCTCCTGATTAACAGTCAGACGCGCTAACCAATTGCGCCACGGAGACGTTCTTGAAGAAGACAGGGAAAGAAGGGAATCATGATGCCAAAGTGTCTGTTCCCTGCCATTCTTCTAATCTAATCTTCGTCTTCCAGTCCATCTCCGCTACTCGGTCCCTTTCCACATGCGACATTTCTCCTATTTCGTTCAACTCATGTACCACGTGATGCTTCTCAAACCCACATAGCCCCCAGTTGCTGGAGATCGTTTGTTCAGAACTCGCCCATAATCGCCATCGTGCATCTCTCATGACTTGGATGGCCGACCTTGTCTTCTCCCTGTACCAACTAGGCACCAACAGTCATTATGCACGACCGGTGCAAAGGAGCGGTCGCTACGAAACGCCCCGTAATAACACGACTTTATCCTTTAGAGTCTAGCCCCGGATATGTGTGCGCATGAAAAATCCGCTTCGTCGGGCTCGAACCCCTCTGGCCCAATTATTGGACCCCGGGTTTTATCCTTCGTCGCCCCAGTAAGATGAACCTCTCTTAAAGCTAGCATTGGGGACAGTGTCAATTAACAGCTGGGAGTGCTCCGGTTGATCGGCTTCTTCCCTCCTTTTGCCTTGGCATTTGCTTCCCGCCTTCTCCTGAGCCCGCACATAGGCCATCTTGAAACCTTCGGGATCTGAATAATTTTATGGTTGCGTTGGCGCCTGCCGCTTTCTTCACGTGGCTGTCGACTAAACACCGAGCTAATGTCTCGGCACTGAAGCGAAACCTGTCAGCAGAAGGACATTGTGCCAATTGGATCTTGTTATTTTCGTCTCCCCTCCCCCGATCGCGGGCGAATACGAGTGGAATCCACTATGGCTGGACAATGGCGGGCACCGCCTGGGTCCCACGAGGGCCCCCTGGGAACTCAAGCGCTTGATTTCGCACCGGCGAATCTTAAATTCAATTTTGACAGGCGATCGATGCCGCATGTTCCTGAGCACGTTGCCACCATACCCTATCGCGCTTGAAAAGGTGGAGATCAGGCTTGGCAGAGATGCTCCTCCATGCTGGGAACCATACACCGGGTACACAGCCGAGAGCCGTCGGCTGGCCACCCTCTCCAAACAAGTGCACGGTGTTCTCCTTCACAATCTTCTTCCGGACTATATAGCCACTATGCCGGTGGCGTACCATGGGACTTGCCCCCTCCCCCCTCTTCTTTCTCCTGGATGGTTGATGAGGACTGACTGAGGAGCTGACGCTAGGACATAGGCCAAGCTTTGCTCTGATAAGTACAACATAGTGGAGAATTGGATAGGGTGCAGGCCGCTTCACTGCTTCAGGACTCTGGCGAAGAGCTGTGCCCACAGATGCTGTTCTCTTATACAAATGCTGGCCTAACTCCTCTGATCGTCTTTTCCTTCCACGGGGACACGGCCTAGGGTCCTACAGTCATGGCCATGCTAACCCACGCTCTACGTTCTCTGTACGCCAGCGGTGGCGACTCGTCCGTCGCTCGTCGCTGGGAGTTTCGTGACGAGTCCCCCCTGGAGGGTAGCGACCGGTCGCTCTTTATTGCCATGGGAGTGATAGCCTTATTCTCTTTGGGGTCCACATTTGGCCTCTTGTCATTCCTTACCTATCGATTCATCTACTGGCAGCGATACTACAAGCGCCCGCTCGCTCAGAACCAATACGTGGTGCTTATCTACAACCTCCTATTCGTGGACCTGCAGCAAGCCATTGCCTTCTTGATCAGTTTGCATTGGGCGTCTCGTGGCAGTGTTCATTTTGGCGAAGCCGCCTGCTATTTGCAAGGATGGTGGATTCAGACAGGTGACGCCGGCAGTGGGCTATTCGTCCTGTCGATTGCTCTTCACACCTGTGCCGTGGTGCTGCGTGGCAGTCAACTGCCATTCAAGACCTTTGTGTACTGTGTGATCGGGTTATGGGTGTTCATCCTCGTTTTGGGATTTATTCCCGTTGGTCTATACGGCTCTAAGGTTTTTGTCATCTCAGAGGCCAATTGGGTATGAACTCCTATTTGCTTCATGCTTGAGGACTAGTGGACTGATTCGCTTCATTTTACAGTGCTGGCTGAGTCCAGAGCACGAGAACGAACGACTCTGGGGTCACTACTTCTGGATTTTTCTTTCCGAATTCGGCACAATCGTCCTATATGCAATTATGTTCTTCTACCTCCGGCGCCGTATGACGCAAGCGAAGCAGCTACGCCGTGGCCAACAGGAGAGTTTGCACCGTCTCAACCAAGTCGTCATCTACATGGTGATCTACCCGTTCGTTTACCTGGTCCTGTCGCTGCCACTTGCTGCCGGCCGCATGGCGACCGCTCGTGGTTACCCCCCAGTCAGACCTACTTTGGTGTTGCTGGCTGCTTTATGGCCTTTTCTGGATTTATGGATGTGGTTGTCTATACCATCACCCGTCGCCACCTGCTCATAAATACTGAACACAGCACCGCCGACCGCACCTACGATTACGCTGACTCCCACTGGCAAGCCAACATCTCCGCCGCCGCCGGTGGTGCATCTCGCTCCCGAAAGGGAGGATTTCGCATGGTATCTCGACTGGGTTCGAAGTTCCGGCGGAGCCTGCCTACTGTTGACAGGGAGACCCGACACAATCCATTCGAGGGCTCAACTGAGGACATTGTTCCCAAGAACGATGTGGAATTGACCAAATATGGTGGTGTGTACCAGGAAACCACCATTGAGATCTCCCGGGAGCCCGCAAACCCTGCAGATTACATGGATAGGAGCACGCACCGGAGCCTTTAGGTGTCTGAGCTTATGCTGTGTGATTCTTTGTCGCTCCACAGGGCAGTCACTCTATATATGACCCTTTCTGTATCTACTTGACCAGGCATACCTGCTGATTACCTACTTTTTTCTAATATATGAGCCGTCATGTCCTAAATATTTATTATTTCTGATACCCGCATCTCTGTGCAGGATCCTGCAGAATTTGCCGCCCTGCCTCTAGTGCAAATCACCGTGAGGATCATTAAGTTCTTGAACACAGACCCAGCGTGCCGGTTCCGCTAAGGAAATAGGCGAGATGGTATCATCGATCTGCAATATGAGGTCTGGAAATTTCCCCAGTATGGACCCCGAATTGACTCCTACAGCGAATTCACTTGCTCCAATGCTCGCCAATGCCTTTCCTGATTTTTCAAGCCCATAGTGGAACCCGATCCAACAATAAGTTGTTGCTTAGCCGACAGAGTGAAGTCGGGCGGACAGTGTTGATCGTCATTTCTAGCTTGAGAATGAGCTTCTTGTACCGCGCACTCTCGCGCGTGGGCTATTCGACACGTTCCGGTGGAAGATCGTCTCGGCGAGCGGAGATGATCCACGTCCGAAATGGGCAATCGGTCGAGGCTCGGGAGCCGTTAAAACATTGCCGACTACAATTAAATTATTTGAGAATGGACGAAAAGAAACACTGGATATGGTCAAGATTATGTTTGAACTGAGAAGCAAAAAGTAAGCAGCCTAGATTTTGTGAGAGTGAGTGGGCTGGAACAGTAAACAACTCAGAACTACTACATCACCGATCGGAGATAGCCTAGACATGTGAAGTCGAGAGGCGGACCTCGTGGAGCCTCAGGAAAAAGCTTTAAGTCAAGTTAATTTTGGGGAGCACAAAGTTCTGCATATGAATGAATGAATGGCGATGTGAAAGGGAACTATGCCCGGCTACGCTCCCTAAATATCCAGCGTGATGTACAAGACCCTGAACCTTATATAATCTTCTCGACATCAGAAGTTCTCTTTATCGGCGCTTCCGACTCTTTCTCCGAACTGAGTTTCTCCTTTTCTCGCTTTTCACTTTCGCGCTTGACATTGCGCCATTCCATTCCCAGGGCGGGTAGGATCATCACACAAGACAGCGCTACTGGGACGAAGAAGGCTCTATGCAACGCAGCATTGTAGATCACTAGCACGGCATGGAGCTTGTCCGCAGGTACCAGCTTTGCAAGTTCCGTTGCTCCGGCTGCGAGAATTGCTTCCGGGTTGATACCCGAGATGCTAGGCAGCTCGGTGGCAATGTAATTGGTGTAGAGATTTTGACTGACGGCGACCCAGACAGCGCCACCAAGGGATTGGAACAAAAACATCAACGCAACTCCGATGGGAACATCTGCTTGATCCAGCACAGTCTGGGCGGCCATCGTCGGTTGTTGCATGCCGGATCCCAAGCCTAAACCGAACAATGCCTGGTAGCCGATCCAGGCCGAGTGGCCCGTTTCAGTTTTGAAGGTGGTGATCATGCCCGAGCTGGTTGCCATCAATAAAGATGCGATGAACATAAAAGGCACATAATATCCTGTGCGCGAAATTGTCGCACCGGACAAAATGCTGGCTACAACAAGCGACAGCACCATTGGGATAGTATCCAACCCAGACTGTACCGCACTCGTGCCCTTGACTCCCTGGAACCATAGAGGTAGGGTATAAAGCATGGAGATCATAGCTCCAGAAATGCACGAGGTATATACTGCGCCAAATGCAACGCTACGTTGCTTGATTATCCGTGGTGGAATTGTTGCGTCATCTTTGCACCAGGCTTGGACTGCTCCGAAGGCAGCGAGTAGAATACCCGCTAGGAGGAGTAATACAATGATGCGAGTATTGCTCCAGCCGTAGGTAGTTCCGCCCCATTGCAGCGCGAGAAGCAGGCAGATTACCCCAGGCAAGAACAAGACTGTTCCCAAAGGATCAAGTCGGATGAGCTGACGCTTCAGAGCAGTTGTCGAAGAACGTGAGGGCTCTTGGAGGGAAAACGCGATAATGATAAGGGCAATTCCTCCGATTGGAAGACTAGGAAGAAATAATGGTCAGGATCGCTTGGCTTTCATAGCATGAGGGGGTCCATTGAAACTCACTTGATATAGAAACACCATCTCCATGTCACCCGATCGGTAAATACGCCCCCAAGCAGTGGTCCAACAATTGATGATACGCCAAAGGTAGACCCCATGAGGCCAATATACATTGGTCGTTTGTGTAGTGGCACCACCTGGGAGATGATGACTGTGGATCCGTTGAAGATACCCGCTGAGCCCATCCCAGCAATAGCTCGACCGACGATGAATGACTTGGAATTGGGGGCTGCACCACAAAGTGCAGAGCCCATCTCAAAGACAACGATTGCTGTCAAGAATAGAATCTTGGCTGAATAGAAGGTATAAATGCGACCCCAGATAAGCTGCGTCGCGCTGCTGGTCAGCAGGTAGGCACTGGCGTACCAGCTGATGTCATCAATGGCGTGGAAGTGATCGGAAATTTTGGGAACAGCAGTTGCGATTATTGTACGATCCTAATGTTGAAAAATATTAGTATGAAGGTAGGAAAGGGGAAAGGGAGGTTTATAACTCACTAATGCAACAAGGAACATGGAGCTGATCAATGCAGCCATAAGTAAGGCAAGATTTGGGCCAACTAAGGGTTTCTCTTCAGATTGACCCTTTTCCATGGCCTCTTGCTTGGCCTTGAGCTGATTGGGACCTGAAGGCCCAGGTTCGTCGCTATGTTGGTGATCGGACATAGTACGGTTTATGTGTACCAGAATGGCAGAAATCAAGTAATATGACCCTGAAGAAGAGTCCAACCTTTCTCTTGTAGATAGACTGAACACGCCAGAGAAATAATCGCTGTATCTCTCGGATATGTATATAAATATATTGCGGGACTACTGTCTTGAGGACTGGACGCGATGGTCTCGGCGCCGAGAAAAGGAGGTCCCCAACACTTCGGTGCCGAACCACATATCGAACAATCCGAGGGTACTTGCTAACACCAAAGCCCCAAACCGCCGTGGATCAGTGATGTGATTTACGTCTCTCCATGATCCTTGAACAAACAAACCGGAGCCAGGGGTTGCTCATCTACCGTCGCCCCTCTTATGAATCGCTTTCGTATCTTGCTCTGTGTTTACCGAATGTCTGAACCTCAGTAACTTTCTTGGATGATCATTGGCTTCGAACTTACGCCCGCTGATAGTGCTTTGTAAACATCGTGGAGCCCTCATTTAATATGAATACTAGGAGTTGTTGTACTGCGATATAGCCCCGATTTAATTTGAGCACAACAGGCGTTTTGTTATGCCCTCCGCACACGTGAATAGAAGTAGTTCGATATGAACTATTTTAAACTTCCCGTTCTCGGTATTGGATTGCCCTCACCCTCGTGGTGCGGATTCCCTAGACCTCAAAATGCCAGACCAGAAAGGGCAAAAGAAAGCAAACAAACAGAGCGCGATAAAAAAGCGATCAAATTGTGCAAGAGGTCTGAATCACATTCCAGGGAATATTAGATCACCTGTACTATATGGAGCAAGGTCTAATTGTCCAATTGCAGAATACCGATGGCACGCGATTGGAGGGAATTGATATCGGCGTTAACAGGTCCAGGGTGACGTGGTTGCTTTTAGCGAGCATGGCTTGTTTCTGTCAACGATTCCATTCTTAGCATTTTGATCGGGATGCATTGTGCCGTTATCATTAAATTTGGAAATCAGCCTCGGTACGAACGAGCCGTGAGGCAAAATCATGGAAACGCAGTGCTTGATGTACGTCTCCTTCCAATTCTTATCGGAGGCATCCTTCTCTTCGGGGCTCTTTTCTGGGTTGGATGCACGGACTTTCGCACACTCCCGAATTTAAAAGTGTTTAGCCTGAGTACCACTTGGTCACACCAGTCTCAGTGTGCTGCAACAGCCTACGGGCAGTAAATCGGAAGAACTGGCCTCGCAGCAACATTGGCTGCGGGGATTCAGCTGACATAGACCAGGTCTTGTCAACAGGGGATGCTGTGTAACGGTTTCAACCGGTCACCAGTGCCGGATTATTTATGGGCATTGTAGCCCCCTCTTTCAGTGGACAAGAACGGATTCCATATCATGAAAATGCCGAAACCGCATCTCCTTTGCTGGCTGCGCTGGGCTATCTGCGTTGCAGCTCAGTTCCAGGGTTACGCTCCCTTCGAAGATGATCAGCTCACATACACAATCCGTGTTCCTCAAGGCACGGCTAACCTCAGCCTGGGACCCATATATTTCCAGTTGAACTCTACACGTCTTGTGCAGTGGGTCGCTCTGGGACAGGGGGCTGCGATGCATGGTGCCAACATGTTCGTGGTGTATACCTCAGGAGACAATGTGACTCTTTCTCCGCGAGCAGGAAAGGGTCACTATCAGCCGTTGTACAACAAGTACGCACAAGCTTCACTCATTGCTGGCAGCGGCGTCTATGAGGGAGCCATTACTGCCAATGTCCGATGTGACAGCTGTATCACCTGGGAAGGAGGCACCGAGAACCCGGCCAACCCTTTCAGTCCCTGGATCTGGGCTGTGAAATACGGGAAGCCGTTGAATACGGCCAGTATGACGGCAACCCTCAGAGAGCACGACGCCTTTGGCACCTTTTTCGTCAACCTCTTGAAAGCCACGGGCGCGGACAGTGATAATCCGTTCATCGATTTAGATCGGGCCTCTATCACGAGGGCGCAAACGGAGATCTTCGACCATGAAGGGTTTGACAAGAAGAGGACCGCTCATGCAGTGCTCATGACGGTCGCATTCGTGTTGCTGTTTCCGGTATTCGCGTTGGCGCTTCACATCTTCCCGTCCGGCATTGTGAGAGTCCATGCAACATTGCAGCTCCTCACGTTGGCCGTGACTATTGCAGGATTCGGTCTCGGGGTCGCGATGGCCAAAGATGTGTATCTTCTGAGCCATCACCATCCGATCATCGGCACCGTGGTTGTCGCATGCCTCGTGCTCTTCCAGCCTGGGATGGGTTTTTTGCAGCACCGACACTTCCGCAAGACGGGCGGTCAGGGCCGTTTTGCCTATCTGCACCGCTGGTTTGGGAGAATCATGATCATTCTGGGAGTGATCAATGTGGGCCTTGGATTTCAACTGACTGGGGTCGACAGCTCCGCTGTGCCCAAAGGCGCGGCGATTGCGTACGGAGTTGTGGCGGGAGTGATTGGTCTGTTGTACATGGTGATTATCAGTCTGTCCTGGAGACGACAACGGACTGCGTCGGATAGTAATTAGACTGAATTTAAGGCGCCTAAATGAAGGCAATCGGTTGATTCAGAGAGTGTAGGTGTTGTTGGTAAATGCCGATATCAGTCTCGTGACATCATCCCTCTCATCCCTCTCATCCCGGGGAATCCGCAGGGTCCAATAGCCACTCGAATCGCGAGTTTCACACTTCTCCATTCCCACTTGGTTGTTGAGTTGCTTCTTCCCCCCTGGCCGCTTGGGCCACTCAATTCACCCGCACGCTTGGCAGTGGTGCTGCTCCGCACCTGAGAACTCCATTCGGCGTTGATCATCTGCACGGTGGCTCGGCCTCGCTCCGTGCATCCCCTGATGACGTAGGGCCTCGGTCTGCTGTGTCGATTGGAATTCTGCGAAACTCGACTGACCTCCCATCTTGAAAGCTCCTCTCCCTGAACCTCCAGGGTGAATGTTGAGATAATGCCATTGCATACAGTCGCGCTGGCTGCAGCCTTGGCCCCTACCGTCATCCATACTCTAATCGCTCATGTGGGTCACCTGTCGACGCTGAAGACGAACCGTACATGCACGTTCATGCTGACTATCTGGCCTGCCCGCAGTACCTGCATCGGAAGTCGCACCATAACAAACCAACCGTCCACATCACCTACGATGAAGGCATTCAAATCATTCGCCAATTCCTGCGTTACGCTTCAAAGCACTCCGTTGAAGACCTCCAGGCGTTCACGCGCCAGTGGGTCCCCAGCCCGCATTGGGTGAGGACAGAACCCGTTACGATCCCCGAGGAATTTTTGTCGTCAGCAGCAGATGCGCTTTCTAAACAACTTGGTCCCAAGGGCATTGTGCGTGTTGGAGGTGAAAAATGGTGGCAATGGCGGGGGCCGGCCGATGATCTCAAGGGAGAATGGATTGAAATGCGTAGCCATTACAACGAAAGGAAGAAGTCCAATGAGCGCAACAACCGGATCATGCTGTATATCCATGGGGGGGCGTACTTCTTTGGTAGCGTCGATACCCATCGCTACATGCTGCAACGCCATGCTCGGAAGTTGAAAGGTCGCGTCTTCGCGCCGGACTATCGTCTTGCGCCCCAGTTTCCTTTCCCGTGCGGTCTGCAGGATTGTATGGCCGCCTATCTATGGCTGCTGAAAAGCTACGACCCCAAGGAAATTCTCATAGCCGGCGATTCCGCAGGTGGTGGCATGACCTTGTCTCTGCTGGTCATCATGCGAGACCAGGGCATTCCACTACCCGCAGGCGCGATTCTCATTTCGCCATGGGTCGATTTAACGCACTCATTCCCGAGCATTGTCGACGACAACCCTGGAGACTACATACCCCCTTACGGATTCCGGCACAAGCCCTCCGCAGCCTGGCCTCCGCCCAATGCCGACGAGATTCAGAAGATCAAAAAGCTATCTCGCCAGCAAACTCTTACAGCCAAGGATATCGAAGATGTAGTTCCGACGGCGAATCGGGATGCCGAGATTACTGCCGTCCGCGGATATACAATACACGAGAAGAAGCCTACGGCGGAGGGGCATGCTTATCCGGGCATGCAGCAGAATCCAGACCCAGGCACCGTGGATGCTGAACCCGACAATATCCGTGTTGTCCTGGAAGGGAAAACGATTGAACTCAAAGATCAAATACAGATGTACGCAACTAATCAACTGATATCCCATCCTCTGGTGTCGCCCATTCTTCAGCCATCACTGGGAGGTCTTCCGCCGCTTCAGATTATTAGCGGTGGCGGTGAGACCCTTCGCGATGAACAGTTCTATGTGGCCCATAAAGCGGCCAACCCGACAGCGTACCCACCCGGCGAGGTATATCTCGACGAGTTCGATCCTGACCGTGAAATATTGACAAAATACGAGCCAACATACGTTCAGCTCCAAGTCTGGGATAACCTGTGCCATGTCGCCCCGACGCTAAGCTTCACCCGACCAGCCAAGTATATGTTCCGCGCAATCTCCCAATTCGGTTCCTGGGCGTTGGCTCGTGCCCAGAAGGCCGATGTGGAAATCATGGACCATAATATCGTTTCGCCAGTCTCATCCAGCGGCTCGGACGACTCAGAGAGCCCACGTGGCATTGCAGGCTCCAGAAAGCCGACGTTCCCACCTGGGATATCTGTTGGAAAGGCTGGCGATCCGCTGCCCGCTTTTGATCAATACATGATTCGCCAACGAGTCGACAAGCGTGGACGTGTTTACCATCTCGACCCGCCGTCGTCCTATCCAGTACTTAATATTCCGCCCTCAATGGTTGGTGCAATTAATCCAACACTGATTCAAAAATGGCTTGAGGCGAAGCATGAATGGGACGAGAAGTTCTCCAAAGAGAAGCTGCGGGTCCAGAGCCGACGCCTCCGAGAGATGGCACATGGCTTCCAGGACTTCGAGGGTGAATGCCCGCCTCCAAGCTCTCTGGCTGCTCGTCGTGCGGCTCCAGGTGTACTGCCGAAGTGGCACGCCAAAAAGAATTACGGATTGATGCTCTGGAGTGGCTGGGGCAGCAAGCACGATGAACGGACCATGGAGATAGAACATGAGGTTGAAAAGTCCGGTCGCCGTACAACTCGCACCAGTGTAGATGCTGGACAGGCTGGTTCGTACTCGAGTGTGCCTTCCACGAACCTTCAGACCGGCAATTCTGGCAAAAGTAAGTCTGAGATAGTCGCCGAAAGGCCCTCAACTGGAGCGGGAGCGGTCACCTGGGATGCCCCAAGCGAAAAGAAGCAGTCAAACGGAGAGTCTGCGACGGGCCGTGCCTCTGAATCAACTTCTGTGCGGCCTTTGTCAGAGAGAAGTGGCGGCCCTCTCCTTATTCTGCCAGGTGTTGACAACCTGAAGTTGAAAGACGAGAATGCAAGCACTAGGGCGCTCTTCCACGCAGCAGGAACCCTATCCATGTCATCGGATGCTTCCCTATCCTACCCGAGAGGTCGACCATCGTCTGTTGGTGGCTCAGTGACTGGCCGGAGCGAGTTCATGTCAGATACCGGCGAAGATGCCAGCACAATCGGTGGTGACAAGGAGTCGAGTGCAATCACCCCTGTTGCACCTGACGCTGCTAGCACCCGCGCTGTTCTAAGCGCCAAGGGTGTGGTAGGTGTAATCAACGGTGGAGACAGCGACCCTGTCTCCACTGATACCACATCTCTACGCGTACATCTCTCGGATGCAGATGATTCGTCTGCTGTCGGCAAAGATGGTCGAAACTCCACGTCTCATCGGCCAGATATGCCTGACAGGGAAGAGTTTAAGACAGCTGAGGAAGCCCTGTAGTCCACTGGTCTTCGAAGTCTACTGCCATATACGTGCATATATCTCCGTTGTCATTTTTTTTGTTCTATTATCTTTCGTTGTGATTTATGCCCTGTGGATGCTTAACATGTAAATGCCACCTTCCTTCTGAGATTACATCATTTTCTCTTTTGTTCAACCTGCTGCATTTTGGCATGTCATTTTCCTACTCTTGTCCTTATTTTATTGTGTTAGATATACCCTATTGGTCATTGGGGGCTGATGGTCCTGGGTCATTCTAGTGTCTTCTACCTATATATCTTCGTTTTTCGTATACGAATGCGATGGGTGGTTGGTCCTTTTAGTATATTGCGTGTGAATTGAGATACTATACACTGGACACCTAAATAATCAGTCTATCTTACGAGCTTATAAAATTGAAACAAGAATCCCCGCACGCTTTTACGTAGCGTGCATCCGATAAGGCCATGGCTGACGGACGGTATTGTTTGGCTTGAGGCGTTTCACGGCGAAGAAAATACAGCAAAAGGTTCTAAGAACATATAGGCCTTACATCTACCTATACGATGAGTATTTGCAAAAGGTTGGCTATGTCTCCTCTCAGCGCGTAGCATGTAGCATTATTTCAAAAGTGAGACTAATTCATACCGAACCAATCGCCATACTGTATCCTGCATAGACCTCAAAATCTCGCGTTCGTGGGTCTGAAAAGTTGTCGATCCATTCTCGTCGCCTTTCATTCTCAGACCAGCAAGTATAGAGCGCATGCCAATATTCCCGATAGTCTAGATAATACCCCGCTTGCGCCCAATCCATGATAGCAAGAATGTGACCGAATTTGCTGGGAGAGACAATAATGTTCGCTCGATAGAGGTCGGCATGAGTAAACTTACCGTCCCATATCTGGTACCAAATCCCTATAAGGGTCTTTGTATTTCCTTGGAGGAAGTTGTGCTTGTGGCAGGCAAGATTACAGAAGGCACACGTACTTTAATTGCAGATTTTAGACTATTTTGTACATAATACAAACACTATCATACATGGTTTGGGCCACCAGCGCCGGCCAAAAGAGATCAGGTGAAATTGCCTGATAGGCACAGACGCATGAATCATAATAGGAACGTAATCGTAAGGGGAATAGAGGGTGCTGACATGTTAGTGCCACTCTAGACCAATCTTCTTGGCCACTTGCTCAGCGATATCAAGAAAAGCCTGGCGTCGAGCACTCCGTTCTGCGGTCTCCTCTGCCACAACGGTCGGCATTCCGCGGTCTGCATCTTCACATACCTGCGCATCGAGGGGAATATCGCCAAGGAAGTCGACCCCTAGTCGCTTGCACTCTGCTATAACACCACGATCATCCCCATGGGAATGATGTCCATCCCCATGAGAGAAGATTTTGGTTTGGTGGCCACAATTCGGGCAGGCGAAGTAAGCCATGTTGCGAACCATACCAAGGACAGGGACATCCATGCGCTGGAACATGCCGAAACCACGTACAGCATCGCGGAGTGCGATGTCTTGAGGGGTTGTCACGATCACGGCGCCATCGATGAGAACTTCCTGGTTGATCGTGAGCTGGACGTCACCAGTTCCCGGCGGAAGATCTAGCACGAGAACATCGAGCGGTCCCCATGAAACTGAATGTAGTAGCTGATGCATTGCTTTAGTGACCATGAGGCCGCGCCAGGAGATCGGGGTAGTATCCATGGGCACTTCGCCAGTGGCGTTGTCGAATTGAGTCTGTGGGAGAAGGTAGCCCATTGACATGGATTTAAGGCCGTAATTCGTAAGGGGGACAAGGCAGTTGTCTATTTTTCGCAATTAGCCGATGCAAGGACTCCTTCGACTCGGGGACAAGATGCCGAGGAATATTCAAATCATACTTTCATCAAGGCGTGGCTCGCCCGAGAGATTGAGTAAAGTTGGAATAGATGGACCAAAGATATCGGTATCAAGGATTCCAGTCTTGATGCCGCGGCGAGCAAATGAAAGGGCGAGGTTTACTGGTCACATAAAGGCTCACTTAGCTATGTCCCAAGATGATATACGACAAACGCTCATGGATGCAATTGGAACGTAATCATATTAGAAACTAGGGAGTTAACAAACCCGCAACCGTCGATTTCCCTACACCCCCCTTTGCAGATGAGACCGCCACCACTTTCTTGACATCTCGGATCTTGCGCTTCTCGGGAAGACCACGGCGACGAGGGAAAGACGGCGGGGTTCCTGAACGCGGGAGCCCCTGTATAGATAGTCAGTTTAATATACTTCAATTGCATTCTGGTACTGTGTGACTCTATGCATGAAGTTCCACATGCGTCACGCTCATAAGTGTCAATGGGCAACCAAAGACTTGTTTAAAAAAGCAATAGGTAGAGCACGCTCACCAGAGGATTGTCATGGCTAAATAGAGGTCGGAGAGTCGAGAACGCCCTCCTGCCTATTAGCGTAGCGTCGGCTGACGAAGGCCACATATTATTGGATGTAAGTGAGAATTAACGACAAACACAAGGAAGAGTGACGTGGATCAACAAAAAGCTTCCGGATGAGAGCGACTATTCTGCCGCAGAATATGTTCACCGCCCAGTGACCGCCTGCGATAGCTGATGCTAGTCCCAAAAACGGAAGTTACTCCGTTATCCGGAAAAACAAAAAAAAGTTGCCCGCGACTCTTTGCTCTCTCTCAAAGCACCATCGCCCACTATGGCTCCTGGAAAACCTCGTTCTGAGCGGTCGCTGGCTGACAAGCTCGCTGATCTGGAGGATCCCACACCCAGGGGTATGTAGAACTGATTTGGCTTACCTTTCTCCCGGGTGATAGACCGCCGATAGTTAACCTCGTTCCAGATTTTGATCCCGAGGATATCGAACATGACGATGCCTCAAGCGACGAGGGGGCTGGTAAAGCATCAGATCTGAATGCCGGCAGAGAGCACTATCAAGCTGTGGGGTAAGTGGAAATATCTGGCTTGTGAGCGATTGGCGAGGTGCTGATGTTTATAAACAGCAAAGCGAAACTCCGGAACCAGGACCCTGTTAATCTGGGGAAACAATATTCTGGCTCTCGCGTCAGCAGAGACGCCCTGGAAGCAGATAGCGATGACGATCCATTTGCAGCACGTACCGATGATGAGCAAAGTGCCGACGAGGAGCTTGGGTCCGTTCCGGACGAGGATGACGACTCTGCCTCAGGATCCGAACTCAATGGGATGGAATCTGACAGTGACGAAACCCCAGAGGGTTCAGAAGAACTAGATTCCGAGGCGGGTGTAGAGGAGTGGGATAGCGAAGACGAGGAAGAGGAAGAGGAAGAGGATGACGACGGCAACAGCGTGGCACAAGGCAGCGGCAAGGGCCAAGGCCCCGTTGGCCATGGTGGTAGCGAGCGCAAGCCTGGATCCGCGCCGGATGATCGCGAGGAGCTGCGGCGGCTGATGGCTTCTGATCAAAAGACCATTGCTGCCACGATTTCGCAAGCTGCCAAGGCAGACGCGGCAAAAGGAAAGGCTGTCAAGGAGCAACGCACCACTTTTGACGCATTGTTGAACACTCGGATCAAGTTGCAAAAGGGGTTGGGCGCAATCAATGAAATGGCTGGTGTGGCCCTAGAAGAGGACGCGGTTGAGGATGGGGATGTCGAAGGCGAAGATACAAACTCTGAGGCCATCAAGTCTGCCGAAACTGCTGCCCTCGCCCTCTGGTCTACGTTGGAGGAACTTCGCACTGCCCTTGCCGACGCTCAAACTAAAGATGGAGCCAAAAAGCGCAAGCGTCCTGGTCCTATCGCCCATACAGTTTCTACTGCCTCGCTCTGGGAGCGCATGTCCAACCTGGAATCTGAATCTCTTATCCACCGTCGGGCCATTCTCGACAAGTGGTCCTCCAAGGTCCGGGGCGCCGCGACCTCCCTTCCCAATGCCCGTGGCAAGTTGATGGGCTCGGCTTCTGGTACCCAAACGATCACTGCCGTTCTTGATGCACATGTTGCTACGGAAATCGGGGATCGTGCGACCAAACGCCCGCGTCAGGCCGCTGTGCCCGAACCCGTTTACGACGACACGGTCTTTTACCAATCCCTGCTCCGCGACCTCGTCGAACAACGTATGTCTTCCTCCGAAGCGATGACGAGTGGGCTTGATACACTCCACCAGCTGCCGTCTCGGCTGCCTATTCACCCCGTCACGGGTATGCGTAACGATAAGAACAGGAAAGAGGTTGTTGATACTCGGGCGTCAAAGGGTCGCAAGATGCGTTTCAATGTTCATGAGAAGCTGCAGAACTTCATGGCTCCTGAGGATCGTGGCTCCTGGACAGTGCGAGCCCGTGATGAATTCTTTGCGTCTTTGCTGGGGAAGTCGGCAAGTGGGTTGTTGGGCGAAGGCGATGAGAGTGCCAGTGATGCGGAATCTGAGGAAGACAAGGAGGAAGGTGGTTTGCGATTGTTCCGTAACTGATTCGGTCCTGAGAGTTGCACCATTATGACTTGTACATGTACCATACCTGAACAGCGTCAAGCTGGTTAAAATTACAAATCATCCACTTAACAGATATGGGACGCTCAATGTTTTGCGCACTTCATCGTAGGTATTATACTGTAGTTTCGAGCCGATGGTACGACCTGCGCTTTCTTGTATAATAGCAGGGCCACCTTGATGCTCAGGCAAGGTTACATAGAAGTTCAGGGCATGATGGATAGTGTATTTATTACTTCACAGATTTACAGCATAGCTTTAGCTGCTTGCATCGTCATTCTACCACTGTTGGCGGAGCGACTGAATCAGAGCTATCCGACCTCCACCCCGTTCTTTCGCGCATGTTGTGCAATAAACACTTCGCAGCCTTTTGGTCGCTGCGATAACGTAGAAGCCAGCCCCCTTAGATGATGTCTGTGAGTGGGTGCATCGTGAGAACTGGGAATATAGGACATGGCTTACAGGCTACCAGACTGTGCCGTGCGGTCAATAATGTATTTTCTGCTCGGACATTCGACTAAGCCCGGCCTAGGACTTGTAGCGGGTGGTGATGAATGTTTCCCTGCGTCATCCGAGCAGTTTGTGAGTCACTAGTGCATATGGTAGGGAGGAGGGGTGTAAAGCCACCTCTATTAGTCGAGATCGTCGGAGATGAATAGACGGATAATGATATTGAGGGTTCGGATAGAGCTGGGACTATCCTGGCAAGAGTGAGAGCATTGCAAGCCAATTACTATATCTTGCTAGCCAAGCCTTGAGTGGGACCAAACGCTAGAACAGGGTCTACATACCATGAACGGGTGAGAGCATCCAGATGGAGGGCAAACGGTGGTCAATTTCTGGCCCTCGCTCCACCATTCTCAATGGCTCTACGGTGTACGGTTGGAAGTGTATCACTGTTCAACCTCTTCGCCAATACCAATTTCAGAAGATGTCTTAGAGAAGGCGCTCTGGAGCACTTTCGCCAACAGGAATACCATTCTGCTAAACCAGGTGAAGTCGTCATTTCTGGTGAAAATATGCGAGTCCTACGCGGGCCTATTGGGCTCAACATGGCGACACGGGTCTGTTCTGTCAGCCTAGATTTTTCCTCGTTAGTAGGGTCATGAAGATGGTTAGAGCTGGATCGTGGAGGTCAACTCAGTGCTATCTTACGAAGAACTTGCGTGGAGACTGGCAATTTCGGGTCCTATCATGAAAGCCAACTATCATTTATTTTAATGTGCGCATTTGTTCCAGCCACGAGAATGGAAGTCTGTATACTGGCTCACGCACCTGGGGCCAGCAGGCTTGTTCCGGGAAGGTCCCGTCAATTCCAGCTAACAATGTCAGCCTAGCAGGGCCTGCAAACCACGGATTTGATGTCGCCTGCAACAAGAGATCTACCCCAGATCGCGGCCTTGTGGTCACCTCGTCTCTCTTAGCTTACATCTCGAATTTCGAACTGAAATGGAACAGCATCAGTTCCGCAATACACATTCAGGTACCCCAAGAGTCATCCATCAAACTACTGACACCGGTTCCATTATTCGCAGTTAGATCTGTGAGAAGTTCGATCCGTCGGGCTTCTCTGTGGAATATGCCGGTCTGGCGGGTCTTTGTTGATATGTCCGTCCGTGAAGAAGAGCTCTAGAAGACGGAATATAAGATCAAAGTATGAACATGAACTACTATGAACCGTGAACCACGGATGTATGAACGATGACTGGAATATCATCTTATAGTTCAGTGCGTCCTGCGGAGCGAGCATTACTCGCGCTACGTCCATTGACTAGGGCAAACCCAAGTCCCGCCCCGAGGTCCTTCAGCCCAGCTGTCTTTCGTAGCAACCCCGCGATGGCTGTCGCGGCCTCCGTGATGGCAGGACGTGGTTGGTGGACTCGACTCCACCTGGGAGATTCGCCCTTCGCGATCAACCACGCCATGCGAGAGGAGAAACAATGTGGAGACGGGCCCCGACCCTCCCCCCAAACAATATGACGACAGAGTATTGGCATGAGGCGGGCCATCAAGGGGCATTTCGTCGTTCCTTTCACTTCTGACGGCTTCGTGGTCAAAAGTCGTGGAGCCTTGAATTCTTACTACGCCTATCGTCTACCCTCTCTCTCTCTCTCTTAGTTGACCTTCATTGGGGCGCATAACCGGCAGGAGTGGCCGTCCGTCGTTTCTTCGATGCGCCCGATGCACCACACCATCAGTCCACCACCGAAGTGAACCGAAGTGAGGCGAACCGCGAGAAATGCATTTCGATCTCAGGCAATTGGGACTGGGTTCGCTCTGCGCTTCGCTACTCTCGTCCTTCTGCGGCGATCAGGGCCCCATTACCCATCACCCAGCCCGGCCACCATCATACCCCCTGGCGGTGCGCAACCCATACTTGTCCACATGGATGCCGGCCGACCGTGTCGAGCAGCTGCCCTACGCCGACGCGCAGTTTTGGGCCGGTCACGACCTCGGCTGGTCGGTAATAGTGCGGGTGGATGGCCAGGTTTATAGTCTGATGGGCGTCCCCGACTTGGAAGCCAGCACGATTCGCCCGGCAGCAGTACGCCGTGCGGAGTTTACATCGACTCACTCGCTCTTTGATCTGACGGCGGGGCCAGTGGCATTCACTTTGGACTTCTTTTCGCCCGTCTCACCGTCCAATTACCTGCGGCAATCGCTCCCTTTCAGTAAGCTGACGCACGGCGGTTTGGTGCACCCATAATTTCCCAAATTGGACCTAACGTGAACCTCGACTAGGCTATCTGACGGTGCAGGTAAGGAATGTCTGGGGGCATGATATTCAGATCTATTCAGACATCGATGGGAGATGGACGGGTCGGGAACACCGCTCGGTACATGAGTTGGAAGACCATGATGGCCTCATTTTCCACCGCCTCTCGGTTGAGGATGCGCCGCAATATGCAGAAGAGAGCGACATGGCTCTCTGGGGAGAGGCCATTCTGGCTTCCCGACCAGCTGACTCGAGCGTCCTCTCGGCGCTTGCTGGAGATCCTCGGGTGGTTCGCGCTGCCTTTGTAGCGCACGGTGATCTATCTGGAGAGGAGGTTGGGTGGTCCTCCCGGAGCGTTGCCGCTCTAGCTCATGATCTGGGGAGTGTCATTGGCCATGCCTCCGTCAACTTTGCTGTCGGCTATGAGAGGAAGAAGGCCATCAATTACCTAGGGGATGCATACACGGGGTTCTACCGAGCGGAGTACCCCACTACTCATGAAGCACTCTCCTTCTTTTTGGATGACTATGAAGATGCTCGACTGGAGTCTTGGGATTTGGATGCCGAGCTGTCAGCTTTTGCTACCGCTGCTGCCGGTCCCAAGTATGCGGATATTGTTGCGTTGTCAACTCGTCAAGCATATGGAGGCATTGACTTGACGATCCCCCACGACTCGCTCGCCACTGATGGTGTGTTGGCTTTTATCAAAGAGCTTTCTAGTGACGGTAATGTCAACACCATTGATGTGATCATGCCGGCTTTCCCTATTTACTGGGTCATGGATCCTGACTGGATCCGCCTGTTACTGGAGCCTGTGATGCTGTATCTGGATGCTGGTCGTTGGCAACTTCCATATACCATTCACGATCTTGGCTCCCATTACCCTCATGCTATTGGTCACGATGATCAACAAGCGGAACCGATGCCAATCGAAGAATGCGGGAACCTGCTCATTCTGGCACTCGCTTATGTTCGAGCCACTGGAGACGAGAGCTGGACTCATCGGTACATGGATACCTTCCAGCAATATGCCGATTATTTGGTAGACAACAGCATTGACATTGCCAACCAGCTTTCATCCAATGATGCTGCTGGGCCTCTCCCTAATGAGACAAATCTGGCCATCAAAGCGGCCGTTGGCATTAAGGCCTTTGGAGAGCTAAGCGGAAAGAAACATTACTCGCTCATTGGCGACAAGCATGCAGATCTCTTCTTCTCGCAAGGTCTGGGCACAGATGAAGACCAGACCCATTTTGTTCTGGAATACCCTGACATGCCAACCACATGGAAAATTCCGTATAATCTGTACCCAGATGTCCTACTAGGCCTGGAGACCTTCCCGAACGAAGCATATACAATGGGCAGTGAATTCTTCTCGACGGTCCGCGGCGAGTATGGTGTGGCACTAGATCACCGGCAGGACTGGGCCAAGTCTGATTGGAACATGTGGTTGGCCGGCACGTTTGAGACGAGCACGCGGAATGAGTTTGTCGACGACTTGTGGGCATTTATGACCAATGGTAAGCACAACTGGCCGTTTTCTGATCGCTATGTTTCCACCTCTGCCCAGGGCAGTGAACCAGGCATCCCATTACTGTGTCGTGCCCGTCCTACTGTCGGTGGCCATTTTGCCTTGTTAGCATTGAAGGGTCCGCAATCCATTCAATCACTATCAACGCACAAGACCAAAGGTACTAGAGGGTCCAAGTATAATAGGTTCATGGATCCGGCCAGTGAACTATAATTCGTGGTCAAGTGGAGTATGACGAGTGGCTCCAATTTATTCCTTCCGGTGTATAGATTTCTGGTCAAAAGGTAGCCTTCCTTCTATATTTATATCTCGGTGTTTCCGCTTCCTTACTCGAAGTATGTTTGCAAACCTGCCAAGTAACCAGGCGCATTAACCCTTCTGAATACTCATGACTCATGAACTCATACTTTGAAGACTGGATAATTTTCATTTTAACGGCGACTAGAGTGGCCAGTCCCGTACTTCATGACCGCGGGACTTGGGTGTAGAGTGAATCGAGTAATGCAGCAAGGACATTCGTCTAGGTAGGCCATGAATCAAGATATTCCTGGGGAGGCTCTGTTTAGGTATCAAGGCGCGAACATAAAGAAGCACACGACTCTTCGGATTTCATAGGTAAAACACATTTATACCTATTGGGATTATGCGGTTGGAGCCACATTCCTTACTATCTGAAAAGTGTTATCGCCCGCTGAATAGGAAACTTCCTCGGACTAGCTCACAGATAATTTAGCGGAACCTTCCTGGTTATACTCCCACTGGAACCCTCTTCCCTTATCACCTCTCCAGAGGCGCCAAAGGCAGGTGTGTTGTGAAGCCCGCGCCAGGGGTGCTTACCTAATCTGCATGTCACGCCTGCCCAGTTGCTTCATCGATGCGCAGTGGATCTTCTTTCGCCCTTCGACTAATTTCACCACCCGTCTTTCTTCCTTTTTGCTTTCTCCCTATCTCCTTCCGCCATATCCCTCCCCAGCCCTTCACGATTTCCGGCACCCCTACTCTATCCCCTCCTTCACCCATGGCGTCTGTGAGTTGCTCCTGCTTCAGCCGTCTCCCCTCGTGCGGTGCTCGACTGGGCACCCAATTCCTAACCGCGACGACACCACACCTTGAGTCCGAATCAGCCCTTACTGATGCTGTATCTTTTACCTTTAGCCCCGTCCTCACAACTTCGGTTCCCAAGGCTATCCTCTCTCGAACGGTGCGACGCCCTCTGGTCCGGCACCCGGAGCCACGCCGCTTCTTCCCAACAATGGCAGAATTATTCAGAATGGACCGACTCGGATTCTGTGCATTGCGGACGTGCGAGGTATGGATGGCAAGACGATGATTTGACACTGGGCAAGGCTAATTGGGTACGCGATGCAGGAAACCTGAAGTCTCTGAATGAGCTGGCGAAGCAAGCTCGCGCAGACCACATCATCCACACGGGTGACTTTGGTTTCTACGATGATACTTCGCTGGAGCGCATTGCAGACAAGTATGTGCCTTTCTAGAGTTCTCGGCTCATAGTGCTGGGGCTCGAGATGAGACGAACACACTTCGCATCATCCGGGCACCAAAGCCTCAAATAAACGGGGGATAAGCTAACCTTATTTTTTGTCTCCGTGCAGAACCCTTAAGCATGTGGCTCAATATTCCCCCCTCCTCCCCGAGAACGTGAAGCGGTCAATCGCACAGGTTCCCCCTCAGCAGTCGATTAAGCAGCGTTTCACTCCGGACCAGCTACCCCTCTCTGAGCTGCCCATGCTCCTTGACAAGCGCATCACCCTTGATGTTCCTGTCTACACAGTTTGGGGTGCTTGCGAGGATGTTCGTGTGTTGGAGAAGTTCCGGTCGGGCGAGTACAAAGTGGATAAGCTGCACATCATTGACGAGGCCAACTCGCGGTTGCTGGATATTGGTGGTGTTAAGCTGCGTCTGCTTGGACTGGGTGGTGCGGTGGTGATGCACAAGCTGTTTGATAACGGTGAGGGAAAGACAACAATTGCCGGTGGCCAGGGTACTATGTGGACGACGCTGCTGCAGATGGGCGAGCTGATTGACACCGCTAACCGAGTCTACGACCCGTCCGAGACCCGTGTTTTCGTCACCCACGCCTCGCCTGCCCGTGAGGGCATGCTGAACCAGCTTTCCGTCACTCTCAAGGCAGACTTTTCTGTCTCTGCTGGTCTTCACTTCCGCTACGGCTCTTCCTACAACGAATTCTCTGTCAACCCTTCTTTGGACCACTACCGTGGCAAGCTCGCAGCCTCGAAGGCATCTTTCACCGATGTTTGGGAGACCGTGCGGGGCGAAGTAGAGTCAGCCATTTCCTCCAACGAGGCGCAGAAGACTTTACTCGACAACGCTCTGGATGTGGTACAGAAGATGCCTTCCATTGCTAACGGCGGCAACCCCTTCGGCGGCCCTGTTGCAGCTGGCAACGCCGCTGGCCAGGTGGACGAGAGCGCTTTCAAGAATATGTGGAACTTCAACCTTGCGGATGCTGCCTTTGGATACCTGGTCCTGGAAATTGAGGGTGGTCGGATCGCGACGGAGATGCGGGCTCAAGGTTTCAACTTTGCCCACCGCAGTGGCAAGCCTGCGCCCGGTGGTGCTCAGCCTGTTGCCAGTGGTCTTCCTGCTACCACTGCCTCTCCTGCCCCCACTGGCGCGGGTGGCCGGCCTACCGCAAACACCCCCCAGTTTGGCCAAGCTCCCCCCCCCGTGGTGGCTCTGCCGCCGGTCAGCAACAGGGCCCGGCCAAGGGTCAGCCGGCCCGTGCTTCGCCTGTTCCTGCCATCCCCAAGCCTGCGAGCCCGCAGCCCCCTACTACCACATCCGCTCAGCCAGCGGGTGAGGAGAAGGTCGCTGGTGCCGACACTAACGGCGCCGTTCAGCAAGAGAAGCCTGGCGATTCTCCCGCTCCTCGTGGCGAGAAGAAGCCCAGCAACGGGCTCTTCGTGTCCAACGTTGACAATGAGCAGGCAGTCCGTGAGATGCTTCCCGAGGAGGACCAGGCTAAGGTTGTCAAGATTGAGAAGTACGGCAAGTTCAACCATGTCGTGACATTCGCGACTGTGGAGGATGCCAAGGCTGCTCTCGACCGTCAGCCCATTGAGTTCAAGAAGCCCACTCCTGGCCCCGGCCCTCGCAAGCCCAACTTCAAGTTCTTCGAGGACCGCAGCCGTGGCCAGGGCAATGCCGGAACCTGGCAGAGTAGCACCCGCGGTGGCGCTAGCGTCGGGCAGCGTGGCTACCAGAGCGCCAGCGATAGCGAGGGTGCTCGCCGGGGTGCATTCGGCGGCCGTGGCCGTGGCCGAGGTGATCGGGGCCGTGGCGGCCGTGGAGGCCGTGGCGGTAGCTTCAAGGGCAGTTCGGCTGACTCCCCTGGCCCCTCAACCCCATCTGGTGATAAGCCCGCCACGTCCGGTGGAGATGCCTAATCGCTGAGATGTGGCATATTCTTCGTTCTTGACTCTTACCTTTTGGGTTGTCGGTACAATTATCGGCCACTCTGTTTTCCTACGTCCCAATCCCCATCATGTTGACTTTCTATGCCACCACCTCACACTTTCTCGCCTCATATTCTAATTCTTTTGTGTCTTTTTTGACTCCCGTGAACCATTTTCAAATTCCCCTTTCTTTTTTTACCTGCCACGTTCCGTTTTTAGCAAGATGGTGCTTCCGATTTGTGTTTCTAGATGCCTTTGTGTTCTATTCCTCATACCTACAGGAAAGGATATCTCGGCACTCGGCAACATGAAGCACGTTGGCTATACTCGAGGAGTGAGTCTGGAGAGTGCGTTTGGTTGTGACACGCAGAGAGTGAAAGACGCAAGCAAAACAAAAGAATGCCAAAAAAAAATTATTACCATCTGCCAACCCAACCCCCTTGTTTCTCCCCTTTTTTTCTTTGTACTTTACTACCCTTTTCCCACTGGAAGAGAACCAAACAGCGATACCCTTACAGCTTCGGTTTAGACTGGCGTGTTGTGTAGTACAGGTCGAGCTTCGAGCCCAACAATTGCTTCTAGTGAGCGGTTCTAGACGTAGCTCTCCCTTTTTTTATTATTTTTTTTTATCTGTTATCCCCCTTCCTCGGGAAGATTAGGTCGATTTGATTTTGATCTTGCAATTAGCTGCCTTGTTGGCGTTGGCTGATAAAAGCTGGGTGACATAATCCCAGTGTGTAACTAAGTTAACTAGTACGTACAGTCACGTTGAGACAAGCTTGATCTGGGTCTCGAGCTCGGATCCACGTGGCGATTAAGCATATTCAAACCATGGACTGATCCACTTCAGCTACTACGAGATCGAATGGAAAGAAAGACAGAACTGAATTTGTGTACAATGGTACATGTCAGAGCCACCATCAAGGAGTGCAAGCCATCCCAATCCACCAGGACTAAGTAATTCCAGTTCGCCAAGATCCCAAATATTCCCTTCCGTTACAAGAGGCCGGCTTCCGAGCCGCCTCATCCAGGCGCCGCAGTGTAAAGGCCAGACATGATGGCGCCTGCAAGGTCCGTGTCTCCATTCGCCAGGTTTGATGATGATAACAAGAGACGCATGCACAAAGAACAAAAAGGCATAAGTACCGAAGAGAGAAAGACGAAGATCTGAAAGAGAAAGATCAAGAGAAGGAGGGCATTGGATTGATAAAATTCTCCAAAAAAGTGAAAAAAGACAGCGAGGGGTACGCCGTAGACATAAGTGTCAAGATTCAATCTCTCAATCTCTCGAGATGTGCGCAGTCCGTGTCCAACATTTCATTGTTTTGTTCCAGTTGTGCTTGATGACGCCGTATGGTTTTCAAATGACATTCGATGATGGGTATGAGAAGAAGATAACGTGGTACAGTTTCAATGGACGTAAGAAGCGGCTTCCGTGAGTCGTGAAAAAATTGGTGGATGGGCCAGATGGGATCATCCCCATCGTGGAGATCGCTTAGGTTGTTACTTGGCGCGCCCCATAATATCGTCGACATCACGCTGGTTCACGACCACGCCACCCTCAGAGCACCGGGCCTTGGTGCGCAACTCGGAGCAAAGGTTGTCGACGTCGATCTCGCCGTTGCGGAATTTCTCCATGGATTGGAGACGATCCCTGTGATATGTCAGTAAGAGCAAGGAGGAGACACTTTGCATAGGTCGCTTGGAATGGGCAAGAAACATACCAGATCTTGGTGCACGACAACATCTGTGAATTGTCCTCGCCTGGGACAAGTTCTTCCTCCAGTCTGCTGTCGATTTGAGCAATCAGGTCCTTCTTGGGCATTGGGTGGGTCACCGCTTCGGTGATGTTGTGAGATGGACTACCCAGGTCGGGTAGGGGGAAAGCATCGTTGAAGAAGGAGCCAAAATCCTGGGATAGCACAGCGTCCTGCGGCTCGCGCCAGTCTCCGAAAAGCACGGGATCGAACTGACCGCCATTTTGTTGAGCCAGCCAATCGAGCCCAGCCGGATCCTCCACAGAGGGCGCTGGTTGGTCGCTCGAGACACTGTGGGACTTGGATTTGTCTCGAGCAGCTGGAATGGGGTTATTGATGTTGCCGCAGGCCATGCCAAGTTTCGCACAGAAAGATTCCTCACCATTGACGGAGCCGTGAATCTCGCAAGTATTTGCCGAGTCATGATGGGGCTTCGCCTCGGGCGGAGAGTTCAAGCTTGGCTCAGGCGAAGTACCATTCGACGAGAGCATCTGACTCTGGTGAGAATCAGACGAAGATGACGGAGAGTCCGAGGTGGAAGTGTCATGATTTGATGCAGCAGACTGCTTGACGTTGTTGTAAGGGGACTTAACGGAAGTGGTACTGCCAGGGGTACCGTGCGAACCGGCATAGTTGGACTTTGCGCTGCCAGCTCCGATGGGAGTGTCGGTATGGGACATGCTCGGAGCACCGTTGGGCAAGTTGTGCAAGCCATCGCGGCTCAGCACACCTGGTGCACGGTTGTCCTTATTCTTGGATTGATCATTCTTGTTTGACTGGCCGTTGAAGAGATGCGAGCCCGGAAGATCACCAAATTTGGGAAAGTCAAATAGGAACTCATTGTTCTGCAGGCCGTACGCTCCCCGAGTGTGGGCACTCGGGATGGCACTCATCGCCGAAATACCGCTACCGCTCGTCATCCAGGAGAGACGCTTACGGTATTCACGGAGTTCCACCTGTAGCCGCTCTACCTGGGCCCGAAGCAGGCCATTTTCTTGGTTGGCCGTGTCGGACGACTTTTGCAGTTCGTCCACCTTGGTTTCCAAGTCTTTCAAATGCTTCTCCTTTCGCTCACGGAATGCACGCTGGGCGGCCCGGTTTTGGGCCTTGCGTTTCTGTTGGCTTGTGTCAATAAAATCCAACCCCGTTGTCATGATTCGCCGAACAGGCGATGGATGCCTACCGTGGTGGGTTCCGATGTCAGAGGCTTCCGGCCGGGCTTCTTGGCCTCGCTCTCCCGCCGTTTCTTGCCCGTCTCTTCCCCATCCACCTCCGACTTGCCGTCCATCGACTTTCGCTTCTCACCGATGTCATACTCGGTCGACGGACCACTACCGGGCAGGTCACCAATCAAATCGTCCGATCCAGGGAATTCGAAGTCGACCTCGGGATTAAAGTCCAGGAATGGGCTTTCATCTTCCCCGAAGCCGAAAGCGTGTAATTGAGAGTTGTCGTTGTCGAATCCCCCAGAGGGTGGGCCACTCATTCCATTGGACGACGTATGGTCCGGGCTGTGATCGGGTTTGATGTGGGGGGTGTGGTTAGGTTGGCTTTGCGAATTATGGGCGGGAGTGTTGGAGGAAAGAGCGGCTAGCAGGAGGTCCTGCTGGCCCGGGGAAAGGTAGAGCCCCTGCTGGTACATCTGCTTGTAGTCGCTCATTATGGCTGGCTATAGGTGACAGATGGGAAACAGGAACAGGAGGTTGACAAGGTTGCAGGAAGAGGTGGGGGAAGATGTTGAATGAATGGTCGGGTTCGAGAGACTCCGGGAGCAGGAATCGGGCGTTGCGCCCGCAAACGATGATAGATAATTGAACTAAAATGGAGATGAGAGTTCTGAGACCAGAACAGGTACAATCGCCCACGCTGGAAGCCTGGGTGGGAGGTTCCCCTGGACGATCTGAAGACCTGGCTGAGGGGGAGGAGTGGAGTGGAGGGGGAGTGTCGAGGGAAGAAGTTGCGGAGGCCTGAGGCTGGAATGGAGTGGAAGCACTAGCAACGTGCACCAAGCCCAGGATCCAAGCACTGCCTGAGTGCGGCTAGAGGCAGCGGTGGTACTGTATGGATGGTATGAATTGTATGGGATGTATGAGAAGTATGAGAGATCCCAGAGAGAAAGATGATGAAAGAGGAGGCGATCTCTTAGCGGTGGGTGAATCGGGCGCATCATTGGCCCGAGATCCGGAAGCAGGTGATCCCAGGCGATTAGCAGCCAATCAGGACGTGGCATGTGGTGCGCCAATGGGATGACTCAGCATTCCGGAAGCCTCAGGCGTGAACGGAGGGGGCCGGGCTGCTTAGAAATCCACGCAGGAAACCACGCAGCGCACCTTCCCAACATCTTCGATGCTCTTCGATGGGGTCGCTGTGATTCGCTCCTGCTGTCTTTCGCCTGCAACTTTTCTGCGCGGTCCAATGTGCGGGCCAGTGAGACGCGTCCTTCCCCTCCCTCCTGTTTCATTGCCCATGACTCATAACGGCCCGTATCCCGCCTGACCAGTCGACCAGACGGCCCGTAGAGTCCCCCGTCCTCCATACTCCCGTAGTACAGTACACTGTACGGAGTACACATTACGGTATACGGAGTACTAGGCCAGGGTCTCGCCCCACTTCCGAGTTCTGCTAGTTACCAAATGCCTCCGATCCAGGATCAGACCACGCCTCCAACCGTACTATGTACTCCTTCCTCCCCGGACAGAGGGCTATGATCCTTGGCTCCGCGTGGCAAACTCATACTCTTATTCATGTCGCCCGGTCTCGAATGTCGACCCACTTTCTCCCTTCGCCGGATAACCTGAATTGAATAGCCCTCGTGCAGTGCTGACCCCCAATATGGCTCCTCCCTATCTTGGAGATCCAGACACGAGTTGATGGGCAAATGAGCAAATTAGACACTCCGCACACCTTTCCCCAGTTGTCCAGCGCTGGAGCTAATCGGCACCCATCATCTTCTTATCAGGCCCCGTTATCGGAAGGTGTACGTCAGCCGGCTCGTCGCAACTGACCAGAAAAGCATGAAATATGTAATGAAGTGGTACTAGTACTACCAGTATACAATCTGCACATGTAGTCAAATGAAACGATGGAAAGTAAATATTTTGAAATAAGCCACTGCAAATAATAAGTCTGTGTATGTCAGTATTCCAAGACAGCCATACCCCGGACGCATTTGAACGCTCGCGACGGCGACAGATCACATGACCGCAATCCCATGGGCAACCCCGTTGAGCCTCGCCCGCAGGAAGTTCTCCGCATATCGCATATCCACCCTTTAACTAGCGCCCAGAGACTAAGACCTTTTTCACACTTCTCGGATTTTTGATTTGATCAACCCAAGGCCGTTTCCTCCCTCCACAGCAGCACCTCCACTTGCTGCCCACCATGTCCGACGTCGCCGCCCTGGAGGCCGAGGTCAAGGAATTCAAGATTCAAGTATCCCCTCCTAGTCCCTGATCGACTTGCATAACGAATGAACCACGAACCATTATCCCAACTGACTGTCCTTTCTTCCTGCTTTCCCAGCTTGAAACCGTCCAATCCAGCTTGCAGGTAGAACCCGATAACACGGAGCTGCAAAGTCTCAAGACTGAACTCGAAGAACTCATATCCCTCACCGAAACTGCCATCGCCGAGCTCAAACCGCCCGCAGCCGCATCCAAGCCGGCGCCCGCACCACCCAAGGAGACTTGGTCGTCCAAGGATACCGGTTCGCGCCAGTCCCAGCCGGCCGTAGAGCGTACCGACGAGACTTCCATACCCCCTCCCGCCGTCTCCTACTCCGTCAATGAGAACGTCCTGGCCCGCTGGGCCTCGGGCGACAATGCCTTCTATCCTGCTCGCATCACCTCTATCACGGGCTCCTCCAGCAACCCCGTGTACCTGGTCTCGTTCAAGTCGTACGCGACCGTCGAGAACCTGACAGCCAAGGACATCCGCCCCATCGCGGGCACTGACTCTCGCAAGCGCAAAGCTGATGGAACCTCAGGCAATTCAGCATCCCCGTCGCCCGCCCCATCGTCGGCCTCGCATCCTAACGTGATCTCGGCGGCGGCCGATATCAATCCCACTCTGGCCAACCAAGCCCGTCAGGAGCCCAGCAGGGTTGGGGATGGACCAGCACGCCCCGCTAAGGCGCCCCGCAAGGTCAAGGCCAACAAGGAACTGGAGGAGGGCAAGAATAAATGGCAGAATTTTGCAGCCAAGGGCAAGGGCAAGTTTGGCAAGAAGGACAGCATGTTCCGTACGGGCGAATCGGTCAACGCACGAGGTACGTTGGGTCTAACCCGGTTGATTGTTGCGGTCACAGGGCTAACTTTTATGTCAAGTCGGATTCACGGGATCGGGCCAACAGATGCGCAGGGACCCGGCGAGGACCCGCCACGTCTACCAGCAGGCCGACGATGAGGGCTATTAAAATGTTGTCTGGCCCTTCAGGGAAGCCGTGCGATAGTCTTGCAGCAGCGGGCCTCTGGTTCTATGGCCATGTCACGCGCCTTTCCTGATTCTTCTGTCCCCCTCGTCCCCTTTTCTTTTGAATGATCCCTCATGTTCTCATCGCTAACTGGATCGGCGGTGCAGATAAACCATCTTTTGTGTATTTCTCGCCCAGCGGAGTTTGTGTCCATAGATTACGGTTCTTCAGGGGATTTGATGATTTGTTAGGAAGTGATATCCACAATTAGTGGACCACCCTTGCCTTGTCGTGTAGCTTTCTAATCGTGATTTTCACTTCAGATCTGCGTGTGGTCCTCTGGTCCTCTCTTATGGAGATGTGCCGCTTGGCCTGCGCTCCGAGCCTCCGAAATGCAGGATCGTCGCTATGGCTGACAACTGCCCGCCGCCTGGAGCCCAGCCGGGCGCGTTTGGTGATTACGCTGGGCACCGAGGGGTCTTGTACCTATGTCGTAACTCTTATGATAGTGCAACTACCCACCTATGTAAAGATCAACCAATAAGCCACTCAGCTGCGCTTGCATTCAGAACACGTAATGAATCCAACTACTGATGGGCTAGCTAACTATTGCAGCTCTCGGTGTAACCAGCAGAAAGCCATTGTAGGTATATGTTCCCGCCTTCATGCGCTTCTTGCAAGTTCAGCATGGATGACCACAGATGCAGGATGAGCCTTGGCCAAGAGTGCGCCCGAGCATGGGCAGCCCTTGCGGTGCCTGACTTGCGCGCTCAGCTGACGCAAAGCATCTCCGGTCGCCGGCCTGGCTGGGCGGGGCGGCGGTACCCGCTTCTCCTCGACCTAGCAAACGTCATTTGCTTCTGCCCATCTCTGGACTCTCCTGCAGCTTCCCAACTCAGTGACTTTTCGACCACTACCTAACCCCAACCTCTTCTCGCGCGCTTTTCTGAGGCCTGTATTTGTGGATTTGTGCCGATTCCGACCGCGCTTTTCTGTTAGTCTCGCTTGGTTGCTGCTCCTTGCGCCTGCAGCGCCCGAGTCGCGACCAGTCGACCCGTCTCCACCTTGCATGAGCAGGTCTGCAGGGCCGACTGTCGGGATTGAACTTCTGCCACTCCAGAGAACCTGCCCACAGGGAATAGAAATTGGAGGAGCACGACCATCTCTCGCACCGCTTGCCCCCGTCAAAAATGCGGCAATTGGGGTTTGTTGCTGCGCTCGTTGGGTTGAGCTCCCTGGTCTCGCTGCCGGCACTGGTCGGCGCTCAGGGCGTGACCGAGATTCATGAAAAGGGCCGCTGTGCGATCCGCGGGCACTGCGGGAAACAATCAATCTTTGGTGGCGAGCTGCCTTGCCCCGACAATGGACGGGCGCAGCAGCCAGCGGATGAGGTACGGCAGAAGCTGGTCAAGCTGTGCGGTCCCAGATGGGAGGAGGGACCTGTCTGCTGCCTCGATGAGCAGGTGAGATCATTATATCCTTGAGGCTTTCTGTCTAACTCCACAGTCCTTAAGCAATGATACTGACTGGGCGTATTTCTTCCGGGTAGATTGATGCACTGTCGAGCAACTTGAAGCTGGCTGAGGGTATCATTGCCTCCTGTCCAGCCTGCCGTACCAACTTTTTCGACATGTTCTGTACTTTTACCTGCTCGCCTGACCAGTCGCTCTTCATCAACGTCACGCAGACGGAAGAAGCCCACTCGGGCAAGACACTAGTGACCGAGTTGGAGAATATATGGTCTGAAGAGTACCAGAGCGGTTTCTTTGACAGCTGCAAGAACGTGAAGAATGGTGCTTCTGGCGGGAAGGCAATTGACTTCATCGGTGGTGGTGCGAAGGATTACGCGCATTTCCTGAAGTTCCTCGGCGACAAGAAGTTCCTGGGTAGCCCATTCCAGATCAACTATCGGACCGAGCCCAGAGGTCCCGACTCGGCTGGTATGAAGGCGTTGCCTATGAAGCCAAAAGCCTGCAATGACGCTGACAAAGCGTATCGTTGCTCTTGCGTCGACTGCCCTGACGTGTGTCCCGAGTTGCCTGCTGTGTCTAGTCAAACCTCCTGTCATGTGGGTCTTTTACCATGTCTATCCTTTGCTGTCATCATCATCTACTCCGCATTTCTCACGCTCGTGATGGGCCTCGCGAGCTATGTTACATACAAGGAACGTCGGTTCCGCAAGCCCGAGCGAGTGCGCTTACTCCAGGATCCCACGCCCAGCGAAGATGAGGACGAAGGCGAGGTTGTGCATCGCGGCGGCTACATGGAACAGCCCCAGGGTGTTTACAAGCCAAACTCCCTTTTGTCTGCTCTGTTTCACCGCATTGGTGGAGCCTGTGCTCGATTCCCAGCGGTCACAATCGTCTCCAGCTTTGTTGTCGTGGTCCTACTTAGCTTGGGATGGCTGCGATTTACTGTTGAAACGGACCCCGTGCGCCTCTGGGTGAGCCCTTCATCTGCGGCCGCTCAAGAGAAAATGTTCTTTGATGAAAGCTTTGGGCCATTCTACCGAGCCGAGCAAGCCTTTTTGGTGAATGCAAGCGGCCCCGTTCTGGAGTATGACACCCTTGCATGGTGGTTTGAGGTCGAGTCCCGCGTGCGGCGAATGATTTCGCTGGACCAGGGCCTGAATTTGGACGATATCTGCTTCAACCCAACCGGCGATGGCTGTGTAGTGCAATCCCTGACCGGATACTTTGGTGGCTCCATCGCTAACCTGGACCCCGGCACGTGGCAAGCTCGGCTGCGTCACTGCACCGAATCACCCGGTGACCCCAGCTGTCTCCCTGACTTTCAACAGCCTTTGAAGCCGGAGATGATTTTGGGTGGGTATGACAGCACTGGGGATGTTCTGGACGCCGAAGCGCTCATCGTGACCTGGGTGGTGAATAACTTTGCTCCGGGCACTGACGGTGAAGAGAAAGCAATCGACTGGGAGAACAGCTTCAGGCGCATTTTCGATGATGTCCAGGCAGAGGCTGCTGAACGTGGCCTTCGCGTTTCTTTCAACGCAGAGGTAAGCCTCGAGCAGGAATTGAACAAGTCTACCAACACCGATGCGAAGATAGTGGTTATCAGCTACGTGATCATGTTCATCTATGCTTCTCTGGCTCTGGGGTCTGCCACCGTCACCTGGCGGTCTCTCTTGACGAATCCCGCCAATGCACTCGTGCAGTCCAAGTTCACTTTGGGTATTGCCGGCATCTTGATTGTGTTGATGTCTGTCTCTGCCTCGGTGGGGTTATTCTCAGCGGCCGGGGTGAAAGTGACTCTCATCATTGCCGAGGTCATCCCGTTCTTAGTTCTGGCAGTGGGCGTGGACAATATCTTCTTGATCGTCCATGAATTCGAGCGTGTCAACTTTAGTCACCCTAATGAAGAGGTCGATGAGCGAGTGGCTCGCGCCGTCGGCAGAATCGGACCCAGTGTCTTTCTGTCTGCCGTGACCGAGACCGTGGCATTTGCTCTAGGCGCCTTTGTAGGCATGCCTGCCGTCAAGAATTTTGCTGCGTACGCAGCGGGTGCGGTGTTTATCAACGCCATTCTGCAGGTCACCATGTTCATCTCCGTACTTGCTCTTAACCAGCGGCGCGTGGAGAGTCTTCGCGCCGACTGCTTCCCGTGCCTTACCGTTCGGAAAGCGAACTCCTTTGGCTTGCCCAATGAACACATCTACGATGACCACGAAACAGAGAGTGCTCTTCAGAGCTTCATCCGCCGCGTCTACGCCCCATTCATTCTCGATCGGCGCGTGAAAGCAGGAATTGTCATCGTCTTCCTGGGCCTCCTGACTGCAGGTCTCGCCTTGATCCCGGAGGTAGCCCTGGGCCTCGATCAGCGAATCGCACTTCCAAGTGACTCCTATCTCATCCCATATTTCAATGACCTTGATGCTTATTTCCGCACTGGGCCTCCGGTTTACTTTGTGACTCGTGATGTCAACGTGACCGAGCGAAAGCACCAGCAACAGCTTTGTGGGCGATTCACTACCTGCGAAGAATATTCCTTGCCGTTTGTCTTGGAACAGGAATCCAAGCGGCCGAACGTATCTTACCTTGAGGGATCTGCGGCAAGCTGGCTTGATGACTTCTTCTACTGGCTCAATCCTCAGCAAGATTGCTGCAAAGAGGACGGCAAGCTTTGCTTCGAGGATCGCATCCCACCGTGGAACCTGACCCTCTATGGAATGCCGACAGGGCCCGAGTTTATCCACTACGCTGAAAAATGGATTCATGCTCCTACCGATGCTTCGTGTCCTCTTGGCGGCAAAGCACCCTACAGTTCTGCAGTGGTGATCGATGAGGAACACACCATGATCAACGCTAGCCATTTCCGAACGAGCCACACTCCTCTGCGAAGCCAAAATGATTTCATCCAGGCGTACATTGCGGCTCGACGAATTGCCGACGGAATTTCTCAAGAATACAAGATCGATGTCTTCCCGTACTCGAAGTTCTATATCTTCTTTGACCAGTACGTCTCTATTGTGCAGCTGACGGGCACTCTCCTCGGATCGGCAGTAGCCATCATCTTCCTCTTGACATCTGCTATTCTCGGGTCGGTCGCTACTGGTGCGGTCATCACTACCACAGTGGTGATGACCGTGGTAGACATCATCGGCACGATGGCTATTGCCGGCGTTTCATTAAACGCTGTGTCGCTTGTGAACCTGGTCATCTGTGTGGGTATTGGGGTGGAATTCTGCGCTCATATTGCCCGCGCGTTCATGTTCCCCTCACGAACTCTTCTGGAGAAAGCTCCCGCCCAGTTCCGCGGTAAGGACGCCCGTGCCTGGGCGGCACTGGTCAACGTGGGCGGAAGCGTGTTCAGCGGCATCACCGTGACGAAGTTGCTGGGTGTTTGCGTCCTGGCGTTTACTCGCAGCAAGATCTTCGAGATTTACTATTTCCGCGTGTGGCTGGCGCTGGTCGTGTTCGCCGCCACCCATGCACTTATATTCCTACCGGTAGCTCTGAGCTATTTCGGCGGCGGTGGTATGTGCACCCTTCACCAGGCCTACTGTTAATTTACTGACGGACCCAGGATATCTCGACCCGGCCACTGACGGTGGCCTAGAGGCCAACCTTGTCTCGCGGGGCTACCGGTCATTGCTGGTAGATGATGCTTACGACTCTGATGAATACTAAGCGTACTAAGCGCTGCTTGCTCGGCATAGCATTACCTTTACTGAATTTCAGTCTCAATTTTTGATCATAATGGGTCTTCAGGCAGTTGTCATCTTGGGCTGAGCTCGCCAATAGTCTTTAGCCACGGATTCACGGATACACACAACCGGGAAGGGAACTGGCGTTCTCAAACTGGGGGCGTTTTAGGATTTTTTGGTATTTTCCACGTCTCGATCTATGCATGCAACATGCAACTATGTCCTCCATAGGAGCCACATGTGTACACGAAGGCCCATTAATAGCATTGTTCGGCCATACTCATCTGCAGTAGATCACATGCCCCTCGTGAGACCACACAAAAAACCCTATAGATGCGCGACCCAAACTCCACGTCACAAAAACATAAACGAACCACAAAGTAAAGGATAGAGAAGGGGGAAAACCGGGTGCCCAACCCAACTGGGCCAATAGCCCAAGAGAAAAGTCCACTTGTCGCCTGTGCGGGCCCAATAATTCCACCCAATTAACCCAATAAACGGAAGGGCTACCCCTCGACGCGGTTGATGTGGTCCCTCCAGCCCTAAACCCAATCGGGGCACCCCCCCCTAAATTTTTGGTTTTTTTCTGCCGCGTCTTAAGTTTTTTTTTTCTTCTCTTTCTTCTCTTCTTCATCCCCCCACCATCCTCTCCTTTTTTTTCTTTTTTTCCTTTCTGTTGTTTCATTGAGATACCCCTTGAGCCGTTTGTCCTCGCCGACAAGCTGCTCATCTTTTCCCTGTCCCCCTCCCTGCCTTGAATTAGGGACTTGGGACGCACCGCAGTGACGTTCTGACGATCACAATAAGAAATCTTTTGTGATACCACATCTCCCCCATCAATCATGGATCAACAACGTTTCCTGCAGCAATTGCAGATCATCTTGGACCGTACGTGTCAAATAAACCGCCCCTTTGTGTTCTGCAAGATCAACTCCCATGCTAAATCTCATTTCTCTCCAGCCTCTCAGGGAAATGTCAAGGAAGCCACCGGCATCTTGCAAAAGGAGTTCTACAGCAAGCCCCAGTCCCTCGTTCTCCTCATCCAGATTGCCACCGGCCATGAGGACCCGAACCTTCGCCAGCTCGCCGCCGTTGAGGCTCGTTCGCTCGTCCAGAAGCACTGGTTGAAGGTTGCGGCGGACCAGAAGCCCCAGGTGCGGGAGCAGTTGCTCCGCTCCACCATGGGAGAGAGCTCGTCTCTCGTTCGTCACTCGGTCGCTCGGATCATCTCGGCTGTCGCCAAGATTGATCTCCAGGATGGCGAGTGGGCGGATCTACCCAACGTTCTCCTGCGTGCGGCTGACGGCGGCAACCAGGATGAGCGGGCCGTAGCTATCTACATTCTGTTCACCATTCTGGAGACCCTGGGTGAGGGCTTTGAGGAGAAGTTCCAAGACCTGTTCACCTTGTTCAACAAGACCATCCGTGACCCCGAGAGCGCTGAGGTCCGCATCAACACTCTCCTGGCTCTGAGCAAGCTCGCCTACCACCTCGACTCGGAGGAGAACATGGCTCCCGTCAAGGCTTTCCAGGATATGGTTCCCTCCATGGTCGCCGTCCTTAAGGATGCTATTGACCAATCTGAGGAGGACCGTATTATGCAGGCCTTTGAGGTCTTCCAGACTCTGCTTAGTCTCGACCCCGCCCTCCTGACCATCCACCTGAAGGACCTCGTCGTGTTCATGAACGAGCTCGCCGCCAACACTGAGGCCGACGAGGACACCCGTACTCAAGCTATCAGCTTCCTCATGCAGTGCGTCCAGTACCGCAAGCTGAAGATCCAGGGTATGCGTCTCGGCGAGCAGCTGACTCGCACTGCTCTGCAAATTGTCACTGAGCTAGATGACTCCCCCGCGGATGATGATGATATCACTCCGCCCCGCTCTGCTCTGGGTCTTCTCGACATTCTCGCCCAGAGCCTGCCTCCCAGTCAAGTTGTTGTGCCTCTGCTCCAGACCTTGGGTCAGTACTTCAACAGCAATGACGCCAACTACCGCCGTGCCGGTATCATGGCCCTGGGTATGTGCGTTGAGGGTGCTCCCGACTTCATCAGCACTCAGATGAAAGAGATCTTCCCCATGGTTCTCCAACTCCTTGCCGATCCCGAGCCCAAGGTCCGCCAGGCCTCTCTGCACGCCGTTGCCCGTCTGGCTGACGACCTCGCCGAGGACCTCAGTGCCGAGCACGAGCGCCTCATGCCCCTGCTCTTCAAGAACCTGGCCAGTGCCATGCAGGAGTACCAGGGAGAGGAGGATGGCCCCACTGTTGATATCATGAAGGCTGGTATTAGCGCCATCGATGCTGTTGTTGACGGTCTCGATGAGAAGGACGTTGCTCCCTACCAGACTGAGCTTGTGCCTATCCTGCACAAGCTCTTCCAGCATCCCGATTTCAAGATCAAGGGCCTTGCCGCTGGTGCTCTTGGTTCGCTCGCCTCCTCTGCTGGTGACTCTTTCCTCTCGTTCTTCGATGAGTCCATGCACCTGCTTCAGGAGTTCGCCACTGTCAAGGACAGCGAAGAAGAGCTTGACCTCCGTGCTAGCGTCACTGATGCTATGGGTGAAATGGCCGCCGCTGCTGGTCCCGAGCGATACCAGCCGTACGTGGAGCCCCTCATGCGTGCCACCGAGGAGGCCCTGCACCTCGGCCACTCCCGCCTCAAGGAAAGCACCTACATCTTCTGGGGTGCCATGGCTAAGGTCTACTCGGAGCACTTCTCTCCCTTCCTGGATGGTGTTATCAAGGGTCTCTTCGAGTGCATTGAGCAAGACGAGGATGACCTTGAGCTCGACCTTGGTGAGGCCGCCAAGGATCTCATTGGCCAGGAGGTGACCGTTGCCGGCCGGAAGGTCAAGGTTGCCAGTGCCGAGGATGATGACGAGCTTGAGGGTGATATCGAGGACGTTGATATTGACGAGGACGACGAGGATGCCTGGGATGACATTACCGCCACCACCCCTCTGTCCCTGGAGAAGGAGATTGCTGTCGAGGTTATTGGTGACCTGGTCACCCACACTCGCAGCTCCTTCCTGCCCTACTTCGAAAAGACTATTGAGACTGTGATGCCTCTCGCTGAGCACCCTTACGAGGGTGTCCGCAAGAGCACCATTAGCACGCTGCACCGCTCCTACGCCATGCTGTTTGCCATTGCCGAGGAGACCGGCCAGATGCCCAAGTGGCAGCCTGGTCTGCCTCTGCAGGTCCAGTCCGCCAAGGAGGTGAAGAAGTTCGGCGAGATCCTCATGACTGCCACCATCAAGATGTGGGCTGAGGAAGATGACCGGTACGTTATAGACAATTCTTTTGCTTCATTTGTTTTTGGCCCGGCTGTTTGCATGATGATCCTTTCCGCTTAACCCAGCTCACTTTGACACACCAAAGAGTGTGATTGATGTAAACGGCGATTCTACATTCTGATACATACATATGCCGATGGCTTTTTGCTATTATGATCTTGGTTGTCGATGACATTCATTTACTGACTGATCGACTCTAGTGCTACCGTCGCCGATATCAACCGCAACATGGCTGAGAACCTCCGCTTCTGTGGCCCTGCGCTGATCTCTGATGAGACTGTGCTGCACAACGTGATTCAGATGGTTACCGACATCATCACCAAGCAGCACCCCTGCCAAATGGAGTTCGGCCCCGAGGAGGAGAGTCTCGAGGCTGGCGAGGAGACGTCCGAGTTCGACTGGGTTGTGGTTGACACTGCTCTGGATGTCGTCTCCGGTATGGCCGCCGCCCTGGGCCAGAGCTTCGCCGAGCTTTGGAAGGTCTTTGAGAAGACCATCCTGCGTTACGCTAGCAGCACCGAATCCCTGGAGCGCGCCACCGCTGTGGGCGTTTTGGCCGAGTGCATCAACGGGATGGGCGGCGCTGTGACTCCGTTCACCTCGTCGTTCCTTAAGCTGCTCCTGCACCGCCTGGGTGACGAGGACCCCCAGACCCGGTCCAACGCCGCCTATGCCGTCGGCCGTCTGGTCGAGCATTCGAACTCTGATGCCGAGATGGTCAAGGAGTTCCCTACCATCCTTAGCCATCTGGAGTCGTGCTTGCAGATGAACGTTTCTCGTCTGCAGGACAACGCTACTGGCTGTGTCTCCCGCATGATCCTGCGCCACCGTGACCACGTCCCTACCAAGGATGTCCTGCCGGTGCTTGTGAACATTCTCCCTCTGAAGAACGACTTCGAGGAGAACGACCCTCTGTACCGCATGATCTGCCAGATGTGTAAGTTCCATTCTTTTGTTTGGACTGTCTTCCTTCGACATCCACGCTGACTTTATTTTCCTTCTAGACAAATGGGAGGACGCGACTATCCGCGAACTCACACCCCGCCTGTTGCCTGTCTTCCAGGCGGTGCTGACGGGCGATGAGGACCAGCTCGAGGACGAGCGCCGTGCCGAGCTTATCGAGCTGGTCAAGTGGCTGAACCAGATGCAGGCGGGCGCTGCCCCCTGGGTTGAGCAGCTGTAAAGATGCTATGACGGACTATATTTTGTGATGACCCTGGGCTGAACTACGCGTAATGGAATAGACGGATGATTTGGAACCCCCGAGATGACTAGACGATACCCCGTCTCGGCGGTAATTTCCCGCGATGAATGATGAAACAAAAGTTACTGCTGTACATAGTTCAATCGATTGCTTGCCTTGATTGACTTCTATCATTTGGTTCCTCAACCTCTTTAGACCCCATTGATTCCGCTGTATACGAAGTATGCTTGGTCTAAATTACTTTGCGCCGATCGCCTAGACTTCTCCAGTTGGGCATCGTCGCTCGAGCCCCCGTGACGTGTGTGGCGGGGTCTTCAATTGCCAGGGTTCAATATGAAGAAACCTGAATCCAACCTCTACCGGCTCCCAAGTCTCATTGGCTATGCTTGCAAGACCTGATCTCGAGGGTGTGGGAGAGAAATCGAGATGACTGCCTGGCTCGTGCGGATGCTGATTACTCCTTCACCATGAAAACTGGGGCAACCAGGCAGTGCGGTTTTCCCCTCTCTCCATCCATATCGCTGTCCAGACCCCACGCGCCCTGCTTCCCTGAAGCCTTGTACGTGATTATCCGCCTTACGGTAACTATCTTGTCTGATGTCCGACCGCCGATTCCCACGATGCGCTTACGCGATGCTGACATTGCTGACTCCCTTCCAGCGGTCCTTGTTTCGACGCTATTAATCAGCGACAAGTACCAGTCCACAATGGTCACCTTTGTCTCATCCCCGATCAACTGGATTCTACCGTCGACAAGCTCGGGCGGGTCAATCAAAAAGCCGATCAAGACTGTATCGAAGCCATGTTTCGGGTGTGACTGCGGCGACGAGGAGTGCGATTGCTGTATCTGCACGGTGATGTGAAGGAGGCAGATCGAACGGTCTTCTCGGAGCAGTCGACAAGACTGACGAGGAACCCTGTTGCATTCGGTGGATTGAACTGGGGGACTCCCGGCCATTGACGGTCGTCGTCACGACGAGAATAATCAAGAGCTGTTCTGTTCCGTGGGTGTCTTTCTGCTTTCTTGGTTCTCATAGGTTGATGGTGCGATTGTGTTTGGGTTTACGCTTCGGCATATCTTCGAAGTATATATCCCCGTTCGGTTGTTAGCCGAGAGCCAGCTCCCCTTTAGACTCCGCAGAATGCAGCTTTATCATCTCAAGAACTGTGCGCTATAGCTGGTAATAGATACCTTGTACCGCTTCAAGATTCTGATAGTCTCTCCACCGCCTCACTTTGGATACCCTATGCATTCCGACACCACATCCCCCCCCACAAAAGAAGCATTTCTCCACTCTCGGGATCGCGGGCTTCCGCTGACTCAGCGCGCTACAGTCTATCCGTTCACAACGATCACCACCGCCTCCTAATCCCCATGGATCCATCCGACGACGAACGGCCGAAGCGCACGGCGCGCGCCTGCGATTCATGCTATAAACGCAAGGTAGAGAGACCTGTCACTTAGTTCCAACTTCGTAACGCCATCAACTAATGTGCCAGATCAAATGTGACGCCGCCGCGCCGCAGTGCAACTGGTGTAGCCACCATAACCTCCCCTGTACTTTTGAACGTGCTATACAGCGGAAACGAAAGACGGAAGATCACAGAAAGTACGTCTTGTTTTCTCACGTGTTATTTGCTCTATTCTCTCTCCATAGGGTAACCTGTTCCCCGCTGACTAACCATTTGGTGAAGTCGGCAAAAAGCCTCGCGGCTATCAGAGCGTATCAGCCGCATTGAGCAACTACTGGCGGAGAACCTGGTGCAGAAACCAGGACCTAGTATGTTCCACCCCTCCAGCAGACCGCGATATCGGCCTTGGGAATAACCAAGTTGAAACAGCCCCACCAGATCTCTCCCAGATCATCATTGGCAACTCAACGCCCAGTAGCCCACGCAGCACGGTCAGCAGAAACTTACCCCCACCGTCGTCGTCTGTGGGCGTTCATTTTGCTGGTCGAGAATTAGGTGTCGTCAGTCTCCTCACCGGCGTTCCATTCTTTCTCCCCGAGGGGCAGGATTGGATCCAGGCTCGCACCGGACAGACCATATCGCGCGACACGCTCAGTCCTGTGCATGTACCATGGGGAAAAGAGCGCGGCGAGGGCTCCAAAAACATTTTGATCGATCTGACAAGTCAGGATTTGTTCGACCTTCCGGACTGGCGGATCGTACAGGTGTATTTTGTGGCCTACAAGAATTCCACTTTAATGCAGCGGCTCTTCCCAGTCATAGACGTCGATTTGTTCGAGGAGACCATACGTGCAGCTTACGAGCAGCCACACTCAAGCTCCGGACAAATCAGTGCCCGAGCGTGTGTAATTGCCTTTCTCGCCTTTGTTTCCCGCCTCCCCCCGGTCAGGGCGCAGGTCGAGAATGCAGTATCCTTTGCTTCAGTGGACCATGAGGCTCTCGCTAGCAAGGTCCAATTGTTGGTGGCGCAGATTATGCAAGAGCCCGCTACTCTGGACGGCTTACAGGCAGTCACTATGCTGGTAAGACCTTACTCCCATTACCCGTGGCAATCCATGAGCATATCTTGGACCAGGGCTAACAGGATCGGGCGTGATAAATCAGACGCTTCATGAGCTCACCTCCGGAAACTTGCGAGCTATCGATTACTTTGGATCAATCGCCGGACGCCAACTCTTCATGCTGGGTGCAAATGTGACCTATGATCGAACCACCCCCGTCAGCGAGCGGAGTCAGAAGCGCCAGAAACAACTGCGCAATCTCTTTTGGATCTGCTATACGCTCGATAAAGATAAGGCCCTTCGCACAGGGCAACCGCCTGTCATTTCGGACGATAATTGTGACTTAACCTTGCCAGAAGGGTATACGGATCGGGCATACACGGACCCGGAGAAAGACGGCAATTCCTCGACGGAGCCGGTGTTTCCCTTTGATTTACGCTTGAGTATGATCAAGTCCCGGGCCCACACCCACTTATACTCCGTGAGCGCTCTCAAAAAGTCTGACGCAGATCTCTTGAAGTCCATTCGGGAGTTGGACGATGAGTTAGAGGAGTGGCGGCTCTCGATCCCGCTGCAGTGGCGCCCGACCATGTCGTTTTCGCAAGAGGCTTCCGATCCCAATATGAGCATGCATTCGGTCATGTTGCGTCTCAATTATTATCTGTGCATGAGCATCATTCACCAGGCGAGCAGTCGGTGCAAGGCGTGGATGCAGGGCAGCGGAATGATGGATGGGGTGAGCTCGAGTCTCGCGCTTTCGGTGGAAGCCAGCCGGTCCACTCTCTGTTACTTGGGGGCCGCAGAACATGTACTGGTGAGGGAAATCTTCTGGTAAGGCTCCTCTTTCGTAGAGTATCAACCTTGTACGCTTGTGGCTAACAAATCGCATTTTGATCCAGGACGCTCTTATTCTACCCGATGTCCGCACTCCTGAACATCTTCTGTAGCATTCTCCAAAACCCATTGGATCCACGCTCGCGCGACGATCTGGATATCTTGAAAATGGCTACCGCCATGATTGGCCGTATCTTCTCGCGGCAATCGCGCGAGAATGAGTTCGAGAACTTCGAGCTGGTGGCGGACTTTGTCGCGGAGCTGAAGCGACTGGCCGAGTGCGCCATTGATAAGGCCTGGCGCGAGCAGAGCGCGGTTTCTCAGATACCGCAATGATCTTTTTCACTCTTTGCTTGGCTCGTTTGCTAATATTTAGCGGGCCATCCGAACACGGCGTTGAGGGATTCGAGCATAGGCGTACTGCTTGAAAACATGAAGAAACGATAGTAAGAATATTGGGTATATAATCTAGACTTAGACAATCTAAATAATGGCACTACGATAGGTACATCACCACCCCCGAAAGAAATCTTATGCAAACGAGAAACGTAGTGGCACGAAGCTACTTGACTCTGGTGGTTTTTTTTCTGTAGCCATTACGACGCAGGCACCACGAAGACAACAGAGCTCAGATTGTAAAGACAAGGGTATCACCACAAGAAACCGAGGGGCTCACCAATTACTACCTAAGGGTGGAACATTCGAGCTGTCTACGCAAACCAAAAAGAAAAGAAAAAAAAAAAGAAAAAGGGAAAAGGGGCCATCAACACTGATCCCCAGATCCTCCCGAGTTAAGAAGCGAAGGATGGAGACGTGAGGTTGTGATATTGGTCGGACATGGGGTCCTCATGAGATATGTAATTCTCGCTATGACATGATCTATGGATTGGGAATGCCACTCCCGGTGCTGCTTGTGAAAATGGGATGAGCAAGAGAGCCCTCCGGGGGACCGCAATGGTTTCACGCATTCGGTTCCAGTATATGTGTAAGCCCCGACTGACGGTTGTTCCCGGGGGATGTGCTGCGTGATGCGAGACCCTCTTTTTGCAGAATAAGGCCGTAGTTATGAGCACTTTGAGCCACTCGTTACGATCATCGGGACTGGAGCAGGATGTCCGTCTTTCTGAGCGTGGTGGCCGTCCAATCAATGCCTGTCTGGCTTCACTCGGATGATCGCTTGCTCGCAGGGATGAGGGTTGTCGTTCACCGTCGGTTCGCTGTCCGGGCAGCACCCTTCGGCTCTCGGATTGAGGTGTCGTTGTATTGGCTGGGTCGAGCCCAAAAGCCAGCTTTCTTCCTCAGTTCTCCTTGTCCAGAAGATCCCACACCAATTGCGCATCCTCGATGGATCGTTTAGCCGCTTCCTTCGACCGCATGGTGTTCTCAAGTCGCTCGGCAGAGTTCGCTTTGCCACCCTCCATTTCGAGTTGTTGCAGAAGATTCTCAATGTCCGATTTGACCTTATCCATTTGCTTAATTTCATCCTTGGTCCGCTTCAGTTGTTCCTCCATCATCATCATGAGCGATTCGCGGGCCTGGTGGGGTCGATACAGGTTCAGAAGGTGATGGGCATTGATGAACAGGTTGCGCAGGTCCTCCACCTTGGATTCGAATTGCTCGGGCGACACTGAAAGCACCCCGACAAACTCCAGGAAGTTCAGAAGGAGGGATTTGCTAATCTTCAGCAAATAGTAGGCATGGTTGAGAGGCTGGGCAGGTCGCGAAGGATCGGAGTCTGTCGCGGGCTCCGGGTAGAGCTGCTCGATATCCTGATCTTTCAAGGACGGCAATGTTGTAGATAGCTAAATTCTCCGAGGTCAGCCCAGGTCTGTCTTCATGAAGATGTTCGAGCACTCAAACACACCGTTTGCACTTCCCCAAAGACCGAGTACTCCCCCGTGGGAATCTCCGGCGGCACCAGGAAGCGCAGCTCCGGTGGCAGATCTAAAGCACGTAGTTCCGATGGTGACCACCGCTTGCCGCGCACAGACTGTGCATCCTTGTCCTTGGACGCCTCCGCCTTGATCTGCTCGAGCTTGTCGATGTTCTCGCGCGTAAAATGCTTCCATAAAGGTGGCGGGGGCGCAAATGCCACAGGGACTGCTCGTTGGTCGTTGGCGTCGGCCATGCTGCTCGTCCAGTCTCCCAGTCACGCAGCATCAACTTATTGGTGAGTTGGTGGGTGAGGGTAATCGGGATGAGAACAGATGAACGTGAAGGGAGTGCGGACGGAGCAAAGTGGGTCTGTGCTTGCGACACCTCCGACTTCCTTCGATTATTTACCCGCCTTAACTTGCTCGTTCCATATGACTGGCGAAGGAAACTGCCTTTGAGGGTCCTCTGGATTCTTAATTCTGTCCTGTTTCCTTTGCAGGATGCCTCCAAGCAATTCGGGGTCCTCGTCCGCCTCGGTCTTGCACCGCGTCGGACTCGCCGGGGCGGCCGCTCGTTTCTACCAGCGCTCGTATGCGGGCGATTACCTCGCACTGGGGTTCCTGGCAATCGGATGGTTGCTAGTCAGTTGAAATAATTTCCTCTACATGGTGATGGTCCCTGCTAATCCCTCTTCCTTGGCCCAGATTCAAGTCTTCGTGAACCCATTCCACCGCATGTTTTCCCTTGACAACAAATCCATCCAGTATCCTTTCGCTGTTCATGAGCGTGTCCCCGTCGGTATGCAGACATCGATATCCCTCTACCAGCTCTGTATGAACTCACCAGGCAATTAGTCATGTCGGTGATCTACGCCGGTGTGATTCCCTTCGTCATCATCCTCTCTTGGTCGGCTATGTTCCGTTCCGGTGTACAAAAGACGCAAGTTACAGTACTTGGGCTACTGGTAGCGCTCATGTTGACCTCCTTCCTTACGGATGTGATCAAGAACGCGGTAGGCAGACCTCGTCCGGATCTTCTCTCCCGCTGTAAGCCTTCCCGGGGTACGGCAGACAATGTGTTAGTCGCGTGGACAGTCTGCACCGAGTCCAATCAGCATATTCTTCAAGAAGGGTGGCGCAGTTTTCCCAGTGGACACAGCAGTTTCTCTTTCAGTGGATTGGGGTACTTGTCTCTGTAAGTCCGCGCTCACGCCACCGCCGCGAGATGGTTCGCTTACCGTGCACCAATAGCTTTTTCTGTGGACAGATGCATGTCATTCGGCCCTGGGCGGACCTTGGTCGGTGCTTGTTGGCGTTCTTTCCGCTTCTATGTGCCGCACTGGTTGCCATCTCCCGTCTGGATGATTACCGGCACGACGTGTGGGACGTGACGTGCGGCGCACTACTGGGGATGCTAATCAGCTGGTTCTCCTACCGTCGCTACTATCCGGCGTTGCGGTCAGTTCGTTGCGATGCTCCCTATGATAAATCCGAGCTCGCTGGTCTAGAGGGCTTCCACAGACTGGATGATGAGGAGCAGGCAATCCTCCGACCATACAGTTCCCGCGAGGGGCCTGGACTCGAGGAGAGCTACCCTTTGGAGCATACGGAGATTCCCGGAGCTGCTTAGCTCATTGATATTCACCCAAAGATAGTCATTCTTGGTAGTTTGCAGCTCTCTCAGGAGCCTGGGATTGTGCCTCGCTATGTCTGGAAGCACCAAGCAGTTCCTTGCTGAGAATGCAGGAGCAAATCATCCAGTCCCATTGTGTCGACCCCGGTTGTCTGCACTCCCAGCTGCCGCTGACTGGTGCATGAAGGGCTTATGGCAAGTCAGCCAGCAAAGCGGATTTCATGACCGCGATTTGGATTGGGGTTGACACGGCTATTCCAACCACTGGGCTAGGCATCCCACAGGCAGCATGGGTATCAACAGTGCGCTGTTCCACCCCCTTACCCTGCCCCCGGATCTGATTGGAATCCGAGAATTTGTATGAGATGCAACTCGTTGGAATGGGATATGCAGCGGGTCCAGTTCAGACGTCCATAGTTTATACCGATCGGCTCTCCCTGGGAGGGCAGGCCTGAAATGATCCCAGTCCCGTATTCAAGACTAAACACTTGAGGTAGTAGGTACTCCGAGAATCGGGGTCGTTGGGTAATCGAGCATATGTCTATGTCTTTAAGAGAAGCATGCCGATCAGGCTCGGCTTACTCCAAATCTGAATTAAACCCGGCCCGGAATTCCTGGGCTATGAGCAGGACACTATCACAACACGCTGGAAAGCATCAAGCTTCACGGGGTATGCGGGGTGGCAATTCTGATAACGCGAAAGGCCTCTTATCGGCCCGCCTTTTGCGGGGGCTCTTTTTTCCCTTTTTCATCCTCGGCCCTTACTACACCACCTCTTCTCAGGAAGAAAGGAGCAACCCACGAGACTATAAAGCCTCACTCACGGGGTCTTCTCCTGTTTGCGAGCCTCGCGCCAGTCGAGAGCCACTCGATTGTGCCCGCGTCACTCGCCACCGAATGGACCATCGGAACCGGTCCATCACACAGGCCATGTGAGGGACCATCGGCGACATATTGAATGCCGCGCAGAAAGGCCGCCGACCGTGCGGGCCCGGTGAAAACCCGGTCTCGTAGCGGCTGTCGAGAATGTCGCGCCAGCCGCGTGCGATGCGACACCAAGAAGCCCGTCTGCACCCGCTGTTTGGAGAAAGGGCTGCCGTGTTCGACCAATCTCGTTCTGAAATGGGAGTCCGAATTTGTCCGCCGGGGCATGGCTTTTGGCCGTACTGGCGTTTGGAGTAAAGGCCGCGCCGATGCAGCTTCCGCCTCAGCCTCCAGCGCTTCGTCTCCCGCCTCCTCTTCGGATGATACGCGCAAGTGGTGTCCCCTGCCGGCAATTCATCCGTGGGGCTTCATCAACAGCGGAATGGCAATGTTCGAGCACCCTGACCAGGTAGATGTGGCATTGAATGAACAGCGTGTAGTTGTTCCGATCATCAACCATCATATACCGATCGCCGGTGAGGCGTCAGCTGGTCAATCACCTTTTCGCCTGCTCTCCATCGACGACATACGTGGACTCGTTGCTTTCAATCCAGCTCCTAGCCCCAGTCTTTCTCTTTTCCCAGGAATCTCTGAAATGGGCCATACAGAGCTATTCGACTACTATCTCCAGCAGGTCTGCCCCCGCACTACCGCCAGCTCGACCGTGTCTTCGCCATTCGCCTCTGTGGTTCTTCCCTTTAGCTTATCTGCCTCTCCCACTCTGTTCAAAGCCATACAAGCGCTGGCCGCATGCCATTGGTCCCGGGCTGATCCGGTCTACAGCGCGCTTGGGCTTCGCCTGAAATCTGAAACATTGAGAGATCTCCGTCGTCGTCTTTCACGTGAAGAATCCTCCACATACTGCACCGACCCGGAAATTTTGCTCATCATGATGATGCTCTGTCTCTATGAAATTTTAGACAAATGCGATCAGCACTGGACGATCCATCTTAAGGGTGCCAAAGATCTCATTCGACTACGAAGGCAACGAATGGCCTCGCTTCAGGAGTCATCCAGTGCACCCGACCCTGCGACCGACTTCGCAGAGCACTTTTTTGCCTTTCAAGATGTCATGGGTCGGACTGCCTGTGGGGAGGCGGTCTTGTTTGGGAGTGACTACTGGAAGACTGATGACCGACATATTGACTTATGGATGGGATGCAGCCCTGAACTAGTCGCCATTCTTTCAGCCATTACCGAAATGAGCCGAGCAAGACGACAGTTTGAGTCAGATAGTTCTCGTGGCTCGTTCTCCCTTCGTGCTGCGTCGCTTGAGTATCAGCTTGAGAATTTAGTCCAGGAGGTAGGAGATGGAGACGATGATATTCTTGCATCTGGAGCAGAAGCCAAACGACTGGCTGCCTTACTCTATTTGCACTGCGCCCTCTACGGAGGTTCTCCAACCACGCCTTTGGTGGTTGAATATGTGCATCGAATCCTCCGGTTGGTCTCGGATCTGCTTGAACGCGGGCCTATGGCCAGTGTGACGTGGCCCGTTTTTGTGGCAGCCGTGGAGCTCGACCCATCCCGCGACGAGCACTTGTCGGGACTGGACGGCAAACCGGTATCGGGGCGTTCGGTTGTTCTCCGGGCCCTGGCTGCGATGGCTGAGTCAACCATTTCAAACATCACCCGGACGCGTGCGGTGATCGCCCAGGTGTGGCAGGCTCGCGATCAGGATCTTCTCAAAGCGCCGCAGATGGAGGGCAATGACTGGGAGTATTATGTGGCCCCCATCAGTACCTCCATGAGCTTGGCGTAACTTGTAACCAGTGTATAAATCAATTTACTGTGCCCGGTGTCCTTAAGATAATACACTTTCATAAAAGCTACGCTTTGATAAACAAATGCGAAGTCTTAATATGCCCTGCTTGACAGCGCTTGTATTCCACATGCACACACATCCTTTGGCCCCAACCCTCATCGGATTGGGAAAGCGACCGCTATCTTAGTTTTTTGAAATGAAGGTCGTTCTTATGAAATGAATGCTGGACTGATATTGAGGCCATAGATAGTACTGCAGGATATATGGAATGAGTGATAGAAGCGATAGTTTCAAATCACTATAGCGTACTTCTTTCGGACACGAGTGAAGTGGATAGACAAGGATACCTAGACATTACCTGTCTGCAGTCACCTCTGGAAGCCGGATGGAGTTCAATTGATTCAATAGACCTATGTTCACCTTCATTGTAGTCTACCAATGTCCGATTTACACTCGGATGGCCGGTTGCCGCCACGAGTGCGGGGCGCCGCCGGTTTCGGTTTAGCGGATGGCCTGACGCCTACGCTGGTCTACGGTGTGTACAAGTCGTGACCATGCCCTTGGCGCCCTCTGCACCTTCGCAACGTTGCGCTGAAGAGTGTACCGTGCCCTATCGTCAGCCAACAATGCCGCCTGTCTGGTCATCCACCTGCCATTGATTCTTGGAGTATGGTGCAGGTCCGGCCTCCAGCGCCGGGGCGCAGCGCATCCGCCCACGCGTTCGAGAGCAAGCTCAGCCAGCAATTATCACAGTCGGAAGCGCCCTTCACTCAGCATGAGTCTGTGTCTCGCTCACCCAAGTCGCGCTCCTTGTCCGATGCTTCCAAACCTGCTATACCCCAACCCTCCACGGGGGACTTAAGTCGCCCACCCAGCAAAGACGACAGCGCGATCCCCTCTTTGCCGGCAACGCCCAGCAGGTCGAACCTGCACCAGCCGAGCCTGTCGTTGAACCTGCCCTCCAAAACCGCCTCGCCTTCTGTCGTCAACCGTGCCCCTCTTTCTCCCAAACTCGATTCCTCCCAGATATATGGGTCCCCCGGTTCTGTTCTGCCCCGGCGCTCCCGTGGGCTGGACTTCTCGCGCGCCTGCACCAACCTTCATCACTCAACTCTCGCAGAATCGTCCCCAGACTCATCACCGACGGTTGGAGGCCGCGGAATGATGATCCCTCAGCGCCGGGGGTCGCTTGGGATGACTTCGGTCCCACCTTTCTCAACCTCCGGCCCCGCGGATCGGACGACGATCTCTAGTTCGGTCTCGAGCGTGAACATGCTGGAGTCGGACACCAGCAGCAGTGAAGATGAGGGCGAAGCCATGATGGGCGACCGCGATGACATTATGCTCAACACGCCGCAGGCGGCGCGAATGGGTAGCGGGCCCAGTCCTTTTGCGACAGGCAATATTCAGAGTCCTGGGAACGACTGGCTGGGCGGTTACTCGCAAGCTGCTGCCAGTCTCATGAGCTTTCAGCGGGCCCGGTTCCGGAAAGGACGAAGTCGCCATAGCTCCAGCAGCGCCAGCGGAAACAGCTCCAAGCCCAGCCCGGGACCTCATTCGCCTCCAGTCATGAAGAGTGTCGAGAACCCCGTCGCTGGGTATTTTGCTCCGCGACAATCCGTTCATTCTCGACGGGAGAGTTTAAGTTTGGGCACCCGAGATCTTCGACTATCCGATCTCAGTGACGACGGCGAGACTCGCACGACTCGAGGAGGCAGTCCTTCTGGTGTATCGTATTCCGAGGGTGGGCCACTCGGTGTGATTCGCCGTGCAGTCACTCGTCGAGGAAGTCTACTGGTAAGTATTATCCACGGCCACAAGCTATTTCTCTCGGGGTTCCCATTCTAACCACCATTCCGGATCAGCCTAAAACCAAGACTTTCGCCCGCATTCGCGCCGCCTTGATGGAAGAAGGCGCTCCTGTCGACAGTGACATGAAGCGGGAGGCGGAAGTCGTCAGGCAGGTCCGCGACACCGAGCCTGAGACATCTCCCACGCTCAGTACTTTCCCATCTCTCCAGCCATCACATCCGGTCGACACGCCTGATATGGACCCAAGTATTACCGCTACAGACTCCGACACCGCGACCCCTCGTACAAGCAGTTTCAGCAAGCAAGCTAGTCGCCACTCTGGCGGGGTCGAGTTCTGGAACTCGTTCGATGATCGCTATCGCACACCACCCCCGACTCGTCAGGGGGCGCTTCGTCTGCTCCAGACGATGACATCCCCATGGACATGACTCCCTCCACCACTCTGGGGTCGATCACGGCCGACTACATGCAGCGCTCTCGTTCTTCCACCCCTCATGCCCCCAATATGACCGCTATTGGTGAATTATGTCGCAAGCGGCGTCGTGAAGATGACTTTGATCCCAACCTCTTCAAGCGGCGAGCTGTATCGCCGAGCGTGAGTGCTCAAAGCAGCCCGGTGTTGACCCATTCCTCCACTGTCGATACCAGTGGACCCAACATCTGGGGTCCGCCGTCCAAGCTGGGACCACCCTTCTCTGAGCGGCCTAGCACGGAGAATGGCAGCGGCAGTGTTAACGGCAATGGTGGCAATGGCGGTGGTAGTAATGGCAATCGATTCACTCCTCATGCTGGCACCACGAAACGTGTGGGCTTGCAGGGTATGACCGAAGCCAGCGACGGGTTCATGAACATGAGCATCGAGTGAAGCGATCAACATGTGGCTCTTTCATATTTCGGGCATTGACTCCATGATGGCATTCTCGCGCAATATTTGGTGCGCTTTGGAAGTCCGCGCGGTGAATTGTATTTTTTGTTCCCAAGTTCTTTTCTTTTTCTACCTTATGGCATAGCGTTAGGGGGTTTTCCAGCACGAGATACACACTCTTTAGCGTCAAGATACCTTAATATCAATGTGGAGCAATTCTCAAGAATCATTCCAGTTCTAATACAAGCAAGCATTATTAGAGATTATTTCCTTTTATCACTGTATCTCTATATAATCTCTCAACAGTCGCATATGCACTACAGGGCTTTTGTACACGACAAATCGCGGAGAGCGGCGAGGCGGGACGCGGCCAAAGCACGTGCAGATCACCGTGCGCCCCGAGCTCGACCGGCTCCTCCACTCCAAACAGTGAGCAACCTACGAATAGCTGTCTCATCCTCGTTTCTCCCATTTTCCGGCGCTGCTTTTCTTCACTCCTGCAGCATGGCCTCTACCATTGAGCTTGCGTCTTCCTTCATTGAGGGCGCCCCGCCCGGCGAGGTATGCATACCGGTCACTTAGAGATCTTCCCCCGGACTACCCCTCTACCTTGGCTGGGCTGTGCCTTGCTCCCATCTAGATGCTAAATCATTTGCTGACCGTGGGCCTTTATGGTGATAGCTTGCCGATGTTGTTGCCGGTATCCATTCCCTTGTTCTTGACCAGGCTTTAGTCTCCCTAACTGCCTGTCAACAAACCCCCGCATCTCTCGAATGATTCGCGTGTCCATGCTGAGCCTCCTTACCGGTCATAGATGTGCAAGCTCTGATGTCCGACGGGACTGATATTCTCCCTTCGCTCGCCCCTGCCTTCGAGCGATACAATGAGAGCCAACTCGCCACAGTGAAGCTACCAGGCTCAAGTCAGGAGGTGCGCTTGCGCTTGATTGATTGGATCCCTATGGCTCGAGAGTCTATTGAATGCTGATTTTTCATTGGAAGGTTATTGTCAGTGAATTTAACAAGGTGGAGGGCAACCGCTACTTCGATTCGGAGAGCCAGACCTCGTTTGAAATCGACCATACAACCCAGGTGAGTGGGATAATCGAGATCGTGAAGACCTATACGCGGGAGTAGCAGCTCACCGCTTGGGTTTAAAGACCGCCTCCAATGTGCAGTCATCGCCTTTGGAATCACAGAATACCGCTTTGATGTAAGCATTAAGATCATCAGCTCGGCTGCTGCAGTTCCCCGCTAAATCAGCCCCCCTAGTCAATCGCTGCTCAAGTCGCTGGGCGTCCATGCCCGGGAGCATTACCCAAGCTGCTCGTACGGTGTCTATCCCATCGAGAACGACTCTGCTGTCGCAATCCTTCTGGTCGCAAACCGATACTCTCCTAACAACTTCTGGTTGGTGTATCTCTGCTTTGGCATTGATTTCTATCCCACGCCCTTGACAAAAACAAAGCTAACCAGTCGGACAACACGTTCCCTCTTTGAGGGGGGCGCGTACGGTCCATTCTGTCAATAGGAACGGTCGATTCCGTGCTATCTATCAAGTCCCCGTTTCCTCGTCCACCACCACCGTGGCTGGCAAGATTCACGTCGATGTGCACTACTATGAAGACGGCAATGTCGCTCTCAACACCACCAAGCCAGTCAAAATTCCGGTTTCCTCAGTCACTGCCGAGTCCATTATGTCTCGCATTGCCGCCGCTGAGCGCGACTACCAGGAGGAATTGAACCGGGCATTCGTGCGCATGGCCGAGGGTGCGTTCAAGGGCCTAAGGAGACAACTGCCCATCACCCGGCAGAAGGTGGAGTGGGAGAAGGTTGGTGGATATCGGCTGGGCCAGGATATTTCGGGTGGCAAGGGACGATAATTCGAGCCAGCAGATATTGAGTTCGCTGAGCGCGTGGAATTCTGAGCGTTGGACGCGTCCCTGGGTGGACGGATGAAATCGATACACATATCCCTGGCACATTGCATTTTCTATCTTCCTTCAGCCTCGTTTGATTTCTGAGCACACTATTCGCTGTCCCCTTCTCTGCCGATTGCCCCTTTCCTTTTCAAATTGGGCCTCGGAGAGGCGGTTGCCCTCATAGAAAAGGTAGGGCTGAAAGCTTTCGTCCCCAATCTCCCGACCGCGCTGTTATCAGACAGTTTGGAACGAACCCACTAAATCCAGCCATTCTAAATCCAATGAGGAAACTTGAGCCTTTTACCTCAATCTGCACCTCTCCACGGTGTCAGGGATGAATAAGCAAAGATGATCGGAGCAACCCTGTAGGGTCTAGCGGGGCCGAATATCCCATCGACACTAAAACACGCCAACACGCCAACACACCAACACACCAACACACCAACACACCACCCTCCTCCCCTCGCACCGGAGTATACAACGCCAGCCCAATGATCTTGCAATTCAGTCGTTTCGTCAATTCTGGCGCCGGACTGGAGAAGACGCTGCGTCTGATCCAGTCCGTGGCCCTGATCGCAGCGGTGTTCACTGGTGGGAGCACTGCCGTGCGATTCACGACTGCCAAATTGCAATTGGCGCTGAGTATGTTTCCAACGGGCCAGTAGCAAAGGGAATTTCAACTTCAGAATCGGTGAAAAGCTAACTATGACCCCCTCAGCACGTCGCTTCTTCCGTTTCTTTGGCTTCATTGGGTCCTTCCAGCATGTCTCGGCGCTGCTCAAGAAGGAAGGGTTGGGGTCAGTGCCTGGGTGGCTGGACCTGGCCAAGTCGACTTGCTTTGGACTCTACTTCTTACTTGAGGACTTGACTATTGTCAGTGGTTGCTTTATTTGGCTGCATTTTTGTTTCACTGTGAGGCCGAGCGGACTAACACAAGGCAGCTGCATGCAATGGACGTCTACCGCGTCCCTTGGGAAGAGCGGGTAATGCGTGAGGCAAACACGTTCTGGTTCTACGCTTTATCTTTCTCTCTCGCCGGTGCTGTCTATGGATTGCTTTTCTCTGGGTCTGGGGGGCAGGCATCCCAGGTGAAGGACCAAAAGGAAAAGGCCGAGGCGGTTGCCGTCGTCAAAACCGATGCCCCAGATACTTCAGATTTAGTGCGACAAATCGTGGTGAATTTCTGTGATTTGCTGATTCCTGCGAAGTTCCTTGGCTGGATACCCACGGGCGACCTGGTGCTGGGGGTGACGATGGTGTTGAGCACCCTGCTGACAGGTCGGGAGATTTGGAAAAGAGTGTAAGGGTCGAGTTTGAGGATGTGGCAATCGGTGTTTTGTGTCGGCTTTGAACATAAGATATATAGACATAGAGCAGACCATAGACCTACTAACTAGAGTGCCGGTGTAACCTTCAAGCGGACACCATGACTCGTAGCTTTTATCTTTGCAGACAATTATTATCTTGGGATGGTACCGGCCACGCAACAAACACGGTCAGAAAGATGGAAACCTCCACACAAGCAATACAACCCCAACATACGAGCATAACAAGTCCTCTTTTTCATACGAATATCAAGAAGAAAAGAGTTTCTAGACAAACGGACCACGGTACCTATCCACCTATGAAAAGAATGCGGTTAGGGTATATACCCGTAGATTAAATGTAAACACCTAGCTATGGAAACATGGAAGAAACAACACCCGGCAGCCCCTTGGAAAGACAACTACCACCCCCAAACCAAGGAGTACCTACCTAGTAGTCTTGTGTGGTATCTCGTTTGCCATACCACACCGCCAGTTCCGCCCCACAAAAGATGATGCCATCCTATCCCACCAACCAAAAACATCACGGGCGGACGGACCCATTGTTCAGTTCCACTTATTTAAAAAACACGGCAGACATCTTTCTGATGGGCAAAAAAGATCTGGACTCGCGGGGAATCGAACCCCGGACCACTCCCATGCTAAGGGAGTATTATACCACTAAACCACAAGCCCAGTTGTGTGTAAGACGGCTTGAAAGTATGCCACAGAAGCGAAAATTGCTTTGATCTAATCTTTTACCAAGGTGACATGGGTTAATATCAGGTCTGTCGCAAAGGCTACATATTTCCCGAAACAGCAACATTGGTAATATCTATGGTGGATTGGTATTATGCTAGCGAGTCCAGCGACCATTCTGGTGTCATTTCCATGCCCATAGACTAAGAAACAACATGATAGGAGCGCGCGACGCCAGAGGCAACGCGCGATTTTGATGTTACTTGGGGATCTGGCGGAGCGCTGGGTGGTGGATCCTGATCCTGAACCAATGATAGCTATTTCAAGGCGATATTGTCCCGAGCGTCTCGCACGGCGAGATCAGTGGAAAGGCGCCACAAGGACAAAAGATGTAGCTAGCGATGGGGCGCAGCTTCCATGTTCGAACCACCAGGGATCACCCAGACGACGCCTGACGCCTGAGCCCGGCGGTCCCACCGATCTGTACCGCCAGTTCTCCTCGACTCAAGCTGGGACAACCACAGCTACTTGGAGTTCTTCTTACGCTGCCTGCGGAGCCAAACGAAAGCCCCGGTCCGCTTACCTTCATCCCGCTGCTATACCATACGACATTGTGCCAAGAAGAACGAGTTGGAGGGGTTCCACGGCCTTGTATGCGGGCGGTGTTGGAGGTTGCCGGCCTTGCGCCAATTGAGTCTATTGCTGCAGTCTGTTGAAGATGCTATTCGTGATGAGACCTTGTCATGCTTATGCTTTTTGACGATATCAACAGCGAACGGAGGAGCTTGGGCATGGAACTGAGCCAGAAGACTGTCCCGCTGGCTCGAGCTCTTACCACAAGTGCCTCTGTATCATCCACGTCCGATTCCAGCTGAAACTGGAGAATGGCGGCTGGACTGGGGGTTGGATATGGAATTTCGCTTTTTTGCCGTCAATAGTTGGCGCAGACATCAGCCCAGATAAGCTGCGGCATACACACACCACAACCGGGAACAAGGACCCTGGCACGGCTCCGCCACCTGCCCTGGTAGCCCTGCGATGGTCCCCGCCACCGACTTTGTGGGGGCGGAGTTGTTACAGTTTCCCCTTATAGTTTCCCTTGACACCGGCAGAAGACGAAGATCGAGATCAATCACGGCATGCTCCGTCATGAGGCGGTGCCGCCACAACGCGAAGCCAAATACGAGAAGGGCGCAGTGCAGATAGACTTCGTCGATTTCATCCTCGTTGGGCGGCTGATCACCTGATTCCACGGTTGCCCGTCCCAAATAGGCAACTCTCGTATCGGGGCAGATGAACCCATGAGGAGGATGGAGGATGGAGGAGGGAATAGGATGATGCCCAGGTATATAATACCCTCAGTGGCACACGCTCCGGAGGGGAGGGAGGCTCTCCAGTGATCACCCAAGCCCATCATGTCGGCCACTACACTTGCTATGAAAACCGCCTTTACGGAGAAAGAGGCTCGCAGTGCTCTTTCCGCGAGCAGCACCAGCACGCTGTGTACACTTCACGACAGCTCGCCTTTCCAACCCAATCGGACCCTCCTGATTGACGCCCGGGGAATTGGTTGTTTCCGACTGCCTCTCCCCGCGCGCCAGACGGAGATCGCCATCCACGACGCCGACGGCAAGCTGGCCTACGTTTCTACCCGCGACCGGCGCTGGTCCGGCAATAGCGTGCTTTCCAACCCCCAGCTGGGCAATCTGATCCGCACCGATTACTTCTTCGGTCCGAATCGGCATCCCACCTTGCGTCTGCTGCAGACGTCCAGCGTGCTCCCCGAGGAGATTCAAGTCAAGGGGGAATGGACGTCGCGTTCGGCCCGCTTCACCACCCCCTCGGGAAGCGAATTCCAATGGGCCTATGCCAAAGAGAAACGCCCCGATGGCCAGAAAGTCAAACTCATTATCCTGAGAGCGGTCGGGGAGCCAGACTGTGACCACACGCACCCGCCGATGCAGGCGCGTCGCCTCGCGCAGCTTTCGAGATGTGCTGAGACCCGCACGCCCGCGACCTCCCGGTGTTCCGCCGGCAACGGGGGTACCCTCCAGATTGACGAAGAAGCGGTCCAGGCACACGGGTTGGACGAGTCGATTGTGCTCGCAACGTGTCTGGTCATGTTGAAGAGAGAGATTGACCGACGCCGGATGATTCAAATGATGGTCATTGGCGGCGCGGCGGGCGGTTAAAATGGGATTAGTACTGGTGATGGTGATGGTGATGGTGATGGTGATGGTGATGGTGATGGTGATGGTGTCCATCCAGACTGCATTGTATCTCCTGATTTCATAGCTCCTGGTTTTCTGAGTCTATTTAGCAACTGATCATTGATGTTCCTCTCTATTGCCGCATCTATTCTCTATGTGTCTCGTTTTGTGGTTAGGGGATAGATGGGATATATTTGAAGGAAACCAAAAACTGTGCGGGGCCCCGCCCCGCCGTTATGACCGCATGCATCCTCGCCCCGCCCCGCACTCACTTGCGCTCGTTCCGCAACTGCACAATGTGCCCATTAAGCCAGTATCCATCCAATTCCTCCGCGGACATGGTCTTGGCCCCCGAAATCCATCCTCGGCAGGCATTCGCGCCACAGGTGCACTGGAACGGCTGGTCCATCTCCCACTCGGTGCTGGGGTAGAAGAACGTCAATGCGTCGCCGGCCTTCAATGGCTTCTCGTCCACGACGCGCACCTCCATGCGGGCCATGTCAAAGACCAGCGACGGGGCGCACGAGTGGTTGCAGTAGACCAGATCGGAATTGAGCTCGATATGGGTGTCCCGCCCTGTCTGGACGCTGGTGTAGGCCTTGTGACCGGGCGTGGTGCCAGTAATTGTAGCGAAGAGGGCACCCGCGGGGAGATCGACGAGCGAGTAAGCGCCGCTGCCAAAGGCTTTGGGGCTGCGATTGACCCGAAGCCGATCGGGATGAGTCGGAGAGGGGGCCTTGTCGCGAAGGGCCGGCGAAGCCGGGATGGGATCCGCCGAAGGCATGCTGGAGACAGGCGGAGAGTCGGAAGGAGAGTCTTGGCGTTGAAGAGGAGAAGGAGGAGTCAGAGTCAGAGTCAGAGTCAGAGGAAGTCCACAAGGAGGATCGCAGTTGGCGTCCGGATCCAAGACATCCTTTATATGGACTTCCCTCCAACCGAGGATGGATGGATTCGTCTCCAGCCAAGCATGCCACGGCGTGGGGAGGATGTCCCGCTTCCCGCGGACGCAAGCAGACCGAGGCAAGCCTGCCCAGGAAGTGAACAATGGAATGCCGCACGAGCGGAGCACCATCCCCAAAGGCGACTAACCCCAGCAACGGCGCCGACTTCAACGAATGGAACCAGGGAGACTCATTATTAGGCTCTCATGTGGGGAAGCCGCTAGAAAAATCTAGCGGCCGATCGGCCGCGTTGGGCTGCTTCGGCCAGCTGCGAGGGTTTTGCCCGGTCACATGCTTGGCCCTCATGCCACATGGTGGGATGATTGAATATGCTATAACGTCATTCTACTCGTACTAGAGATAGTATAATAGGATAATCATATAGTCTCATGTCAGACGAGATGAAGGACGGCCCCATATCCAGTGGTCACCACGGGACTGGGTCGGGCGTTGTGGGGGCCCGGATTCGATCCCTTCCGGTCATTGAGCATTGAAAGTCATAATCCGTAAGGAGCGGTCTATTTCAGTTCATCTTGCGCAGCAACTCCTGCCCATTCAACCACCGCTCCAGATTCTCTGCGACCTCGCGGTACCACCCGTCCATGAGATCCTCCTCGCCATACCCCATCTGTAGATTATCGAGATATCAGTAGCCCACCGGAAGACAGACATTCGCGAATAAATAAACAAACGATACCACCGCCCGCAATGGGCATTGGACCTGGAACTGGAACTGGAACTGGAACTGGAACTTACGTGTGGGGATAAGAGCACCTCACTCCGTCCATCCTGCCCCCACGCCGTTGTGCGCCATGGGCTCTGCAACGGCAAGGGCTCGGGATCAAACACGTCGAGGGCCGCGCCTCGAATGCGGCCGGCATTCAAAGCATCCAGCAGGGCGGGTTCATCAATCAATGGCCCCCGCGAGGTGTTGATGATGATGGCGGTGGGCTTCATCAGCGCCACGTCGGCGGCACCGACTATCCCCCGACTGCGATCGGAGAGGACGCAATGCACCGAGAGGACATCGGCGTGGGTGAAGAAGTCGGCCTTGGAGGCGGCGACCACGAAACTACCTACGGGCAGGCCTTGGGCCTGGGCCTGCGCATCCGCCTTCTCCTGTGTCAGGTTGGCGGACCAGGCGATGACCTTCATGCCAAACGCCTGCACCGCGATCTTACCCACCTGCGAGCCTAATTTCCCCAAGCCCAAGAGGCCCAATTGCTTTCCCGAGAGATTCATGACCAGGGACCCCTGCCACCCCCCGGCTTTAACCGCTGCATCATCCCGAGCAACATGCCGCGCCAGGGCCAGGATCAGCGCCCACGTATGCTGCACGGTGGAATTGACTCCGGGCGGCCGGCCCTCGGTGCCCGCGACGGGGATGCCGCGCTGGGTAAATGCGTCCAAATCCAACGCGAGATTCCGGGTGCCCGTGGTCAGCAGCAGTTGCAGGTTCGGTAGTGCGGCGATGGTCTGCGCGCTGAACGGGGTGCGCTCGCGCATGGCCAGGACCACGTCAAAGGGCATCAGGCGTTGGACGAGCGCATCCCGCTGGGCGGGGTCGCGGGGGTCGAGGGTCTCAGGGAAGCTGGCGATCTCCACGCGATCTTCGAGGTGGGCGAAATGGGCGCGCCCAATCCCCTGGTAGTCGTCGAGAATGGCAAATCTGGGTTTGGGCGTCATTTGGACCGTGAACGGGTGGATGGGAGTGATGGAAGGGGAGGACGTCGGTTTGGAGCCAACGCAACGGCCCGCGGGGAAGGAAATGGACAAAAGTAGGGGAAGAGGAGCTGGGGCGGCTGAGGTCATTGCCGACGATCTACAGTACCCCTACGAGAACGTTGGTAGAGATGATCCATACACCGTCGGGATCTTGTACCGAGGGAAGATAGATCTCCTCAATTGGGTTTATTATACATCTTCCTCATCCTCTAGCGCGGCCGAGGCGTCGGATCGCGGATCATTAACAGAAAGGACTCTTGGCCTTCTGCGCCGTACTTCGTCCGATCGAGGTGCACCTCCTCGACGGGCTTCCAGCCGTGCTTGACATACACCGGATATCCTTCAGTCGTGGCCTCTAAGTAGATGCGCACTTGCCATTCATCGGCCTTGGCCGTCCCCCATCGCAGGAGGGCCGAGCCGATGCCGCGCCCCTGGTGGGCGGGCAGCGTGGCCAGTAAGTCCAGCACTACTCCGGACAGTTCACCCGATCAGTTTGCGCAATGCGATGAGGACGCGGGGGCTCACTGACTCATGTCTGTCTCCACGACGTGCTTCTTGCGGGATTCCTGCAAGATCTCCCGGAATGCCGCGTAGAGGCCCTCGTTCATCGGGCGCGGCGCAAACTGGACGGGATCGCGCGCGGCCTCTTGCGCCTGTTCGCTCAAGACGGGCGCGCTTGGTCGGAAGCCAAGCGACTCGGGGATGAACCACCGGCCATAGCCCACAATCTGCCCGCTGGCCGGATCAGTCACCTTCAGCACATGCATCTGGGGGTCGGCCAGATGCTTCATGGTATAGATCGACTTGTACGCCTCCAGTGTGGCCTGGCTGGCCTCGGGGAAGACCTGCGCCAAGAGGCCGCGGCCCTCGAAGCTGAGGGTGTTGATTTGCGCGAGGGACGGCGCATCGCCCTCGACGGCATACTCGACGGCATATTGCATGGTGATAGCGTCAAAACAGTCAGAATGGTCAGAATGGTCAGAATGGTCAAATGGTCAAATGGTTAAATAAATAGGCCAAATGGTCAGAATGAGTCAAAATGTTCCAGATGGTTAAAACAGTCGGAATGGTCCAAATAGGGCAAATGGCCACAATGGTCGAACAGGCGGTCCGACGAGAATTGTGAGGGTCCACCGCGCGGGGACTCTTTTGGGACAGTTTCGGGACTGCACCAGGGAACTAGTTGGCCAACTAGCGCGTTAGCCAGCCGAACTGACTCATGCTTAGTTTGCCGCGTTTACTTCGGTCCCTTCATAAACACAATTGCCCACTAAATCAGATGCGAATGATGTGCAGAGAGTCTCCCATACGAGGACGAGTCCCGGCAATGTTTATTGAAGATCCATCCGATCCCCGGGGACCGGCAATATTTTGCGCTAGACGGGGATAAACAGATGCCAGTCAACTCCGAAAACCTCCTCACGGCCCGCCATGAGGATTGCTCTGCTGCGGCGCGGGCTGCAACGGCAGCCAAAGTTTTGCTGGTGGCGGGCGCCGTCTATCTGATCGCCTTTCAGTACTGCCGCGCATTGTACTGGCGAGATCCACACTCGGCCTTTTTTGACATCTGCAACATCGTCGAGTGGAAGTACAGTCTCGTGCGCGAGCACGAAGCCCGCCATCTCACTTTCATCTACAATGCCCCCGCCGACGGACCAGAACTGGCCACCGGTCGCTTCCCCCCGCTCATGTGCGCTGCTGCCCTCGCGACCGTCAAGCGGGATAAGGACCACTATTTTGAAGCCATGGTTGGCTCGATGCTGAGCGGTTGGGATGCCCGGGAATGCCAGGCCCTGTACCGGTCGAGGCTATTCGCAAACACCTATCCAACAGAACACCCGGCCTGGTGGGCCCACTACGATCACAGCTGCCCGCTCTAATACCCGCCCGCTCAGTGACTATATCTACTTGTTGAAGCAATGCCTAAAGACATACGCCCCCTATATCTTCATCTTGGGAGACGACGTCATCCTCGCCGGTGGATGGCTTATCAAAACCCTGAACGGATCGCACGGAATGTCACGGGGACCTGCGGCCCGCAACGGCGCCTGGATCTACCTTCGCCTGTTCTACACTGAAACTTCGCTGTCGTGGTCTTCCGCGATATCACCTAGATACGGGACTGACTAGGGCTGCATTAATATCCAAAAAAGGTTGTGGCTCACAAATTCGGGGCATTTGGCAATCCAAAGCACACTTGACGACTACATTGGGCAGAGTCTCTGGAGTGGACGGAGTGGAATGGTTCTAGCTAGGAGCGAGAAGGCTCGATGATGACCAGACAACCTTTGACTGTATTAAAACCAGCATGCTTGGCGATAGCCCAAGAATTAATCCGAGCATACACTCCGGCTCCTGCCTGATATGGCAGCACATTCAATTCCATTCGCCATGGGTCTCGGTTGATGTCAAGCATCTGCCAAGTACCGGCCACACCCTCTGATCTCGCTTTCTCATTGAACGAGCCAGATCTCACAGTCGCGTTCTGATAAAATCGACCACGCCTTGGTTGTACTTGGCCATGTAGGCATGGTGGGCTGCATTGTTGTCAAGCGGGAGTGGCGAACAACTATGGGTCCACATATAGCTGGTTAGACTGGGACCCAATGAATCCAAGGGGACATATTATTCGTTTTTGTTGTGACTCACCACTGGTTATCTCCTATATCACAGTAGCTCTGAATCGATGACGCGAAAGGCTCACATGACCCCGGATCCAGGCGGGGAAATATCTAATCGTCGGTTCTTAGTACGTCGCACTATCATGATTCGTGGATCTGGCTATACTTACTCCGAGACCGATCTCGCAAGTGCCCACGTTCCACGACTGTTCGGGAATAAAGGTCTCGTCTCCGTACACGATGACACCAACCACTAACCATCTCAGGTCAGCTTTAAAAGGCTCGAAAAAGGGGAAACTATAGGGTCAAATCGTACCGCTGGAAGCGTATGTGCTATTCAGAGCCGCTACAGGGTTCAACCCAACAGAAGATGTCCCACAGATAGCGTCCATTGTGAGGCACGCGCCCTATACACTGATCAGTTGCAAAGGCCTTTTCTTGTGTGAACTTCTAGGACTCACCAAAGAATAACCGACAACCACGACCTTGGATTCCGGGCAGCTGGCTAAATAGCTAGTGACATAGTTTTGCAACAGCTGCGCTCCATCATGGACTGCGACAAACTTATCCTGCGCACCGTACTGGTATGGAAGCCCAAGACTTGTTGAACCAGGGATCTGTTCCAATATGAGATTCTGCAGAGACACCATTACATTTAATGGATCCCAGCCGGTTTCCCCATCCCCCGCTTGCCCCCGAGAAATGATCGCGTGCACACCAGTGGCACACTGATCTGAAGGGACGTTTTGCCTATGAGCCGGGTGGAAGACCAGACTCGAGACAACCGCAACGATTCCCAAGAAATGGAACCGGATCGTACCAAGCATGCTGCCGGTTAGCTCAAGTCAATGCGAGAACCCGAGAATCACTTGGTGATCTGCCACCCAAGTCCGATTAGCCATGACGAGGGGACTTGGCTCCCTTGTTATAACGCGGGCTTGGATGCAAGCTATCGCCAGCCCCCTACTCCATAATGTGCGAGGTTATGTCTTTTGAGGCTTTCCCGGTCCGTGCAGGACGGGCTGGGCGGGGCGCGGCTCAGCATTGTTTCCTGCATCGTGTTTGTTGGCTATATGAAGAAACCATCAAACCTTGTCTACGAGCGTATGTTGCTCTGGATTGGCTTGTTCCTGGCCCTCGTTCGACACGGGCAGATGGATTGGTGCGATAAGGCTGTGGATAGGTATGGTCCGCTTCTTAAGGTTATTGTGATCGACAGGTCCAAAATTAGGAGGCTTGATCGTACTGTCAAACCTGGACTTTCCATGTGCGATCGTACAATACATACATGCTAATGCACCTATGTACCTACATATGTAAAACTACCGGTATTTTCAGAGATTCACCGTATACAGTACATAGATCCGTACAGGGTACGGAGTAGTGACTTCAATCAAAATAATCTACTAGATTTAGATTTCCAACCAGGCCCGTCTGTCCATTCTGCAATCCAATATATATTGCCCGTATAAAGCAAAATCAATGCATATCCGCACTTGACTCGCTATCAAGCAGCCTAGTGTGCCCAGAATCAATTCCATGGGCAGTATGAAATATTATCTGCAACGACGACAATACCTCATCCATGCACCTAGACATCTGCTTAGAAAGACAATTAGGGAGAGCCTACCAATTATACTACCATCGCGGGGCTTAGTGAGGGTTCGCACGCTAATGCTGGCGTTGTTGCTATCTGTTCACTAGGTTGTTACCTACTTGAACCACTACAATCCCACTGAATCAGGTTCTCAAGGCCGCTACTGTATTCATGACTTGTGAGTTTTTTCACCACGCGGTAGAGTCCAACCTACGCCATTGAGATCAGCATGTCGCCATAGCCAATTTTCAAGGAGGCGTGACCTAGCTAATGAGCTCTGGGTGGTGGCGACGCTCGACCTGCCCACGATATCGATGTGGCGATGCATCGAAAACCCCCACGCCAATTGTAACTATTTGTAGGGGGCAGGCATCTTAGTAAGTGATCGGCATGCAGAGGACGCCCGGCTTCGGTCAGGTCTCCGAGGACGCACGGTCGTCTCCGACGTCATAATTCAAAAGCAGGCTTTATGGCGTTTGGGCGTTCCCGTAGTGGCATTTCCAGGATAGATGGAATTTAACTATAACGTCGTCTAGCATCGCCGCCCTTTTCTTGATCCCTGGCGGGTTCGACGGCCTACCTGGATGCTTCTTGCCGTCGCCTTGGCCTGCCTTGCAGGCCTAAGAGGTTTCTTCCCAGTCCGCACATCGAGAGTACCTGCAAGGTTGGCTGTTGAGTTGTCACGGATTGAAAGACGTGTAAATCTAGGCCGTCTCGGTAGTCGAGTGAATCGCTAGCCCCTGGGCCCTGGTCTTTGAACCTCTTAAGATCTGCTCCTGGGCGATCTTTTTTCCCCACTAGACCCAGAAGGATATTTCCCTGAGATTCCTGTTCCTATTGTATATCCTGCTGAGCCGTGGAAGTACGTCGAGCCCGTCCGCCCACCTGACTATTGCCATTTGCCATCCACCACCCCTCATCTTTCGCCTCTTCTCTCCCTCCACACTTCTACCCTCCCATTCCCCTCTCCAGCTACACTTGCTGCATACTCCATCAGGCATATCTCCCCAGATAGTCGTCGCTTGAATTAAAGAAATCGCTGCCCTTTGCCACCGTGTCTCACCGCGCCGGATCTCTAAGTACTACTGGCTCTTCCCACGCGTTCGCGCTGGATTCGGGATAGCGGCTCTGCCTCCCCCGCCGGCAAAAACGGCCGTCCAATCGTTTCGCTGGACTTTACGGTCGAAAGCCTCCAATTTCTCCTGCCAGGTTTTGTGGTCTTTTTTGGTGGAGAGGATTGTGCAAACCCCGAAAGGGAACAACGGCCCGCCTGCAAGGGTGATTAGCACCTCATCCACTGGACCTTGATATTCTTTCCTTCCCCATGCGATTGTGCGACCGCAACGCCGCGATCCCGACATCTAACGTTTTTCTGGCACCCACAACCCGACACTCAACCCGACACTCAACCCGACACTCAACTCGACACTCAACTCGACACTCCACCCGATTCGCTACCCAATCTCGCGAATGATTGCTTGATTGAAGGATTGCTTAATTCAAGAATTGCTTGGTTGAAGGATTGCTTGACTGCTTCGTTGAATGATTGAATGATTCACCCGATCTGTCCATCTTTCGATCGTGCTGTGCCCTGCCATTCGGCAGGGCAGTGAGAGGCAAGATGGCGGTGGACCAGCAGATGCTCCACCTCAACCTCGAGGATCGCCGGCCCATCAATAATTTCACTATGGTCGTCACGCCGCCCGCAGAGAATGGGCAAGATGATGCGCACGGCAAAGCCCCTGAATCTCTCCCTCATGACCAGGAGACGGCCACGGTGCCTGAGAGCGCGATCGCAACCGCGGCTAATGACCCCATGAGCCGGATCTATCGCCGCACACCGACTCCAACGATCGTGCTCGACGGCTCGCTTCGTGTTGTCGAAGCATCTGACAGTCATCTGGCTGCTTTCAACCACAGTCGAGAGGAAATGTTGGGGACGAGCATCTACGACTTGGTCCCTGGGATTGTTCCGGCTCCGGATATCGCCTCGCTAAGTGGCGTGCTGGGCACTGCCATCACCACACGCACCGTCCAGGTCATTAATTCGATCCGCCCTACTGAGCACAAAGCCGACTTCGCGCTGAGGGTGACACCTATCTTCGAAGATGACGCTCTAATATATGTGCTGCTCGAGGCGCATATCGCGGAGGGGGCGAGGGAGGAATCCGGCTCCAACATCAGTGAACACGCTTACCTCAACGAGACCTATAAAATTCTTGTTGACACCGTAAAAGACTACGCGATATTTATGCTGGACACTCGGGGTCATATCGCGACATGGAATGCCGGGGCCTCCATTCTCAAGGGCTATTCCGCGGATGACATCATTGGGCAGCACTTCTCAGTCTTTTATGGACAGGAGGACCGCCAAGCGAATAAGCCGGCTCGAGAGCTAGAAGTGTGTCTGCGAGAAGGCAAGGTAGAAGACGAAGGATGGCGCTACCGGAAGGACGGCGGGCGCTTTTGGGCTAATGTCATGATCACACCCATCTATCAATTTGGTCGACATGTGGGATTTGTCAAAGTCACCCGCGACCTCACGGAACGCAAGGCCGCCGAAGCACGGCTGATCGACGCGTTTGAGGAATCGTCGAAACTCAAGACTGAATTCTTGGCAAATATGTCGCACGAATTGCGCACTCCCATGAACGGAATGTTTCTAGCCCTGACCATGTTGATGAGAACCCCTTTGACTGAGGATCAGCGAGAATACGCCTCAATTCTGGAGGACTCCACATCGATATTGTTGCAGGTCATCAATGATGTCTTGGACTACTCGAAGTTGTCATCTGGGTCCTTTTCTCTCAATGCAGATGTCCTCAATGTCCCCAGCGTGGTCAACGCAGTTATTCGAAACTGTCAGCCAACCCTGAAGCCCGGAGTGGTCTTGGAGAGCACCATTACTCCCGATTTCCCTCAGAATGTGAAAGGCGACCCTCTGCGCTTTCGACAGGTACTGCAGAATATGGTTGGCAATGCAGTGAAATTCACCGAGAAGGGATATATTCATGTTAAAACCACGTATTCTGTCGATCCGAACGACCCCCGGTCGTATCTTGTCACTATCCAGGTCGAAGACTCTGGGATTGGCGTGCCCGAAGAAGCAATCGGCACTCTCTTCACTCCCTTCACTCGGTTTGCAGACTCCGCCACACGGCGCTACCAGGGGACAGGACTGGGCCTCTCCATCTGCAAGAGTCTGGCTGAACTGATGGATGGAGCCGTTGGCTTTCACGCCAACCCGGAGCGGTCAGGCAGTGTGTTCTGGATGTCGGTCAAAATGGGGCGCATCAATCCGCCCATCGCACTCGCAAAACGCAAGAAGCCATCAGCTCCAGATACAGCCGTCGACTCTGCTACACTGTTGCAAAAGCTTGCAGCGGAGAAGCAAATCCTCCTAGTTGAAGACAACACGGTCAATCAAACGATCATGCTCAAACTGTTGGCAACTCTCGGATTCCAGAAGGTGGATGCTGCATGGGACGGTGCTGAAGCGGTGCGCATGGTAAAACAGAAGCCGTTGGCGTATAACATGATCTTGATGGACATCAACATGCCGGTGATGGATGGCCTGATGGCGACCGAACAAATCCGGCAGATGCAAGTGGATGTGCCCATCATTGCCCTGACAGGGAACGCCTTGAAGGGAGACGCTGAGACCTACCTCGCCAAGGGAATGAATGACTACATTGCCAAACCTCTCCATCGACAGCAGCTGGTGGATATTCTGCTGAAATGGTGCGGATCCTAATGCCCCGCATTTGGCTTACAACACACATCTGTTCTCACACCAGCATCCTGTGTCGAGAAGACTGGGACTCTGACTCCACACTCGCGCCGGTCTCTCAACCCGGCAGCTGACCTGCGACACTCTATGCTGAGTCTTGGGGACGATGCTGCATGAAGCATGCTGCAAAGCCCCACTTTCTTGTCCACGACCAAGCTTTCCACGCTACCTTGCACGAGGATGTGATAGGTGATACATAGTGCGTGGGATGTCTGTCTCCTTCCCCTGTCAATACCGCGGAAGTACAAAACGCCGAGTGAATTCCTTCTCTGCCTTTTTTCTTTCACTCTCTGCGCACCTGTGACTTTCCGACTTTATTTGGCTCGCGCGAGGCCCGATTTTGATTGAGTCCAGTGGGGACAGGCAACTGTCACCAGAAGGAACAAGGGCTTGAGGCGCCGATCATACCACACTTCCAGAATCCCCTGTAGCGCATGGGACGGGTGGATTGGAACTAACCGTGCTGAGATTGCCCGGGAATAGGCTTTGCCACACAAACTATTCTTGTATACTGATAGTGCTTGGTGAATGGCGTCCTACTGGACGGTTCTCCGTCCTAAATGCTGGGGGCGTTGGTGCTTGACCTTGCCCCTGCGCCGATGCTTATTTTGTGTTCAGCGGAATTCCCGTGCCAAGCCCCAGAGGGGGTCCCTGGGCAATTTCGCTTCGACTGGACCGGCAGACAGTTGGATAGTGTGACTAGAGCAAAGAAAGCGCAAGCAAAACCCTATGCATCTTCTCCATTTTGAGGTTCCCTGAACTCGCATATGAGAGACTATACGCCGTACGGAGTACCGAGATGGGGAATGGCATTGATTCCTCGACGTGGGGAAAGTGGGGGCCCTTATCGTCATCCACAGTTCATTGCAACCATCGTCTGTCTCTCGCTCCACTGGCCAAACCCTCTGAGCAGAGAAAAGCAAAGGAGAGGAGCACTCGGCCAAGCACTGGCATTGAACACCCCTGCTACCTCAACGCAGGGCCGGCCCTCTTTCCCCTGGTGGCGGTTGATTCTATTGCGCCATCGCCCAGACCCCCTAAAAGTGCGCGTGCGGGGTGTGCTGAATGGACCCCCGATAGACGACCAGGGGCATATCAGGGCCAACAGAGGGAGGGCCTTCATTGGCCCAGGTAGAAGGATTCTGAATTCAGCGGATAAGGATGAGGGGGTGGAAGGGAGGATTATTGCCGGATGGAGCCAAACCATCCCCACTTGGAGCCGTCGGAGCGGAGGTTCAACCTGGCTAGGGAAACTTTGTTTGCACTCAAGGCCATGCGATTCGATGACAGCTGTTGGCTGTTGGAATGATAGGCACACTACCCTGTACACCTACATGTTCTCTTCTGTATACTCTGCTTGTTTCTTGTTTACCTTCTACCTCTTGGTGGAGGCGTTGGTCTGTGCACCCGCTTGGGGCAGAATCAACCCCTCTGTACCTCGCACTTTAGTTCCTGAGCTTACCCTTCTTGTGCATGATTTTCCCTTCTCGGTGCCTGGCTTCACATGGGGGCGTTAGCTCCCGAGGCTGCCTGCTGCGCTGTCCCTGGGACTCCATCCATGGGGTCCATGCAGGGTTGTCCATTGAGTAGCATTTGAGGCCCGATCTCGAGCGGGATCCATCTGCTAGCATAAGCCTTCTGGCCAAGGACCCATCCAGATGTCGTGACCATGACAAGACCCCCAGTAGCAATGATCATATCTGCCATCAGGTCATATCCACGCGGTCGCGGCGTGGTGCCGAGCTAGGGCTATCTGCATCCTGGGGCCATGCTAGCCATAAACTAGCCATCACGGCAATTTCCCGTCGACGGACGTGCCACCCGGAAGATAGCGAACAGAGAACAGAACAGAGAACCAAACAGGAAGACAACCATCACATGGCCCTCGTTCGAACTCATTGGAGATTGTGATGGCCCACAGCGGCCGTGTGTGTCTTTTACGCACAGCCTCGGCGGGGCTCATGGCGATGCAGCACAGATGCGCCGTCCAGCAGGGCTGCCTCGGAGTCCTGGATCAATCCCGTCCGGCTCACTCAGTGAGGTCCAAGCATCAGAGATCGACCGCCAGTCTTGCTCAGCTGGGGAGGTCGACTAGAAGCGCCTATCAACCCAGGCAATGCTCGGAGTGAATACCCCGTTCCAGACCCGCTCTCCATGCCGATCATAGTTCCACCCCGTGAGGTGAAATCCCGAGCAGAGCATGGTTGGCCTTCGACCTGTTGGTCAGTCGGGTGCCGAGCATACACGGTGCTAGTCGCAGGAAGTCGCAGGACGTCGCAGGAGGAATATAAGATGTACAGCTCGGGGCCCGACCATCGGTCCCTTGTTTTCCAACCTCGCCTCGTGTTTGGACAGACTCGACCTGGGGTACTCCTTCTCCTGTTCGGAACACCTTCCAAGCCATCATGAAGTCGTCCATGCTGCTCCTCGGGGCGGCGGCGGTCGTCATGGCCCTGCCCGCCCCCACGACTATGAAATCCACGAGCGTCGTGACTATATCCCCAACTCGTGGATAGAGGGCAAGAAATTAGATGGCGTTACGACGCTTCCCGTGCGGATTGGATTGACCCAGTCGAATCTGGACCGCGGTCATGATCTTCTGATGGAAATGTATGCCCCTATTCCTCAACCATCATGATGCTCGTGCTATTGCTGACAATACAACCCTCAAGGGCCAACCCTTCCTCGAGTAGCTATGGGAGACATATGACGGAGGCAGAGGTGCACGACTTCTTTTCGCCAAGTCAGGCCACGGTGGACAACGTTCGCTCGTGGCTGGAGTCTTCTGGCATTGCGGTGGACCGGGTCTCTCACTCGGCCAATAAACAGTGGCTTCAATTCGATGCGAGCGCCGACGAGCTCGAGCAGCTCCTTCGTGCGGAGTACTATCTCTACTCCCATGCCGACACGGGCCGATCGCATATTGCCTGCCGCGAGTAAGACTGCCCCAAAGCGTATGGCGCAGGAGGAGAATGCTGGCTGATTCGGCGAGAACGACAGATATCATGTTCCACGCTCGGTCCGCGAGCACATTGACTACATTACCCCGGGCGTCACGCTGCGAGAGGTGACGGGCATTGCAAAGGCCAGCCGTGGTGGTAAGGAGAAGCGTCACATCGATGGCACGCCCGCGCGTGTGGTGCCAATTGTGCAAGGTCTGGCGGACCAGCTGCTCGGCGGGTTGGGTCTTCTGGACCTCTGCGATGTCGCCGTTACCCCCAGCTGCATCCAGGGTAAGCATTCACACCCGCTCCGTCGGCGCCGGGGGGTTGGTGGGGATGTGTCAGGTACTGACGGTCTGTAGAAATGTACAACATTCCGCAGGGAAACTCAGCGACCGAGGGTAATGAGCTGGCTATCTTTGAAGACATTGGCGATGTCTATGCTCAGGAGGACTTCGACATCTTCTTCGGTGCTTTTGCCAGGTACATATTCTGTTCGCTCCGAACATACTCCCTGCACCCATCCCATGCATCGACTTACCAACCTTCTACAGTGACATCCCGATCGGCACTCATCCGAAGCTGCAGGGGGTGGACGGTGGCGAGGCACCGACCTCGTTCGCCAACGCTGGCCCCGAATCCGATTTGGACTTCCAGATCTCATACCCCATCATCTGGCCTCAGAACTCGATTCTCTTCCAGACCGATGACATGGTCTACGAGGCCAACTACACCTTCCAGGGCTTCCTGAATACCTTCTTGGATGCCATCGATGGCTCCTACTGTGACGAGATCTCCCCTCTGGACCCACCTTACCCGGACCCCCAGGCCGGCGGCTACAAGGGCTCCTTACAGTGCGGTGTCTACAAGAAGCCCAATGTGGTTTCGATCTCGTACGGGGGTGCCGAGGCCGACCTGCCCATCGCCTACCAGCGCCGCCAATGCAACGAGTTCATGAAGCTGGGCATGCAAGGTGTCTCCGTGGTGGTGGCCTCGGGCGACTCTGGCGTAGCCGGACGCGGTGGTGATCCGACGCCCAGCAACTGCCTGGGGGCGGATGGCACGGTCTTTGCCCCGGATTTCCCGGCGTCGTGCCCTTACTTGACTGCCGTGGGGGCCACCATCATCCCGACTGGTTCCTCGGCCAGCGCCCACCAGGAAGTAGCCGTGACCCGCTTTCCCTCCGGCGGCGGATTCAGCAACATCTACGAGCGGCCCTCCTACCAGTCGCAGGCGGTGGCGGACTACTTTGCTAAGGCGAACCCGACATATCCGTACTACGAGAGTGTCAACAACAACAGCTTTGGTGCCAACGGGGGGATCTACAACCGTATTGGCCGGGGCTACCCCGATGTCTCCGCTATTGGGGATAACGTGATCATCGTCAACAAGCTCGTCCCCACCGCGATCGGCGGCACGTCGGCCTCGGCGCCGGTATTTGCCGCCATTTTGACTCGGATTAATGAGGAGCGACTGGCTGCCGGCAAGCCAACCGTGGGATTCGTCAACCCGGTCCTCTACGCCCACCCGGAAGCGTTCTTCGACGTGACCCAGGGCAACAATGCCGGGTGTGGGACCAACGGGTTCAGCGCAGCTGAGGGTTGGGACCCGGTGACGGGCATGGGGACCCCCAACTACCCAGCCTTGTTGAAGGTCTTCATGGACCAGTAGAGCGGGGTTGACAGGATGGTACCGCAGGCTCGGTCTCGACGCGGCACCCTGGGGATGATATCCTCCCCCGAGTCATGATTTGCACATAACCGCACCCTATATATATAGTCCATAGTGCCCTTGAAATTGATTGCTGTCCTATTCATCCTCTCACCTCCCGGGCCAGTTGAGTAGGCAATAGGTTGAAGTGACCAACCCCCGGACGCGTTTCAGTTCCGGTTTGCCCCAATAATAGACCTAGCGCAACGATTAGGAAGTACGGCGTTGTAGACAGCAGAGGATGCGAAGATGAGCGCAACCGCATCTCTTGCGCGCGTTCTCCCACCATCTGATGCGCGAGGGGGTGGACGAGTTTGGGTAGCGGAGATCTTTCTAGCTGCGCGAATTCTTGCTGAAAAACCCACGCTGATATACGGGGCTTCCCGCGGCCAGTGCGTATCGTATGCACCACGAACGGGACTGTGTAGCCCGGAGGAGCTGCGAGAATTGGAGCGACCGAGCCGACCGAACCGGCGGTACTCCGAGGGGTCAACCTGGGATACCGGATATAAGCATTAGACGGAGGACATAGTGGGGGCATCCAAGCATACGTCCAGCACCCCTCACTAGACCTATTGCGGTGCCCGATCACAATTAGAGGAGTTATCTGCCCCCACGGTGTCGTGTCTGTCCTCCACGGCAAGTCGACGCGAACCTGCGGATGCAAGTCGACGCGAACCTGGGGACGCAAGTCGATACGAACTGCCCACTGCGACTCGCGCGGTCGGTAAAACGGCGGGTAAAGCGCGGGTAAAAACGCGGATAATAACGATGACATCACCCATGGGTCAGCAAGTTGGGGTAACTGAGTTAACTAAATTGGAGGTGGCGCGGGCTGGTCCACGACACTGTTTACCAGGGACGGAGTATAGCCGCGTTGTGAGAATCTACCAAAGGAAGCAACCACTCGGACGAGAGACGCAACCCTGGTCCGTCGACGTGCCGTACGAGTCCAGCAGGGATGGGCCCAGTGACGGAGGTAAGCCTCGCGTCGCTCGCGGTGGAGCCTGCTCGAGGGATGGAGGGGCCCGCGTGGGATGAACCCCGCCGGGGAAGATGAGCCACGTCGCGCTTGGATGCGCGATGAACTGGTAGATGTACGGAGTAGGAGCAAAGACTTATTTAATCGTTGCAGTCCGCTCTACCGCCATTCCTCCCTTTCTCCATTCCTCCCTTCTTCCATTCTTCCATTCTTTCACTCCTCCCACCCCACGCGGATAACCCTCCCCATTATGTCTCTCGGCAAGAAGGTCACCCTCAACACTGGCGCCCAGATCCCGTAGGTGCTCCCTCAGAGGATCCAATGGATGCAATGGCCGAAGCTAACGCGTCCATTAGCCAGCTGGGCTTTGGTACCTGGCAGTCCGCCCCCGGCCAAGTCGGCGAGGCCGTCTACGAGGCCCTGAAGGCCGGCTACCGCCACCTGGTATGTTCTCGTGGTAGAAGAGGCATGCGCACTGCTAACCATCGCTAGGATCTGGCTACTATGTACGCAGAACAGACCCTATCTTCGCCGCCACGGCTCCTCCCAATGGCCCCAGTGGCAGTCGCATGCAAGTCGCTAACCTGAAATGTCGCGATCCCAGCTACCAGAACCAGCGTGAGGTGGCCGCCGGTATCAAGCGCGCCTACCAGGATGTCCCTGGTCTGAAGCGTGAAGACCTCTTCATTGTGAGTGATGCTCGTTTTCCACCCGCGAACGACCCCGGTCTATATATGCATGCCGGGATTCTAACCTTTCTTCCTCCAACCATAGACCTCCAAGCTGTGGAACAGGTATTTAGCCCACTTCTCGCCGCGGGAGATTGGAGTCCCGAACAAGTCCCGAAGGAGTCCTAACCGTATGCAGCCAGCACCGACCCGAGGTTGTGGAGGCTTCTCTGGATGCCTGCCTTGCTGAGCTGGAGCTCGACTACCTGGATGTACGTCTCTGTTGCAAGCCGCAATCTTGCGCTTTACCCCCATCGAAGAAATCCCGGCTGACACAACACCAAGCTCTACCTGGTGCACTGGCCCGTTGCGTTCCAGAAGGGCGAGTCCTACTTCCCTCTCGTGGCGGGCAGCACCGTCGAGGGTGGCGATGTGATCATTGATGACGGGGTCTCCATTGTGGACACCTGGAAGGGTGAGTGAATGATGATCATCGGGATTGTTGCGCACAGGGAACTCGACTGACCGTGGTGATATCCACTACAGCCATGACCCAGCTCCCCAAGAGCAAGGCCCGCGCCGTCGGTGTCTCCAACCACACCATCCCTCACGTTGGTCCAACCCCGACCCGGTTAGCCTCACCGACTCTATAACTGACTCTTCCCCCTTACAGCTGGAGGCGATCATCAATGGCACCGGAGTTGTGCCCGCAGCCAACCAGATCGAGCGCCACCCGGTGCTGCAGAGCAACGACCTGATTGAGTACTGCCAGAAGAAGGGCATCCACATCACTGCTTACTCCGTACGCACTCTAACCCCGCCAAGTCAAACACACGAGATACTAATCGAATCATGGGGAACTAGGCCTTCGGCAACAACATGCTCAACATCCCTCTCCTGATCACCCGCCCCGAAGTCAAGGAGGTGGCCGAGTCCGTTTCGAAGCGCACTGGCCAGGAGGTCACTGGTGCTCACGTTATTCTCGCCTGGTCCCAGGTGGGCGGCCACAGTGTCATCCCCAAGTCGGTGACACCGTCGCGTATCCGCGACAACTTCAAGGAGGTGGAGCTCACCGCCGAGGAGATCGAGAAGGTCAACGCTCTGGGCAAGGACCGCAGGCGCTACAACACTCCTTACACTGCTAGTATGTGTCCCTGCCAGCTGGATGGGTGTGCGAACTCGTGTGAATGGCTGCTAACTGGATGTACTTTTGCAGACAAGCCCCGGTGGAACATCAACATCTTCGGCGAGGCCGAGGAGCAGCCCGCGGACCACAAGGTGGTTGTTTAGAGTATGGGCAACTTCTGCTGAGTGGTTGACTATATATATACCCCTCTATATATACCAAAACGAATGAATGAGACATGTACTTTCACACATGAGGATACGGAGACCCTATGAACAATTGGTAGAATGGTACGTTGACTGACCCGGTAGATGGTTTCTCTAGCCGCGTCCTCCGCAGCTACAGTATACGGACTGAGAAGAGCCCGGTTAGTACCACGGGGGAAACTGAGACAGGCCTGAAAAGGCTTTTGCAGAGAATCAGACGGTGGGCATTTTCAGGCGAAGGAAGGGGCGGTGGAAATGACACGTGGGATTCTTATCACCCTTGAGAATAGACGAGGCCCCTATGATGAGCGAGTTAGGGGGACCTTGGGGGTATCGACATCTTGGAACGGAAGGCAAGGAGAATGCAGTATTGGGCATCAGCCGAGTCCGCCATCTTTGCTTCCAGCGGGCGTTCACCTCCCAAGTACCCGTCCGTTCTGGAAGGAGTCGCAGCCCTGTGCCTGGGCCGACGTGTCGGAAAACACACCCCACACGCTTCTAGAATGGAAATTGGAAGGAGAGGAAGAAGAGGAAGAGCAAGACGCAGAAAGGGCAGAGGGGCTAATAAATTAATCCATGCTCTTCCCTTAACCCCGAAGCCCGCCAGAGCTATAATAGCATGAGGACTTGACTGTGATATCAAAAGGCTAATATACTGCGTGAACGGTGGCGGGCTTACTCGAAGCAGCCATCCTCCAACGAAGCACGAAGAGCCCCTAGAGTGAGGGTTGGCCTGTCTGGTCCGATTGGAATCTCCCCGGGGATTGCTCAAACTGTCCCATGCGGAACGCAGCTATTTCGGCAATGGGGACAAAAGCCCCGGTGGCACTTTAGGTATAGGAAATCGCCATGGTGTTTCAGCCATCTGGACTGTCCACGCTGTTTAGTTCGGCCCACTGGCGTTCCAGCTCCCGCCGAATCCACGAGGTTCGCCAGCCCAGGACTTTCTCCGCGCAGCAAAGAAAATCTAACGAGCCCTGCTGCTCCGTCAAATGCTGCAGACAGTAGCCGACTAGGCAGAAATTAGCCGAGAAATAGCCTCATAAGCTGAAGAAGCACGAACAGCGATGGAGCAGATGGCAGGCCATGAAATAGGCGTTATGGACACTTTCATTGGACCGAGACAGTCCAACGACGCTCACAATGTGACCCGCGATAGTCCTCTATCGAGATGCCATTAGTAACACCACCTTGCCGTTGAAGTTGATACTGGGAAACGCTACTTCTGACACCCGGCGCGCGCGGGCCATTTGGTAATCACTCATGGGCCGTGAGCACACCTCCGAAATGGTCAAAAAGATGCGGGCGGCATGGTAATACTGCATCCCAACCACTAGATACGGTGAGCAACCAGGACGGCTTCAGGAAAGACCCTTTCATGGGACACTAACCGGCTGGAGGCGACATCATCCATAATTCAGGGAACGGCCGACCCGCAGTCACATCCGCCGGTTGGTATCGGAGCGGCTGCCAGGTGGTCGGTTTCGCCTGGTACCATTCATCGACGGCACTGGCGAATTGGCGTCGTGCATGTTCATCGACAGGCTCCTGGGCCACATTGCCGCAGATCCGAAGAATATGCGCGCAGTGGAAAATGATCATGTTCGCAACCGCGGCATCATCGCTGCGTTGAAACATCGACGACCGCTCATAATTCCGCAAATCCAGCTGCAGAGGCTGATACTGCACCACCGACGCGTAGATGGCCTGCCGCAGGAACTGCCAGCTGACAGCCTCCGCCAGTCCGCCCGATGAAGCCGAACGAGACATCAGGTTGATGAGACGGTTGGATCCCAAGAGATGGAATTGCTGGTCGGTGTTGTTCTCCAGCTCCTCGTAGACCCGTAGCAGGACGACTGTGACCAGCAAGTCTTCATCGTAGGTGTGCTCAGGTCGATCCAGTGCTGGGATGAGCAGCTCCAGACACTGGCCGTGGTAGGATGAGGCCTCCCAGTCGCTGTGGTTAATTAGGATGGCATCATGCCGTGCTGCAAGCGCCATAATTGCTTTCAGCACCATGGGAGCCTGTAATGACCGCCGAGGCACATCCGTGCTAAAATGGCACTGGGGGTCGCATATATCCGTCTAGTCAAGGGTCATCAGAGCACGCGCACGTTTCAGCCAAGAGAAGCTACTACTTACCCATGGCGTAATGCGCTGGATAAACCCACGCATCAACGTCGCTTCACGCAGCGTTAAGACCGGTGCTTTATCGACTGTAGGTGGCATGGAACTGCTGGCAGCGATCCTCCGATGCGGTGGAGTCTTGTTGGTAGGATGTTGCGCCGGTGTGCTTTTTTCCACCATGATGTATGCCCCCGCATCTCGATGCCGATCGAGAGCTGTGTTGGGCTTCAAGGGTCTGCTCGTCAATGGGAGTTGGTTTCCTTGCATGGGGTCATCTGTTTCCCAATTGTCGGATGCCTCAAGCACAAATGTGACTAGCATTGGACCATAGGGCGTCAGTTTCGGCGTGTCCCACTTTGACGGTCAAGTAGAGTAGATAGTATTGGGACAGTCTAAGATGTATGCGGGACCTACTGGGCTGAGAGACGCCCACCCAGACTTGATGCTTATCCCAGTCCAGATCAAAACGAGCGGATGTGCCACGACTTTTCTGGTAGACATGGCGGACGGCCTTGAAGTGGAAGCGCGGGTCGAGATGGCAGACCCGGCCTAGACGCCCGCAGGGAGCGCAGGACGATGCCCCCGTAGGAATCTCACAGCGGATATGACGATGGCGACACCGTTCACAGCCTTTGCCCACCCTCATCTCATGAGCTCATGGGGGCGCAAGTTGTTGGAGTCGGAGTCGGCCAACTGCTTCGCGATAAACACTGCATTCTTTCCCCGCATTGCGCTGACTTATCCATGGCTTCCCCGCCTCGGTTTCTCTACTTTAACTCGGCTTTGGCCTTCGTCCTCATACGCTCAACGGGTTGCTCTTCTTTTTGGCCTTGGCGGGCGAGCGCATCCCGCCTCATTTATCGCCATGATGCAAGCGCAGAGTCAATGTTCGGTCCTGGCTCGCATGGGCCTTTTGGCCGGGGTGGGCTATACAAATTCTGCTGCCTGCCAATCAGTTGCAAAAATAGAAACCCTTTCTTTCCCCGCAACAGCCCGATGACCAAGATTCTCTCTCTAGCACTGCGTATATTGGCAAAATGAGGAGTGTTCAGGCTGAGGAAATTACCACCCATTCACTAAAATGGTAATCCATTGGTGCCATACTCATTCCGCGGTTTGGAGGAACGCGATGGCCACCGCCAAGGTGGTAAACAAGTCCGATCGGCGCATAGACCGGCGGGGCGCAGCGGTGTTCGTGCAGAGACGCACTGCCACAAACCAATGACCGCGATATCAGCCCATTATTGACCCCTCCGGCATGGAATTTCGCAGCTGGTGGGTCAACTGGCCGATATTAGTGCCGTCCATGCAATCCTGGAAAAAGTCGACTCCGCCCCAAGGCTCCTGTTATAATAATGGCCGTCCCAGATGCGTGTCGGAGCACGACACACAGACCTTGATCCCTGCATTTGGGAGCTGCGAGAATGCTAATCCACTTTCTTCTGGTGCTGTGCACACTGTGGCAGTCAGGCGTTGCTGATTCGGACAACTGTTAGTGCGCAGGCACATGTGTCATCCACTTCGATCACCCAACTCACGATTGAAGATTCTAGGCTCAAGCAGTGTTACGATATCCAGTCAAAGTGATGCCAACAATCTGGCCAGCTGCGACACCCTCGATGGCAGCGTCACGATTTCATCTTCTGTCAGTGGGGTCATCACATTGAACAATGTTGCGGAGATCAAGGGCTCCTTTACCATGGAGGGGGCGTCGGGGCTAACGAAACTCATCGTCCCAGACCTCGAAACCCTCCAGGGTGCTCTCACGTTGGTAAATCTGGAATCCCTGACCGATCTGACCATGAGCGCGTTGTCAGAAGTTTCGTCCGGGATCATCATCACGGGCAACTCAATGCTGAAGAGCCTGAACTTGGAGAAGCTAGAAAAAGTGGATGGACAATTAGAGCTGACGGGCTCATTCACCAGGTCAGTTCCTTAACAAATGGTTGTTCAACATTCAAATCTGATCAATTGAGTGTAGCGTGTCACTGCCGTCCCTGGATGAAGTCAAAGGCCAAACGACCATTCGTGGCGCGAAGGTCTTGTCTTGCAAAACTCTTGATAGCCTACAGTCCGAGGGTGTATATCAGGGTGCATACTCCTGCACAGCTACGGACTCGAGCGGTGCCTCTCTCAGCCCGGGCACCAAAGGGGGCATCGCAGTTGGCGTCATCGTTGGGGTTATATTGATTCTGCTGCTTTTATGGTATGTGCTTAGGCGGCGACGAAATCGGAAGAACCGATCTACTTCGCTTGAATCATCATCCTCGCCACCCTCAGTGGTCCCAGATGAGAAGCAACCTAGCCGTGGATATCAGCCTGTGCCTTTACAAGAATCCAAGCCGATGGTGCCGAGGGAACCCATCGGGCCTGCTGCCGCCCAACTGGACCATCGCTCAATCTACGAAGCGCCCGTTGCGCCGACTCCGGTTCGTGAATACCACGAGTTAGACGCGGGCCCAGTTTTTAGCTCACACCAACGGCCGATTTATCCGGAGGCGTGAGGGACCTAAGAAGTCATGATGTGAGGATGGCCGGAGTTCAGGCGCGGTGAGCGAGTTTCACGTTTATGATTTTTCTTCTTCCCTTCTTTTGATTTATGTATATACCAATTTTTGGAAGCAGATCAACGTTGTGAATGACTATCTTAGGACTGTTTGTTGTTATTTCTTTTTCCACCGGGGTCGTGATCAAGCCATCGCTCAGAATTATGGACCTCTAGGCCGGATTTCTGCGGCTCCCCATTGCAGCCCCAAACCCTGAAAGAGCATAGATAGACGAGCCGACTACACCTAAAAGGGCAGCTGAAGGGTTCTCCGTCGCTTCGCGATGCCAATTGTGTTGGTGGCGTACTTGCTAATCTCGATAAGGAACGGCGCTAGACGATTTGGCGCCCAGGCTTACTGCAGGGTAATAATTGACCTTTTGCTTTGTGCTCAGGGGAAAGCGATACAGCCAATAAAAAGTTCAAATTTGGAATCTCCGTCCAATAACTCCGAGAATTGTCAAACTTGCACCCCGAAGAGCGGGCGGCGCTTGCTTACCTCTATACAAGCTATCAGCCCCGAAACCCCACAGTGATAAGCTTCCGTGCGCTCTGCACCGGATCAGTATATAGTCCACAAGAGTTTGGGCTGGCGCCCCTGAAAATTATTTTCTTGCGAGGCGTGCTCCGCTCTAACCATTGATTGTTCTACATTGGTTGCTCTCCACCATGTTCTCGACACGCCCCAGTCTACTGTTCTGTACAGCCGTTGGGCTTCTGTTGGCCCCAGCGCTCGCAGCAAATGCAACTGCCATGTCATCAAGCGGCTGCGTGGACCCGTCTGGCTTCGCATCTTGCCTTGAGTCCGCCACTATGCAGGCGGCCACCTGCATTGCGGAAGCCGGCGGCAACGACTATCTGGTCATTGGATGTGGCTGGGAGCAAGATGTCAATAATCTCTTGTGCTATATGAGTGGCTGCTGGAACAAGGTAAGCCAAAAACCTGATGAACCGGACTGAGGACTAAGGGGTAAATTACCTTGCACAGGTGTATTCTTGTGAATATCAATACCTAGCATCCAGCTATCTTATCGCACGCGGCAAAGAAACCATTCCCTTTTACCCAGCGCCCCAGGATGCACCGGGTGGCTGCTCCTGCAACATGGGGAACGTGCTGCAGAATGCGACGGCAAGCATTGAGCTGATCCAATCAAAATGTTCGAGCTATGAATTCTCCAGCACAACCAGCCTCGCCGAGTGTCAATGTTGTGCATGGAGCGCAGCCATTTCCTCGTACAGTTTCCCTTCCCCGTTCTTTGCCTGAACAGTTTCCCTTGCCAATAAATACTCACACAAGCGGCGGTGTAGCTTCTACGGGATCTGCCCCACCACAGAGCCCTCCCAACTGGGCCTTGACAAACTCGCGAGTGAAGTGAAGGCATACACATCGTTCACCGGATCCTGCTCTAATTTGGATGCCACTACATGCTTAGGCGGATTCAACATTGGATCTGCCGACAATGGCACCTATGTGAACCCGGCCAGTCTTCCTGCTGGAGGAACCGAATTGCTCAGTACAACAACCGGTGTAGGGTATCCGCTGACATCGCCCCCGGGAGGATGGACGATGACCGTCACTCTACTCAGCGACGCACATACAGTTACCGCTGCGAGCTATAATGCGAAGAATGTGGTAACGGAGACCGCGTCGACCTCTTCTTCTACTTCTTCGTCGTCGTCTTCTTCTTCTTCTTCTGGCTCGGGAAGTAATGCCAATCCTCTCACAGGCAATTCAGGCCACTCCGGTTTTATAACCCCGTCGATTAACATCTACATCGGTATACTATTTGTGGCCGTATTAACCTGGCTATGAAAGGTACAAGTGGAACGTTTGACCGAATCCTAGATCATGGAGATTCAAAATTGGACCGGAAAATGAGTTGCATGTTGCAAATGGCCAACTTTTCTTCGAGGTTTCACTAGATACATGGATTCAACTTTCTTGCAAACAGATCATAGGGAAGACAAGTAAGAATCCAAAAATAGGGGATGTACATGGTGGGGTGGGAAAATGATTAAGTGAAAGTAGAAGTGCTCCGTTTGCCCTAGAGCGTAGGTCATATGGACGCTTCAGAGCATCGGTCTCCACGCCTTCTTTCTCTATTCCAAGACATGCAAATTTATCTTTGGAAAGAATCTTGAAACATACTCCAGCAGGCTCACTGGAAGGTAGAGGGGAAAGCGTCCGGCCCAGATACAGTTATACTCCTCTACTCAAAAGATAGTATTTTGATTGAATCATACCTACTGCTCCAAAGCAAGAAAGTAGACTCGAAAGAATGGGCAAAATTACTCTAATGCTACTAACAGAATAAGGAATCACATACTTGAACTAGGCTGATTTGATCTGCCTTGGATCCAGAGCATGGCCCCCGTGGGGAGCGGGCAACACAGGGGCGGCTATTAGTGTATGATTAGACTGGGTGTCGACGAGACTAGTTCCGCACGAGGGGTGTTGACAGGGATCAAGGCCTGTACTAGGTGGTCCCTTGGCAACTTCGGACTTGGAACTATCGATGCGAGTCGTGGAGGAGGCCAATGAAGAGCACACTGAGTCATCAGGCGTCTTCTCGCCATGGCGCTCTTTCATTCCGCAGTCGAAGTTTCGGCTCGGTATCATCCAGCAACATCCCCATATTCCACATCAACCTCCAGTTCTTTGAACCCTCTAACAAGCGACTAATGAACCTGTGCTTATGACCACTCTCTATCAAGGGCACCTACACCTTGGCGTTCCGCGTGCTCACCATCCATCGAGCCAACTCAGACTTTCGGCACATTGCGGCAAGCTCAGTGCAAACAATTCTAGCCGTGTGGTTGACATCATTACCGCATCAATACGTACTATATGAATATGCACCATTGACCTTGGTAAGTATTTATGACTTAGGTGAGCAGCGGAGTCGGTGCAAGGAGAGTGACAACCCCTCATAGTAAACACCGGCGGGGGGCGGCGATTGCCATGCTCGGGTACCGGGGCACAGGCCGACCTCACCACCTCTTTGTACTCAAACCTACAAACGGAGGAACTAATGCATACCTCAGTCTGATTCTGAGGTATTGGCTGGCCGATATGAGAAATGATACCGCTGATCTATGGATATTGCCTACCGATTTTTCCACAGACATCATCCCCATCGAGATCTTTGCCAAGCGTTGTAGCAGAGTTATTTGTGTCGGATACGTTTGACCCGAGTGGCGAAAACAAGTCACCAATACAAGGCTAGCTACCTCTACGGAAAGGTGCAGCGGCCAGTCTTCCTGTTTTAATGGGATCATATACATTATTTCCTCCGCGCCGATGCTAATTGCTGTGTGATTTCATTTTCTTTCTTTCTTGTCAAGACACGTCACTTGTCACTTAGGAAGACTGATATAAAAATATTCGGAGATAGCGAGAAAATCACGAAAAGCATCACCCTGTCCTGAATAATGTTATTCTACCTATAAGGTTAGAAAATCCCTTTGTATTATTTTTCATTCAACCACACTCGCGTTCCCGGATGAATGGACCATGTTGCAGCTGAGATAGGTGTATAAATTATATTTCAGCTAACATTCCACAGGAATTATATGGTTAAGATAGACCGGTCGGTATAGTCACCTCGGGGCATCTGTTTGCGAGCTGTTCGTCCTTCCCACCCTTTAGATGCCGGGCTTGGAACAAGCCCCAGTCTCTACCCCGTCTTCTACCCCGCAAATCGCCCACTCAGAATAACATAGGTCAAAATAGTGCAGCTTTGAGATCGCCTATTGGTGGAACTTCAGTCAAGGAAGACCAAAAATTTCTTTTATTTTAAATCTAAAAACTCCGAAATGGAGAGTGGGTTATACATAAATAGTTTTCAAGTTCGCGAGAAGTTGAAATTACCCAGTCTAAGTCTCGCTTGAAATCCAAGATTGCAACCTCTCAAGATGATAAGCGTATTTCTATTCCTCTATTTTGGGCTTTTTAAGGTGCATGCATTGGTTGTTCCTCCCAAAATACCTTTAGCACATGCCATGCCACCTTTTTTTGTTTTGGCGGGCGATAGTACGACAGCAACCCAATCCTCGGATGGTGGGGGTTGGGGTGACGGCTTCCTAAACACTACACTGTTCCACGGCGCAACTGGTCACAACTATGGACATAATGGGGCCACGACAGTCAGCTTTCGAGCCGGAGGCGATTGGAACAAAGTTCTATCAACGGTCAAAAACGTTAGCCAAGCTTACCACCCGTTTGTCACCATACAATTTGGTCACAATGACCAAAAGGCAGCCGCAAATATCTCACTCTCACAATACACGGAGAACTTAGAGCGCTTTGTGACAGACGCCGTCGATGCTGGGGCTACACCTATTCTTGTAACACCATTATCAAGGCGCAATTATAACACCTCTACAGGGCAACCAAGGATCATCGAAGACCTGGCAAACCAAGCCAACGCCACGATCACTGCTGCACATAATACTGGCGCGTCCTTTATTGATCTCAATAGAGAGAGCACCAGATATCTTAATGCCATTGGACCGACGGATGCCTACACTTATAATCTAATTGCTGCCGACCACACCCATCTCAATATTGCTGGTAGCATTGTGTTTGGAGGGATCGTTGCTGAGTTGATCCAACGGCAGTTCCATGAGTTGAAAGAATCAGGCTTTGTTCGGGTCAATGGGACATTGAAGAAGGATGTTGACCACGGTGTATACTACTGGCCTTAAATTAAGCCTTCGATTTATATATGCTTAGCTTCACTCGAGTTCTTTCTTTCCGTATTTCAATTCCGCAAGGGAACTGATGAGTAACCATGTGCTTTATTATGGAGTGAGTACAACGTATTATTGGCGCGTGACAAGTGACTACCAATTAGATCATTTGATCAAAACAACTCAAAATTTGGATTAGCGAAAAGAGGAAAGGAATTGCGTGAAGTTCCATCCGTTATGGGGTTAAATGACCTTTTCCTCTTCGTGCTCATGTTTTTGGAGGAACAGAGCCTTCATGGACGGATATGTCCGAACTTCGAGCTCTTCTGCAAGTACAGATGTTACATTATCGTTCCCAAGCCCGTACCGAATGGCCTTGGATGTCTGACCTTCGGCTCGCTTGGCAAACCAGATTGCATGAACCCAGTCAATCCAGACCTCAAACCCTTCGCCTTGGTCGTGAATCATAACGCTTGCCCCCTCCTCGGCTCGGAAGCGATGATCTAAATTGATCCGCTCTTCCACACCCCACGCACCTCTTAACTTCGCGTTGAATATGATCTCTGATTGACCTCGCCGGATTGAGATGTGGAATATGATGTTATTGGCAGCATCGGTAATAGATATCTGTGTCATGTCATTCTTGACCCCGGGGTTTTCCAAGTCAACTGTCGCTGATTCAAGTAGAATGACACTGTCAGCTTTCAGTTGGCGATGGAACTTGAGGCTGCTTTGAAGGGCCAGAGTTGCCTTTGGGCGCGCCGGGCTATCGACAGTTAAAATTTGGACCATTCACGTAGAGGACTGTTGGGAAGCGGATTTACCGTGGAGCTGGAGGTTCAACCATGGGCTGTTTGAGATGGAGATCTAGAGCTCCATCGGCCCCTCCAGAAATGGTTGGCTCCTTCTTGAAATTTTCGAAGGCAGGTGGAAGAGCAGGATTCTCAAAGTATTTCGTTTCGTTACTGCTCCCAATGACCTCCAGATCTAGCTTTTCAACTTCATACCGGGGAAGTTCTTTCCCGCCCTAGAGTTATGTTAGTTACTAGGATTTTATAGATGCCCTTGCAGAAATATTGAGTATCTCACTTTCACAACCCTCCAATAAGCGCGCTTCTGCAAGTACGCAAGGACTTCATCACGAGTTAAAGATTTCAGATTACGACCAGTCTGTATCAACTTGTACAGAACTGGCGCGATGGGGACGTAAGCGGTGGACTTGGAACGAGTCTTTTGACCATCCTTGCAGTTTCCACATAAAGTGGCTCCGTCCAGCTCCGGTCTCTGGCTGAAGTTGTATACTTCTGCGATCAAATCGGTGACAGGGGTTTGAAAACCATTTTCTTGGGCCAAGTACAGTTTTATCCAGAATGGTTGACCACCAAATGCATATCTTTTGTTTAGAACATTGGGGGATCAGCAGCGTACCGGGGGCTTGTCAAATGTAAATGAACTTACTTGAGGAAGCGAATACTGAAACCGTAATCAGTGACACGGAGTCCGCCTTCAATCTGCTCTACACCATCAGAAGATCGAGCCTGGGGATCCAATACCAGAGCTCGTGAGACTCCGTAAAGTTTGTTGATCACAGTATTTATGTCTGCTATGTATAGATCTTGATCGAATGAGCCCTCTTTCTGGTTGTATTTTGCGTCCCAGCGTTGTAGCTCTGGGTAGGTGTATCCCAGGTTAGGGGTATACCGAACACCCTCTGGGGTCCAGTAGTTTCCTTCACGATCGGAGCGGAAAGGCTGCAGTGGAGTGCTCTGATTAACAGCATGTCTCTTGCCATGTGAGTCTTGGATTAACGCGTTATCCGGAGGAATATTGTCAAGCCATTTATCTGGGTTCAAGGCCTGCCAAAGGGAGAACAGGCGGTCAATGTTGCTTGTTTGGGAGAAACATTAGCTGATTGCCGGACTTGGAGAGCCAGAATTGCCGCAGACTCACCAATGGTGTAGGAAAAAAAGCGGATCAAAAGAAGCTACAGGTACATTACCCATGTGGCCTTCCCCCCAGCCCATCCGTGAATATTGTTGTGAATCTAGTATCATAAGCCAAAGTGAGTCTATGTGTGTTCCTGAGGGCTGGAGCTTACATATTCGATATTCAGGTCCTCGTCCACATTTTGGTCTTTCGATGTGGGGTTAGTACTTGCAAAGGTATTGTAATCCATAGGAATAGTGAGCAAGCGATAAACTATTTCCGCCGCTGGACCATGGTTCTTGTCATTGTATCCCATGTGTGAGTTGAAGGCATCAGCCGCTTTGCTGTTGTTGACAACACCATTTCGCCAGCCCTCGCTGGCGGGCTTTTGATCTTCTTCATCGGGCCAGCGACTGGTCCCAATGGTGTTTCCGAACTTTGTTAAATCAGCTCTGAAAATAATGGGTAGATATTTGACTACCCACATTTTTGTACTCTTCTTGGTCAGCGTCATTTTGCCAGGTATTTTCCGTCCTAACCCCTTCACTTCGCATACGTTTGTTTGTGGGCATGCGGAATTGAAATAACGGGTTGTCGATTCGCTGTATGCCACTTGGATGCTTCACATCAACCGTCGGGCTTTTACAGAGGACAGGAATAGATCCTTTAGCCCAGTCCCAGAAAGGAAGACGCCACAAATCAGCGATCTCCTTCCAGACAGCCTGCTGGCCCTGTGGAAACTGTGGGATAATTTCCTTGACCATGATGTCATATACGACTTGCTGATATGCATCAGAGTTGTCACAATATTTTATTGGATCCGAAACGTATCATACCTCGAACAGGAGCACATACGGTCGATGCCAAATAGGAAACAGAACATGACTGTGGAAGCAATAACCATTTTGAATGGGCTCAGAACTTGGGTCATCCCATCGCACAAATGGTTGACCGTGGATTCCTGGAGTAAAGATCAGCTGGTATCTCATGCTTTATTCATGAGACAGCGTACCGGCAATTTGAAAGTAAGACAACTTTTCATTAGGATCTAATTTCTGAAATCTGTCCATAGCCAAAATAAAAAGATCAACTTGTTTCTGATTTGACTTTTTACCACTCCACTCGTCGATGTTTTGGCGCACAGATACTTTCCGATTAAGGCCATCCGCAGGAGTCGAGCCTTCCAGAGGGAAACGAGGCTTAACTGGATAGTAGTCATGGCCCGTCGATTCTGGCGCCATCTTGTCACGAGAATCAGATTCTGGGTGAATTTGCCGGTTGAATTGTTTTCTCGAAACTCGGCCAAACAGGTGCATCCACGCGTTAGGACAGAAAATAAACAGACGGCAGTCAGCAACCAGGGTTCTAGGCTCAAATGATGTCTTATATATATATTTCCAAAAGGCTGGTGTTGGGTCACGTCCAATAAATTGGTTACCCTTATCTGGAGAATGAGCCCCCAAAGAAAGACACTGCAGCAATTACGAGCAACCCAAGCCTCGTAGTTTTCGCTTTTCAGATCGAGCTCTCATGCCCTGCGGTTTGCTCCCATGCGTAGGGAAGTAATTGGCGACAAGCTGAGCTGCATGGAACTGTCAATTTAGCGCGACGCTAAGGACCCTGTCAATGTAGTCCATGTCCCAATTCACCAATAGTGATTGCACACATCAACACAGCTGCTGGGAAAGGCTAGAACTCAACGTGTTCATAGACCAAACCAATGAGTTCGTCCGCTATTTCCACTTGGCCTACATGTTTGCTTCCCCAGGGGCACGAACGAGGTTCATTACACAGGCTAGCAATAACAGCCAGCCACCCATGCTCCCTCGAGCCTTGCCAGCCGATCCTTTCTGGACACAGATGGCCATCATATCTATTTACCCCTTGTCTCTCAGTCTCAAGTCCTGCAACTGAAGTTTGCTCTTGGACAAATTTTATATCGCCACCTTTAAGCGTGAACTAGCTGTATGCTTATTGAAATAGACCCGACCTCCATCCACGCCTCAAGAATCAATCGTCACAATGGTCGAAAATCGAGAGATGGTGGGGCAGCCGTCAAATGCTAAGCTGGCAGAGCTAGTTAGACAGCTGCAGCTTAAGTATACTTATTTAGATCCTGCGCCGCCAGTTCAGCTCAAGCCACCAAGTGACAGACATCAGAGGACTAATAGAGTCTGAATATCTAGCTAAGCACGCTTGGACGAAGACGTTCGGTTTGACCAGGACGCCTTTGAGCCATATAAAGAGGCCGACATGTTTGTCGGTCGACGCAAATTAATGGATAATAAAGTCATCTTGCCTTCAAGCTTCCTACTTCCCATTTGTGAGAGCTGTCTCGTGGAAGAGTTCCTTTTTATGTTCCATGCTATTGTGGTCTGAAGTTGCTGGCATAATTCTGTGAAACAAGACTCATCTTACGAGTGATATTTCCCACTATACTATGCGTCGTTCTCATTGCATAAGTAGCCATTGCTCTAGCTGGACTGTGGCAAAATTTAAAATAAGACGGGGTTGTGAACCTACGCTGACGATCTTCCCAATGGCTGAAAAATGACGAGTTGGATCTTCTATTGGACTAGCGTTTCTACCAGAACGGTCTCACTAAATTATGGTGGAAGGGGGCGTGCCTTGCTATCCCAGCCCGATAAATCAGACCTCGCATGTAATGTCCCAAGCAGCCAGGGTGTGTGCCATTGCTGTCAGATTACTTACAAAGGAGGGCCACACAGCTAGTGCGAAACTTGAGAGTCATGTACTACCGTAAAATCCTTTTATGCTGGATTATTGGTCACCTAGTATATATTGATGAAGTCGATTATTTTCCATGTATTCGGAGATAGAATATCATGTATTCAAATTTGGAGGCTATACCTAATGACTATTATTGCAGGAACCCTGTAGCTGAATATACATCACACCGACACTTCTTCCGTGTCGCCTATAGTCTAGAACTATGACCGACAAAGAACAGATTTCTCCTCTGTCCCTTTTCGCCATTGGGGTCAGGCATTACCGTACCAGTCCTGCCAATTGGCTCTTCATTTGTGGATGAAAGCCGGGTTAAAGTAAATTCATCACCATCATTTGCCAAAAAGCGGTGATTGGTGCTTGTAAGGCGACCCACAATATAGGCCCGCTGTGGACTGCCATCTCGGTTGAACTCAACAGTATAAGTCTGAAGAACAATTAGCAGGGGAATAACAATTTGCTAAGATATCGTCGAAAGACTTTACTTCTATTGTCGCGTCTCCTTCCGCATCATTATCGACCAAGGGGATAGGATCCGGTGTTTTCAAACCCATTGCGCGACTATCCGTGTAGGTGCTTTTGTCTTTTCGAGGCTGAGTTGAGAGGCAAATGGCATGTTGGTAAGACAAAAAGCCACCATTGGCGAGTATCAATCCTTTATGACCATATCCCTTACGCAGCTGGCGGGTCATCTCTGTGATGGCCTGCGATAAAAAATCAATACAGAAGGTCAACAACAGGTGGACGGAACAGCATACATGCATCGAGTAGTTGTTACCGGCTCCTCCAAATGACGTGAGCCCGCCAAGAACTGTGATGGGCTTTTCCGGCGTGGTTATGGACAGGCCAAGATGATGGCACGCAAGTTTAGGGACAATGGGGAAGCATGAATAGAAGTCGTAAATATCAATTTCCCTGGAAGTTATCCCACTGTTACCCAGGCAATTGTCCAGTGAGTCCGAGATAGCGGAACACTGAAAAAAGTTGGGTCTTTCCCAGACTAACATCCACCTGTCAGTTGCCTTGCTTATACATAATTGGGACTCAACTGACACAAGTTGCGCTCACGGGAGCCAGCGCCCCCAAGTGGGTATATCCATCTTTCTTCTGGAACTTGGAGCTTCTTGGCAAACTCAGTTGAGGTTATAACGCATGCTGCCGCCAGATTGACAGCGTTGAATGCATTCATGAGAAGAGGATCTAGGAAGCACTGTCAGATGCTTCGTTATCGTCATTATGTTGAGGGACAAATACATGGGAAGCATATCATGCGGTTTTTCTTAGAGATGGACCCTATTGAAGCTGGGGTATCGGCATCCTTTCCGAAGTTCCACGAATAAGGATTAGAAGCTGCGACGCGGCTAAATTTCCCGTAAAGGAGAGCCGACTCTTCGTGATTATCCTTGATGGATTGGCCGCGATGTGCGCGAAACCCGTTTTCGTACAAGGGATAAATATGAATCGGTGCACCCACAGAGTGCAGACCCCCAATATCTAAGCGCACTAGTTAGAATATGGTTGCATAGATCATAGCTCAAAAGATAGAACTGGGCCATGCCTTTCTTCAGTACTCTAGTAGTCGGCGAAAATACATCTGTGACCGATTCGGCTGGCTGAGTCCAACCTGGAGGCGGAATCTTGCCCTCCTTGACACACGTAGCCACTTTCTCTTTGGTTAATATCATTGATGGTGGGTTTGAAACCAGAAAAATTGGGTTTACTCACAGGAAGCTAAAGCTTCTGCTCCAGTTAGCACTGCAACTCGGTTCTCCCCTGTCGCAATTCTTCGAGCTGCTTCGTCCAACAGCTTTGCAGGCTGATTCCCACCATGTTCACTGTACTCTTGATGTTTAGTTTGGATGCCAAGTTTTCCTGCCAGGAGAGCCGGAAGGTCTGTGTAAGGCCAAGTCCATGTTTTCACAACATCGAGGCTATCAATGCTGGATCGCAACATTTCCTCAAGTTCAACTGAGACAGTGGCATCTTTGATAGCAGAACATATTGCTTCTAGCATTAAACTTGCCGGCTCCCTCGCATGTTCAATCGCTGTTGACCGATTTTTAATATCGGCCACACCAACAATCACCGGAATCATATTCGAAATGTTTCTATAGGTTCGTTCGGGACCTATGTGATAAAAGAATAATAGAACAGGACTCTATTTGTGTTATTAGGGAAAGCACGGACCTGTGGAGGCACAGTTTGTTCCAATTCCTCGGGCCGAGCAAAAGTTGAAGGGACATTATCATATGAACCCTGTCGGCCGGTACCAAAGGTCAGCTCCCCCTCTTCTCTGTGATATTTTCACAAAATGATCTCGAATATCAAGGTGCCACGCACTAAGACGTTTTATGATACTTAGATAAACATATGAAGCTAGTAATTCAGCTTCGACTTAGTTCGGATTGGAACACTTGAGCAATATAAATACTATGGAGGTGAACGCTCGATGGCACTCTGGCTAATGGCAGACGGGATGAGGCACAGAGGAACAGGCCTCCGGCAGTTGGACGGAGAGCAACCGACAGAAACTACTTGATGGAAAAGCGACGTTCCTCTACTGCAATGCTTATTCGGGTGTGAACTTTAGCAACTCATAGTCTATTATAAGCGGGAGGGAATCCATTTCGGTCGCGTTTTGTTTGCAAATGCTTGCACGCCAATTTTGAAGTTTTCCCCGGCCACCAACCTGTTGACATACTCATGTCTGGTGCGCGATGTGGCATGCTCCACACTTGGGTTGTCCCATGCCTCCCGTAGCCCCTGCCGGGTGACGATAATCCCATCAGGTGAGAAGTTTGATATTTGCCCTGCCAGCTCTAAGCATTCATCAACCACAGAGTCCACTGACTGGGAGACTCGGTTGATCAGCCGATAGTCTAACGCCTCTTGAGCAGATAATCTTCGGCCGGTCATGGAAATCTCCGAAGCCAGCTGCAAGCCCACGATCCGCATGAGGCGAGGGAGGCCTCCTGCGGCAGCATACAGTCCGACGGCAACTTCTGGTAGGCCGAATTGAGAATCAGGTGCCGCAACGACCATATCACTGCATACAAATACAGGTGTCAGTCTTTCCATTTACCTCGTTTCAAGGAAAGTCGTGCGCAAAACATATTCACGCCACCTTACCAATTGAGACATATTTCGAAACCTCCACCAAGGGCGAATCCATTGACGGCAGCCAAAACGGGCTTTTTGCCTCTGCGCTGGCTCAATCCCATGAAGCCACTGGGTGGGTGGTTCATTAATGCCATCTGTGCGGCTGTTTTCGGTCCTCGGCGCGACGCATTTTGTTCGACCAAATCTTGGCCTGCGCAAAAGGCTTTTTTACCAGCGCCGGTGACCACAGCAACCAAAAGCGTAGGCTCTTCGTCAAACCATGTGAAAAGATTATGCCCGTCCCAATGCGCTTCGGCGGGCAATGAGTTGCGTTGCTTTTCCCGGTCAATGGTTACCAAGAGTACCCCTGGCCTTGGGAAAGAGACTTGAAAAAATCTCGATGAGGGGGGCTGGGAATGGAGAGAATTTGCCATCGTTTACCTTCCAAGGTTTGACAGTTGAGCACAGGCAAAACAGAATGATGCAACAATAATGCCCCGAATAGTTGGCAATACGGGGTTCAGAGGCTACTTGCCAGGACGCAAAATGACATGGTTTTTATAGCCTTTATGGAATTTACATCCATCCCATCAACTTGTATTTTTACACTTGATACGGTGGTCACTAGTTTCGGGGGAAGTCGGCTGTCTCCTGAATGCGGGGTCGTGACCGTACCTCGGACCCTTCGGTTACTGCCACGCGTCAAAAGGACTTGCTTCTTGCCCCGGACCGGTTTGTGTAGATCCCCCATAATTTCCGCTGAATTCTCATTTTTACCATGCTGTTGCAAAACTCGTCAAACAATGCATATCTCTTGAGCGTCATCTTCACACAACATGGCTCAGGGCTCGCTGTCTCAAGGCTTCTTTTATGTAAATGGGTTGGGTTAAGAATGACAAGTTGGCTCCAGGGAAAGACAGACACAATAAGGTGGGAAGAAGGCTTCCAGATTACTAAGAGGAATTTTGACAGCTCCTAGGAAATACACTATTAGGTTCTTATGATGTATCGTGCAGTCATTGAAGCAGAGGTATCGCTATCTATCATTCATTATCGCATGCTTGAAAAAGGCCAGACCGGTCTCATTTGTCCATTATAGGTTTGCTAATCCCCCAGCTTCGGAAAATCCGCCGATTCTACACTCCAGTCCAGTGAATTTTGCAAGCTGGCCTGATGGGCTGGACCATATTGACTTCACTGCCGTAGGTGAGATCCAACTTTGTACAGGATCCATCTATACCACGATCCCCCGCAATTTCTTGAAGATGACGGCGGAGTATAGTTGCGGGTCAGATTTCGGGGAAGCAAGGAGCAAGTTGGATTATCTCAAGAACTTATTATAGGCAAGTCCCTTAGTTACGATAACGTTATTTGCCTAGGGAAATCTTTACGTCCTCCTTAGTTCGGCTTAGTATGTCGTAGACACCTATAAATTACGTAATTTGATGCACAGGATTAAGGTATCCGGGCTATTGGACAAATTGATGGATCGCTGGCAGATTTCATGGCGCTAACGTGGACCAAGACGAGGGTTGTCATTTAAGGGCGCCCCGGTTTGAGACACTCACTCCCAACGCCAATAGATGAGTACAGTATGGCTGAACCAAGTCCAGTAACAGAATTCACAAGCGAATGGTCAATTCAAAAACACATAATAAATGCGATAAATTTCAACTTCATATCTCAACAACCATACTAACTGCCCCTCGCTGATTACAAGCCTGATTTCCCCTGCGATGAAGTACTCAACGCGTCTCACCACTTCTCCTCGTGTCCCATTTCCCCAATATCCAAGTTTGCTTTCTTGCTTCCGTGAGAGTAATCAACCAGGTCGAATAGATTACCGTTGGTGGTATTGGTGTCGTTACGGCCGAGCGAGCCCAGGCCAAAATTCTGAATGGCACCACGCAGCATACCGTATAGGGTGACGTAGCTGTCATTGGTGGTGTTGGGGGTAACGCCGGCGCCGAACAGGATAGTGGCGATGTGATTATCATTATTGGGGGAGGAGTCGTCATCGTTCCACCAGGTAGCCTCGTCGAAGGTGGCAACCACCAAAGTGCCTTGAGCCTCGAGCTCGGGTAGGTACAAATCCAAGAATGAGTTGAGCCACTCGCCGCCCGTGTTCGGCTGGTTGAAGTAGTTGCTGTCGGAGGTAGGATCATGGGCGTTGTGAAGCATATCCGGGACGTAGAATGAGTACTCTGGCAGAGTGTGTGACATAACGTGATCGGTGAAGGTGTTGTTAGTGTTGTAGATCTTGCTACAGCGATCGTACTTGCTTGTGTAGGAGCTGAAAAGCAGGGCTGGGACGTCGAGGCGACGATACACCTGAGACGACCAGGTCGGGTTGGTGTTATCGATAGGACCATTGGTAATATAGTTGTTGCAGTCATTTGGACCACGGTGAGTTGCAATAGGATTGTACCACTCGGCGTAGGTACCATAAGAGATACCCTTGTCCTCGAGAAGATCGTAAATAGTGGTGGCGTTCACGTTGTAAAAATCCTCACTCGCCATACCGAAGAAGTCACCGGCGACGATAGCGGCGTAGTTGGGCAGAGACGGGTGGGTAATAGCGTAGCTACTGGTGAGCAGCTTGCCACGGGTAGCCAGCAATTTCCAGTAGGCCTGGCCCATAGTCCACTTGTAGACTTCGTTCTCGAAGATGATGTGAAGAATCTTCTTGAACTTGCCCTCGCTTTGATTGGCCGGACAGGCGTTGTCCGCAGAAGGGCAGCATGTTTGGAAAAGCTTGGAGCTGTTCATCGCCTGGGGAGTCCCCTCGTTAATCAGGAAGAAAGGGTATTTGCCGGTTGCACCGTCGGGAATGAGATAGCCCTCCTTCGCGCTGTGGCCAGTGAAGTTGGTACCGCTGACGGTCTCATTGTTTACCGACCAGGAGTAGTAGCCGCCATACTGCTCTGGTGAGAAGGGAGGCTTATAAGAGAAGGGATAACTAGCCACAGCTGGGTCGTCATGCTTAAAGACGTTGCCGCCAGTGTAGGGCACGTCTTTTGCGGGAAGAGCATACTGGGCAGTCGCCGTAGAGACGAGAGCCAGAACTGAAGAAATGCTGATAAAGCCGGGCATCTTTGATATCCGAGGGATTTGCAATTGAAGAGACTTCAGGTATAGCTTTCTGTGAGGCAACGCCGTTTAGATGGGTCATGAGCCCTCCGTTTATACCATGTTTGCCAAGGTCGCGCTGGGAGTCTGGCTTCAAACGCTCGCAAGACACGTTCGGTAAACTGGGCTTAGTATTGGAGTGGAAAGGGCTCTCTGTGCCGATCTTGGACCTTTCCAACTGGCTGTTGCCTGGCTGCTGGTACAATTGCACTAAGCTATTTGCACTTACCGGGCCTGTAGATCCATTCTGGAAAGTCAGGGAAGGAGAGCTTAGCACTGGACGTATCGGGTAATCGGAGAGATCCCGGAGAAGTCTTTCTAGTTTATTAGTAATGTTGTGCGCTAAGCTTCCTGTCGAAATATGTGGAGTGGAAAGTTACCACTAGGATCGGGCTTATTCATCAAGTTCCCACTTTCTTATGTTTTTGTATGTAATTCTCATTTACACATGAACTCAGGCTTTGTAACAGCCGAGTATCGCACAGGCACAAATACGCCCATACGGATAGGGGATGACCCTTCAACAGGCCTTTCCCCCTGATTTCTCCTAGATCATCAATCAATCTGATCATTATCATCCCATTAGACATCTTCCTTACTAGCCTATATAGATAGTGATTAGTTCGACACTTCCCGCTAAGCTTTGAATGCAAGGGTCCAAGCCACTGCGGGGCAGCCACCAATAGCCCACACATGCGCTTGGCCGCCTTGGCGTAGAGGTCCGGTCCGAAATCTTAGGACCGGGACTAGACCATCCGGTCTTTGGTCTTTTTTCGACATGGTCCTTTATGGTCCCCTGGGCGGTCCCCTATAGTTTTATAATCATGCCACGACCTTTATAATTATACCAAGACCTTCCTTTCTTGGCTATACAAACTAATAATTCACTAAAACTAGTATATATCTTCTATAAAAATTATGGGATTTTCTATATCTATCTTATTTATACCACTATGGTATGGTTAGGCAGCAGCTTTGCTAGAGAGTTGGAGTGGTAGAGTTGAATCCATCTAGGCCTAATATAGACTAGTCAACTCTAGAGACCCACCACTCCAACGCTCGACCCCAGCTATTCACTCCTCCTTGGGACCTACCCAAAATCCCCACGTGGGATACTTTACTCTGCTCTATTGGTCCCTTATTTCAGGTCTCTGGGGAGCAAGTGGAGCCGAGTGTAAATGAACGATAAGATTGCGTTGTCTGAGCACACCACCTCAAGTCCTCCAGCAGAGCCAACACACGCTGTCGACATCTGTATGTGCTAAGTCCTCCAGATTTGATAGGAAGGTAAAAGCCGGGCTTTCATGACACAAGCGCTCGATGCAACTTCTCATTCGCTCCTGCAAAAGAACTAAGCCTTTGAATTGGTAAAAGGCCTGTCGAAGCTATCCGAGGGAAATTCTTTCTCGGGACTGCTCTGGTCCCTGACTATGTATAAATGGCCAGGCGGAGCCTGCAGTGCAGATCAAGCTACTTCCAGCACTTATTCAGGATCTCATTGCTTCCAGGATGCCTGTCACGTCTCAAATTGCCCTGACCCTGGGCCTCTTCCTGGGTGCTTCTGCTGCCCCGAACTCTATTGAGGCGCCCACTGGTGCTGATAAACTCACCGTTGCTCTCCTCGGAGGTAAGAAACTCTGCTTTTTTTTAATCAGCGAATCATCATGGTCATGAAAAGAAAGATAGAAATAGAGATTGACAGTTGTATTATCCTGATTGTATAGATTATGGATGGACTGGTTGGCAGCCTCTGCCTCTGGACTTTTGCGACAATGTCTTGCCTAAGCTCAAGGCCGACGGTGTCGATATCCCTCGCCAGATCCAGAACGATTGCGATGCTGGTGACCGCGATGCTCTCTCCAATGCTACTATCGAAGAGAGTAAGTATTTGTGCTGACATGTTCAGAACGGAGCGAGGGAGAGAAATGCTGACGCCTGTGTAGCCAAGACTGCCCAGTATATCGAGGAGGTGTGTCTCATGAAGAACTGCTCGGCCTTCGTGTCCGTCGGCGACAACTTTTACGATAGCGGTGTCGACTTTACTTCGACCGGTATTCAGCGCTTCTACGAGGGCTGGCGTGATATGTATGTGGGTGAGGCCTTTGATGGCAAGCCCTGGTACCAGGCTATTGGTAACCATGACGTTGTTGTTGGCAAAGCTGGTGTTGAATTCCAAACTCATATCGCCCCCTTGATGGATGATCGCTGGTTCTTCGGACACGATAAGCTGCCTTACTATACCTACGATCTAAAGGGCTCCGACTGGACTGCCACCTTCGCTGTTGTCGATTCGGATTGCTTTATCAACGATTACCAGAAGAATACCTCCGTCTATAACACCGACTACGTCATCGAGTGCCATAAGCACACCCAGAAGCAGGTTGAATTCCTGCGCAAGTCCTTCGCCGATTCTAACGCCACCTGGAAGATCTTGCAGATCCACCACGGCTATATCTCTTCCTCGGGTAACTATACTGAGCTGGCCCCCCTGATCAATATTGTCCGCGAGAACAACGGCGTCGTCATCAATGGTCACGACCACTGTATGGCTCACTACCAGTATCAGGGCTTAGACTTTGTACTCACTGGTGGTGCTGGTTACGCCCAGGCTGGCGACTGCAACTTTGGCGTGCCTCTTGGTCCTTTCGCCAAGTGGCTCGGTGCGAACGCCCAGCAAGCTGCTAACGGCTTCGTCACTCTCGATATTACCTCCGAGTCCCTGCAATTCGAGTACTACGCTCGTGACATGCAGCTAAAAGGTACTGATTACTACCCTGTGCCCAACGACATGAAGCCTTCGTATAGCTTCACCGTCACTGAGCACGCCACTAAGGGCAAGAACTAGAGGTTCGGGGGCATTTCTTAGGACGGGGAGTTTTCGGAGGGAATACATAGTATATAGTGTATAATGCAGGGTCTAGGGAGGAAAGATGGAAGAAGAGAACCAAGAAGGACCAAGAGGGAATCAGTAAAGAAAGAAGAGACGGCGCCTAACACCACTCCCGAGCCATGGAAACTTTATATCTTCATGAAAAAAATGCTCCAAAGTGTCTGCCATATTGAGTCTTGCGATCAGCCTGGCTTGGTCTGAACGCACCCGTAAATGTCTAGACCGAAAAATCTGCATCTAGAACTCATCCTCGTATTTGTTGTTGAGGCGCCGCCCACTCACTGACCTGATCAATTATTCGACTATCGAAAGCATTAAGTCTGTGAGGTAACTACGTAAGCTTCTTAAAAACATGCCTTCGCGATATTCTATCAAGATCTGGGCAAGCTAGGCCTACCTAGAGGAAAGCGTCTTACGAGGTTAACAACAAGTGATAGTGAAGGGTATAATAGATCTCATTGGTATACTTTTAAGTTCTGCTAACTAGTGGACCTTCTCCCGAATAGACCCCGCTAAGGACCACTTTGGACTGGACTAGACTAGGGACCGGACTGCACTATATAGGGCTTAGTCCTCACTTTTAGGACCACTAGGCGGTCCTAACCTTTTTAGGACCACACCACTGGGGTCCGGTCTAGCCCTACCGTCCTACAAACAAGGCAAATATGGAGTTCACGCGATTTATATCGAAAATATAAGCTATTTTGAGGATATTATTAGTTTATACGGCCAGAAAAGGAAGGTCTTGGTATAATTACAAAGTTCTTTGTAGAATTATGGAATTCCGGGGGACCATGGTGCGGTCCTAACTATTTCAAAAAAGACTGAAGACCGGATGGTCCGGTCTCGGTCCTTGCCGAGGTCTACTCTTCTAATAGTATTTCTGGAGAGAAAGGAATGGTTTGATTCCTAGGAGGGGCGACTGGAGGTGAGGAGTGATTACTTGTCCTTAAGAAATATTCTCGCTTGCACCAGTAAGTAATGATGACACTTAGCATCTACCGTTTCAATTCGTAGTCTGCTTTAGTAGGTTCAAGCTGACGCATCCAAAGTTCCGATGGTTGTATCAGAGCTAGATTACGCTGATGCTCTATCTAACAGGAATCTATGATTTCTGGATCCCGCACTCGATTACGAACAAGCTCGATAATATATATGTGAATTCAAAAGTGGTCTGTTTTGAAGGTACTCACTATGTGCCTTATGACGATTTTGCTGTAAAGACCGTGGTCGACTTCATCAGGGAGTCCGCTCGGGTGGAATGATGAGCTTGCGCATACAGATGATTGGCTTGATATTGAAGACGGCGGATGTGCGCACGAGAAGAAGGAAAGGAGGGGATAACAGAACAGGGGATAGAAGGAACAAGGCGGGCAGGTAACCTTGCCAGACCTCTAGAAGTGTATACATTTCATAAAATTCCTTGTAGAAATACTATCGGCCATGGACTAGTGGTCCCGGAACTTATTACAACTCAAGCTGCTGATAGCCACTTTGCTTGGTCTCCTTAGCTGTACCCTTATCCTGCCTTGTTCCCTCAGCTCATATATGCCATTGAGGGATAATCGATGGCACCATATCTCGCTTTCCATTCACTTCCATGACTTTCAGCTTCGTTGCGCGACACCGACATGCTGCGTGGACCAAAGGGTATGAGCCGAGAGGAACCTTTCCATTTCCTGGGCCTTGGGGCTAAGGTTGGATCTTGTGGGTGCTTTTGTTTCCAGCCATGAACTCGGGACATTCAGTAGAATCGTCCCACTGAGAGGTATGATTCGGCTTGGAGTCATCGGCGGCCTAATGTGTGAAAACTTTGACAAGACGGACGAAGATTATGTTGCCAAGTCATCTGCTCGCATACCAGCTCATCTCACACACTCTTGACTGAGGCGTCTGACGGCGCCACGTAAAAATTTCAAGTCGTTTCCTTGTTTGAGTCTTCTGTATCTTCTGTATGCAAGCGCATCAAATGAAGCTTTTCCTTAGCTTCATCCAACTTTTCGTGAACATCACGTATTTTGTGCTTGGTCAAAGTATAGCCTTCTATACCAGCAAGGACCGCGTATGACTTGGTGATCGATACTCGTGACAAATCAACACCTCGATCTTGCAGCGAGTGATGAAACGCACGAAAGTTGGCAACATGGGGGCGATAATGACCACTGCAGGGGTTAGAACGTATGGCAGGCTCAAGATCACGACGGAGCTTACCTCAAAGGTGCCAGACTACGAATTTGTCCGTTCTTGGTTTTAATGAGGCCCGCTGCAGTGATTCGCCCACCCCTTAAAAATGAGCTATGCTGGAAGGCACCTGGCTCCTTGATGCCGATGTAGATCCGAAACGACGTGTCTGCGACCTGAGGTAAGGTCTGTGTTAGATATTTTCCAATCCGGCATGAGGCTCAGTTACTCACAAAAATCCACATTCCGTCATTGGTTGACCGACCTCCGGCGAAATGGTCGTGGATGACTGCAGGACGGATGCGCGAAAACTTCTTGACTGCCTTCCCAAGCTCATAGTCTTCTCGGGTAGAGGCGTTTGGCTCTTCCTTCTGCCTGTCGCGGCGTAGGATGCGTGAAGACGATGATTGTGATGAATTCGAGTCTGGCGCAGGAGGACCAATTGATGCCCCCCTGGAGTACCTCCAGGTCGCGGGATGTCATCCTCAATGCGAACCACTCCATGGAGGCTATCCTTGAAGCGCGTATTATCGGTTTCGACCAGCTCATTGTCTTTAGCCCACCGCAGCAAGCCCGCTTCATCCACCTTGACCAGATAGTTGAACCGTTCCCCCGGGGATAGATAGCGAACTTGATCTTTCTCGAGCTGTTCACGCGTGCATTTTGGAAGCTCAATCTCCCTTCCTTCGCCATAATCAAGCCAATAGAAGAAGTTTTCCTTGGTCGGGGAGTTCTTCCAAAAATTATGGTAAGCGCGCAGATTGCTACCATGACGGTGTTTGGAATCCACCATTTCGAGGAAATATTCCAGGCCTAAAGTTCTCGGGGCAGCAGTGGCATCGCGGAAGCCTTGATGATGGTCCATTTGCTCACAGCGCTCTTGATTCAGAGATGACCGATCCTCTCCGCTAGCTTGCATCGCAACACCGACTGCTCGTTCCCAGTTCTTGCGTGCTGGACTGGTGGTCTTATCATCGGGCTCGGCATCGGGCAAAGGGCTCGCAGGCGATTCGCGGGGTTTTTGTTTGGTGTTTTTCATATCCTGAGATACATGAAGCCACAAGCTTGTCAGACTGGATCTTCGTACGACATCGTAAGACTGCTATTGTGCTTACATCCAGCCATCGAGTGGACGCAGCCACACTGCATCCTCGCAGTTCTCGACGTGTACGGTAGCCGCGATAAACTCTCTAGGGGACCCAAGCATGCTGTCAGCATAAAGCTCAATATTTCGCTCATTGTCTCCGGTTCTGTCGTACCTGAATCAACGACGCTGCCCGTTCCTCGGGATCCAAGCGCGTGACGTCATCAAAAGCGTCGAGGTGCGCGTTGGGAGAGCTCTGCAGCGCTGCTTGCTGCTGGGGGTGTGGGAGCTTCGTCATGATTGGCGGGTGATCGTGCAATCTGATTCCAGAAAGCCCAACATTCACAGAGCACAGAGGGGCAGGACCTGAAAGGAAGTGACGCCGTGGTGCGTTCCGCGACAGGCGAGGAAAGGCCGATCAGACACGAGAGTGATAAGGCCAGGATAAGGGATGTTAGCCTGACTGCCGTACAGCCCGGCGGTTAAGGTGTCGAGGTGGCTAGCTACCGACCGTCGGGGATTGAAGTCACCTGTTGGGTAACTTCGCTTGCAAGGTTGGCTAGTTAACCGGTTGGAAGGACCTTGGGAGATCCCGACGATCGTGGTATAAAGACTGGGAATCCACCTTGATATTACCCACTGACCTTATGGTTACACCTTGGGATGCACTAAGGGCTGGCCTAAAAGTACTCATCAATCAGCCAGCTCCCCGTCCTCAATTGAACCTACGGGAACCTGCCCGCGTCCCGCCATACTTCTGACCGACTTGATTCTGAAGCTAGATTCCAGGAGGATCCCTCAATGAGGGGGGCTTCCTAGCTCTGACCTACCAACGCACGCCGGTGCGCACTGTCCCACCTGGCGACTGTGTTGGTCTAGATCGTTACCCTTCCACAGATAACACCCCCTAGTAACTGCGATCTTTTTCACTGTTGTCCCGCTTGCTCTTTTGCCCTGCAAGTCTTCTCCTCCAAAGGCCCTGCTCGGCTCGCACGCCATCGCGGGGGAGGTCTGGGATGCCTAGCAATTGGAGAACTTCCCCACTTCTTCAGGACGGATCTCTATCCGTCCTTCCAGCACCGATCGCGCTGGAACTTGTTACTCCTTTCAGATCGGCCCCGCAACTTGTTTGCAATCACACCCGGGCCAGTGATCGTGGGAGACAGAAGAGAGTGTGCAGCGGGATCCATCGGATCAAATAGGATTATTGGGATGGGCCCACTGGTCGGGGACGCCTCCCGAGTAGGAGTAGATCCGATCCCCTCGCGAGGGGAGAAATTGGAGTTATGAGGGGGCACAGCGAATTATTTTCTTGCTGACATTGCTATCTAATATATATCTCTGGTGGATTAATGAGTTCACAACCATTGTCTGCTACTACTTCCATCCATCACTCCCCATTTCGAATGGTCCAGGTGCTTTCCAAGCAATCCACACATCCAACCATCATGGTCGCCTCTATTCACCCTCTGATCGATAACGGCCTCGTGAAGGGCGACCCCAACTTCGCGGGCGGCACCCTCTACTGCCACTGCCCATCCGATCAAGTCGTGATCGCCTTGACCAGCAACATCGCCCATAACCACGCATGCGGATGCAGCAAGTGCTGGAAGCCCCGAGGGGCCCTGTTTTCCATCGTCGGTGTCATCCCTCGCAACAACGTCAGCGTGCAGGCCAACGAATCGAAACTGATCATCATTGATCCCTCTGCTGTCATCCAGCGCCATGCCTGCCGTGATTGCGGTGTCCACTTGTTCGGCCGTATCGAGCAGCCACATGCCTTCCACGGGCTGGACTTCGTCCACGCGGAGTTGTCCGACCAGAAGGGCTGGCAGGAGCCCCAATTCGCCGGCTTCGTCTCCTCGATCATCGAGCAGGGATTTGACCCGAAGGGAATGGATGGCGTCCGGGCCAAATTCAAGTCTGTCGGATTGGACACCTACGACGCGCTGTCGCCGCCGCTGATGGACCTGCTCGCGACCTTTGCGGCACAGAAGGCCGGCGTGAAGTTCGCCAACCTGTAATGACACCCCGTGCCCGGCGGATCGGTGACTTTGCACCGAGCCATCCGTCAGAGCCAAAAGTTTGGACGAGCCCACAGCCAGGGGACGCATGTTCTCGGCATGGGCACTTGTATTTAGCGTTGTAAACAGAAAGAATGGACTCATCAAAATCTTGACTTGCTACGAATTCAATCACGACCGAGGGGGCCGCTCCCAAGAGAATTTTGGTGTCGTAGGTGATTCGATTGATGTACCCCAGGCGTATTTCAAGGGCAACAGTCTCATGAGCATTAACATCACTCCTCCGTCCTTTTCACTTTGAACGTTCCCCTCGCCTCCTCAAATCACACCATCCTTTTTTAATTCATGATAACGCCACCGTGGGACATGATGGCGGGGATGTGCGTGTTATCTCTCTGGATATGTGTTGGGAATGCGAGGGGTCCCAATGGTCGTCACGATGACAATAGCGATCTTATAGCAGAGGGGGCCTGACTAGACGACCACCTACAAAATGACATGTTCCCGCTCTGTCCGCTCCACCATCTTTACTAGCGCATCCGCAATCCCATATGAAAATGCATATCCACCTCCTCCAAACCCATAAGCTGACAGGAGGGTACGTGATCCTTGCGACTGGGAGTCGAGACGAAACCCACCTTTTCGTGACGGCCGAATCCCAATAATATGACTGATAGCGTCCTCTGGTGGGTGCGCTGGGACAATTTCGGGGGCCAGTCTGTGTGCACGGGCGATTTCGTCCCGGGTAATGTCGAGATCCACGACGGGGGACCTGAAATCAAAGGATCAGTCGGTGGCTTCAGTTGCTGGGTGACCATGCTTACAGGTTGTCTTGTTGCTTGACACCACCGAGGACCACCCCCTGGGAGAATGGCCGGGGGATCACATAGGTATACTCCTGCCCGTTGCGGAAGTACATCGTGTTGCATTGCTGCGTTCGGAGAAAAACATTCTGACCACGCTCGGGGAAACAGAGGTCGTCCTGCACATCCGCCAGGGTTTTGCTGCCTAGCCCGCTGGCGTTGATGAAGACGCGTGAATCCGGAAACATGTCGTAGAGCTCCTGCAGAGCGCCCACGCGCTGGCGAATAAAACGACCCCCCAGAGCTTGGATTTGCCTCCCCAGATAAGGCATATGCCGGGTGGGATCGGTGACCAGCGTCTCATACGCCCAGGCGCAGGCAAAATTGGATGGGTATTCCTCTGGGCGCATCTCCCGGAACTGGACTCACCAATCAGCGGCGGAGTCTTCTAACGGAATCTTCGCCTCTGAGAGGGGCGAAATACAATACAGCATGAGGACTGACCTTGGACACGACCGTGTTCCCCCAGATTGACGATGTCGACGTGGGTTCCTGCTCCAGATACTCTCGCGCATCGACTATGCTGACGCCCGAGTCTGGATCCTGGGCCATCCGGAGCATCACACGATGGGTCACGGCCTGGAGATAACGTTGGTCCGGCGTAATGCCGGCGGCGGCATGCCAGACGGCACCCGCCCAGGCCGATGCATAGTAGATATCTTGATCCCCGGGCAGAAATTCGGCGACCAGCACCACAGAGAAGCCCTGTAGCAGTAGTTGCCGAGCGGCGGCACACCCGATGATGCCGGCACCCAGGATGATGACCGGGCGCTGCGCGAAGGGCACCGGAAATGCGCTGGGGGCTTGACGAGACTCGCCCATGTTGGGGAGGTTGACCGCAGGGCGAGAGAAGAAACCGGACGAGGGAGGGGTCGAACTGTTGAAGAGTCGTGCGAGCAGGTTGGAACTGGTCAGGCAGTCCAGCAGTCGAAGCAACCACCTATCGACGAATGTATACGTCGTGATCGCCGTGAAGGGCCCATCTTTTGTCCTCTTCTATGGCGATTTCCTGGAAGAGTTCAGGCGCTCCGATCCGCCGAGTGGAGCCGCTTGGCACCCACAGATGCTTAAGCGGCGGGCCAACCCGCCGTGCGGCCGCGTTGAATGCCGCGATGTCGTCGGGCGCGCGATTTCGGGCCCTCTGCGCTTTCCCCCCTGCGCATTCTCCTCGGCCCTTTTCCCGTCTTGTGCATCTTGTGCAGCCTGGCTTGGTGACCGACCCTCCTTGCTTGGCCCTTTCCCCCCTCCCCACCCAGACACCCGCGCTGTCGCTGGGTGGGACTGCGACCGGGGTGCGTGCAGGTCTAAGGGGCTGAAGCGTCCGATCCGTCGTTTTGGATCCTCCCCCTCCACTCTGGACGTCGATGGTTGTGATTTGAATGGTGCTTTGTAACTGGCCCTTTGGTTTCCTCTCGTGCGAGCCCACTGCCCGCTGGGCCGCGGTGTCGTAGCGGATTCCGCTGGGATCGACGACACGATGGGCCCGGAGATGGAGGAGAAGGGGGGCTGTGAAGGTGGAATGCAAACACCGACCGTAAACCAACATCCGAATCAGAACGAGCATCGGCCTCCTCCTCCCTCGTCGGCGAGTGATGGGGCAAAAGATGGCCGGCCTTGGCCGTCGTCGGTAGGTTCACCCCAGTTTTGCCCTTGGAGACGCTTCCCATCAAACCCCCCCCCCTTTTCCCCCTCAACCAATGGACGGCAATGTCCCACCATCGGAGAGCATTCGATCAGGATCAAGTTGATCTGCATCCTCCCCCCACTCGTCGTCTTAGCCGTGCCTTGGCGGTCCTGTGTGGTGCTGGGGTTCAACGTTAAACGTTGCAGACCGTGTGCGGCCCCTGCCGACATGCCACCTTAGATCTGATTTGATTTGATGCATATCCCATCGGTGATATGGTTCTTCATGATCTTTGTGCCTTCTTCCCTGTGATCTTTCCTGTTTCTGCTGCATCTTTATCAGTTCAATCATTGCTAGTCCACCGGGGTTGCTTGGTTCCATTTCGTCACATCCACTCATGACTCTTCGCGCTGCAATAGGACTTCCAATCCGGCCATGCCGACGACGACATCTCTATCCTGCGCGACCGAGATGCGGAAGAAGTCCTGTCCTACGACGCAGACGATTCACCTTTTCCGGAGGTGCGTGCTGTCATCCAGCCCACCAACGACCTCTCGCTACCCGTCAACACCGTCCGCATGTGGACCATTGGCTTGGTGTTTTCCATTGTATGTTCGGACCATCCCACAACCCTGGAATCCTGCTAGTGGACATGGGCCCTTCTCCAAATCTGCGAGTGCATGCTGACGGATCCCCTTTCCCACCCCCGACCAGGTTGGTAGTGGATTGAACCAGTTCTTCAGCTTGCGCCAACCCAGTGTCACCATCAGTGCCCTGGTTGCCCAGTTGTTGGCTTTCCCCATAGGATGCGCTTGGGCCAAATGGATGCCGGTCGGCCTCCTCAATCCGGACCGGCACTTTAACATCAAAGAGCATGCGCTCATCACCATCATGGCCAATGTATCCATTGGCTCCGCCGCTGCCACCCAGATCATCGAAGCCGTCGTCAAGTTCTATGACATGCCCTCCCATGGTGGCTTCGAGGTCCTGCTGTGTGTGACCACGCAGCTTTTCGGTTTCGGACTGGCGGGCATCGCCGCACGTTGGCTCGTCACCCCTGCCTCCATGATCTGGCCCCAAGTCTTGTCGAATGCAGCCTTGCTCACGACTCTGCATTCCCGACAGAACGCGATGGCAGATGGCTGGCGGATCACGCGCCTCCGCTTCTTCCTCGTCGTATTTATCGGTGGCGCCGTCTGGTACTTTGCGCCGGGGTACCTGTTCACCGGCCTCAGTACCTTCAGCTTCATCTGCTGGATTGTCCCCTCCAACGTAATCGTTAATCAGTTATTTGGACAGACCACCGGCCTGGGGATGTCCGTGTTGACCTTTGATTGGGCGCAGGTGGTCTATGCCAATCAAAGCCCGCTCCTGGTTCCATTCTGGGCCGGCCTGAATGTGATGGGCTCCTTTGCGCTTTTCTTCTGGCTCATCTGTCCCATCATCTACTATACCAACACCTGGTATGCGGCCTACCTTCCCCTTCTCAACTCCAACACGTTCGACAACACCGCGCGCACCTATAATACCACTCGGATCATGGGCCCCAACGGGTCGGTGAATCAAACCGCCTATCGGGAGTATTCACCCATCTTTCTACCTGCTGGTTATGCCATCACCTTCGGGGTGGCCTTTGCAAACCTCACGGGCATCTTCGTTCATATCGGACTCTACCATGGGAAGGATTTGTGGCAACAATGGAAAGGCACAAGCAAGCAGGATGTTCATGCGCGTCTCATGACCCGCTACCCCACCGTTCCGTGGTGGTGGTTTGCAGGGGTGACCTTGTTGATGGTTGTGCTTAGTGTGGTGACGAATGAGGTGTGGCATACGGGCTTGCCCGTCTGGGCGGTCCTGGTCGCGTTTGGGCTGCCCATGATTTATATCATTCCGGTTGGTGTCATCAAGGCCGTGACTAACATTAGCAGTAACCAGTTGAATCTCCTGACCGAGTTTATTGGTGGATATGCGTTTCTTGGTCGACCCCTGGCTAACATGGTTTTCAAATTCTATGGCTACGTTGCGGTTCAGCAGGGACTCGAGTAAGTACCGGCGCCTGCGATGTTGCTGCCAGCACCCCATCTGATTCACGTCCCGTTTAGATTTGTCGCCGACATGAAGTTGGCTCACTATCTCCATATTGCACCCCGGACTCTCTTTGTGGCCCAAGGGCTTGCCACTCTGATTGGCGCGATCGTCCAGTGCGGAGTGACGGTTTTCATGATTACCAGGATCGATGGTATCTGCACTGCGGATGCGGAGGGCAACTTTACCTGTCCTCACGGGCGGGTCACGTACTCCTCGTCCCTGATCTGGGGTATGTTCGGCTGACTCTTCTCTTTGATCGCTTGTCGATCTTGGTGTTTAACACTCCATTGAGGATCCACGCTCATTCATTTCTAGGTGCGGTTGGCCCGGGCCGGTTGTTTTCTCCTGGTCAGATCTACGGGAACCTCCTGTGGTTCTTCCTCGTGGGACCGGTGGTTGTCGTCATTACCTATCTTTTGGGGCGTCGCTGGAAGGCTGTGAACTATCTCTCTTGGCCAGTTGCCTTTGGGGCCATGAGCCTGGTTCCACCCGCTACCGGGGTCAGCTTTTCCTCGTGGTGGGTGATCAATTTGATCTTCAACGGTTTCATACGCCGCCGGAAGCCCGCCTGGTGGTCCAAGTACAGTATGGCCAATCCGAAACCCCCTTCCCTCACCACCGATCATGGTTGAAATGATGCACTGACATGCTGTAGATTATGTCTTGTCGGCCGCCCTTGATTGCGGCGTCGCAGTGTCCACCGTCATTATCTTCTTTTGCATTACTCTGCCGGCGGGCCCTTTGAACTGGTGGGGCAATACAGTGTATACTAACACCGCCGATGGGAAAGGCACACCGTACAGAAGCCTCCCCGCTCGAGGCTACTTTGGCCCTGCGCAAGGGACATGGCACTGAGTGTCCTGCCATGCAATGGGAAGGTCAAAATCTAATCATCCTACTGTATGTTACTGGAGCCGATGTTGGTCCAAGAATATTGTTGATTGTCCTTTACGCGCATCTCAAGAGAGGAGGGAACTTTCTTAGTGGTTCATTTGCTCTCCCCCGCCCATACCCTGTCATCCATCGGTGCATATGCTAGATGCTACAGTTTAGAAACATTCCATGTGTTCATCCACTACTACAGCCACCTCGTTCCATCTACCTTGGGCTCGTCAACTTATGCTGTTTGGTGCAAACGTTCGAGTCCCACCTACACCTTTACCGACCGCCCTTGTACATATACTTTAGCGATGTTTCGATCATCACCTGTCATGAGGAATTTCTCGAAGATGACGAAGATGGAGTCATCCTCTTCCACGAGTGACATCACCCCTGGAGGATCCAGCCCGATGGTATGCACCTCCAAGGCGTCAAATTCCATCCCGACAGCAAAACTGCCGATCCTATCTTCCAGCCCGCAAACCTGAGCTCCGCCCATGGTGGCAAGATAAAAACCCTCGGCCAGTGACAAGGGCGCATCTCGCCCCTGAGTGAGCATCTTACGGGCATTCGACACCATGAACGCTTGCTTCATGGTTTCCAACATCGACGAGGAATATCCACCGCCGCTATCCGTCCCCAGACCGACCTTGATGCCACGGCGCAGGTACTCTCGGATTGGTGCCACCATGAAGTCCTGCATTGTGGTATTGGCGATGGGGCAGTGTGCGACCCCACAGCGAAGCTCCTGCAATACATCCATCTCTTTCTCCTCCAGGAAAATACAGTGAGCCAGGATTGATCGGTTGTTCAACAATCCAAAATGCCGGTACAGATCGGCTTCCAGGCGAAACTCCGGAAACAGCTCCCGTGTGAACTGCATTTCCTGATCTTCCTCATTGAAATGAGTCTGAATCGGCAGATCGGGGTGGTCCCGGGCGATCGTGCCCAGGCCGGAGAGCAACTCGGAATCACAAGATATCGCAAACCGGGGGGTGATGACCGGTCTCACAAGCTGACCCTCGGGATCCAGGCCTTGGATATGCTGGATTAGTGCTCGCGTTTCGTGCAGGGAGTCGGCGATGGAGGGATCCCGATACCATTCCGGGGCGTTTCGGTTCATATTACACTTGCCGACCAGGGCCCGTTGACCCTTCTCGTAGCAGACGTCGGCCAAAATACGGGTCGCCTCGCCATGGTAGGACCCGTAGTAGGATGCGGTCGTAATCCCTTGCTGGAGGAAGCCAGTCACACACGAAGCATACGTGCGGCGAGCGTATTCGGGGTCAGCAAACTTCGCTTCGTGAGCAAAGGTTACTTGATTCAACCAGTCGATGAGCGCTTGGCCACGGCCCACCCCACGCTGTGTCCACTGAGGTGCATGGTTGTGGGTGTCAACAAAGCCCGGACACAGGAACTCGCCTCGTTGTAGGTACTTGACTGGGAACACGTCCGGGGCATATCCGTGATCAGAGACAATGGAGTTGATCCGACTGGATTCAACGTCTGGTTGCAAGCTTTGGATCGTCCCTGTCTTATCCACGAGAATGAAGCAGTTCTCCAGAATCTCCAGGCCGCCCAGGCTGGGGGAGTGGATCACCGTGCCGTGGAACGCGAGAGGTAGCCCCGATGCGGGGGTGGTGTTTTTATCCAGGTCTTCCATGGCGAAAGAAGCGAGAGAGGCGTGAGGAAAGTCGCTGGCGACTCTGTCCGCAGAAGTGGGCGGCTGCGGTGGATGCCAGTAGAATGGCAAGCGCGGGGGGCCAAGCTTATCTGCGGGAGAGGGCAGTGAGGTGGTTGACGCGGTCAGCTTCAGCCAATGAAGCCTGCCTCTGTTCCCGCCGTCAACTCTTAAGTAGCACCCCAACGGGTAGCGCTTCCACCGTGGTTCTATGATAGATATCCTTTCCTATCTTGACCTTCGTCTATGGAAGATAACCATGGGATGCGTTTCGTGCCATCCATCGAACAAAATAAAGATCGTATCGTCATGTCGCTGGAGCTTTAGTCGACTTCGATATACGTGCATCAGGTCACGGAATTCACCTCTCGGTTGGCCGGTGTACTCTAGTCGTGTAATTGTAGGAAACCTGACCAGACCCACGTGAACTCAAAAATTCCGCCTCAATCAAACGGAATATGTGCATGACCAATACTTGGTAGACGGGATAGTATACAGTTGGCAGCAGTGGGCACAAGGCAATAACCATGGTGATGGGGACCGTAAAAAGAATAAATAGGAATATAATATACATGGGATAAAGCGACACATTCCCTATGACGCCATCTAGGTCCCAGGAGAGCATTAATCGTCTATGTGATCCAAATACATCAAAGGGTATAGTAGCTTGCCATCTCCTCCTGGAACCAGTTGTATGAGTAGAAAAGTTGCTCTGCCATCTGAGGATCAATCATCGGCATGGTGCCACTGTCGTCGACCAGCAGCACATCATCGAGAACGGGGGCCAAAGGAATAGGAGGGGGAGGTGGAGGAGCCAGGGTGACAGAAGGCTGGGGTGGCAAGAGAGGCTGCACTTGCTGGTGCTGGTGCTGGTGCTGGTGATGCTGGTGTTCCAGTTGCTGCTGTTGATATGCCATTTGGCTGAAGATCACCGTGCTCTGCTGATGGAATGTCTCGGCTAGTCGATCTACGCCGGGCCGCCGTTTGCCAAACTCTTCGAGTAGCACGACGACTGCTTGAATCCCACGACGCATCATCAGCTCATCGGGATGCCATGGGGCCGGGCGCGATTCCCGTAAGGAACGGGCATTCTGCTCCAGACACCACAGAATGGTGATACCCGCGAAATAAAGTTGGCTCAGCGTCAACCAAATCCACTTCAGTTTGCCCACTGAGTAACTATTCCAATAAGACCGAATCACCTGGATACTCGAATCGCCGCAGCTGACAATGCTGGTTGCGTCAGGGGTCGGGTTGCGCGGACTCGGGCGATACATGAGAAGCAAGGTGGTATAGTACAGGTAGTCGTAGTAAGACGTCGAGTAGAGGAGTGCCGAAGGATACACTGGGGCCGCCATGCGCCAGTCATCCACCTCGCGACGGAATTGACCCAGTGTAGCGGCAACCTCCTGCGGGGGAGGCTGGGGGAGACTGCTGTATACTGCGTTAGGGGCGGAAGTTAGCACGCCACGCCGAGAAAAAGAGATAAGGGTGAACGATGAGGCAAAAAGGGACCAGGCTCAACCCACAGTATCGGTAAATGCGAGAAAAGATCCGTCGGAGACGCATCACCTGCAGCGGAATGGTCATCGCACTAGCACCGGGCGCTTCCATTCCGTCATCATTCACCTCGCGTGGAAGACCCACACTGATGTCTTCGTCCGCAATCCCCAGAGGCCGGCCTAGGGTGCTGGCAATGAGCCGGTCTAGGTTATACAAGCTCCAGAAGGCGCGCTTCGCCATTTCTTCCTCCATCAGGCTGGCGTATGATCGTGCTTTGTGCAGACCCATGCTGATCGCCAGTCGCAAGGTGGCCCCGAGGACATGCCAGATGCTGGGACCCGAGGTCGCAAACATCGTATACAGGGCCAAGCCGAGCAGCGCACGAATGGCGGGCAAATCCTCATTCTGCAGGGCAAGCGACAGGGTCTCCTGGCTCGCATGGTAAAACTCGGCGGCCCGCGCCGGCTCCGCCGAGCCGATCAGCAACGAGGTGGCGATAACGATATGATAGGCATTATGCACCTCGGGGGTCGGTACGCCGCCTGCGTAGATGTGGCGCAAATGGGCGATGAACTCGGGTCGGGACATGAACGGGTACTGATAGCCCATGCTATCGAAGTACTGGCTCACTACCTGTTCGGCTTCCTCGAGTGAGGACAAGCGCAGCACGCGCGGAGCCAAAGCCGGCCGCGCGACGGACGGCCGGCGGTGCTCCAGCTGATCACGAAAGATCTCGCCGACGTTGGGCAGCTCGGCGCCCACACCAGTGGAGGATTCCAACGCGGCGGCTGGCCCCGTCCCCAACGAAGCACCGCTGCCCGCGGGACTGGGCAACGAGGCCATCGAGGGGCGATTGCCGGTCGCAATCATCGCCGGCACCTGGTACCACCAGTCCGGGTCCCCCTCGCCATCCACCGGGGTCCCGGTGGCCAGATCGGCCACGGAGATGCCCGACTTGCGGCGCACCACCTCCTCCAACCATCGCACTCGTTTTTGTAAGGTCTCGAGCTGGTCGCGGGGCACTGAGGCACTGGCGACCTGCGGGCCCGGCGGGGGATGGTACAGCGGACCCCCGCGCGGGTGCAGGCAGAACAGTTGGGGTACTGGAAGTCACACTTCTTCTTTCGTTTGCGGCAGAAGTCGCATGCCGTCGATACACGCTTGCTGCGCGAGGCCGCGGCCGACGTGGAGTCGGGAGTGGACGACCAGCCGGGCGGCGGGGGCTGAAGCGGCGAGGCGGACGATGGCTGGTGCGGTCGCTGGGAGGATTGCGGAGGAACGCTTGTCGGGGAATGCGACCAGGGCGCGGGGGACGAGCCAGTGAGGGGCTCGAGGCGGAACTTACCCAGCTGGTCGCGAAACTCCTTGTTGCCCGCGCTGCTAGTCATCGTGAGGGGGAGCAGCAGAAGGGCGGCTGGGGCCGCAGTCCATCTCAGCCTCTGGCGGGCGAGCCACTCGACCGCCGGCGCCGGCAAGAGGAAAGGGGATTGGAAGGCGGAGGAGGGGGAAGATCGGTCGGGTTCGTCGGAATGGCAGGGCTGCGCGGCGCGGAGGAGTGGAGAAGTTGGGTGTGGGCGTGCGCAGGGTGAACACCCGGAGTATTCAGGAGGTAGCGTCTCGGGAGACGGAGACTTACGAGGGAAGTGCAGAAACCAGTGCCAGTGCCAGTGCCAGTGCCGGGTTTTAGGGTTTGGCACCTTTGGGCTCTTTCCGGTGGGATTTTGCGAGGGGTGGAGACCTCAAATGAACTGGAGGATCTGTCGACGTCCGTATGCAAGTGGACTACTCGGACGACTACAATTACCATCTTCTGTACAGTTCGCGGGTTGCAGGTCTGGACGTGCGATCATCCGCGAATGATCATCCTGGTGGTTATACTTCGCGCCCGTCACTCATAATCCTAATTATATCCTACCCGACGTCCGTTCCCCGAATTGGGCGAACAATACGAGCGCTCCACCCTCTGCAAGGAACAGGACATGCCGGTGCTGCAGTTCGGCAGACTGACAACTCCAAACAGGTACGGGGTCGCTAGTTGTGAGACTACTGCTCCGTATACGACATCGCTAATCCCGATTAGCCTGCAGATCTCTCAGGGATTCCCTGTACTTGCAACACCGAGTCCCGCGATGCAACCTTGCGCCGGGCTGGCGCGGGCTGCAGGATGCTTGGAATGAGCAGAGGTCCTAGTTCATATCTTGATGCCTCTTGGCAAGCGAGGAGCTTGGTCAAAACAAGCACGTGGAGGAATCCCCGCCGGTCCGATTCTTCACAGTTCTCTCCCGGAATCAGCCCGGCCGGGACAATGCTGCAGGTTGAAACTTCATCCTCGGAGTGTATCTACGCGTATACTGGTATACTTATGTCGTCGCGAAGACTGCTTCTTCGGCACTACAGACCCAGCAATAACATTCGGCTTATCGTCGGCATGGAACCGGCGATGCTTCTGTGAACACCCCCCGCTATAAGTGGATCGATCGCCATGGGCCGATACTCCAAGCGGCATGCAATGTCCTCGTATTCTCGTTTGATCCTACCATGGCCCTCGATGCAATCACGACCCGCCCATTTTGGCGTATTTTAGGATACGACGGGCTGCACGAAACAACGCCGAGCGGATGATGCCAAAGGGGTTGCTTCATCTCGCAACCAACCCCATAAATAGCCACCATTCCCCGTTCCCATTCCCTCCTTGCCAATCAGTTCGTCGTTGCCAAATATCCCTGCGAAACAAAATTGATTTGCAGCAACCATGAAGACTGCCGCTCTTTCCCTCCTGATCGCCGCGGGCGCTGCCAGTGCAAGCCCCCTCGAGGCCCGAGCCAGCGGCGTCCAGGGCTTCGATATCTCCAGCTATCAGGGTACCGTCAACTTTGCCGGTGCATACAGCGCGGGGGCCCGTTTCGTCATGATCAAGGTGAGTGATCACCCAGCGGGCGACTGAAATAATGCCATAAGCATACTACTTCATGGACTAACCTCCCCCCCCTCCACCTGACCAGGCGACCGAGGGCACTACATACATAGACAGCACCTTCTCCAGCCATTACACCGGCGCTACCGAGGCCGGTCTGATCCGAGGTGGCTATCACTTTGCCCACCCCGACTCCAGCTCCGGAGCCACGCAGGCGGAGTACTTCTTGGCCCACGGTGGGGGTTGGTCTAACGATGGCATCACCCTGCCTGGCATGCTGGACATCGAGTATAACCCATCCGGCGCGACCTGCTACGGCCTGAGTGCCTCTGCCATGGTCGCCTGGGTCAAGGACTTTGGCGAGACCTACAAGGGCAAGACTGGTCGGTACCCGATGATCTACACCACGGCCGACTGGTGGAACACCTGCACGGGGGGCAGCAGCGCCTTTAGCCAGGACTACCCGCTTGTACTGGCCCGCTACAGCAGCTCCGTGGGCACCGTGCCCGGGGGCTGGCCCTACCAGAGTTTCTGGCAGAACTCCGACTCCTACAGTTATGGTGGGGATTCGGAGATCTGGAACGGCAGTGAGGATTCTCTGAAGACCTTTGCCAAGGGCTGAGGGAGCCGAGGCAGAAAGGGGTGCGATTGACTGTCTTGCTCTTCCCTGGCGGTTCTTTTCTATCTGGGACACTTCATACGACCAGAGGATCAGTGGGAAGCAGAGGAGATAGTCTATTGTGCTTTTCCATGTATATAGGCAGCAATTGATTGTCATTCTCCCTATATGGCTCTTCCGTGTGCGCATACTTGGATCTCCGGGAACGACGAATTCCTGTAGTTTATCTGTTACTTCCATTAGTGCTAGGACCTCCGAGAGGATAAGAGTAGGGAAGAAGTTGTTCTTGGCGCTATAGAGCTTGAGGAGATTATATATGTAATATTGTACCAGCGTACGAAGTAATCTGGGTCCGTGGGAAGCGAGTCACAATTGGGTGAGGTTGATAATATATTAGTTTGCAATATCTGTGCCCGCTCTTAAGCCGCCAAGATATTGACATTTTATATAGTAGAATTAGTTAAGATAAGTTATATATAGTCCTTCCCGCGGTAAGAGATCCCGGCATAGTATACGCCCCAGTATATCTCTTGGAGCCGAGGGGGTATGTTTGGGGAGGAATTGTCGGGAGTCGGTGAGGTAGGTTGATTTATAATTTGGTTGAAAACTGACGGGTTAGGAGTCAGAGCCTACGCCCATTAGAGACCGAATACTACCTGTGGTGAGGGGAACGGTAAGGTACTTGTAATTCAATTTGTGGCAGAAAATGTCAATAGAGGTACGACCTATCTACCCCTCCTTTTCTGTGCCTGAATTTCCTCACAGCACATAGCATGTTATCTCCTGTCGGTCAATTTTGCGGTCGGCCGATACTAGACCGAAAATAAAAGAAGAGATGGAATTAAAAAAGAGACTAAATTGAGAAGTTCCAAATGCGACTCCAAGGCTTTCCGACTCTTGTCATTGGCGAAGTCGCCTCCTACCTACCCTTACGGGATGTGGTAATCCTGGCCCAACAATGCCATGAGATTCACTACGCATGTGAAACAGGACTACGGAAAGCCCATAGAAAAGCGCAGCTGAGCTCATTCGAAGATTGCTGTCATGCATTTCAGATCCTTCTCTGGACACTGTGCTGGCCTTCCTTAGGCCAGTATGTGCTTCATATTTAAGATAAACACCTCATATAGTGGGGAATGCCTCGATATACCGGAAGACGCATCCACAGCGTCTAAAGCGATGAGCTTCACCACAGACAAGGAAAAAGCCCGTGTCACGGCCTGGGCTCAGGCATTGGCCGCAATGTTTATCTCAATATCTCCCAATCTGGAGTCTCTTGCATTCGCCCCCGTCTCTTGGAGGCGAAATGTTACGTACGAACCGAGATATACGTTGAAGCAATTCCTGGCCCACCTGAGTCAAAATCCAGAGAGCTCTTGTGCTCAGGCTTTAACAACTTTACGCTATATCAGGCTTCTGCCCTGGGTCGGCATACTCCCGGGATATACGCCTCCTATCCACTATCTGTCAGTATGAAGCTAGCTGGCCATTTGCGTGCGGTGGAAACATGCTGTGTTGAGGGAGTCCAATCTCTTGATGCAGAGGTACTTAAACCTGATTCCTGTTATTTCAAGACTATTCGCATCCATCAATCGTGCCTGAGCTCTCGAGCCTTGGTTCACGTCATTAGCTCAGGCAAGGAACTCCAGGAGTTTGCTTACTGTTTCTGATTTTTCCGGACAGAAGATATGCGAGCGGTGGTATGCCCTCGGGATCTGCTAAATGCACTGTGCAAACATAAAGAGACGTTACGCATCCTAAACTTAGACCTGGTGTCTCAACAAACGAACACGATTAGACACAACAATGAATCACATGACGAATCCATAGCAGAACTGGCGGATTTCATCGTGTTGACTCATCTAAGACTGGGGATGGATTTGTTCCTACGCCTTGCTCGAGGATTCACCGGCGACAGCGGCGATGACTTTTATTTGATTGAACGTCTACCACCGCAGCTGGAGTGCCTTACAGTCTATGGGTATAGACCGGGAAAAAATGCACTATGGGATGAGATATTAGAGGAGTTGAAGGAGATGATAGTCGATGGAGACGAATCTGTGTTTACCCTGCGTGGCGTTGACGAATACCTTCGACATCCTGCGAACCCTGATCCTGAACCGGAGCCCGAGGAAGAGGGGATTGCAGGGGAAAGTGAAGATGAGGATATAAAATACAATTCAGACGCCTCTGATCGATCCTGGGAGCTTGCCCCTGGCTGGTACAAGGAGATGCATCCGCGTCGACGGAGGAATGGCGGCTAGTATGAAGTGTGAGGAATCATGGGTCTCGAACTTTACCGCATACTCTCAAGAAAGAAAGAGTTTGACTCTCAAGAAAGAAAGAGTTTGGCCCACACCTGTATTTTTAATGTTAGGATCCAAGTACTCGAACTCTGATAGTACTCATGTGTTTGAGCGCCTTGGACAGCGGATCGAGGGTGATTTGACTTGCGGCGAAGTTATTTAGATGCATTGTAGAGGCAAATTACCATCAAGCGAACCCAGTTCGCATGGAACTGAAGTATCGGTCAAATCGCCAAGTCAATGGTAATCGAGTCATCTGCTTTGAGATTGAGGCGGCAAGAGGGTTCTGCATGTAAGCTCACAGCCCACAGCCCACGGCCCCCAAAGTGCGTGTCCCTCTCACCAAGGGTCCTCAACTCTCAGCTGGGTTCTACGTCCGTGGGCCACTTCATGGTTTTTCGAAACACACTGTACTTTACGTATTACCGCTACTCTGCCCCTGAACCCTTTTCTTGGCAGTATTCCAGTACAGTTGTAAATGATATGTAGCACAAAAATAGCATATGTATTAATCTTGCTTGGTCTCAGGGCTTCTAGAACATTGATCATACGCCGAGATAGCGAGCCTGTTATATGAGTATCTTGAATCTCCGCATGGCTTTCCCAGAACGGTAAACCGACCGCTATCTGTTCCCACGCACTGACCCACGCAGAACGAAACACGATCAAGAATGATTGGCTATTACGTACGCACTTGAACGACGGTTCCACTTCCTTGAGGGGTCACCTGGTATCCGCATTCTGACGAGAATTTGAAGAGGAATTGAAAACGACGAATCACGAAACACAGAAGGAATAGGGAGATTCTTTTCTTGTCCCGCTTTGTATCACATGGAAGTGCTGCAGGCAGCCGAAACCCTGCCGACCCGCCATCCAGAAAACCAGACTGCAATGAAAAAGGGTGGGGGAACCCGTGGTAGATAAGACGGACCTTGTGGTCAACAATACATGGCAACCTATGGGCACCTTTGACAAATATTGGCACAAAAGTAGGGTGACGCGTTGTTGAGATCTCTCCAGAATTTTTGAATCAGCTAAGTGTATTGAAGTTATTTGACAACCATCTCTCTTCAAATCGAAACTGCTTGGATAAATGGCATCAAAGTAAGTGTTCTTGTTCGAAGCGCAATCGACCCAAGAAGAGGGTAAATCGGAAGGGGACAATATCAAATCAAGACGAAAAGCGAAAGGCTATTCACAGATATTCGCTAAAAGTTTTTAAAGCACGATCCACAATGATTTCCACGACATAGCTATCGTGCGAGGAACAGTGGACGCCGTTCCCGCAGTCCTCCATCTCCTAGACACCGCAGTCAAATGGCTGGTATCGCGTGACAGAATTGGGCAGTGGGGAGCAGCACCGTTTTCTGAGAATCCACAACGCGCTGAAAGACTCAGAGAATTTGCATCAACGGGCCTTGGTCTTTGGCTCGCTATCAAGGTTGCTGATGACACGCCCACGCTGGGCCAAAATCTACTCTCCAATATAAACCCCCAAACTATGAACGAAGAACCCCCGGGCGTCATCATAGGAGCGCTTGCTATTGGAGATAGGATGCCTTATGTGACACCTGTCTCTGAGCCTGAGCTTTACGTGCGATTGTTAGTCACGGATCGACAATGGGCTGGCAACAAGATTGGCAAACGCCTTTTGGAACATGCACGTGATCTTGCCAACGAGGCTGGAGTCTCATTACTACGGGTGGATTGCTATGCAGGCGGCGACGGCAAATTGATCCAATATTATGAGTCTCAAGGGTTTAAGCTCTCTGAAAGATTGAACGTGGAAGGCCACTGGCCTTGTCAAGTGCTTGCTCAACGGTTAGATGAGATGAAAGAGGAAGAGAGACGTTGATTCTTTCTTTGCCGGAGCATATTTAGTGGCTCCAAAATGGATTTCCAGAATTATCGACTACATATATGACGTACTGATAGCCTGGATATCACATCGGTGAAGGGGACTAGGTAAATGACTCATTGGTAGGACGATGTGGTGTAACGAGTTCCAGTTTGATTGGCCGCACCCTCTGATATGATCCCCTAGTAAGAGTGGGAGAGAAATCGCAATATATGATTGCTAAGCTCCTGTTCAAATACCGATCGTACTGAAAGGATACTAATTTAGTAAAGGTCGGTCAGAAGTGGTAGGCGACATCTCGAGGGCTGGGTATGACACGCCCTTGGGTTATCAATACTCTCAGGAACCAAAAAATATTGACGGAATACTCTCGGAATCTCAGTCAATGGATGTTCCAAATCTTAAGCTAACAGCAGCAATAGTAATTGAAAAATTATCACTCTTACAGTACTACCGTTTTCAGGATGTGAAGACCCCTCTTTCCTTTAGATAATCGAGCCTTTGTGGTTGGGCTAAATAAAAATAGTAACTAGCAAAGTTATTAGGAAGGGAGGAGAAGATTTTGAACGAAATAGTGATCGACACTTACGTAGTTGAATTATATTCCCGGGTAAGTTATTACTGAGCAGCTGGCCACCATAGTGAAAATATATTTAACTAACCGCTCTGGGAATCATCAACTCTAGTACTGCTTCAACCATCTTATAAAATAACGACGGTGCTTTTAAAAGGCACATATCGCCTAACAAGGGGTTTTGAGGCAAGCCGTTCACTATGCCTTCGAGATAGCGTCTATATCAGTATCTTATACAAGCCTCCCAGGTAGTCCACCTGTACTAGTCACAGCGCTGTCGTAGTCGACGCATGCCCTACGCATTATACCGTAAATCTCTTTTCGTGCCCCTCGACCCACAATGCAGCCGACTCGAGTTCTACTGAACAGAACCAACATTTTAATACATAGAATACCACCTAAGCAAGAATTGCATCCCCATACCCCCCCATAACGCATACCTATTTATGTAATATTCCACACCAATCTCGGACTAATCAATACTTCCAATCTCTATATAATATTCTGGCCAGGTCTATCGAAGAGGTGTGGGAACTCTGACGATCTGGCCTGTTCCATACTCAATCTTTCTCCCTTACTGTACCTTATTCTCTGTTATAGCGTGCCCGACCGTCGCTCCATCCTGGTCGCTCCCCTCTTCTGAGATGAGGAAAAAGGCTGTGCTGCTGTAAAAGTCTAACTCTGGCAAGCCAAATAGCTTTTGTTTGTGCAACACCTACTCCCTTTAGGGTTTTGGTGCTTCGCCCGAAATAGTGCCCACACCGGAACGGCGGGTGGAGCGGTGGTGGAGCACGGTTATACTGTGGCATCGGGATGTGGGCCACAATTATTTTGAGTTTCTACTTCGTATTTCTCTTGGAGTGGGAAAGACGGGGCGATGAGGAGGAAGGGATTCTGGCCGGCTAATGGTAGACGCCGGTTATGGTGGAGGGAGAGACCTGAGACTGGCGTCAACTGGCCGCCATGTTTCCACTCTACTGTTTCCCCGCACGAGGCGTCACCAAATCATTCTCACTCCTGCCGGGTGGTGGCCCACTATGCGTGGGAGCCGGGCGTGGAGGCGGGGTATGTATAACGGCGGGCCTAACGAGCTCCGTCTAAGGGATTTGCATAAGCTCAAAGAGCTCTGTCTGATCGCCAGGGATGTTGAGCCTCAACCCGTTGTGGCTATGAAGTACCGGAGTGGGCCGAGAGGATCTTTTGTAGAAGGCCAAATCATCCCGCGCTGTGAAAAAAATGCTGGAATGGTAGAGCGCATGGACTGGAGTATTTGCCATGGTTTTGACTACCTTGAGGCCCCTGGAGAGCTGGACAGCACTTGTGTGATTTTCATGTCCGACAACGGCACCGAAGGAGCTTGGTACGAAGCGATGCCGCTTACAGCATGTCCTACAAGCGGGCACAAAGTAGTGTCACGGACACATTCTCCTGTTTGGTATATGTCTAATATCATACTGCTTTTCAGGGCCGTACAAAAATTATCCATACTGCATTCCACATCCTTGTTCGTCGGCCTCAACAAGACGATTAGATGGTGCATGTTAGGAGCATATGAAACCTTCGGCCATGCATCGTTAACCTAAACCGCTGTATTCTCGACAAGAATACCTCCACCTTTCTCCTCGGGATCAGCATTAGTTTCTTGGCTGATCTCTGCCAGCTTGAACGCAATTCCGTCTCTTGCCATGCGCCATTCTGCATCATAAATGGATTAGTTTTTGATCTCATGGAGAGTGTAAGAAGAAAGGGTTGTATACCGGCAGTTTTTCTCGCAGGAATCTTCTGGCGAAGCATTTCGTCGATTTCTTCCAGAGATCGCCCTTTCAGCTCCGGGTAATAGAAGAAGGCCCATATTACACCTACCATGCCAATGGCACCGTAGACAAAGCCAACTTTGGCATGAAGGTTACCATGGCCAGCATTGATGAGGTATGGCACAGTGAAGGTTGAAACGAAATTAGTAAGATTCTGGACGCTCCATCCCATCATCGCCGTTTTTTCTCGCAAGGACAACGATGGGATTTCGGCTGGGGTTAGAGCAGCACTAGATTATACAACCTGTTAACAAAACCCACAAAAGGGCCGGAGAGTCTTCACTGACAGTTGCGCAAAAGAGCTGAGGTAGAAAATCCCCCAGATGGGAAATAATGTCGCGATCGCCAACTTTTGGTTTGCTGAGGGGTCTTGCTTCACACCGAGTCCACCGATTACCAGCATAATAAGGGCGCATAGAGGTGCGCTTGTCTGCCAGAAGCGACGCCGTCCGACGCGGTCAACCAGCACGAGGAATAGGGCTGCACCGACAAGGGCAGCCAAAGTACTGAACATGGTAACTAGGAACGGATTCACACCGAGTGTCTTGAAAAAGATGGTCCCATAGTTGTTCACGAAGGATTGTCCAGTGGCCTGGCCGAAAAAATTGGTGATCATCGCAATTGCGGTACGGCCCTGTTAGTCCAAAGATGTCAGTTCTCATTAGATGCTCCCAGATTCAGTTATAGATCGATAACGAACGGTATTGGAACCCCGGAAAAGGTCCAGCCAACCTCCTCCCTCGGTGTCGAGAGTCAGTGATTCTTTGAGCAGTACTAGCTCCATTTCCACATCGACCCCGTCGCCATCGTGCAAGTATCGCAGATTCTGCAGGGCCTTTTCATCTTTCCCCACCCTGACTAGCCAGCGCGGCGATTCGGGGATCAGGAATGTGAGACACAGGCAGACGGGCGGGATTGAGAACAAGACCGCCAGCGGCGTACGCCAGGAGGTGTCCCCCGCCCAGTGTGCAGTTTTGTAACCAACACAACTAATGAGGAAAGAGCCAAGTAGACGACCAAGTAGATAGCAGGAGACAACCGCACCGCGCACCTTTGCTGGGACGATTTCGGCTTGGAAAAGAGGGACCAACCAGCTTTCCATGCCGACATAGGCATTGACCAGTAGGCGTCCAACAAAGATTTGTACAAAACTCTGGGCTGTGTATGAGGTGATGATGCCGATGAGGCAAACCACATTCATTGCGACGAAGACTGTTCGTCGACCGAACCTTTCGCCGATTAGAGTGGCAATCAGGAGACCGACTGCATACGCGATCAGAGGAAATGAGTTCAACATCGCGAGATGGAATGTATCCAGGGCGCAGACGCCTTTCGCATTACATTTCCCAAACCTGCGATCAAAGGCTAAACACGTCAACTTATCAGCACTGAGAGTTTATCAGGCCTCTAGGGGATCCTTACCGTCCATCGCCTGGATAGAGTTATAAACCGACAGATCAAACCCATTGCTCAGCACGGACAAGGCCAATACCATGATGGCCAAGCCCAATGGCAATGTAAAGTGACGCACGAAAGGCAACGCCGCCAAGCGTTGCCACCACGCAGTAGAACGAAACTTCATCTTGAGCGGACGCATTTTTCCCCTTGGACCGAGAGGCCCTTCTGCGAGATTGGCGAGTTAATGTACCTCCTGGGAAGTCTTTCACATAATGCTCTTTAAGAGGGGGTATCCGGGGGGGATACGAGAGCAACGCGGTTAGCGAGTCTAGGATTCGACTAGGCTTTCCCTAAGCTGTATGTACTTCCCCACGAACTTCGTTTCATTGGTTAGATCTGATTTAGGTTCGGGTGCCCACCATCGCGAATGACAAGCCCAAATGACGCCAGAATCCATCGATTGCGTGGCGGGTGGACCCGTAGAGGAAAGGTGCCGAAGCGGGCCCAGCTTGGGCCGAAGACGGAGAGGGGAAAGCTAAGGGGAGATAAAGTTCAAATAGGGCTGGGGAACGGCCTCTATTAACAAAGAGTCGATAGAACCTCCCCTGCCGCGGCACCAAGCATTTCCCAATCAAAACCGCATTATGGCCGCTAAGCGTCCGAATTTCCTTGTCATTGTCGCCGATGACCTGGGCTTCAGCGATACCGGGCCCTATGGCTCGGAGATTGAAACGCCCAACCTCGATCGCTTAGCTACAGGGGGGCTGCGTATGACGGATTTTCATACAGCCTCCGCCTGTTCGCCGACCCGCGCCATGTTGATGTCGGGGACGGACAACCATATCGCGGGACTTGGTCAGATGGCCGAATTCATGGCGAGCAATCCCGGGCGTTTTAAAGGGCGCCCGGGCTACGAAGGCTTTCTCAACTTTCGCGTGGCTGCCCTACCAGAGATTCTGCAAGATACGGGATACTTCACCGTCATGTCGGGCAAGTGGCACTTGGGTATGAAAGCCGAGATGTCCCCATCTGCCCGTGGGTTCACGCGAAGCGCCGTTCTACTGCCCGGGGCCGGCAACCACTACAACTACGAGCCCCAGCTGGAGCCCTCAGTCAAGCGCGCGCCAGCGTTCTTCAACAGTGACGGGCTCTGGATGGAAGACTCCCGGCCCTTGGATCGCAGGACAGAATTACCTGAGCAATTCTATTCGAGCGACTATTTCACGGATCGCATGCTCGGGTTTTTGAAAGATCACAGGTCCAGCGAGACAGAACAGCCATTCTTTGCCTACCTCGCATACACCGCGCCTCACTGGCCTCTACAAGCACCACCAGAAGTCACTGCGAAGTACCGTGGGGTATATGATGAGGGACCAGAGAGTCTACGCCTCAAACGTCTCTCTCGCCTGCAACAATTGGGACTTGTGCCGAATGACATCGTACCGGCTCCAATGACCGCCGCAACGGCGGAGTGGGACGCAATGACCGAGGACGAGCGGAAGGCTTCTGCTCGGAAGATGGAGGTGTATGCGGCCATGGTCGATCGCATGGATTGGAATATTGGACGGGTCTTGGACCATCTAGAAAACACGGGGGAGTTGGACAACACCTTCGTCGTTTTCATGTCCGACAACGGTGCAGAAGGAAGCCTTATCGAGGCCCTTCCCATGATTGGTAGCTTAAACATCATGGATGTGATCGGCCGCTTCTATGATAATTCGCTGGACAACATCGGCAACGCAAATTCCTTCGTTTGGTATGGCCCGCGCTGGGCCCTGGCTGCCACCGCTCCCAGCCGTGGCTTCAAGGGATGGAGTACCGAAGGCGGCATCCGCTGCCCATGCATCGTGCGCTATCCCGGAATAACGAGAACGAACCCTATCAGCCATGACTTTTGTAATGTCATGGATATCGCGCCCACTTGCCTGGAATTAGCCGGTGTTGCCCATCCCGGCCAATCATTTAGAGGACGTGAAGTAGTCCCCTTCCGAGGCAAGTCGTGGGTCCCATTCATGAGAAGCCACACGCAATCAATATACGATGCCACCCTGGACGTGACGGGCTGGGAGCTGTTTGGCCTTCGAGCGATCCGGCGGGGCGACTTCAAAGCAGTCTGGTTACCGGAGCCTCGCGGGAAGGGGGAATGGGAGCTGTACAATGTTACTAAGGACCCTGGCGAGCTGGAGGATCTGGCAGCCACTCATACAAAGGAGCTAGAAGATCTGATGGTCGAGTGGGAAAAGTATTTCGCCGAGACCGGCATGATTGAGATTAGTGAGAATGGAAAGGGCTTGAATGGGATATAGACTGCTGGCTAAATTATGAGGAGTAGTTTAGCAAATAATTTTTTAGACCGCCATTTGGATAGCTTCGCATCGCTCTGTGAATCTCATTTCCTGAACTAATATCTGCCACTATTGAGAAGCGTGCTAAAGATGCTATCTTTCCGATTACTCAGAACGGTAGGACTATCAATCTCTACTACCTGTCCCCGATCTAGACCGATAATCAGATCATAACTCAAAAGAGTGTGGACACGATGTGCAACTGTAAGGACTGTACATGTACAAAAGGGATCCTGTTGCAGAAGGTCTTGCACACGAGCGTCAGTTTGTATATCGACGCTGCTGGTGCCTTCGTCAATCAACAAGATCCTAGCGTTGCTTGCTTGTATTTTCAGCATTGCACGAGCAAGTTGGAGCAGTTGTTGCTCGCCCCGAGATAACGATAGAGTGTCGTTTATCTCGGCATCTAGCCCGCCTCTTTCGAGTAGCACACCATCCCAGATCCCAACTCGGTCGAGGGCCGCGATGATGTCTACATCGGAGAGAGATTCAGTGGGATCTAAATTGAATCTGACTGTACAACCAACCATGACAAACGATGTTTGGGAGATGGTGACCAGACTTTCGCGGACTCTGTCAGGGGAGAGAGTAGCGAGGTCAAGGTCGTCAATGATAATTGAACCGCGGGTCACGGTGAGCATGCCTAGTAACGTCGACAGTAAAGAGCTCTTTCCACTAATTTATTGCCCGGTGAAAAGTTAGCCGGGACTAGTAATCCTAACGCCAGATAGGATTATTAAGACGATTATACTTACCTCCCAGTACGTCCGTAGATACCAATCTTCTGACCTGGCAAACATTTCAGAGAGACATTCCTTAGTACTGCTGCTTCAGAACTTTTTGTGGTTTGTTAGTAATGCGAAAAGAATGTTGGTGATGGCATACATATCCTGTGAAATACCTACTTGTATTGGGCAGTCATGTCCGAGATCGTAATAGCTCCCTGACTCGGCCAGTCGATGGGAACTTCTCCCTGCTCCGTTGAAATTTCACGTGGCACTGTAAGTTCAAAATCTTTAACGCGAAGAATTGAGCCAAGCGATGTTTCCAACTGCGCCCAACCCGATATGAGAGATGAAAGGTTACCATTGAAGGCTTCGTGAAGATAAGTCAGCTGCGTAAGTATATACTGGTCGCAAGGTTCAAGGGGCAGTGTCATCAAAGAACATACCAAGAATGCTGTTCACAGATACTCCAAGCAATCCGACACTCGTTGTATGTCTCAAAGACACTGCTAAGCTGATGACAATGATTGCTTCAGCGGCGACGATGAGGTCCAGGACTAAGGTGAGCCAGCGCTGAATGCAATTCAGCATATAATACGTGCGCTGGGTAGCATCCAGCAATTTTGAATTAGCGACTCGAAAATCTGCCTCCCAGCCAAATGCCTGGATTGTGGCAAGACCCTCAACAGTGTCAAGAAGATGGGAGTACAACGGACTTCTGCTTTCCAGGTCCAGTAAACGAAGTTGCCGCGATGTTTTCAGATAGAAATGCTGTAAGAGAAAGAGGGAGATAATCAGAAAAGGGACAGATATTGCCATGTACGTCGAGCCGGTTGCAATCAATGCAGCATTGGCAATTGACGAAAAGAGATCTGGATCCGTCAGCACCACGATCGTTAAATGGCGAGCGATAGTGGTTATGAAATCTTTCCAGAGGTTGAGCAGAATGGTAGGGGTCTTACTTGACACCGTGATTAAGATGCCAATAGGCAAGTCGCTTTCTATCAGGGTCATATCTTGGCTAAATCGGTTTAGTAGTGACCCGATGTCAACGGTGCCTAGAAATTGAGGCGTTGCCCTTCAGATGTCAGCAGTTGATCGAGACGCGAGAGAAAAGAACTGCATGTACATCATGATGGTCTCTAGTACGACATGATGGAGCCGGCGGGCTGTCGAGGGCGAGATCAGAATGAGTGTAGCCCTATCTTTCTGTTAGATGTAAAATAATAAATCTTGTCGGACAGAATGTATCACCAAACATAACCACCATTCCCGACGGTATTGCAGATGGCGAGGAGGAAATACACCGTGACATAAAGTGCCTTTTGGCCTCCACCACGATCGGCCCATCGCTCAAGCCAAATTTCTAGTAGAAAATTGATGTCAGCGGTATCGGAGATGCCACAAGTAAGAATCCACTTACGACTGTATGTACTAGAGAAGACATTCACTGTCACGAAGAAAACAAATATCACAGCGTTCGTCCACCCAACGTAGCGCAGATAGTAGGTATAGATAGCAGAGTCCCCTGTTGCCCTCCTGAGATCATCGATTTCATTCGCCTCGGAGATCATGGTGGCTTTATCCTCTATCCCCAGCGCCGGCAATCCTTTCGATCCTCCATCTTCTGCGGGGTCAGACCCATTTCCTTGGTAAATATTGCCATCGCAGGGTTCTTTTTGATGTAGACATCCATCCGAAAGTACATAAATCCGATCCGCATAAGACAATTCTTCCACTTTTAGGGTGTTAGCTCACAATAGGCTGACAAAGGAATCTTGAAAGGGATCCTACTCTCATGTGTCACCAAAATCACTGTCGAATTCTCTCTTCTTAGCAGTCCATCAACTCCCAAGAGACGCGCTGTGATAGTAGTCCTAGTTTTGCGGTCCAGTGCACTGAATACATCATCTAACAGCAAAATCTTCCTGCGAGCGTATACCGCTCTAGCAAGAGCGATCCGATGCATTTGACCACCACTCAGCAGATGGCCAGATCCGTGTCCAATTCGCGTAGCATCTCCATCGCGAAGAATATCCAGGTCTGAATTGAGAGCACATGCGTGAAGAACAGCCGCGTACCACTGTCTATCAAATGTGTCCTCTCTCACTGGAGCTACGGAGAAAGCTCCACAGATTGCATCGCGGATGGTACCACTTGGAACCCACGGTGTTTGTGCGCAGAATGCAGGTTGTCGAATAGTCACTGTCATGGATCCTGTCTCACAGACTGCTTGGCCAAGTATAGCGCGAAGCAGGGTTGATTTGCCTGACCCAACTGGCCCTTGGATTATGACTATCGCTCCGCCGGGGATTTCTAAATTAACATCTCTCAACATAATCTTTGCTGATGGGGATGGGCGAATGGTGACGCGTTCCAGGGAGATGACAGGTGTTTGAAGGTCAGTAATGTTCGGTGAGCCTTTGGAAGTCAGGAAATGCATTTCGGTGGTACGTGGGGATGCATCAGATTCCGCTTCCATCGCGCCAAAAAAGCTCTCATCTGTGCCTTGAGGACGGATTGACAACAGAAGAAATGCCTGAACTCTATCAAAACATCCCGTACCAGCCGCTATAGAAGGAATCGCGCTTAACAGCTTAGAAGCTGGGTTAGTTAAAAGAGCTATGATGGACAGACTGCTGAATGCCTTAGTAACATTCAGTTCCTTTCCTTGAGCAGCGTAGACAGCGAAGGTCAAAGCTGGTGCTAAGGCCGAAGGCAGATTCTGAATCATATTCTTCCAGACCGTACTCCGTCGGAAATTGGCCATTTGGTGAGTTTCTTGGGCTCTTTTCCTCTGTACAAGCCGAATAAAGGTTTGAGTTAACCCGGTTTCCTTGACTGTTTGGATATGCTCCAGCATTGAACGGGTGATCGCTATGCGTTGCTGCACAGCATCTACCCACACCTTCTGGTGCCCTCCAATATGCTTCGAGATATAAATACTTCCTCCACCAGATACTAGTATCACAATTCAGCAAATTGTCGCCGTATTTCAATTTAGACGGGATCCTTACCAAGAACGATCACTAGTGGCACCAGGCAAACCCACCCTAAACGAAGAGCAAGTAGCGCAATACCAATACCCACCTCAATTGTTCGCGCCCAGGATTCGTTCAAAATGATTAGACAATTGATGATCTGGTCAATGTCGGTAGTCATTAAAGTAATTGTGGCAGACCGATCTTCTAGGATACCATCGGGGATGTGTAAGGCATGGTCGTAAATCATCAACGAGGCTGCCCCTCGAAACATTGTCACAAAGCGATACAACATGTGGTTGTATATGAGGTTTGAGAGGGCCATTCCCAAATATATTAGAATTGTGGCGCCGATGAGACCATAGCCGTCGTTGCTCGCACCAGGAGACTTATCAAGCCAGTTGAGGATAGATGTGATCAAGAAGGGCTGTGAGAAGGTAAACCCGGTCAAGCATAAGCGTAGAAGTACTGTGAGAGTAAATGGAACCTTGAAAGCTCGGCCCATTTGCCATGGAAATTCGAAGCGGCGCTCGGGACGCCGGCGTAGGGCCCAAGCTCTAAGTGCCCTCCGCGCCGTTCCCACGGACTCTAGGGGCTTGTCGAGATGATCAAGGTTTTTAGTAGCAAGCAAAGATCGAAAACCAGTCAAAAACAGACGGTTCAGCCACCACATGAACGAACGATTGACAATTCCACTTGTTGACTCTGGTGGTAGATCTTGATAGGAACCAATGAGGTGTTTCTGCTTTCCCAAGCTCTCGAAAAGCACCATCACTGTTTTCGCTGCGACACTTGCCGTAAAAAGACTAGGAACCAAGGAGTTCTTGTTGGATAACCACAAAGTTCTCGTTTGTACAACATCGAAAAGTAATGTGAAGAGAAGGTAGATGGCGAGAAGTGATGACGGTCTAACCGACCGCTCATCTTCCACCCACGACAAGATCACAGTTTCCATTGCCACTGCTAAGTTTATTGAGCTCAATGCCACGGAAAGCTTTGTATACGGCTGGATCTTCTGTGCCCAGCTGATGAGAAGGGCAAGTTGGAGCGCGGCAAAAACCAAGGCAGTTATCTGAGAGGACGTTACCTTATGTTTAACTATATGGGTAGAAATGTGAAAGTACTTACCAGCTTCGCCAATCTCATTAAATGAGGCTGTGTTCGCACATCTCTCTTAACGAGGATTTGCAATCGAACTGGACATACGAGTAGGAATGCGACCGCAGGAACGAGGCCAAATATGGCTTGTTCGAACAATAGCGTGAAATCAAAGCCATCTCGGCACCCGCGATCTATTACCGGGCCGAAACGGTTGTCAGCCTGGAGTGAGCACCCTGATGGCATGATGTAGTGGTGCAGTCATGCACTCCTTTTCCACCCTTGCTTTTCGTTTGACGAGATGGAGGTAAAGGGGTAAAAGGTACCTGTTAGCTCCGTAAGCTAATCACAGTGACATTCTCCTATCTACAAACCCCTCACCGCCACTACCGCCTACTAGATTCGACTAGCTATAAAGGACATTTATATTCTACACGACCTGTTTTGGTACGAAGCATCTTGAGCACAGATCAGAGACTATGTTTCATTGCTTTGAAGCAAGCATTGAGCTCCAAGGGCAATATACACCATATTTGGATGCAAAAAACTAGATGCGGACTCGTCTATCAATATTACAATGGGTTTTTGATAGGCAGAATATTATATAATCAAGGGGGTGGCGGGGCAAACCATATGGAGCGTCACGATAGTCAGCTGCAGTCGCTACGGGCATCTTTCTACACTCTCCCCGGTGCGACAACTATGAGAACTCAGCCACGCCGCTGCAGAGTTCGGGCCAATGAAGGCCCTCGGGATCACTCCTGAAACAATCTGGTGGGCCTTGGGAATCACTTAACGTCATGGGCTGTGTCAGCTGGATTTGGTTGATAACTGTGCAGATCATGTGGGCCTGCGGGTCTAGATCTTCCCCGCGCCTTGCTCTACACAAAGGAGATTTCCTTCAACTTCTGAACAGTCGAGTTCCAAGTCCAAAATTAATTAAACCCAACCTACGCCGACGAATGCCCCCTTCTCGTGTCTGTGCCTTTTATTGTGATTGAGACCAGGTTGGGTAATAGGTCATGTCTGACTATGCAGTAAGCACCGATGATCCGCAAGCAACAAGCCACTTCCGGAGAGATCCAGCCTCGGGACTTGGCGGGTTTCTAGTCTCCCACCACATGGATTGAGTGGTAGAGGCTTGGCATGAACTAGCCCTGGTGGTGGGATGGCCTTGGCATAGATTTCCCCCTTCAAATCCTTGATAAGGATCTTGTCACCCCGGTCCTAGCTCCATCTCTCTTGTCGAATCAAAACCACATTTCCTCACCAATGAGGCGCTGCACTTGGCATATCGCCGATCTACCCTGGCATTAGTAGTCCTCATGGCTTGCCGCCAAGGTTAGGACAATGAAACCACAGAATCGAGTCCCTTGGCCTCTCAGATGCTGCTGATACCACGCCGATTGCGGACACACCGCCAAGGCCGCCAAGTGCAATCATAGACGTTGCTCTTCCATACCCAATTTACGGGCCCGGGCTGAAGATGCATTAATCTTGACTCAGCTTTCGGGAGACTGGTCTGACAACAGTATTGATAATCTTGAACCTTCGGCTCGGAGGATGTAGGTTCAAAGAATGAGGAATGCAGTTCTTGTATGTTTATATTCTCCTCCGGGTGCTGCCCCTGCTTCGTATGACATGTACCAAAACAGAACATGCATACCAAGGAAGACCGGTGACGAGACCCAAAATACCAAGACAGCGACGGAAACTACCCGAAGGTAGATCCCTGCTGGCGTCATCATGTGGAGTTTCATCCTCGCCGTTGCTACCCAAGACTCAGCTTATAAGCATAGCCGGCATCCACGATTTGACCCAGACTCGTTCTTTGCCCCAGTCTCTATCATAGACTACTCAAGATGCGTAGTCCCAGGGGATCAATTCCGTCCACAACAACAGAAAACAGCCCTGATAATAAAATTAGGGGCCCGGAATGTGCACAATACGAGACAGCTCAACAGATCCGCGCAGGACACTCGGTCCCTATTTCTTTACGTTCTGCAGTGCCCAATACCGATGTATCATCTGATGGGACGGGAACGTATACTAGCGAAAAGCCGTCCTTTCCGTTCCAGCTATCCCAGTATTTTCTCACGGAGCTGGATCCTAGACGTGCAGATGTCATCCTCATTCTGTGTGGTTTCGTTGGCGGCCTAGTGGACGGTCTGTCTTTCAATGCGTGGGGAAGCTTCTCGAGTATGCAAACAGGTATGTCAGCCCCGCCCATGGATATAACGCTTCCTAAGCTAACCAGGAGACAGGAAACACCGTTTTCATTGCGCTGGGTGTGTCCGGTCAACCTGAGTATCCAGCCTTCCTGTGGGCAAAGTCCCTCATCGCCTTAAGCGTCTTCCTCTCGAGCAACGTCTTCTTCATCCACCTTGGCCGCGCACTAAAAACACTACGACGGTCCACACTGATTCTTTCATTCGGACTACAGACCGCTGCTCTTATCGTTTCAGCAAGCGTGGTCCAGGCCGGGATCGTTAGCCCCAAACCAGAAGACCCCCGGGCACCTATCCACTGGAATCAAATCATACCAATAACGCTTCTTGCATTTCAGGCAGCGGGCCAGATCGTTGCATCACGCCTTTTGGCTTTTGACGAGATTCCGACCGTTGTTCTCACGACCCTTCTCTGTGATCTATTAGTCGATACTAATCTCTATACACGGCCGTGGTCGGCGAACCCTAAGAGAAACAGGCGAATCGCCGCTTTCTTGGCGCTGTTTTTAGGCGCCATGACGGCAGGTGGTCTTTCCAAGACCACATCGATGGCAAGTGGTTTGTGGCTTGCGGTTGCTTTGAAGGGCTCTATCACCCTGTCGTGGTTTGTTTGGAGAGATACCTCTGGTGCTGTAACGCCGAAACAAAGCTCTGAGGAAAGCCCGGTCTAGCGTTTTCCTGATTGCTCGCATCTTCATGGGGTTCCTCTGCTTGGCTTTTGCGTTCTTACTTTGATTTCAAAGTTTTGCGATCGGGACCTTGTTCCATGCCATGGCGTGTTCTGGTATCCAGCAAGACTTATCACTCTCCTACCCCGCGGACTTTGGGAGTTGTAGATAGATCATGTCAGAGCAATAGATGACAGTATAGACTGAGGATGTTACTTATAGTGCATTTTGGTCTAGCGGCTATATTGCCCGAAATTGTGCGACAGTCATCCCTGGTCCTACCAATGAGTAATGTCCCACCTTACCAGGTATACCTTGATTAGGGAGCCATCTCACTTATACATCTTCCCCCACGGTTCTCTCAAATCTCTTAGGCGGCGAGCTACCGAGCCCGGGTGACACTTCTTATATACCTATCCTAACACTTCCGGTTGCCGCTCGCGCGCTCGCTTAGATTAAGAGAAGTGCAATGAACCTGGCACGGTATATAGCGCTTCTCATCTAGTCGCGCTTGTATAGTGCAGCGGGCGCTTCAGGAGGTTGTGATCTTTGGCGCAGTCAACCCACGCTGACTCGCGTTCGTTAAGACTGCTTAGATAAAGCCCTAGTCGGATTGCCCCAGTTCTGAGTATATTAGAACTGACTTTGTTGCTTTCCGTACATGTACTAGTATTCTCGTGTCTTTTTATCGATACTCCGATTAAGCATTTCATTAGTCAGCTAGTTGTTTCCGTCATCTACGCCTGCTTCCACTCGATCTTCGCTTTACTGCAAATCCGGCGCTTAACTGGGGCTATGAGAGGCATTTACCGATTATAAGGAGTTTGTAGTTCATCAAGTTCCCCGGGAGGCTTTTTACGTGTCAATGCACGATCTCATTCCCGACGACCCCTTGATGGGTGGGAGTCCCTCCACGGTTGGTCAGAATGCCCTTTTCCCGAGTTAGCGGATAAGGTCTAGGTATCTTGCAATAGACCTGGCCAAATGGCATTCGCAGTTGGCGGGGCGCCTTTAGTGCCGCTTGGCTGTCTATAAAGCGACTAGCCGGCTTCCCGCCCATGGGGCCCACCGTTCCCTGCCTTCAAGAACTAGTACAAGTGCTATCATAGTGTACACAGTGCGTCCGACGTCTCTTCATCGCCTATGTAGCTATAGGCCTATTGATCCTCAAGTGTATCGATCACAAAAAGTATTTTGCACAGGTTGTCGACTTATCAAGAGGCACTCAGTATTGGCGATAGGGCTACCTGAGATATCCTCACACATCTGGGAGGGCAGTTGGGTATTTTAGTCGCTATCATAGCATTTCGGCATCGACGTAAGCCGCGACCGCGTTTCCCCCGATATTTCCGTAGCCAAGAAATTTTGCAGGCACATGGACACTCAAATGACAGTTTTGTTTGATGCATCCGAACTTAAAGGGGGCTGATGACATAAAGAATTTGTGGCGATAGGCGGTTGGGGGTTTGAGAAATTCATAGTGGTTGATGAGCGAAGCGAGCAAAACTGTGATAGATAGGGTCGATTCTCTGAGAAGGAACGGAAAAGACGGAGTATCTAAGTCAAGCAAGCTTGGAACCCCCAAGAATGGTGGGAATTCCATTGACACTACGATGCAACCGCTAAATTCATCCTTGGATTTCTGATATACTACAATCCAACCAAATTTATTGGGTAGGGCCGGTCTCAGCTTCCTCGGGAATGGTTGCAAATTTGTGAAGGACTTGCTTCAGCACGGGTCGTCGAATCGGTTTACTGAACTGATCAGCATGTTGGAGTGTTGCAGATCAGGATCTGAGTGACCTACCTCATGAACATATCCATTCCGCAATCCATGCAGTCTTTTATGTTGCTTTCTTCCGCAAAGGCGCTCAATGCCACAATCGGCGCAGAGTATCCCATTTCCCGAATGAGCCGAGTGCTTTGAAGCCCGTCAAGATTCGGCATCTGCAAGGATCAGCGACATCCATCTAGGAGCATTCACGTAATAAGGATCACTACCTGTATATCCATGAAGATAAGATCAAACACCTTGCCCGTTTCCATATTGGATTTCACTGTATCGAACGCTTCTTGCCCGTCCTTGACCATTGTCACATCATAGACTTCTTCGAGGGCCAGCATACTTGCGCAAGTCAACATATAGATTGTGAAATCCAGATTCGTTACATACCGTCTCACAACTTCTTGGTTGACAGTATTATCCTCCGCCACCAAGACACGTTTCTTCTTCAAACCTTCATCCTTTTCAATTGTGCTGTGGTTTGAATGAGAATTCCTTGATGGAGATGATGGGGTGGATGATGGGACAGTTGGCGTGAAAAAGGGCTGACTGAGGCCAACTAGTCGTGGTTGAATATCAGATTTCTCGAATCCTGGAGCAAGAGGCTCATTTCTTGGAGAGCCGTGAGTTGAAGGTGCTCGTGCAGTATTGGAAAAGTCTTCTAGAGAGAGCACACTGGGAGTCCGTGACCCAGGAGTGCTGGAATTGTGGGTACTTGGGGCGAACTCCTTCACAAACTTGAGCGGAATTCTCAAGGTAAAGGTGGATCCTCGCCCCTCCTCACTGTCTAGGAGAATCACCCCGCCCAATATTCGGGACAGTTGAGCGCAGATACTCAATCCGAGTCCCGTTCCTCCATACTTGCGGTTCAATCCCAAGTCCCCTTGAACAAATGGGTCGAATACGCGTCTATGAAGCTGTGCAGGAATGCCCGGCCCATTATCCTCTACTTCGAATAGGAATATCAACAGAGGACTAGCCTCTGCGGACAGCTGCTCCTCGTCCAGGGTCTCAACAAGAGCGCCGACCTTTTCTGAGGAGTTTCTTCGTATCGAGGAGACTTCGGATCGAAAGCGGGCACTTCCTCTGAAACTTCCCTTGCGAAACTCGGCGTCTTCGGGGGGTGATGCCTCACCCACGCACCGAATACGAACCTCAACCCTTCCATTTTCGGGCGTGAATTTGAGGCTATTGCTGACTAGGTTGATCAGGACTTGAAGGATTCGATGCTGGTCACCCCAGAGGACCATATCCATAAGCTTCGTCGTTTGCGCTGTATCAAAGCTCAACCGAGATTTCACATGGCTTTTGTCGTGACACCCATTCGGTTTGCGGGTCTGAATCTCTTCGCCCGAAAAGCAATCAACACTGAAGCTGATTCCTTTTTCATGAACCTGATTTTGAAAGATAGTGATCAGTTGAGATCGGATATCGGAAATTCTGAATTCCTTCTCTTCAAGTTGGATCGCCTGCTCGATTTGATTTTTGCTGAACGTCAATAGGTCATTCAATAAATGTAGAAGAAGGTCGCCAGATTGATAGACCACCCGGAGCGACTTCTTGATTCGAGACAGGTCTTCCTCTCCCATGCACACCGCACACATTCCCAAGATACCATTCAGCGGCGTCTTCAACTCGTGAGATATGTTAGCAATGAACAAGGTCTTGCTCTCATTTGCTGTTTCGGCAGCCATTTTGGCCTTTTCGAGCTCCCGAGTTCGCTCTACAACTCGTTCTTCCAGACGATTATACTGAATGGTCAATTCGTCTGACATTTCGTTGAAAGTCTTTGTAAGCTCTGTGAGTTCGTCACTCACGCAGCTTCTTCGTTCTTTTACTCGTGCAGGGATCTGGAATATTTCATGATCGCTGCGGTCAATAACGTGCCCAGGGCTGTTGAATCTTTCCAAGGGCCGTCGAACATGTTTCACCCAGAAATTAGGAAGACTTTTCTCATCCCTCTGCTCCCCAATTGTATTTCCATCGGAAATGTTTCCTCTCTGCGCTTGTCGAGAATATGACGGGCGGGGAATCTGATGCACGACCGATTTCTGGGCAGCCTCTCGCAGCCTTCGAATTGGTGCCACGGCCCAATGCGTGAGCAGTGGCACGAAAAGGATGATTGCTCCAGCCGTGCCCAAGACACAGGCAAGGATAATTTTCCGTAGTTGAACCACTGGACTGAATGCCTCCGCATGAGTCTCCTCGACAATTAAAATCCACTGTGCCAGAGTTGTTTGGGGACGTATTGCGGCCACTGCGACTCTTGTTCCTTCCTCGTTCTTGGTAGACAAATGGCTGATCGATTTGTTCTCATTGCGATATGGTTCAAGCATGATCTCCAAGGCTGTCTGGTATCTCGAAAGCGGAAAAGAGGTGTCGGTTGTGACGCTACTATGCCGACTCTCTTGGCCTGGGAGTGGAGTAGGCTCGAAAACATAATGAACCCGCGCATCGGCTAACGCTGCAGTGTCAGGTGCCGAGGTAGCGGTTGCAGGTTGGGCATTTGACGCAAATGTGTTCTCCGGTCTGGATGGTCCCAGAAGAAGCACCTGCCCTGTGTTTCCTAGTCCATCACGAGAGGCAACAACATCTTGTACGTTTGCGGCGCTAGCAACAACACTTTCAATCAAGTAAGCATAAACGCAAGATCATGTCCACTGGACCTAAAAAGCGTAACTCACGTCATGAAACCCAGAATCTCGGTGCTCGACGTATTGTTGGCAATTGGCACTGTTAAGGAAACCAGCGAGAATGAGTCGTTGATTCGGAGTGGACCCAGCATCAAGGATGTGGACTGTCCGAGCGAATAGCCGGGAAAGGCTTGTGCAATAAACGAATCGTTGTCATCTGAAGAGCGCGTATATGTCAAGTTAGGATATAGCATCGATGGATAGACATCCGATCCCAGTTTGACTGAGCTTCCATTTGCGTAGCCATATGGAAGTGTTATATCTGGGATACTGTCACTCGTGATATTAAGCAATCGTGATACTCCGCCATCTCCACTTCTTGAGTAAAGAGTAGCCTGGTAAAGGCTAAGATAGCCTCTGCTTCCAAGCGCCGACTGCACATCCAATATCGAGTTATTCCAGTTCGCCGAAGATTCATTGCCAGCATAATACCGCTTGAGAGCGGACTGTATCAATAATCGCGTGGAGATCGTCTTGCAGGTAACTTCAAGCAGGTCCAGATTAGACGCAATTTGACTGGCCTTTATGGTCGCGACGAGCTGGAGGCCTTGAGATCTGTGTCATGGTCAGGAACTACAAATTGATCACACACAATAGTCCACGCGGGGACGTAGTAATTAACTTACCCAACATCAACGACAAAATCGTACGTGGTTATCCACTGGGGTTAGATCTGTCAGCGTGCCGATTCCCCAAGTTGCCTGCCCCAACCTCAAAGCAGAACGTACTGTTGCAACCGCGAGGGCAGCGATGCCTGAAAGAGTCGTGATCAGTACCAGCAGCGCAAGCTGCACGGCGATAGGAATACGCATCCGACCGTCGCAATTTCACCTCCGATCGCGGTCGCGGTTTATCGTTAACACCAAGACCAACTTCGCGTTACACCAATCACTGTGAACGAAAAGTTATGTATTATGGGGAGAGCATGAAGCATGCCTGCATCTGATAGACGCTGCTCAGCATTCCTGTAGACTCAAGAGAGCAAGAATAAAAACTCCGGGTGTCGTTCCTTGCTTCCTTGGGAACAGCTGTCTCTTAAGGGTGGGCGCTAATAGGTTGCGGATGGGGAGGGGGAGGTCGATCGGGTCTAGACTGGACGAAATTAACCGGACAGCGGGCAGACGAAATCCCGAAGTGAGGTTTTCGATTTTTGTGGGGGGAGAGCTGAATGGAATTGTGTACTACGCCTCATTCTGTCTAATACGACGCGCCTGGTCACTCGGCGGGTAAAAGTTGCCGACCACTCGGCCCATGAAAACGGGGAGTGATGGGTCCAGGGGTCTCCGCTCCGTAATTCGTTTTGGATCATAACTTGATTTTATCAGCCTGTGTTTTACCTGTTTTTACCTTTTCCTTCTTTCTACCTGTCTTTTCCAATCAGGGAGTAAGTCTCCCCGAGTCCCACCGGGGTCTTCCATGTTAAGTCTGATTGCCACCTTCCCCTACCAAACACATGACTTAGCAAGCCTCGAATGCGGTTTGCTTGCCTCAAAACCAACCCCCTTCGGCCCACCTCTCAACTAGATACATTTTCCGAAGTCCTCCGTTCTTCATGCATGTTCTTTTCATTAATTTGTCGAAGTACTCGAAAGCGTATAAACCCGAGCGCGGCGGCTACGCTTGTTTGTATTAACAATGGCTCCTCCACAGCCGCCCCCTTGATTTGAACCCAGTATGATCAACAACTGATCCCATGGGCCCAGTACTAGCCTATATGGATAGCCCTAGATGCAACACATTCTATGATAGGGGCACCCTTGGTCTGAACCGTAATAAGATTTATCCTCTTTCCAGCCGCCTATGTTAAAGAAGTAACAACCGTGTCGCGACCGAGTGTTGTTTAGAGTTGATCGTCTTACAAACACGCATCGCACGTACCAGATCTAATCACTTACAATCAACTTATATAGTAGCTAGCATTGTCAAGATTATGCAGGAAATCACAGCACTTTTGTAAACAACATATCCAAATAGGCAGATCAAGTGCAGAAAATAGGGGCAGTGTATAGGGGTCATTGAAACTGTCCCAGGTCGCGCTTATGGTCAAATATCGGCCTGTCCATTATTCGCAATACACTGCCTTCTGAGGGGGCCGAGCCCCCCCCCCACTTCGTACCCGTGACACGGTCCTCCATGTCAGTTGGTGATATAGCCTTCTTGAGATCTGAAGGGATATAAAGGACGATAGAAACACATATAAATTTAAATAATCGGTCTGATTTTCAAACAAGGCGGGGGCTACTTGAGCCAATTATTGATCAGACGTTTAGTCCAGATTGATCCTCTCTCATCCTCGGCGACCTAACCTCTTTCATTTAAATCCGATGTTTAAATCCGATAGAGACTCATTAGATCCGCCGAAGGATTCCGCTCGTTCTCCCAACATAAATTATAAATTCGAACCGCACCGCGCTCGCATTTACCAACCCATTTCTCTCTACGGATATACAATTCCCCTTAGAGTCCCAGATTCGGAGAGACTGCAACCTTGTGTTACTGTGAAAAATCACTTCTGAGGGCCAACAAAAAGCTGTGCCCTTTCACAATCTTCCGATATTCCTGCCACGAGACTGGGTGTGAGCCAGTGCCGCTATGTGTGTTATTTATTCTCCTTATGATTCGACAATTATACTCACCCTGCTGTAGCAATAATTCCAGAATGGCCCTGCAATTCACTAGATACCTTGCTCGAGAGAAGGGCGCTTTCTTGGTGGCCACGATTGCCGAAAAGCCTACCTTCATTGAACCGCGAGAGGTGATGATACGTTTGAGATCTATCGCCATAAATCCTGCAGATTACAAAATGATAGATGAGGGTCATCGAGTGACCTCTTGGCCTTTTGTTCCAGGCCTGGACGGGGCCGGAGTTGTTGAGCAAGTGGGAGAAGGGGTGCTCGATTTTGCTGCTGGAGATCGAGTTCTGGCCCTTTTTACCCCAGGTGACCGCTCGGGATCATATCAGGAATATGCCGTGGTACAGGAAAAAGATGTGGCTAAGATTCCAGCACGATGGTCGTTTGAAGATGCATCTACCCTAGGGTTTGTCGTTTCCACTCCTCTTAATTTCCTTTTTTTTTTTCAAGTTTCCACATCGTTTTGCATCATACACATACATCTTGCCTTGCTTGATCGTGTTCTATGCTGACGTGGAGGCTTTCGTTTAGTGTCTGTTATCTCACAGGGCTCATGGCTCTCGGCATTGGTTTACAAACTCCTCTTCCATTCCTTAAAGGTGGCCCAACTTCAGGGCTGCAGCCTCTCTCCGTGCTTATCCTCGGTGGCAGCTCTGCGGTTGGTGCAGCTACGATTCAGCTGCTTCGTCTTGCGGTCCCCGAATGTAAAATTATCGTGACCAGTTCGCCAAAGCATCATGCTCATATCAAGGATTATCTTGGGGCTGATGAGGTAATCGATAGAGATTCCGCTTCTTTATCCTTGGATGCAAAGTTGGCCACCCCAGGCTCGGGTGGTGTCGACGCTATCATTGATGCCGTTGGCGCTGGTAGCATGCAAAGAGATATCTTTGAAGCCCTTGACCCTGGTGGACCTAGGATGTATGCACAGGTATGGACGGGACGGAAGCAAATTGATGCGCCAGATGGTGTGAATTCGATTCTGTTCAGAGGTCGAGATCTTCATCGGCTGTCTGGAAATCAGAATATAATGAAATCCTTGGAGCAGTTATTGGTACAAGGAAAATACAAACTACCACTGCCTGTGCACAAAGTGGGGCATGGATTTACTGCCCTCGAGAGGGGCCTCGAGCTAATGCGCCGTGGTGTGAGCGGAGAGAAATTGGTTGTTTCTATCTAGCTTTCTTTATTGTCTTGAGATATATCTTAATTCTGTGCTTTAACACAGTCGTTCAAAATTCAAATTCTAAGTTATTATCTAGGTCCCAAGATTTGGGTTTGTGGCGTCTTTTCGCTTCATCACTTCTCTTCACGGGCGAATCACTTCAAATAGCCAGTGCGGGCAGGTGGGGACGAGTTCATGTTTTTCGTATTTATTTTTGATAATCTCACGTAAGACAAGATCGGCGATGGAACTCGTCCAGGGCAGGGCAGGGCCAGCGCACAGGCCCCAAAATACCCCCTAATAACAATCCCAAATTGATTAGCCATCTTGCGAACCCCAGGACCACATTCTAGGGTCAAGAAGAAATGTTGAATCTCCCCATGGGTTTACTCAGATCTCCGCTTTTTAATTTACCCATCTTCGCCTTTCTTGATCTTGTCCACGCGAGAACGGACTTTCCAACCCCTCTAAGTGATGTGCACCCACAGCTCAAGTCTGATAATGGTGTCACATTTGACCCGCTGGGCGTCGCGGCAATTCTCTATAATCAGCGAGCTGACCGGAGTGCAGCGAGACTATATACTCAGTATGATCGGAATCTTTTTATCTGGCCGCATATGACTATGGTTGGGGGCACACTGCCGCCAATGCAGATGCTGGTTGAACGCCTCACGGCTCCTTTCAAGTGGATCCACCCCGCGATCAAAATGTGTGCGAAGGACACAACGATGCTTCCTATTCGGTCCGATATTTCCGGCAATGTTTTCCGGCAGCTACCTTACAATTTGAGCAATGTCTGGCTGAGCGATGTCGTCTCATTTGAGCCTTCGGAGCACCCTGGTAATGATTTTGCTATTGTGTATGTGGATACAGTCCACAAAACGCCAAAATCCACCGACGAGGGTCGTGAAAGCGAAAGTCATGAAGATGAGTTCATTATCTACTCACAAATTGGGAACGTCCGGTGGCAGGCTGGAAAATGGACATTAAATCTTCTCTCTTTCATCAATGGGGCAATGGTCTTAACCGGGATGGTGTTTGGGATCCTGTTAGCAGATCTGTGGGCATTCACCCTCTTTCTCTTGTACAGCTGTCACTGGGGTGCATCGGTAGCGATCTCTCTGACTACCATGGTCACGGTTCACACTCCTCGTCGGATTGACCCTAACCCCAACGATCGCTTTGCTGTTTATGAGCGTGAAGAAGGCGGCACAGTGATCTTCAAAGGACCACAGAAAATACTTGAAACCTGGGCACGTTCGACATGGGAGTATAATCCTACCTGGAGCAAAGACTGTCTACACTGGCTTTGGATTCTCACGGGGACGATGTCTGGAATTGCCTCTGTTGCATGTATGGTGAATATGCATGGCAGACTGCAGCTTGGGTTTCTGGGCGTGTTGGTATATTCTTCAGTGGCTGAAATTGGGGCCACTAGGATTGCACGTATTCTTCAAACCAACGCCCGTGGTCCGATTCACAAGGCCTATGTTCGTGGAAACTCAACTCGATCGTTGGCCATCATTCGGGCAACTCTCGAAACTACAGCTCGTTGTCGATTAACCGGCCTGGACTGGATTTCAATGGGGTTACTCCCAGATATGTTGGTCTTCCGGGAGATGCAAGCTCTTCTGGAAGATATCAACCGGATACAGGGGATTGATCAAGAGAATTTGCAAGAGTTGAGAGATGACGATCGCTCGGCCATTAAAGCACGATGTTCATTATTTCTTGATCGTATCACCGCAAACGACCCCGCGCGAGAAACACTGGCCCTCAGGATACGGAATGAAGTTTACGAGACCTTAAGACTGAGTGAAAACTATCGGCTGGAGCACAAAGATTGAAAAAAGAGTCAGTTCGACTAGGGGATTCTGTGAAGTCTGCGGTGTGGTCTCCTTTGCTCCATTCTATTATGTATGACTTTTACCTGGATTTCTCAATGTATATGCCTATTTGTTAATGTCCAGAAGGCCGGGTATCAACGATCCACACAGTCGCGAAAGTAACAGGAAGTGCTGTAGTCCGGAGCATAAACTCTCAGCCAGACTCGTGTACGTGGCCCAAAAGCGGGTGCCTGAGGAAATGGTCCAAAATCACGAATTACATCAGCTTGTGGGGGCGGCGCGCTGGATGTCACCCCTTAAGGCGCCAAGGCCACCAAGTCAACAATGCTGCTTTGTTCACAGCCCACTTTGAGCTGACGATCTCGCCGACCAAAAGCTCCCGCACTCCATACTGTCAGGCATGGCTCCCCCCGTTCGGACCGATCGATGAAGTCACCTTTCCCGGCGGAAGCGGGCCCAACCCCTGCGAAACTCTGTGCCTCATACGACTTGGGCGGAGGGGTACGTCTTGCCGACTCGTTTGCAATTTACTCGATTGTCGCGTTGCCGCCGGACTGGACCAATCTCAAGATCGACCCAGAAACACTTGCAGAGCTGGAGAGGGTTGCCTTGGTCGTTGCAAATAAGCTCCCCATTCTGACCACTCTACGCGACAGTCTGGTTCCAGATCTCAGTGCGCTGCCGCGTCCGCCTCGGCCACGATCCCAGAATAATGGTCATACCCACCCCTGCGATCACCTTCCCTGGTTCTTGATAAACGCTGCAAGGTACTCCCAACACTGTGTGCTTGGACACAATGATTGCTTGGAATCACTTCTCATGGTTTCTCAGCGACCATGGTGCATTCTCGAGCTATGTTGTTGTGAGACTTCAACAGTAGCCGCAGTGCATGAACTTGTGATGGTGGCCACGAAGCTTGATTATGCGACATATAGCCCTGCTCTCAGACTTCTAGCACATGAAGTGTCACAGAGGCAAGACCGTCGCCGGGGAGATCTGGGGTCCTGTGATTTCACAGGTGCATTACGGCAAGGCATCTCGGATACCGCTTGGGAGGATGCCTTCATTATGTACAAAGAGTTGTCCAAAAGCTGTCTCCGATCACATAACTCGTTCTGGATAGGCCTGATTTCCACATGTGCCGTCTACCTTGGCCTAGCATTCTCGGATTTAGTTCAGGTACTGGGCGATTTGTTCAACAGTCCTCTAACCGTGACCCCTGAAGTGTCAAGCGCTATCAAGCCGAAGTTTGACACGAGGCCACCACGTTCAAGTGCCTTGATTGACCCATCAACTCACGTGGCGCGCCGCACAGAGAAGCTCATACGCCTAAGAAGGAACAGCATCGATGTCATCCCTCATCCCAAATCATACTGGCACATCGGGAACAATCCAACTTTTCTTGGTCAAAATTTCAGTGCTGATGTACCTCCTGTACGAGATTTGCTCAATCTTTACGGCGAAATTTTGAGAGGTTTCAGAGAAAACCTTTGAGCATCTTCCATCATTAAGAGACACTGACAAGTTCGGCGTCCATGACTGCAGCATAGAATGGCATTTACCGGGGCAACAGACAGACAGGGGCAACAGACAGACAGCAGGAAGAATAAGCGTACAATCAATCAAGTCCTCATATGCTTTTTCCTGTGGTGCGTATTGTTTCGAAATCTCTGCTTACGGATGAGCATCCGTGCATTATATTAGCTAGTCCTCCTTTTTCACTAACGTTGGACAAGGTTTACTCCGCGTGGGTGGATGTCTAATAGATATCCCCGCATTGCCCATCCTCACAATGGTAATAGATTCCCTCTATTACACCGAATCGCCGATTCTTGGGCTATAATAGCAGTTTTGTGCTTTCCAAACAGTAGTCCTCATGGCAAAATGCCTTCGAACGGCCAGGGGGTTTCCACGACGAGCGTATATTGAACATCTATATCTCTATGCGGATATTGCTGAGATACAGCTGATATACTAGTCAATTCTGTTCTACACGTATAGAAACCACTGCAATACAGACAAATTAGCTCCCTACAAGGGAGCGCGGATGGGCCCTATCTAACGCTACGGCCTATGACCGCAGTGACAGGTGATCGGTTACTGCCGAGCTGTTCTCTGCCTGTCTCTCTTGACTGCGCGAGGTCGCCAATAAAATCAAAGTTACTGACCAAGGAAATGACACCCATCGTTATCTAGCCCCAACACATGTTGAAGACATGTTCGGTCCGACAAATGAAAGAGAAAAGAGGCTTGATAAACTCTCATGGTCATGCTCAACCACTGCGGTTTTACCCCTGGTCCAAACACCAGGAAAAGGAAGGTAGTAATTCATAAAGCCTATATTAATTGTTAGTTCCAAATGGTATGTGATCTAAGCGCTTTCCCCCATTGCTTTCCGTCATTTGTCAATGTTTCTCTCGACTGCCATTGGATCCCTGGTTTTGGTTTTTATAGCATGTTGAAACAGAGAAATGATAACATTACTTAGCCAGACTAGGAACAACCATCTATTGCAATTGAATGTAAAACGAGGAGCCAATTGGAGTGTAGAAGAGTTGATGAGAGTGATCCTACACGGGGGTCAGATAGTCCAAGCTATTGGCGGCCACTAGAAATTAACATTTCCGACGTAAATGCCCCAGGGCCTGTATTTGAGATCTGAATTTGTTCAAAATATTTGTGAATACTCTAAACCACTTTAAATGCACAGGTCGCGCACTGGAAATGGGAACAAATAGGACATCTATCTGGAGCAAGATTGGGATTGGTGGGCGAGCGACATTGACACTAAACTTGGCTTAGTAAAGTCTACATTATAATCTAGGATTTTCGACAGAACTTACACATTCCCACCACCCAGATGCTCCTGCAGTTACTGCCTGATACCCTGGCCATGGGTCTGTCAAATTATTCTCCATCTGCTGGTCTGCCTGATCTTCATCTCGGACGTTGTGTACAATATTTTGGTTCGCGTCGGGCGCTGGGTGGCTTTCATTCTTCAAGACACTGCGTGAGTATATAGCAAATGTCAGATGTAAGGACCACCTACTACTTCGGCTTCAACATGATCCTCATCTAGTGAAGAAATTGATTCTTCCTCTTCATTGTCTAACGTCGGACCATTCCAGACTTCAAATAGACTTCGTGGCAAGGCAAAGAGAGAAAGATTCTCTAAATGGCTTGCAAGGTGTCGATCAAAGACAGAACCTCCAGTGACCTTCTTCTGGCATAACAGACAGCAGGTATCTGCATTGGGTGGGAGATCGAATGAGGATGGGTGGTGGGATTTCAGATGCTCCACCCATTGATGCCTCCTTTCGTAAAGCCGATCATGTGTCTCACAAACTGGATATATGCAGACATAGGGCATTAAGTCGCTGAATACATGGCGCATCCAGGATTGTCTGTGACTGATTCGTACAATATGATAGCATAACTCGCATTCAAATGGCTTACCAGCCATGGCATTTTCTGGCAGGTTTAGGTGAGCAATCTCTTGATCACCGTCCATTGTTAAGTTCCCATATGATGTAATTGATTGATCTGATTCTGATTGCGCACCCCAAGAATACAGCGCTGGGACTTCTAACTTAGTTGCCATGGTCTCTGGGGGAGCTGTGGACTTATTGTCTTCCCTCTCATCCCCATATCCCAGCTTTTGGCGATGCATTTCGCGGAAATAGCAACTCCAAGTCGATCCAAGATACGAGGATCCGCATGAGGATATTTGGCATACACATGCTGCCGATCATTGAATTCAAAGTCGGGGTAATCGGACTTCTGGATTTGCCGCAAGCGGTCATGCGCAGATGGTTTTCGAATGATTATTGACATTTCATAGAGTCGTGTAATGGTATGAAGCAGATCAGAGTAGATCAGTTGGACTTCTTCCACAGGATCGACGTCAAGTTCATTGGCTGAAAGTCCTGTGTCGGATCTTTCCTCTGTGATATCTTGCAAGTCCATAAGTAAACGATGGAGCCGACGAAGCTGTCTCGTTATTTGACTTCTGATGTGGGATGCATCTCGTAACCGATACTCCAAGGATGACTGGCAGGTTTGATGAGCACCTATATTCGATAACCAAACCCGAAACCGTCCGAGTTCATCTTTCCACTGTGAAAATGTGACTGTGGACTCAAATCGTTGCAAATTCCTGGACTCTAAGATGGTTTGAAATAGGTCTCGGCATATCCCGACTTGTGATGATATTGTCTTCTGGACATCCATATTTTATACCCACCATAGAGTTACTGAAGAAATCAGGTATCCAGCATGGAACCTGACGATTAGAAGATAGAACTACCCCGCCCGTATCAGCTGCTATCTTTTGAGGCTCTGGTTGGGCGGGGTTGCAAGGCGGGGTTAGTGAGTTGGGCTAGCAGAAACTACAACAAGCCTCAGTCATATAACTGCCATCCTAGCTATTCCAACACCTGTCTCGATAAACAACAAGCAGCATGGTTACAGGGATTGAAGTCACTGGGCTGGTCCTAGCCATGCTTCCTCTCATTATAAACCAGCTGGATAACTACGTTCAGGGAGTGGAAACGATTAAGTCCTTTCGAACGAAAAGGTATCGGCGATATCTGGATGAACAGGCAGCGATTCTTGGTGGACAACATGCAATCTTGATCAATTGTTTGGAAACAATACTGGAAGATATTGTCCCCGAGGATCACATCTCGAGACTGCTGGCAAATCCACATGATCCGTTGTGGGCGGATGCGAATCTCCAAAGACATCTACAGCAAAGGCTAGGCAGGGGCTACACACCATTTTGTCACATCATGAGCCAAGTGTCTCACGCATTGGTAGAACTTGCAACCAAACTGGGGCTTTCGCTTGATACCACGGTAAGTATCTTTAATCATAATACTCAGTTGTTTGATGTTTTGGCCGGCATAAAGCTGCTTGATAAGTTCCCTTAAACATATAGGGCTGACAAGACTTGTCTAGTCTACTCAAGAACAGTCTATCGTTACCCTTCGTGGGCTTCATAAGATCAGAGATATTCTTTCAAAAAGTATATACAAACAGTTATTTGACAATTTGAACAATCTGAACAACATTATCAGAACACTCGTCGATCAATCTGTCATCCGAAGTACGCGGCACAGACTTAAGGCCAGGTCGAAAGAATCAACGAGAAGATACAAAGAAATCCGACAAACGACAGCTAGCCTTTACGAGAACTTAATGAACAGGACTTATTGGCAGTGTTCATGCTTTGATACACATTCTATTCATTTTGTTCTCGATAAAGATATTAACGTTTGCGAGCGATTGGAACCGGCCCGGCTTCGTTTGGTTTTGACGACGACTCCAACCACCACCACGATTTCAAAATGGCATGAAATAGAAGCAACAACAGCGCGGGCTCATTCTACAGCTGTCGCTTTACCTCCGCCTATTATAGCACGATCACGGAGTTTACGCTTTGCTTCATCGCCAGTCCATTCCACCGCCTATGTGAACCCTGGCACATCCAGCAATAGTCATTGCACCGAAATCTCAAATATGTGTCATGCAATTTACGGCTGCATTATTCCCAACGGTCATGGAATACCAATTGGTCATCTCTCTGATGGGAAATTTACACACGATTTCCAGGTTTTGCGGGCGGATGCTAGAAACTTGGAATTACACTCACTTGAAGAGTTGCTTCTAGCATCGCTGTCAGCCTCTGGAAACTTTCGCGCACCTCTGGTATTTCCTAAAAGGGAACGCCACTTCCTGGCAGCGAAGCTCGCCAGTACTGTTCTTGAATGCCACGGAAATTGGCTCCCGTCACGCTGGTCATCGCGCGACATCATCTTTACAGAACATGTTACCTCCACCAATCTCGAAAGGACGATTCGGACACCCGTCCTAGCCCGAAGAATATCTGGCCCCAAAGAATTTGAAGGCTACCCGCTCTCCTGGACAGGCTGCAATGATCTTCTTTTTCCTTTGGGGTTAGCTTTAATTGAGCTTTCTCTTTGCCGAACAATCACCTACCTTCACACCCCTAGTGACGAGGGCCAAGATGAGATTTCCACGCTCTTTGAAAAGGCCAGAAATTGGATATATGATGTTTCCTGCGAATGTGGACCAAATTACGGGGATGTTGTTCAGCATTGCCTATTTTGGACGAAAACGCGTGAAGTAGACATGGAGAGTGAGGAATTTCAGGCCGCGGTATTTCAATATATCATCAAGCCTCTCGTTGAAGATTTCAACCATTTCAATGACCTATGAGACTCGGTTGTTGTTTCCCCTATTCTCGTTTACTTCGTGGGATAGCTCTTGGATTATAGATATTTAGTTATTCGTTATAGTACGAAAAAGAAAATTTGCCTCCCTCTTAGGCTCCAACTTCATTCTATATGATTACATAACTAGGGGTAATGGAATAATGGATTTATTGAAGCTTCAGCTGCGTTATTGCAACATATACGGGTATGCCACTCGGGTACAACTAGCCAGGGGAAATCTTCGCAAAGGACCACAATTTGTCATGGGCTACTTGATGAATGAAAAAGCTACCCTCGAGACTCGAGCGATCTAGCCGCACATGCAGCCACACATTCCTTCGCACCTGGTTGAATTTCACTCAAGATGGAAATTTCAATGCAGAAGGGGATTTTGGGATGTCCCAAGGATGGGGGAATGAGTAGCCAATTAATTTCGCCGCAGGAGCGGGTCTACACATTCCCATGTGAACCACCTGACCACCAGTCTAGACCCGGAGAACACTTGGCTTGAAAAGAGATTTTTAGTTGTTCAAAGTCTATGCAAGCAGTTCCAGCTAAAAATACATCCAGGCGGGTGGACCGCACAACGAACTGACTAAATACCCAGGCCCAAGACGCCGCCGATCGTGCAAGATTTATGCTCCATGACAAATGTGGCTCAACAGGAAGAGAACAAAATGCCAGCGTTAAAAGAAATAAGGAAGGAAAATTCGAAGCCAGATGATTGCCTCCGCGCTTTATGCGTTCTCGGCATGGTCCATCTCCTGCTCCTTTCTCTCGGACGAGCTCTCATCCGTATTCCACTCCCCATGCTGGGGGAACTCGAAACTGCTGCTCTTCCAGGGAGAAACCTTGTTGACATACATATAGTCCAGCTCCTCAAGGGTACGCCCCTTACCCTCAATGACGAAGAAGTAGACGACCAGAATCGCAACAAACAGGCAACCGGCGAAGACGTAACCGTAGGCGAAGTCGATAGCGCCGGTGATGAAAGGGGTGAAGAAGGAGATGACGAAGTTCCAGCCCCAGTTGGAGGCAGTCGCCAGAGCCATACCCTTCGCACGGTACTTGGAAGGGAAGAGCTCGGCCACAATGGCCCAGACCATGGGGCCCCAGGTCATCGCAAAGGCAGCAATGAAGAAACAGGTAACCACAATCATGCCTTTTCCGATATTAGGTGTGTTCTCGGGGTGGTCGACGTCCAGCTTGAAGTGGCCAAGGGAGGCGAAAATCAAGAACATCACCAACATCCACGCAGCGCCAACCATGAGAGACTTGCGACGTCCATAGTTCTCCACTATATACAGACCACCGAATGTAGTGGCGAAGTTGACGGCACCCAGGATAACCTGGGTAACGAAGCTGTCCGAAATGCCAGCACCCTGGAAGATGGTCGTACCCTAGTAATATTACCGCATCAGCCTCTTATACATTTCGATACGGGATGTGGAACGGAAACTCACGTAGTAAAAGAAGTAGTTGGCGCCAGTGAGCTGCTGGAGGCTCTGCAGGGCCATGCCCAGGGCAATACGGTAGAGCATGCGAGGCGCGGTAAGGAAATCACGCCACGTCTGGTCTTGTGACTCGGCCTCGAACTGCTCGCGAATCTCATCCATCTCTTGGAGGATGCGAACGTGGTTCTCAGGAACGCCATACAGCTTCGCCAAGGTGCTCTGAGCACTCTCGACCTTACCCTGGCGGAACTCGTAACGCGGGCTTTCCGGGAACAAGGCCATGCCGCCACCGAGAACCAGGGCAAAAATGAACGTCAGACCCAGCGTGATGCGCCACTGGGCGGTCCCATGGAGATTGTGAGTACCCAGGTTGATGAGGTAGGCCAGTAAGATACCCAGGGTGACGAAGAGCTGATAGCAAGAGATCATGGCACCACGGATGTGACGCGGGGCACTCTCACCCTGGTACATGGGCACCAGCAGGGAGCAGGCACCGACACCCAGACCAGTGACCCAACGACCCATCATCATCTGCCACCAGTGTCGGTCGGGGGAGGTGATTTGAACCACCAGACCCACCATCAGGATGAGACACCAGAATGAGATGGACCACTTGCGGCCGATATGGTCGGCGAGGGGAGCACCCACCAGGGCACCGATGAGGGTACCGATCGAGAGCAGACCGACGATCAGGCCGGATCGAACATGACTAAAGTGGTACTCGCCGTGGCTGTTGTGCTGACCAAAGCGGTGCAAGTAGTTGTTCATCTCCAGGAAACCGGAGATCTGACCGGTATCGTAACCGAAGAGAAGGCCACCCATCGAGACGAAGAGGGCCATTACCAAGGCGCGCATCGTGATGCGCGGGATCGGGGTATCCACGCCCGCTGGCCGCATGGGCTTCTGCATAGGGCTATTTGGAGAGGAGGTCTCTGGACTCGAGTTCTGTGCGGGGGTGATCGACTCCCCATGGTGGGAAGTAGATTCAAGACCCATGATGGATGTTGGTCTTCCTGGGGTGAATGCGTCTTCAGGTGCAACAGATCCCTGTATATAGGATGGGCCGGAGGTGTTGATATGATGATCCACACGGCCTGGTCAGGAAAAACCCCGAATGTTCCGACCAAAAAAAGAAAAAAGGTCAGAGAAGAAGAAAAGCCCGTGGGGAAACAGAAAGGAGGGAGCGCCAGGCTGGAGGAAAACCCGGGGCTTTTGTACTGCTGCAGGGACAGGAGAAAACGAGCAAGACGCCGGCTCGCCCACAATTCGTTTGCCCTGGGGAAGGCAGTGGAGAGACAATGTGGAGAGCAACGCAGGTGACCTGCCCCAAGCCGAGTGCCGGGAATCACACAATAACGATGACCACGCAACCACAACCGTCGCACAGCCCTGGGATCTCCACCGGCGTCAGGGGAGTGCCAGTCAGAGCCGGTTCCAACAGGAGATCGGCGATGGTGCGCCATACAGAAGCCACCAGATTCGGCGGACAGCCGAGAGGCCAAGTACGGCACGGCAAAACTCGGCGTCCGCCCAGGCCGGGCCGACGTTCTTCGCTCGGGATCGGCTCTGTTGGCGATCGGGACCGCTCATGTCGTCGTCAGTTCGTCCGATCTCTTGCCTCGAGGGCCATTGAATCCTCAAATCCTCGAATCCTCGTGAGGGGGGATCTCAGTTTGAGCCATCCGTTGGCCGGTTGTCAACCGGCATCGCCGGGCAAGCTTCGGGTCCATGTTCCCGCTTGGGAAACTCTGGAGAAAGAGGAAGCCGTGCAGTGGGCCGTGTGGTAGCGAGGAGTACATCCGGGCCTTCCGAACCCCAGGATGCTGACACTCCGGATTTTTCGAGAAGGCCATACTCAATGTGCGTCTCGGTGAAGCACACCTCCGGGGATTCGCCCCTCCTCTCCAGTCTCCAGTCTCCAGATTTTCCCTCCGACGAAAGTTGCCAGAATTTCTGAGGGGAAGAAAGTGCGGAGTCGGCCCAACGACGGTTTTCACCTGTCTGGTGACACGCAGGGTCTTCCGGCTGTCATCCTAGCATTCGGCCCTGGTGGAGTCTGGAGGATCTAGTCTCTCGCGGCCTGGTGCGATGAGTCAAGATCCGACACCAGAGGGGCCCAGTCTCCGGCCTTTCTGCCATAATCTCTTTCCTGGGCCGATGCTCACGATAATTGCAAACTCAATTTTTCCATCATGCGGCGTCATTTAGGCTGATGCTTGCACCCCGACCATCAGTGGCGGCGCCACACCCGCGACGCGGTTCCTGGTACAGTTCCTGCAGAGCCTGCAGACTCTGCAAAATCTGCAGAATCTGCGACAAAGTAAAATTAAATTGCAGAATCTGCAGCAAACTAAAATTAATCGCGATCTCCTTGCCTCGGTCGTCCCGTCTAAGCCGTTGAATAATAACAACCCCAAAATAATCATCAGGCCCCGTGACCACGCGGACGAGCAATCAACACGAGAGACTCGCGATCCCCACTCTCAGCAAAAACAGACTATTACAAAAACAGACTATTATTATTATTATTATTATCATTTTTATTGTTTTTCTTTCACTGAAAGGAGAGAAAGGGAGAAAAAAAAAAAAAAAAAAAACCAACAGAAAAGGCGGGAGGGAGCGACGCGAGTCCTGACTGGAGAATCCCATCACTTTCGCTGCGTCAGGGCGGAGTACTCCGTAGTGCCTGGCCCAACGCCGTCAGAGTTTGCACAGATTGTCTTTTCCTCTGCGCGTGGTTCATCGGATGAAGGATGATGCGATGAATTCTTAATACGTAAGGCTTAAGTAAGGCTCCGGGCCCTCCAGTGAACCGCCTTCTTTTCGGGTCCACCCACCAAGGCGTCGGTTGGAAGATGCCGGCCTGACCACGCCAGATCGCTTGGCTAGTTCTCGGAATGGACGGCTCAATGCAAAATACTGTAGAGCGACAGCCTAGGCCGGCAGATAGTTAGCACAAGCTCGGGCCAAACGGTTTCTAGCCGACGCCTGAAGTCGCATGAAACGAAAACAAGGTTTGGGGGCCACGTTACTCGGGGTGATGTCAATGCTTATCCATCGCGTGGCACACCACGCATTCTCTGTACTCATGCTCTATGTTATAGTGTATTATCTAGCCCCTGCGCTTCTCGAAGCATCTTCCACAATCCCCATAGCCCCATGGTCGTTTGACATTGTTGGACGGAAAAAAGGAAATTAGCTTTTTCGTAAAGCACGGAGTAAGCCAATTCGGACCCAAGAGCTTTCTACAGTTTGCTAGGAACTTCGGGAAAATGGCCTGTTATACATGGAGATATTACCACCTCATATATCGATTTCCCTATTGTGCAACTATCGATAATGCCTCTTTTCCGAAGGTGCTTTCAGGTACTTGGAAGGGTTTGTGGAAGATAATAGCCCTCGGGTTAGACTGGTCATCAGTGGCTGGGATGGGTGTCTTATGAATCAAGATAGCTTCTTGGAAGACCTTTACTGCGTCGAGGGGAGATGGTGGACTCTCTGTGTCCTATTCCAAAGTGTCAATCTGTTCTACTCGATAGATATCGAGACCCTTCGGGGCGTTGGGGTGGGACCGGTAGGCCCAGAACATCTAGACGAAATCATAGCTGAATTCAACAACAAGATTGCAGAATTCGGTGATGCGAAATTAGCCATAGGGAGAGCGCCGGCTACCCTCAAGGTGATGCACTAGGGTAGCAATCGGAACAGGATGGAGAAAAGGCTTTCAGTGCGTATTCAGACTACATCATGGTGGTTTACTAATAGATTCCTCTGCCCTAGTTCGTTCCCAGTATCCCTGCAGGACGTTACCAGTGCCCACCATGTTATCAATGCTTCCATACGCATAGTTTCTACGGACCACACTGGACAGCAAAGCCCCCTGATCCACGTCCACCATGCATCCGAAATACCCAATTCCTTGATTACCTTTACCAAGGCCGCATGCAGAAAAGATATGAAGGGTTAGAGACCCCTACGATCCTATAGGAGGTCGTAGATCAAGTACCATATGACTTGCGACCGTTCCAATGCCAGGATTGTGACCATCGGTCCTTATATGATAAAGCCTGGAGCCATCATCGACGGATCAATCATGCCAAATCAGTGCATGACACACCAATAATATACTCGCAACTGCTTTTCTATTGCAATTATTGTCATCATATCTATACTGTGGATCCAGAAAGCCACCAGAAAGCAAAGCATCCAGACAGGGAGTCGAGCTTTACAAAAAGGCTAATTTCCTTTTTTCCATCTAACGTGTCAGTTATCTTTATTGACCGAGTAAAGACAGTCCCTATAAATATCGGGTGACGGCCAATCGCGATCATCGAAAAGTGGATAAGGAGAGTACTAGATCACGCGCCTCGGATTATTCAACAGTTTGGAAGAGGAAGGAGCCCCTCGTTCCCCAATTCCTTTGTAAACTATGTCTAAGATTCCCGCACCCGCCCCCCAGCATTACCAGAATTTCCACCACGGGCCCCGCACCCTCTCCGGCAACTCTGCATCGATGATCTCCTGCAACCCAGTGTGCATATCGACCTCCTCCGGGCGCCAGGCCCATGGGTCACTCCAATATAGAAGTCGGTGGCCAAAGTACAGTATCAGGAAAGCTGGGATGCCAATATACGCGGTGAAGAAGTTGCTCACCGACCACTCGGATGGGAAAAAGACCGTAAAGCCGTTGATCAGCATCATGAGGGTCGAGCCCGCCAGTCCAAATATCGCTCCGTACGGTTGCAGCCGGGATTTGTATGGCTGTTCGATGCCCTGCGCCGCGATAGCCTTGCGGAAGCGGAAGAACACGACGCAGCAGCAGATCCACGAGATGAAACCAGAGGTATTGGTGAAGTTGACGAACCAGTTGAATACGATGGAACTGGAGTTGCCAACGGACAGGTAGGCTAGGGCAGAGAAGCAAGCTGATACGGCCACCGCGTAGTAGGGGACGCCCCATCGGTTGCAAGCCTTGAAGATGCTGGGCGCGTTGCCCGACATGGCCAGCGAGTACAATGATCGTGACGACATGTAGAGGAAGGAGTTGCCCGCCGACCAGGCCGAGGTTAACACCGCAGCATTGACGATGTGGTCTAGGACTGGGATGCCGGCATTCTTAATTCCCACCACGAAGGGGGATGACTTGACGCTCCCGTCGCCCTCGGTCAGTTGCGACGCATCGGAAGGGCAAATCACGCCTATAGCCAAAACACCGAGGATGTAGAAGAAAACCAGCCGGTAGATGTACCGCCGAGCGGCGCGAGGCACGTTGCGGCGCGGCGACTCCATCTCTCCGCCACTGATGATGATCAATTCGGGGGCAAAAATGAAAGCAATGGCACTGGACACGGTGCATTTCAACAGGCCCACAAAGCGCCCGGTGTCACCAGAAACAATATATTCATTGAAGGCGCGGGGGTGTTTCCAATAGTGAAAGCCAAGCAGTTGGCGATTAGGCCCGCCACCCCAGAAGAGAATGAAAGAGACCATGAGTAGGCCGACCAAGGTGATGATCTTGATGCCTGAGAACCAGAACTCGGATTCACCGTAGAAGCGCACGGGGAGGAAGTTGAGGGCGATAATCACCACCATCATGATGGTGATCCACACGGCGATGTTGACCGTTCCATTGGTATCCCAATATTGAATCACTAGGCCCGCTGCAGTGACCTCATATGGCACCAAAATGCCTAATGAGTACCAATAGAGATATCCCATGGAAAATCCCATGCTGCGGGACACGTAGCGAAATCCATGGTAGCTCATCGTACCACCGTGCACGGGGAGGTACGCTCCAATCTCGGCGATGGCGGTGACCAGCCCATAGACCATGGCCGAGATGAAGATATAGCCCATGAGCAGGGAGGCAGGACCGCCGGTCGCGAGTGACTGGCCGGATGAAACAAACAGACCTGTTGTCATGAGCCGGTTAGCAGCTTACTCGGTTCCAAACTGCACACTATTCAACTCACCCGTCCCGATTGTGCCCCCCAGGGCCATCAACTGGACATGGCGATTTTTCAGACCACGTTGGGTCGTCGCATAGCGATCATCCAGCAAGTTGATCTCCACCAAGGTACGGACGGCACGACCCTTCTCAGTCATGGAGGCCTGGTCATCGCCATCGCCTACCCGTGGAGCTGCTGGTTCAATTGTGGCCATGTCCCGCAATGCGCGACCGTGCAAAGGGAAGGGGAAGGTGACGGTGAAGGCAGAGCTGGAGATAACCTGCGAGCTCTCGCAAGGACCAGCGGAACTGCGGGCATTCTTAAAGGGCGTCAGTCAGGAAGGGTAAGGCCCCCTCCATCCCGGGTCTTTTCGCACTGTCCATTCTGTAGCCAAATCAGCCTGCGTCCAGCATGCGACACAGATGGGAGCTCGCTTGGGTTGGAGCAATGAGGCTGGGCGCCCCTAGGGTCCGTGAGATAAGAAGGCCGATCGCGGAGCCAAGCCCGGCGAAGCGAGGCAAGTCCGGGGTAGCATCGCGAGGGCTGATACCCGGCCGGGTCAGGGTCGTTGGAAAACATCTATGGTCTATGAGCTACGGACTCTTTCTTCTTTGTATCTCTTAAGCCCTAGTGCACTTATTTGTGAGGTGCACTACTGTACCCAACGGACCTACGGCTTATGCTCTGGGGCTAATTCCTCCGCGAAAGACTCGCCCAGTCGGCCTCGGTCAAAATCAGAACAAGCCCATTAGGGTCCTATCTTCTCCTGGGCACTCTGTGATCCGTCGGCTTGCATATGATCAGCGCACAGCGCCCGGCACAGATAAAGCCAGCCACACCGGCAGCTCGCCGGTAGACCGGAATAGCATCACGGTCAGGGCAAAACCGACATGCTCAACGACACAAACACCGCATGCGACAGCTGCAGCACTGGAACCGGCCCGGTCTAGCGCAACGTACCATGCCTAGAATGTTAGCGTGCGCGGAGTAGCCGAGGAGGCAAATCGCCATCGAGAGCGTCTCCCAAATCGCGACAAACGGACCGGCGTTGCAAGCGAGACGACGGAGGGAACTATATTGCGAGGGTGATAGTGAGCACTAGGTGAAAACGGTGAATAGCGGATAGCGGTAGGCCAATGATGGGGCCGTGCCAATATTGGCGTCAGCCCCGGGAAGGCCAAGCTAGACTAGGAAAGGTATAGATGTGTTATAGTGGCGTCGACACCACGGCACCGAATCACGGAGGACTTGTACTGAGCACAGAAGTGGGAGTCACAAGCCTGTTCCTATCATATACTAGCGGGTTAAAGGTTCAATGGCATTATGGCAGTTGACAAACCAGGATTGTCTGGGAGACAAATGATAATAATGCACAAGATTGGAGAAGACTAGCACTTGCACATTCATTGACCGAAATACACCCAATACTGTGCCCAGGAATGCCCCTACGAAGAATACTGAGCCCGAAACAAACCCATTACCTACGAGTCTCGGTGCAACACCATCTTGATAATTGCACGAACTCCCACGCCGAGAAGAGGCCATCCCAGAAACGCCGGTTGAGGCTCAAGAGCTTAACGAGCTCAACAGATTGAGTTCCGGCTCAATGCAGCAGACTCCCCACGATGGTGCTGGCAGCAGCCACAGGCTCGGGGACAATGCAGGTATCGGATTTTCCAGAATGATTTCGAAGAATTCGCAAGGACCGTTCGACATCCACCGTGGCGTAGTTCTCAAACTCCGAGGAGGAGATCGGGATATAATATATAGTGTCCTTATGCTCTTTATTATGGTGTACTAACCAGCCCCTGCGGTTTTTGAGCCATCTCCCACAATCCCCACTACCTCATGGGCGTTTGGGATTATGAGGCGGAGAGAAGAAAATTAGCTTTTTCGTAAAGCTACTAATTGCCCTGTCCGGTGTCTTGTTCTTCAATGCAATTCTAGGCCTAGAGAGCCGATATAATGACAATGGTTTGCAATAAAAAAATAGTTCCGATTACATCGTTGGTGTGTTATGAACCGACCTAGGATTTGGCCGCCGTTACGGTGTGACTCCGTCATCATCATCTAGTTTAGGTGCGAGATGCAGCTAGTGCCTAGTTAGGAGGCTACCGCGTGCTAATTTGCGACCTGGCTTGCCATTTGCTAACTTGTGTGTCGCCGGTCCACGGCCTACAGCACGGTTCAAGCGGCGGCGCAGCATCGCTGAACGCGGCCTTGATGTTTGATATATTCGATCATCGTGATATTGCGTGATGGCCAGCGTGGATCATAGAAGGCGCCATCCGGAAGGGTCTAAAGTGCTTCGAGGAGAAATCTTTGTTGTGCTAGCCACCATCTTTATTGCGACTACACCTCCTGGTCCCCTTGTCCAGTCGTACGGAGTGCACGTAGTCTCACCCCGCCCCCCCCCCCCCACGCATCCCATTTTCTGCGCCTATCCTATCCCTTCGTAGTTTCATCGGCGAAAAAAGCCACCCGGCCCCACTTCGTGTTGGGGCGCCCCGTCGATGGGCGGTAGCAGGTGTTTACGGACTACGGAGTACGGAGTACATACATGATGCGTTAGCTACGGCTGCCAGTTTCATCGGGAGCAAGATCCGGAGGAGTTCCGTCAGAAAGACAGTTGATCAGAAATAGCTGGATGATATCGAAAGCAATTCGGGACGCCCGTGGAGGATGTCAGGTGCCGCTGAAGGGGCCCGAGGCAAGTCCAATCTTTAAGAAAAATCATATTCACAGGGAGATGTTCTGGAATAATGTTAAAATAATAACGACCATGAATTATAGTTCCGCCTGGACTTTACGTCCATGTTTCCTTTTCACAACTGCCTAGCTGGGCCGGAAACCTCATTTCCGCCCAGTTTTTGTTGGTTTGAAGGGTGGGGGCTGCGCCTCGGGCGCACCATCCACTTCCATCCACCGCAGAGTCCATCCAGTTGCATCCAGCTGCATTGAGTTAGTCCGGAGGGAGGAGGAAAATCTAGCGGCCTCCAGTGGCCATCCCGCGGTACGCTAAATGGGAGGCGGCCGCCTCCCTCCGCCTCTGACATCACCATCTCCCCCGGCCGCCACGCTGTTCGCTGGGCGCAGGGCTGGAAGTTAATCAGGCACTGCCCTGAGTGTCGTGCACTGAGACGGAGCATCCCTGCGAACGCGGGTTGGGGGAAGGAAGGTTAGGTGGTTGGTATTTTGGCCGAGACTCGCGACGGACCAGGACGGCTCGAGATCTTCCTGGCCAACCCGCGCAACACTCCAATTAACTCGCATATCCCTGTTCAAACTATCCAACGGCCCCCGATCTGCTCCGGAGATGAAACCATGCCGTCAGTCGGCCAATTGTATCCGCTGAATGCCTTCCCCAGTCGGTCCGCCTATTTCAGCCATGATTGGCGCGCTCAAATTGCCTCCGCTCCTCGAGACGCTCTCATTCGGCCAAGCCGCGCAGAAAGGATGGAAGCGAACTGGCCCTCCTATGATACCCGGTGCTGGCTATGAGCGGAAGGCCCAAGATCAAGACGGAGACGGAGACAGAGCCTGCCACGGTCTGCTCCGCCCTACGGGGTGTCTTACGAAGCCGTCGAAGTCCAAACTCAACCGCGTCTGCTTCAACCGCCAAGTTTTTCCCCACTCGCGCCTTTTTCCCTTTCCCTTTTTTCTTTTCTTTTTTTTTTCTAGAAAGAGGTTATTATCCCATTTTCTGCTCTTGGGAATTGCATGTTTTCTTCTACTGCTTTTGCTCTTCTCTGCCCTCCTCGAAATTCGGATTAGTATACATGAGAGTATAGGAGGATTCCACTATACTCGGCCGGATCTTACCAGCCGCTTCGATCCTCCCCATACTTCGACCTTGCGATACTTTGATACTTCGACCGCACCGCCGCGCATGCCCTTCCAACCCTCACGAACATAAATTTCTTGCCATTGCAATCCCTCACCATGCAGTCCGACCAAGCACGCCGCTTCTCCAAGGTGTCGGTCTCGCGCGCAGAGACCGGCGCCGACGCGACCAATGCAGACCGCACGCTAGAGGACATGGGATACAAGCCCGAACTGGCGCGCAATCGCTCCATCTGGCAGATCACCTTCATGTGTTTCATTCTCTCGTCCGTCCCCTACGGTCTCTCCACCACGCTGTACTACCCCCTCGTCGCCGGTGGCCCCGCCAACATCATCTGGGGCTGGGTCGTTATCTCCTTCCTCATTGTCTGCGTCGCCATCTCCCTCGCCGAAATCACGTCCGTCTACCCCACGTCTGGTGGTGTCTACTACCAAACATTTGTCCTTGCGCCTCTCTGGTGCCGTCGTGTCGCGTCCTGGATCTGTGGCTGGTCCTATGTCGCGGGTAATATCACCATTACCCTCGCCGTCAACTTCGGGACCGCGCTGCTTTTTGTCGGCTGCCTCGATGTCTTCGAGAAGTCCCCTGGCGTCGGCCTCACCGATGATTGGCAGGCCTACCAGATCTTCCTGATTTTCCTGGCCATTACCCTGTTGACCCATGCCATCTCGGCCTTTGCCAACAAATGGCTGCCCTGGGTGGAGGTACGTTTGAAAAGCATTGAGCATTGAGCATTGAGCATTTAGCATTTAGCATTTAGCATTTGACCACGTCGAACCCCGAAGTGGTGTTGCGATCTCATTTCCAGGGATCATTTTTCCCGTCCCACGTGCTCTCTTTCCGCATCGAGGCAAGCCGCTAACCAGTTTTTTTTTGTCGGTGCACAGACTTTCGCCATCTTCTGGACTATCGCGGGCCTGATCGCCATTGTGGTCTGCCTGCTGGCGATCGCCAAGGAGGGTCGCAACAAAGCCTCCTGGGTCTTTGGACACTTTGAACCTCAAGCGGGCTGGCCTGCGGGCTGGTCCTTCTTCATCGGTTTGCTGCAGGCGGCCTACGCCACCTCGGCAACTGGCATGGTTATCTCGTCCGTCTCCGTTCCCCTAGTGTGGAGTGATGTTGGAAGCTAATGGCCCTGAAATAGTCTCTGCGAGGAAGTCCACGAGCCCGCCATTATGGTTCCCAAGGCCATGGTCGGCACCGTCGTCATCAACTTCGTTGCCGGTCTCATCTTCTTGATCCCGCTTTGCTTCGTCATGCCCGAGCTGAGTCTGCTCATCAATGCCTCCCAGCCTACCCCGGTCATCTTCAAGCATGCGATCGGGAACTCCGCCGGCGCGTTCTGCCTGACGATCCCCCTTCTGGTGCTGGGGCTCATCTGTGGTGTGGGCTGCGTAACCGCCACCTCGCGCGCCACCTGGGCCTTCGCCCGTGATGGCGGGATACCCGGTGCTGGCTGGTGGCGCGTCGTCGACAAGCGTACCGGCATCCTCTCAACGCGCTGGCGCTGGGTATGGCCATTGAGATTGTCCTGGGCGCCATATACTTCGGTTCTACCGCGGCCTACAACGCGTTCTCGGGTGTGGGTGTGATCTTCTTGACCATGAGTTACGCCTGCCCCATCGCCGTCTCCCTGATCTTCCGTCGCCGCGAGGATATCAAGAATGGCACCTTCAACTTTGGCATCGTTGGTGCTATCGCTAATGTACTTGCGCTTGGTGAGTGCTTTTCCCACGTTCGCTGACCCGCCTGTTTTGCTAATGTGATCCCACCCCTGCACAGGATGGAGTCTTCTTGCCATTCCCCTCTTCTGCATGCCTACTCTCACGGCGGTGACCAAGGAAAATATGAATTACGCGTCGGTTGTGTTTTTCGGTTTCGTGCTCATCGCAGCCGGCTGGTACGTTGCCTGGGGCTATCAGAACTACCGCGGCCCGCCCACCGACGCGGTCGATCACGACAACGAGTCCTTGCCCCCAACCTACCCCGAGGGCACCGACGTCTCCAGCAAGTCCAGCGACCTGCTGAACAAAGCCAAGAGCCCATGATTTCACCGACGCACCTCCAGATCAACGCATTTCACCCAACCTCCCTGGTGGCCGTCCACCCTCTGCCGTCTACCGTCTGCGCGCTTGTTCCACTCCCCACAGCAGCTATCCACCTCCCATGCGGCCACTCATCTCCCTTGCGATCAGGTATCTCCCCCCTGCGGTCTATCGTCCATGCGGTCTATCCATGCGGTCTATCGTCCATGCAACCTTCCATGCGCCCTCTGCCCTCTCCCTGCGACCTATCTACACCTTCCATCCGATTATACCCACCACTGCCAATGCGGTCCACTCTCTCCCACGCACCCACAGAACCGTAAGCGATCCGACAGGCCCTTTTGATCAGGAAACTCCTGGATGTATATAAGCATACTAGCTATTTGGCATGTGTCATGTATCATATATTGGTATTGAAGTAGCGACTGATCCTCTATCAATCAAAAATCAATCAGAGCTATCTATCACTATGATCTCCTTCTCCATGTTCACTGCGTTCGACTCCACGAGACTGACTTCGTCGTTGGGGAGATGCTCTCGGAGAAAGGCCTGGATCGCAACCAGCGGCACGCCATGACGCATCGCGGTGGTGTCATCCCATGAGGAATGCAGTCCGAGCAAGCTCCCATCTACTGTCAGCAGAAGCGGTGCCCCAGAATGACCCCAGTAGGTCCACGCATTGTGTTTCAAAGCCCCAATCTCCGAATTATCCTGCGGGTCGGTGTTGGGGATCATGCCACACAGCCGACCCCGGGAGATTTCAATCAGGTCATACGCCGTTTTGCGGGGCGCGTCCGACTCGAGGTCGTCGGCTCCCGGCTGTCCAATGCAGATGATCGGAGCGGAGGTCGACTGCGATGTACCAAGGGGAACAAACGTAAATATGGGGCTTGCTGGGCCACGAAGCCTGTGCTCGTCTGGTAGTTCGATGCATACCACCTTTGCCAAGGCCAGATCGCGACGCGCCTCCCAAACCCGACATTCGACCTGTACCGCGAGTCCGGTATAATAGAGGAGCCATTTGCGGCGCTGCGCCTGCCATTCGTGTGGTGTCTCACCGAAGCAATGCGCACAAGTGAGCACCCACCCACGCGCATCAATACAGACTGCTGTGCCAGCTTCATGCTGGGCAAAGATCAGGGTCGACGCCAGTCCTTGGATGGCCGGCCGGCCCAGCGCGTGGGTGGCTTCCGCGGTCAGAGAGGCCGATTGCCGTAGGCGATGCTGTTTCGTGCGCAACAGCTGTAAATCGACGCCGTTGATACCTGGTAAGGGAGACTGGTTGCGGATGATGAGCGGGTTAGCAAGAGTCGCCGCAGACGCGATGAATTGAACCGGCTGGTCGAGACGGGCCTCCGGGCTGGCCGTGTCGTCCACGTCAACATCCAGTTTGAGGGATACTTTGCGACTGGATCGCAGTCGGCGCGTCATCACTGCCTCTACTTACAGGGCTTCGCGACGACGACCTGCCAGGGAAAGAAGATGTGCACGATGCGCGCGGGGAACCGGCCCGTCCCGCCCACATTCATCAGCACGTGGGCAGGCCTCCCGCATCGGCAGCAATCTCTTTTGGCAGTATGGCGATACTTTGAGCACGGGAGAGACCTCGGATGATGGTAATACCATCTACTACCTATGGATCAACCGATTTTATTTGTCTGGTGACAGACCATGTGACTGCCACTGGTTGAGGGGCTCAAGGTTTGGTAAGCATGTTGGTGATGCTCGACCTCCCTAAGGGGATACGCGTAAATGGATATATATCCAACTTAAGTACGACCAGGGCGGGCGAGCTACGGCCCAGGAAAAGACCATGTCTATCTCCAGTCCATGGAAGTGTTTAGGGTTCGGTGATCGACCCGTCGAAAAAGAATTCCATAGAATCGGCAAATGAGATTTGAATCCAACATTTGTGGTGCAACTCGACTACATGGAAAGTGTACGTTGCCCAATACGGGACAGGGCCCTTTCCAGGTGATGATGAAATTGATAGGGTAAAATGGCAAGATATTGCATACATCTACATTTGAGTCCATCTGAACAGTCAAGCACAAGTCACCATGTTGTCCAAAAGTCTCACTAGTGGACTCTGTCTATAAAGTCCTTGTTTTTCTCTGTCGCTCTTACGGTGCCAATCAATGAGCCAATGGAGCACTCAGGCTTGTCTGCACAGGCAGGTACAGATGATGGCTCATCGAGACAGAACGCAAAGGAGGCAACGCTTGATGTCACTGGCTGGGAAGACATCGCCCGAGGAGAATTGCTATGACATGTTCCGCCTATGAGGTAGAGAGAGATCTTGGTGCGTCCGTGGGCGAAGCCACATTATAATGTTTTGGGCAGGCGACGTCAAGAATTGTCTGTTATAAGACATGGCAGACCAAAAGAGTTGAGACTAAGACAAATCCGGCATTAACGTGAGCGTTGGAATCGGAGTTGGCGCTATAGGTTATATTAGATTAATGAAATATTAGCATTATTTAATTATCAAGAGAACTACATCCTCTTTTTGATATAAGCTTTTAAAATAACGAAATCCTTCCTATAGCTAAGATAGCGTACCGATTTAATATATCCGATATCTCCCTTCCCATTCATCCTATGGGGAAAACGCCAACGCGCTGTTAGTAAGGGTATCAGACTGCTCTGTATGAATAGATATAGTATCATAGTTGCTGAATTCTTCAAGAAAAGGAAGCTTTTCGTGGCTATATACATTTTCCTCAATCAACACTTTTAGATAGTTGATTGTGGTGGTCTTCCTTGTCCTCCCATAGTTCCTAATTTGATGCCCTACCACCCGCCTTGGAATAGTAATGGAGGATTGCATAGTGCCATTATCGAATCACATTGTATAAGGCTTTCTCGGCGGGTCCGCCTCGGTTTCTCACCGCCGCGAAAATCCACGGTACTGGTTTGATCTGCCGACCCAGGCTTCTGCCGGCGATCTTATCGAATCTCCGCACTCACCCGCACTCGCCCGCACTCGATAAGATCGCAAACTCGTGGCGACTAGGGAAGAGCTCTTAAACTCCCCCGTTTCCCTTCGGTATACGCCGTGAACCGTTTTTCGCTCGATTGATATTTATCGGCACGGCTTGGGTTTGTATTTCGGCCCGGCACTTATAAACTGTGGCCTGCACGCATTCAGTCAGTCCATCGGCCTCAACTTCAAAACCTCACCTACATTACTTCAAGTCCCGCCATCATGGCCGTGTTGCCACCGACCGTACGCCCGATCCAGCCTCCAGCTGGATCCAAGATCGATTTTGGGGCTGAAATTACGGGAGTTGACTTGGAAAATCTTACGGGTTCGTGTGGAGAAGCCGGATGTACTAGTGTATTCGCTCACAGGAGTGGTAGACGAGCATTTTGCGACCGTCCGCAACGCATTATATCAGCACCACGTCGTCATATTCAAGAATCAGCAGAAAATATCGCCCAAGGCACAATACGAGCTCACCAAGCGATTCGACCCTGCGGCCGAAAGTTACGGCCATGGCAAGACCATCGATGCCAAGCGAAGCGTTCTTCATCCCGACTTGAAGACCGTCCCCCATCAGCCACAAGTTCAGATCATCGGGAACGGGTTTGTTCCGTCATACGAGGGACTGGAAAACTTCCAACTCAGGCACCCCCATCACCGTACTTTCCACAAGGACCACATCCCAGACGACAAGGACTATGACTTCACCCGCTTTTACCGGTGGCATATCGATGCCGCCCTGTATGATCTGAACCCGCCCCAGGTGACCACCCTTCTGGCTGTCAGTGTCCCCAAGGGCCGTCGTCAAACATTACTATACGATGATGGCTCTGATGAAACTATGGATGTCCCGCTGGGTACGACGGCATTCGTGAGCGGCGAGCGAATGTTCGAACTGTTGTCACCCGGAGAGCAAGAATTCGTGCGGACGAGCAAGATCGAATATGCCCCTCATCCGTAAGAGCTGCCCATGACAATCCAGATGCCGAAAAGGCTGCTAACACTGAAGTGCTTCAGATACATTTGGATGAGTCCCGCCCACTCCCGGTCCACTGGACTCGGCCTACACTCCGAAGGCCTAGAATTGCCAGACAAGGAGCTGCCACCCATCGACGACGAGAAGATCATGATTCTGCCAATGCTCTGGAAGAATCCCGTCACCGGCAAGCTAGCATTGCAGGTCCATCCGTCAGCCATCCGCCGGATTCACCTTGCCGATGGCTCCGTAATTGACGACTTGGAACGCGTGCGAGACATTATCTATAGGCTGCAGAGGCCCGCGATTAGTCCCCAGTATGTATATGCGCATGACTGGGAGGAAGGTGACCTGGTCCTGTTCAACAACCGCGGGGTGTTACACTCTGTTGTTGGTGCTTTTAAGCCCGATGAGGTGCGCTTGTTCCGTCAGTGCAACCTAGCCGCTTCTGAACCACCTGTGGGCCCTTGAGATGTTTTGATATGGCTGCTTGATTGGAAGGAATAGAATACCGTGGATAGCGTTTGAATTTGTATGAATTAGTGGAAATTTGCCTAGATACTTGGAAGCGTGACTGGACAAGAGCTATCGTGCTCTTTTGTTTGAAGGAGTTTACGATATCGTTAAAGACATCTACCTCGCTTGTTGAATAACCCTACCTTATAAGAAATCGAACCCGCTGCAAAGCAAAGTACCATATTTGACGCAAAGGTCCATCTCGACCAACCACCTGCTGGGAAAACGATAGTTCCAATTGGATATTATAGTACAGCCTCCAGATTAGTATACAAATTAGAATAGGTATGTGCTCCCACCTCCACGGAAGGAAAGTATGACCAAATAAAACGAAATGAATGCGAAAAAGGTCATCGTACAATAAAAAAGCCGTTCACGGCCACTTGTCGCTCTCTCCACTCATCTGTGGCAGAGCGAACCCCAAGGCGGTGCAATGGGACCTGCTCCACCCACTTTTGTCCCTTCGCGCGGAGGTTCGCATAGCCCTCTCGCGTCTTGTCTACCCAGCCAGCATTCTGCCGCTGGATTTCAGTTGGCCCATGCCCTTCTGGAGCCCAAACGGGGTGGGACAGAGTGTGCTGCACAACCGATACGTCATAGGCATCGGCGAGAACAGTGGCCTCGGCAGCGGCTGCTTGGGCATCTGCAAGTTCTTGGCTAGTGGCTCCAGTGGGAGGCGGTATTTCTCCCCGCAGAAATCCCATGACGCAGATCTCCACCTTGGTCGTCTGTAGAGGCACCTCGTCCAACAGCCGAAGTCTCACAACATACTTCGCAACCTGGGCCATGTCGACGCGAGCCGCTTGGAGGGGGTCTAGAGTGCGAACAGAAAGAATCGTCGGATACCACGGCCCTGTCAACTGTTCTGCCCCGGTGCTAATGTCAAATCGAGTCCACCCAAAGTAATAACCTCGTAACTGCTCTGATACCCAGCTCGGGAAGTGCGAGAGAGTCAAATTCGTGGTGTCGCTGAGTGTGCAAGAAGTCATTGGATGAGCATTTTGCCCCCGAGCTGTGAAGATCATGGGAAATGGTGGCTGAGGCCCTAATTCAATCGGCTCTACTTGGTGGTTCGTGATGGCTACCGGATATCCGTCAGTTTGCGCCCTCCGAGTTGGACCCGGTGGCCCGGTGAAAGCCCCCGCTATGCGATCTTGAATGCCACTAGCTGAATATGCCTTTTGTGCAGCAGCTTGTGTCAACCACGATGGACGGTACGGATCCACCTTGGATTTGACAGCGCCAGCGGCAGGGCCCAACACAGTCTGTGCTGCAGTCTGGGCATAGAGACTGGCTATCATTGCGCCGACCTCGAGGGGCAGAGTGCTCAAGCTCGCACCGCGGATCGAATGGGGGTTGATAGATGTTGAGATGACACGGAAAACGGGGCTATTGCCAAGGACCTTCGTTTTGGGACCTTGGCACAGCACCAGCTGGAAATAGCCATCGCCAGCGTCTGCAGGGATACGCACGACCGCAGTCTCGCGCAAGTGGTGCGTATTTCGTGGCCGTGCAGGCGCCTTCTTGCGAAACCGTTTGATATCACGCTGCCAGGCGCGTTCATCATCCGGGTTCACTTGATCGGCCCGGAGGGGCATGCCTGGTGTGACATCAATCCAGCTGTCATTGAGGCGGAACAAAGCTTTGGCGCGCATGCCAGTCTTGCCGGACCATCCCTTATTCTGCAGCCATATAGTGCGGTCTTGTGGCAGGGGGGCATCAGAGAAGATAGACACAGCGACTGAGGTGGAGTTACCCCGATAGAAGACTAGGCCATGAGAGTGACGGAGGATGGTGGTATGTTTGTTAGATTCAGTTGGGTGGCTGATCAAGCCACCCAAGAAGTGCCGGGCTTCGCCGTACGCCTTCTGCACCGGCGTAGGAGATGGACTTGGTGACGGGGGCGACGGTGCTGATGAAGTCGATGCTCCCGCTGTCCGTGGCCTCAGCAAGGTCTCAGGCTGAGAAGCTGACGATGCCGCCCCGTAGAGATCATTATATGATGGAGGCCGTGGCAACAGGGGCGGCACCAGGGACGGGGTGCTTGTCGCACGCGACAGGACTTCAGGGGCTTCAGCATTGGCGGTTCCCCGTATATTTGGGTTGGAGACGGGCTTTCGCCTGATCCGAAATGGATCAAACGGTGGCCCTGGCCGCAGACTTGCAGAGGCCATTGCCTACATCACATGGTAGAGTACAAACAAGACGCAATCAACTACAGTCGCGATGAGCTCATCAACGGCGGATGTCCCAGCGGGTGTGCTGAGTCATCACGATGACTCGGGCATCAAGGTGTCGACAACATCCACCGAGCCTCGCCATTCCATTTGTGTCTATAAGTAAACATGAAGACCGGCATTGCACCGCACTTATGCATAACCAAAATTAGATTACTAAGAGACTGGAGACCCCCCACCCGGTCCAAGATCTACGCTTGATAATTCAAAGTGATATCGCATTCTGCTCCGTCATATTCAACGCCCGGGTTTTAGTCGCCAACCGGTATAGCCAGGATGTCGTGGGGTGTGATGGCCCGGTGGGGTGGTGGGTGTTCGAGTGTGATGCTTTTTCGACAATCTCAGATCAGGTTTCACGAGGTGACTCCGGGTCCATTGCTGACTCTTACTCAACACATAGCCCCACGGGGGTAGAGCAGGACTATGCCAAAGGTTTTTGCGCAGTCGCAAAGGCACTGGTTCTCGGAGGTGAGTACCATATTCACCCTTTTAAGTAGATCATTACTCACAGCTGTGTATAGGCATGCATCTTGTTCGATTTCAGCTCCGCACGCAAATGAGCCAGCAAAACATGAACCTCGACAGGCTGCCAACCGCCAAAGCGTGTGAATAATGCAAGAGAGTAACTCTCCATTGCACTATCAATCATCTGGGCCCGAAAATATCGTCCGATCTCCTTCAATTTAGGGTCCTTGGGCCACGTTCCGCAAGGACAGATGTATTGGGCGAGGTCGACATTCTCAAAGGAAGCCTCTTGTAACAGATCTGGAAGTTGGGGTGTGATATCCCAGGTACGGCCCTGGATTTTTGCTATACGGTTAAATTCGCGCTGCCATGGGTTAATTCCAAGGTTGGTTGCCTGCCGCTTTCAGTCCCCCGGACACTCACCTCCCATTGACGCAAATAGCTATCCTCGGGGCATGAGTCGTCATCACAATTTACTCGCGTGCGCGATTCGGAGATCTCGATACGTCCCCCTGGTTTCAGGTGCCTTGAACAAAAGTTAGAGGCATGGTCCCGGGTACCTCATGCGGGGGTATGGATTATTCGTCGTGCAACGCACTGGTAGCATCGTTGTAAAAACCCAGGCCAGTCATCTATACTTCCACCAAGGCATCGCACATGGATAAAGTCAAATGATGCGGCTTGAAAGCCCCATTCTTGAGCCACATCGTCGATGATGAAAGCCAAATTAGGTGGGATCCTGCGGCATGTCAATATAGCGGCATTCGGTGGAACGAGATATCCGATCACGGTATCACGGGTTCAGGACACCAACCAGCCCGGCTGAATCGGAGACAGATCAACTCCGATGACCTCCGCCGAAGGAAACTCGTCCGCCACTACTGCCAATCAGCTTGCTTCCCAGGGATCATTGCGAGCCATCGGCTGCGACTCACTATCCACGGCCCAGATCCCCGTACCCGTCCCGACGTCGAGAATGCGTTGTGGGTGTCGCAATGTGGTCTGACACAAATCGCCGTCCAAACAGAGGCGAAACACATGGTGCATCACGTCCAGTCTCTCTGTTGGAATGGTTACACAACAGCTCGACTCGGCAGCACAGCAATGGGGAGATCATCGTCGGCGGTCCTACCTTGCTCTCGTTCGTCGTTTGGGAGAACCTGAATCGTCGGTTAATGGATACCGTCTCTCAAACGGGAGGCGAGAAACCGCCACTAGGAGAGCATAGAGCATACATAAGTCCCAGAGCGATATGCGTGGTAGGTCCGGCCGTTTTCATAGACGTAGTTATAAATAGACTCGCTCAACGAGGTCAGCTCAGTCCGAATGCTGCCAAAGTCGCTCGAAGACTGTATGAACGGAAATCAGAACCAGCCGCTGCGTCCGATGGGAGGTTTGCATACGCTAACATCGGCATCGACCTCGATCACGGTGGAACCTGTCGGCCGGTCGAGCTCGGCCATTGTCGTGAATCCACTCCAGCGCTGGCATAAGGTCCGGCGGCCGTGAAAAGTTCAGATCGAGCGCGAGTTCGGAGCAGCAGAAGAGGGAGAAAACGAGTCAGCCAGGAAAGTTCCGACCAACGTGCCGGCACCGCAAAAGGCCCGGCCAGCGTGCAATGCTGACCCAGACGGTTGGGACCAGGAGGCCCGCCGTTTTTGGAAATGTTCTTTCCCCGTCTCCACTCGAAGGGACCGCTCTGTCGGGACCTCTCTGAGCCAAACGACCGAGCCGGGAGCAGATCGAAGACCTGGGATCATCGCGGGCCCCAAACTGCTCCCCCCTCTCTGTCGAAACACAGCGCTATAGTTTCTTGGCTGGGCTAGCGCCCGCATCCTGGACGGCCCAGTGTTGCTCATTCTCCTCCTCCCACCAGAGGTCTATACGTCTAATACACGGTAAATCGATCAAATCACCTGGCATCCCACCAAACGCGTCCAACAAGAGAACCAACCAAAATCCCCGAGCTTCGGAACTCCCCTGCAACCTATCATCGCTCAACTGCTGCCAACCAGGCTTGAAGGGACGAATGGGGGCCCCCAAGAAGCGGTCTGTTTTCGCGTGGGAGACGCTGCGACACCACGGCCAGCACTACATCTGTCCACAGCGCGTCCGCCACCGACCCAGGCCCTCGGGGCTGGTGGGCCAGGAGAAACAGGATGTACCACGAAAAGCGTCTGCCGCACATGCAGGCAAGGTGGACACTCGGCCGGTCCATGCCCACAATGCCCGTGGCTCTCTCACCTGCACGATGTATCAAGTTGGGCGTTGGCAGGAACACCGAGTTGCTACTGGCTCCAGCGGGAAACGCCTTTCACCACGTCAACCCTCGCGATACGCCAATGGACCGGGTGACGGTGGACGGGGTGTACGAATCAACATAAGCTCGCCATGGCCGCTAGCCGCGCTGGCGGACCATCAAACCCCTCCCCTCCCGCCCATCCCGTCGGTAGCCAATGCCGAACCGGGAGACCGGGATGCGGTGGAGCATCATCGCATACGCTGCAGTGGGCGCACCAGACGGGCTACCGCAGGGCTGCTGCGCCCGTGAGACTTCCTCGAACGTGTTGGAAGATGCCCGAGCGTTAGGGGTTCTGGCTCGGAGGAACCCTGAAGCAAGAGTGCATAGAACCGCTCGTGATCTACCTTCTATTAGAATTGGTTTGCCTCCCTATTCGTGCAGCTCTTCACATCAATAAATGTTGATGTTCTGGGATGATCGGATGTGATCAAACATCGGGGTTTCACTTATGGCCGTGCCGCCTTGTGAAACTTCTCACTGCCCTGCGAGCAACTCTGTCATGAATGGTAGGGCGGATTCAATTGCTTCCTATCCAGAGTTCACCGGGTATAAATACCCGCAGTCTCAAGGTTACGCTATTCCAGGTAGCTATGCAGATCAACTTGGTGGACTCGATGTCGCGCCCGAACCAGAAAATCCCCAGACGTGAGCCTGGTACAAATTTATCCTGGTTTGTATGACGTGACATCCCGGCACTGCTTGATACTTCAAATCGCAACAAAGCCGGATCGATGAATCTTGACAACTCAGTCTACAATAACACTTTTGACACTGTTTTCTTTTCCGGTCCATCCATTGTAACAGCGCCGTGCAGTTCGGGGGCAAGTAAATTGCCTCGCCAGCTTCTTTGAGGAATATCCATTTTCTAGAGTCCAAGCTCTCGTTCAGATCGAACATAATCCGGGATATTTTTCAACAATATCTAGCTGCAACCCTAATCCTATGGACTTGGTCTGGAAGAAATAGACAAAATAGCCGATCAATACCTCCACCGGCCGTTCAAACCAGACATTCGAGTGAGCACTCGCTTTTGCCGACTTCGAATCGCTGATTATTGTCATGATTTCCCACGATGCTAGCCCTTGCTCCGAAATTCGAGGGTGCCCCGCGCCAAGAAGAGGAGAAGGGAGATATTTCCGGGCAATCCGCAGCCCAGTTGGTAGATTCAGGCCCGCCATGTCCAGTGGTCAGTGGTCATTCGTGTTGGTACAGCTATGCTCACACCAGCACGGGGTGGCCGTCAGAGAAGAAGTACGAACTCCCGAGGCATGCGTGGAGGGGAGCTGAATGGGAGCCCTCGTATCGCGAATGTTGCGCACCAGTGATGGTCCTGGTTTCGAGCTCAGCTAAGAGCTTACTGCCCGCCAAGCATGTCAGCATGCTTCATCGTGCAGCCTCCATCACGCATAAATATCCCACCGCGATCATACCCCGCCCCAGTTATCCTGATCATCGTCCACATCGAGAGGAAATCCGAAAGAGATGGATCAACTGACTCAATTTCTCGTGGAGAATCCTCATATTCACTATGCAACTGCTCATTCGTCCGACTTTGAGACGCTGCGCGCGGGCTTCATTATCAATGAAACCAAAACCCCAGCAGTAGTCGTTCGCCCGCGATCCGCTGAGGACGTCGCGGCGCTGATAGCTCTCCTGAGCAAGAGCAGCTTGCCGTTCACCGTTCGCGTGGGCGGACATGATATGTTCGGCCGGTCGCAGGTGGCAGACGGGGTGACCATCGACCTGAGGGAGATTGCCCACATTCATGTCGATACCGAGTCGCAGACCGCACGGCTAGGCGGCGGGGTGATCTGCATGGATATGCTGACAGAACTGCAGAAGCACAACATGACGACACCGCATGCTGTGACTCCGTCCGTCGGTCAAGTTGGCTGGGCCTCCTTCGGCGGCTACGGCATGCTGAGTTCCAAATACGGGCTTGGCGTGGACCAGATCGTGGGGGCCACGGTGGTCGATGCGGAGGGGATCATTCGCGAGGCGGATGAGACCATGCTGACGGGGATCCGCGGAGGCGGAGGCTCCCTGGGCGTGATTGTGGAACTCACCATCAAGGTGTATCCGCAGGACCAGGTATGGCGCTGGCGACTCTGATGTCAAACCCCATCATCTCACTGGTCGCTTGCAGATCCTGGCCGGAGCGATTTTTTTTCACCCTAACGACCTTTCCAAGGAGATTATTCAGTTCAATGCGGAGTGGTCCAAAGCCAAGGCAGGCGGCATTCCGTCGTCGCTGCATCTATATCAATCCATTATGAAGGGCCCCGGGGGCAAAGCACTCGCGCTCTTCTTCATGTGGGCATCCTCGGACCTGGAAGAGGGCCAGAGATGGCTGTCGAAGGTTTCGTCGTGGTTGCCCGTGGCCATGAGTACGGTTGGGCCGACCACCAATAAGGACTTTGCGGTGATGTTGAACGCGGTGATCCAGACACATATTTACGGAACCGTGTTTACGCTGAACTTGTACGATTTGACCCCGGAGGTTTTGGAAATTATTGGCCTTTATGCACAAAAGCAGCCCAATAGTCCGCACATGTTATTTGGATTCCATGAACTTCGCCCCGATGCCCCGAGAGACCCAACTATGGACACCGTTTTTGATGCTCGCTGCGCACACTTTGTGATCGAAATTGTTCCAATGGCTTCATCGTTAGAAGTCCTCGCGGAGGGCCTTGTGTGGGGCCAGGAGTTTTACAATGCGCTGCGCAAAACGAATCCCGCGAATATCTTACCCTCAACTTATCTTTCATTAACTCCGACCAAGGACATTGACATGAAAGGTATCTATGGAAGTCGATATGAGACCTTGAAACGGATCAAAGAGCAATACGATCCGCAGAACGTCTTCAAGCAAGCTCTTCCGCGATTTTGATGGGGCCTCCACCAGGGTGCGGAATTGCAGAACCAGGGAAGAGCAAAGTAAATTATTAGAGCTTGAGATAATAAGAAAATGTTTGTTCAAAAAGCCAATGGTGCCCCCAACTCCAAAAAGGTCGATCCCAAGATCAACCATCAAACAAACGCCGAGAAACTCCAAAAAGCGCCATCCGGATAATTATATACAATCAACTGCTCGATTACTTATAGGTCACGGTAAACTGGGTGTCACTCTGGATCTCCACCTCGGCGAGCAATACTCCATTCTGCTGCATGTCCAGAATAGAGGCATTGTTGACACCATATTCACCATCTGCTCCCTTGGCCTGGGCACCACTGAAGGTAATTGTGTCAAAGGCGGCCAGCGGCACCATATTATCGCCAGAGTTGAAGTCCTCGACAATCCACTCGGCATTCTGCCCGCCAAGAGTAGCCGAGGTGGAAGGCGCAGAGAGAGACTTGGTGACACTGTCTCCGGTAGATTGGTTCTCGATAATGGCGATGCCATGGCTCGGGGAGGAAGACTTCACCGTAGCCACGATCACATCGCCGGCGGTCAACTCGATATCAAAATTGTCGGCGGCGTTGGGGTACCACTCGTACCACGCATCAAAGAAGGTCTGCCCTCCAGAGATATAGGCATCAATGCCGGTCTGCAGGATGGCCTGGGTGTAGGTGTCCCCGTCAATGCCCACCCACGCGGAAACAGCTTGGGTGGTACCCGAGTTGTCGGTGGCCGTGGGCTCGGGCACATTGAAGGTGGCCGAGACTTCAGTATAGGTCCCGCTGGCAGGCGGCTGTTCACGAACTACGCCCGCCCAGTTCTTGCTATACTCCACATTGGTGGAGCTGGATCCCTCCTTAAGAAGAATGCCATTCTTGTCGCCGGAGTTATCAAATTTGTGAGCTGGCTGAGACTGGCGATTCAGCACTCCACGAGCTTCAAGACGGTTGACCAGTCCCGGACGGGGCGCTGCAAGGGCCCCAGTCGCTAACACGGCGGAAGTAATAGCGGTAGTGAACTTCATACTGCAAGAGGCGGCGGTCAAGCAGGGTAACGAAATCCGAAAGAGGATCGGACAGCAAGGGACCAAAATGTGGCGTGAACAACGTGGCCCCTTGGGGACATGCGGGCTCCTCATGGTCCTTTTATATCCTCATCCTGATCATTTTGCATGCAGCTGTCAGCCGCATGGGGAAGGAGGACTCGCATCGCTAAGGACTCCATCCGCAAGACCTGGGGATTAGGGCAAGGCCTTGGACGCGCATAGTGGGTGGTGGGTTGGGATCTGCACAACCGGTTTTTCGAAAGTGTGGACATGAACGAATTCGAAAACGCTGGAGTATCAGCTGCTTTAGTCCTGAGATCGTGCTGATCTTCTCCATTTCGCGCTTGTTGTCCATCACAGGTGGCTCTTCGGCGGGTCGGGCGGGCCTCCGCGATCATTACCAGACCAAGGCGCTAAAAGAAGAAACTCAAAACGAGATTCATGTGCTCATGCGCATCGGCTTGGCAGGAACATTCCAAGGGATGTAGTAGCATCTGACAGCGCTGATGCGACGGATAAGTAGAAGATCGCCGTCAAATCCCGATACATGATGGCTAAGAGATCCACCAATGCATGGGCGCAGCCCTTATAATGACGAACAATAGGGATTGTGTCGTCAATGTGGGGCCTACCAGGCTCTAGACGAAGGTTGTATATTTTTTTGGTTGGCTGCTCTCGACCATGAAGCCAGCCCAAACCTTCCATCCGTTGTGAAATGGGCAGAATGAGTGCTGCCTGCAGAGCGACGCCGAGCGATGAGACCATACAAAGATAGAAAACATCTAGAAGTATACCACTGGGTAAGAAGAAAATCAAATCATGGAAGACTTGGAGGTCGCAGCTTGTTAGAGGAATAAGGCTAGCGTGCATACCAGAGAGGCAGGCTGCGGCAACTGTGCATTCCTCAGTGCCTAGTTTGCCTCCTATGGTTGGTCTGCCGCACGCCGAGACTTACCGAAAGCAACCGGTTGTGTTGATCAGCGGCTTTCATCTTAAATGCGCCATTTCCGTTCTTTTTCCAAGCCAGCGCACTAGTTGCAAATTGCTCTACGGGTGTGGAGTTGCCATTGTAGCTCGGCAAGTCAATCTTGGATGAATGATTCATCGGTAAGTGCATCGTAGCTATATCGTAGCTATTCTCTAGCTTGATGTTCGTGTTAAGCCGTTCATTTGACGACCGCCGCATGGATGTAGGTGCCATGATGATCATTCAGGTAGGCGAACCGGGCCCCTGGGCTAATGCAAGGCATTGTCACGTCGAGACGGGACCGGCACAGGGGACAGGTAGTCATACTAACCCCCACAAGGGTCATGCAGATGCCAATTGATAGATGCTGTCCAAAGGCCGCACTAATTATTACAAGCTCTCTTTCATTTGATTCACTCACGATGTCGCCATCGTAACATACCTCGCCCCATCGAGCTGTCCGGGTTCAAGAATATTTTAGAATAGGACAAGGAGCAAATGACAGCGAATCTATTCCAGAAGAGCACCAGCATATTCAAAATCAGGAGATGCATATATGGACCAGGAAAAGAGAGTCACCGGGGCGGCGGGGTATTCTATGTACAATCAATTCAAACGGTCATCACATCGGGAGCTTGCGCATCTCATCCAGCGACCAGTACTTGCACATGTTGTCTGCCTTCAGCGTCTGAACCTCCTCATCCAGATGCTTCCACAGCACTCCCCCGAAGCCCTCCATCAGGCGCTTCACCTCTTCGCGGCGCATATCTTCCTCGCCAGAGCGGCATTTCTCTAGGTAGGATTCCAATTTCTCCAGCCCGGCATGAATCTGCTTGTGCTGCTTCAAAAGGTCAAGCTCCTTCCGAAACTCAGGCATTTTCTTTGCCAGCACAGGGAAGATATGTTGCTCTTCAATTGAGTGGTGGAAGTCGAGCTGGGAGCAAAACTGAAGGCCCATCATGATCATCTGGCGCCCCGAAAGCCCGCCCGGGCGCTTCGCAGAAGAGTCACACGCATCCCAGAGCTGATTCCATGTCATGCGAAAATGGTTATGCTAACTTGCAGTCAGTGATCATTCCCCGGCGGGGCCCGTGTGGGAAGCTTACGAAGGCGTCCATTTGGTCGGACATGCGATTATAAGTTCGTAGATCGCCCGCGGAAAGCGGAGGCAAAGGACCACCAGCACTCTCAGAGCTGGCCACTTTGCTGTTCGTGCCCGCCATCGGAAATGAAGGTTGTGAAGAGACAGAATATAGGCGTGAGGAGAGAGAAGCCCGAAAGAATGGTGGGGCAACAATTTGTCGCAGAGTACGCATGGAACGGCAGTTGAGCGCAATCCACTGCCGAGTCAGATCGAGATCACCCGTGAGAAGCCAAGAAGGAGAGAACAACTTAAAGGCAAAAAAGCGGACAATATGGATGAAGGTTGGACGACAGAATCTGGTGTGATGAGGAAGCAGAGATTTTTGATTGGGCGAGAGCACAGTAGCGCCCGGGCCGACCGAACGACGACAACCTACAAGCGTAGAGGTTGGGACGGGATACGGCAGATGTGGAAACCTATGCGTGGCAAATGAAGCAACTGTTTAGTAGGTAGCCAAGTTCGAAAATACGCATATATACCTAAAAACCAGCTCCCTAAGGTATATGGTCTCGGATATCCTTGTTACCTGAACACCTAAGATTGCTTATTTATCTCTTGGCTAAATCTTGGCTGATAGAGAGGAAGACTTGAGTGATTCCGCCGAGATCACCGGGGGCCGAAATATATATTGGAAAAACGAAATCCATTTCCATGTACCCGACGGGATGAGTTGTACACCATGCTCCTAGGTATTGATAGGAAAACTGACCGCTACATAGATGCAAGACGGTTGGAGTTGGACGTGAAAGAGGATTTATTTTGGTATATACCTATTGGACTTTCTACAGGTATGTCCCAGATCTTCAATGGACGTGTGCCACCTCAGCAATTAAGCTGTTCGACACAAATCTAGTACTCACTGGTTTAAGAGGATACACCCCATTTCAATATAAGCACTTCTTCGGCGCAACCGCAGCCATGGAAAGGCTGGATCGCAATTTGACATCCGTGCTAGATGAGTTCTGCTAACGAGAAAATTCACGGAGATGTTGCAACAATGTCATATTCAACTATGGTTAGTTCTACAAGACAGAATGTCCCAGATCTTCAATGGACGTATGCCACCTCAGCAAATGAAGCCGTTGGACATAAATCTAGTACTCACTGGTTAAAGAGATCAAATCTCGGTCAATATAAGCACTTCTTCGGCACAACCACAGCCATGGGAGGGCTGGATCGCAATTTGACATCCGTGCTATGGGAAAATTGATGGAAAAAAAGCACGGGAAGATTTGAAACAGCATAGCATTCAACTATAGTTAGTCCTACAAATTAGAATGTCCCAGATCTTCAATGGACGTATGTCACCTCAGCAATGAAGCCGTTGGACACAAATCAAGTACATCACTGGTCAAAGAGAAAAAGAAATCCCGGTCGATATAAGCACTTCTTCGGCGCAACCGCAGCCATGGAAAGGCTGGATCGCAATTTGACATCCGTGCTAAGGAGAAGATGGTGATGCTAGCAATAGGTAAGGAGGTCAGTGGGGTTAGCCGATGGCAGAAGAAAAAGTGGTATGTTATTAATAATACACATCGTGGTATCGGTGACGCTGAGGATGGGACGAGAGATATAATATAACAAGGAAGGGGTCACCGGTGGAAGGGGAATCGAAAATTAGGCAATAAAGGTCGTAACGCCGTTGAAGATGGAGGAAAAAATGCAAATCGAATCAAAGCTCATTGTGCGTAAGAGACTTGGGGGCAGGAGGCCTGAAATTGCCTGAGCGGATTTCTTGCCAGGCAAGGTCAAAGCGAGCTCCCAACATCCAGGCAGCAGCCACCTAGGATGGAGTTAGTCTGGGAATGAAAAGCAAACCATAGTCTTAGTAACGTACCATAACACCAGCCACAATCAAGATGATCACACCCATAATGGCCAACAGGAAGAAGACGTCGGACTTGTTCTCCGCCTCCGCCTTCCGCTTCTCGAGCTCCTCCTTCGAGAGCTCACCAGACACGCGACGCTTGGCATCCTCGGCATTTTGACTAGGGAAGATAGTCTCAATAAACTTCTCGATCTGGACGTTCATTAGCATCAGGTACACGGCAAATAGCACCGGAGAAAAAGCCTTACCTTGCCACAGGTGATACTGATCTTCAAGAAGTTGGGGTCCTTAGGGGTGTTCTTCTTGTGGATGGCACGGGTGAGACGGCGGAAAGTCTGGCACAGGACGTTCAGATTCTGAGTGGACTGAACCATGAGTTCACACGCGTCGCCCTTGGTGATCTTGACATTACGCTCGAAGACGGCGTAGTTGCGGAAGCACAGCTCCAGCGTAGCAATAGCCATAGACTGGGGAATGGCACAGAAGTTGAACACACTCTGCTCCCGCAGTCCTGCCAGGTAGAAGAGACACTCCTCCACATGCTCTAAAGCATTGAGAACCATTTCCGAATTGCAGTTGAGTGCAGCCTCCTTGTGCTCCGGCTTGAAGAGATCCTCGAACTCATTCACATGCTTGGACCAGATCTCCTTGGGCCAGAAGCGTCGCTCGTCGTCAAAGTCCTCCCGGATATCTCGGATGATGTTGGTCTTCTGCAAGAAGAGACCCATCGACTTCTGGAGCTCAGGGCGCTTCATCAGAGCGGGGTTGCCAAATTCGGCCTCGACGAAGAGGCGAGTCAGACCCTCGCCGACCAGACCAGCGACATAGAAGCAGTAGAGATCATATTCCTCAATTGTCTTCACGCTCGCATCCTCCGTGGCAGCCTTGACGCAGTAATCAGCCATACCATTGCCCATCTTGTCGGTGATGTCCTTCACAATGGCCTGGTAAGCGGGCTTCATATTCTTGAACTCGGTGATCACATTTTGGAACTGAACCAGCAGCTCCCGATCCTTCTCTTCCGGACGATTTCCGGTGAAGTTCCAGCCATCCTGGGTTAGGAAGTCCTTGAAGTTTCGGAGGAGGGGTTCCTTGGTCTCCAGGGGAATGGACGTGTCATCCTCGATAGTATCCAGACCACGGAGGACAAGGTAGAAAACAGTGATGGGGAGCAGAAGCTCCGGATGCAGCTCCTTGATGACTGTGCTGAAGCTGCGGCTGGTCTGGTCCAAGAACTTGTAGCAAATAATCTGAGTCTCGGTGTCGTTCTTCGCATTGCGCTCATGGGGCGGGTTGTGCCAGACTTTCCTATGCGAGAGGTATGATTAGCGGGAGGAAACAGAGACTGAAGCTTCATGCTGGGCCGGCAGAAGGAAACCAACCATTGAATAATTGACCTCAATTGGGTCGGGTGGAAAGCGAGGTAAATGGCATTGCCAATGAAACCCATTGTGGGCGAGACGGACACACAAGGGTCCTGAAATTGGGGGAAATGGAAAGGAAAAAGAAACAACCCAACGCAAGTCCGGAGAACGGAGAGGAATGCAAAAAAAAGACTTGGGGGGAAGAGAAGAGAAGGTGGGAAAAGGGGCGGAGTAGAAGCTTCAGGGAAAAGAGATTGCGGGCACGTGACTGTGCAGGCCCCGTGCGCTCACGGGTCGTCATTCGCAGTTGGCGGGGAGCGGCGGGCAGATCAACTCGTTGCAAGCCAAAAAAAGTTATTTCTGTTACCTCCCCTTCCACCCACCCAGCACGCGCAGTTTCTACGAAATTGTGGTTCCAATAGCTTGTTTACTCTCACCTGACCGCAGCGCAGCGCGTTCTGCCCTGGTGCACCCACGATGGTTGCCGACACTACCTATTATGATGCGTTGGGGGTCCCGCCGACGGCTACCGAGCTGGAGATCAAAAAGGCCTACCGCAAGCTCGCCATCGTCACCCACCCTGGTATGGCTTATAACGGCCCGCAATAGGTTAACCGTACTTACTCCACGCGATTAGACAAGAACCCTGGCGACGAGACCGCGCATGAACGGTTCCAGGCGGTATGCGCAGGCACCCGCATCGAGACATCAATACGAGGAAACTAACGCGTACGCGCTGACACTAGATCGGTGAAGCCTACCAAGTTCTGAGCAGTGAAGAGCTACGAAAGCGATATGATAAATTTGGCAAGGAGGACGCAGTGCCGGGTGGTGGTTTTGGTTCGTTCAACGCGCGTATTACCTTGGACACAAGGACTCCCATGGCTGACTGAGATCTCACAGAGGATCCCTCGGAGTTCTTCAGTATGATCTTCGGTGGCGAAGCCTTCGTCGACCTCATCGGAGAGATCTCTCTCATGAAAGACTTGACCGCGACGATGGATATTACGATGCAAGAGATGGAGGAGGAAGAGCTGGCCGAGTCTGCAGAACAGAAGCTGAACATTCACGACGAGGAGGTGAAGGCTGCCGGGGAGGGAACCTCTGCCGCCCCTGAAAGCTCTTCTCCCGCAGATGCTAAGGTTGCTGAGGCCGCCGCTGAGGCCTCGCGCCACTCAGAGGCTGCCCCTCCCCCCGCCTATGGAGAGGCGACCGCGCAGAGCTCTGGCACCAGTACCCCCCGACGCTATATGGGCCAGCAGGCGTTGATGGACAAGTCGGAGGAGGAGGCGCGGATGGAGGCAGCTGGCCTGTCGCAAGAAGAAAAGGAGCTGCGCAAGAAGGAGAAGAAGAAGGGCCTGTCCAAGGAGCAGCAGGAGCGTCTCGCCGCATTTGAGGAGGAGCGGAGAAAGGCTCGCGAGGAACGTGTCAAAACCCTGGCCGACAAGCTGATCGACCGCCTCAGCGTGTGGACAGAGACTGACAAGGGCAAGGATGTGACATTTGCCTTCGAAGAAAAGATTCGTCTGGAAGTCGAGAACCTGAAAATGGAGTCCTTCGGCCTAGAGATCCTGCACGCTGTTGGCGCTACCTACGTGCAGAAGGGTACCTCGTTCCTTAAGTCCCAGAAGTTCCTCGGTATCTCCGGCTTCTTCTCCCGGCTCAAGGATAAGGGTACTCTGGCCAAGGAGACTTGGACTACCATTTCTACCGCTATTGATGCTCAGATGACCATGGAAGAGATGGCCAAGCTGGAGGAGCGTGGTGGCGAGGACTGGACGGATGAGAAGAAGGCCGAGTACGAGAAGAAGGTCACTGGTAAGATCCTCGCTGCGGCGTGGCGCGGCAGCAAGTTTGAGATCCAGAGCGTCCTGCGCGAGGTTTGCGACCAGATTCTGGGCGACAAGCGGATCCGCTTGGAGAAGCGGGTGGAGCGTGCTCATGCTCTGGTGCTCGCGGGCAACATCTATGCTAAGGTATGCCTGCCCCAAGATTCCTTCTCAAATGACTTGACCTCTAACTGGCACATCCAGGCTGAGCGTGACCCCGAGGAGGAGGGCGACTACATGGCATTTGAGCAGCTGATGGCCGAGGCGATGCAGAAGAAGGGCAAGGACGAGAAGAAAAAGAAGAAGTCCAAGCACGGCCACGATTCCCCGGACGCATCGCATACCGCGGAGAAGCCCACTGCTTAGGTTCCTTACTATTTCACACCTTATTTCTGCTTTCCTAGCCCCCTCTTTATCGTCTGAACATACAGTGTCTGTTGGTCCGGTTGCGTTTTGTTATGGGTCTCTTCATTCTCCTCACCTTTTACACAGCGACGTAATGGCCTTGGGCTGGGATGGCCATCGGTTTGTCACACATAGTTCAAGTCATAGATTGCCCTATTATATACCGCGGCTACCACAGCCCATTCAATCAATTGCCCACACCGCCTTCCACTCTGCTGACACGCAATCTACGATCCCAACACTAGCATATCTTGGTGATCGAAACAACTTGAAAGACCAGGATCAACATCATATTAATTAAGATAACCAAACCGGACCCAGGGTATCTCCACTAGACCATTACACCCCTCCCATGCCACACAAGCCAGAGATTGTAGACAGCAACATTTCCCCCGAAAGCATATTGTTAGCGTGGATTGTCGATTGCCGAACCGAAAAACTACGATCACGGATGACCTGCATGGTGCTCATGGTAGACGGTGTTATCGGCGCTCAGCTCGGCACTGGCAATACCTAACTGTGATGACGGGCTAAACGTTTGACTGGTGGGTGGCTGGTTCTGCAAAGCCTCAGCATCGCAACTCGACAGCTCCGAAGCAGCAACAGGGGCTGGGGCCGTACCCATCGGCTCCTCATGGTCAGGAGGAGGGACCGTCGATGTCTGGGGCTGCGCGGGAGCCGCCCCCTTTTTCATCGACTGATAGCCTGCCCAGTCAGAGAATAATACACCGCACACGGCAAGGATCGACAGGATGAAAAGAGCGAGGAAGATGAGCCTAGTGGTGCGCTGTGGGTTAGCTTGGAGGTGGTTCGCGTTCGGAGAATGGGGCTGGGTGATTGTACCAGAGCAGAACGGCAAAGGCAATGATGGCGTTCAGGTAGTCACTGGAGCTGGTGACACCGCCGAGGAGGGACACGATATCGGCAAAGCAGGCCAGCCAGAAGACGGAGGTGACAAAGTAACCGATGATGAACCCGACGCCGAGGATCGTGTTCAAGGTTCGGCTCACTACGCCCTTCCGAGTATAGAACCAGGGAAGGACCAGCGCGGCGGCGCTCACCAGGATGGTCCAGACGGCACTGAAGAGGATGAAGCTCACGATGCCTGGGGTATCCGTATGGACGGTCTTGTAGACATAGCCCTGATAGGGATCCCAGTAGTACTCTCTGTGATCCCCGCCCCAGAAGGTCGCGACGTAGGCGGTCAGGCCCAGCTCAACAATGGCAAAGGCCAGGCAGCTGCTGAGCAGGACATAGAGGACGATGTGGAGCGCCAGCATGATGGCGAAGCAACCGGCGATTTTGGGAGTATCAACGCGAAGAAAGGCGTTCCGGGGGAAAAGGGAGGGGAAGAAACACAAAATAAACGAGGCGCTCAACCGCGTCGTGCCAGTCAGGATCCGGATCCCTTGCGCTCTTTATCCTGTACTCCACGTGCGGCTCTGGAGGCACTATTGAGTCGGCGGCAGCTTGGGGGGGAGGGCTCATCCATAGCGAATCACCAAGCCCGTGATACTGTGCCGGTGCGCCAATTTCTGCCCGTTCTGGCAAGTCCTGCCCCATGCTAATCCTCGTTCTCCACACGGGCGTTGTGATGCGATACACAAAATGGCCAGAGATCAGCCCCAAACAGACCAGGTGCTCGTGGTAAACCAGTCCGGTTCGATGGACGGTGCCACCGCAAAGTCTGGTCTCCAATGGCGGAGGGTTGGCTCGCGCCTGACGGGGGCGGATACGAGCACCCACGTCGCGATGGCGCCCGCCCCGAGCCCGATCGGTGGAAGGTAAGCGAGAGTGCGGTTTCGGGCCGGGTCCTGTCGGTTCCTGAAGAACCCCCATTGGAACTCGCCCTGACACGGTGTGGGGAGCTGTACCCTGGCCCTGAGATGATTGCAGCCGCAGGGAATTTGGCCGGGGTCGTCATTGGGTCAACTGGCCCGGCTGGCCGTGTTGTCTGTTGTGATGAGCGCCCGGAGTGCAGCAGAGGCACAGGCACCGGACGGACATTTCTGCAAGGCGGTTATGTCCTGCAGCACTATGGCAGTGAGCAGCTTGCCGGCCAGGTGTGATGAATCCGCATGTGGTGCCTGAGCGATGTGAGGAGTCGCGTCGGAGCGTCTTGTTGGCCAACCGGGGCCCTCAGCTGGGGACGTGTGGAGGCGCCTCCTCGCATCGACACTGCGCCATGTATAGCATCGAGCCGCACCGTATGTATAACAGAAAGGACGCAGCTTGAGCCCTGGTCGCTGCGGACCGTGGGAGGCTGAGTGATTTAGAGTTCACCACGAGAGCTCTTTGTGCAACTTGGCCAATCCGCTCGACTTGGCAACTCCCTTGACGAGTGACGAGTTGGCCATGGCGAGTCAGTCTCGTATCCGCCCGGTGGAGTGTCGGCCGAGGATCAGATCGACACAATGACTGCCTCGTTGGGGTGGACCTAGCCTCGGAATGCCCAAAGACGAAGCAGCAGCAGAAGCATAGATGATGGTGGTATGGTGGTAGGATTCGCGACCGTCGGTTAGCAACTGCGAAGATGCTGTACTGGCGTTGACAGAGCCTCGACGTCATGAACCATTTCTCCGGTCGATCGGCCCCAACCTTAACTCCCGATGGTTAACCGCGGGCGGAGTACGGGGTACAGAGGACCAATCTGACGAGTTAGCTCATGAGCCGACTATCTCAACACCCAACAGGCGGGTGATGCTGTCCGGCCAGACACCGGACAACAACCCCCTCCGACAGACATGTTTCTGACTGTCTCAACTGTCTCCTACTCTCCTACTCCATCCCGATGGCTTCCACCAAAGAGGTACCCACGGCCGCGCTGTTGTCTCCGTGGCGGAGTTCCCACTGGAGTTCATACAAGCCTTGCCCCACCTTCAATCCCGGACGACCCTAACTCTTGGCTCTGATCACAGCCGTGGTGGCATGGAATTAATCCTTGTGCCAGCAAACGTTTCCCAGGAGGTCGTGCCATCAAACACGTACCCCCATGCACACACCCCGGAATCCCCTACCGAGGGGCCGATCCCCGATCCTGGAAGCCTTCTTTGCGTCTGGATTTGATATGAAGACTAGCTAGGGAAATACGAGTCCTTATTCCGACGTGGCCGCCTCTTGACGGCCCCCGAGGCTATCCCGTGGAATGCGAGCTAGCGCAGATACATGTGCTCCATCGACACGCGCAGAGATATCCTAGTTCATGGCCAACAAATGGCGGGGGCTTAGAGACACTCGCCCAAAAGGTGGCTAACTACTCCAAAAGCGTAGCTGGGAAAGTAGGCTTCGGACCACTAGAGTTCTTGAATGATTGGGAGTATATGCTAGGCGAAAATCTCCTGCTACCCACCGGTGCAGCTACTGAAGCGACCGCAGGCTCTATTTTGGAGCATGTATGGTCGTCTTCTGTACCATGCAGGCCGTGGTGAAGGTGTCTATGATTCGTCAATGAACGTGTATCCCAATGGCACAATGCGACCCAATAGCCACACTAACGATATTATTTAGACGGGATTCCCTCTCCTCGGCGTCTGGAGCGGCTTCGCTAGACTTGTCTCTGGGCTGATTCAGCTTGCTGGGTCGCCGACTAGAGCTCTTGTTCAAAGGCCCTATGTCCATGTCTCTGAGCGGCTATCTGTGGAAGGGATTTTCGTTGGTTTTTGAACTCGATCCATCTGTTAATTGTACGGTCTTAGAATAAAATCTAGATTACACTGTTAACAGATGGATCGAGTTCAAGAACCAGCGAAAATTCCTTCCACAGATAGCCGCTCAGAGATGTGGACATTGTTACGAAGGGGCCAAGCTGGAAAGAACCAGGTCCATTCAACGGAACAACTAAAGTGAAGAAGGAAGAAACTATTGGGGGGTGTCCGCTATTATGAAGAGGGCTCCCTCGCAAACAGGCCCAATCCGGCTAGTCAAGTCAGCTGCTTCCTTTAATCACACGTCCCTCAGGTGATCCCCAAGCCCATCGTTCTGACATGCGTCACAGACATAGGGCCTTTGAACAAGATTTCTAATCAGCGACCCAGCAAGCCGAATCGCCCAGAGACACAAGTCTAGCGCGGCCGCTTGAGACGCCGAGGAGAGGGAATATCGTCTTAACAATATCGTTAGTGCGGCTAGAGCCGCAAAGATTTCCTAACTTTCGATCGAGTTCCTCTGAAGCATGCTTGGCCTGGCAGGCTACGATGGTCGACACACCTTCGAAGACTACAAGAAGCTAAGGGTGGACCATAGAAGCGTTTCCGTCCGGATAGCCTCTAACGAGAAAACCCAAATTGAATTAGGCCTTTAGGGCTTGATGAGTCCTTTATATGATTCATTTGGTGAATAGTGATCTCTTTCTTATTTTAGAGCTAGTCTCCCGTGGATATCTTACCTCAGGACCTAGGTAGGTTCTTGAGAAATGCTACAGATAGCCGCCCCCAGATTCAACTGCGGTGATCTCATTTTATTGAGTTGATACAAAACGTTGAATTCATTGCCTTCCAGTCTTGCGGTCTTACTAGGTCACCCGTAGTCAGAGTCATATCGATTGTTATACAGATCGGTCAGTGCCTTCCCAATACTGGCTGCATAATCTTCCTCTCTAATCTGTGTTAAGCAGAACATGCCTAGGTGATCACCTGTTTTTCTCTGACCACACGGGTTCCTTCCTGACGTCTCCTCTTCATCCTCTTCATCCTCTTCATCCTCTTCATCCTCTTCATCCTCTTCATCCTCTTCATCCTCTTCATCCTCTTCATCCTCTTCATCCTCTTCATCCTCTTCATCCTCTTCATCCTCTTCATCCTCTTCATCCTCTTCATCCTCTTCATCCTCCTCGTCCTCTTCAGGGTACAGACTCTGGATGTGCGCCCACAGTTCGGACATTTTGATCGTCGCGCATCGCCTTGTCCCAATTAGGACTAAGAGCTTTTGCCCCGAACTACATCTAGCCCGGGCCCAATACCCTTTCCCTTTCAGATTGCTTCCCACCATCCTCACCTCCTTCATCACCCACCCCCTCAAGACGAGAGATCCTTCACCTGTCTTTTGTACTCCACGATACAGTCAGCCACCAACCACACTCCACCTTGACGATGTCGACCGCCTCAACAGCCTCGACTTTGTCACGTGCTAGCGCGCACGCGCTAAGCTATCAGCCATCCATATCAACATCCTCTACCTCTCACAGTTCTCCCCTGAGCGGAAAATTCCAAACTGATCAAGATGGTTTCCTCAGTTCCGAACACCGTGTGGGGGGTCCTTTTCTTTGTTCACTTCCCGTGACGTCCCAGAGAGTCTCACCTGAGTGTAAACGACGATACAACTTCAGCGCCAAAAGCGCTGAAATCCAGACAATCTCACAAGCCATACTAAGGAGTCACGATATAACATATATCGAAGTGATTGTCCAAGGTCGGATTTCTCGTTTTGATCCGGAACCAGAAGCTATCCCCACAGTGGGTGTGTTTGTTCAAACACTACCCCGCCACGCGCTACGCGCCGCTTGGGACATTCACCAAGCTCTTCGGGTGCTATTCCCCTACTTTTGTGTCGATATGAACATGCCATGTAATGTTGCCTCCTTAGTTCTGAAAAGACTGTAGTTGAGTTAATTCGAAAGCGGGACGTTCGACGAGGTACACGACTGGAATCCTTTCAGAACTAAGGAAGCAACACTACATGGCATGTTCATATCAACACAGATGTTGGAGCATCCGAAGAGCTTGGTGAATGTGCCATTTTCGAGTCCGGGCGTACCCCGTTTGCGGAACCGGGGGACTCTGGAGCCTTGGTGTGCGACCCCTCCTCAGGAGGAGTTGTAGGTCTCTTCTTCGGAGTATCGGAGTCGCCTCACCACCACTTACTTTAACTTATGTTATCTTCGAGGATATCATGAAAGTGACCGGAGCAACTAAGATTCGAGGTGCTTAAGACCACGAGCAACAATCGAAAAAAAAATTAGAAAAAAGAAAACAAATTTACTAACTGTTTCATGGCTTATTTCTATCAAAACTATTTCTGAATCTGATTGCTACTGAATTTCTGAGTTGTAGGGACACACTGGAGGCGGCTGGTTCTCGTTGTAGTCAGTCTTTTCACCTTCAAAGAAGAGAGCCCCATGCTCTTGACTCCTTAATTTTATACTCTTTCTAACTTCCTTTCCTATTTCAAGAAGGAGTTTACCTTGAATTGTAGCAATAAAAAGGGAGCAATTAATCAAACTTATGCGATCACATTACTTAATCACAAAATATATTAATTGTTGAAAATGGACATCCTCTCTTTCCAACTACTAACATTCACCCAGCCCCTCGGGCTAGGGGCAAAGGGGACGGGGGCGGGGGCGGGGGAAATACCTTCTTGGCCCTGCCTTATGTCAATATGCGAAACGATGGCCAAGATCGGACTGGAGAGTCATAACCATGATGGGAATCACTGAGTCGTGCGACCACCGCTTAGTTGGACTATTGAATTATGTGGCTTTACTTCACGCATTTGGTCTTTTGCTATTTGTATCCCTGTTCAATGTGGTCTTAATCCGGCCTTCCGACCCGTAGTTGCTTCCTTGCTGATGGCAGTCCAAACTGGTCTGGAATTCTCGCGAGTTTCTGGAGGAGCCTCGAGTCATGCCTTGAAACACAACTATGTAAATATACTTCTAAAGTTCTGCTTCGTATACGTGTAAAGATATTATTGAAGGCTATACTTCTAAGTTTTAATCTAAATCATGCAGTAAAGAAATATATCTCGGTCCGGAGTCGATCAAAACCGTTATGTCAGGTTCACCCGGGCTTTAATTGGTCTCTTTAGCGTTAACCATGACGGAAAAATATATCTCAAATGAAGAAATCTTAGACAACCTTCGCCTTAGCCCTCTTCAAGATGATGGGGGAACTTCATAAAAAGGGGTTGGGGGTTGTCTGGTTTTGACTGATTTTTCAAAAGTGGCTAATTTAACGGATGCATTCAGTTAACTGTTGGGATATGAACGCCGGGAGGTCGTTATGTTTCCGATTACGAAAGGACAGTTCAATTTTATTATTTGCATCAGGATGAGCCAGTCGGTTCCACACCTCTTCTTCGGTCAGAATCCTCACTGCGTCTTTTGAGAAGAGATGTTCTTTCCAAACTCTGCTCAAAAAGCTGATCCAATCACACTAAGGTCAGCCTCTAAAATGGTAGCCAAAGGTCAGGAGCTTGACCACCAGCGCGAAAGAAGGTTTAGCCGTGGGGGGAGGCGCATCAGCGCTTCAGAGGTGTGTGTGTACACGGCATTCGAGTGAAGAAAAGAGGGCCTTCAGGGCGTTCTGGTGAAGACCGGTAGGGGCTAAAGTAAAGCGGCAAGGGCGCCGTCCCAACGAGTCACACGAAACGGGTGAGCAAAAACATACAACAGTCAGGATTCGCATGTGGTCACCCACCATACTACTAACTGACCGGCGTGTGGCTTAAGTACGGCTGAGCGGACGGGAAGCCCTGTTCTCCACACCCTATGGTCGTATGTGGTAGAAATTATGCCAAGAAGTCTCAGAATTGTTACTAGCGAAAGATGGACATAATACACGCGTGGAGCGGATCTGTCACTTTCTTAGAAATCACTTTATTGGAAAGTTTCTATAATTTTCTATTCGCGAATTCCGGTCGCCATTGGTTTTGTGCTGTGCACCAGGGATCAGCATGGTTAGGGCATTTTGGACAGTGCAGATGCTGGCCATTCTTATCCTGGGCGAGGATGTTTTGGGTGAGTATCCGCGGTCTATGCTTTTGGGGGGAGGTCAGGTTGGAGGGGTTTGAGGCAGCGGCAAGGACTATGAGAAGCGCTCAGCGATCTTGGTTAGACAACGACAGGTAATTAGACGAGACGAGGCATATTTGATCTAGCTATCCGCGATGAATGTGATATGTACGACTTTCTTTTTCTTTTTCTTTTTTTTTTTGACTGACCTCGCTGGCGTGACTATATGTGCCTATGACCTAAGGGCCGCAAATCATATTAAAAACATAAGGTATATTTGCTATCTACCGACGGTTATATGGTCCCAATGAGCATCTTCATTCGCACATTTAGATACCCTTAGACAGGACAACCCACAGCCAAGGGTGGTATACTGTCTCATCATCGACCGGGTCTAGAATAGTTGGCAGGTATTTCGTATTCCATTCTTCATCCAGGTCTTCATCAAAATATTCCGGGTTCGGCCTGACGCGACGCACCTTGCAATACTCCCAGTAAGCAGGATACCACCCTGCTTGGCCCCAATCAAGGATGGCAGCTACTACTGGATTCGGTCCGGAGGATAAAACGATATTGGGGGGTACAAGGTCATCATGCGTGAAGACCACGGACACGTCCCCATCGATCTCGATACCGCAGCCATTCTGGAATCTCTGGACGGCGTCTGCACCGTGGAATGGCCCAGCCAAGTTCCGGTGCCCGGAAAGAAAGATGTCATTTAGCGGTTGATTGTCTAGGCCACCTAAGAGGAACTTTAGCATAGTTCAGCCTAGGTACCGCAATGAAGCCGAATTCCTTACCCACGTAAAGAACTTGGTCAGGCCGTTCTAAAGATCTCCAGGCCTTGGCCATGCCGTTGAGCTCTTACAAACAGCTTCTCTCTCCTCCCCGTTCAAAGCAGCCCATCTTTGCTCCACGGTATCACCCCCTATCAAAGACATGTAGATAAATACTTGGCCACCGTCTTCGGTCCACCCAAACACCTCAGCAACTGGTACTTTGCCTTTCAAATGCTTGTATACCATATATTGGGTCTCTACCTCTGTAACGGTTGTGTCGGCACCATATTTGACAAGGAGGCCCAACGATGGAAACTTGACAGGCGGGAGTCGGTTGAACATTGTGCCACGGATGTTGCCTGACTTCTCGTTGATGGCTCTCACCTCAGCCAGTTTAGGTAGTTTAGACGCCCTATGCTCTCTAAAAAGGCGAGAGTCAGAAATGGTCCTCGATGTGTTGTGACTTGAATCGTGGAGGCCGGTCTCGACTTGAACCCCCTCGGGCGTCGTCTTCGAGATAGCACAGGTGAAACAAGGGTTTCGGTGGTTATAGGAAGACCCAGTCTTCGAGAGTAACAGACTCGTAGTAAGCCGAGAGCCTATCGATTTCTATCGATTGAGTTCATGGAACGACAGTAACGTCCACGGATATGCGACGCTGCGGGCTGAAAACGTGGGGGACCTAGCCGGACCAATCAAAGCTTCTAGCGCTGGACAGGGTCTCGTATAAATAAGCCAGGTTTTGAACTATAAACAATCCCCACCAGCAGCCACCTAAGGGGTAGGGGACGGGGGGATGAAAGAAGAATAACAGACCGGATATGCACCCTAGAGCGGGTATTCATCACCCCAGACTCTGTCGAATAAAAGTAAATATACCCACCCACCTCGGGTTGAGAATTCTCGCCCTAGTGTCACCTCGTTCTCATCTATCTCGCCCTAGTCTCCAGATTTCTTACCTATATTACCCACACATTCTAAAGCAAATAATTCATACCGCTTTAATACTCAGGGCGCATTGAGAGTTGACTGTATAAAGTTTGTGGCTCAAGTACGGCCGAGCGGATGGGAAGCCCTGTTCTCCATACCCTATGGTTGCATGTGCTAGAAATTGAGCTAAGACGTTCCATAGTTGTTACTAACGGCTAGAGGATACAGAGGTCATAGGACTTCATACCTTGAGCTTGGCTTGAGGCTTATCACAAGTAGAATAGTCCTGGCCTTAGGCCGAACATATGTATATACTTCCATATGAAGGCTAGAGGGATATAGAACTAAGCAGACTATAATCAGAATACATAATAATGATGTATGCAGTAGGCGCAAGCGCATGAAACTTGAGAAACATCAAAAGCAAAAAGAACAATAAATAAACACATACAACAGGCAGGATTCGCATGTGGTAGGTAAGACCTCGATGATGCTGAAAGCAGCTGGGACAACTATATCCAAACTCTTAGTATAGCCACAATTTATATCATCACTATATGTATTGTTATAGTGACACTTATTTGTCTTATTTGTGGTATCGGTACGGTAATGATTCTTGATCGCCTACGGGACCTTTATATACCTATCACCGTAGCATCGATCGGGCCTTTCTCGGTTAAGAATTTTTCATCGATGATTGTAACAGATCATTCAAGATTACCTTCATGTTGTCAAAAGCTTCTGCATCTCGCTAACATCTTGTACTTCATCTATCGTGCGATTTTCTGTCATTTCCCAACTATCATGTTCAACCTGCGCACCAGCCATGCCATCGTCGTTACTTATGCGTGGACCACTGCCCACAACCACCCATCATACCCCTTCTCGCCCACCGTCTGCAACACCACCGCATCTACTCCGGGCATCGTGCCCACATTCTCTACGACCTCGCGCGACCCTCGAACCGACGGATCCACATCGTCTCCGTCCACCAACTGCCCGTCCCGAACCACATTATCCACACAAATCACGGCATGTGGGCGCACCATATCCCTCGCCACCTGGAAATACGCCCAATTATGCACCTTGTCCGCGTCGATGAACACGAACCCGAACCGCGGCCGGTCGCCCCTCTGCACCGCCGCCCGCAGCTGCGGGAGCACGTCCAGTGCCGCGCCCTGAATCACCTCGATCCGCGCCGCTAGCCCCGCTTGTGCGATGTTACGCCGCGCCACCGCCGCGTGGTGTGCGTTGTACTCAACGCTCGTAACGTGGAGCTGCGGGTTCTCGCTCGCCATCCAGATCGCGGCGTACCCGCCGAGGGTGCCGACCTCGAGCGCGTGCGTTACCCCTGCGGTCCGGATGTGCAGCGCGAGGAACTTGGCCTGCGGCGCGGAGAGCGCGTATCGGGGTAGGGCGCTGGCGTCCGAGGCGGCCAGCGTCTCTTGGAGGGCCTGCGTGTTGGGCCGCGATGCTGGGTGCGAGTGTGCCATGCTGTAGGTGTCGACCTCGGTCCAGCGGGGATTGTCCCGTGCGTACACCTGGTGTTGGGCCGCCGTGGTGAACCGTGTTGAGGAGGGCATGGTGTTGGTGATGAAAATGGATGGTCGGTATCTCCTGCGCAGGATGAGAGTGTTCTTCATCGAGATGGGTGTCGAGATGAGGGAGGCAGGCCCTCTAGGATCGCCACGGAGGGACTGCGTGCCTGCCGGGATGTCCCCGGTACATCACAAGCGTCATGTCTCGGGATATTTCATTTATCTCCGGACGCTCGGGCTTCTGGCTTTGTTTGGAGATGTGGGACCCGAGACGGAATAGATCCGATCGAAGGCTATCGGCGCGGTGGAGACCAGACCGGGACTGAAAGGTGTTTGGTGATTGGGCGTAGTTCCAGGTCGGATGGGGCCCGCTCTCCACCTACTACATCTATATGGATTTGCGCATGGTTTTTTGCCTCGCACTGGTTTGGCCAAGCGCCGAGAACGAGAGCGTGATGTTCTCCGAAAAGCTCTTGTCTTGACAATAACCCACGCAAGAAAGACCCGGCTGTACCCTGGAATTGAGGGAGCATCCTGATAATGTAATATTTCTCAGTGATTTTTGATATGGATCGTCACATTCTATCGAGTCCAGTACACGGTGCCGGGGACATCGGGAAAGGCATTGAGTGTTTGCGACGACTTGACGAGGAAACCGAAGTGCTCCATCGGGTTCCAGTACCCGCTGGTCTTGGATCCGGCAATCTGGCCCAGGCGGACCACCATGCTGCGGAATCGGTCGGGGTGCTGCTGGAGGGTCTTATCAAGCATTCTCTCGCAGCCCCGCTTGGCTTCCCCGTAGCCGTTGCTAAAGACGCTGTCGATGTCGACGCTCTACTAGGGGAGCATGGTCTTGTCCTGCCCGTTGTCGCTGCCGTGGTGGCCAACCACGCCGACGGAGGATACCATCTGGAAACTGAACTTGAACGACTCCGGTCGCACGGCACTGACGGCACAGCGAAAGTCAATGAGGTTGCGAAACACCTGGAACTACGGCTCAAGTCCAACTAAAGCCCTCTTCGCACTCATCGCCCGGGCATTGTGGATTAAATGACGTGACCGAGCCGACGAGGCTGTCGCATTCGCTCTTCGCCAGCCCGAACAGAGGCTTAGAGCTGTCGGTCTGCACGACAAGCAGCTTCGCCTTGAGTGCTTCGGGTAATCAAATGCACTTCTCGCGCATGGCCTTCTGCTGGCGGATATGGGGCTCGGCCCGATTATCGCGATTGAGACAGACAACCCTCTTCACGTCTGGAAGTCGGGCGAGATGGTAAACCAGGTGGTCGCCAAAGCTGCCAGTAGCTCCAGTCACAAGCACGACTTTTTCGTTGGTATTTGGTAAGCAAGCCAGAGAGTCCCGAGAGGGCTTTGCCTACGCTGCAGCCATACTCGAGTTGTAGCGTGAGGTCGAGCTTGAGCACCGTGAGATAGAAGCATCTTCTGGCCGAGCGCCTACCTCTGAAGAGTAGGCCCCAGTAGCAGAGCAGATCGGGTAATCTCCAGATCGATTTCGGGAGGTAGTAGGCTGATGAACGACGAATCCGATGGTAGGTCACGCAAGTCCAGCTCTGAACCGCCTGTCATCCTTATTTGTCTGACCAGATATCTCTCCAGGATCTCATCGTGGGAGCTAGCCATAGATCTCGAGATGGTGGGAAAAGGCAGCGTTACTCTGTACACGAGGTGATAGCTGGGCGGTTCATAGCCGTGGCCACCTCCACATCATGACCGAACAAATGACAGGACAACTCGATTTCGTTCAGCATTGCGGCACTCAAGCATGCCTTGCGCGGTGTAGTGTCTCATCATCGTGTGCGAATGTATATGGGGCAATGACCGCGTAAGCTGATGTGTCACAAGCTGCACCATGTCGCACAGGCTAGAATTATCCGACTTGAGTGTGGATAAGATCATGAGGCGGCCGCGAATAGTGCAAAGTGCCTGACGATAACTGTGCACAACTTGCAGTTTGCGTGTGTTGCCGCAAAATCCACCAACGTTCAGCCATATCATCTCTGGCTGTGATGATAATGTTCTCGGTAATTTTAGCGCATCGAGCCGATGCTGGTGGGTGGATGAGAAACTATCCCTGTCTCGCAAGGGAAACCACCTCTTTTCACTAGGAGCATGTTGGCTCTTCTCTAGGACGGGTTGCGACGAGTCCGCAAACTGGGACAATGGAATTGAAAAGTCAAGTATTGTATTAAGGCCTGACATCAAGTCTGTGCCAAATATGTGAAAATCGGTATTCTGCGTGAAATCAATAGTCATAGCTGCTGTGTGCCATGGAGTGTTTCGCTTGTGTCCAGAGTAGGCAGCATCTAGTTCAAAGAATGCCGGGAACCCATTGAGGGGTAAATAAGCCTGTACCTTTCTCTGAGGAATAAATGCATCCAATACCAATTCAGCAGGCGGTGCGTTATTGGATTCGATTATATCGTGAGTAGTCCCCGAGAACCTTTCTGTCGACCATGGCACACTAGATTCAGACAAACCCGACTGAGGCATTGCCGCTAAAGTGGAAAAGTTCCGGCGTTTGGCCTTCCATCTGTGGAGAATAGGGTGGCAGGGATGTCGGATATAACATGCGTTTGTTGATTCGACGAGTATTCTTTGAAGCCGGAATGCGTTTTGTATTTGCCTTGGCTGGCATCGCTGCTTGCAAGTTAGTGCGGGATCAATTGTGCGCTCTTTGGTGCATCGAGTTGAACATTTGCCCTCGGCTCCGTTTCTTTCATGAACTGCCTGGTGGCGTTGCAGGATATATTTCACGTGAAGCGGGCCCGTGTCCCGCGGGGGAACCAACCACCGCTGCCGCAAATAGGTAATCAGCATGCAGAGACGATCCCCGGCTTCGTCATGATCCGAAATGCATGTCGATCTTTCTGCCTGCTGCAGTTCTCTCCCGAGCTTCGATACCTCACGTGGATCGTACGACATCGGTGGGCGAGACTCCGACGGAAATGCGGAGTATAGGGATCTTATGCGGCGCTTGTTCCGGCTAGTATCTGGGTCTTCCTAATTTTCATCCGAGCATAATTAGACTCTTGCAAGCAAGCCTCGGCTATGGGCTATTTTGAAGCTCACGCCACTGCTTCTTTTAACTGCGTAGCACTTCCGTGTAGATAGCCGTCGTGTAAAACATACCCAGATTGCTTATCCAGTATGCCCTAAAGGGTCAGAGACGTTAATACGCGGGGAATGAACGGTTGGGCTGCCCCGCACCTGGACGCTGCTATTCCTCGGTTTACTAGCTTGTGCTAGGTGGACATCTACCTCGTGCACGCTCTTACAATGTGATGATTTGGATAGCAGATGGTCCTCACCACCCGGCTCCTCGGATGGCTATTCAAGCGGATGATCTTGACCCAACAGACCAAGTTGCTGTATATAAACTCGCCAGATGCCGTGTTCATAAAATTCACCAACATCAAGATCAAGAGTTATAGATGTGCTCCGATTCTCTTGTCGAGTAAAATTCATCGTTTTCATAATCCATGATCCACGCACCAATCTACACCATGGCTTGGCCCTCCCTGACCTCTATCGTGAAAGATACCCCTATTTTGAACTCATTATCCCAAGCCTCGCCCCAGCAATACATAATATATGCTTTGGTCGGCCTAGCCGTCTATCTAGCTATGGCATCCTCTTTGCGATTCCAGCGACGTCGAAGTCTTCACCAGAAATATCCATACAAAACACGCGAATCGATGGGCAAGATGAGCGATCACGATGCGTTCACAATCCAGAAAACAATCTTGCAGATGGAGTTTCCTTTCATTGTGCTCAAATCCCTCCAATTTGCTCTGTTCCGAGTATATGCCATCATAGATCTCCAGCCTACTGTTACAAACTAACTTGTCTCCCGATAGACATATGGCATTCCGAGTATATCCACACTTCTTCTGAAAACATCCCAGTTCTCCGATCCAGCCACATCCTTCAAGCGCTATGCGGATACAGGGGCTCTCATTGGCGAGTTCATGGCATTTGACCCCAGTTCAGACCGAGCGCAGACTGCCATCGCCCGAACCAAGTTCCTGCACAAGAGCTACCGAGCTAGGGGCAAGATACTGGAAGACGACATGTTGTATACCCTGAGTCTGTTCGCACTGGAGCCGATTCGATTTGTCAAGATGTACGAATGGCGCGAGATGACAGAGATGGAACGTTGTGCTGTCGGCACGTACTGGAAGAGTCTGGGAGATGCACTCGCTATTAGCTACGAGGCGTTGCGATCCGGTAAAACAGGATTTCGTGATGGGATTCACTGGCTGGAAGAGGTCAGGGAATGGAGTCTCCAGTATGAGGCGCAGCATATGAAGCCACATCCTCGGAACAAGGAAGTCGCCGACAGGACCATTGATGTTCTAGTGTATAACTTGCCAAACTTCATGAAGCCGCTGGGTCTTTACTTCGTTTCGTTCCTGATGGATGAGCGTCTTCAAAGTGCCATGATGTATGCCCCCCACAACCATTTGAAAAGGCCAAGAGATTAACTCTCTCCTTGCAGGATCAGGGCGCCGCCCGCGTTTCTCAGCGCAATTTTCTCTTCAGTCTTCCGGCTGCGCAGATTATATTTACGCTATTTTGCGCTTCCTCGCCCGGCGTTCATGCGGCTGGACGTCTTCACCGAGAAGCCTAATGAGTACGGTCGAAACTTTGTCCTGATGTACGAAGGCGCACCTTTCTATGTACAGCCCACGATCTGGAATCGCTGGGGACCTGTGGCATGGTTCAAATGGGCGCTTGGTCAGCCACTACCTGGTGACGATGGTGATAAGTACTATCCTCAGGGATACTACACGCCAGACCTGGGACCAAAGTATTTTGAGGGCAAGGGCCGGAAGGAGGTAGAGAGTATCAAAGAGAGTATCCAGCAGCAGCGTATGCGTCAATGTCCATTTCCATGATGTGATTGGTTGTATTTGCGTACTGGCCTATCTGAGGGCTGGGGCGACGATTTGCTAGGACACTTCGTGGAAGCCGGGTATATTGTGTGATAATTTGAGCAGGGAAACCTCGACAATGAAGTTTGTTGAAACATGCCCCTCTCGTGGTCATGAACGGAAGTTGATTAACTGCTGTATAATGTCTCATTGCTAATATCACAGGGCGTATAGGTAAATCTTCATAACAGTTGGTCACAGGTACATAAACAGACATGATTGGCAGATGGGGTATCTATCAGAAATGGGAAAATGAGTAGTGCGGCCGAACCTTTCGAGATTGCCAGGTGAGAACATAAATCTATCACCCGAAAGTTTCGAGCGCCTGAAAAAAGGAAGCCGCCAAGGTTAGGTATCTGGTACAAATGGGAAATTCCGAAAATGAGAGAAAAGGTGCGGGGAAATGCACACGATTGAAAAACCGCTGTACGAAGACAATGCCACCAGGCTAGATCGAAAAGAGAGATGGCAAGGGGGTATTTTGCAAAGAGATACAAGCGAAAGGAAGATAGAAGATATGAGAAGATTAGTCGGTCCCACCGGGGGACGACGGTAAAGGGAGCGTCGCTGGGTCGGGGAATGAATCGTTGGAAGGCAAGGGGTCAGAGGCAAAAACAGAAGCATATTCGGTGGACGGACTGAGCAATCCTCGTCCAATCTCGCCAATCTCGCCCAACTCTTCTGGAGACAGGACCCGGCCACCCAACTCGATATCTTGGACGCGGACATTGTACTCGAGGGCCTTCTGGCCTTCTTTTATAAGCTCTTCAGTCCATCCAAGACATCGTTTCAGGCTCTGGTTCATCTTCTGACTATCAATCAGGAGCTCCTGGTGCCGGGCGAGGTCAAGCATGAAGCGTTTCTCATCATGGGCATGGTGTTTTGCATCATGTTCAGCGAGCGAGTCGGGGCTCAAGATTCCCTCATCTGCGACTGAGTCTTCATCGCTGAATTCAGAAGATTCGTCACGAGACCGAATGGATGAAAGTTCGCTTGTTCCTTCGTCCACTTCACTTGTCGTAGACAGCGCAGTGCCCGAGATGGATCGCGTCGAAGGTGCCATAGATAGACGCCCAGAGCGGCTGAGGCGTCGATATCTCCGCAATTCGGCGTTCTGCTTCCGCATTTCTCGTTCTAATGTCCGGTTGATGGCCAAGAGAGAAGAATTGCTGATTTCCAAATCCAGAATTTTACGTTCTGTCCGCGCATTCAGTGCCATATCATTCGGTCCGTCGGACTTTCCCGGGCTCAGAGGCATGGGCACATGTGGATCTGTAGATACAGAAGAGCCATTGCTGAAAACTCGGGGACGTAGCGTTGGAATTTGATTCGACATCACAGGCGTTATTCCATCTGGACCTAAGGTGTTGGACAAAATGACCGGACTTGCTCGAAGTCCTTCTGGAGGAGTGATATAGTGACTGCTTGAGTCCATGCTCGATGATTTTTTGTGCAGTCGGAGTGAGGGGGGGTTGCGGTCTATCAGGGATGGCATTCGGCGGCGACGCATAGCGTTGCACAACACTTTCAACAAACCCCATATCTGGGTCAGAACTGTGCTGGGATAGTGTATCATCAGGGGGAGTGGATGTGGCATCTGAGATCCGGGGGGACTTGAGACGAGGGGAAGCCGAGGCAGCCGGTCTGGTTGCGGGGACAAAGCGAGGAACGCCCCCTGAGCGGCGCTTGGCAGTGGAAAGAGTAGAGTGCGAGTCTTCAGTCGAAGCTCGCCGATCTTGATCACCGTTGGCGTAGACAAAGCTCGTGGCGGGGGACACCTTGCCCTGCTTGGGGCGAGATGGTGCATCCACCTCGGAGGAATTGGTTGACCGGGCATCAGAGGCGTGGAAGAACATGGTGGAGTTGGAGGCGAGATCACTAAACGAATTGGGTCGCGAAGTCTGCTGTCCGTCTGCCGTCAATGTCTTCGCTCTCAAACTCCTTGGCTGCTCGAGTTTGACCCCGCGGGCCGGGCTCCGCTCTGTCCGCCGCACGCCATTGACCCCGAGGCCGACCGTGGGCTGAGAGTATGGTGCCGGCGGGGAATGGGCAGGAGGGGTATTCGTGGGTGAGGAGAAAGCCCCATCGCGGCGGGTGATGCGCGAACCCGATCGAGGGGTGACGTTTGCGCTCAGGAAAGATGGGGGGACGGTGGAGATATCCTCCTTGGTGGGAGTGGAATAGGGGTGGTCGGGATGGGCGAGACGGCGAGCAACAGAGGGTCCCGGGCTTGGGCTCGCGAGTTTGGGTGTGAGAGGGGCTTTGCTGGTGCGGTGGAAGGCCGCGGAGAGGGTCGGCGTGAACGGTTTGGCGAGATGGCCATTGTTTTGTTTATCGGAGGTCATAGTTGCGGAGCGGGAGCAGAAGCTGGCATCGCGATACGCAGGCTGCAGGGCATGATGGCACTGGCCAGCGTCAAGAGCAGGATCTCGTTTTTCGTCAGAGAAGAGGACCTGCGTGGCCTGATGGACGGGAAGGAGGGCGCAGGTAGGAGGATGTCGAGGGGCCTCGAAAACATTCAGGCCCAATCGGGCTTAGGGCGGTGTTCACCGCAACGAGAGAAATTCCGCGGCGGTCTGTTTCTGCGGGAATATACTTGAGTAAAGAGTATAAGTATATTCGATTGAGAGGTGGATTTGTATCAGATGTGTGTACTGGGATGTCGATCGTATTCAATATGATTCCTGATCTAGCTGGTTTTCTATGACAGCCTAAGGCGAGGCGCAGGGGGGCCCTGGTATGGACACAGCCATGGACAGGGGGTCCCGAGGCTCCACTTTAGAGCCAAACGGCCGGCCGATCACGGCTGGAGAGGGTGGGACATGCCAGACGCACGCCGCCGATGTTCTATAACCACGTATGTGCGGCGGAGGCTGCATCAGTACATCAAGAGAGATGGTGGGGATTTAAGCAATATCCGAAGATACTGAGTTCGTGTTTCTGAAAATTTAGGGGAAAGCCGGCATATCAACTGAAGAACAGCCGTTTTTGCCGTGGATCAACGTCGGTGTGTGACTGCTGGGCCGATGTTTTGCGTTTCCGGCTGGGGAGTATCGCGGACATTTCCTGCGAACTGTCTTGAACCACTTCACGAATGGTCTGCTTGGACAGACAAAAGTCCACGTGGTCGTTGAAGGCTCGGTCATCCGGAGCTTGCGGTCGGCCACAAATGGGACACTCCCACTGGACAGGTTGATGCTCGGTCACGTCTGCAGCGGTGCTTCCGGGAGCAGGAGTCACAGAGAGGCCGGCTGCTTCTTGGCTTAGCTGCTCCAGGTCGTTCATCTCATCTTGTACTTCTTGGCGAGCAGCATTCTCAAAAGCTTCCTCGGCACCGATATCATGTTCGGTGTTTACATCTAATGCCTCACTTTGATCTGAAGGTTGTACAGGGGTGGGCTTTGGCGGTGCTGCTACCCCAAAGAAGTTGACGCCGACTTTCTTGGTGCTGACCAGGTTCGACACTCGCAGTCCCAGAAGTCGTAACTTCATCCCGGGAATTTCCTTTTCCAATTTGATCAGCATAGGCAGTGCGAATGCGTAAAGGTCTTTCGCCTGTGATACGGCCCGCGGGGGAGCCGTTTGGCGTGTCAGAACCTCAAACGTATGAAGTTTCACTTTCAGACAGACGGTGCGACCCTTAAACTGCGTTCGTGCGAGATCCTGTTCCAACTCCTCCGCTGCCCAACGTAGCTTCTTTCGGAGTTCCTCTTTGTCTCCGATCTCATGGAATGTGGTTTCCGTGCTTACACTTTTTCTTTCGTGGTTCTCGACCGGTTCGATTTTCGTGCGTCCCAAACCGAGGTAGCATTGTGCTAGAAACTGGAAAGCCTTCTCTCCAAACAATCTGGCCAGCAAGGCACGTTGTGGGTAGATATCCCCGCAGGTTTTGATACCAATCGAGTCCAACTCTCGCTCGAAAACTCGACCAACTCCGTTGACCTTGCGAACTGGTAGGTCTCGCATGAACTCCATAATCGCGGTCCGGTCATTTGGCACCCGGAACTGGCCGTTCGGCTTGTTCTTATTGGATGCAATCTTTGCTATTTTTGCGTTGGCAGCAATCCCCGCTGAAACAGACACTTTTGTGTTTTCCAGGATCTCTGCGCGCATGCGTTGCACGGCCTCTTCAGGGTCGAGCTGGTTTTCGGCACAAAATGCGGTAATGTTCAGATAAGCCTCATCGATGCTTGCGCTCTCGAACAGAGGGTCGTACTGTGCCATGATCGCTCGTGTTTCTTTGGCCTTAGCCGTGTACTTCTCGTAGTTCTGCGGAAGAAGAACCAGCTCCGGGCAAAGCTTCTTCGCAACAAAGCCGGCCATGCCGCTGCGGACTCCAAATTTTCTCGCCAGGTAGTTGCAAGTTGAGAGCACACCTCCCCCGACAGCCATGGGAACGGTCTTGAGCTCTGGGCGATCGAGTTCTTCGACGGCCGCAAAGAATGCATCGCAGTCAACATGGACAATATATTGTGATAGATCGCGGCTCAGCTCGAGCTCGGCAAGATACTCGTCAGCGCGCCGTAGATCATGGCTTAAGTCTAACTTCTCCAGTCGGGCCTTTTCTTTCAGGATGCGCTCAATCTTGACCGTGAGGTTGCGGTCCCGTTCTTGTTCGTGGTCAAAGAATTTAGAGCCTTTGGAGGCATTGTAGATAATTTCCGATACCTAATCATCCCGCTTAGTTCTCGAGATCTAGTTACCAATTCCGGATATTGAAATCATCTCTGCAGCACGCACCTTTTGCTGATCAACCGCATCCTGGCCCGCTTTCAGTAAAGAGGGTCCCAGCAACTGATATTTCAGCGTTTCGAAATCTTCCTCGCCCTTTGCCGGCGCTGACTTCTCGTCCGCCACTCCATCCGGAGACGCCATTATCCCAGACGTGCCATCGGGGAGAACTGCCAGTTGTTCGTGTCAAGGCAGCCGCCGCGAAAGAGTGTGACGCCTGGTCACGTGCCCACGCGTAACCGCTTCACGTGTGCGGGAGCCGCCGCTTGCCATTCAGCAACGATTCTCCATGTGGATCCTGGACTCGACTGGAGACTTTCTAAACGGTGAGCTATTCTGAAGGGAAAGCCGAAAGCATGTGAACTTTGCAGCTGATTCTGTGTCAGGGAAGCGGTTATGGCTGCGTCCCGGGAAGGAGTACCTCTTCGGGCGCATCCTGGTGGATGACGGCATGTTCAATCACGGCCGGAGATGTTGAATGTCAACTAACAGGGTGTTCCTTCTAGTGCGCCATGCTATTCCGAACAAGTCAATCTCCAGGAAACATATGGTCGTTCATGTGTCCCAAGTCGGGCCTCTCGATGGAGTAGGGCCGCCAAACCGGCTGATACTGAAACGTGGTGCTGACGAGGGTAGCAGACTCGGACACACGTGAGGACGACTATCACCGTAACCGATCTCAACTCGAGTCGTGGGACCGTTGTAAATGGTGAAAAGATTGAAGGCAAGCGGGTGCTCAGGGGAGACGAGCACAGTATCATGCTCGGGCATTATCCACATGCGTTGCGGTGCGTTTCTCTGCGTTGTCTGTGCTGCCACTTTGGCTGATAATCCTGGGGTAGGATCAAGTGGGAGCCAGTGATACTTAGCTTCTCGTTTTCTTCTAAAGAGATGCGAGCAGACGATCCTCTCGCTAGGGTTCGCGCTCGTCTCGAAAGCCTCGATATTAAAACTGTCATTCCGTTCTTGGTCAACCAGACCACCCACGTCGTGCAAAGCAAACGAAACACAGCCAAAGGCCTTCAGGCCCTGATCAACGGCAAATACATTGTCGAGTACTCATATGTCGACGCACTCGTCTATGCAGCTACTCCCAGTGACCTCGAGAACGACGCGTCCTTGTCGCCGCTGGAAATCGACTTTGACTCAGCCTGGCCAGACCCAGCCGAACACCTTCCACCCGCTGGAAATGAACCGATCAGCCGTCCCGCTGCGGCTTTTGCCCCCAACCCGTCGCGAGTGAATGTCTTTGAAGGGTACACCTTTGTTTTCGGAGACCCGGCCCAGTTCGAGAATTTGCAAGCGGCAATCAATAATGGCCAGGGGAAGGCTCTCCTTTACCAGATCAAAGATGGAGAAACTACGGCAGCGGAGATTGTACAGTTCATGAGATCTGCTGCAGGTCGAAAAGGTATTGGTGCCGACAGAGACGGGTCAGGCGGCGTAGTGCTTGTGCGATTCCGTTCGAAAGGACGGTTCGAGCCTTGGTCCATCGATGTGGGCAACGAAGTCGCTCTGATGACAGACCAGCGAGTCATCGAGCAGCGAGAATTTTTAGATGCCATTTTGGGCAATGACGCCTCGCCACTTTGTCGCCAGCTTCCCCGCGAGGAAGGCGAGAGTCAGGCTTCTCCTTCTGCCGCGCTGCGAGAGTCTCATAGCAATTCTCCAGTGCCTGCCTCACCACCTGCTGAGGAAACACGCTCATCCATGCCTCGCAAGAAAGCCCGGCATGTCCGCACATATGTGAGCAAGATGAAAACTTTCGATGACGGCTTCGACATGGAATCCATCCCTGTCTATACGCCCGATGGTGGTGACGGGGATGGAGCCCCCTCACAAGCTATCGATCTGGAGCCAATCCAACCTTCTCAGCCCAGTCAAGCTGTGAGCGCAGTGGAAAATGAAGCAGATGATGAAGCTGTTGCAGATTTACTGCCTGGTTCACGAGCAATGAAACGCCGCCGTGCAGAGATGGGTGAAGACCAGCCGGGAGGCCGCGCTTCACGCGTGAAGTCGGAAGCGCCCCCAAAGACGAAGCGTCCCAAACTGGATGTGTTAAAAGCTGCGCGAAAACACCGCGAAGAGGAAGAGGAGCAACAACGACAGGCTGATGAGGATCTACACCCAGCCCAGGATGTGGATGTTGAGAAACTAAGAAACCTCGCTATCGTCGAAGAGATGGACCTACCCGTTCGGGAACCCATTGCACGAGGGAATGAAGGGTCAGAACACTGGGATGAGCGTTGGAATGGTCGTAAGAACTTCAAGCGATTCCGGCGGAAGGGAGAACCCCGACATGTCCGCCAGCGCATCCAGAGTGTGATTGTCCCGCTTGAAGAGGTGACCCGCAAGGACTTCGGCATCGGGGAGCACTACTGGGTCAGCACTCGCAAGAGCCCTGAGGTGAGCCAGGGTACAGACCGAGAAGACCGACATGTGTCCGGTCGCGAGGAGCGGGCCCTATCGCGATCAGAGATTTCGATTCAGCCTTCTGCGACTCCAGACCGGGTTCCTGACTCACAATCGGCACCCTCTCGCAGTCACACTGAGAAACGGCCCCGAGAAACCCGGGACTCGGACAGTGATGAAGAGCCTCGTTTCCGATTTAGGCGCAAACGCTAGCATCTAGGATTAGTTTTCGTTATACTGTTAAAATTGCAAGCGCGGCTTTTGCATTATTTCGCATCGATACCCTCGTCAATATCAATATCAGCCAGTCTCATCTACTTTCCTACATTTACGTCTTGCCAAATATGCTCTTCCCAGCAGGCGTGTGGTTATAACCTCGAGAGCATTAAGCAATTCTCCGGGAGGGCGCTTACAAGAAACGCCCGTTGCGTTGACCCTGCGCGAATAGATGTATGTGTATACCTATCAGGAGATTTTGAAACCCCAGAGGATCATGGGGGGCAAGCAGTGAACAGAAGCCCTTTCTGGACTCAACTGCTGTCTTCTTCCCGAAAAGGATCAATTGTTGGGTTATTAGTGAATCAAATTGACATCTGAATGGAAGGGCTGCCGGATCTTGTCAGGGACTCCTTCCCACTGCCTTTTTCCTGATGATGACATCAGTCAGGGCTGTCGAAACTGTCCACAGATACTGCGAGTCCAGGCCTGGTGGTATAGTGGTATTATACGTGCTTCGGGTCATCCCGAGAACCGCAAAGGTTCTCAGCATGTGCGTGAACCGGGTTCGATTCCCGGCTAGGCCCTTCTCTTTTTGAACCCCTAGCATAGGAAGCTCCATCGGGAATAAGAATATTGATTGATTGATACCGCGAGCCCGATAAACGCTCTCGAGCGTGTGTGGTCTCCAGGGTACCAAGGGTCAGTCAACAAAGGCGGTTATGGGGTCGTTTAGTTTGAGACATGCACACATGACGGACGGGAAGACCTTAAGATCCCCGCGGTCAAGCAGATCAAATCAATGGAAAGCCTGAGTTATCACGCGGGTGAATTGGAAGCGCTAGCTAAATCTTCATTCACAAAAGCAAGTCTGTCGTCCGTCGGCTCAATATTGTATAAAGCTATGTATTCTTTTGCTAAACCCGTTTTAGTACGTCCATTGCTTTGTCGAGTTGTTAGGATAGTTGCTCCACCCTGGTTATCTATCTGCAATGCAATTACGAATCGACACCATTGTATTCTGCAATTAAAATATACATTAGAAAGACAAGTTTTCTCACTACACGGGCTTGAATTCTGTTTTCCCATCTTCACTCTCGCCTCCATCGCGGATGATGATGCCAAGGATCCAGACATTGACGCCAAAAAAGAAAAGCGAAGCCAGGAACAGACCCGGCACAAAAGCAGAGAGACCTAGAAACTCCAGGTTGTAACCCTGTGAGAGCCAAAGAGCCTATCATAATGCATCAGGATAGACCTTCCCTAACGACAGGGTGGATTAATAACATACCTGACCAAGAACCCAGAGAAGGGCAGCCGAGATGCCCAGTGCGGGCTTGCGAATAAGGGAAGAGGAAGGCAGGTAAAACGGGAGGAGAATGAGATACCACAGAAAGTACTGTTGTCATGTAAGCTCAAGTCAAAATATAGATGATTTGAGGCTTACCTGGCTGGTGCACACTTTGTTGAAAGTAACGAAAGCAAAGGTCTGAGCAAGCATGGCAGTTGCCAGGCTCTTCTTCGCAAGAACCAATGGAATAGCAACGACAGCAAGCACAAGTTGAGGTAGGAATGCAAGTGTTTCGAAGCGATAGTTTGCTCCGCCTGCAGAGGCAAGGTAGAGCAGGGTGCTATACGGGGAGAAATTGTGCCGATGATCAATGCGCGTTAGGTGGTGGAAGAAGGTGTGGTGCAAGAACGGCATGCCGTACTGGAAGTACATGATCGCATTTAAGGCAGTAAAAGTGACAAGCGCAGACACAGTCAGCACCACGCGCGATGGGGTGATGAAACCGAGCACCCGTGAGATTAGCGTGGAGTCTTTCGGAGCAGGCGCACCGTCACGCTGGGCATCCCACCACCAGAGAATCGAAGATCCGTAAATAAAGGGGTAGATCTTGAAGTGAACAGCCAATCCAAGGATAATTCCCGCCGTCACAGGTCTTCTAGTCAAAGTAGCCCAGAGCAACGCTGCAACCAGCACGCCGAGCAGGCCCTCGGAGCTGCCGCGGGTGCTGATGTTCGCCACCATCGGGTTCCAGAGCCATGCAGCCGCGACATAACGGAGCGCCCGCTCAGTGGAGAAGTGGTAGTTCCGGCACAGGAGCTGAACAACGAGCCATCCGGCCAAGACATCCGCAAGAGCAAAGAGGATCTTGCCGAATGCAAAAGCCGCCGAGGCCAGAGGCCCCGATACCCCCCATGCAGTTGGAACGAGCATCCACGCCAGAAGCGGCGTATAGCGATAGGTGTCACGCGCATAGGGTGACTGGCCCCTGGCGACAAAGCGGGATGCATCCGTGAACACCATGTAGTCGATATCGGTGTATTTCACGGCGGAGTTGGCGTCTTGCCATCCACCGTAGAGGAGCAGGACCAGGCGTAGAGCCGTGGCAGCCAGAAAGACTCGCGGAGTGGAGTCGAAAAGGGCCATTTTGATGGGAACAGCCATGTTCCGGCAATGCAGAATATCTAAATAATGTTGAGGGGTCGCGGGAGCTCCCTGTTCGGTTTTTGGGTCCGTCGGGCGATCAATGAACCCCGTCTTCCGCAATGGCAGTCCTTTAAATTGTGTAGTGACCCGTTGTTTGTCCAAAATGGGTTATGAGGATCGAAGTCTTCAATTGGCTCGGCTTCCCATGCCCGCCGTCGCTTCTGCTGCGATGTTTACAGATTTCAATCCGAGCCAAATGCCGTTGGCTGTTGGGCTGAGTCAGCATATCCACATCCACAGAATTGCCGTATATGGAAATAGATCGGCAAGCTGGAGAGTCCGGTGTGAATAAGTATGGAGTATGGAGTAGAACGGGCGCACAAGATTGTGATTTGTGCGTGGTATCCCTTCAATAATTCTCTTCCCCTTAGATTTTGGGTATATTTACACTCATTAAGCTGGGAAAACTAAAACATCAACACATGGATTCTCCCGTGTCGCCTCGTGTCCGCCAAAAATAACCTTACATGAACATCCAAACAAAGACGCCCCCAGGGAACGCTTCCAAAAGAAATGGTCAAATAAAGTCAGTTGGCAATCAATAATATAATGGTGGGTTGACAAAATACGAGTCGGGGATGGGCTCAAAATACGGATGAGATCCGAACTTCGTCCCTTTCTCATGATCTGGGGTCAGCAGCGCCATGGCTTCGCTACGAGTATCAAGGTCTGAAAGACCTGGCCAAAGATTATTATCACTCCAGCTGAGATACTCCCAGAGATATTGGCCAGAGTCATCGACAAAAGGTGAGGACAGGGGATCTGCAAGTCCATTCTCACCCAGTGCCATGCCCATGCGAGCAGGCTCGGGCGGCGAGAACATCATGCCCATATCCCGACCAGCGGGGTAGAGGCCGGCCTGAAGTGATCCAGCACTGCTAGAAGTGGGCATATCTTGGCCGCGCTTACTGGCTTCGTAGATGCGCGAAACAGCGTCCAGCGACCGCTTCGCGGTATGCCCATAAGACTGCATCCGCACGAGCGTTGCCATTGCCATCTCGACCTGTGCTTGACAGGACTCAATGGAGGCGCGAGGGTCGTCTGCTGTGGGGTCGTTGAGGAAGAGGCCGACAAGCGGGACGAGAGACGCTTGGAAGGTCCACCAGACAGCATTCCAACCACAGAGCTGATTCAGCTGCGCAGTGGCGGCGATGTTCTGGATAGATAGTTCTGCTACCTCGCGGCATTTCTCGATCGCAATCCGCTCCTCGGCTCGGAGGGCGATATATGGAACGCGTCGCATCGCGTAACTCAGCAGAGTAGGACGGAAGAGCAGCATGCGTTGATTATAATATCGCCACCTCATGACAGTTCGCACGGTTCTAATAGATTCCGAGCATGACTGATGATCCTTGAGTACAGGCGGAAGATTTTCCCACCACTCAAGCAGTTGTGTGTCCGCATGAGCCATCTCTTGATGTTTAACGAGCGGAGCGGCTGCAAGAGACTCCTGGACCTGCGTCGCGATCTTGGCAAAACGAATATTTTCCACCAATGGGAGAATCTCGAGAACGTTATCCTGTGGTAAACTTGTAAGATGAAACCTTGCCCCTTGATCTAAATTGGTACGCACCTTGTCACGGCAATTAGGTTGCCTAACTGTGATGTTGGGACCAAAGCGACCCATGCTCGGCCGGCCCAGCGTCATTCCACCCCAGGTATCCATACAAAAGAGAGACCACCAAACCCGGCGCTTAAGATCCATGGAGGCCAATTTACTTGGGCTCGGTCCTTGCCGGCTTTCAGCAAATTCTTTATGTAGGCCCAGACCGGCTGCCATCCGCAGCGCTGCACCCATGAGAGAATATGCGAGATTCGGTTGGCTGATATAATGACAATACCATCCGCCAATCAACCCCAGAGCTTGGATGGTCTCGAGATGAGAACTTCCAAGAGAGCTCAGACTCAAATGGCTCTTACAGCGCATGAAGTATGTGTGGTGTGTCTGGTCGTCTGGCTTCGAGGCAGCGACACTGCCTAGAGCAAGAACAATGTTGAGCAGCGCGAGCCAGTGCTCGTCCTTTCGGTGACCCATCATATAAGTTTCGCGGAATAACTGCTCATCAATCATCGGTGCAAAGGCCTGGAAGTGCAAGAAATATGCATCCAGCATCTGCATCTCCGTCGGAGGAATAGACGGCTGTGGCGAGGTGACGGGTGGCTGATGACCCCATTCAGACGGCATATCGTACTCCAGACCGGCCTGGTCGCGTGGATGAGTGGGTGGAGTCCGAGTGAAGTATGTCGCACACCCTGGATCAAGCCAGACAATAACTTTGAGCACTGCCTGGATAGATGAGACGCCGAGGTAAGACGATGGCTGCCGGGCGGAGAGAGAGAGGGCGTTGACATCGTCGGAGACGCCTTCGACCAGGTCGGTGGAACTTGGACGACTATCGTCGAGCTCCTCAGGCATGCTTTGGAGGGCCTCGAGATTGTCATCTTCGTTCGACAAGGGCGATACATGGGCTTCTACTGAGGCGGAAGTGGCAGGCGAAGCGGGGTGTGGTGGTGCAGGGGCGCCCTGAACCAGTGATGCGGATGAGGATCCACCTGTCAGCTCGAGCAGCTTCTCCCGTGGCAGATTGACAAGAGACTCTGGCGCAAGGTTAGGGAATAGCTTCCCCAGCACGCTTCTGTATTCGTCGAGGGTAGTAGACAGTTTTTCTACATGTCTATTCCAGCTTCTTAGCTCCCTATTTGTGGGTCAGAGTGAAGGTTGGATAGACATACCTTCTGGATGGCCGGGGGTCCGAATAATGGCACTGCTCTGCCTTCTTATACCACCGACAGGCCTCGCATGGCTTCTCGCCATCGCATTTAATCTTTCGGTGTCGACAGGACGTACAGGCACGGAGAGTTGTGACTCGGCGGCTTACTGAATCGCGCCGTTCGGGAATAGGAGGACGGTTTCGGGCTGGGGTGGCTGCCGTGGGATTTTCGAAGCCCTCGAAAGTGTGGAACATGATGACTGCACGAAATCACACAGAAAGTGTCGGTCGTGAATCACATAGTTTGGGTGTTTTGCGGTCGATGAATAGACAGAACCGGCGGACGAAGATGGTCGTATGATTCCGAGGTTCATAAATTAAACAAAGTAATATGCAGGGTCAGCGGGGGATCAGAACGTCAGGCCTCCGGGGATGTATGTTAGTTAGGGCCGACGGTGGGATGTCATGATCTCTGGAAAGCGGAAAGAAAGGGTGTTCAGTATGGGGAGATAACAAGAGCGAAATCGAATAAGAGGGAAAGGGCAAAAAACAAAAAACAAAAAACAAAAAAGAGGCCAGCGCGAGACTAAGAGCGCAATGACTGACTGCCAAGACTGAAGAGAAATAGTCGAGGATAATAGCCTGCTCCGCCTAAATTCCCCCGCATTTCCAGGGAAAGTGCCCTTTCGTGGTCTCATTCCATGCGCACTACTGGGCCTCGCGAATCCGGGGTCCCCGAATACGGTTTCGCTTATTGGGCGCACGAGGGACAGGCTCGGTGAGTGGTGATGTGCGGGATTAACAGCGCTAACGTGGATCTACTGCGGATGTTGTATGGGAAACTGGTGCTATCCCGACCCTCGTAAGGCCGGACAAGACTTCCATCACTCATCCGCGTCATCATCCTTGAGTGCCGCCATATGAATGACCAGGATTCTGGGGAGCCCCTGGAACACATCTCAGGGTGTGGTGGCTTCCTGTCTGACCGGACGGTGCCACGCGCCAGGCTGACCGGGGCGTCAGAGCGAAATTGCAGAGGCAAATTAAGGATGCCGCATGCTCTTCGCCACAAGTCTGTTCTCTCCATACGCCGGGATCATTGTGACAATTTCTCCAGTGAGGGGGAATTTTTTACCAAACTCCATGGGTTGGGCAGCAGCAGGACATGCTGTGTGAGTACAGACGGAGAAGTGAACCCTGCCCTGCAATAGACCAGATGATCATCTGGGGAAGATGCCTCGCAGAAGGTGCTAATCCAGGGCCTCCCCTTAGACTTTCCGCTGGCCCGGGTTTCATCAGAAGATTTGATTCCCATCTGCAACCCTATGCACGAAGCAGATGTGGCACGCTGAGCTGCAGTTCTCCCCCATGGTTTATTCCCGCTGCCCGGTAAGACTTTGCGGCCTATCGTGTGGCGCCAGGCAAATTAAGTGGCATGGAAACCGAAAAGAGATGAGTCGTCTCAACTATTTCCCAGTTGGTGCTTTGATCAGGCGGGAGGCATGCCTGATATTTGTCCAATTGCTAGCGAAGTGCCACAACCCTAATGCTGAGGTCTTGCCCCGGGCGCGATGCCTCTTTCGAGGTAAGGGTCCGAGGAGATGAGGGGAGTATCCAGCGAGTATACCTTCAAACCCAGAGTTCCCATGCCGGTCTGCATGGCAAGTATGGAAACTTCATCCGCGGCAAAGGGGACATTGAAGGCATAGAGAAAGGGCCCGTATTGATGCATTGCACGGTTTCCTTCCATGGCACCACTAGAAAAGGGTACTTTAGATGCTTGGAACGCCAAGCCTAAGCTCGCCTGTGTCCTCTTGAACCGAAGGCTGGAGGGGCGTTTGCCTCCCGAACTCTGGGGATGAGAGCGCTCATTGGCTCGGCTAGAGGGCTAGCGTACAGTTGGCTCCAGACTAGGTGTTTCGGCAGATCAAGACCAAAAGGCCTGACTGTGTCAAATGGGTCCCCAGGATTCAGTCATGGCTCAAAGGTGAGTCGTACAAGCTAGGGTCCGGAGTCGAGGGAATCCGGCCCGGTGAGTTTGGAAGCGAGAGAGGGGAGTGCTGTTTACCCTGAGAGTTTGGGTGAGCCAGTAGCTTGACGGAGACGACTCCGTGCCCGAATAGGCGACTTGCGGGGTGGAAAGACTGCGCTGGAAAGGCACTTCTGTTCCCCATTGAGCCAGTGTGCTCTGTTCATTCCGTGCTGGACTCCCCACGCAAGGTCCGAAGGAGCACATCTGCGACGCTGAGAAACAGCCCTTCCACCTGATCAGGAAAGTTTAGGCCTTCAATTTAAGGCATTAAAGTCAGGTGGTCGGGGCCTCCGTTCCCAAAAGGGCAGGCGCGTGGGGAAGCTTATCGATAAGTCCAGCGAATTCCGTCTAAATAGCTCCATCGCCCCGATCAACAGTAGCAAATCCAAGCATTTATCATGATGGAATTCTATCGTCAGTCAATCTCCACTGGGTGGAGCTTCCGGGATCGCGATGCCGAGGATTGGATGCCTGTCCCCGTGGTGCCCTCCGTGGTACAACAAGATCTCATTGCCAACAACAAGTAGGAGCTTCCAAATCTCATCTTTAGAACTTGTATTTGACCATTTCATTGCCTGTTGCAGACTAAAGGATCCATTCATCGGCTTTAATGAGTTGAGAGCTCGCTGGGTCAACGAGAAATCCTGGGTATACCGCAATACCTTCCTGACACCAGATATTCCCGCGGGCACAGCAATCGACTTGGTATTCGACGGTCTAGACACCTTTGCCACTGTCAAACTCAATGGCCAAGTCATTCTTCAGAGTGATAACATGTTCCTGGGTCACCGCGTCAATGTAACCAAGGCACTGGAAGCAGAGAGCGAACACACGCTCGAAATCGAATTCGACTGCGCATTGTTGAAGGCCCGTGAGCTGCGGAATCAAGACCAATCCCACAAATGGGTCGGGTTCAATGGAGATCCGGCACGTTTGGCAGTGCGCAAGGCGCAATACCATTGGGGTTGGGACTGGGGTCCGGTGTTGATGACCGCAGGTATCTGGCGTGCCGTGAGGCTTGAGGTGTATACAGCGCGTGTAGCCGACCTATGGCCTCAGTTGCAGCTGTCTTCAGACCATCAGACGGCCGAGCTGACTGCCACCGCCAAATTTGACTCGGTTGCTAGTGGAGACTATACGGCTCGCTTCAGTCTAAGCCTGCGGGGAAATGAGATCGCTAGCCAGGATATCCCCGTATCTGCTAACAATCGAGCCGAAGTGATTTTCCGTGTTAACCGTCCAGAGCTCTGGTGGCCTCACGGTTATGGGAATCAGACACTATATGATGTCTCGGTGTCACTGCTCCGTGGCGTCGAGACAGTGGATCAAACATCCAAGAAGTTTGGTATTCGAACAGCCGAGGTCATCCAGCAGCCGGATAAGCATGGCAAATCTTTCTACTTCCGAATTAATGGGATGGATATTTTCTGCGGTGGATCGTGCTGGATTCCGGCGGATAGCCTGCTAACCAATATCACTGCGGAGCGATACCGCAAATGGATTGAGTTAATGGTGGAAGGCCGACAGATCATGATCAGGTATGGGTAATGCTGACTTTTAGAGAATGAAACGTACTAACTCTTATAGGGTCTGGGGCGGCGGTATATATGAGGATGATGCGTTCTATGAGGCATGTGACGAACTAGGGGTGTTGGTGTGGCAGGACTTCATGTTCGGCTGTGGAAATTATCCGACATGGCCGAAGATACTCGATTCAATCCGCCAAGAGGCAGTCTATAATGTACAGCGACTGCGGAATCATCCTTCGATTGTGATTTATGCCGGCAACAACGAGGATTATCAAGTGCAAGAGTCGGAGGGCTTGACTTATAATTACGACGACAAGGATCCGGAAAGCTGGCTCAAAACAGATTTTCCCGCTCGTTACATCTACGAAAAGCTGCTTCCAGAGGTGGTTGCAGAGCATTCGTCGAGTACATTCTATCACCCTGGCAGCCCTTGGGGTGATGGGAAGATTTCATCTGATCCCACAGTTGGGGACATGCATCAGTGGAATGGTGAAGATTCAATCCTTTGTGAGAATAACAGTTCCCGCGCTAACTGCAGTTTTAGTATGGCACGGCACCCAAGAAAAATACCAGATCTTCGACACTCTGGGGGGTCGGTTTAACAGCGAGTTTGGCATGGAAGCCTTCCCGCACATGTCCACCATTGACTACTTTGTCGAGGATCCGAAAGACAAGTTCCCACAGTCTCATGTGATTGACTTCCACAACAAGGCAGACGGTCACGAAAGACGGCTGGCTACTTACCTGGTGGAGAACCTACGAACTGCCACGGACCTCGAGGTATGGATTCCTACGCTCTAGAACGATGGTCAAATCTAACACGGGCAGACCTACATCTACCTAACCCAAGTCGTTCAAGCGGAGACGATGATGTTTGGCTACAGAGGCTGGCGTCGGCAATGGGGTGATGAGAGACACTGTGGTGGAGCACTGCTGTGGCAATTGAATGACTGCTGGCCTACTATCTCCTGGGCCATTGTCGATTACTTCCTGAACCCCAAACCGGCGTACTACGCAGTCAAGCGAGTCCTCAACCCCATTGCAATTGGAGTACGCCGTGAGCACCATGACTGGAGCGTTGCTCATGCGCAGCCTCCACACACAAGCAAATACGAACTTTGGATCTCCAGCAACAACCCGAGCACAATTCGTGGCAGCGTCGAGCTGCGATTTTTGTCTGTCAACACAGGCCGCGAGATCCGGGCGCCGATCGTCCGTGAAGATATTCTAATTACCCCCAACGGTACTACCAACATCATCACGGATGGTCTAATTGATCATATTGCCGAACCTGAGCCACATGTCTTGGTTGCTCGCCTGTGGGTCGATAACAAAATTGTGGCGCGCGACGTCGACTGGCCGCAACCTTTCAAGTACCTCGATCTGTCAAGTCGGGGCCTTGACATTCAATTGCAGCGTGGATCTTCCGGTCAAGCACTCGTAGTGCTGAACACCCGCAAGCCTGTCAAGTGTCTCGTTATAGAGGAACAGGAGGGGGTCAGACTAAACGACAACGCTATAGACATTGTGCCAGGAGATGAACAGACCGTGGTTATATCTGGGTTGGGGGACCAGTCACTAAAGTATCGGTACCTGGGGCAGGAATCGTGCGGGTTGCTTGGATGAAGCGGTTCCATCTATACTCAGTCCCAGCATCTATGCCCCTCCTCATACATCTTTTTCTCGGTTGGCTGTCCATAGATCAATGATAAAGTGGGATCTTATGTTTATTTGCAATATTTAGATGATATAGGTAGTGCTTTCGAATTTGGAGGCACCTGTCGTACAGATTATGTCAACACTCAGAAATAGTCTCTTCATTTAGGGATGAAGGTTTAGAAATTTAGGTCAAGAGAAGTTGGGGGTTGGAGAAGCTGGGTTTACATTCAGGTTGCCGTCCCATTCTCGATCACCACGTTGTTTCATGCTCCTTGTCGTCTGTCCCACTTCTACCATCTTGAACTCATTTTCATCTCAAATGCTGGCCTAAAGTTACCCGCCAACTTTAATAGATTCGAACTGTTTCTTTCTGGTTTAGCAATTTGAATACTCCCAATTCATATCCTTGTACCATGATTCAATTTTATACCAGTAAGGGGCAAGTCCATTTGAAGGGATAGTTTTGCGAAAATAAGCTACCCGATGACCATTAGGAAATCGAGCCGGGGCAGGTTCGGGGCACTCCCGAGGGTCGGTAGGTAGTTCGGCAGTGGCCAACCACCGTCAACCGCCTACAGATGCTAAACTCCGGCTTGGACCAAACTCAGGTCAACTACCCACTTGCCGTCGAAATCCAACATCTACAGGAAAACAATCCACCAGCGTGACTAAATTCGGCCTTTTACTCTATTTAACTAGATCGCTACAAACCCTAAGACTGAGAACTACCCATGCCGATCCCTCGACTTCAACAAGCTGCTGTGGTGGAGAACCCCGGCGTCGACTTTAAAGTTGCTCTGCGCGAAGATGTTCTGGTCGGAGAGCCAGGTCAAGATGAGATCCTCATTAAACTAAACTGCACAGGCATATGGTGAGAAACCAGCTACTTCCGATGTGTGTTCTTTATGGCTAAGGGAAGATCCACATATCCAAAGTCACTCGGAAGTGCGGGCGGTACTGGGATGGGGTGTCTACAACTCCATTATCGGTCATGAAGGCGTCGGAACTGTGGCCAAGTCCGGGCCCAATGTCTCTCCCTCCCTGCTAGGACAGCGCGTGGGATTCAAGTGGCTGTACAACGCCTGCACCGCATGTTCCGTCTGCCGACGGGGCTTCTTCCAGAACTGTCCCCAACAGCTGAACACCAGTCGGCATGTGCCGGGAACCTTACAGCAATATGCTATTGCGGATGCTCGATTCATAACCAGAATCCCGGAAGGAGTACCTGATGAAGTTGCTGCTCCGCTCCTCTGTGCTGGTCTCACTATGGCCGGCGCTTTGGCCCATCTAGATCACGATCTACAGCCCGGTGACTGGCTTGTCATCTCAGGGTCTGGCGGAGGGCTTGGCCATATTGGTGTCCAACTCGCAGCACGGGTCAAGAAGCTCCACGTCATTGCAGTAGACAGTGGTGATGAAAAGAGAGCTCTCAGTCTAGCCTCGGGGGCTGAGGCTTTTATTGACTTCAAGAAGGAGGATGTTGCAAAGCGAGTCCTTGAACTGACTGAAGAGGGCGCGCATGCAACAATTGTTGTCCCTGGTACCAAGGAAGCGTTTCAAGCGGCGCCCAGCCTGGTCAGGAATATGGGACAGATCATCTGTGTCGGTCTTCCACGAAACGATATTGAAATCCCTATCTCGGCCACTCTGTGTGCTGCTAGAGGTCAGTCTATCTCTAGCGCCGGTATCGATGGTCTTCTTCAGTCTCTGACACCTTCTAGGGCTTTCTATCAAAGGCTCCTCTGTGGGATCCGAAGAGCACATGAGCGAGTTATTGCAGCTCGCCCTCGATGGAGTCATCACTCCTGCGGTCGAAGTGTTCGAATTCTCTGAGACACCGAATCTCATTAGACGCATCATGAACGACGACATTTTGGGCAGGGCGGTCGTTAGAATCCCCCATCATTAGTGGGTAGCTATCAAGAAGAGAGGTACACAGGATGAGAATGAATGTTCCTGCCTGGTTATTCCCCGGAGATGTTCCAGACAATTCATTGCAAACTCAGTACTCAATAAATAATAGAGACCTGCGAATGTTTGCAACCCATTTTTCCTTGCTCTCTCTCCACCTTAAATTTGTTTCTGATGCTTCTGAAACCAAAAGGGTATAATGTCCATCAGCCCCACCTTATCGTTTATCGTTTCTTGCTTATCTTTTATCGGGCAGCGTAATTCCTCCACCATCCTATCACCTCCAACTTCTCCAACTTCCACTTGCAACCTCGTCAATGGGTACTAAGCGCTCTTGGGAAGGGCAGGCCGTCGTCAACATGACCTCCAACGGGTCGGCTGGTCCGACCATCTCGATCTTTGAGAACTTCCGTGACGGCCTCGATGAGCACCACGACCGACGCGAGCGCATCATCAAGGCCAGCCGCGACATCACCGCACTGAGCAAGAAAATGTGAGCTACCTCACATGCCAATTGAAAAATACTAGTGAACTGACCCTGTCATCTCACAAAACAGCATCTTCGCTCTCCAACGCGTGCGAACGACCAACCAACCCATCCCGCCGAAAATCGCACAGGAAAACGACACCCGCCTCGAGCAGATTCAGAAGCTCTTTGCCTCAGTCACCCCTGATCTTACCAGTATCAACGCATGGCGCTACCAGCGCCAGATCAGCGGCGGCATCCAGGAGTACATTGAGGCAATCTCATTCGACCATTACCTCCGCACCGAAACCTTGATTACCCACGCGGAAGTCGCAGCGCGACTACCAGGGATCTTAGTGACAGAAGAAGATTACCTGATGGGTCTTTTCGATCTGACGGGGGAGATGATGCGATTTGCCGTGACAGCACTAAGCTCGGGCAACACGACACCTACAGACGCCGCCAAGGCGGGCATCCTTCTCGACCTCCGCGCTGTCCGTGCACGATGTGAGGCGCTCAGTGTTCCGGGACGACACCGCTCCTTCATGTACAAGGATCTCTTCAAGAAGACGGAGGTTATGCAGAACAGCGTGGAGAAGGTGGAACGCGCCGCGTACGGGATCCTGGTGCGAGGCAGTGAACGGCCGAGTGGTTGGACTCCGGATCTGTCAGGGCCGATGGAAGTTGAGACTCGTTGAGCTCTTCAGTCTAGCGGTTTATCATGCCATATATTTCCTCTCTCAAAACAGGAGTTCAACAAAAGTAATGATTATTCGCTTTGACTCGCACGATCTCTCAAGCCATAGGCGGGTTTCCGGTGCCGGCATTTGCCGTCATCACTCATACAACAGAAGGAACGGTCAAAGATGCTGTTCTATGCCCTAGATACTTTGATATCTCCGAAGTTAAGGCTGCAATGAGAATGCAAATTATCCAATGGCAGTTACAAAAGCTTCCAACGAATTTGTAACTTGCCTTGAAATTTCCCGCTGTCACCTGCAGGTACTACCAGGATCTATCAAGTACTTCCAGCCGCGGAGACTTCTTTCCGTGAATCTATGGGGTTTTTATAAATCCTGCAGCCAGGCACCGTACGGAACGTGCACCTGGAGACCAGTGGTGGACTCCCAAGGCATCTTCATCGCAGGGGAAACCGAGATATCCACTCCACATCTCAACTACCACAGGCAATATGGCATATATGGCACGTGTAAAATGGACACCTACCAATCCTTTTATTTACACAGGGTAAACACTATGCTACGAAAGTCCGGGGGAGTAAGAAACACAAACTAAGAATGTGGGGGATATCGACAAAAGCGTCACAGTGACATCACCACCCGCAAGCGAGCAACAGTCCCGACGCATGTAGCCCAAAAAGCACAAGGAAGCATAAAAGTAATGCCATGATTCGCATAATCTCTCGTATTGTCAATTAACTCGTCCGTTACCCAAGTTGAGAGTCCGTCGAGGGTCATTCGAGCTTCTCATCCCGTGCTCGGTAAAACGAAAACCGTGACCCCGCAGACAGCAAAACAAACCCACGCCAATCACGCGGAGCGCGGGTCCTCGTCTTCCGTCAGAATACCCTGAGTTATGAGCTCATCGGGCTCTGGGCGGTTCTGAATCTTGTGCTCCAGGTTATCAGCCAGCATGTGGCGCTCGAGTTCGCGGGCGTTGGCTTGCAGGGCCGGCGCGGCGGTGGACGCGGGGAGAATATTGCCTTTGCTAGTTAGTACAGAGCCGCACCGATAGCGTAGCCTGATAAGACGGTGGTATAGCAGGGTGAGAAGGTGTGTAGAATTGAGAGAGAAAAGGGGGATATACGCTCCACCAGCTCGTCCCGTTCGGGTCTCTTCTCCAAGCTCTTCTTTAGGTTGTCCGAAGCGCGCTGGCGGTCAAGCTCCAGTTGGGCAGCTTGCAGAGAACTGTGACACGCGTCAGTAGAATGTAGACCAGTTCCAGGTGCAGAAGCGTCATGTACGGGGCCACACTAGTGTTCAGCAGGATATGGCGGTTCTTGAGGTCCTGCATGTCTGGGCGAGTCTGGAGGTGCTTCTCCAGCGAGTTGCGACGCTCGTGAGGCGAGGCGCTGAGGGGAGTCTCGTCGATAGCGGACATTATTAAATGATTGAATGCGTGGATAGGTGGATAGGTGGATAGGTGTTAGTGGGAAGGGGTTAAGGAATGGGCGGAGCGATCGAGAGGTTCTCGAGGTGGAGGAGGAAGAGAAGGAAAGAGGAGCGTCAAGTGATGTTATGCAAGTCCCACGGGACCGTCACGCGGGGAACCCCAGCCTGTCCCACAGGCCGCATACACTGCTATCACAACAAAGTCCTACAGCTAATAGCATTACAGTTTAAGGATAAACGGTTCAACACGCGGCTGCAAAATAGAATCCTCTTATAAGGTCTGAGTAAATGCAAATCCACCATCGTATATGATCGCCCAAGGTCACACCAAAATAAGCAATTTCTCAGATATCAGGGAAAGCGGAGAGCCATAGGGCATCCAATATGCTCTCAAGGAAATTCCAGGGTACAAAGGCACAATGGGCTTTTCCGAGGAACAGATCCATGGCAGCACTCCAACCGCGAATCGAATCCTCCCTCCGGGGTTCATCGGCTCATCGTGTTGTCCGGGGTGTTCGACGCTGCCACACGGTCTGGAAGCCATCGCCGGGGAGATGGAGATGGAGAGGGGAAGAGGGTAGAAGCGTCCTGCAGGCAACTCACAGTCCGGATTCTCCTTCGTGCAATCATATCCGTCCTGCAAAGGGAAAGAAGACAAGCCCGTTCCGGTTTTGGATGCATTGGTTCACAAAAAAAATGCTTGATCTGCAGAAGAGCTCGATCAGGTCGATTTCTCAGCAGACCAGCTCTTGCACTCAAGGAACCCAGAGCTTGCCCCGTCCACGACCATTGCCTCGGCCAGAGCCACGAGTAAGTCCTCCACGGCGTCCACTAGGGGAGCGACGAGAAGCCCCGGCGATGCCACGAGCAGCACCCTGCTGGGTGCTCAGATCCACGGTAGGCGGCGTCTTGTTCGAGCCACCCAGGGAGCGGCTGAAGGAGTTTGGATCAATCGGCTGGGTAGGAACCTCAACGGTGGTCTCAACAGCGGCTGGAGCGGCCTTCGAAACGGCCTTCGAGACAGTTTTCGAGACAGTTTTCGAGACAGCCTTACGAGAGGATCCACCCCGAGCACCACGAGAAGGGCCCTTGCCGCCGCGGCCACCACGTGGGACAAAGACCAGCTCATCCTCGTCAGAGTCATCCTCATAGGACAACAGGGTCTTGGGTTGCTCCGTGGGTTGGGTCTGGGTCTTCTCGACGTATTTGCAGCGGTTCTTGTACTCGCGCTCTTCGTATTGGACTGCGGTGCGCAGTTGAAGAATATTCTTCACGCCGATACCGAACTTCTGGGCCCACACCTGAGTCGCGCGGTCGTTCGTCACTAAAATGCAGTTCTTGGCAGACTGGTCGGCATCTGGGCCGCTGTGTAGCCGCCACAGCAACGCGCTCAGCAACGGGCGCAACTCGGCCGGCGCGACCGGGATGGTAGAGCCAGATTCGGTACGTTGGTGCCCAAACTTGGGCTTGTCGACAGTGCTGGCGCTACCGTTCTCGTGCTGGGCGCATTCAGGACTGGTGCGCGAACTGCGAGACGAGGTGCGCGATCCTGGACCACTGGGAGACCCGGCGGAGGTGATCGATGCGGCCTCGGTCTCTTTCTTGAAGTTCAGCTTGCTCAGCAGCATCTGCGACAAATCCTCCGGACCGGAGTTAACAGTGTTCTTCTGAGGCTCCTCGGGCGCCGACTCAGTATGTTCTGCCTCATCAATAGCCTCGGGTTCCTCCTCGAATTCTGGCAGGAAGAATTTCTCTGCATCCTCCCACCGCTCGTACTGCTCCATCGGGCCCTGGAGGGTGATTCGGTCCGCCGTGATGTGATCCTTGCCGGAGGTAACTCGGTCGAGGAAGCGAACAGCCTCGCGGGCATTAATGGCGGTTTGCGATCCCGCTCGCTTGAGGGCGTGGAGCCTTTCGAGGGCTGAAAGTGGAGGGGGAAGAGGGTCAGATCAGCAATGTGCGATGTCGCAGAGTAAAAGACTTTCTCAGAACTAGGCTACATACTGTAAAGAGGGACAATCAGATCGATGGCGCCGTTGGTGGTCCATTTCTTGATCTCGCTGATGTTGGTGGTCAAAGCCGTCTCGTCCACGGCGCAGTGAATGACCTTGCGTCCGGTCGACATGGCGAGACTGGAAACGAGTGTCTTTTAGGAGCGGAAGAGGGCAAAGGTGCCCTAGACCGGGGAAACGGTTGTGTTGACAGCCGCGACTGGGGAGGTCGGGGTGGTCAGCAGGGAGCCTACGAAGGAGGTTTGACGATGGAGGGACATGAGAATGTGGGGGCGCAGAGAGCGGGTGGTCGGTATGACGCGGATGGGAGAGTGCACTCACAATGAGAAGCCTGAGGGCAAGGAATCATCTGCAGCATCTTTGATAACTGGAATCACCGGGAACTAACAGGACTGGGTGTGGTCCACGCTGGAAATGAAGCCTGCTGCAGCTGCGACGATGAACGATGGGGCTGACTAAGCGGTAACCAGACGGTTCCACGGTTCCTGGCCCATGAATCGATCGAAGGTAAAGTAGAAATGAGAAGAGAAAAAAAAAAAAGAACAAATAGATTAAGGATATCTATATCATAACGGAGTAGAGTATCGTCTAAGAGCTAAACGCGAAACAAGCAAAGGAAGAGAGAAAGTCCCGATCCTGGCCCCATTATCGTATTGTTCGTGAGAACTGCCCACTCCATACTTCTCTCTACGATTTGACCTTCTTGATAAGGCCATCGGATTCCTTGACTCGCTGCGCCCATTCACTATGAGTGTGTTAGCGTTTAACAATAGTTTCATTGTGCTGGATCAGTCACTCACGTCCAGCTGCCATCGTATACCCGGCGGAGATTAGGGTTCCCATACTCCGCTTCACCCAAAGCGGTCTCGATCACGGTGGCCGTAACACCAGTGCCGCATGAGCTGATAATTGATCGGGAAGGATCAACCTTGTGATCTTCAAAGACCTGCTTCAACTGCTCCGCGGGAAGATAGGCCTTGGTCTCGGGGTCAAGCAATTCCTGGAACGGCAAGCTCTTCGAGCCAGGGACATGGCCAGAAGACAGGCCTGGGCGCGGCTCCGGGTCAGTTCCAGCCCAACGACCGTAAGAACGAGCATCCAGGATCTCGACCTCCTCCGCGCCCTCCTTGCCGTAGTCAAATGCCAGCTCCTTCATCTCGCGGAAGGCAATCACCAGCTTAGAGTCGTAGGTCGGCACAGAATACTTGCTCTGCTCTAGGGGAGCAGGCTCACCGCTCTCGGTAGGGAGACCTTCACGAACCCAGAGACGGTAGTTATTGAGAATGTGAACGTTCGGGTGGCCAAACACGCGCAGGGTCCAGCCCACGCGTGGGGCGCTAAAGATGCCGAGCTCCGCTGTATCGTAGACCACCACTTCGTCATCGCGCCGAATGCCCAGCTCACTCATAGCCTCTGCAAAAGTCTCACAAGTAGGAAGCATGTGGGGGTAAGAGGAATCGTGATCCTTGACCGCGTCGAGGTCGAAAAAGCGTGACTGCGGGATGCGGGACTGGCTGAAAGAGTCAATGCCCTTGCGACCCTCGGGGTCATTGGGCATGAACCATGCTGCACATAAAGGAATCACTCTCGGGGAGGTGGAGATCTTGGTTGGCGGGTTCTTCTTCAAAGCTTCATTGAGCTCTTTAGGGGTGACTAGGTAGGAGGAGAAGGAGCCATGGCGGACCTGGTGTCCTGGGACCCGAGGGGCGGAGGCCATGTTTGCGCGGAAGAAACGTGCGGAAGAAGCACCGGAGCGAATGGCCATGGAAGCCATGGTCGACAGGGTAGGGAGGGTTCCAATTTACATAACGCTATGGAGCGGAAATGGAAGATGTGGAGGTGCGGAGAAGCGTCTCATGTGATGGCCGATAGGAAGATAAAAACGATAAACACCGGCCGATAAGCGGGACTTCACCTTTGCCCACCACTACGTCGGCTTTGGCCCTGGCTTCAGCTCAGGCTCCACTTCTCAACGTGGGTTACAATCATGAAGGTCACTTTAAAGGAATGGAACGCCGTTGCTACCTGGCGCTGGGACATGCCCGAGGACGAGGTGTGTGGTATCTGCCGCGTCCAGTTCGACGGGACCTGTCCGACCTGCAAATTCCCCGGCGATGACTGCGCCCTCCGTGAGTTGCAACGTGCCCACTACCGCCCCCGCCTGCTATACTAACCTGGCCTACCTGACACCAGTAATCGGCAAATGCGGCCACTCCTTTCATATGGTGAGACTACCGACGCGTCTTGATCTGCTACTGGTTGGGTTAGCGAACTGACTGGTGGGGATATTTCCGCGGTGGGTAAACAGCATTGCCTCATGACTTGGATCCAGCAAGATAGCTCGAAGGGACTATGCCCAATGTGCCGCCAAAGTATGTATGCCTTCTCCGGCTGCCAGAATTATCCTAACCGCTGCCAGAATTCGAGTGGGTTCGAGAAGAAGAATAACGGCAGTATGACCTTGCATATTTCGTCTCGAGGCGTTCAATGGGTTGATTCAAAGGATACCCTTTTTTCTTTGTTGGTTTTATAGGGGAATACCGTTCGGCGTATGTTTTATCTGTGTTTGATGCCTGGCTCGAAGCTTTCCCTCTGCATTTTTGCCGACGAAGCACATAGATCCGATCATGGATATGCTCTACTGGTTGATTTCGTCTGCATGGAGGCTATTATCTCAACATTACACAATTCAGAGACTAATTGAAATCCATGGAGTACAGTCGCCATATATTTTGATGCCTATTGCATAATAAAAGTGGACTAGACTATGCACCAAGTCTGTAAAAGATATGTGGGGCGATTGCGAAAATATATCCCTCCATGGGCTCATTTCGATCCCAAATTACACCACCTCAAGCTTCCCCGAAGGTCGGTCATTCCTTGACTCTAATAGATTATTTCTACTTTTTTCTACTCTGTTTTCCTGCCTTATTCTTGTATTCTCTTGGATTTCGCATGAGCATATGTACCTATGGATCGTGCTGAGTCTGATCTACCTAGATACCCCCCTAGTGAATTAATCCGCAAAAGGCACCATGTTATCACGTGCCGCTATCGATAAGAAGCTCCCCCCAAAGCAACATCACCCCAGTTGACTACCTCCAACCATGTAGCGGCGGAGATGTCTGTGAACAACCCGTCCCATGCCCTCTCTCCTTCCTCACAATCCTCCCTTCACGATCTCCCAGCTCGCCTTGGGGCATCTTCGCGACCGAGTGACCAGTTCGCCCGCGGGCCCGATGACCACAGTACAGCGGAGGCTCAGCACGCCGCCTCTCCAGTCGCCTCTCCGACCTACGATGGGGCTGCGGGCGATCCTGGGCACCCATCCGGTGAACTGCATGACGATGGAACAGAACAGCGCCCATTTCACCGGCCATTCCAGCCCTTCTTCACACTGATCGAAGATGCCCATACTTCAGACCATCACCATCCAACCGTACACTACATTTTCTCCGATGATGACACCGATATTGTGACGGAAGCTGCTGTACGCAGCTTGGAGGCTCAACAGGATGCGTCGTCAGGTACAAAAAATGAGGGGCGTACCGCCCGACGACGGTCCGACCTCGCCGAGCATCATGGCGAGGAGAAACCCGCGCTCCTCCCGCCTCCGATTCCGGGGGTACGCGAGAACTATATCGTCCTCGACGTCGAACCGGTTCCTGCAACTACCGAAGCGAACACAGCGGCCGACTCTTCCATAAACAAGACAGGCGGAGCTGGCGCAAGTGGTACCAAATCCATGTCTACGTCACCAGCGATTCCATCAGCACTAGCCGCACAACAACCATCGCCAGGGCCGAGCGTACCACCAACCCAATTCCGTGTAACATCGGCAAAGAGTTTCTCGCCAACGTGGCAGGTACTAAGCAGCGAGATGGTGCCAGCGCCGACGTTCGAGAAGCATGATGCTAGCGATGCTCCAGGACATGGGTTGATGCTGAAAATTCATGGGACGGGCGGGATCCCCGCTGAGACAGGGAAGGATAAAGGGGAGCGGGCTGCCCTCGGGCTGGAAGATATGATGGATCAGTTTGCGAGGAGAATGCGCGAGTTGCAGATGGTGATTGATACTGCGAATGTGGCTCTTAATGAGGATGGGGAGCAGGACGAAGAAGGCAAGGAATTGCTCGTGGAGAAGACTACGACTGAGGATACTCCGAACGAAGAAGTTGCGGCGGAGGAAGTACGTGAATGATACACTTGGAAAGCAATGTACCCTTTCCTATTTTGCTTGATATGGCTTTTCGTCATGTTAACTAGTTCTGGCGCAAATTTCGGCCGATGCATCGGCGTTTTCTTGATTCACTGGCTGATCACTCATTTTGTTGGGTATACCATAGTTTACTTATTGAATTCAAGTAGCCTCCGGCTTGAGGTTAAGACCCAGGTATTCAATTAAGCCAAAAGTGAGGCCATGAGACCCCAAGGACGCCAAGTGAAATGACATCCAAGCACAAAACCGCCAAATGATAACAAAAGAGCTCCGGTCTATGAAGCTCCAATCTAGTCGAACAAATGAAGCAAAAAAGTGTATGACACTCCCACGATTTTCTCAGCCAGAAACTCCGGTCCAGAGAGCAAAGACCACAGACATTGGGTATCAAGATGTCAAACTCGACAGTGAAAAACAAAAAAAAGAGTAAAAAGGAGAGGAACAAATATGCGATGCAATATGGAGCCAATTAATCCGCATTGCGAATCCTGTACCTGCGGCCACCGGACATGGCAGATGGGGGAACATTCTCCCGGCCCTCCATCATGCCAGCCATTTTCTTAGACAGCATCTTCTGCGGCAGCTTCGTTTCGACAGAGTTGTTGGAGGCAGAGCGGCGCCGCTTGAGAAGCGGTTGCTCAGAGTCATCCTTTTCGGGGGTTTCGTCCAGGTCTATGGAAAGGGTGGGTGCAAGAGTTTCAAGTTTGCCGATGGGCACAGTGTCATCATCAGAATCACACGCGAGTTGTTTGGCGACGTTTAGATCGACTTCCCTAAGGCCAGTGTTGGAAGTCATGATTGCGGATGACGGAGCGTGAGTCCCTACCTCTTCCACGGCGTCGCTGTAAACAAAGCCTTTGGATGGCGAAGAGACAGAGGAGCTAGGGGTTGGGGCCAATTGGGCCTCCTCATTGAATGGAAGGGCGGTGAATTGCTTGGATGTCCGGTGCCGGGAACGAATACCCTCGTGGGATTCTGTGCGAGGCAGATCCGTGGGGTATTCATATTTCCGCTTTCTAGGAGTGACTCCAGTTGGAACATACTCCTTCATGGGATGGCTCTGAATGTTATCGCGAAGTTCGGAGAGTGGCTGGCGGACCTCTTCGTACAGAGGAGCAGTCGACTGCTCTAGGTTGTTGGTGTGCAGATTGACATCCTCCCGGAGCTGGCCAATACGGCCATGCAGGCCATCCAACTGTTCGTGGACGGCTGTACGAGACCCCCGAACATTTGTGGCCATAGCGTCCAGACTGGCCAGCTGTGTGTTATGAAAGCGGCCGTTATGGGACCGAGCCGTGGCAACGAAGTCATCGAGAGCCCCCATCTGTTTGCTCATGTCGCTCATCTGAGCATCCACAATCCGCACGGTCTCCTGGTGGACCGACTCTGTAACCCGCTGGATTGAAGCATTACGTTGATCGAATGTCTACCACGATTAGCCTTGGCCCTCAAAACAAGATAGATAGTGGCCTTTACCTCCCAATCATTCTGCATCTTGGTCTTAATCTCGTCCTTGGATGCCGTGACATCCTTAGCGAATTGCTCTTCCTTGAAGATCCATTCATCAACGTGGCGGTCATACTGCGCGGTGGCCTGCTCGAGCGAATCCCCGGACGCCGAGATATCAGTGCGAACAACTTCACACTTGCTTTTGAGGCGGGCGGACTGTCGTTGGTTAGAGTCCTCGAGCAGGCTACGAATCTGCGACATCACAGTTTCCCGCTCAGCCTGAGCGCTTGCATGCTCTTCTTCAAGAATCTGAGCGAGATTCGAGGAGGCCTTGCGGTTAGCCTCCACCGATTGTCGATTGGCTTCTTGGAGCTCTAGGCGCAATTTGTTAATCTCGGATTTCTGCTGGTCCAGATGTGAGGCCATGTTCTCAAACATGGACTTGAAGTCCTTGCCAAGGACACTGTAGGACGAGTGAAGCTGGGAATGGAATTCAGAGAACTCGCCGATGACCTCTTTCGAGATTCGAGCTGCTGCAGCTGACAGCCCATGTAGGCCTTCGCCCACCTTGGTCTTGACATCCTCGCGAAGGACCTTGATCTCCTCAAGAACCTCGTTCATCTCGTTGTGAGCATCGGAAGTCTGTTTCTTCGCATCGGCTTCGACCTTGTCAAAAGAGGTGCTAAATCCCTGAAGCTGAGAACGAGTTGACTGGACCGTGCTGAGCTCGATGTCGACAAATTGGTGGATCCTGCTCGACATGGTCTCCAGAAGCTCAGCATGGTGGGTTTGGAAGCTTTCCATTCGGGCATCGACTTTCTGGGTGATATCAGAGATTTCGAGGGTAGAGGCCTCCCATGTTTGGCGGTTATCATTCTCTAGACTGCCTTTGCGATCGAGTTTGGCGTGCAGCCCATTGACATCCTCCACAGTGCCGTCCAAGGTAGATAGCAGACCGGCACCAATTTCACGAAGGATCTGCTCTGTAGCTTGATGTGCTTTTCGCAGGATTGTCTCTTCGTCAAGTTTTTCCGACGTGTTCTTTAGGCTCGTTTCCGTCTGCTCAAGCATGCCCCGGGTACTCTTGAGTTTGGACTGGGTGTTCTCGTTGTCCTGTTTCAACGTGTTGAAATTGCCTGTGAGAGAAAACAGCTCCTGGACCTTATGTCGAAGACTGGATTCCATCGACTCAATCTTGGCTCGCTGTTCCTCATTGACAATTCGTCGTGATTCGCTTTCCATAGTCATTTCTTCATACGCATCGGGTGTCATGTATACGCCATTGCGGTGCCGCGTAGCGATGAGCTCGCTCTTGAGTTTCTCAATCTCCATGCCGATTTCACGGAGCAGCTTATTCTTGGACACGATGGAGTTGATCTGGGGCTTGTTGCGGATGTTCTTGGCTCGGAATGCGTAGTCGAGTGTTGAAATTGTCTCCTCCAAGTTGCTCTTCACTGGGGATACCGTGGCAATGATGCACGTTTTCGTTCGGCCACCGAGAGAATCTTGTAGCAGTCTAGTCAATTTCGACTCCCGGTAGGGGATGTGTGAGCTCTTGTCCACCAGGGCATTGATAACCCGTCCCAGAGTGAGTAAACTCTTGTTAATTAAGCCTGCTTCGGTAGCTCGCTTATGCTCAGCACCGCTTCGTCCAATGTTCTCGCTGCCGGCCAAATCCACTAGGTTGAGCTTTCCAGAGCTGACATATTCCTCTCCAGACTCGGAAGTGCGTTTCGTAAGAACGGTGATTGTGAAGATTGTATGACTGCGAGAACTCAGGTCGTTGCATTTTGTTGCGGCCACTTGGCGCTTGTGGCTGCCCAGCTGCAGCAACTTGATGCCGGATGATGCCGAGTCGATATAGGTTTCCTCCATTCCTTGGACTAAAGTGCCGGCATGGCCCTTCTTTTCGTTTTCAAAAATCTTCAGCTTTGTGTGGTCGTCGGCAGCGAGGAGATCTCGCAGCTCCTCATTGTAAAGTTCGATAAAAGAGCACTTGACAGTACTTTCCGTCTCCTCAAGTTTGTGAAACAGGGAATAGAGTGTGCGTGGTATAATGCCTGCATCATCGGACAGTATACCAAGAGTATCAGTCATGTTTCCAGACATGGTATATGTCTTCCCGGTTCCTGTCTGCCCGTATGCGAAAATCGTGCAGTTGTACCCGGCGAGCATCTTTGCTTTGAATTAACACGGCACATCCTCAGGTCCGACAAAAGCTGCCTAACTCACCTCATTCACAATCGGAAGTACCACTTCCTCGTATACAATCGTTTGGTCTGCAGCGGGCGAAAAGACCTTATCGAAGGCATAGGTCTTATTCGAGAGCGCATTGGGTCCCATGGATAGATCCACATTCTTGCCATTCACTCCTTCAGTGGAGAGGACGACACCGCTGTTTTCTTTGATCTCCCGCTCATTGCGACCTCGGCAGCGCACCACCACGTGGATGCTGGTGTCCTCGTTAATCTCACGTTCAAAGTCTCTTTCCTTCCTTTTGGCGACCGTGCTTGACTGTTCGGGGTTCGATTTTTGCACACGCGCAATCGATGAGGTGGCCGGTCTTGCTATGACTGCGGGCGAAGGCTGTCTATCTGGGACTGCGGAGCCGGTTCGCCGAGTGGGTGGGCGCAAACCCGTCCTCCTCGCAGCAGCGGGAATGGAAGAGGCTGGCCGTGATAGGCCGGCCATGTTGATGAGAGCGTGCAGTTGGTAAAATATTGCACAGATGGAAGTTTTGGTTCAGCCGGGGAGAACGGAGATCAGTGAATGCATGAAACCGGTCGGCAGATGGGGTCTCAAGTGCAGAGACGAGGAACGGGTGGACCCCTTTGGGCAAAACATAAACAAACCCCACGTGACCGGCCCGTCTGAGGCGGCTGTTTCATGGGCTAACAGCGGCCACCCGACTCTGACTATGAAATTCCTTGATCGTGCCTGGCAGAAAAGAAGTTAGAGCTCCCTTAATAAAATATCAAACAAAATATCTGATCCACATTTCACAAGCAGACTTGGTATGCATACATAATACTAAATGTCTATTCTCGGTACATGTGTAGGATTTACCTTGGCCGTTGTTCGCGATAAGCACACGTGACTGGCTGTGTGTCATATCTGTCATGCACCCCTCTCACATGACTGGCGTCATCGCCCTTCCCCCGCGGTGGCCTTATCGACGGTCCGTCCCTCACTTTATCCCCCCCCCTTCATCCTGGCCCCTGATTCAATCGATGGTTTGGAGGATAACCACACCACCAACACGATGACTGCCCGATCGGCGCCGGTTCAGATCTTCCCTGGCAAAGGCCTGGGCTTCATCAGCATGTTTCCCATCCCGCGATGATCTGCGGAACCGTGAGGGGAACCAGGCTAATCGTTGCGCAGCACTCGGTGCCTCTCTACACAACGTCCTGACGCGCGTCAAGTCTCACCCTCAGACATACCCTGAGATCGACCTCGCTTACTCTTCAACGGACCCTCTACGGAACCCTGTCATCTTAAAGTTGTCTGCCAACGGCTTGCGACTCCGGTTTGACGGACCCGACCAAAGACTACGCTTGGTCGAAGTGCTGGACTTTACTCGGGTGGGCTTGGTCTACAAGAATCAGGATGTGTTGAAGGGTGGGAAGGCAACCGAACAGCTCGCGTCCCCACACGGCCCCAGCTTCCGGCATGTCTACAACCGTCTGTTCGGCCCCTCGTACCCCGGCGAATATGTTCCGCCAACAGACCAGTCGCCCTATGGCACATATGTGCTATCATATCCAGGTGTCGCATTCTCATTCCCTCTTCAACACTCGGCATGGTCCGACTCGTGCGACTTTGTAGCGCTGCTTTCGTCCTCCGCTGCACTGCCAGCAACATCTATGGCCATTTTCCAAGGATCCTCATGGCCTGAGGCTCGCGCAAAGCTGTTCACTCAGCAGCCCCAGTACCCACGCTCTTCAGCCGTAGTTGGCAAGACGCGCGAGGCGTTTGCCGACGAAGTGGAGGAGTTTCACATCTTTGGGGCGGGGAGAATAGAAGTAGAGCGACGAAATAACCCCCCAGCGCAGATCATTCTTGGGGAGACGACCACTCAGGATCTGATTGCCGAGTTCGGTCCTCCGGATGCTATCTATCGTAAACATGATCGGCGGATATCCATTCACCGTGCAACAGGCAGCGGTGGCACCGGGGACCCCCTGCACCTGAGTCCGTCGCCTGGCAGAGGGATGGAGATCCCCGATACCGACCACTCCTCTAATAATAGCGTGACGGATGACTCCGACGAAGAAATATCTCCAAACAGCGTCAGTGATCCAACCTCTCTACCGTCAGAATGCTTCTTCAACTACTTCCACCATGGATTCGATGCATTCATCTCCTATCCAACGACTCCAGGGCCGGCGTTTCCTGCCTCGGGGCTCCCAGAGCCATCTCCTCAGCTTTCATCATCACAGCTGACCGTAACGAAGATCATCCTACATGGGAACGTACCGGGGTCGTACCCGTTCAACCGTCATCGTCGCAGCCGATGGACGATTCACCTTGACCACTCCGGCGACGGCCTGACTTCCGAGGCGTCATACGATGAGATCTCCGAGCGACTGCGCGATGCCTGGAAAGAATCGCAAGCCAGTCTTAACGAGCAGCGAGCCATGCAACGACCGATGGTCCTAAATCGCGGCTGGGGCGACAGCCCGGAGAGCAGCGTTGAATTCCTTGGTGGCTGGGAAGAGACCACAGCCCGAGGACCGCGGAACGGACTAGATGGTCACGATGGTGGACTGGGCAATACGGAGCTTTTTGGATTCCCGGGTCTTCTATTTGAAGTACTGAAGAACGGCGCTGTGAGCTGCTTGACAGTTTATTAATCCCACCGGCTCTTCCGCACGCAATCATTTGGCGTTTGAATGAGGCACGTCTTTTATATTTGGGACGCGACAATAAGCCCAGACTTTTGGGAGTTTTCTTTGGAGTTGTGTAAACATTTGGGAGCGCGCATGTAATATTCGGTTTCTAGAATACCAATCTTTCACCACGGATCTATGGCTTCTCCTTGTAAACTACGTCATAATACGTAACTGCCCCAGTTTCCATCTTGACTAACCGTCGCGATCTTCGCAACTCCTCCACGCCCTCAGCTTTCAAGTAGAGATGCCGGGAGAATGCACAAACAGGCACGGTTACTCCCGAAGTCTTGGACGTCGACACTCAAACTTCCCAAGTCGACGTTTCCCCCTCGAGGGTCGCCGGCCGACCAGACGAAATACCTGAAGCGATGCACCGATGAACTGTACGCCTGGCAGCGCCGCGAACGACCTGCTAACAAGCCCTTCGTCCTGCACGATGGTCCCCCTTACGCAAACGGCGAATTGCATATCGGGCACGCGCTAAACAAAATCTTGAAAGATATCATCAACCGCGTACAACTGGGTCGGGGTAAACAGGTGCGGTATGTCCCTGGGTGGGACTGCCATGGCTTGCCAATTGAGCTCAAGGCGCTCCAGGGCCTGCGTGATATAGGGGTGGGTGATGGATCGGTCAGTCCGGCGGTCATTCGCAAGTCTGCGCGACAGCTGGCAAGGCAGACTGTCAAGGAGCAGATGAAAGGGTTCCGTGGGTTTGGAGTCATGGCCGACTGGGAGAACCACTGGAAGACAATGGACAAAAAGTTTGAGATGCGCCAGCTGGGGATCTTCCGTGAGATGGTTGACCACGGTCTCATCTATCGCAAGTTCAAGCCGGTCTACTGGTCGCCTTCAACCGGTACGGCACTTGCGGAGGCTGAGCTGGAATACAAGGATGACCACATTTCCACCGCGGCTCTTGTCAAGTTTCCTCTCGTGAACATCCCTTCACACCTGTCTCAAGACCCGCTGCTTCAGTCAAATGGAGTAAGTGCGGTTATATGGACTACGACACCCTGGACCCTACCTGCCAATGCCGCTATTGCCGTTAGTGAGGAATTGGAGTATGCCATCGTGCAGTCTGAGACACATGGCAACTTGCTGGTGGCCCAGTCCCGGTTCGAATATCTCGAGAGCATGCTGAAAGAGGAGCTGTCTGTCATTGTGCCGTCAATTCTAGGCTCTGAACTGGCAGAGAAAACCACCTACCGGCCCATTCTCAAGGGCATTGATGCCGACCCTCAGCCGATTATTGCCGCGCACTTTGTCACGGCGGATTCGGGGTCGGGATTGGTTCACTGTGCTCCCGGTCACGGTATGGACGACTACGAAGCCTGTCTGGCTCGCGGCATCCCGGTCTTTGCGCCGGTCGACGACGAGGGCAGGTTCACCGAGAAGGCCATGCCGCACGATTCTACACGCTTGGCTGGAAAGCCCGTGCTAGGAGAAGGCAATGACCTTGTCCTGGATTATATAAAGTCCCACGGCTATCTCCTCGCCCAGCACAAATACGAGCACAAGTACCCCTATGATTGGCGTTCCAAGCAACCGATCATTATTCGTGCTACCGAACAATGGTTCGCAGATGTGGCAGATATTCGCAGCAGCGCGCTCAAGGCGCTGGAGGATGTTCGGTTTGTTCCGGATACTGGCAAGCACCGACTGGACAACTTCATCAAGAATCGCAGCGAGTGGTGCATCTCGCGTCAGCGCGCATGGGGCGTCCCAATTCCTGCTATCTACCACAGGACCACCGGCGAGGCTGTCTTGACCAAGGAAAGTGTTTCGCATATTATGCAGACTATCGAAGAGCGTGGCGTTGACGCCTGGTGGACTGACAGCGCTGATGAGGCTGCCTGGGTACTCCCATCTTTGCGGAATGATCCTGTGGGTTATCGACGTGGCGCTGACACGATGGATGTTTGGTTCGACAGCGGTACCAGTTGGGCGGAAATTGATATCCCCATTGAGGGGCGCAGCCATCTTGCGGACGTATATCTGGAAGGATCCGACCAACATCGAGGCTGGTTCCAGTCCGGTCTTCTAACATACATTGCTCATCAGTTCTCTTCGGGCCAAACTGAGCCCTCTCGTGCTCCCTTCCGCAATCTCATCACCCACGGTTTTACCCTGGATGAACATGGGCGCAAGATGAGTAAGTCTATTGGCAATACCATTTCTCCCCAGACCATCATGGATGGAACCCTGCTGCCTCCTCTGAAGCCCCGCAAAGGTAAGGGGAAGAAACAGTCTGAGAACCAGGAACCAACCTATGACGCGCTGGGTCCCGATGCCCTTCGCATGTGGGCTGCGAGCAGCGACTACACGCGCGACGTGGTGATCGGAAAGCAGGTGCTTCAGACCGTGAACACCAGCCTCCACAAGTTCCGAGTCACCTTCAAGCTGTTACTGGGTGCACTGGGTGATTTCCGCCCCGATTGTGTCGTGCCGTACGAGCAGCTACAACAGGTGGATCGGATCGCGCTGAAGCACCTCTCGGACATGGTTCTTACCACGCGGACGGCCTGTGACAACTTCGAGTTCTACAAGGCTGTCGCCACAATGAACCGCTGGGCCAATCTTGAGTTCTCAGCCTTCTACATGGAGGCAATCAAGGACCGACTGTACACACTGGGCGAGAACAGCGCAAGCCGTCGTGCTGCCCAGACCACCCTGTTCTACATCTTTCAGCACCTCCAGGAAGTCCTGGGCCCCATCACCCCGCTCCTTGTTGAGGAGACCTGGGACCATACCCCAGAGGCGATCCGGTCCCTGAGCGAGCACCCTTTGCGGCGTATCGCCGCCAGCCCCGCGTCCGAGTGGCAGGATGCCGCGCTGGATACCAGCTACCAGGACATTGTGGCTGTCCACTCGGTCATCAAGAACTTGCAGGAGCAGGCTCGCGGGAAGAAGGTCCTCGGCTCGTCGCTGCAATCGTTTGTGCATCTCGTTCTCCCCAGCGACATGAGCAACACAGTTTTCCACCAGTACCTCTCCGAGCTGCCGGACCTGTTCGTCGTGTCGGCTGTCACGCTGGCTGACCCCCGTGAGGCTGTTCCGGTCGAGATCGCCGAGGCTGAATGGCAGTATGAGGAAGAATGCGCGCTGCCTGACGGACGGAAGGGCCGAGTGTACGTCTACGCTCCACAAGCGTCCAAGTGCGCCCGCTGCTGGCGGTACGCCGTTCCGGAGCCAGTGGCGATGGATGGCATCTGTGATCGGTGCGATTCGGTGGTGCGCGAGCTGGAGGCGGCTGCAGCTCCTGCTGTCTAGATGGTCATCTAGAGGATCATCGGTGCTGTGATCGATAGTGTCTTGTTTTCTTTTTCGTGTACTATACGGAGTACAACTCCTTGCAGACTATGTACCATAACTCTCTCCAAATCCCCCTCCTGCCAATCATCTGTACGATTTTCCTGCGGTTCCATCTGTAGTCTTTGTTGCTGCGTTCCTTGGTTCTGCACGTTCTGCCTAGACGGCAACCAATTCGTGTTTCTTGTTCTGCCAGTGGCGATGACGACAGACTTCCAAGCTCCCACCCGAATCCTGATTTCACCTTTCCACCTCACCAACCACCCAAGTCTTTTAGACCTTTCTTCCCTCGAGTTGAGCCTCCTTCTTCATACTCTTCCTCATTCTATCAATACCTTCAAGATGATGGTCCCTGAAGATTTCAACAATTTCCCCTCGGTCACGCTGCCAACCTCCACGCCCACCTCGGTGGCCCCGATCCCCACGGTGATCCCGAGCACCCCGCTCTTCCAGGAGCTCCACGACACCGGCAAGCGGACTCTCTGGTTCGAACTCCTATTGCCAGGCGCCGGTTAGACTCACCTCCAGCTAACCTTGCTATCTCTAGGGTCGTCACTGTGTTGATGGGCGTCTCTTCGCTCGTCTTCTACACGATCGGCGCCCGTGCGCCACTGGTACGCGCCCCCCAGCTTGACAGCTAATTAGCTCCCGCGCCCAAACCACGCTAACACCCCGCACTTCTACAGCCCAAGCGGGTCTTCCACACGCTTGCGTCCCTGATCACCACGATCTCCTTCATCACCTACCTGGCGCTTGCAACCGGCCAAGGCATCAGCTTCAAGCACGCCCACATCACTCACCACCACAAGCATGTCCCCAATACCGCGGACGAGTACCTCCGCCAGGTCCTGTGGCTGCGCTATATCAATTGGGCCCTGGCCACACCCCTGCTACTGATCAACTTTGCCCTCGTGTCCGGCCTGCCAGGTGCAAACCTCGTCATGGCGATCGCGGCGAACTTTGTCATGCTTGCCGCAGGTGTACTGGGTACTTTTGCGGGCCACACCCGCCAGCGATGGGTCTGGTTGACCATCAGCTGCATTGCTTATCTAGTGATGCTGCACCATGCAGGATTCCATGCCCAGCGCGCCGCGCAGAACAAAGATGCGCAAACACGCCGGTTCTTCGGCGCGCTCTCTGGATCGGCCTTTGTAGCCTTTGCGCTGTTCCCGATGTACGTCTTTCTCTCCATTTCTCCATCTTCCACTGGGACACATTCTAACTCTTCCAAGCTCCCTTGCTGCTGGTTCCCTGGCGTTGAAGATCAGCGTCGACACTGAGACCGTTCTTCTCGCTATTCAGGATATCTTCACCCAGGGCATTCTCGGCTACTGGCTTGTGTTGGCACACGACAGTTCTCCGAACATGTAAGTTGCAGGCGCAACCTATGGCCCATCCGTAACTTTCTAATCCGATGCATATATAGCACCCTCTACATGGACGGTTTCTGGTCATCTGGAGTCGGCAACGAGGGCGCCATCCGCATCGCGGAAGAAGATGGCGCGTAATTTGGATCCCAGGAGGCCGAAAGAATGATTCAATGACTTTCTGGCCACGGAGATCGTTCCAAGTGCGTCAGTTTTACACCAAGGGTCGATTGCCACAATCTCGTATCAATCTCTGGATCTATCTGTCATCATCTTGAATACGCCACATGCCCTCAAATTGCGTGAAAAGTCGGGCCTCTTGTATTTGTAGATTTAAGATAGTCAAGTTGCCAATCATTAATCGTGTTTGCATTATGAATTGTCGTGATAGAATATCGTAGATTATCAGATCGTTCAGATCATAACTGATAGCCATGAAAATACATGAGTAACAGGCCGTGTCTGTCCGATCTCGCCCTTCAGCTGGAAAATCTTCCAGGAGCGCCCTCATTCCAGCATCAGGTCCAGGAGGTGAACTCTGCCCTGCAGCCATCCCTCATTCACGCTCACTACCTTCAGGTCCTTCTGCAGATCAACCGGGATCATCCCAACAGAAACAATCCCCGGCTCCATCTTCCTCGGGCACCGCAAAGATACCTTCATGGCCTGCGGCAGCCAGAACCCGGCATCCAGGCATTGACCAAGGAACCTGATGGTCAGCAGCTGTTCGGGATCAAACCAATGCAGGAAGGGGTCAGCGTCGATGACGAAGCCAGAGAGAGTCAGGTTCTTGATACTGAGGCGCTTGCACGCCCGGCTCGTAGCCATAGCCAGAATCTTGGCCTTTTCAATGCTGTGCTTGTCAAGGTACTCGCCGCAGCCAATGTCTGGGTGAAGCTCGCCGTCGCCAAGATGACCACTACAAATTTACAAGATTAGCGAGAGCGAATCGACTCGCCTCCCTGCCCACCTGCTTGCGACTTACTGGTACACTGGTTCTGCCGAGTATCTCTTGTCCATCTCCCATCCATCTTGAATCGGCTTCCACTGCGCGGCATGTATGGCACTGTGGACCTTAGGTTCCAGTGACATCTCAAGGTGCAGCTCCTCGAGGTCAAAGTTGAGCCAGGCCACCTGCCAGATGTAGGATTGATACGACTGCAGCATGCCCGTGATTGTCAGTGAGCGTAGGTGGCGGAACTGGCATATCGGTCTCATTTCCTCGATACCCAAACAGGCCAATTCATCAAGTTCCGTTGGACACGGCCGGAACAGGTCTAAGCCCAGTGTCTTCTTGTGCTGGGGCAAATCCGCCCAGGTCGAGCCACCAGGAAAACCGATAAATGGCTTTGCTGCCGTTGCAAAATCGTCCACAGGGGGTTCAGTTCGGTAAGAAAGTGAGGGGGGCGGCGAACGCGATACTCCACGGGTCTCGATGGTGATTCCTGGTGGAAGTTCAGGTGGTTTGACTGGCCGCAACCGTCCTTGTCGAGGTGCAGGAGGACTCCCAGGCGCTGAAATTCGAGAGGCAAAAGGATTCATTGGGGGTGGTGCCATTCTGCAGGGTGATGGAGATCGTGCACGGTGTTCCGTGTCCCAGAACCGAGATGCTCTCGTTGTCAGCGAAGAGTGACGCCGGACACCAGGTGGTTTGACGTCTGACATGCTTAGGCGACGGCGTCCCTTAGTAGGAGCTTCCTCGTCGCCCAGATTGAAAGGGAAGCGCTTTGGTAGATCCAGGTCCAGGGCTAGGAGAGTCAATGATATGCTTTAGCACTGTATTGATAAGCCGCATGCGATGCTTGAAATCAGAATCACGCGCGTGGTCTCCTTACCGATGTCCAGCTCTTTGCTGATGTTGTCTTCATACTGGGTCGCGTCTTGCCAGAAGTCCCAACCCATCAGGCTGTCCCTCCAGTGTGCAGGATGCTCCCCCATCTTAGAGAAGTGGCCCCGGTAATAGGTTGCAATGCAGGTCAGGTGGAGATCAGAGACGTGAAGTGTGTTGCGGATGGAAGAGGAGGAGGACGAGGAGAGCGGGGAATAATGTGAGAGAGATGAAGGAGGCACGACCTGCTTACCTGCTGAGTTGACTGCCCTCCGCAGTCAAGTGAAACTCATACCTTCCTATTTGGGCGCCGGAGGCATCCTTTGCATCTGCCGGCCCACGCGAGTTGCGCTGTGGCGATAGCAATGCTCTTCAGCTTTCCTAGCTCGGTTGAGAGGGCTCAGATGTTCTCTGGATCTCAATCAGAGGATTCTACAACCATACCTTCTCCTACCTCTATGCGCAATCATAGGCTCTTAGAGCGACTTCACGTTTTGGAAGCACAGTGCACGTAACATACATACCAAATGTAGGCACCAACTTGGATGGACATACCTGATAGGCTTAATATGACCTAGTCTGAGGACGAATTGGAAGGCCAGGCGAGGTGGAATTCCAGCTAATCATCCTTGATGCGGTAGAGTCTTGCGGGTATGTAGTGTCGTGGGTGGGCTGGCAGGTCACAAAGAGGGTGCGACGTGTTTTGACAAGCACTCTAAAGTCGAGCATGTAGTTCGAGTTAGGCCCCACTCGCCTTTCACCCACCAAGCACTCCGTAGGAGGCTCAGTCGGCGTCGGCAGTCCCGCCGTGTGGCTTGATTCCTCGTCGAGCCACAAAGATATACAGAGTATGTCTAGCAAGGAGTATTGCTTTCTCCACTTCTGTAGCAGCGCATGGGTAAGCGGGAGAGACAGATCGGTAGACCACAGAGAAGTCACTACATATACAAGTACAAATGCACGGGAGAAAAGAAGCATTTTTGGCTGGAAGATGGCTGACGTCGCTATTTTTGTTAACCCTTTCCCGTGATAAATACATCCATGGACACCCGGACCCGAGGGGGAATCAACCCGCAAGCCACTTTTGACCCTTCCAGCCCGAGAATAAGGGGGATGTGAAAAGAGACTCGGAACTTAAATCATGCAAGCATCATGCCCAATAACCTAGTACTTCTTGCCCTGGCGCAGGACATCACCGAACTCCTCCAGAGGGCTGCGGATGAGCTTGGTCTCCTTCCAAAGGTTGGGGGTAAGGAAACCGTAGGTGTTGACGACGGCAACGAAGGTGGCCTTGAGGGTGTTCTCGAGGGTCTTGGTGGAACCGGAAGAGGAGGTGTAGGCGTCCTGGACACCGGCGAGCTGGAGCAGACGCTTGACGGCGGGGAGAGGCAACCAGGCCAGTACCGCGGGGAGCGGGGATAAGCTAAAAAGAATCAATCCCATTAGTTCCAAAATTCCAAGCTTCCAAAAGGTCACATATTGGAGAACTAGGGGGATACATACACGGACAGCGACGGAACCACACTTGCCGGACTGCTTGACGGGCAGAGAGTGAGGCTCACCGAGGTTGGTACCCCAGTAACCGCGGCGGACGGGCAGGACAGCGAGCTTGGCGATGGTGATAGCGGCACGGATGGCGGTGGCGACTTCCTTGGAGGTCTTGATGCCGAGACCGATGTGGCCCTCGCCGTCACCGATGAGGACAATGGCCTTGAAGCGGGTACGCTGACCGGCACGGGTCTGCTTCTGGACGGGCTTGATCTGTAGGCGTTCAAAAGACCATGTTAGCTACTGGATTTCCTCAAATTGTAGTTGCCCCCTCCGCTCTCTGTTATTACGCATTGCGCCATGCGCCATGCACTATGTTGGCTCATATTTCTCCAATGGCATCGTAGATACCTCCCAATTCCTCCCCAGGTGTTCGTGTATGGTGCTGGTGTGTGCCGTACCTTCATGACCTCATCCTTCAGCTTGGGCAGGAAGAAGTCCACAATCTGGAACTCCTTGATGGGCAGAGAGTGCAGGTAGATCTGCTCCATGCTGGTGATCTTGCCGGCCTTGACGAGACGGCCGAGCTTGGTGACGGGCTGCCACTCCTTCTCCTCCTGCTTTCCACCACGGCGGCCACGGCCACGACGACCACGGCCACGGTCACCACCACGGTCGCCGCGCGAACCGAAACCTCCACGTCCACGGGGAGCAGCGTCAGCCATTTTGTATGTATGAGCGACGAGAACGAAGTTGTCGAAAAGGTGTCGATGGGGTCGTCGGAGGTTCGATCTGGACGGACTTGTTTGGCCGAAATTTCGGGTGGGCTAAGCGAGCAAGCGGGCTGCGGGCTGCCCTAGTGCCAACCCTAAGCCCTACCTTCCTGGTTGGGACGACAGTGACGGGTGTGGCACGTGCACTTTAGGTTTGCAGGGGCAGGGTCAGCTGACCGATCCACCGGGTCGAGAAGTTTGGGGAATTTCACTGAAAGCAGAACTACGGGTAAATTTTTGGACTGGGTACAGAGTAGATCATTCGACAATTCAACCATATTTAGTAGTTCTGGAGGTCAACTGCAGAGGCTCAACCCTACTTTTCCTCTCAGGACTCCGCACGTAGTTTTGGCCTTTGAATACAACTTGAACAGATCTCCGGTGTAAACATCCAACCCAATAAGCATGAGGCGTAAAAAAGAAGCAAATCCTGTTTGGGCCTTGCCGCCCCAGGCGGGTGCATTTCCTCGCCGAGCGACCCCGACAGAACAACTCGACTCCGCAATTTAAGGGTGCGGATCGCTCCTCATTCTTGACTGCCCGCTCACCTTTGCGTCTCTACCTTCTCCTCTCCTCCTCCGCGCTCCTTCTTCGTTCCCTCCTTTCGCATTCATTCACACACCATGTTGCGCTGGTACGCTCTCCCTCTTCCCGCCCTTGCCGCGGAAAACAACAGCTCACAGTTTCAATGCAGGTACCAAAGCAAGCTGGCCAAGAGGCCCATCCTCACGGCTAGTATAACCAGCGCGGTACGACGCTCCGATCCCCCTTTCCTCTCCGATTCGATCCAATCCGCTCCGATCTAACACACATCAACAGGTGTTGTTTGGTAGCGGTGATGTTCTAGCCCAGCAGGCCGTCGACCGGAGAGGCCTCCAGAAGCACGACTTTGGTCGCACCGGGCGCATGGCTCTCTACGGTGGAGGTAAGTCTGCTGCATCTAGGGACTACCATGGATTCTAATCGGCTAATTCGAATTCTTCCTCTCTAGCTGTCTTCGGTCCTGTTGCCACCACCTGGTTCGGTATCCTCCAGCGCCATGTCGTCCTTAGAGGCACCGCCTCCACCACCATCGCCCGCGTCGCTGCCGATCAGATGGTGTTTGCGCCCATTCAATTGACCTGTTTCTTGTCCTCGATGGCCATTATGGAAGGAAGCGACCCGATTGAGAAGTGGAATACTGCCTTTGTGCCCAGCTACAAGGCCAACCTGATGGTCTGGCCGTTTGTCCAGGGGGCCAACTTTGCTTTAGTGCCCCTGGAACTCCGAGTGCTGGTGGTCAACATTGTCAGCTTGGGTGAGTGCTCTTCGAGGTACTGAATTCTCGGTTTGATTGGAATGCTAATCGATCGGCAGGCTGGAACTGCTTCCTCAGCTTGATGAACAGTGGCGAGGAGTAATGGTGCAGAAGGGTTAGACCCGTCTTTGTGTCTTCAGTCTTCTATTACATTGTCCATGTTTTATTTGGCGATCTCATTGGCATTTACTATAGACAGATTCCACGGTCGCTGTTTGGGTTTTATGGTTATTGGGTTGTATACACTGCGTTGGTTATGTATGGCAAGGGTATTGTGCTTATTGATTGGGTTACGAAGTTATTTTTCTAGCGGTGTTATGAGAGAAATATGCGATTTTATTTGAATCGCCGAATCAGACAATTGACCAGATTTGTTAGTTTGCGCGCATCCAGTAGATCGAAGTATGAGCTAGTGGTAACCAAGTCACTATCGTTAGGGCTCCATCGGCCCGACCCAAATAGGCAAGGCAGTTTTTTGCGTTGCCGCATCTCGAACTTCAAAACTTCCACTGCGGGTCATTTCTTTCGTGTCGCCCCCTCTCCACCCTCCGTCACTTTCTGCCTGGAGCAGATCTTCTCTGCTGCAGACTCGATCTCCGATCTGACCGAACGAGTCATCCGTCTCGCTGTGTGCACTCGGTCTCCCCTCGCCTTTGCGCCTTCCCGGACCCGAAAATCTTCCCCTCCGAGCCGCTTCGCTTTCAAGCCACCCGCCTCCCTTTCAATCTTCCTCCTCTCCCACCTCTCCACAACCACCCACCATGGCGGCCGTCGAAGAGAATGGTCACGCTGTGACCGATGAGAATGCCGCGCCCGCGGTCGCTGCCCAATCGACCGACGAAATCGTCACCGTTTTCCACAACCCCGAGAACTTCAACGTCAAGCATCCGCTCATGCACGAGTGGACTCTCTGGTTCACTAAGCCTCCCTCCGGCAAGGTGAGGATCGTTCAGAATCTACCTCGCGGATCAAGCGCTGACTGTCTTTGTCATCTAGGGTGACAACTGGAATGATCTGCTGAAGGAAGTCGTTACATTCAGCTCCGTCGAGGAATTCTGGGGCATCTACGTATGTTCTCCCAACCCAGGCCGTCCGGCCTCGGCACCGGATTCCCCAAAAATACTGACCGTCGCCTTTCTCATCTAGAACAACATCACACCAACCTCCGAGCTGGGCCTCAAGGCCGACTACCACCTCTTCAAAAAGGGCGTACGACCGGAGTGGGAGGATCCTCAGAACAAGCACGGTGGCAAGTGGTCATACCAGTTCAAGGACAAGCGGTCCGTTCCTATCGACGACCTGTGGCTGCACGCACAACTGTCCGCTATCGGCGAGACCCTGGAAGCCGACGCCGACAACGAGGTCATGGGTGTGGTCGTGAACGTGCGCAAGGGCTTCTACCGCGTCGGTCTGTGGACCCGCACCGTGGGCAAGAGCATTCCCGGCGACAAGACGTCCCGCACACCCGCCCAGGGCAAGGATATCCTCGAGGCGATCGGTCGGCGGTTCAAGGACGTCCTCCGTCTTAAGGAGGCGGATGTCGTGGAGTTCTCCGGCCACACCGACAGCGCACACAGCGGCAGCACCCGTGCCAAGGCCAAGTACACCGTTTAAAGACGACGCTAGAAGATTTGAAAGTTTGCCCTCCTTCGCCAATACCCGGGGCGGAAGGGGTAGGGGAAGAAATGGAGATGGAGATGGAGATTTATGATGATGGGGGAGAGACTCAAAGAGAGCGGGATTTGGGGAACGTTGTGGGTTACCGGGACGATACAGAAAAGTTGATGATTCCCAGTCTCTCTTAGCCCTGCTGCATTTCCTTTGCAGTGACGACCTTGCTCGCGACATGTATCTTACTCTACCAAACGCATTTTATGAGGCATATGTCGTGGCTTGCGGTGTCTGGTCTTGTGTTGTTTTGTATGGTATTTTTCATCTTAGTATATGGATTCAATCCGCCACTGATAGAAGATGAGTTGTATCAGTGTGTAGGTTTGGATGGAGTCATGCGCGGAAACATGGTGGAATGGCTGTGCGGGCCAGTGGGTGGACAAGCTACGATATATATTTTTGAATTGTGCCAACCATCCACCGCACTAGACCTGAGACGCTGGAAACCTTCCTAAACAGCCTTCAGTAGCGCAACTTTGGAAGATCGACATCTCAGAGTGCGATTCCACCTTCACTAATTTAGTTTTCACCCCAAAAGTACTGTCATTTACTTTCCTGGACTGGTGAATCACACGTCCACCTGCGTGGGGATGCATGGAGCTCCGTTTTAGGGACCACCTATTGTACCTAGTAGCATATGTATCCCTAGATCCCTCACTCTTGTTACCTGGAATGAAAGTCCGTGAGTTTTGCAGGGCAGTCAATAACTCTTGGATCCATCGACTCCGAGGGACGCAATCCTTACAGGCTCCTCGTCGCACCCGGGTGGATATCAAGATATTACGTATATTGCATCCAACTACGCTGCACCTGCAGTCCCATGGACACCTTGTGAGTATATGCACGATATATCTCCATAGGCAGCTACTTGTCGGGTCGTACAAGATGACACAGCTGTATGCTACGCAGAGTCAGCACATCCCATACCCTTGAAAACGACTCGAGGGCTGCCCTTCTGGCTGTGCTCGTCCAGCGGTGTGATTCATTAATCTGCGGTGGGGGTAGTCAGCAAAGTCATCAACTGTTCTCAGCATTGTACGTGGTCGGAGTGGCCTTGTTCATCCTAGAAGGCTGACACGTCGAGGGTGGCGGGCCGGGGTATATTGAATGTTGAGGCCAAATCTTCTGCGTCTTGATTAAGGACATAGCGCAGTAGAGTAAGAACTTCACACCACGAGAGAGAGAGAGAGAGCTGGCTTTGATCCCTCCGTTGTTTTCTCTTCTCTGGTCAATTGGCGATTTTCAAAATGATCGAATGGTCTTCGCTACTGAATGGGTTGCGGGGCATCCTCGCCCTCCTCCTCGCCAGTCTTCTACTGTTATACTGGTATATCCGCATACCGGGTGATCTGCCCAAGAATATACCCACAGTACCAATCTATATATCGCTGCTAGGTCTCTGGAGCGACATGGGCCAAGACGACATCTACGATCGATGGCTCCGCGGGCCGTTGGAAACGCATGGCGCTGTCAAGATATGGTTTGCCGGTCGATGGAATGTCCTGGCAACGCGACCGCAATTCCTAGTGGATATGTTTCGGCACGAAGACGTATATGCGAAAGCAGGGAGTCAGAAGAAGATTCCATGGGGTGTGATTGCCGCGTTGGTTGGCGACAATATTATCAATGCCCACGGTGATAACTGGAGGCTGTTTACGTCTATCATGAAGCCGGGCTTGCAGCGGCGAATCACCGATTCGAGACCGTTACTGGAGAAGTCGCGGAAGTTTGTGGATGTAATATTGGAGGAACAGAGTCGGCTTGGGAGGGCAAAGGGGGTGTTGGTTAACCCTATCATTCAGCGGTGGGCCTTGAGCTGTATGGGGATCAGTTTTATGAATGTCGATCTTGAGGTATACCCGATTCTCCTGGTCTGAGCCAGCAGTCCCACACACTAATTTGAGATCTGTATAGGCCTTGGAACGACCCGGACAGCGTCTTGAAGAGCTCCAAACAATCATCAAGAAGACCTTGTTCAAGCCACTGTTCTTCAATTTCCCCGACCTCGATCGATACCCATCTATCTTCCACCAACGCAAGATTGCTTTCGCAACCATGCAAGAGTTTGGAGACATACTCTGTGAAACAGTTCGGCGACGATCCCATGACCAAGAAAATGGCGATGGCGATGGCGAGCAGGTGGTCGACTATCTCGACCGGGCCTTGAAGGAAGGTCGCATCACCGAGGAGCAATACCGCGCCAACCTCAAGATCACCTTCCTCACAGCACACGAAAACGCACAGCAGCTCGTCAATTCCGCCTTCTGGGTCCTGGGCAAGAACCAAGCCGTGCAGGAGAAGCTTCGAGCCGAGATTCTTGCGACTGGCGAAGAAGACCCGTCGACCGATCTGGTCCACTCACTGCCCTACCTCTTTTCCGTCATCCTCGAGCTTCTCCGCCTGTATCCACCCGTCTCTCAACTGATCAACCGCGTGACTACGGCCCGATCCGTTCTAGGAGGCGAAATAATCATCCCGAATCGTACGTGGGTCGGCTGGAATGCCTTCGGCGTGCATACGGATCCGACCGTATGGGGCCCAGATGCCAGAGAGTTCACTCCCGAGCGATGGGGGAACGAGGTCAAGGCCATCCAGAATGCCATGCGTAGCAAGACGACTCAATGTCATTTCATTGCGTTCAATGCACACTCGCGGAAGTGTTTGGGCCAGGGGTTCGCGGTGCTACAGATGAAGATCCTGCTGTTTGAAATGGTGCGGCGCATGGAGTGGAATATCGATGCGGAATATGAACTGAAACTGACGTCGGTGAGTGGTGGATCTTGCGGAGTTCAATTGCAGCTTGGCTGATTTCTACAGGGCGGGATTATGGCTCCGTTGGGACTCCGTGCTGTTGTGCAAGAGAGGGGTGGACCGGCCGAGGTGAACGGTGTTGTGCAGTAGGGACCAACTTGGCCTGATGAGTGGATGAGTTGAATTGTAGCTTTTCAAGCGACACACGAAAGCATATTGAGACGGGGCAGGGGTCCCGTGACGAGTACAAGTACAGGCGCAGCGTTCTAAAATGTAATGAAATCACCTCATCGAAAATATAGAAGCTAGCGGGATTCGTTCTTGATGAATGATCATCAGTTGCTGGCGATATCGGCCGATATCTTCCATCGAGCGGCTAGCCAAGTATCATCCCAAAACAGTTCACGGGATTAGTGAGGCGAAGAGCCACTAGGAAACACGCAGATCAGACACTGTCTATCGTATGAGTGCCTTCCAAAGAAGCACATGGTTCCAAGCCCTAAACACGTAAACATCTTCTCTCTGCGGGTTGACTTTGTTGATTGTCCAAACCCGGTGAGATATCCCGGGTACCTGACGGGCTCGCCAGGAACAACCCATAGAATATCCGCCAAGGTCCACACAGCGCCAATCCTGAGTGGACGGCCATGTCGCCATATCAGATATTACCGGAGGACGTCAAAACTAGACTGGCCGGCGACTTCGGCATGGGCCTCTCTGGCTTCATATCGCGGGGAGTATAGTCCGTCCTCTTGAGGAAGAATTGTCTTCGTGGGTCTATCAGTCGTTCGGGAGACCCGGAAGTGACTTTTTTCCCTCGGGATGCCCTCGCCAAGAAATCAATATGCAACTTTAATCGAGCTTATCCGCAGGCCTCCAAGGGCCGGTCAACGCGCACTGCTCGAGCGCCATGCAACACAAGACGTATAAACTCTCTTGCTGAATGGCCAGCCTGGGATTGGCCTGCCAGTCTCTTGGGCTGGGCGTGGTGTTTCCCCTCACGGGAGGGGCAGCCAAGGGCTTGGGGGCTACGCCTTTTGCAGGCGACTAGTTGCCGAACGGGCAGTGTGTGGCCGGTCAAGACGGGCGAGGGCAGGAAGACAGCAGGATAGGCGCATCCCGTTGGTGGAATGGGCCGGGGGGGTCGGTTGAGGCTGGTCGAGTCTGGCGGGAGCGGCGAAGTCGGAGCGATAAGGCGTGTGCCATGCCTCTTGGGCGTTTCTGGGCGTTCCTTGGGGCTCCGGCGAGTCGATTTATTATGCGGGCGGTCCCCATCGGACGCGGGCGTTCTTTTCTGACTCTTTTCTTCCCATCCTTCCGAGCCTTCCATGTTTGTCTGCCTTTCGTCCTGGAAATACCTCCTAGTTAACCTGTCCAGGTGTCATTCCACCCTCCACACGATGACCAATACCATCGACAACCAGAAACCTTCTTATCACTGAACGGGCGCGGCTTGGCAGTGCCTGACTCCACCTCCCATCGTTGCCAACAATCTCCTGGCCTCGCTTTTACGAGAGAAAAATTACCCCGGAATGAGGTCCGGCTCGCCCTGCAGCCCACTGGGCACTGCTTGTCTGACAGCAAACCCCCCGATGCTGGTCCATTGAACCGCCTTTACACCCGCCCGGGCATTAGCCATTGGTTGGCTATTGGCGGCTGGCGCAGGACACGGGATTGACTTGCCCGGTCCTGCTATGCGCCTGCCCTTGGTCTCTTTGTTGGGCCTCCTCCCTCTGATCTCCCCGCATGAGACCCATGAGACTACTCAGCGGACTCCGGGGTATCATCATGCAAAGCGCACAGGGTTGTGAGACACCGCCGAAACTCAACCAGAGCAGCGCCGAGTTGATTCGTTGGCATAGCCGATTAGCCTCTCGGGACGCGGGGAAAAGGGCCCCAACGTTGCAGCACAGATACACGGTGGCGGGAACACAACGGGACCCGGGCGCAATCAGCCGCAGTGTGCGACGGTCGCTCCCGGGACCTCCCTTGCGTGATGAGCCGATGAGGCAATGAAACAACCGCCGTACGGCAGCGCCGTTCGTTATGCTCCATCCGAATGCGGTTGTTCGCCGGAGATCAAAGCGGACCAGACCCCGCCACCAGTCTGGATCGTACGGTGTATACTGCACACCGATCGAGCTACCGATAACTACGGGGAGGGCTGGCAACAATGGGCACAGTGGGAACACTGAGAATACTGAGACTGGAACGATGTCCTCCGTCCTGCGCGGATTGGTGCTCCGGGATCCTTCATTGGCCTCGGTCGCGTGCCGCGGGAGGAGTGCGCCGTCTGCCACGGCTGGCCTGTCATTTGTCCAGTTCGATTTCAAAGCCGCGAATTGCCCCCGCTGGGTTGACGGGAGAGGAGGTACAAGCGGCGAAGGCGCGTAAACACGCCCACAACGCTTCCAACTCGTGGCCGGTGTCTCAAACGATCCAGATCCCGAGTCGTCGCCAATGGCAATGAGTCCACGCCTACAATGGCGGAGTCCGGCGAGTGGACTCCGGCTCGAGCGTGCCTGAGCAGGAGATTGAGATTCCTTGGCATGAGGTCCAGTCTCCATATACCTCGTGGCGAACCCGGAAAAGTGTTTTCGAATCGCGGTATGCGATGCTGGGAACGGTTCATGAAGTGTACAAAAACGGGAAGAATTCCACATCCATCGGCATTCTCCGACTGACACTGCCGGTGTGATTCGCCCGCCGCCAGAAGAGTGGAGGCCGCCAAGCCCTGTCTGGCCTGGCCTTTCGAGAAGCCCTGGACCAGCCAGCACCCAGCACCCAGCAGGGCCACATTGCGCATGGCGCATTGCCGATTATTGCTGGTTGCCCATTCACTTGTCATATCAGCGCAGCTTGTTCGCTTCCGTCTGCGTGCCGTTCTGGGGTTACATTCGTGGGTCCCGGCCATCGCAGCGCGGCCGATTCGTCCCAACTCGACTGGTCCTGCCGATCGCATCCACGGTTGGTTTGTCGCTGGAAGCAATTGTTGTTTCCCTCGATATCGCCCTCTAAGTGGGACGAAACACACCTCTCCACCCACCCCCGGCCTGTACTATACTAAGATGGCGCTTGGGTCGTGTGGTCCATTTTTTCTACTTATTTTTCTCGCCTTTCGGCTCACGCGCCGATTAGAACAGACCGGCACAACCCCCACCACGACCTCGGGTGTTGGGTAATAAAAATTGAATATATAGTATATCGGTCGCGGCCATTTTTTCCATTTCTCTCTCTCTTCTCCGTCCCTGTGCACTCCCGGAAGGTCCAGTTACCTCCTGAACCTAGTATCGCCATGTCGACTGCGGATCGCGAGGTGGAGGTTGCTCAGTATGTATTCCCTATGAAGAATCCGTCCTTGAATCATCCACCTGTCCTGCAAGCTCTTCGCGCAGGTCTCGCGGGTTTGCCAGAATTTGTATCTGACTCTCTCCCCACAGCCCTCCGAGCTACGATGACACCGTCCCTGTCGAGCAACAGGTCGCCGTGAACGAGAAGTCCAACATGGACAAGGAGAACCTCTCCATGACCCCCGACGGCGAGGAACCGACGGAGGATGAGAAGCGCACCCTGCGCCATATCGCCGAGAACTTGCCCGTTTCGGCCTGGCTGGTCGCCATCGTCGAGCTGTGTGAGCGTTTCACCTACTACGGCATGTCTGGGATGTTCCAGAACTACGTCCTGCGTCCTCTGGATGGCAGCCAGGGTCGCGGGGCCCTGGGTATGGGCCACCAGGGTGCTACCGGTCTCACCACTTTTTTCCAGTTCTGGTGCTATGGTAGGGTTTCCAGCGCAGAATCCTTCTTGATCTATCAAGAAAAACGTGACGAGGCATGGTGCTGACTCGTCATTCTCCAGTCACTCCCATCCTTGGTGCCATTATCGCTGATCAGTACCTCGGCAAGTACAAGACTATCGTGCTCTTCTGCGGTGTCTATCTTGTCGGTCTCCTGATTTTGGTCTGCACTTCCATTCCCACTGCTCTGGAGCACGGAGCTGGTCTGGGCGGTTTCATCGTGGCTATCCTAGTTATCGGTCTCGGCACCGGTGGTATTAAGAGTAACGTTGCTCCTCTGATTGCCGACCAGTACAAGAGGAAGAAGATGGCCATCTCGACTACCAAGAAGGGCGAGCGTGTGGTCATTGACCCCGCGTTGACCATCCAGCGGATTTACATGATCTTTTACGGCTGCATTAACCTCGGCTCGCTTTCGCTGCTGGCGACCCCCTACATGGAGCAGTACATTGGCTTCTGGTCGGGTTACCTCCTGTGTTTGTGCATGTTTGCCGCCGGTACCTTGGTCCTCCTGTTGGGCCGCAAGTACTACGTCGTCCGCCCACCCCAGGGGTCTGTCATCACCGACGCATTCAAGGCTCTCTGGATGATGATTACCAACCGCAACATGGACGCCCCCAAGCCGAGCTGGCAGCTACAGCACCGCGGCGTTGAGGTTTCTCTGCCCTGGGATGACCACTTCATTGACGAGCTCAAGCGTGCTCTCGTTGCGTGCCGCGTCTTCGCTTTCTACCCCATCTACTGGGTCGTCTACGGCCAGTTCTCCGGCAACTTCGTCACGCAGGCCGGCCAGATGTCGGGCCACGGTATCCCCAACGATCTTATGCAAAACTTCGATCCGATCTCCATCATCGTGTTTATTCCCCTGCTCGAGACCGTCGTGTACCCGCTCATGCGCCGCCTCAAGATCCCCTTCCGCCCCATCACCCGCATCTCCCTGGGCTTCGTAGTCGCCTCGCTGGCCATGATGTACGCCGCCATCGTGCAGCACCTGATCTACTCCGCCGGCCCTTGCTATGGCCATCCGCTCTGCGCGGCATCTGAGGTCGACGGCACCGCCCAGGGCAACAACGTGCACATCGCCATCCAGACACCCGCGTACATGTTCATTGGTATCTCGGAGATTTTCGCCTCCGTGTCCGGCCTGGAATACGCGTACACCAAGGCGCCGCCCTCGATGAAGTCGTTCGTGCAAGCGATGTACCTGCTCACCAACGCGTTTGGCTCCGCCATCGCCGAGGCTCTGACCCCGGCCGCGTTCGACCCGGCCATCATGTGGATGTTCGTCGGTCTGGCCGGCGCCTCGTTCCTGTGCGGCATCATTTTCTTCATCATCTTCCGCCACCTCAATGCCCAAGAGGACGACATGAATGCCCTCGATGCCGACGACCCGATGCCCGAGGCTCCTCGCGAAGAGGCGCGCCGCGCGTCCCAGGCCCCGCAGTAGATCTGTGGTCGGCTCTGTGTGGTATTTACTTCCAATGAGCGGTCCTTTTTCTTTGTCTGGACTTGCATTGCACAACTGCATGATGCATGGGAGCAGGGTCTTCCTGCTGTCTTGAACTGCTGCGCAGCTACCTATGTGAGACACGATCTGACGGTCCGGTGATAATCTCTAGTATATATATATATAAATACTTTATTAAACTTCCCTGTGCGAATATAAGCATTCTACTCTGAATCTGATTCTAATGCTGATCTTGGCTTTGCGTCCTGTATACTTGCATCTATCGGTCAACCCGGTAGGGCCTTGGTGAGCGGGCTGCAAGGATGCTTCCGAGGCGAAACAAGCACTCTTGCCCCAAGGCTTGTTTGTAGAGTTAGAGTAACGACGATTCCAAGCGGAGCTACTAAGGCCAGGAGAAGCTGAATATACGAAGACCTCGTATAACTCTTTCCATTAACATAAAACGGATACGAGCCATTCTACGCGATATAGCATTAGGTATATTACTACTCCACTTGACCGGATCCACGATATGGTTTGTAGCGATTAGGTAGAAACTATATACCAAATAGAGGGTGTCCTTATTCGAATCGTAAAAGAAGTACGGAAAGACAGGCAGTGAACCTTCTACTTTGAGAGCCACTCGCTACTGGGGATTGCCATGGGTCGATTGCGTAGTCGACGTTCGAACTTTTTTTAAGTCTCTGCTTGGGCAAGCCTCCTACTATGGGGTTCAGTGAACGTAACTATATAGAGTTAGCCGACAGGGCCTTCCCTAATGGATGGTTTGATATCAGGATAAGGCAGGTCAAATCACATGAGAAATCATTCAGAAGTACATACAGCCTAACAGCCTACCACTCTACTCAAAAATGATCTTGGCCCCGTTGGCAATATTTTCAAGTTTATGGTCACGATGTCCTGCTATATACAGCATGCAATATTCTGAAATGCTCTTAAGCGGAGGGAAGAAGAAAACGTTATTGATTAGCAACACAACTGTTCAGCCCTTATAGCGAGGAAGAATAAGATGGCTAATACAGCGATATTGCCGAAAGAGATTGATCGAATTGAGATTTAGGAACTATCTACAGAGAGAGAAATGGGCGGTATTATACACGCGCCGACCCGCAAGCTTGGAGGGTGGAGCCGTGCACGGTATTGGGGGATGATACTGTAACAAGCCTCGTACAGTACTTCCACGGCCAGGACGGCTCAGCCGGGACTGACTGGCAATGGACCCTGCAATAGCCTGATGCAGTCAAATGGATACGCATAGCGGCAAGGCATGCGGGGTGTCGTGTTGAAATAATGGAAGTCATCTATAGGATCTCCATTGACGGGTATGATAATGCAAGCAGTCTATAGATTTCATCTATAAAAGGATGTGTTGCTGTAGATCATGGATGGTGAGTACCGTGATGGTATACAGACCTTCGCGTATAGTCTGATCGTTTAATTGCAATTGGGCCCGCGAAATTAGATTCTTCGGTTGTTCTGCCAGCAGTCTTAAACCCCGCGACCGTCTCGATCGCACTGCTGGCCATTGTGCGTGCCCTACAATGGTGACGTGCAGACTTTGCGATTCACCCCCAAGCGAAAGTCCCGAAGGGTGCCGAAGGGTCCCGAAGTACCGGGTACGTCTTGCATCCGGACAAAATACATACAGGGCTGTCAATCCCAGCGGTACTTGCTACCGCCCCAGGCAACGGTTTTCCTGGCGTGCGCAAAATGGGCCCGATCCACTGTGGGTGGTCGATCCCAGCCTCAGAAATAGCAACCGTCTCAGCCACAGCGCGTGGCCAATTGCGCTCCACCACGATCGCAAGAAGGCTGCGCACGAACATCATTTGTGTCTTCTTGGGTAGGAGTCTGGTAGTAGGAAAGGAATTGAAAACCCAAGTGGTGTCACTATATGCAAGATTAAAGGGATGCCCCTGACTATCAATTATGTTAAAGCGCATGTTTTAGCCGCCGAGGCCCATCGGAACTTTTTAAGTTCAGTGACTTTATTTCGACAGGGACTTCCACCGCCGGCGCTTCTGCCGCGCCACTCCACCCTTCCTCTCCCGTCTCACCCTCTACTCTCCCTCCCTTCCCTCCTTCCCATCTCCTTCCTGCTCCTTCAAACCCCTCGCTCGTCTTCGCATTCCCTCTATCAAAACCTAATTCGCCATCATGAGTGTGAGTAGTATCCATCCAGCCCGACCGGGAATTTGTTGCCTCTGCCCCTTTTCTAACTCTGCCAGTACCAGAGCTTGGGCGATAACAATCAGGGGGGCTACGGCCAGTACAATCCCTATGGCGCTCAGCAGAACCCATACGGCGCGCAGGAAACCCCTTACGGTGGTCAACCGCAGCAGAGCTACGGCTACGGCCACGCTAATGCCATGGAGCAGGGCAACGGCGGTTATGGTGAGATTGCGATCCAGCGGAAGTCTCGGATCCCCACGATGTGATGCGCTGACCCTTGTCGTTCAAAACAGAGATGTCCAATGTGCCCGACAAGAACGCGCTTCTGACTAAGATCAATGAGTTGAAGCAGGGAATTGAGGACGTCAAGAGGAAGCGCCAGACCCAACTCCGTGCGGCCCAGGCGGCCCTGCTGGAATCCAACACCAGCAAGGAAGACCAGGTGACGCGCCAGAACGTTGACTACATCGAGGACGAAATCAACACCGCTCTCCGCTACCTGCGCGACCAGTTGAAGCGCCTCAAGGACACCCCTGGCTGCGGCGCTCCTGGCCCGGCCGAGCACTACACCATTGCCAAGAAGAGCCTACAGGATGAGATCACGGCCTACCAGGGCGATCAGTCGAACTTCCACAAGCGCCTGGAGGAGCAGGTGCGCCGCCGATACCAAATGGCCAACCCCGAGGCTACCCCAGACCAGCTGGAGGCTGGTGTCCAAGCTGTGATGCAGGGCCAAGAGCAGGCGTTTATGGTGAGTACTGGATTGATTTTTTGTTCTGATTGCGACGATCTGTGTTCAGGATGGGAGTCTAACCAATAATATAGACCCCTGGCACCCGTTCTCGCCAGGCCAACGATGCCCGCCAGGCAACCATGGCGCGTTCCGCCGCCATCCGAAAGATCGAGAGCGACATGCGCGACCTGGCTCAACTGTTCACCGACGTCCAGGAACTCGTCATCCAGCAGGAGCCCGCGGTCACCCAGATCAACCAGGGTGCAGAGGAGACCCACCGCAATGTCCAGCAGGCTAACACCAAGCTGGACAGTGCCATCACCAGCGCCCGCAACGCCCGTCGCTGGAAGTGGTATGCGCTGATCATTATTCGTAAGTGGTCACTAGACCTCCATTATCCTCCACTCCTCCCCGAATCCCCTGACTAACAGCGCATTTCTAGTCATCATCATTGCCATCATTGTCGGTGTCGCGGTCGGTGTTACCCAGGCCAACAAGTAATAGCTTCACATAAGCGGCTGCGTTGCATTCCACCCCGCCATTTTCCCACCTCGTGTACGACTTCCGCCCCCTCTCCCCCTCCGAATGGGATCGTGATTCGAACCCTGCCGGATTGCCATGCCCGTTCCCCCATCTCCGTTCCCATGCCCCCCCTCCCCTTCGTTTCTATACCACCTTCTCGCATGTCAGTTTCCTCCCTCTGTCTCTTGTGTAAAAGCAATGCTGGATCGGCCTCATTTCCTTGTGTTTTTCAATTGCTGCAGGTATCGTGTACAGCCGCTGTGTGATTCGCGCGCGACGTCTCCACGATCATGATTGTGCTTTTTCGGCTCCCCTGGCACGCGATCACGCCTGTCGCTGCGTCACCCCGGCCCGGGGATGTACATACTAGATTGTTTGATTTTTTGTCGGTGCCCACTTTTCTGTCTGGCACTTGAGTCTATGTAATATCGTCTAATAATTCATCCTTTCTGTCCCGACTTAGATGGTAAAGGTATCAGACCTATCCGTGTACTGGTAGTACCGGCAGTTCTGCGTCGAATGTGGATTTGCTCTCTGCACATCACGGGGTATCTGGCTGGGCCCGCTGAAGAGTCGGGTGCTGCTATCTTGTTATATCATATCATGATGGGACGCATGCATGTGTGGCTTCCAAATTTCTATCTCTCGCACCCTCCTTTCATGCATTCTTCTCCTTCTCGCGCTGCTCCTCTGCGGGCGTCTTGGTCTTCAGTTGCAGCGCATGGATGCCACCTTCCCGAGCCATCTCCTCCTTCAGTAGCGCGTAGACCATGCGGTGGCGGGCGGGCTGCATTTTCGCCTGGAAGGCGTCGGAGACGATGGTTACGCTGTGACACAATTAGCTGTGCCTGAAATAGATACAGATTTGCCTGAATAGGACAATCAGGAGTATGCAGGATGAATGCGCCGTACTGGAAGTGGGTTTCTTTCGAGGTTGATCCTTCCATCGCGGTGTGGTGCGCATGGAGGTGCGAGTCGTTGCGGATAACGAGGGTCGACGGGGTAAAAGCATGAGCGATCTTTGTAAAGAACCACAATCAACGGTTAGCATATCTGGCTAGGGTCATCAGGAGCAAATCCCCTGGGTGGGTACCTTGTCGCGCATGATATCCTCCATCGGCGTAACGGAGGCCATTCTGGCGGAGACGGAGAACAGGCGGCGCGGAAGCAGGCCCGGCAGCGTGCGAACGAGCATTGGAACTGCCTTGCAGCAGACGAAGCTCAAAGACGAGGGAGTGGAAGTGGAAGGTCGAGTGGAGGTGGCCGGTGAAATCACAAGAGATGTTGAGTCTTAGTCTGCGGAGGTGGAACGGTGCGGCGGTTGGTTCGGCCTTCCCGCGGAACTTCACCCGCACAACATCAACTGCGTCCAGCTGCAATTGCATATCTCCCCTGCTCTGCAGAGCCCAAGTTGGCCATGGGCCACTCGCAATAGAGTCAATCAATTGTTCCCATAATGTCTGGCCGCAGTCTGGTCTCGCGGCTCGTGCGACCGCGTCTGGGCGTGAGCTATGCACTCCTGGAGCTCTCGGCGCCGGCAGCGCATGCTAGGCTCTTCTCAACAGCTAAGAGACTGCTCACCGAGCTACCGAACACCCGTCTGTTCCGTGCCCTTAAAGAGCATGATCCGGCCAGCCTGGCTGTTATGCATAGCTTGTCGGGGCGCTCGTTTACCTACGGCAACCTGACGGCCGATGTTCTCCGCGCAAAGGAAGACCTTGAGCAGAAGGCAGCAAAGACAAAGGGGAAGTTAGCTGGGGAGCGCGTTGCGTTTCTGGCAGAAAACAGCTATGACTACGTGGGTCCGTGTATCTTTGTGTCAGGGCAATTGCGTTTCCAAGGGCTGAGACTAACTGCCGATAGTGATGCTTTTGGCCATCTTCGGATGCGATGCCATTGCGCTGCCGCTGTCACCGTCATTCCCAACAAGTGAACTGCAGTATATCCTTGATAACTCAGAGGCCAAGGTACTACTGGCTACTGAGAAATATGCCGAAAAGGCAGACCAAGTCCTCAAAGCGGGCTTGTGGCATGACCCTCTGTTTGATATCAGACAGAAGCTCTCCGAGGGATCTGCTCGAAACGAGGCTGTGCCACTAAAGGAATCGAAATATTCCCTCTCCGAGGGGCCGGCCGGCGGGATGATGCTATATACTTCCGGTACTACGAATCGACCGGTAAGTGGCAAACTATCTCATACATATCTAAAAGAGATGCGCTGAACAGCAGCAGAAAGGAGTATTTATCCCCGAGCAGGCCCTAGCTGCGCAGGCGCTGTCCCTCTTAGAAGCATGGGAGTACTCGTCGCAAGACCGGCTCCTCCACCTGTTACCCTTACACCACATCCACGGCGTGGTCAACGCAATAGTTACGCCACTCTTCGCCGGCTCCTCGGTCGAATTCATGTACCCCTTCAACCCCGACCAGGTCTGGAAACGGCTCGCAGCGCCCTTCTTGCCCGGGTCTAATAGCAGCCCTACCAAGTCCAAAATAACCTTCCTCACAGCCGTGCCAACAATTTACAACCGACTGAGGTCATCCTTCCAATCCCTCCCGGAGGACATCCAACAAGCAGCCAAGAAAGGCATATCCCCGGAAAACCTGCGTCTCAACATCTCCGGCTCCGCAGCCCTACCCACTCCCACCAAAGCCGCCTGGCAAACCCTCAGCAACGGCAATGTCCTCCTCGAGCGCTTCGGCATGACCGAAGTCGGCATGGCGCTTAGCTGCGGGCTTGACCCTGCAGACCGCATCGACGGCAGTGTCGGCTGGCCGTTGCCACGTGTGGAAGCCCGCCTCGTCGACACAGAGACGAACCAAGTCATCCTGGTCGGCGAGGAAGTCGACGCGAACGGTCGCGCGCGCGAGGGCGAGATCCAACTGCGAGGCCCGACGATCTTCCGCGAATACTGGGGGAACGCCGAAGCGACACGCGAGAGCTTCGTGCCTGGTGACGACGGCGACCACTGGTTCTGCACTGGCGATGTGGCGACGCGGCGGGTTGTCGAAGGTGCTGGAAAGGGGACGAGTGGGGAGTGGGCGAGGGGTCCGATGTATTTCATTCAGGGCCGGAAGAGCGTGGATATCATCAAGACGGGCGGCGAGAAAGTGAGCGCGTTGGAGGTTGAGCGGGAGCTGCTTTCGCTGTATGTTCCATTCTGGCTGGTTCTATTGACCTTTTTCCTCCGGACACGCCATACTAACAAGACAGACCTCAAATCGCCGAAGCAGCCGTCGTGGGTCTCCCCTCGGAGCAATGGGGCAGCAAAGTTGTGGCAGTGGTGGTCCTTCACCCTGATGCGCAGACGGGCGGACGCAAGGGCAAGCCTTGGGGGCCGATGGATATGCGGCGCGCGCTGAAGGATCGGCTAGCTGCATATAAGATCCCGCAGGAGATGAAGGTGCTGGAGGCTATCCCGCGGAACGCGATGGGAAAGGGTAAGTGGTTGCTCTTTTCCCTGCTTGTAAGCCTTTGCTCGTGCGGTTTGCTAATGTTGTGTATTTGCAGTGAACAAGAAGGCTCTGGTTAAACAGGTGTTTGATGTCTGAACCAGATAGAGCAAACGTGGTGTTTGGGCCTTGCAGTTAATCTCAGCTCCTCTCTTTCCTTGGTGGAGTTGTACGATAGCTTTGACTGTGTATAAAACGTCTGAGAGTAGAATGTGAAATAAACTGCGAGTACAATGCTCCTAACGGCTTGAGCTATGATTACTCTGTAAAAGGCTATGCATAGGCGGTTATTGAGTATAAAGGAAAATTATTGGAGGAGGAAGCCATGTATTGGAGAGGGTTTCATTTATTCTTTTTTTGGATGCAAATATAGTACATTAAAATACAAAACTACTTGGTTCATATGCAGGTAGTTATTGAGCTTAAGCCCACTCACCGGTCCGCTTAAATGACTTAATCAATCCCGTGGCTTCCATCTTCACCTCCAGACTCGCCATATCTACGGCGGTGATATGGGCATCAACGACCCCAAAGATATCCATTTGATCCTTATCCGGACAACCATCGGGGATAGTGATCACACAGTTAACGCCAAGGTTGGTGATAATGCCCGAGTAGACCGTTTCTTCACGCTCGGAGCCGATCCGCAGCGAGCGCAGGATAACAGGGAATGATGGCGGGAGGGCACACTCGGCGAAATAGAATGCGCGGAAGAGGAGCATGCAGGCCCAATGCTGAGTGGAGAAAGAGGAGATGGCGCGGAGTCGGGCAAGGAGGGGCTGGGAGTAGTCTATGTGGGCATCGAGGTCGAATTGCGAGTACGGGAGAAGTGAGGTAGGCGGTTCCGGAGGTTGAGAGTTGGACTCTGTAGCGGGAGTTGAACTTGTTTCGGCTTCATCTGGGATATCCAGGGCAGCGTCAAATTGGCGGCCATGTTCATGCTCAAAGCGCAATGCTGCTTCAATCTGGTAGTGCGCTATCACATCGCTAAACCGACGCAGTGGACTCGTGCTTTTGACATATGCATCCAGTCCAAGCATGTGGTGATGCAGAGGAGTAGACGCAGATACAGCCTTCGGCAAGCCTAGATGATAAAATGCCTGGCCGCCAAACTCGGCCATGTTCTCACGCGTGATGGGTCCGTATTCCGGGTCATACCAGGTACCATTGTAGACAACGGGAATGTTGCGGGCCGCACAAAACCTTCCGGCAATGTGGCCGGCCAAGTTCATCAGTAGCGAGACAAGATAGCGTTTCGACTCATCGCGGACTTCGTGTGGGTCGAATTCCTGCATCTGGAGCCGGATGATCGGGTCACCGACGTAGTACCGGCCCTCGGTGACTTGGATCTCGTATGGCTTTATGGGCACGGTGCCCATTTGGATGGAGAGAGAGGGATCTGGGCGTGTAGACTGGATGTCCATTGCGCCATTTTTCTGGCGCTGAAGACGGAATCCCAGCATCAGATTGCGCAGGATGGTGAAGTTCTCTTTGTCTTCAGCGGAGAGTTCCTCACGGAGAACCTTACCTTCGGGCTTTGATTGCTCAAGGAATTCACCGCCGACAGTGAGGGATTCCGAAGAATGCTCGGAATCGGGATCGAGAAACTTTTGCAAGGTACTATGGGTCAGGCTGACTACATTCCGAATTGTGCCGTTTGTGATTTCGGTATCAAGGATTTCTCCTTGCAGGTTCATCTTTGCGCTGAATGTTAACGTAGGACGATCATCCGCCAAACTAAAGTGACCCTGCGTAAGGCTCGTCGGGAAGATGGGATACGTGCGCTCCGGGGCGTATGTTGTAGCAAGTCGGGACTTGGCGTACTCCATGATAGGGTTATCATATTTCACGAAAGCCGTCGGGTTGGCGACGTGGATGCGCACCCAGAACGTATCGTCAGAGCCCGGGATGCGCTCCAATGAGACGCCATCGTCAATCTCTTGTGCCGTGATAGCGTCCACACAGTAGACCGGCAAGTCTCCCCAATCTTTTCGTAGGTCCTTCATTGAATCTGACAAAGAATCTGCGATGTTCTCGCAGGATTCTTCAATTTCCTCCCATTTCAGGTCCTCCATCAGAGACATTCCATGCCCGGGAAGCAGTATGTTTTGGTCTAGGAGACTCAGGTTCTCCCATGGAGATATCACGCCAAGCTCCTGCAGGAACATACGGGTTGAGGACTCACTGAGTCCGAGAGTATTGTACATCCCCGTCGCACGCATGACGTGAGATGCTGTCGAGCGCAAAGTACCAGAAGGCATGGCCACCGAGGGGATGGCGTACATTTGCAGATACTCAATAATCGTCTGATCGTCCTTGGAAAACTTCTCGGTGAGGACCTCACGATACACCATTGCTTTGCCGTCTTGTCCAGGTTGGAACTTCTGCGCTGAAGGGCCTACACTGGACATGATTGTAGGAGACCGAACCTTTCGACTGAGACGGATCAGACGCTGGGCTTTCTGGATAAATTGCTGCATCGGATGGTCCTTGAAACCAGGGGTTTCCTTTGCCATGGCGGCACGGACCAAAAAGTCCTGGTGTTCATGGACCCAGGTTATCACCTGACTGACAACCTTGGTAATTCGTTTCGGCTGCACCAGGTATATCGGGTTGAAAGAAGTGTTGAAGTCTTTCTCAATGATAAATGGATGGCGCCGCACAGCCTGGTGCACCGCGAAAAGGTTCACGCTGTTGAGTTCCCCTTCATCAACTATTCCCAGCAGTTTCATGGCCAGTTCCTCAAGGGTCATGCGAAGGAATTCCGACTCGTCCGCTACCAGCTCGTGGATAATGTCCAGCAGTTGCGAGTGCTGGCGATAGAACTCCGATACCTGCTGCTCAAAATTGGCCATTATTTCAATGAGAGGTCGCCCAAGAGGCCGCGGGAGTCCACCTTCAGGGACAGATTGGATCTCCGACATGACTTGAGCAGGACTATCCGGAAAATATGGCTTGATAGGCTCGATCAGAACCCGAGGTACAAATCCCTTGACGACGTAATCGATTTCGCGATTCGAGCAGATCCGCCAGTTCCCACGGCTCGTATAAATTTGTTTCTGTTTATGAACTGATTGCACATAGACGGAGAGACTGAACACGCCATCTGACGAGACTCGGGCCACCATATCGCCTGGTTCGAGATGGTCTCCTTCAAATTCTTCCGAGGTGTCGAAATCATCCTTGCCAGACAATTGCGAACTAGCCCAGAGCGACTCCGACGCTTCGCGGCCGTTGAGCATCGTGCCGACCCACTGGCCTGTATTCTCCAGTGTCATTGCACTCCCCGGCTCGCGGACTGGGTCTAAGACATTGGGATTGGTTTCTTGCCATTTTCGAAGATATTGTCGAATATCGCGGTAGGTCTCGATTTCGGCTTGTACGCGGGCTTCTTCAGCAGCGGAGGCGCTCAGAGAGCCATGTCCAGTCGAGGAAACCTAAAGAGGCACAGCTATGAGTAGACAATTCGCAATTCAGCGCAGCAATGCACCAACCTACCCCATCCTTGAATTCCTCCTGCACTACTGATCTCAGCGTTCGTGACGTCGATACCAGTCGACGCCCAGCAAAAAGTGGCCCTTGACACGCCGGCTGTGGCAGGAAACATGCTGCTCGCCTTTGCCTCACGGAGCAGCGCGCACAAATCTGCCGTGCAGTCGCCAGTCTCTGCAACGCCCCTATCCTGGGTAGCACCATAGCTATGATGTTGTCGATCGCAAAAAACGACTCCGTCAATTGCCCGAAACTGGGCTCTTTGCGCAGGCAGAAAGTGGCCACCGCCACCGGGCGGTGTGCCTGATCTCCGGTCCGCAATCGCGGTCGATTGGGTCTTTGGTACTCGCCATCCGCCAAGAAAGTCGATAGTCCCCAACGCCAGAGCAGGAATAAATTCACGGCACGCAATCGTACCGCGTAAACGACCAGTAAGGAACACTGGCGACATCTGCCCCAGTTACTTAGTGGTTCGTCCGGGTCAGAATTTTGTGAACCGGCACGGCTCTTGCGACTCAGTGCACTGACCCAAGCGCTCGCCAGATGCATGTATAGCCTGGTTGACCGGTGTCTCTTACAATATACTCCGTACTGGTTTCTAAGAACTGTGTACTTGGCAGTTCATCGGTGGCAGTATATTAGTCTGTCGATACGTCCCAGCCTTCCAGGACCTGTTCAGAAGACAAAGTCGGTGGATCTACCGGCCCCTCAAGTCTCGAATTCTCCACTGGACCCCGCAATTTTCGCAAGTCCGGTCCCCTAAGCTTCTTCAGGGAAAGGATCCCCCTAATTCCACCAGCAACAATGCCGTGTCTAGCGTATTCGCCTTCGTATATATGTCTATCAAGACTAAGGTCTTCCTCGGCGGGTTCGGTGGCCTGGGCTTCATGTGATGCCGGCATGTCTTGCACGTTAGGATCTGCCATGTCCTCGGACAATTGATTCCGCTCTAAGACTTTAACTAGAAGCAATCACGATGATCGGGCCATTTCATGACCGAATGCCCTCAAAAGCTGGCAAACGGCGACTATCTTTGCTGCAATGGTCTAAGCGAGCTTGGCTCGGGCTTTTAGTTTGCTTCTTGCGGCGCCAGGGTTGGCCTGCCTGCCCGATGCAGGGACCGGCCAACACAGGAACTTCGAGCCTTGCAAGCCCTAGCTAATTGCCGCGTAGCTCTACTTTAGGGTTTCCGTCTCAAAATTGATCCCGGCAGGGGTCGTGGTGGCCCAATGCCCCCATACTCCCCCTTCTGCCACCGCTCCCTTAACGCTCCCTTTACGTTGATGTGTGAGTCAAAAACGCCCTGGCCGCATGCGCGCCTTTGCGGCCCTGTGGCTGAACAGTTAGGTTCAAGGGTGCAATGGCTGATACTAGGCTATTCGACCTCGGATCCGTAGACCCAAAACTCAAAATATTGTACGGAGTCACGGCTTGTCAAATGTAAGCCGGTCACGGTCACATCCCCATCCAAAGACGATATGTGGATCCTAGAACCCCCGCCATGAACCTCAGATATGTTGTGTTCGTCCACCAATCATGGAGAAGTGCAGATCTAGTCTGGCGCGCTGCCTATCACCGAGCATTAAACTTCCCCGGAATTTGCTACTTCTCGGGAGACGACGCGCATGCGCAGCCTACAGCTACACTGTGCAAATAGTACGCCAGAGATACTCTTGGTTTTCTAGTTTATGATCGACACCAGACTAACTTCTCGCTTAGATAGGAGAATGACCGAATGACTTGATCTTCGGTCTCAAAGGCTATCTATGTATTCTCTCCGAACAACAATCCCGAAATTTCGGTGGAAGAACAACTTGCACCCTACCATATGCGGTCTTTTTGACCCGCATTTAGGCTCTACAAAGTTGGCAAAGCGAGATGGTGATTTTTAAGTCAGCTCACCTCCATTCGCACGCTATGATTGGAAACGAATAGCTTGACGCTCTCTCCAATCTGGAAATTACATGGATCGCGTCAAGGGGACTTTTATGGGCCGGCAGAGAAACTAGCATACCCACACCCTGCTGACGGGGGTGAAGGTCGTTCCTAATTGCAAGCTCTGTCCTGTCAGATCCACTGTCAATGAGGGGGATGTGGGTAGTGGGTTGATGGATACCTTCCGAGTTTTCCATGGGTCCAGGAATCATTCAATTACTATATATAATAACCCATAGGACCCGCTTCCTGTTTACTATCCTATGCTGTGTGTTCAAGCCCGCACATTCCGTATAATCAGCTTTTTTATCCTCGGACTCATCCTTAATCTACTGCTATTCGACCTTAAATATATTCTTATACAACCTACGATCCTTTTACGACATGCCTTCCAGCCTCGGCTGGCGCGCTCTGGCGCTATTTCTGGCTGCCCTCACTCCCCTGGCACACGCTGATATTTGCTCGACCCTCGAGGCCGGTGGCATTGATGTCGAATATCCACTGTCGCTTGACTACTCGACCGACTTGACGAAATATTGGTCTGCCGCCTGCGGTGATCTCAAGCCAACATGCATTGCCGCGCCGTCCAGTGCAGCTGAGATGTCGCAGGTAATCAAGGAGCTGCACAATGTTGAGACTTTGTTTGCGGTCAAGTCCGGGGGTCATATGCCAAACAATGGTTTCGCTAGTATTCAGGATGGTCTTTTGGTTTCGACGAAGAATTTGGATCAAGTCTTCTACAACCCAGACGATGAGACCGCTGTGATTGGACCTGGTCTTTCGTGGGAGGAAGCACAGAAAGGGCTGGATGGGACCGGTCGAGCTGTGGTGGGTGGCCGACTTGGAGGCGTAGGCATTGGAGGGTATATGCTCGGAGGTATGTTCGCCCTTGTGGTGGTAGCCTCATGTTGGAGCTAATGATCATCAGGCGGAATGAGCTTCCTGAGCACTCAGTATGGCTGGGCTGCCAACAATGTCAAGGAGTATGAGGTCGTGCTGGCCAACGGTACGGTAGTTAATGCCAATGCGAAGGAGAACACCGGTAAAGATTATTGTACTTCGAACCCGCATGAAACATACTAACTATGGTGCAGACCTTTTCGCTTCTCTCAAGGGGGGTGGTAACAATTTCGGTGTCGTCACCGCATACACCATGGAGACGCACCCTTCCAGCAAGGTCTGGGGCGGCAACTATATCTTTACTGCGGACAAGACACCCCAGCTTCTGACGGCGCTGCGCAACTTTGCGGATGATTACCCCGATGATAAGGCGGCGATTATTTTGACATCGGAGCACGGTGCGGTGATTGATTTGTGGATCATGTTCCTCTTTTACGATGGCCCCGAGCCTCCAGCGGGCGTATTCGACGAGTTCACTGCGATCGACCACACGTCCACCACCAAGACTTGGGACACCTATTACGACTTGCTCAAGAACAATGATTTTGCCATTCTTCAGTACGTGCCACCAGAGTATAGCTTGGTAAATTATGCTGACACCCCCTATAGCGGACAACGCTATACCATCGCGACCGAGACGACACCTGTTCCCAACAAGACCATCGGTACTTCTGTGCTGCAGGAGTACTACGAACACTGGTTCGACGTGACTAATACTGTGCTTGATGTCACTGGCGCTCTAGGATCCATCGCTTTCCAGCCGGTGCCCAAGACCTTCTCCCAGAAGGCCAAGGACCGTGGCGGAGTAAGAAATCCACTAAGCATCTAGCAAATATTGTCCCAAGCTAATAAATGCAGGATCTTCTGAATGTTCCGACAGACACAAACTACATCTTCATCGAGCTCGACTTCTCATACTCTTTCTCCATAGATGATGACAAGATCGACCAGGCGAATCAGAACCTCTACCAGGGGATGGGCAATCTGGTGCAGAAGAATATCGACGAGGGTCTTTTGCCCGATGTGTACCGACCACTCTTCATGAATGACGCCTACTTCCGCCAGGACTACTGGGGACGCATTGATCCTGCATCGCGGAAGTCGGCGCTTGAGACGCGGTTGCGCTATGATCCTGATGGCTTCCTCCAGAAGCGAACCAGCGGTGGCTGGAGACTCAGCTAATTGACATGTATCGGGATCTAGACTTTTAGGTATATCTTATTTGGATACATGTTGACATAATTTGTCTATACTATAACGTTCTATTAACCTTTTCGCCTGGGGCGACACAAAATACAACACTGAAGACGCAGCTCGGGAGCGGGCCCTGGACAGTAGAACTAGTAGAGACATCGGGATGATGCACACCTATAGAATAAGCTTTGATTTCTGCATGCTTAGGTTAGGTTTACATTGCCTTTTTTCCACACAAAAGGTGGGGTTGGGGAGTTGAAAAAAGAGAGAGAGATAGTCCGAAACGCGATTTGAAAGGCATCTCATATTGTGATGATAGAAGCATACATCTATATCAAGTACTATTCGGCCGTGGAGCATCTGGTCTATAGAGATTCTAGGGATTAGTTGAACAATGTCAACGTCCTCTGCTGTATGTGGATCGTCCCGACCCAGGAGGCGTGCCGCGACATGCCCTCAAGGAAAGTCTCGCCCAACACCCTCTGCTGCCGGCGGTGGCAACAGCGTATTAAGAGGTGCAGTTCTCGCCTGCTCGATCCATCTATAATAAACTGTCATCTGCGCTTTATCGCCCCAATAGGTCGTAGGGACTAATGGGGAAGTGATACATCGCAATTGAGCCGCCAGGGATGGGATTAAACTCAACCTACCGCGTCGGATAATCCAAAACAACCCAGCCGCCCGGTCAAATAATAGAAAACCAAAGCGACTAGGATGAAACATGATCGACGGTGCATTTTCCCACCCCAGTCCGCCTTTGACTCATTTTTGTAGCCGCCTGCGTCAGATCAGTAGCCATCAGCGCAGCGAGTGGCTCAGAAGCGCCCGGGGTATTTAGGGTTCTCCTCCAAGCGCTGGGGTGGGGCCGGCCTCCCCCAATCCAAATTTGCACATTCGTACTTCGACACCAGAAAGCTCTCAAAGCTTTACACTGTAGGGACAGTCATTTATGCAAGCCGCCCTGCTTAGGGCCGTAGTTATTATAGATCATGGTGCTGGGATTCGTCGCGAGTGGCGCTGTCTCCAGATATTCCCCAGCAACGACGTCAGAGGAGGCTGCGACCCCGTGTCGAGGGCCTAGAATTTAGCCATGCTGCTAATTTTGTTTGGTCTAGACTCCTGTTCTTTATTTGGAGACTTATGTGGGCGGCTGGATTCTTTGTGGCCGTCCTATATAAGATCTGAAGCTGGTGCGGGAGTTGTTTTGTTCGCTGAATCAACTCTGCAACACTTTCCTTCAAAGCGCTCCCTTTGTCTTTTTTCCTAATCTGTTCGGGACTAAATAAGCTTCACTCCTTCGATTTTGGAATTGCTCCCAGCAATTCATAACAATAGCTTCACTCCTTTCACATCTTTCCGCGTTTTTATCGCAAGTCAACGCGCTTGGCATCGACTTCCTCAATCACATTGCGAAACCTTTGCCATCTATAATCTTCACCATGCCGCCTCGCTACGGAGCTCTCGGTGCCACTTTCCAACTGGCACGTATTTTCCAGGCCTGTTCGCTCATTGCCATTATTGGCATGACAGCTAAATTCATCTCATCGATTGTCAATAACAATGCGACGCCGCCCAACATTCTTATCGGAACGATCAGTGTCGTAAGTTTCCATGTTGAATTCCTGGCTGTAGAGAAGGATGCTGACTGCGATAAAAGACTTGTATCGCCGCTATCTACTGCATCATCACAGGCATCCTCTTCTTCGATGACATCCTCCCTTTCCTTCCCTGTGCGGTCTTGGATTTCCTCCTACTCATTGCACTCATCGTTGTTGCTGTGATAATGGGCAAGCCTCTCTCTTATTTAAAGTGCTCGTCACTCGCTTCGCTGGGCTTCAACGACGCCACTGTATACGCTTTTTCGTCCCGCTTGTCCAACGTGGTGGCAACCATTAGTGGGACGATTGATTTCTCGTCGTGGATTGGGGCGTCGAAGACAATTTGCTTGGAGACAAAGGCGATTTGGGGACTCAGCATTGCCTTATGGTACGTGATTACTCTTCAGCCATGTATGCTGGCAAATTACTCACCCAAGTATATAGTATTTTATTCTTCTTCTCGGTCATTTGCAATTTTTGCCTGTGGCGCCAGAAGAAGGTCATGGTAAACGCAGAGAAGTAATAGTCTCGAACGGAACCACTGGCATGCAGGTGGAAGTGCACCCAACGAGTAGTCGAAGGTTAGAATCGAGAAGGGGAAGAACCGGATGGTATGGGGGGCATGAGGAGGCTAGACTGAGAGCTGTTTTGCTTGGTTTTTTTTTGCTTTTTCAGCGCACACTAATGGGTTTGAATTTCGGCGTTTGGAGCTCACTGCCTAAAATGGAAAATCGATAAAAACCATAGGCCAGCCAAATGAAACCACTCGTTTTTATCTACCTTAAAAATCATTGATTGATGAGGACTGAGAATGCGGCTTTTTCTCAAACAAAAGCCTAGATCTCTTCCCAACAAAACAAGAACACCATTTTGACAAATTGACAAATAGTGCCGACATCACCCAAACCTGGTATGGGGCAGGAGGAAACTGCTCATTACCCATGATACTCTTGCCACAAACATGAAGGCAAATCCAGCTATATTGACCACAGCGATAATACCGCCCTTGAGGCCATTTTCAGTGGGTTCAGCAACCGTCTGGCCCTCCATGAGCGCGCTCACAGGCGGAGAGCCATAACTGTGAGAGATAACAACAACTTTCCTGCCTTCATGGAGAAATGGGAGGAGATGCTCTTGAATCACAGCTGCATGGGTCAAAGAATGTAGATTCCGGACCCACCTGATTTCACAGACAGCTTAGTCGAACGAGAGCACTTGGTAGCTTTGAGCGTGTGGAGGTTCGGAAATCGTGCGGTGGTGGACGCGCCGGTGGAGAGCACATGGCACAATAACCAGGACCGGGATTGTGCGATTCCATTGTTGCTGATTAATATCTCAAAACGTTGCGTTTTGAGATCTGGGACCAAGGGATATCGAGGATGAATTGGAGAAATAGGCTGAGCTCGGTGCCAGTAGGATGTGAGTTTTCGACCCCCTCCCGTAATTGGGTAGGTCGTACATTTCACGCATACGAGGTAAATGAAATCACGGCGAGTCTCGTGTGCTTTTGAATGGCCATGCACAGGATTGATATTCAATCAAAAGCATCGGTGATCGCGGACCACCACGGCCTCGAAATGGCGCACTACCCGGAGCTGACAGGCGGGATAATAGCAACCTCCTCCCCTGCCTGAATCACTTTGTGCGCATCCTCCTCAACATCGATGTATTCACCCTCAAGACTAATGCCACAGCTGCCTAGCACCTTCGCACGGATCCCAGGGTATCGCTCCTCCAGCTGCGCGAAAAGCCCAGATAATGGCAGGGGTGCGGGGAGACGCTCAGTGTCTTTGGAGGTGTATTGGGACGCGGTCGCGAAGTAGTGAATAACAAAGGTCCCCCTGGAGGACGAGTCCGATTCCACCTGTGAAGCTGAAGACATGGTATCGCGGATATGGAAGGACTTCAATTCGAGACAGGAGGTCGTGGATGGTGCAAGTGGGAGAGTTGAGAGGAAGATGGGCGCGTTGCGGGAATGCGGGGAGCTCCGACGGGCCTGAGGCTCGTTACGGGCAGTGGGAGTGGGGCATTTTGGCATTCTTCCGTCGCTTAACTCGTGCTGATTCATTAAATAGGTGCGGTGCGCAGCTGCCAGGAACTATGCGCATATCGCTATTAAAAAAGCGCTCATAGCACCAGCTCCTTCTCTCGTCTTGAGACCAATGGAAGTACTGTATAATCTCAATCAACAGGCGACTGATCAAACAGACTCCAGGCTTCCAGGCCACAGCTGATCCTGTAGCAGTGGTTACGAATACGGAGTACACTGGCTCCAAATTTGTGTGCTGTTAAAGCGTCGGCGCTTTGTACGTAATTTATTGTCGTTCTTAGAAATAAAATCACACTTCCATAATAATGTGACCCCATCTAGGGTCCTATCCGATTTATCCGCTGTGGGCCTTGAGGCTCAAATTCGGAACTGCCCCTGAAAATTTGGTGTCATCTAATACGGCTCCATATCGGGACAAAAATCTTGCTTATAGCGTCTTATTCCCCGAAAACGTGCGTGAAGTCTGGAACTTTCCAGGATAAATAATTCTGGGCATTTATAGGCCGCGACCTGCCCCAGGTTACGTTCGTACGGAGATTGTTTTTTTCCGTCACCAAAGACACCCCATTCCTCACCTTTCGCCTCTCATTCTTACTATCGGGAATAATCTACTTCAACTGTTCTTGCCGCTCTTTCCAAATTCTCAGCAAAATGGCCTCCGCCACCACGATCTTTCGCCTCTTCGCGTTGTCCGCGGCTTTGAACCAGGCGACTGCTACCTTCAGTCTCGATACTTCTGGTCCTAGTTGGGACTATACAACCAAGGACTTGGCAGACACGACGTCACAGGCTTGCAAGGACGCCTACAGCGCCAGTATCGACTGCGATGAAACCCTCCTTGAGATCGTAGCGTCTATGGATCCTGACTTCAACCCGCAATCTTCGGACTTGCAGGCTATGTGCACCACGACATGCAGTGATTCATTGTCCCAGTATATGAAGAACGTCAAGGCTGCATGCGGCAACGATGGCGATCTAGCCGGAGTTGCCAACGGGAATACATATGTTTACCAGGCTCCCGTGGCCACCGTGGGCGAGGTTTTCCAGTACAAATACGGCCAATCTTGTGCCAAGAGCGGGTGAGTTTGGTACATAGTGGTTTGCTCAGGGTGCATGTGCTTATGTTTTCGCAGGTCTGATTACTGTTACTTGACCTATCCCAACAGCGATGATTGGGCCAGAACCGACTTCCCGTGCAGCGACGAGTGTGCAGTCGAGTTTTACCAAAACGCACACGAGCAACCTGGCTCGGCATATTTCTTTAACTACTTTGCTCTTTGCAACCAGTCATCATCCTGGGAGGATACCTTTGCCGGTGGTTGGGAAACTGTGGTTCAATGCAACGATGGTGGAAGCGATGTAAGCTCCGTGAGCACGAGCGGAGATTCAACAACCACCGATATTGTTGACATTGCATCTTCGACCACCTCAATGACCAATGCGGCTATTTCTACGACCTCAACACCAACTGCAGCGACGACAACCGCCGCACCGGTTCGGTCTGCTTCTGGGACTACTTCCACCGCTGGGACTACTTCCACTACAGCCACCAGTGGCGCTTCGAGGCTCAGGGCCCCCTTTCTTTCAAATTTCTGGGCATAAATGCACCTTAGATATAAATAACCCAATATAATGATGAAAGCTTAGAACTTCATCTTCATTCTCTTCAATATTCAAGTAAATCATTATCTTGTCAGTACTATAAGAAGTCCGCTATCTAACCGGCAACCAGGAGTTTCAAGATATTGTCACTCGCCTGTTTTATGGAACAAATGCATAGCCACAGACATACAGTAGAGTCAGTGTCCTGGGATCATATCTACCGGATATCCGTGTCTTCGCCCACCCACACCGCTTCCGCGCTGTGGGTGTGCCTCACCGTAACCACCAATATCACCGTAACCACCAATCTTGATCAAAATCATCAATTTTGAAGCTTTTCCCCCCACAAAACATGCCGAAACCCTCCAATTTTGATGAATCTCGCATGGCAGAGGCCTGTGAAGCTATCCGCGCGCAAAACAAACCGAATATGTCGAAGACTGCGCGTGAATATGGCATTCCTTATGCGACGCTACGCGACCGTGTCAAAAAGGGCAGCCGGCCCCGTACAGCCAGAAAAGCGTCCAATAAAGCCCTAGATAGCTATCAAGAGGAAGCCTTAATACGCTGGATCGATTGTATGCGTAGTTGGAATATGCCTGTCACCCCTGGCCTAATTAAGCAGTAGGCGAATCGAGCTATCGTATACGCTGGTGACCCTACACGAACTGTCGGCCCTATGTAGGCGTATCGCCTTATAAAGCGCCTACCAGTGCATCTGCAGCTAGGCCCAGTGAAGTAAAAGACCAAGGAATCAAAACGTATCAAGGCCGAAGACGCAGGATTACTACAGTACTAGTATGATCTATTAGCTAATGTGGTTAAGGATACACCGGCGCGGTTAGTATACAATTTTGATGAGTGTGGCTTCCAACCTGGCCAGGGCACATCACGAAGGGTTATTAGATCAAAATTACCCTGCCCTAATCTTGCTGAATTAGAACGTAGCGAGACTATTACGACCGTTAAATATATCGCTACCGATGGTTAGCTAATGGATCCGTTATTCATCTTCAAAAGCGGCATATTTCAAGAGTGTTGGTTCAACGATAGCGAGGCTTTACTACCACTCACGAATACAGCAATATTACCTAATAGCTAGATATCCGATGAATTAGCCCTCGAATGGCTTCAATCTTTTATTAATATAACTAATGATCGCACGAAGAGGGGGAAAAACGTATCTTGATCTTTGACGGCTACGGCTCCTATCTTACTATCGAATTCCTATAAAGATACGAGGATAATAACGTTATACCATTCGCTTTTATGCCTTATACGATATATCTTTGCTAGCCTCTCGATGGTAAGCCGTTTTTAAGCTATAAGTAACATTTCCGACGTATTAATAACGAGCTATCTTATTGGGCCGGTCAGCCGATGGGGAAGTCCGAATTTCTACGCATCATTAGGCCTATACGAGAGAGGGCCTTTAACCAACGAATTATCCGCGAAGCCTTTAAAGATCGTAGTATTTGGCTAGTTAATAGTAGCAAGATTGTCAATAATCTAGCTAACTAGCTAGATTTACCAGATCTCTACGCTAATCTCCGTCCGTATAGCTAAAAGACACTATCACCACCACTAATAGCCCTCTCGTCGTCGAGCGTAGAAAACAGCCCTCCAAAATCTATTGAAGCTGTTAAGAAAAACCAGCAGAAGCTATTAAAACACGTAGATAGCTTTACACTAAAGCAACAGCGAGGTTTAGAGCGGATATTTGAACACAACCGAATCGCTATAGAACACCTCAATATGGCCAACGATACAATCAGTCAAATAAGAGCCGCCCAAGCACCCTTACGGCGCCAATTTACCAAGCGACAGGTGAAGCCACTCAGCCAGACCGGTATATTATCCGTACGCGATGCAAATCGATCAATTGCAGGGAGGAAGGCCAAAAGCGCTGCTGTTGAAGAGAAACGGTTAGCCAAGCAATGGGAGAAATTGTATGGTCGGAAGCCACCACCAGCGGTTATGCAAGAGAGTGAGATATCAATAGAAGCAGCGATGGCAGCGCAAGATAGTGGGGATATTTATTTCGTTGATAGCCAGCCGATGCGTTAAAAATTGATGATTTTGATCAAGATTGGTGGTTACGGTGATATTGGTGGTTACGGTGAGGCACACCCACAGCGCGGAAGCGGTGTGGGTGGGCGAAGACACGGATAATGTCTGGCAACTCTTGGCGGTCCCTTTCCGTTCTAGCGCTCACCCTCTCGCCGCTTTTGCTCATTGGGTAGAATTGACCACGACCCTGAGCGGCCTGAGCCGGTCATAATCAAGTTGATCCACTCACTGAGCTTGACCGGAGCCACCCGGTTTGCTTACTACGCTCGTCCAGGTCCAGTGGGTGTGACGGAATCCACGTCCAAGCTAACAATCGAGCATCACATTGTTCGAGGACTCGAGCATATATTCTGCCAGTCAAGGCGTGTCACAGCTATTGGATGCCTCGATTCAATGTCGCTACAGGAGCCGGATTCTCTCAAAAAGGAGCGAGAAGCCAACTGAAAAAGAGCGAATGCTGGCTGATGGGCAGGTAATACTCAGCGAGCTCAGGTCACGTAACTTATATTTAGTGTGAGAACCCCTTGGGTAGAGAATGAATACATCTAGCATATTGATATCATATCGCTACAATAGGATAATATGCTGGTAGCCGCTAATGGCCGACTATCTAGTCCTCTACCGTCAAGCCTCGTTGAGACCCGTAAGCTAAGGCCGAAATCAATGGATAATGTAGTGCCAGGATGCGAGGAAGAATTATATAGGCATAAAGAAACACTATAGCACTTTTCATTCCTGCTTGATGACGGCGGGGCTCTCACTCTTCACAACCACCTCATCCGAAAGTGGCTTCTTGGCCCAGATTCGCTTCGCGCGCTGATAGGCGTGGAAGCGCGGGTTTTTGAGCGCTTTCCGCATTTCGGCAACATAAACCAGGACTTCCTCCCTGGTCCACGGCAGCGGGTCTCCATACTTGGTGAGCAGGTACATTGAGTAGCCCTCCATGCCCGACAGCCAGTGCTGGATATTGACTATGCCAGCCTCCTTCAATGCTTTGTCTCTCGGCCATGCCCCGATAGGCCACTTCGTAGTCTTCTCATGAACGTCCACAAATCCGGCCTTCTCAATGTCGGCGCGCATTGTTTTCGTGATATCAAGAGACTTGCCCAGTTTTTCGCCGGCGGCGAAGAACCTAGGCCCCCAGGTGAATAGGACACTATCCGCCGGTATACTCCCGTCATCACACTCACAGCGGATATCCATTTCAATCTGCTCAAACCAGCCACCGGGTTCCAGATTGTTATAACATTGCTTATAGAGCACGTCCCATTCGTCCGGCGAAAACGCACCGATCCCGTGGCGAAGATGAATCAGGTCGAACTTTTCGCGCCATGTCCAGTCCTGCAATACATCGTCTACTTCAAAGATGCAGTTTGGCGGGATCCAACTAACAGGCGGGGGGAATAGATCGACACCCCGGACAACAGCGTCGGGGAACATATCCGCCACATCAATAGCCCACGAGCCCTGCCCGGTCCCAATGTCGAGCACATGCTTTGGTGCCGGGACTGGTGCCAGATACAGTGGATTGATCGCGTCGGCGTTCATGAGAAGGCATGCCAGATGTCCCACTTCATACACCTCGAACTGTTGTTCATCGGAGGGACTGAAATACTCGGCATCTCTCAGGGTTTGATATCGTCGACCGTTCTCCATAAACCCCTTATACATAGAGGAGGCGATTGAGGTGGTCTCGGATTTCCAGTCTTCCGGGTCGTACTCATTGGAGCGCGGGTAATGCAGATTTGGATCTGCTGTGATCGTGATGTCGGCCATGGTGGGGAGAACAAGGCCGCAGCTCGGTAGCTCAATCCGCTCTTAAAGACGTGGAGGACTGTCACCAACAGGTCTGCGCTTTGGAAAGACAACAAGGCAAGTGGTCAGGACCGGCGACCAAATCCAACACACAGGCCACGCCCAGCACGGATGCTCGGATGACCGTAGTTGCTTTTTCTTTCTCGGTGTTCGAGGTCGGACACCGTGACCAACGCGGGGATCTTCCGGAGAACACAAGATGTGCACGAGAAGGTTCTGTGCTAAAGACGAGGTGTGGGATCGGAGACGTTACACGGTAGAAACCTCCCTCGTTCCCGTGGGGGGTGGGTTGGCTGTCTCGGGAACAGGGGCGGTTGGTCCCCGCGAGTAGTGCAGTGTGATAGCCAATGACTGATGAGGAACGGTGGGGACATTATGCGGGCGGTTAGTTTTGGCACTTTTACAACTGGCCGCAATGGCATAGAAAGGCGGTCCCTCGGTCCTAACCTGGCCCGATCCGCTTTCAGTGGGGGAAAGGGGGGGCTGCAGCTGTTGGCAATTGGATGGGCTCGGCCGCCAACCTCAAAGCTCCTACTGAGCCTGGCTAGTGTTCTCGACGGAATCCTAGCGCTGGCCTTCCTGCACGCTCCGCCATAGGTCCTCCAATGGGTGGCCGCATCCTGTCTACTAACGTAGCAGGATTTCGTCAGCTGTTAAGATAGGACCGCGCCTAATCAGAGTCCAGAGAATCGTGAGACCTGTCAGGTTTCCACACCTGGTAAATCCCGAATATACGTTCCCCCTATTCTCCCCCAGTTCGTTTGAAACGGCTCGTTGCAGCACTGCAGCCGGGATCTTTGAATGCCATTGTTCACGGTATCCGGCCTCATGGCGTATGGCTGGGGTCTCTGGGCGCTGGCTTTTGTCAGCGCCGTCGTTGCCCGTGTGATCGTTAGACGATACTGGACCTCGATCCGAGACGTCCCCGGTCCTCTGTTGGCATCGTTTTCGAATCTTTGGCAGGTCTTGCAGCTTTTGAAAGGCCATACCGAAGCGGAGACAATTAAATTACATATAGAATATGAGGACCTGTGAAATAGACGCCGAAAATGACAGCCTTTGACGCCAGAAACGGCCTCCTTTCCACCCGTAACTTTAGAGAGCGAGCCGGCGCTTCACCGCCCATTGTCTAGCACCATCACTATATTGCACCCAACTAGTGCCGTTAGTCATCATCAACCGGCCCTGATGTTTGATGCTCGTTCAACAGTCATTCCCTTTGAACCAATCTGAGTAAAACGACGCCGAAAATGGCTCCCCTGTGCAGTGCCATCCAGGCTCCTTCCCTCTTTGCCCTGCCTAGCCGGGCCCTTATAAAATACTCGTTCTTCCCCCCTCTCGATACACTTATATCTCCCCAGTCCTTTCCTCATCTCCTTTTCCCGACTCCCAAATCGACTTCGCGAACCTTGCTGCTTGTCTTTCTAGATTCCACTCTTGGTCGATTATCTTGGTTTTTGCAAATAGCAAATTCTCTCGTTCGTTCGGCTTAGGGTGAGGAGCATTATTACTAGACCGACCCTATTCTTTGCTAGGAAACTCGAGCCAGGCTAGAATAGTTCCGTAGCCTTGGATAGCTACCTCTAAACTTTAAACCGAGGACCTTATTAAGTATTGCCGTCGTCGAACGGTATTAGCGAAAGTAAGTATAGATTTTCCTAGAACTAGGTACGGTAGGTAGCGTCAACTCACGAGAATTAGATTTTCTATCTAGTCGGAGGCGGACTATATAGACTAACGTAATTCCCGCCCGACCGAGCCACCCGGCCGACCGAGCCACCCCATCAAAAAACGCGTCTTCTAACCCACCCACCTAATTCAACCACCTACCATGCCACCAATTCGCTCTGGATCTGCTCAGAAATCAGCCAATCAAGAGGGCAAGATCTTATTAGCCCTTGACGATATCAAAAATAGTCGTGTCGAGTCTATACGCGCAGCAGCGAAGCTATACGCAATACCTCGCACTATACTACAATACCGCGCTGTCGGCCGCCTCCCACGCGTCGATGTGCGCCCATCTGGTCATAAATTGACCTAATACGAAGAGGATTCGCTTACTAAGTGGATAATCTCTATGGATACGCGTAGTGCAGCGCCTAGGCCCTCTATAGTACGAGAAATGGCCAATATTCTACTAGCTACGCGTGGTGAAGACCCTCCAGCTACTGTAGGTAAAAATTGGCTATCAAGCTTCGTGCAACGACGCCCTGAGCTTCGTTCAGCATTCTCTAGACGCTACGATTACCAAAGAGCCTAAAACGAAGACCCTACCTCACTACGAGCCTGGTTTACGACCGTATAAGATGTTATCGACGCGAATGGTATCTAACCGGAGGATATCTATAACTTTGACGAGACCGGCTTCGCTATAGGGATTATAGCTACACAGAAGGTCGTTACAAGGGCGGAATATTATGGTCGGCGATCGATTTTACAACCGGGTAATCGTGAATGGGTTACAGCGGTCGAAGCAGTTAGCGCTGATGGCTACTCGCTACCGCTATACGTGATATTTAAAGGTAAAAACTTCATAGCGTCGTGGTTCGACGAGAAGCTTCTAAAAGATTAGCGTATCGAGGTCTCGCTAAACGGCTAGACTACCGATAAAATTGGCCTTCGGTGGCTACAGAAGCTATTCATTCCAGCGACGACGACACGTACGAAGGGGAAATATCGACTCTTGATTCTTGACGGCCACGGTAGCCATCTTACACCTTAATTCGACCAGATCTGCATAGAAAATCATGTTATACTACTTTATATACCTCTACACTCTTCGTATCTTTTACAACCGCTTGATGTTGGGTGTTTTGCTATATTAAAACGCGTATACGGTCGCTACGTAAGCGATCTTACTCGTGCGTCGTATAACTATATCGACAAGTTCGATTTCCTCGCAGAGTACGCCCGGGCGCGCACGGAGGCCTTTCAACCTTATATTATTCAAAATAGCTTCGCTGCTACCGGTCTTATTCCAGTCGACGTAGATCGAGTGCTTTCGAAGCTCAATATCTTACTCCGAACGCCATCGCTACCAAATAGCAGGCCAACTACTAGCTGTAGCCAATTTAGCCCAAAAACACCCAGGACGGTCGTGTAATTACAAAAATCAGCTTCGATATTAAAGGATCTATTAAGATATCGGTCAAATAGCCCTCCGAGCCCATCAAAAACCGTACTAGATCAGATTATCAAAGGCGCTTGCATATCGCTTCACGGGGCCGCGCTATTAGCGCAGGAAAACAGCGATCTACACACAGCGAATCAGAAAATACGCCAAAAACGCACACGATCTAAATAATAGATAGTGCACGAAGGAGGCCTCACGGTCAAAGAGGGCCTACAGCTAGTTCAGCAGCTGAATCAGCCAATTAAAGACACTCTAGTAGTAGTGCAGCCGCAGGGCGATAAGGCTATTCAACTAGCTCAGCCAATCAGAAAAGCTCCACCGAAGTGTAGTGGGTGTGGGCAGGTCGGACATAAGGTTAATTATTGTAAAAACCGCTAGATATAGCTAAATTAATACGTTTTGGTTAAGATATTAAGATTCAAAATTTCCTAATGGGGTAGGGTGGCTCGGTCGGCCGGGTGGCTCGGTCGGGCGGGAATTACGTTACCTTCTCCGGGAGGATTACGTAATCTACATGAATTTCTTCGATTAGATATTCCGAACATTACGAGAGAAGACGCTACAATCTTATAACAAGTATTAGCGCCGCCTTTACTAGTATTTCGAACTATTTACTCGTCGCCGTATTAATAAAAACATTCATAAACAGATACGACGAGTACGAGCATTTCTTCCCTACTATAAAGATTAGGCTAATAATAACACAGTATTTAGATAGTCCTTTTCCGGCCGAGCGAAAGATCTCCCGACGAACGAAGGACAAGAACACCCTAGATATAGATATCTTCTATACGATCTACCGTTATTACTAGGTCTATTCGAGGTTTTTCCGTTATAGGAATATACTTATCCAATTTACTACAGTATAGCTATAGTCTACCATCACCGGGACTCGCCCCGGTGTCTTACTTCTATAAAATACCTTATTACCCGGTAACCCCTCCTGTAACGATTTTACTACTTGTTAGGGTAGAAGGCCTATCGATCAGGTAAAGAATCGATGGCGAATAGATAATGAAATAATTGTAATACAGTTTAGCCGTTCTTCTTTTTAAAGACTGAATCTTGCCGATTCAGATTAAAAGGAAACGGGACACTCTCTTTTATTAGGGAATAACGATACCGAGTAATAATAAAGAATAATATAACTACTTTTAATATTAACGCTTCCCTATATTAGACTAATACGTAATCCTTTATAATTTATTCCCCCTCTAATAGTAGCTATCCTTAGCTATAATAGAGAAATAGGGATATTTTACTTCCGATTTATATAAGTAATAGACTTATAATAATAGTGTTAGTTATAAAGTCTATTTTACTTTTATAATTCCGTAGGCTAAAGTTCCTACTACTAATCCTTAATTAAATTAGCTAAGAACCGTAGCCCCGGGATAGAGAGAAGTAAGAAAGAGAAGAAAAAGAATATAGCTAAGGCTATTTATAGTTTTTCCTTTTAGAGTTATTATCCTTTTAAGACTATTTTATTATAATAGGGATAATTAGTAGCGAGAGATATATTAATAGAGAATTTTAGTTAATTTAGGTATATTTTATATCCGAAAGTAGATATAAGTAAAAGATACCTAAGGTTAATTAGTATTAATATTAATTCCTTTATTATCGAGTTCTATTAGGTTTCTTATTTTCGATTAATAAGAGAAGGCGAGTAATTACTAGGAATCTAGGGGTATTTCGATATTTTCTTTTATTAGAAAATAAAGGTTTTAGCGTACTTTTATATAATAGGAGTTTCTAATTAGGCCGGAAGTTTCTATTCTAGTTATAGTTCGTTACTATTTATAATTTTTTAAATTACGTATATATA